ATTTACGATAAGTTTAATTATTAATTAACGAAGTATTTAATAAGTGAACGTAAAACTAAAAAAAATAAATAGCATCGCTACGTTTAAAAAGTTGGAAAAAGAGATATGAATAAAGATTTTACTACTTTTCTCTTAAATTATAAGGAAATTAATATCGTTATAAGCGATAATGGAGAATAAAACTAAGTTAATTTTAACTTATAATATGTTACTTACGAAAATTAAGACAATATTTATAACAATAATAAATAAGAACTAATTTTTTTAACATAATATTTAACTTAATATAATATTATTAATAGCGAAAACATTGCTAACATTTTTGCAAATTAAGTAACAATGTATACTTTTATTAAAATTAATTTATTTAATAACAACGATTTAAAAAAAGCAACGGCCGCAATCTTTTATAAGATTTTTAAAGTATTAATTACATTTTACTTAAAAAACTAATATATAAACGTCTTTTAAGGTATATTTCTTAATATAAGAATAACTAAAATATTATTAAGCGGTAAATCTTAATTAAAAGTTTTATAACGAATTTATTTAAGTATCCGATTTAATACAACTATTATTAATTAATATATAATTTATTTTAAGGATAATTTAAAATAATAAAATCTAAGTATAACATAAGTTTTAATATTATTTAAAATAATTTCGTTTTAAATTATACTTATAAACATTTCTTTTTTATTTTATTTAAACGATATAGATTAATTAGGGATATATTTTAATAATATAAAAAACGTACTTATTTATAAAAATAAAAATTATTTTATTATTTGCAAATAAGGCCATCCATAATTCTTAATAAAACGAGAATATTTTATTACTTATTATTATTTAATAAAAAAGGAATTACGTTAAATATATTGACGATTTAACCATTTAATAATTAAACGTTTTTATAATGTTTTTATAAAAGTTAAATATAATAATGTTGATTTTAAAATTATTAAGAAAATTATTAAATATTATCACTAATGTTAATTACATAATAATATATTAAGAAAATTTAAATTTACCGTTAAAAATGATATTAATTTTAATTATACGATATATATTAACGTTATATATATTAATAATCGATTGGTATTTTACGTTGTTAATAAGGTAACTTTATTTTAAGTTATTAAGTTTTTAAAAAATATATTTATAAAATAAGTTTAAGATATTTTAAGAATAATTTAAATCAATATTTATTTAAGATTATTTAATAATTTAATATTTAATGTAGGTACGAATTTTATAGTAAATAAGTTTAAAATAAACGTAAAAACCCTCGCTATTTTAATAAAAGAAATTCTTATAAAGGTATATAACTTCATCGGTAAATTAAAACAATACTATAAACCGTTAAAACGCGTTTACGAAGTTATTTTTAAAGATATAAAAAAATATCGTATAAAATTATTTTACATTTTATAAATAGTTATGAAAGCTGTTAACGATATAACAAGATTCGATAGTTTAGTTTTAATATTACTCGTCTTTAAGGTATATTCACAATTAATTAAAAGCTTATTACTTATATCATCGTTACACTAATAAACTATCGCTATTAAAAAAGTTATAATAAAAGTTCGAAAATTAAAAATATAACGATAAATAAGCGAAACGCTCGATATATAAAACGGTTTAAATACGTTAAGCACTTTTAACTTTTTTTTATAATTAAAAGTTTAAATGTTTCAAGAAAATAAAAGCTGGAAAAGACTTTATAAGTTAATAACATAAAACGGTGAAACGTGTATTATTTAAATCAACGATAAATTCGTTAAATTTAAAATAATTATCGTAAAGCCTTATCACTACGATAAAATTACGTATATTTCGATTAAATTTAAATTTAAAAGTAAATTAAAGGATAAAAACGATTTAAATAAATACGTTTTAAAGTAAGTATTAAAACGAGATTTAAAACTACGCGTATTTAAAAGAAAATAAGGACGTCCTTATGGTAATAAAAATAAGTTAAAGGAGAATATTATTAATATAACTTAAAAAGAAGTTATCGATAAATAATTATCGATATAACTTTATAATAAAGGTAAGATTATTATATTAAGATAATTATTTAAAACTTTTAATGTTTAAGAAATTAAAGGCTTAATTAAATAAGGCGTATTTTTATTTAAAAAATATAATTATATTAAATATGATAATATTTAAATATTTAATTCACAAATTATTTATGAAATTAAAGGTAAAGTAATGGATAATTTATATAAGAAATTAAGACTTATTATTTAAGGATATAATGACGTGGGAAAACGAGTGATATTAACTTAATTATTAACGATTTAACAAGTAAGTTAATAAGTGATTACAGCTTTTATTTTTACGTTATTATAAAAAAATATAATTATTTAATTATGTGACGTTACGTAAGTATATATATAATTTAATACGTTTTTTAATTGTAAGTTTTTAGCATGATTATTTATTGAATTTATTTTAAAATATTTAAAAGGTATTATTATAGTAATTTTTAAACCGGTTTATAAAATTATTAAAGCCGGAATATATTAATAAGTTATTTACTTTAAGTATTATTAAAAACGATTTAATATAAAAACCTTAACTTATAACTTTTATTTATTTATTATGAAATTAAATAAATGTTTTAATTTAATTAATATATAAATTAATAACATTTTTAATGTTTTCGATAAATAATTTAACCGTTTTAAAAACGAAGAATTAAAAAAAGTTAAGCTTTTAACTAAGCTTAAAACTTACCTTATTGATAAAAAACCTTTAATTTTTAATAGTTATATTTTATTTAAAAATATAAACGGATTATTATATTTACGTTAAAAAAAGTAAGGAAAGAAAATTATTTTTATTAAAAAGTTTATTAACGATATTACTTAATAATATATCCGATAAAAAGCTTATAACGTTTATATTATTATCATATGTTAATTAAAAATAACTTATAATATATTTAAGGTAATATAACATAAAAAGCTTAGGAAGGACGAGATTATTTAATTAAATAATAGATTTTAATAATAACTTAAGAACTTAAATAAAGGATTTTAATACGTTTTTTTTAATTTCTTAAATGTTAAACTATTTTTATTTATAAACGAATTCTTTGCGAATAATAAAAACTTAAGCTCGTAAATAAGTTATATAATTATTTTTAAAAACGAATTAACGAATAACGACGCGATAAACAACAAATTTTTCAAGGTAAAGGGTAATTTAATATATTAAAGTTCGATAAAATGTTAAAAAGTTATTAAAAGTGTTTTTACTAATAAAATATACGCGATAATTTATAATATTAATATAAAAATTACTTTTAACGAAACCTTTATAATAATTTTAAACTAATAAAGCATTTTATTAACGGTTTTAATCGTGGTTTATATTAACTTTTTTTTTTATATAAATGCTTAATTAAATTAGGTATTATTAAAGAAAAAAGGTTAATAATTAATATTATATTATTACGTTAATTATACAAATGCCGGGAAATTATAAAGATTTAATAAATTTAAGGAAAGGATAATTTAACTAATATTATAATTAAAATAAAGGCTAATAAAGCATTAAAGACATTTATTAATATTAATTATTTTACGTTACAATTATAAGGATAGGTTAAAAAAAGTTAATATATTAAAATAAAAATGGGAATAAAGTGATAAACGAAAATAATAAACATAAGAAAAGAAAAAATAACTAATGTGGGAATTATAAGAAATAATTACGTGACCCATATAATTTATGCTTATATTTATAACTTATTTTAATAAAAAAAGAATTTTCGATTTTTTCTATCTTATTTAATAACTTTAATTATATTTATGATTTTAACCTTTTATTTATAACCTATCGTGATCATGGAATTATCTTATCTGTTTTAATAGATAAGCATGGGAAGTTTAATTTATAATATGTATTAAAACTAATGAAATATAACTAGCGTAATCACATGCATGGTGTTAGATAAGGCTCTTTTCCCTTGTTAGGTAGGTTAGGTTTTGGTTGCAATTATGTAACCTAGGTGATTTTGCTATCTTATCAGAATGTTCAAGTTGTCTGTCATTGAGGGGCACCCCGCCTTCCGTAACCCATTTCTGCCTAACGTACTGCGTACTACTGCGTGGATGTATGGATGTATTGTACAATACATACAGTACCTAGTAGCACCTACCATAGCTCTTTTAGCGCTAAGACACAACATGAAAGCCCTGTTACATACCAAGTTACCGGTTCAATTAAAGTTGTTGGTGGCGCCTGAAGTGTACCTATATTATCAAGCTTTACATAGAAGGTGACAGAACTTTTATTCAATATTCATTGTGAATTGAAGAGCGCCGTTGACGCTACGTACCTACGCACTGACCTAATGTCGAAATCCATCAACGGTCAAGTAAGTGCCTTCAACATTGAATGTTCCACATGTGCAGATGCACATCCAACATTGAGTACCTATGTAATTGAGTACCTAATTGAGTACCTAATTGTTACCAGGGGACAATTTCTTACCTAGTACCTAAACAGCAGTTAGTTACCTACCTACCTACTTCAACAACGGTCGAACAACCTTGCCTTCAAACATTCAATGTTCCCGACGTTTACGCAAATGCGCATAAGTTGTATGCGCAGACACCGGATTTATAACCAACTCTACCACTGACTACATCAGCCTGTCTTGACAGCGCATTTTGTTCTCACTTTCACCTCCATCGCCATCCTAACTCTCTTTGCCAACTACCCCCGGCGCCTCTATTCCTCTTCGTCCGCTACCTTGTAGTCATTACGTCAAGTTCAACGGCTCACAACCTCCTGCCTACCAACCTACCTACACAACCTCGTAATAACTACACCATGTCGATTTGCACAACGTGACAAAGAAAGAGCACCATCTGCTACACATATTCGACGGCATCCCTAGCTAGTTTGATGAAATAATCAGCCAGCACTCGAATTTGACTCGCGTATTGGAACAGCAGTCTAGGATTCGAGTGTTCAATATGTTTCCAACATTTACCGGCACTTCGAGGCGGCCTCGGAATGTCAACTTAAGCGGCCAGCGAACCACAAACCCTTGGGGTACTTCGAGTTGGTCTCCCTCTGCTTCCGGTGCCTCCAAGACCGTTGCACAAGCTCAAGCCGAACGTGAAAAAAGGCAGAGGGAACGTGACGAGCTTAACGCCGCCAAGAGACTCCAGAGAGTATGGAGACGCCACAGGGAAATACAAAGTTTCAAGCACATTTGCCGAGAAGATTTTGATGCTTTATATAGCCAACCTAATACCAGTTGTCATTCAACTCGAATTGCCAATGCTTTGCCCCTCCTAGTCGTACTCTTCGATCCAGCACGAACGGAAGACCAGCAACGTCTAGATCTGTTCATTGGGAATCTCACCATCTTGGGATCAAATTCCTCGAATTTTGACGTAGTTACTCCAGAGTCCTGGGACCGGCTGGCACGCCTGCTTGTAGAAGCTTTGGAAAGGTACGTACATGCTCGATGCTATGAATACTGGTCACATATCATATATCATTTACTCATACATCCCTTGTTTAATAGTCGCTCAGCTATTTCATCCCAAGAAATTCTCGGCATTTTGATCGATCTTGTCAGAAGAAGACCAACTTCTATCCTTCCAATCTCGAGTCGATATTATCAACTCCTGTCCAGATACTTTGAGCAAAGTAGTCACGTGGGTGTTCCAGCCAAGCTACAAGAAATTCTTACAGATGCGGTCACTGTGCCTTTGGTATCAAATTCTCGACAAGGTCAGTACATATATTATTCACAGCCTAGCGAGGTCCAAATCATCATAGGCACTGAGGGTGGGCAACGCGGCGTTCGCTTTGACTTCCACTCTCTCTACATTTTTCATAAAGTGCATAGCTAACAACTTATAGAACCACATACCCGTAAAGCATATCAAGCGTTTGCATTCTCTTTCTTAACTTCCTCAGGCCTACGATTCTTTCAACAGAATCCTCAACAGATCGCATGTTTGGTAGACCTCGAAGAATTATCCCAGAGTGTGATCGACGTCTACTCAGAACGAGAACACATCACCACGATATCAAAGAATGGCTCTTTATGGCTCCTGGCCCATTTCATCGCCTTGAACAGAGCAGCTCCTACTTCACAGGGATCCAAATATCTTGAAGCACTCTACCTCCAGTTGTCTATTCTTGTGGACGATATTCGAATACGATATAGCCGGCATAGCAGCGCCGATGAAGCTAATAATGATGACGATAAAGAGCTCATCAAACGTGAGGATGAGAACGATGATTCCACTCCTTTTGCTACTTGGATCCTTAATCAACTTGATTTCCTCGTAGATGAAGACGGCATTTCGGAACTTCTGAGCCGATTTACCTCGTTAGTATTTCTTGGAAGCCCGAGACATTGTACACATATGCTAACATGATATAGAACGGCGCTGTCTCCTGGCCGTCTCTCTGAGGATGCAAGTCTCCTTGCTGGTTATACATTAGTATTGTTGAGATGCTTCCCCAGCCATAGTGATGACATCAAGATGCGCCTTTTCCAGGGTGACATTTCCACGATTGACACGTTAACTGCTACCTCAACACCATCTGTCAAGTATTTCTGGAAAGCTGCTTCAAATACTGATATTTTCAAGAATATTGCGCATCCCAAAGCCCAACAGCAGCCTAACTTGGTTGTGACGCTTCTCCGTCCAGATCCTGCAGGCCATCAAGAGTGGCGGACCATATTACTATTCCTTGAACTATACAACTTTCTTCTAAGAGTCACTGATGACGAAGATTTCCTACCCGCAGAGAGCCAGATCTCATCAGAGCAGAGCCCTGCAACTTTACGAATACGTTCAAGCAGTCTTAATCTGAACGAGTTAAAGCAATTGATCAACTTCCTCAAAAGTCTATCATTCCCATTATATTATAATCTACCTGCCATCATGCCGTCAACCTCAAGGCCACCTCGGTTGAACAGTCTTATGGGCATCAGCTCCACAGGAACAAATACGCAAGAGGAAGAAGCCAAGACGGGGCAGTCATCATTCGCTGGCATCATTGGGATGGATGTTTTGAGCTTGAGGAGCGCGTCAACAACTACTATACGGTCATTATACGAAAGAGACTCTCGTCGACATTTTCTCCCCAAGGACTTCTGGTTGATGACCTCGAAGTTTGACATGGATGGTTTTATCTCGGCCGTTGTCTTAGAAGAGCAGCAAAAAGACCAAATAGAGGAAGATGAGGGAGATGAGGATGCTTCAGATACCTCAGATGAGGAAGGGCTTGATACTTTCCATACCTTCACAGGACAACGCCTATCGCGCGCAGCACAGATAGAGAAACGTCGTCGTTTGCGAAGAGTTCAGCGCGAACAATTGTTAGCCCAAGTTGGGCCAAAGTTAGAAATTCTCCGCAACATGCCATTCGTCATTCCCTTCGAGGTTAGAGTACAAATATTCCGTCAATTCGTATACCTTGACAAGTCTAAGCGTCGAGGAGGCCATGTTGATCCAGATCGATGGCGTCTATCGGTGATATCAGGAGAAGGTGGGTTTAATAACCCTTCAGCACGAGGGAGGGATATACTTGGTCGTCATTCGGCTCGGGTCAAGCGCGGAAGGGTATTCGATGACGCGTACGAGCAATTCTATTCGCTTGGTGAGGGACTGAAGGAACCCATTCAGATAGCGTTTGTTGATCAGTTCAACCAGCTTGAAGCTGGAATCGATGGCGGCGGTGTTACGAAAGAATTTCTCATCAGCGTCACCGACGAAGCTTTCAAGCCTGGCTCGGCCGGTCACAACCTCTTCGTTACCAATAGTCAAAACCTACTATACCCGAATCCAACTGTGTTTGATGACCTCGCCGAGGCCCTCCGCTATATGGGGTATTCAGAAGGCGATGCTAAGTGGAAAGAGAACGTGACAGATCTTGCTAAACGTTACGAGTTCCTCGGTCGGGTGGTAGGAAAGTGCATGTACGAGGGCATCCTGATTGACAAGGCCTTTGCAGGTTTCTTTCTCCTGAAGTGGTCAGTGTCAGGGCAAGGCTCGCTGACGGACTACCGTGCAAACCTGAATGACTTGCGAGATCTAGATCCAGAACTTTATCAGGGTTTGATCAGTCTCAAGAATTACCCAGGAGAAGTAATTGATCTTTCACTAGATTTCACCATCACAGACCAGATCTCGGGGCCTCTAGGCGAGGAACGCACGCTCACTCGGCCTCTCTGCAAAAATGGTGCAGATATTCCCGTCACCAACACGAATCGCCCCCTATACATTTCATATGTCACGAATCATCGACTCGTAGCGCAGCCCTATAGACAGACTAAGGCTTTCCTTAAAGGCCTCGGGTCTATTATCAATCCCGCTTGGCTTTCGATGTTTAACCAATCCGAGCTCCAGCGGCTCGTTGGTGGTGATAGCTCGGAGATTGACATTAACGACCTACGTCAAAACACTCAATATTCAGGTCTATATGCCCTTGGAGATGACGGCCTAGAACATCCGACTATCTTGATGTTCTGGCAGGTTATGCAGGAATTCCAAGACTCGGAGCGCAGAGAAGTGCTCAAGTACGTCACATCGACACCGCGAGCACCGTTGCTAGGTTTCTCGCAGCTCAGCCCCCATTTCAGTATTAGAGATGGCGGAACCGACGAAGAAAGGTTGCCTAGCACTAGTACATGTGTCAATCTCCTCAAGTTACCACGCTACACCTCAAAAGAGACGCTGAAAAGTAAGCTTCTCTACGCTATTCAATCGGGGGCTGGTTTCGATCTAAGCTAGAGGACGGTCGCAGCGGTTTGTCGTATGGCAATGCTCAAGATTAACGACAGAAGCTAATACCATGTTATCAATCTTGTCCTTTGGCCGAAAACATCTGCATCCCATTGTTTACACGGCTTATTTCCCCGATAACCTCTGACATCGCGGTCGTATACCTAGGCAGGCTACTTACGGTAGTAACACATAATAACGCAATGGCCTAGGAAATAAGATAATGATAAGCCTCTCGCTCGTCAAATATGTTGATGCTGAATTTAATGTAGAGGCACATGGGCAATGGATGACAGAGGCTGATGAAGTTAAGCAAGGCATACTGCTGCTTTCTGGGACGAAGAGTGGGATTTTGAGCATTATGAACACCTGCACTAGCCGCTATAAAACGGTCTAATAAAATGAATGAATGAAGTAAACGCTGGTTAATAGATGTAGGCTCTATAAAAGCTTCCGGGGATCTCCTTGGTATAAATATTAAACTAAATCACTCCCCTCTAATGAAGTACACGATAGTATCGCATAGCTACTACTGTAGGTATGTTTAAGTTCCATCCTGTAGTTTACCTACTTAGGGTAGTCTACAATGCAACATTCGGTTGTTCCTGTTGCCCCTTTTCTAAATTTCACGCCTTTCACTAGGTATGTAGGTACGAATCGTTCGTAGGTACCGTACCTATCATAAGGTAGGTACATGATTTTTGTTCTAGAATATTGGATTTTAGCTTGAGCTTTTCATGTGCCTTCTATAGTCAGGGCATTAGCGCTTTTGTAGTTTCTCTTAGCCTCGAGTTCAAGAAAGCGAGAACAGGCTAGAACGTGATAGGCTGTGAGACTATAATAGTGTAATGTTTTTCTATTCTTAGGTCCCATTACCCCATTACCTATCATAACTCATGAATCTAGACACCTAACAGTTATTAAGTCGATGTCGGGTATCCCTTCTAGATAGTATACCGGAAGTCGGCAAGATCATCGATAACCTTCTTTCCTTCATCTGCGCGCTTATTCTCCCACCTTAGAAGGAGTATGGATATGCATGCAGCGACGACAGCTGCTATGCATATAGCCATCACAGCGATGATGCCAGGAATATAATCAGGGGCATCCTGTATTACAATTAGCGACTATTTTTATGGAAGCTTAGGTACCTAGGTAATGACGGGCTTTTGTTTACGAACCTGTTGTCGGAAGACCAGCGACGAATAAATGCCACCAAGCCCACTGATCGTGATCATGACGGCCGTGGCACAGGCGCGCTTGGCATCGCCACGAAGATTGTTGGCCTGCCAAGCCAGCGTAGTCACCACAAGCCCATTGACACCTGCTTCGCCTAAGAACGTCCCGATATACCTCGGCACGGGATCTTTAAGGAAGCCAGTCATGCATAGACCGACAATAGCGACAACGCCTTGCAAAATGACGAACGGTCCCCGTAGACGCAGCTTATCCGCGAGCCAAGAAACGACCAGGCCCTCTACGACGGAGAAGAGGGCCGGCGGGGCTGAAAGGACAAATGCTAGCTCTTGCGAGTAGCCCATGCCGTTCTTGAGGATGATGGGCAGGAAGAAGAGGAAAGCGTAGACACCGACGGCGCCTGCCGAGTACATCAGCGCAAAGGACCAGACCTTCCAGTCGGTGAGGGTGTCGACGAAGATGGCCCAGGTGACCCTGCCGCGCTCCTCGGAGCCGCGGTCCTCGGCGAGGCGCACCCTGACGAACGCGCTCTCCTCCGCCGAGAGGAAGGTGTTGCGGTCGGAGTCGGGGAAGTCGACGATGACGAACCAGGCCAGGACGGCGGCGGCGCAGGTGACGACGCCCTCGACGATGTAGATCCAGCGCCACCCCTTGTAGCTCGTGCGCGTCTTCGAGATCTGGATCAGCGCGAGCGCGAACACGTTGGCGAAGGCGGAGAGCGCGGACCCCGTCATGAAGAAGACGGCGAGGCGCTGCTGCACCTCGTACCGCCGGTACCAGGAGGAGATGAGGTAGACGCAGCCCGGGTAGAAGCCGGCCTCGAAGGCGCCGAGGAGGGCCCGCAGCACGGCGAGCCCGACCCAGTGGTCTAGGAAGCCGATGCCCATGGAGACGAGCCCCCAGGCGAAGGCGATGGCGGCGAGCCAGTTGGCGGCGCCGACGCGGTGGATCACCATGTTGCTCGGCAGCTCGAAGAGCATGTAGCCGATGAAGAAGACGAGCAGGGCGACGGAGGCGCGGTTGCCGACGGCGAGCCCGACGTCCTCGTCGAGCCCCGAGATGCGCGCTACCGAGATGTTGCTCCGGTCGACCATGGCGATCGTGTACAGCGCGCCGAGGATGGGCAGCAGTCTTACGTCGACTTTGCGCAGGACCCGCTTCTCGAATTTGGAGTCGTGGCCGCCGCCGCCGCCGCCGCGGCGCTCGCCTGCGTCCTCCGCAGATGGGGTGGCATCGTCAGCTTTCTCGTGGAGCGAGATGGACGGCTCCTTCTCGGCCATGGTTCGAAGGGGTGTGCTGTTTAGAACATGGGAGGATCAGCGATCAGCAGCGATTAGTGATAGGAAGAAGAAGATGAGGAAGATGAAGAGAATAGGAAGGTAAAGAAGAAAACCCAGAACAAAGTACAAAAGTGTCTGCCTGCCTGCCTACCCTAGGTCGGTACCTATCAACAATTGGACCAGCTGATTTCTCATTACCAATTCCAATTCCTCGGCCTTGATATAAGGCGATATAATGCCACTAAGCCGGGTAAGTTTGTGTGAAGGATGCGGAGAAAGATGCTATATTGGACTGTAGCGGGGGTATGGGTTTGTGGGGTAATAGCTGGGGTAAAGGGGGCACGGCTACCTACGTAGGCACATATCTGCCCTACCCAGGTAGTATTTTAACAGATCAACGATGATCTCCAAAGCTATATATTGGATATTTAATGATTGATGTTAATCATAAAGGTTGTTGAACTTAAGAATAGTTTAAATGTGAGCTTGACTATACTTTGCACGTATGTGTATAACTACCTACTATACCGTGCATGTAAATAGGAGGTAGTCTGATCATGCCGAATAGATGGCACATCCAACTACACCACACAATAAATTCATCCCAGCATTCAACTCATCCCAGCTCATCTCTCCCTTCCCTTCTTCTCGTTGGGTGCTAAGCTAATTCACGCCTAATAATGAACAGTGCACTTGTACGCCTTGCCTAACCCCACCCCCTTTTGTTAGCCTTATAAGTTCTCTTCTCTGCTAGACACATATAAACAGGTACTTACCACACCGCTCCATCCAATCCCTCACACAATGCTCGTCGCGGGTTGGGCACTGGATGTTGACCCCCGACTTAGGGTCGTTGATGCAGTTCATCGCCTTCTCGTACGCCTCCGGGTTGGGGCAGTCCATGCTTCGGCTCTGGAGCAGAGGGCTGGTAGTGGGAATGGCGATGGCAGCGGTTGCGCCGGCGAGGAGGGAGAGGAGGATGTTTTGGATCTGCATGTTGGGGGGGGTTTGGAAAGGAGTGAAGTCCGAATGACTAAGTGTCTTTGATGAATGGATGGACGTATGTTCTCTTGGACACACTCGGTTAGTATTAGAGATTAGATTCTTGGTGAAGGACTCTGATGTCTGGAGAAGCAATGGAACAATAACCATGGTATAGGTAGCGAGAAGCACTCCTTTATGCTTTTATGTTATTCCCAGTCTTTGATTGTATCCATAGGTCCCGCCGCCTCCTGAGATTAGATGCACTGGGGTCATAGCACCACCCAAGGATCCCGCCCCTAGAGAACTGAGGCTATCAAAGGTACACACTTAACTAGTTGTTGACAAAAAGGGATAGCGCACCAAACGCTTATCCCATTCCCATGTAACTATAATCCTGGAGAGATGGAAGAGAATGCCGGTACTCGAAAATGAACCTTACCGAGGTGGATTTGTTGCGCCATTCCATCCATCCATCCTACAAAGCAGAGGAGAGGAATCAAGGACCAGAATTCCATGTTCTCGCCGCCGCCGCAAAGGAAATTATACTAAGAGATTTCGAAAGCATCTATTATGTACTTATTAGTTAACTAGTGCCCAAGTGATGTGTTTTTGGCGCTTGGCACATCCGACAGAACGGGAAGAAAAGGGGAAATACCCACTATCAGGATGACAGCCCCCAAAGGAGGCAAGCTATAAAAGAAATTGATTGCGGCACGGTGAATTATTACGCTTACAGTTCCCCATGTTCTCTCTATTTACTAGTTGTGCTTACACGTATACGCAACTAGTATACCTACAGGCGGGAAGAAAAGCATCAGACGCGTAATGTTCCTCTCGTCGCTATACTGACACTTTGCTAGGTATCACGGTACAGAGGAGCCTTTCCCTGATGCTATACACTTCACACTGCACCAGAAATCAATAACTTTTTCAATGTTCCCATCTAAACTATGAGAGCATCAAGCCCATTTGATTAGCGGTGTGGCTTTCTTGAAAAGTGTAGGCTAGGTAGGCATTGAGATCTGAGTTCGTCGGCTGACATGAAGTGGCTCGAGGCTAGCAAGATGCCAACTAGGAGAATCGATGATGATGTTGCGTACAAAGCTCGATCTATCTTACAGTACCTATAAGTATAACGGCTTACAGCCTTCCTAACAACCTTCCTTCGTCTGCATCTTTAGACGAAACGCAGCCTTGCGCGAACAGTCTCCCCCATTGACGATACTAGTGCATGCGTAAGTAGTTAAGTAGGAATGCCCAACTCACGAATTTCTTGCCCTTGAATTTCATATATTCCCACCTCAGCGACAACCTCCTTCCTTTGCCTAGTTCCTGTGCCTTCTTTCTCCTTTCCCTAATTTTTTTCCGAAAGCTTCAATTCCTTGGCTCTCACGAGTACGTTGCGATAGAGACACCACATGCCCAGGCCCCTAGTTGCCATTTCCAACTCAGCGTTGTATAGTGCATGACACATTGGGGAATAGTGTTCTAAATCCATCCCGCCCCCTTTTCTTGGGACCCTTTTGAGGCTATATCGTTAATGAGCAGGGTTCAAGTCAAATACTCCATCACTGTAAGTCCTGCTGTTACTGGGGAAATATTTTTCGGTTTCTTGATACCACGGAGCCAGGGACCCCTATTCAAGAGGTACATAATGGCGATCTGTCAGTTTGTGCCGCTACGCCAAAATAAAAGATGAATAGATTATCTCTCGTTAATTATCTTTGCTTTATGTCAGTATTCTTAGCACACCCCTTTAGGTTTCGATGCATAGCACCGAAAGCTGAAAAGCTTCTTCTTCCGTTATCTGTCTTTTTAGGATTATCTGCGCACCTAGCGGGCAGCGGCATCTGAGTTCATTTTACTCAAACGGATCCAAACGACTCAGTCTTAATTGCCTTTAGCTTATGTCAGTATATCTAACGCGAACGGCTCTGAAGGGCGCCTGTGTCCTTAGGCTGGTAAGTAGTTCACCGTTGCCAATGTGATCGATCAGAAAGTAATCGCTTATTCCAACACCAACATTGAAGCTATTGTCAGTCAATAACTTTACTAGATAATACCTACGTAGAAACTGATTGGACATCGGACGAGGTGTTTCGAGTTGAAAGAAAGCAGACAGATCCACTTGATGGCCCCCTGTGTACATTCTTCGGCCCACGAGTTTACATCCTAGGATCATAACAGCTCTATAAACAACATTGAGTAGCACAAGGTACATCAAGGAGGTACTAGCCTACCTAGGTGCTGATGAGTTCCATGAACCGTAGTGCCTTCGGTTCAACTTGTGCGGCGCATGTTGGGGTGATCGATTACCCATTCACACACCCGCTCCCTTTACTGAATGTAAGCGAAAAGAGAGTTTGCTTATAAATATTCTTGTCAAACAGAAGTGAAGCGGTGTTGATGAAATCAACCAATGGAATAAATAATAGAAAATATTTGTAAGATCACTGGTATGGTTGGGCAACTATAAAAAGCGTCATGGAAGCCTGAAGCCTCGAAGTGATGAATAAAATTCCTAACGACCTAGCTAGAGAGAATCAATCCATGTGATGCAAGGAACTGAACTACCTCCCTAAAACAAGTTTAAACCCCGACTCGTCATCTATAGCAAAAGGAGATTTTGGCGGAATTCTTAAATCGCCCAACCCACAAGAACAGCATTATAGCATTGTAATTTTCATAATGTGTTGCCACAGGGCGAAATAGTTTGACGATTAACCGTAGACGAGCTTGAAGATGTCATTGTGGACGTAGTATTGGGGATTGCCGTTGATGTTCTCGGGGACCAGGTAGAATGACTGAGTGTAGCTCATGGGCCGCTGCTCTTCGTCGACCTAATCAACAGTTAGGTTAGCATGTATGCCATCATGAAGGGTGAATGATAAAATGATAGGCAGACGAACAAGAAGTTGGCCAGTGACAAGAACCATGATGTGGTTCTCACCAACACCGGGCTGAAGGTCCATGGTGGCGACCTGGTGCTTAATCTGCTGGAAGGGCAGGCCCTGGAAGTTCATGTTAGCGATTGCTTTTACATGAAGAATCTGATGTGATGGTTATCATACTGTCAACTTCTCGAGAATGGATTGGGTTCCCTTAAACGAAGCTGACTCGAAGGTCAACATGGAAGCATCTCGCTAGACAGTAAATATTAGCATTAACAAGAACAAGGATAGGTGGGCAATAAGACGCGTACGTATAGAGAGGACAGTCCGGTTCGGTCTTGGTCGAACTGGTTGTAGTAGTATTGCACGAACATAGCTAGATAGGTGGGCGCATGTTAGCAAGACAGCGAAGGTGTTGAGGGGTTGTGGTCGAAGGCGTAAGCACAAGCCGGATCAAGCTCGTCAATAGGTATCACATACTCGCGATGTTGATGAGTTCTATTCATCTGTTAGAATCTGAAAGCCAAAAGTAGTCAAACTGCCTTGATGTGTTGGGCAGTAATATGCGACGCGGCGCAGAAGGTGCCTCACCTGCAGACATCTTGAAGGGAGAGGCTTATGCCTTGTGAAAGATGCAAAGATTGATGATTGTTGAAGGGGTTTCGGGTACAAAGAGTAACGGATATAGACGTTACGCGTCGATAGATATTTATGAACACTTAATCTTTCGATCTCGAAAGACAAAGATTTTGTTGTTGTTGTGATTCAGGTAAGATAAAAAGATGAATGAAGTGAGGCCATTCGGGTTGGAGGGGCAAAAGGAAAGAAACAATCTCCACTTTATTTATGCGTGCTAAATTTGTTTTTTTGACCGCCCGCTTTGGGCTGGCGGGGTAACTCTTTTTCAGAGGCTGTTCCTACCTAATCACACACACAATACACACAGTCCAGATCGTCTGGCTTTTTTTTATATTGTACCTTTTTTTATGGCCAATCAAATTGGGTCCGGCGATTAGGGGTGGAGATATTGCTATCAGTTGATTATGTAAACGTAGGTAATTGAGTGACGTCGTTGGAATTTGTTAGCTTGGGAAGTCATGTACTTATTACGTCTGTGCTTTTTTTTTTTTTTCCTTGTTTATCATAAATTCGTGAATTCGTGAATACCCTCAGACATTTCACAACTATTCTCAATGAATTCAACATGTAAATTTATAAAATCTTGGAATTCTCATTGTTTCGTCTCGGGTACTAAAGAACCTGCAAATTCATTGATCTTCATGAAATCATGAATCTACCTAGGTACCTATTCACCTAGGTTAGACATACATCGGAGTACTCTTAAAATAACACTTGCTTGGTATTTATTTGAATCGGGAGAACGAGACCATCATCTCCACCCCTTCATCCATTTACCACCTAGGTAGCGTTACCTAGGTATACTCACTTTAGTGCTACTACCTAGGTAGGTAGTTACTACTCTAGCCATGGAACTCAATACTGTTCCCACGGAGAATGCACAAAATGGTGTCCTCCTGGAAACTGGGTTCTCGCGTCTTCTGAGGCGTCGCAGCACCAATGCAAGGCATCATGTCCGCGAACCTTCAGTAGACTCCCTAGACAGGATCTTTGATACTCGTACTGAGTCCCAGGTTCCACGCCTTCCTGTCGTCGAGAAAGTCATGACCTCGGAAGACAGACACTACGCTAACAATTCTTATGGCATCGCTGAGCTACGAGATGGCTTCTTTGATGCTATCTTCCTCCCGCCCGAGGAGGTTAACGTCCAGGACCTTATGACCCAGGCTGAGCAGACTCTTCCGTATGCTTTTCGGAAGAAAGACCCGTTATCCATACACAACTTTTTACCTAAGCAATGGCACGAGATCAAGGGAGTTGTTCGTCGCGTCGGCACTACGAGGGCTGGTATCAGGCTACTCAAGTCTTTCCTTGCTTTCTTCATCGCATATATCCTCTGTCTTTTCGCTCCTGTCCAGGACAGGCTCGGTCGTTATAGTTATATCATGGTAATCTCGACCATGATTAATCATCCCAGCAGGACTTTAGGAGCCCAGGTTGATGGTACCATTCTTACGATACTGGGCACAGCTACGGGACTAGGTTGGGGAGCTTTTGGTCTTTGGGTATCTACCGCTTCATCAACCGCACGAGTCGGTTACGGCGGTGTTCTCGCCGTCTTTCTCTTCTTATACATTTTTGTTATTGCATGTCTTCGTTCTTACTATATTCGCACCTACCAGGCTGTAATCTGTGCTGGGATTGCAATCTCGTATACTTGCCTAGCAGAAGTATCTGGGAAAGAGGTTTCCTGGTCTAAACTCCTCGCTTATGGTATACCTTGGGTTCTTGGGCAAGCTATTTCTCTCGTCATATGTTGCACTGTGTTCCCTGATGCTGGTGCCCGTCCACTAGCTGTAGCTCTTCATCAATCTTTCGGTGTTATGCTGGTAAGTTCTCTGAGCCGACTCTGAAACAAAACGACTGACTGTTCTTCAGGATGGTCTCGGTTTGACGAGGCAGGAAAGTATGAGGGTTCGGCGAAGGCTGACGCAGACATTTGTCAGCATGTCACAGGCGTATAGAGATCTAGTAATCGACTTCTCCATTACACTTTTTGACCCAAAAGACGTGTTGGCGCTGCGTAATCTCATTCAAGGCGTTATCCGGGCATTACTCAGCCTTAATAGCGAAACGAGAATTCTGGATCGGCTTGGAGATGAATCAGTTAGTAAATCAAGTCATGACCGATCTGTGCTGGAAGAATTCATTGTGGATATGGACGAGAAAGTACACATGCCAGAAACTGAAGAGATAAAGTTGGCGAAATTCGTTGCGAACAATTTGGCCGAGCCAACAGAAAGGCTTCTTGCATCTATGAAAATTGCCCTGCAAAGTTGCGACGCTGTCCTGATGGAAATGTGTGGTCATCGCCAATATCTTGGCCCTCCGAAGGACGTATCAAACGATATTCCTGGGTCGCTTGTGAAGCTGCGTAAGCGCATCATGGCTTTTAGTAACTGTCAAGACAGCATACTTGCGAGCGATCGGCTACCCCCTATGTATGCAGAATCTCCTGAGGTCGTTAAACTTTTCGCGTACTGCCGCCCAGTTCACCAAGCGGCGACGTCGATCGAGGCCCTCCTAGTAAAAGTAAACGGGATGGAACAGAGAAAACCAAAGCACCCCACGTTTCATCCATCATCCTACACCTTTTGGAAAGCAGTACATCGCACCAATGCCCAAGTTCGACACGATCGAGGTGGCGTAACTGCAGGCTCTTACTTCAAAAGCTTCAACGACATAGCAGTGATGATCCAAAAGATCAAATCTCGAGACTTCCAGCCATTGCCGAAAAATGATGATGATGGCAGCACATGCCAAAGTCACGATGCTTCGTATGCCACAATGACAGCTGAGGATCTCGAGGACGAATGGAGCATGGAAAAGAACCACACGCGACGTAATGTCTGGCTATTTCTTCATCGATTGCAAGGCTTCGAAACACGATTTGGTCTCAAAACTGCTGCGATTACTTCGGTATTATCCATCCCGGCATGGATTTCTCAATATCATTCCTGGTGGGATAGTTATGAGGCTTGGTGGGCAGTCGTTATGGCGTGGCTCATAATGGGACCCCGGTGAGTTACCCCCTTCAAGGTTACTCAATCTGATTTACCTTCTGACTTCCATAGAACTGGTGGTAATATTCAGGACCTGTTCACACGAGTTCTATGTGCCGTCCTTGGGTCTCTTTGGGCTGGTCTGTCATATGCAGCTGGAAATGGGAACCGATACGTCATTGCAATATTCGCCGTTATTTTCATGCTACCTATGATCTATAGGTACACGCAAAGTACGCACCCGGTAAGGCGCACCAAATCCTGTAGGCATAAGAAGGTTCTGACGTGTCACAGAGGTCTGGGCTTGTGGGCTGCGTTTCATTCACGGTTGTCTCTCTTGCGGAAGTTGCCGCGGAAGGCAGGCCATCTCCAGCTACAGTTGCGGCATCGCATGGTACCGCCATGGTTATCGGTGTAGTGGCATCAATAATCGTGAATTGGGTGTTATGGCCATTTGTTGCTCGCCATGATCTGCGAAAAGCAGTGGCTGCCATGCTGTTTTACACTAGCATTGTCTATCGGAGTAAGTCAAATTCATGAGATGATTTTCATGCCTTCTTCTAATAGGACCTCAGGTATTGTGTCTAGATATGTATACTACGAGGAAGGACATGAACCTACCCAAGAAGATATACAAGCTTCGGAGATACTCGAAGGACGTTTGCGAGAAGGGTTTGTAAGGTTAAGGCAACTTTTGGTATGGTAGCCACCTCTTTCGTCGATCGAAGAACTCTGCACCTAACAAGAAGCTAGGGTCTTACACGCCACGAGATACGTCTTCGAGCCCCTTTCGATCCTCTGCCCTATTCGGCACTGATTGACGCTTGTGAGCGGTTTTTCGAGTATACAGTCACAGCCCGCCAGGCATCTTTGTTTTACCATCCACATTTCATTAGAGACAACACCGAATTCGCCGCAGACTTACTGGGTCATCGAAGAGATGCGATTGCGACTATCTTGACCAATCTTTACGTCCTCTCTGGAGCCCTACGCGCCAACAGAAAAGTGCCTGTAAGCCCTTCAAGAAACTTGGTAGAATCATTTCGACCGTTTTATTGATGACATATTTGGCAGAGATATCTTCCAAGTGCTGCCGCAACTCGCAAGCAGCTACTAGATCGAATGAGGGTGCTCGAGTCCGAACTCGAAGCTAGCGGGCGGCTGAACGCCGACGAGAAATCAGAAGGGAAGAAATGGGCGCAGATCTACAGCCACTCATATAATGAGAGCTTGACAGGCTGCGTTGAACAGTTGGAAGAGCTGGAGAAATACACCAAGGTTATTGTTGGTGAACAAGGGTTAGTTGGTTCATCCATATGCCGGTGATGAAAAACAACTGACTGAAATCTGTTAGATTCGACTGTGCTTTCACGGATGGTGAATTATTAAAGGGTTGAGTAATACTTCTACGTGTACTCCAAGTCTCCCTTAAAAGATTATGAGGCAGGTAGTTCTGCCACGCAATGTGTTCCTATGTTTTTATGCACTAGGTACTAATCAGCAAATTCCTATCTAAAGACATGTTATTCAGGTCGGGAGACGATGTTAACGGTCGATGCTTTATGAATTGAGAAGGCCTCGTGAGATTTAGATGACTAGGCAGCCAAGGAAATGATTATACGAATACTATACGAATTTTGCGACGGGAATCACTTACTGTTCTTTACGAAGGTCATCACCAAAGTCTGATTTTTTTTAATTAATTATTTTTGGGAGATATAGGAACTGTTATATCAGACTTGCCCGTAACTTCGTAATGGCTAGCGTCAGCACGTTCCTGATTGATTGGTTAGTTCTAATTCAAGAGGCCAAACCGGTTCGTTTCCACTTTGGCCATTGCCAACTATCTCTTTAAGAGAGGAATTCCTTCTCTACTAGGTGCCCACGAGGTACCCAGGGTAGGGTTTTCTCATTTTAAATCTAGTATATAGGCACGTGTTGCAAGCACGTGTTACCTGGAACAACAGATATAGCTAATGTGTAGATGTATTAGCGACGGTGGAGTGAGATCTAGCTCGCTAGGTTCGTCGGAGCTTGGCGTCTAGATTTTGCTAGCATCATGTATCTAAGCTAGGTAGGGCGACGTATCTATATTAAGATGAAGTGTGAATGCGCTGTGCTGATCATTCGTGGGGTGGCTTTGAAGTCAGATTTTGGTATTTCTTTTTAAACATCCCCATCGTCAGTGAGTAAGATATTCTCTCAAGCCAAGTTTTTTTTCATGTAGCTAAACCTTACACTCATTTCAGACATGTTGGCTACTTTACTCGTCGTCGTTCTTTCTCTAACCCCTGCCTGCCTGGGCTGGGACTGGGGCAAGAGTGGGAAATGGGATCATAAACAAGGGCTGTCATACTATGGCGAGAAGACTACGATTAATTATACGACTATTCCTGGATTCTTCCAGCAAGACGATCCGGCTACAGACCCCAAGAGTTTCGATTACGTATGGCCCAACTTCGAGGCTGCAAGCCAATAAGTATAATGACCACCACTAATCATAAATGCCTGGATAGACTAAAGCCAACTACGGTCTCATTAATCGAACATATCCGACAGATACCCAGTATGATCCTAAGGGAAAGAGGACTCAATGGGAACGGTTAGCATACTACGTCAACTCGTTGAACAAAAGCTGCGATAAGAATACTCAGTACAAGGTCCTGTTCATGGCCCGCCATGGAGAGGGTTTCCATAACGCAGCAGAAAGCTACTATGGCACGCCAGCATGGAACGTAAGCTTACAGCCCATGCATTATAACTACGCACCGAACAGCAGCTTACCAAATGCCTAACGTAAAGTGTTATTGGGGCCTACGAGAAGGCAACGGCACCACGGTCTGGAGAGACGCTCGCCTCACCGAAGCCGGCAAGGCCCAATGCACCAAGGCCAACACCTTCTGGAAGCACGCGCTGTCCGTTGAAAAGATCCCCGCCCCGCAGTCCTACTACAGCAGCCCGCTGATCCGCTCCGCCACCACCGCGAACCTCACCTTCTCCGGCCTCGACCTGCCCCGCAACGCGCCGTTCGCGCCCGTCGTCAAGGAGTTCCTGCGCGAGGGCATCTCCATGCGCACCTGCGACGAGCGCTCCAACCGCACCTATCTCCAATCACAGCTCCCGCCCGTCTTCCGGTTCGAAAACGGCTTCGCCGAGGATGACAGGCTGTGGAAGGGGTACGAGGGCGAGACGGCCGCGGCGCAGCTGCTGCGCACGAAGACGGTGCTGGACGATATCTTTAGCACTGACGATAGCACGTGGATCAGCATCACGAGCCACTCCGGCCAGATCCGCGAGAACCTGCTGGTCCTCGGACATATCCCGTTTGGATTGTCGACGGGGCAGGCGCTGCCGGCGCTGGTCAAAGCGGTGAGTGTGAAGGTAGGCGGGGGGCAGGGCGCGACGACGACGACGGTGGCGTCGTGGGCGGCGGAGGCGACGTGTGCGGGGCCGCCGGTTACGAGTGTGGCGGGCACGGGGTGTGTTTGCTCGGCGACGAGCTCGGGGGTGCTGGGTTCGGCTACGGCTGCTGCTGCGGCTACGAGTTCGGTGTAAAGATGTATGTCAAATAGTATGTCAATGGTAATAGATTCTCCGCATTAGCCAGTACCTATCCATGGGTAAATATCAATAAAAGAAATAAAAGGGATGGTCCCGCTTAGGTAATCTGTCGAAAGCTTTCTTACTCCAGGGCTGTGTTTCTGTGAAATACATCCATCCAATGTCCCCCATGTTCAGGGGTTTGGGGGCGCGTCCCGTTGGTGGATGGCGGTATAGTATAAATCCTCCGGGTGTGACACTCAACCACATGGCTTTTTTGGGGGGCGAGGGGTTGCAAGTAAGAAAAATCTAGACCATTCCATTGCCACGCAGATGGCACTGCGGGAATTCCTGGGACAGAGGCAGAGGCTCACTGGGAAAATGCTACCACCGAGCTGGTACCGTGCTTACCTACATATAATCCTGATCTGGGCCTTGGCAAACCACCTCCTTGGAGCGCAATATCGATTAGTCATAGTATAGGTAGTAGGTAGCGTAAGGCTATAGGATTTTCTTGCCGGTGACCTGTCGACTGCCGACATTTGAATCCTCTAATGATTACATAGGATTATGACTGCATGACTAAACTCATGGAAATCCCACCAGTCGCTTCTGGCACCGGCTCTTAGGTATGGAGCTGCGCATCTTAACTTCTGACCCGCCTTTGCAGGAATTTCAAAATGTATAGGTAGACTGTTGGAGGTGAAGTAACCGGGTAGGCAAGTCTGTAGCATCCTATATGCCGATACATGGGGAGATTATCTGTAAGATGCTCCGATCGAGGAAATAGTACTTGGGGATTGTGTATATTCAGGGGCAAATGAAAGGTACCAAAACCAACACTTCACACACAAAATGACGCCTTTCTTTCCCCAAATGTCTCTGCAAGTGTCAAGGGAAATAAAAATTAACTCCGTCAGCCAAGAACCTTTATAGAGAGGTGGCTGCCTCATCCATTCCCATCAACGTATCCGTAGATACCTAGGTCATGTCATACTAAGTTGTCATACTACCTAGGTACCTTTGACCTAGAGACAGCATGAAGCTCTCTTCAGCTTCGATACTCCTTGCCCTTTTCGCAAGTGCAAAAAGCGCCAATTTTGCCTTCGAGCGCGATCAACTCACCGAGGCCGACGTCGGTGATTTCTCTGCCATAGCCTTCGGGAACGCATCGACGGCAGCAGCTCCTCCCCCCGCCGACGAATGCAAAGCGTCCCCGGGAACAGCCGCATGGCCCCTCGACGAAGAGTGGGCGCAGCTGAACATCTCGCTAGGCGGCGCCCTAATCAGGGGCGTGCCGCCCGCGGCAGTATGCTACGACGGGCTGTTCAAGGACGAGGCCGCGTGCGCGTTTCTCGTGCGGAATACTAGCTCGACAAGGTTCTATATCAACGATCCGGTCACGGTGTTGAGCGAGTGGCCGGAGGGGGACACGTGCCACGCGACGCTGCAGCCGCTGGAGGGGGAGAGCTGCTCGCAGGGGGCGTTTCCGGAGTATGTGGTTAATGCTACAAGCGTGAGGCAGGTGCAGGTTGCGGTTAATTTTGCGAGGAATAGGAATGTGCGGTTGATTATTAAGTGAGTGATACTGTATAGGGGCTATGGAAGTACTTATCTTTCTTGCTAATACACCACGATAGGAATACTGGACATGATTTCATCGGCCGGTCGATCGGCTTCGGAAGTCTTAGCATCTGGACACACTGGCTAAAAGACTTTGAGTTCCTCCCGGAGTACCAGGTGGGCGCGTACACGGGGAGAGCGGCGCGGGTTGGCGCGGGCATCGAGAGCTGGGAGATGTTCCAGTACATGGACCAATACAACATGACAGCCGTGGTCGCGGGGGGCTACACTGTCGGGGCCTACGGCGGCTGGGTGGCTGGAGGTGGACACTCCGCGCTGGCGTCGAAGTACGGACTTGGTGCTGATCAGCCGTTGTCGATTCAGGTCGTGACAGCTGACGGACAGTTCGTCACCGCTGACCCAGAGCAGAATACGGATTTGTTCTATGCGTTGCGCGGAGGTGGAGGGAGTAAGCGCATTTATTTCTTCCCATTTTCTGGCTCGTTTTCATAACGCTATATATATATCAGGGTTACTAACAGCAAATACAGGTACTTTCGGTGTTGTGACATCGGCAGTGGTTAAGGTTCATCCGCCTACTACTGTCCTTTCCTCCTCTCTATCGTTTTCCGTGAGCGGCTCCAATTCACCCTCGCCCGATGGCGTGGAAAGGTTCTGGACAGGCTTCGACCTGTACCATGATTTTGGCAGAACGATTGTTGATAATGGCGGTACTGCATGGTGAGTTAAGAAACGTCATGCTCCATGGTGCCACAATTTCATCCCAAGTCAGGGGTTTTCATCCCATTAATCCTTGAAAGCTAACATCCTGGCAGTATGTTATGATACCTTATTCTCATCAACTTACTCGGATGAATCTACACACACACGAATCTTCAGTTCGTTGCTTGGAATGTTAACTTGGAGACTCTTAGATAGTTACGTGTCACGTCTGTCTGGCAACAACAGCTTCAGTTTTCGCACAGACATCGAGCTACCCGACGTATCCTCAACCTCCCTCTCTGCTTTCGTGCAGCCACTTGTGGACGACCTTCAAGCAATCGGCCTCGCCGTGACAAGCGGACGGCCACAGCCCGCATCAAACTGGGGCGCAGGCGGGCTCGGCACCGGCGACCGACCAGGAAGCTCCCGATTCGGCAGCCGGCTACTGCCGTACGCCAACTTTGAGGAACCTACCTTGTTCGCAGCGACGCAGAGCGCCATCCGCAAGTCCATAGAGGCGGGCTACACGTTCCATGGCATCCACCTCAAGCCGACGGAGGCCGTGGCTGGGTACCCGGGGAACAACGCGGCGAACCCGGCGTTCCGCAAGGCCATAATGCACGCGGACCTGTTCGACTCCGTCGCGCTGAGGGGCCTGTCCGCCGACGCGTTCGCGCAGACGCACCAGGCGCTCGCGACAAGCCTCGATGGGTGGCGCGAGGTGAGCCCGGGGGCGGGGGCGTATATGAATGAGTGTGACCTGCTGGAGCCGGACTGGCAGCAGGCGTTCTTTGGGAGCAACTATGAGAGGCTACTGGAAATCAAGAGAGCTAGGGATCCGTGGGGCGTATTCTATGCTCCTGGCACGGTGGGGAGTGAGGCGTGGGTTGTGAGGACTGAGGATGGGCTGCCGACACAGAATGGTCCGTTGTGTAGGGCACATTGAAGTTGTACAGTGTATACTGTGTAGTACTATATCCATACAGTACGTAGTGACTAAAGTTAAGGTTATGTAAGTTGTTACTAACTTCAATGTTAGTATCTTGTTTTTTTTTGTGTGTGAGCTCATCATCATTGATTGTGGCTGCCCAGTGCCAACTAAGCTTCGGACGGGTACGTGCTTTAGTGAGCCAATAAGGAAGGTGGCTTGCTTTCGCCAAGGCAGGCATATTCTGCAGCCCTTGCAAGGCTATCACATCAGATCTCACCTCATATCATCATCTTATTGGTTTGTTCTTTATAGAGTGGATCCCTTTCAGTACCCCCCATTAGGTACGACAGTACAACACAACATTGAAATGGAAAGGCCAGAAGAGGGTCCAAGCTTTCTACATACATAGTAGTCACTGGTAGGGATTATTCATTCAATCTTCATTCAATCTTCATGTCCACCAAAAATCAACATCCAATTCATTATCCATTCATTCATCCAACCCCAAACCCGCCCGCAACGATACATCACTTTTAACGCAGCGCAGCGAAACAACAATTTCTCTGCCTATTTCTCTCTACCTACCCATTTCTTTAATTTTAAAACTGGTGTCTTAAAGAATTGTCTCACAAGGATTTCTTACACTTTCTTTTTTTGTCGTCAAGACCCAAGACGATAAGATAGTACCTTACATACATAGTACACTGTACCCTGTTATTACCTACATCGATTGTAGTACTATTAGTTACCTACTACCACGGTTGTATATTACCCGAGTTTCTACCTACAGGCTACAACACAGTACACATACCTACTAACCTAAGGTTAGGTTACTAGGTAGGTCTGGTAGGTTGGTAGTTATTAACCAGTCGTCCAATCCAACTAAAACCTGACAGTCAGCCTTTTCGCACCAGGTCCCAACTAAAAATCAACACCATTCAATCCCACAACGAAACATTTATACCTGCTTTCCCTGGGTCAGTCCATCTTCCACCTAGGCTCATGACATCCATGCCCCGATCGTCCGTGAGCCTGCGACTACCCTCACCCACCACATATAACCATAACCTGCGAGTACCGTACCTGTCGCCCTTGATAGGCACCCTTGCCTGAATCGTGATACTGCCGAGAGGGGCTCTGCAGTAGGGGAATCGCAACTTCACTTTTCTCTCTCCTCTTCTTCCCTTCTTCCCTTCTTCCCCTTCTCACTTCACTTCCCTTTCCATACACCAGACCACCACCCTCATGGTCCCCCCACCGCCGTCTCACTCACGAACTGGAACTTTCTCTCCTGTTCCTGCGCAGAGTTTGCAGACAGGGCTCACTCATTCTCCCCACCCATCACAGACCGGTCCTTTGAGTGCTGGCGCGAGTCCCAGTACTAACAGTCCGACCACGGGGTCCAGCTCCCTCACGAAAATAGTTGTCGCCCAGGTCTATCTCTTACTGAGTACCATCAAGGAGGACAAGGACCGCGCTAAGTGGGAGTTGCAAGTAGATCAACTTAGGAAGGTATATATATACATATAGTCCAGCCCTTCCTTTGCTAACCTCAGGAATACATACTAACATGTTTAATCCACAGCTCCTCGATGACCACGACATGGAGGTCTTTTCTAGATACTTCACCCGGTTGGTAGCCGGCAATGCACCACAAATATTTCCTGGCATCAACCGGCCTGTTGCCAATCCCGGCAACTATTCACTACTTGCGGAGGAGATGGCTAAGATCTCTCATGATCTTGAACAAGCCTCTAGGATAGCCGAATCGATCGAGACGGCCAACGAAGACATATTTCGCGACTTCGATTTATCTACCTTTATGGAGCACTTCAAGCTCGACGCTCTAGAAAAGACGATCCTAGCTCTAGCATTCAAGTTCGGGTCTCGCCAGGATCTGAAGACGAAGGGTATGTATTCGCCAGTGTTCTCGTCGGATACTGGCTCTGTTCGTAGGCTAACCATATCACTTGCTAAAGCGGACGCGATCCTATCGACCAACTTCCCAACCTTCGTAAACATAATTTCGCGAGCCGATTATGGCGATCACTCCGACCTCACCCCGTCCTTCATTGCCACCATCGTCGATCGATATATCCAGGGCCACCCGCCCAATTTCAACTCAGCCGCTAAGCACGAGCTAAGCCATAAGGTTCAGTCACGATGGTTGCAACAAGATCAAGCACCCCCGATGGAGGTGTTGGCCGCTTTAGATCTTATCAGAGTCTTAGGTCAAAGGCCGCCCAATGCGCTAGCCCTTTACATACAGAGGACTGGTACCGATTTTACCCGCGATGAAGAAACCTGCTTGTCCTACCTTCAAAATAGGCCAGCCAATATCCAGCTAAGTGAAGAACAGGTGTCCGCGGCTCTAACGTACACGACGGTGAGTATTACACATCGCCACAATCCCTCTGTACTGGTCGCGGCCCTTCGCCGTATACTACCATCTACCTTTGGTTGGCATGACGTGGTTGCCTACTTTGACCAGCGAGACGTGCGTGTGTCATCGGCACAGTTCTTACGACTATACGAAGCCCTCCTACCTATCGCGCAGGCACAGGATGACCAGTCCTCCTCGTTCAGCATCCAGAGTCTATGGGGAGGGTCTCATTGGGAAAATCCAGAGACCCAGCTATCATTCATCTGTGCGTTTGCGTCCTTGAGTCCAAACGAACTAGATGCAAGCACCATCCCTGGCCTTCAACCGACATTTACTATTGACGAATACGCAAACTCTCCCCCCGAAGTCCGCGAACGAGCAGCAATCGCCGTAAAACACCCTCTCGTTTCGGGCCTAGCTTTATCCGCAATATTCCAGGTCGCGCTTCATTCCCTACATGCATCGCAGAGCACGGAGGCAAAACGGCTATTTCAAGAGGTGGTTGTTCCTAATCTTGACATCTTCATCGTGTCCGCTTTCGGGGTCCCTAAGCCGTGGCCACCCATGGCTGTCGAGACTTTGGCATCGCTTTTTGATAACTTCCTTCACCGACGTTCCGAATATCACGACTTCGTGCTAGGCAGCCTGTGGAGAAAAGACAGGGAGTGGGTTACGGAAAGGCTGGTCGACGCTCACGCCATGAAGCCAATGGATCTCACCCTCATATTTGAGCATGTCATCAAGCACGGATGGCTGGACGAACTAGTCTACTTACCAAACGGATTTGGGTACGATCTTGCCGCTCTCGCGCATGCTGAAGGCCAGCTCGATCTCTCTCAATGGGCCCACAATAACGCCGAGCGTAGTCCCACGATCTCGCAGTCTTTGTTGCAGTTCCTGATGATCAAGGCAAATTTAGAGGTGCAGTCTCAAAAGTCAACGGCTGATGGTCAGCCCGTGCCGAAGACCACCACGCCTCTTCATATTAAAACCGTGCTAGCTATGCTTCAGATTCTCGAGGACTTTTTGCCTAGGAATCCCTTGCCCGAGCTGATCATAGTTCAACGCGCTTGTATCACTGCGTACCCCCGACTCATCAACTATGGGGACGAAGAATATGATGCCATCATTGATGCCAACGGCAAAGATGGAAATGGACTGCCTGCTGCCGCCATCGCTAAAATGGAAGAACATTATAAGAGAATGTACGGTGAGGAGACAGAGGTCAAGTACATTGTCCAGAGCTTAGAGGAGTATAAGCGATCGCGAGACCCGCTAGATCAAGACATATTTGCCTGCATGATTCATGGTCTTTTCGATGAATACTCTCACTTTGTGGACTACCCCCTTGAGGCCCTCGCTACCACCGCTGTCCTGTTTGGAGGGATAATATCACACAGCCTAATTTCGGAGTTGCCTCTCAAGATTGGCCTTGGAATGATTCTCGAAGCTGTTAGGGACTATGGCATTGATAACTCCATGTACAAGTTCGGACTTCAGGCACTCATTCAGATATTTCCTCGATTCAGAGAATGGCCGGGATTCTGCAAGCAACTTCTACAGATTCCCGCTTTACGCAGCACTGACGCCTATAGGAAGGCCGAAGAAGTCGTGCTAGAAGACGAGGAAGATCGGGCGCGTACGCAGAACGGTACAACGACTCCTAACCACGTTGTAAACGAACCAGCAGCAGTGCCGCCGCCACTGCCACTCATGAACGGGGCCGCGGACGTCGCAGAGCCTCATGTTACTCCCTTCACAGCGATAAATGTTGACCCGCCGCCTCCGGGAGTTTTCTTTGAGGATCCTGTTGAGGATGTGCAGGACAGAGTTCAGTTTGGCCTCAACAATCTAACGACATCGTCGCTTCAGACAACCTTCAAGGAAATCCACGAGGTCTTGGAAGGGCGACATCAGCAGTGGTTCGCCAGCCACCTTATTGAAGAGCGAGCTCGAATGCAGCCCAATTTCCATTCGGTCTATCTCGAGCTTGTAAAGCTCTTTCAGAACCAGGATCTAATGTCTGAGGTGTTGAGGCAAACTTATATTAGCGTTGCCCGCATGCTGAATTCGGAGAGCACGATGCAAAATTCGACGGATAGAACCCATTTGAAATATTTGGGCGCATGGCTTGGCCTCGTGACTATAGCGAGGGATCAGCCAATCAAGCATAAGAATATTGCCTTCAAGCAGTTGCTCATTGAGGCTCATGATACGAAGCGACTGGTTGTAGTTGTACCCTTTGTCTGCAAAGTGCTGATACAGGCTGCCAAGTCAACGATCTTCCGTCCTCCCAACCCGTGGTTAATGGACATCATTCACCTTCTCATTGAACTTTACCATCATGCCGAACTAAAGCTCAACCAAAAATTCGAAATCGAGGTTCTTTGTAAAGATCTTAATCTGGACCATAAGAGCATTGAGCCATCTAGCGAGCTCCAGGACCGTCTGCCAGTTGAGGAGGTTCTTGATATAGCAGCTCAAGATCCTATGGAGCATTTTGAGAATATGTCCTTGAACGGAATAGCAGCCGCGGTTCCTGCTGGCCTCACGCCACATCCTATTCCAGTCTCAATCCCGGATATCAGTGCTCTTTTATCGATTCCTCCTACCAATGAGATGGTCGTTAACAGCGCTCGTCTTCATGAAATTGTTCGTACTGCCGTGACCAAGGCGCTCCAAGATATCATTCAGCCAGTGGTCGACAGATCCGTTACGATCGCAGCGATAAGCACCCAGCAGATGATCCACAAGGACTTCGCAACTGAACCTGACGAGAACAAGCTTCGAACGTCTGCGATTAACATGGTCAAGGCAACAGCGGGAAGCCTTGCACAGGTTACTTCGAAGGAGCCTCTTCGAGCTAACATTACTAACTACATGCGTGGTGCCGCAACTGAACTCCCTCATTCATTGCCCGAGGGCACAATAATAATGTGTGTCAACTCGAATCTCGACCTCGCATGCAGCGTAATCGAGAAGCAAGCCGAGGAGCGTGCCGTACCAGAAATTGAAGAGATGATAGAAGCTGAATTGGAGGCGCGGCGACGTCATCGCATACAGCGATCTAACGAGCCTTACGTGGATCCTAGTCTAAGCCGATGGGCCATGACTATCCCTCATCCATACAAACTCTCCCCTAACCTCGCTGGGTTGAACTCGGAGCAAATGGCCATCTATGAGGATTTCGCGAGACAGCCACGGGGCGCAACCCAGGCCAGCGCAACCCATGCCGCCTCGGCTTCTGATGCGACTCGGAACATCGCCAATGAGGTTCTGCAAGATCAGTACAGCTCTATCCCGAGTCTTGCGACTCCGGCAGAGACCCCGTCCCTGCCTCAGCTCAATTCCCAATTGCCCTACTCTCATGTGCATGCTGGAATGGCTAACGGCCGTCCCGCAACCCATCCAATGGATGGACGAGGACTTATGGAAAAGGTTGAGAGGCTCTTATCAGAACTCAAACGTACCACTACATCAACCGATGAGGAGCACTTTGCCGATCTCCCTAGATCGCATCCGGTCTTAGAAGTTGTCGACGTATTCACGCAACTTATTATCAATACGTCACAGAGCTCGGACGAGTTTGCGTTCTACGCTGTTGAGAAAATCTCTCACCTACTCTTCAGCGGCGCAGATAACACGTTATTCTTAGAAAGTCTCGTTCATATCCTAGAGCAACTTCTGAAAATTGCTGCCAGCTCCGGTACTGCTCTCCATGATCGTGTACAACTTAACTTTTACCAGCAGCCACCTCAGAATATCCTGAATATTTCCCTGATAACCGCACTACTCCCAACTGATTTCCTCGATCTACACAGCATTGACGGGATGATGGCGAAGATGCTGGCGCAGAGGGAGGAAGGATACCTAGAACTGTTTGCGAAATTGTTGGACTTGACCTTGTTCAACGAGCGCCCTGTCGCACTTTTCGCGGACTTTGTTCGCAGCCTGGAGTTGGCATGGGAATGGATCAACGAAGACCCAAGCCTCGAAGTAGGCCAAAGACTCAAGTCCAAATTCATCGGTTCTGGATTGATCAAGCCGCAGAGCCAGGATGTCTTAGAGGATGGTGAACGACTGGACCAGTTCGAATATGTCTTGGAGGAATGGATCCGCCTATACAATAACTACAACACTCCGGAGAAAGCTCACATTGCTTTTGTGAAGCAAGTCCGTAGCAAGGGTATCATTGGGAGCAAGGACGACTTCCTTGTCTTCGTACGGAGAGGGATCGATGCGTCGGTCAACTACTTCGAACAGATCATACATGCCGGAGGCACCAACACTGAAGCATTCACCACTGTGGATGCCCTCGTTAAGTTGATCACTACTTTCGCCAAGGAAAGCGCTGCTGAACACGATGACCCTAAAGAAGGACTTCTCTCCACACTAATCACTGTCGTGTCGTTATTTGCGGTCGTTCTTAACCACCATCACGTAACACGAGGCGAGCAGTTCAATCAGAGGGTTTTCTGCCGCCTCTTCTCCATGCTAATGCATGGTGTTGATGGGATCTTTGTAGACAACCCGAGCCTCGATTCCTGCAGACAAGATTTCCTGCTTCGACTTGCCGATACGTTCTTACAACTAAACCCAGAACGTTTCCCAGGCTTCGCCTTTGCGTGGCTCTCCCTTATAGGACATCGACGTTTTGCGCCTGATATACTTCTACTCGAGTCGAAGCGCGGCTGGTCTCCCTACACCAAGCTCCTAAAGTCTCTTTTGAGACATGTCTCAGAGCACATGAAGGCCATCGATGTCACTGATGTCGTTAAGGAGTATTACCGTGCAGTAGTGAAGCTCTTGGTGGTCCTGGCACATGACTTTCTAGACTACATCTCAGCCAATGCAACTCAGCTGTGTATGAGCATATCACCTCACTGTACTCAGCTGAGAAATATCGTCCTCAATTGTGGCCCAAGGTCAGAAGCAGTGGACTCGGCCCCTCAAAACCCTCAAGCAGGCGAGGATTCCAGTTTGGTGTACGTGAGAGAACTAGGAATGTTAGAAATCCTCGAGCAGCTCATGCAGGCTCCCCCATCTGAGGATGCGATTGCGCACTTTACGCATGCCATCAGCAAGAGCAACACGACTGAGACAACATACGGCAATGTACCACTCGGTGTCGACCATAAGCTCATTGATGGCATCGTCACCTTCGTTGGTAACTACGCAGTCTCCCGGGTACGTCAGGAGAGACCAGTCTTCGTTCCTAATTCACCGGATGCGGCGACACTGTCACTTTTGGTCCACGAATTGGGGCCTCAGGCTCGATACTTTTTCTTGGGCAGCATTGTCGACCGCCTGCGCCACTTTAGCCCTATGACTGAGTACTTCAGCTACATAATCTTTGACCTCTTTAGTCAAGACATGAACGACCCAGAGGAAATCGATATTCGACAGCAAGTTGTTCGAGTCCTCCTAGAAAGGATTGCTGGCTTCTGGCCCCAGCCATGGGGACTTATGATGGTCATCATCGAGTTGGTAACGAAAGAAAAGTACCGCTTCTTCGACCAACCATTCATCAAGGCGGATCGCGACGTAAGTGATGCTTTTTTCTACCCACAACCAAGGATATCTAGCTAATTTCATACAGATCGCGGACCAGTTCTTAGCAATTGCCAGGCAGCACCCTCAGTAGTGGTAGTATGCTAGTTGGCATTTCCATAGCCCATAATAGCACCCTTGACAGTGGCTGAAAAAGTCATCATAACCGACCACCTCACTTTCCAACACGTACAGTTAGATAATCGATTTCGCAGCGGAACAGATGGGCTTTGGGTGCACGTGGGAGGGAAAAGGAGGGTCTTCGAGGACGTGTTACCATACTGGCGCAGAAATAAAAAGCAGGTGGTAGACGACCGTTTGATGAATGGCATTTCAGGGCGTCTACGGTGAATTCATGAACTTTGTATGATTGTGAAACTAGGCGTGGGAGAGCGCGGAAAGAGCGCGCATAGGGATTGCCATGGCAAGGATTTGACTTTCCGTTCGCTCCCGTAGCATGGCATATGTGTATCAATATATACAGGTAGACTACGACAGACACAGGTCTATCATAACGTTGATGGTGCTTTTCAATGACTTTTGTGAATGGAGATGTTGCTTCTTTCTGGTTCATGGCTGATATCCTTAATACGAGATATATGTTTTTGGGAAACTCTTTCATGCATATACCAGGTAGGCAAGGTGATCTATATAAGTAGTGTCAGCACTTTGAAGATGACTGTTAGTACTTGATAATTCAGTCTTTAAACATGAAATACACATGACTCTCGATGGCCTTGATGATGATGGCATATAACCTAGCAGATCATAAGATTCGGAAATCTTCAAAATAACAGACTCAATACCTATCTATGCATGCTGACTACTGACCTAGCAAGTGAGTAAAGCAGGGCTTATATATAGGTGCTAGTCAGACTACCGAGCCTATTCAAGAGAACAGAGGAGGGAAGGAGGGGTGTGACTCTTTTACCGGGGGTCTTGTAAGGGTTGCTGGCGCTCGGGGGCTTGCTGTAGATGTCGATGAGGGGGCCGGGGTCACGGGACTGCGTGTCCGCCTGTTGGCTAACCATGCCTAACCCCTAGGTAGGCACCTGATGTGTAGGTCCCCCCCCCCCTGAATATCAAAAGAAGGAGGCTATTTTCGTCAAGAATGGAAGGGAGTAGGTTAGGTGGTGGGTAGGTAGGTAGGTACTCACTTTATAGATACCGGGGATACTGACTGGCTTCTCCGTCACGTTGATCTGCGCACACTTCATCTAGGTAGGTATTTTCTCCCCGTGTCAGAATCTACCCAGGTAGGTATACAACGTTATCTGTACGTGTGAACGAGAACGAGAACGAGAACGAGAACGAGAACGACACCCACCCCCCGCCGCGCGCAAAAGGTACCGCCCCGTCCTCGAACGCACTCCGGGGCCCGGATCGCCTGATTGCCAACGGTGTCGGTGCCCCATTCGACGGTATCGCCGGCCTTCACGTCAACGACCTTGCTTGATGGCGTGGTCGGATCCGGGGCGCTGTTGCAGACTAGGTTGTTGTCGTTGACGTTGGCCTGTGGCTGTGGATTATGTTAGATATCCCAGAGATTTTTTCTCGTACTGCTAGGGAGATCTGCACTTACCCCATCGTACGTAGGCGCTCGTATCGCGTGGGATACGACTAGAAGTAGTATATTAACGTCTCTGTCCTCTTTTGAGAATGCATCTGGGGAATCCAGAAGAAAGGGGCTTACGGTATGTTTGCTCGGGAGTCTTCAGCTGGCAGAAAATGGTGTGACCTGAGGCTGTGGCAGCCATAATGGATGGCGATGGGACTAAGGTTGGAGAGCTTCATGATGATTACTTACCTAGGTAGGTACATATGTAGATAGATAGATAGATGCAGCTTGACTACAGTAAAATGAATACGCTGTTTACAAGAATCTTAGAGTAGATGGCCGGCCTGCTTCTAAGAGACCAGCGAAACCTCTCTCGTAAGGGACATATATATATTATATGTTTATAAAATCACAACCTCCTCACATTACTCTACTCCCTAAACCACCGCTAGGTATTCTATCACGCACGTATATTGTGCTTCCTATAGCACATACAATGTCATACATAGACTCATCGTTCGCATCGTATATCACTCACTGGCTTGGTAATAGGAGGCCCAGTTTACTTAGACGGGCTAGCGAATGAGGCATCGTGATGGGAGAAGCGAACGCGGCGCAAAGACTTCCGCTCGCCAATCAGGTATCTCACACGCATGGAGATACTATAAGAGCCGCATCACGTTGTTGGCTTGCTATTCGGCAAACGCTTAGCTGTGAGGAGGCTTCAGTTTACGGCCACAGACTTGTTATAGGTAAGTATATAGGCTACAAATCTTCGTCTTAAGAAGATAGAGCACATGTTTTTTCTATGATGGGAGTTTCTGTCTCCGCGTTAGGCAGAGGCTGCGTTGTGGGAATTCATATATTGCATTGACTTGTCCGATGATAGGGAGGCTTGTTATCGATCTCTTCCATCCGAGAATTGACCTGGTAAGTTTGTTGACTTTAATACGATGCACCAATGAAGATTGTCGATTTTGCAGTAACGTAGAAACTTGGACTTATGCAATTTGTAATTGAACAGGTTCATATTTTAGCAAGCCCTCTCAAGGCTGAACTTATTAGCATAGGTATTTTGACATTATGTGCTTAATTGAGGAATAGTCCTACGTCCTACTACTGCTATATAAGTATTGAGGCATACTACTAGACATGACAGTCACGTAAGAAGAAAACACAATGAACGAATTAATATATCCAAGGCTCGATAATCGCAATTCCAAATACTCTGGATTCTCGCTGTCGCTTCAATTCATATCGGGACATACGGAGTCAAGGTTTCGGAGTCATTAGAGTTTCCTGGATTGACGCGAGGCCAAATTCGCGCTTGGATAGTAGCAAGAGCTGAGGCTTAAACTAAGGCCGGCGACGTACGGACACAAGGCTTGGGGCTGATAGGCCTGCATCTGCCTACGTATGCAGTTATGGCTGTGGTGGAAGTCAAGGCTACGTCAAGTACGAGCTCTAGTCGCCAGTCTAGACCGGACTATGAATAGGTAGCTAGTACTTCCTGGGCCATGGCTCCGGCAGACAAAACAGCCCGGGTGTCTGGACACGGTATTATGAGGCAAACCGGCACGTGGATTTCGGTAGCATATTTCCGCGTACTCATCATGTTGGCTGATCAGATTAGGTAGGTAGAATATGTAAAAGACACACACACACAGTGTTGTTGAGACTCACACAAGTAGTACCAGTAGCCAACCGAGTGGGGTGCCATGTCATATAGACAGTCTCAAGACACACAAGAGGGGTCCATCACGGTGGCACGGTCTGGTCTATAGTAGACTAACCTAGGCGATATAGAGTACTGGGTACACTATAATATGTACGTGGGTACGTGTTATATAACAGACCTAGGTATGGTATGGTAGACCACATCTCAGCTCAATCGCCCCACACCCCAAAAGGAGTAGGACAACCAGAAGATCCCGTCGGCTTGCAGTGTCGATTTCCGAATAAGGGACTCTAGCTGTCATTTGGTTGGTTGGCGGGTCGATTGGTCGATTGGGTAATAAAAGTTGCTTGGAATATATTAACTGGGACAAACATTGGGGGTGGTCAGACAAAAGACAAAAGGCTCACAAGACTTTTAATCCTCCCCAGGTGTTCGGTTCGTAATATTGTTAGATATGAGTAGTCAATTACATACTTTACTTGGTACCTGCTAGGCAGGTAGGCAGCATTTCCCCAGATAAGACAGGTTCGTGATTTGGGTATGCGAGTCAGACAGACTGTCTACCTAGACTTAGTTCGGGTATACATAGATAGTAGATATGTACTACCTAGTATGTATCTAGATACATATTCGTATAACTTGAATGTGTAAGAACTTTGAAGGAAAAGAGGCAGACTGATGGATAGCAAAAATGAGGGGTTGGTTGGTATCAGCTATTTTTGTAAATTTTGTTGCTAGGGAGAGGTTAATAACCGTTCAATACTCAAGTTGTTAATGATGACCAAATAACTTTTCGTGCCCAGACAGGATTGACGGGAGATGGGCGTGATATCCAAATCTTGCAAGTTGCAACTACCAAGCATGTACCCAGTAACTTGAACATTAAAATGTAGCGAGGTACCGAGCTACAAGAGTACTAGGTAAAACTATCCAATCAAATGGCTCGCATTTGGGGAAGTTCCTCGCGTGAGGGAAACGTACGACTCGAGTCTCGATGTTACATAGTACATCTCGTTGCTTAAACGTCATGCAAGCTCCGCAAGTTTCAGATTGGTCCAGTCTTATCCACATTTAAAAAAGGGGCATACAAGAGGTTAACTGCGGCGCCAGCGGTACCTAGATGTACTTACCTAAAGGTATTGGCTGTAGTTCGCGGGAATCTTCCGGTCGTCGACCAGTTTGGGAAATTTGAAATCTTTACTATGGCATATGTAGTAGGTATGTAGCACGTTTTAACTGCTCTAACTGTTGTCTACTTAGCACTAGGCTACTAGCATGTATTGTGGTATAAGTGTGGTATAAGTGTCATGCAGGTCAGCTAACCCGCCTTCTGAGTCCTGACTGACTGCCTAGGTGTGCAACCATAATAAGCTGGAAGTGTTGCAATTGGCGGCACTTGATTTTAGTCGATGGGGAAAATTGAACTTCCATCATACTGTAATCCTGAATTCGCGAATGAAGGGTAGTGCGGAGAGTTTGATCGAAATAGATATTGCCATCCATGAATAAATAGGGTAGGTAGGTACTACAGGTAAGTAATATCGTTGGGAAGCATTGGTAGCAATGAAATATCTGTTAGGTATCAACGAGGTACATCCATACAAAAGTATCGTGGGATTGGTCAAGTTTTCTATGCATCATTATCCCTACTAGCGCCTTGCTAGTCCCGTTATCCACCCATTTAGCTCCGCACGCACCAAGCTGATTTTTTTTTTTTTCCCTCTATCAAATTCTTGTCCTTCTACAGAGTTTAACCTGCACGCTAGCTTCTAAGTACTCTAGCATTTTGTTGAATTTAACACATGCATGTATTTCTCTCAATGGTATATCGTGTTATGACATCTGATATTTCTGGTCTCCTGTTTTGTAGTGCATATAATAGAAGTATGGGCAACATCAAAATCGAAAACAACTAACTATTATTGAAGCAATGGGAGCCATAGCCTTTTTGACCACACCATCCATTCAATATGTCGAACTCAAGTCGACTTTGCTACTTTGGGGTTGTCCAACATGCACAATGCATTGCCTGCATAAGTACTCTCCTTACCGCCTCTTTGTTTTCTGGGTTTGTAACCCATGCCGCGAATCTCGGAAGTAAACCAAGTAAAAATCCAAGTAAACAGATCGTGCGAACATTGGATGTGCCACCGACACACGTATTTTAGTACATAATACACACATTATTATGTACAAACTTACTACAAAGTCGTCGTGATGGCAACCTCACACATTACATAACAAATGACTAGGGATAATTACTAGGTGAAAAAAGAACAAACTTATTACCCACTTTCCTCCATGTGGCAACCATTTGCGTAATGATGGATATTGGCTAGGGTACCTAGGGTATGTAATGATGAAAAAAGAAAAAAAAAAGAAAAAAAAAAAAGAGCAAAGTTCGGAAGCACGGACGAAGACCCCTAAAAAAAAGATTTCTGGTTGGTAGGCAAATGTGTCTAATGGTAACAAACCAGGATGGCCCAGACAAAATCTTTAGACTAGCCGTCGAATCCAAATTCAGGTCTGATTGGTTACGTGATACCTAACGGGGCAATAGATGTACAAGGGATGACCCTTGAATACAACGCTGGGGCCAAGAAGTACTTCTGCAATGACAGCCTTTCGCTTCAATTCTTGTGTGGGATTCGTAGCAAAAAGTGAAGAAAGTGTTCCGGTGCAGGTCCAACGCATGTCACTCTTCAGGTCACTCCAACTTATTTTTTTTTTAATATTTTTTTTTACCCTTCTCGTTTCCCCCTGTCTACTGCCTCGCCCGATGTGGGTACCTGTACCGTTTGTACCTCCCCTGCTCATCGTCCCTTGTCTGTCCCTCCATCACCCCCCAGTGCAAAGAGCATTCCTCAGTAACTTTTTTTTTTTTCGTCTTGTTAACTTGAATACCCCAATAACTAATACAAACATAACGCTTTTTCTCTACACCTTCTCGCCGCTGTCTTCTCTCCTCAGTCAGCCCAACCAAAGATCAACTCTTTACTTTTTATCTTTATCTTATTCGTTGGTTCATCATCATAGTTCGCGATCTTCGTTCACAGACCTCCCACCGCCTTTCCCTGGTCTGTCCCCTCCTCGCATCGTTGTCCCCCCGTTCTTCGGCCGCGCCCCATACAAGATCGCTGCCCCCCCTAACCATCTCTAATCCATATTCCTACTCCCCTGTCTCACTTTACATCACAACTCCTCTTGTTGCGGTTCTTCTTGTGAAATAGAACTACGGACTGCTTCGTGCTTTCGATACATGCAACATTCGACCATAGGATACCCAAATACCCAAATACACCTGCGCATTTATTAATATTATCCTACTGTATTTGCCTATCATGCCGTACAACACCCGTCGCAAATCATTGTCCTTGCCATCACTCGGAATCCACATCCCAGTAAATCGGTCTTCATCCAATAATTCCGGTATGGCAAGCTCTAAATCGTCTTCTGAAAGCTCATCGCATCCGAACAAGAAGCTTAAACGGTCTCACAATGACTCGGCCCAGTCTGCTGCTAGCTCTGTGCCTCTTTTTAAACAGCCCACCGCCTCTGCCAAGTATGATCACACACCACCACCCTCCCCTGGACTTCAGGTCTCTATTGAATTAGACGAAGGGCTTCCTGAGATCAGGAAAGTAGATCTAGAAGGCATAAACGATGAGATTGTGGAAGCTGTCATCGTGCGACTTGAGGAAACTCGTAATCGACCGCAGCTAGTAAAGGAGCTGGCCTCTGTCCTTATGGAGAATGTCAAAATCGTTCAACAGTGAGTCTAATCCAATGAACTTGAATGCACATATTCATCGTGTTCTAACGTTATTATCAGATCTGCCAACCCCTGCGCTATCATTTCCTCTCGATTGTCTACATATCTGAAACGATCTTGTTGGTCTGCAGTGGCCCCTTGTCCTTTGGCCAAAGAACTCGAGACCGTCCACCCGAGGCGCACATACTTCTTCCTAACAACGTGCCCTCGCCTACCTATCCCAGACCCCTCCACTGCTCGTGGTATCATCACACCGTCGTTGTCAAGCTCGGCTTCTGCGTCCGAGGAGGCTGATTGCGATCGGAGAAGAGAGCTTAGTTTGTCGCCTGAAGTCGATCTCTCTTCGCCTGAATTTGACGACATGGATGAGGACGTGCCGATGCCGGGTACTCCTATGGGATCAATATCAGGTAGCCACCGCTCTCTTAGTATGCCACGGAATCAAAGGGGTGACGAGCCCCCGCTAGAGAAGGATGAAAAAGAATTCACGCAAACAGCCGATGGATTGCAAAAGCGAAAGGCCAACGGACACCTGCTTCGGGCCGATCCCGTCGACCAAGTAACAATAGATGACGGCATGCAACATGAGCAGCTATTTGGCGAGCCTCCCAGGACTCTCGCCCCAAGTTTCCTACCGCACATGGCGTTCATGACTAGCCCTGCCATGCGACCCAGCTTGATAATACCGATGAAGAGAGATATGGAAGTTGAAAGTTGGACCAAATTCGACAACATCCTTGACTGGGATAGGAGTCCCGAGACAATTGAGCTTGACGAGCTTGACGGCTTACTTGATGATTTCTAAATGCTTAAATTTCTCATTTTTACATATTTTGTCCCTGTTGAGCGAGAGGCTGTCCATGCCACCGGCATGTGAATCGCCTTGTATGATGAATTAAGAGAGACGGCCTTGGCGAGGGGAAAATTGGAGTTCAATGATTTGGTGGGATGGCGGGATGGCGTTGGCTGGTGCATTGATTTGCCTATGCGCCCCGTTATTTCTCGTCAAAGTTTCGTTCGCATTTATTCCTCCCGATTTATCTGCTTATTTATCTCCGTTAGGGGTTTTGCGCATCTACTACTTTCTGAGAGCGGTACATCATTTGGAACAGTTGTATGATATAAGGCGCTTAGATGGCGGCAAGGGATGGCTGCATGATGACGGCCCGAGGAATGCACGACGAACTGAAACATCCAATTCCTGACGAATGAGATGAGAGACGGGAGTGGGTTCGAAGTCGTATCGACGTTGTTTACCGCCTGATGTCTCGCAACTATTATGGGAATTTACCTAGGTACATACACACATACCTGTATTAGTAGGATTTATTTCAACGAAGAAATAGCTAGAGAGAATTCAAAAAACTACTATGAGCTACACAGGTAGAGAGAGGATTTTAGAACTCAAAAAGCTAGATGCACCGCAGCGCAAATGGGGGGTGGTTCAAATATGATTTCAAAAAAAGGCAAAGGAAAATGGATCAAACAGCGTCTACTAGAAAAAAAAATTGAATGAGAAGAAATCCCCGATCAGAATTATGAACTTGATGCTTTTATCATTTACTACTGCTATCTAGTATGTGATTTGTCTCGTGAATTGCTAGATGAAGAGTGCAGGTTGATGCTGGTTGGGAGGGAAGTCGATGGGTACGAAGCAATAAGCTTGGATGTAACTAACCTAGTGTATTGCTTGCTGGGTCATGAAACATGAAAGTGGCATAATACATCAATGTTGGGCATATGTAACTAATCTCAGTGCTACATACAATGGAATGGAGCGGCTTGTGTACCTATACAAGACATCTAGTAATCACACACACACACACACACACACACACACACACACACACACATATATATATATATATACGGTCCCTCAGACCGGGTTGAGCCTGTCGGCATTTTCTTCGTAAACTTCATGCCGACCTCCCAGATCTTGACTCTGTACTTAGGTAGTAGATCAGGCCAATTATGAATCCTTCGGTTTCTTCTCGTCGCTGCTGGTGACCGACAGTATCGACGGCCACTGCCAGCCACTCTTCTTCTTCTTCTCCTCCTCTCCGTTCTCCTTGTTAGTCGCGGTGTTCGTTACAGGAGTAGTAAGCGGAGTAGGCGCAGAAGCAGAAACGGCGACTTTATTTTCGCCGTTGTTGGCAGGGGCGCCGCGCACGCGCATCTCGACGAGTATGTGGGTGCCGAGGGTGAGCCAGCCGGGGCGGTCGAAGCGGAGGACCTCGAGGCCGGGGACGGCGCGCTGGGCGGCGCGGACGATGAGGTCGACGTCGCGGTTCCACCAGCAGCCGAAGTGGGCGAAGTGGTCGCGCGCGCTGCGGTCCAGCAGGCCGTTCACGACCAGCTCCCACCAGCTGTCGCTGCGCCCGTGCTCGAGCAGCACGAGACGCCCCGTTTCCGGCTGGAGGGAGGAGGCGAGGTTGGCGAGGAGGGAGACGGGGTCCCGGACGCTGCAGATGCCGAAGGTTTGGAGGATCGTGTCGTATTTATGGGGGGTGGGAGATGGGGGGAGGGAAGGAGGAGAGGGGAGGGGGGATAGGGCGTCGGCTTTGAGGAGCCGGATGCGGTTGTTGGCCAGGGAGATGCCTTCGCCCGCGCCCGCGGTGCTGAGAGGAGATGAGGCGGCGAGGCTGGCGAAGGTGGGTTTCTTGGGGATCTGGTCGGCCATGTGGGGGACCACTTGCCGGATGCGCGTCAGTGCGAGATCGAGCATGGCGGGTGAGATGTCGAGGCCGGTGAAGCTGAGGATTGCGTTGTTGTCTTTAGGTGGAGGTGGAGGTTTTTGTGGTTGCGGACGTCGCGGCGGCGGTCCTAGGAGTTTCTTTTCTTCTGGCTTCGCCTCCTTCTTTTCCTCGGCCTCCACGCTTGGCCGGTCGCTCTTCAACCAGCTAAACCAGCCGGGCTTTTCTGCCCCCTGCGCGGGCTCGAGGCCCTTAGTCACGACGCTCCAGTCGTAGAAATCAAAGTTGCGGCCGGTGCCGACGGCGACTTCGAGCACGTGGCCACGGGCCATCTCGGAGGCGACGCGGCGCCGCAGTTTGGTGATGCCGATGCGCCATTCCGACTTGTCGAGGTGCTCGTCGAACTCGCGCGGGGACTGGATCGTCGACCGGCCCGTGGGCGCCTCCGGCTCTTGGCCGGGCGTCCAGTACTCCGCCGGGTGCGTCCGCCAGTAGTTCGTGACCGAGACGGCAAAGAGGCCTACGCAGGCTGCCGCGGCGCCGACTCCGAAGAGCGGGAACCAACGGTTGCGGACTAGCTCGGATATGGGCTGTTTGTTGTCTTCATATCCGCCCGAGGATGAGGATGAGGATGAGGATGATGACGAGGATGAAGATGAAGATGGGGATGAAGTTGAGGATGTAGACGTTGAAGGGATTAAGCGTGCGGGGGTACTTGGGCTGGGTTTCGATTTGATATTAGGGGCTTGCTTTGACTTAGCCGGTTTAGAAGGAGCTCCTTTCGGGACTACCGGCCGCTGTGGTTGCTGTGACGGCCCCTTAACTGTGGCGTATTGCCTATAACCCCTCTTGGGCCACCCGACAAGGCGGCGATTGCCACCTATCCTGCATTTGCGTGCAGCAGCCCTAGCGATGACAGCATGTACGCACCCTGGCCGCATCGTGATAACAGTTGACTAGTCCTGCGGCGGAACAATATCCTAGTTCTACGCTTGGCCACCAAAAGTCCTGTACACCTCCGCGCACAGATAGGCAGGTGAGAGTGAGGTAATGTAAGCTAGCCGATACGTAATGCGGCTATCGATCCATCATGTTCCCCAAGCTTACCTACCTAGACTACCAAAAACTCCGATCAACTGGCGGAGAATGAACCACTTGGATATGGTTCCCAGCCAACAGGGGCCAGATCTAGGAACAATGTGATCGGCGATGCCAATGACATCTACTGTCCTGTGTATGAGGTAGTGCACATAGATATGGAGTCGGTGACGCCAATATCAATGTAGATCGTGGTGAAAAAGGGGTTCGACCTAAGATCAAGTGATGAATCTCATTTTTTTTTTTTCAAGGATTTCATAGTTACATGGTGTAGTAACTAACTTAGCATAGTACATGTTATGGTATGATAAGTTGATAACCCGAAGTTTTGGAGAGGAATACAGTGCGGTGGAATTTGATACTATGCATTTAAACTGTATGTATTATGTATGCATCCCAGGATGTACATCGGTAGACACGGCAGATAACCTGCCAGCTGTCTCGCAGATGGCTTAAAGTTACATACGGGTTATTAAGATAAGTTAACCTAGGGTACAATAACTACCTTGTAAGCAGCTCAACGGAACGCGCTTTCCACGCGTCCACCTAATTCGAATGACGCATCTCCCAACTTTATTAAGCACATAACTCAATTTCAAGTCGGACACTGCATCTGCCATCTGCATCATTCCACTATACTCAGTGCTACATATGTATGTACTAGGTTACATGTAACGTACATCTACGTGACACGTCAATTGATTATTCCCACTATGGCGTCTCAACAGGACCTCCAAGACCTCATCCGACTTATGACGATTGGCATGAAAGTCCCGATGAAAGATGCCTTGGGTCGAGTCAAGTTATTACAAGGACAGAACCTTCGTAGGTATGTATATCTCAACATATGAGAACACTACCTACATAGACTATCTCTACCTATGACAAATATGTATCATATGGTATGTGATATAACATGGGATTAATTGTAAATAACTGGTGCAGTATTCAGCAGATAGCGGAGGGACCTCTCGCCGATGTTACTTCTGCTATCAAAGACGCCAAAGCTGCGCGATCACTCCATAATGCTTGCAAAGCTCGGATGAAGAACCCAGCTGGGCCATCTGCAGCTAAACGACCTGCCTCTGCTCTCGAAAATGCTGCGAAACGCGCCAAATACTCAAGTGACACTGGCTTCCTCAATGAATCCGAAACGGTTTCTCCACAAGAATTTGAATCGTCATTTATATTCCCTGTAGAGACGGATGAGAATGTCATCGCCCATACTGTATTATTGACGAACCGTGCTCCCTTGGTCCTCGCATTTGCCATCGAACTCTTACGCTATACGATGCCTGAGCAGCCCCCGTCTAGTCGGTTAAGTCTGGCACAAGCAGTAGTGAGTGCTAATTCGAGAAGTAAAGCTGTTTCTATCGGTTTAGAGAAAGGCCTCAGCGCAGATGAACAAGGCTGGGGCCATGGCCAACCAAGAGTCAAAGTATTGGGCCGTGAAGTTACGGTATTGAAAAGGGGCGGATACGAATGGAAACAGGAAAGCCCCGAGAAAGATGTGCCCACCAGCTCTAGTGTTCTATCAAGTGCTACGGAAACTGGTGTCAGTCAGACCGTAACACCCGAAATCTCTAATGGGCCGTCATGGTCTGTTAGCCAATCCGTCACTTTAAAAGGGTCGACATTCATAGTTCGGGCAACGCAGATAACGGAACCCTCTCAAAGACATGTACTGATGAAGTCTCTTTTCGAGACCAACCCATCCCTTCAGAGCGCATCCCACAATGCTTGGGCGTACCGAATTCGAGTCCCTACAGGCCTCTTCGGTGCAACTACAATCAAGGAAGAATCCTTTGACGATGGAGAGGCAGGCTGCGGTGATTTTCTGTTGAAAAATATGCGGGAAACAGACGCTGTGGGTACTCTTGTGGTCATGACCCGGTGGTATGGAGGGGTTATGCTCGGTGTTGATCGGTGGAGGATAATGCGAGATTGCTTAAAGGATGCTTTGGCCGAGCGACTTCGAGTCACGGGAGAGAAAGCCATGCTGGGGGGTGAAGCTCTCTGGGGCTTGGACCTCGAGGCTATGAGAAGCAAGTCTGGAACATCTAGCTCCGAAACGAGCAGATCTTATGGGGCAGGAGTAGTAGGCATGTCTATTCACCGACCGGAAACTGCAAGAGCATACCTTTTCAAGAGTTTTGTTACCCGAGTAGATGATTTAAACGGAGATGGTAACGAAGCTGCCAACATCGAAGGTCCGGCTGGTGACGAGAGAGAATTGCCAAATCCCCAGAAAACCACAAGCAAAGCAACACCGAAAAAGAAAACCGCACATGTATTCGAACAAGAAAGAGAGGAGAATGTCTCCCGGCTGCTCGGTGCCATAAAACTCCTTTATGATAGCTGGGCGCCTCACCTCAGCATCAGCGAGCTCGACCGACGAGCCTGGGGATGGTATATTGCAACACGACCAAATGTAGACAGTGGCCCTTCTGGCTGGGGAGCAAAGGGGCACCTGAAACTTGCTGATATACTGGCCCTACGGCGAAAGCAATGATATGGATATATTCTAGTATCTAAACGTGGTAAACCGACGACATCATTTTCAGTCAGAAGTCGGCGCCGCTAAATTATGGCACTCCTACAAAAGTGCGCCACACCCTCCAAGTACGCCCCAAAAATATACAAAGGAGGCTTTTGCCCTTATTGGATAAGAACCTCTTTGTACTCGGAGACTTCATCTGGACGTTATTCTAGCTCCGAATATGTTCGTTTTTGAGATCGTAAATCATCATCTCCAGTTACGTTTTGCTACCATCTATTGTACAACGGAGGTTAGCCATGGCCCTTGAGCCTATGCTACGGCTACTATCAGCAACCAAACGTGGAAAGACTGACATATATAATAAAGTGAAGTGATGTGTGTAGGGAAAATGTTCCCACAACGCATTTTACCCGAACAACTGGCTCGATCGCAACTAAATCGTTGTCGTATGCGCAAGCGGAGAGTTTTGATGAATTAAGCTGCATGTTAACGAGACGACGATAGCTTCCCACTCTCCCATCGTGAAGCGGTACGTAGAAGTAAACTTGATGAGATATAAAGTTGAATATCGCGGGTGGATGGGTGGGTACTAGGTAGCTAGGTACCTACTAACGCGCGGCTCAGGGGTGTGCATTCCTAATCGCGATTTACCTCCTATTCGCCGGACTGATCCAGCTATGCTTTCCCAGGTACCTCCCCCCCACACCCCCTACCTCCTTACTCCCCTTACCCCCCTACTTCCCTACCTACCCACCTCCCTTGCCCCCCCTCTTCCAACTCACTCACACCCCCCTATAGCATAGACGCCCGCCTCCACGACATCGGCTCCCTCGGCCTCTTCGCCGCCCTCAACCTCCTCGCCTTCGCCCTCGTCTTCCTCTTCGTCGAGGAGACCAAGCTCCGGTCCCTCGAGGACCTCGACCTCGTCTTCGCCGTGCGCAAGCGCGACTTTGTGCGTCACCAGGTCGCTGTCTACCTGCCTTGGCTTTTTTCGTCGGTACGTTTTATTTCCGTTCAGGAGGGAATGGGGAATGGGCCGAGGGTGGGGCAGTTTGGCGGTGGTGGTGGTGGTGGTGGTGATGTTGAAGGTGGAGGTGGAAATCGAGGTGTAAGGGCCGGAGAAGGATTAGGGGTAGGAGTGGGCTGGAACGGGTTCGGTGTCGATGGCGATGATGCGGTGGTGGTGGTTAGTGCCGCTGACGACGATTATCGGGCTCCGCCATCTTTCCCACGCGGACCGTTAGCATCGTTGGCGTTTGACTCCAAGATTTCGGAGAACTCGAATGATACTACGCATAGGTAGATAAGAACGGCGTTCCAGTGACCTTTGTAGGAATTGTTTCTGGTTAAGTGGTCTGACAGTAGTGGCCACATAGTATGAGATATGTATACGTTAAGTTTTAAACAGGAAGAGACATCCACACATAATTGCAACAGTCTTGCCTTTAAAGATATTTCATTCTCACATCATATGCTACGGTAATAGGTTCCTAGGGTAATCATCCAAAGCGCCACGGCCATGCCAAACGACCTGTCATCTAATCGTAAGGTATCCATATCTATGTATCCATGACCGATGTACCTATGTCAACTCATCGAATAACAATGCAAACAAACGCTAGATATGCAAACGCGCAACACAGCACAACTGAACCAACAGCCCCCGCCCCCCCTTAAAAGTGGTACGATCCTCAAAAGCGACCATCCGTCATCTCGTTAAAAATATCCCGTGAAATCATGTTTCCCCTGAGCAGAGCCCTTTCCGTGATTTTGCCCCTTTTAGGCCCCGTGGTCTGCCCCTTAGTAGTTTTCTGGTACTGATTCTCCTTGCCTTCAGAGATAAGACCGCCTTTTCCTGGACTACGGGTGCTGGCGAAGCCTTTGTGCGGCATTCTCCTCGTCGGAGAACTATTGATGGGAGCGACGCCACTCCCCGTTGTCGTGATCTGCGTCGCGGAACTCGCCATATCGTCAAAGAAGTGGCTCTCGAGCGCATCAGCTGGTAAATCGTAAACCCAGTCACGACCCTCCATCAGTTTAATAAATTTGCTGAGCATTTCATGTTCGCCGCTGCCTTTGAGCGTGTCACCACTACCCACGACTAGGAGCTTGGTCTTGGCACGTGTGAATGCGACGTTGATGCGGCGCCAATCTTTGAGCAGGTCGCCGATGTTGCAGGCTTCATTGCTCCGAACCAGGCTCAAAATAACGACCTCCTTGTCCCGCCCCTGAAACCGATCCGCCGTATGTAGTTCGATACTGTTCCCGTGTGCGCGGAGCCCGTGTTTGAGTAAAGAGAGTTGTGAACGGTAGTGTGTCATGACGCCAATCTCATCGGCTGGCACACCGGTCGCGAGAAGCGCATCAACGAGCTGAACAACGATCCGCGCTTCAGTTGGATTCACAATGCGGTTCCCCTTGGCCTCTTCACGTGCTGATGGTAGAAAATCTGTATTGATAAATCGTACACGCGACTCGGGATCTACCAGCTGGCGTAACCAGCAGTTTTCATTTTCCCAGGAGGCACAGAAAGATCGTGGCGTGCCAGGGCACATGATAGTAGTTGCATCGTAATGCTTGTGGCGCAGATTTTCTATGTGAGGCACGTCGAGCTTTCGGTGGCGAAGAGATTCAGTACCACACTTAAGGCGACCCTCATAAATCAAGGTGTTGCTGAGCATCATGACATCTTCGCACATACGGTATTGATGTTCAAGGTTTACCACCGAATCCGGATGCGTGTCTGAGAGGAGTTTGAAGAGACTGATATCCAGACCCCCCACACGAGCTTCCTCATTCTGCACCAGAGGGGGTAATTGGTTGTGATCTCCAACTAACACGAATGTACGTGCTAAACGAATAGGGCCCAAGCAGATTGGCAGGGTGATCTGGGAGGCCTCATCCACAATACAATAATCAAAAGTCCGCTCACTGAAGACCGGATGGTTGACACCCAAACACGTCGTTGCCACAATCGGTGTTTCGTGCCAGGCGCTTCGGATCTCCTCGAAACTGTTCATCGGCTGCCCAGCAAGAATTGCAAAATTTTGCACTTCAGGGTGGACCTTGGCTTGTGCGCCTAGTCGCAGGATTGGCATCTGGTCAGTCTTCAACTTTAACAAGATATTGTCGACCGCAGAGTGAGTATACGACGTCAAAAGGACGCTCTTCCCTTGGCTAACGAGCGCACGGATGATGTGAGCAATCGTGGTGGTCTTGCCAGTACCAGGCATACCGAGGACGAGCGCATAATCGCTGGCACTCATAACCTTCTCGATGGCTTTTTTCTGATCAATGTTCAGGGTCTCTTGACCGGCAATTGTGTATTGCGTCGCGATCGTCTTGAATCTAGGCGGAGCAAGATCGACAACAAGCCGCCGGATATCCCTCGATCTATAAACGCCATCTGCCATTACTTGAACTAGGTTGTTTCGCACGGTTGCCATACCGTTGCTAAATTCATCCTTATCAAGCCGATATTTTAGGGGGGGTTCTTTAATCTTGCCCTGGGATTCACTTGGTCTTGCCCCTTCTGGTGCCACTTCCATGATACTCGCGAAAACCTGGTTGTTTGACTCGTCGAATCCTGATCGGCGTATGCGGGCGTTATGAAGTCGTCGATCAACTGCCACACTGATTTTATGTTTTCGTACTGATGTGACGAATCCGATCGCCAAGGCGAAGTGGCCATTTTCGTCTGATACGACAATCGGTTCTCCCACCGCAAGCTGGGAATCAAGGAAAGAAAAGCCAGAGGCCGGACTCTCCTTGACAAACGTATACTTGAATCGATTGATTCTTAGGTTTTGGATATCTTCGGAGGCGGAGCCCTCCTCAATGATCACATTAGCAAAGCACCGCCCAACCTTCTCTCTTTCGGTGCTCATCATAGTCCAGAGTTCTCGGCGAAATTTCTGGCTTTCTCTTTCTTCTTTAGTAAGTAGATCTTCCCATCTGAGGAAGAATTCTTGGTGGGCCGGGGTTAGATGTTGAACGACTTCGTCGAACTTGGCCTTCATCCCGCTCGTCTCACCATCACCACCATCCGCAAGTTTATGGTATATGAAACAAGGCACTTTTGCGTAGCATTTATCGCATGTGTTGGTGCTTCGTTTCATGGGCGGAAGCTGGACGTTCCGCTCGCGAATATAAGTGGCCAATTGATTGCGTTGCATGATCATATGGCGGAGCTCGTTGCGCATGGTCGGGATCCGAATAGTCTGCGATGTTTCCATATAATACAAGATCCCGTAAGCGATTTCAATGTCGTATCGATCTGATAATAGTAGATTATATAGAGACGTTTGTGCTTGATGACTGCTCGTGGCATTATGACCGGTCTTCACTTCGAAGGGCACCGTTAAGATACGTCGTTGAGCCCCGTCTTTCATAGTCACCTGGACAGTGGCGTCGATGTTACCCTTTAGCCCGTACATTGGAGACCAAACATGCTCTTCAACATCAAGTAGCTTCGTGACTGACATATTTGCCTTGTCACCATTTCGGCCTTGTACAATGGCGTCGGGCTGGCTCATGTTAGCAAAAGATGTCTCTGAATACCGATCGAGACCACCTACTCTTGGGAATGGGGCAACAAATGCCGTTGCCCAGCTCCTTAGCTCTGGCATCTTTGAACGAAGATGTTCGCGAGCATCGTTGATGGATACTTTTATCGTATACAAGTCTTCCACATGCTTCTCAGTGATATTACAAATAACACCATCTAAGAAGTCTAGGCTCCATTTGTTGGACATGAGTGCTTCCTGAAAGATTTCATGTAGTAGAGTTCCATACACGAGGGGCGGACTCTTATCGCTGGTCGCCTTAACACGATCTTGGAGGACAGCGCGACGAGTGCATGTAAAGCTGTCCGCTACGACCGTGGCGGATACTAACTGGTCCGGATGCAGAATAAGGATATTCTGGGAGTTATCTATGATGCACTGCCCATTTGATTGGAATTCGCCGTGTATATGAACGTATGCTTTTGCGCTTGCTGGCGTATCAATCCAATCCCCTCGAAGGTGAACTGTCTTCATAATATTACTTCGATCAAGTTGGACAAATAGGATCTAGAAATATTAGCTAACACCTTTGCCAACCTGTATGAAACTCACCTTTTCTATCGATTGTCTTCCATTGTCGTCGACATATTCGCTTTGGAGCACCTTAGTCACAAGATACCTCTGAATAGTCTTGGGCTTGTTGGATACCTACCAATACTCTTAGCAACTAAATCTGACTCGTTCCTACTGCTACCTACGTACCGGTAAGAACCCCTTTGTCTGTTTAGAGACAGACTGCGTAGCAGCCATCTCAGCAGCCTCAAAGTCAAAATCACCCCCAAAATCATCATCGTACAAATCCTCAGTAAGGTCATCAGCAACAGCAACCGGGATACTTTGTGCGGCAACTGAAACAGCAGGCTGGTGTGATATTTCGGATTTATCCTTGGAATAGTGAGTAGAATCGAGCTGTGTTAATATAACTTCACCAGTAGTAAATACGTCGTCAAACACATCGTCATCGAACTCATACTCGAACGACTCGGAAACTGGACTGTGTTGCTGCTGAGTTGAATTTTGCTTGGAATCCTTTGGTGGCATGGGTAAGTCTCGTGCGCTTTTTTCAGACGGTTGACACATCGTAGCATCCAGCTCCATAAGTGTGTCATCGTCGAAATCGTCGTCTCCATAGTCTGACGCATCATCCTTCAGCGCTATCGAGTTCGTATTCTGTGCCTGCGGAACCGCTTTCTCATCAAACATCGGAGGAGTAGGTTTTGATCGAGGAGTTCGTCGCGAAGGTGAGCCAGTAGACTGCATTGCGGGATGGGATCGCTTTTTGGGCGAAGGAGACTTCAAGGCGTCTTGACGGCTTTGAATGGCCTTGGACCTGTTGATCTCACCAGTCACGCTCTGTAGTAAGGCGTTTACCATAGACGTTTTACAATGACGGCTTGGACTTTCCTCGATTGCAACTTCCATCGGCTTCGTTAGTTCTATTCGTTCTACCCTCCGGCGTTTAGGCCAATTTGCCCCACAACTGGTTGCCCTTCGAAGTCCGCTTCCGCCGATTGTCTTGGATGGCCTCGGCGAAGATGCTACCATAATCTGAGCCAGGGTAGAATTTATGGCGCCAAGAGGTGTAGTAGAGGTAGCCCCACTGAGAGAAAAGCGATCCCATAGTTCCAGTGCAGGGTCAGCATGAGGGGATTTGAGGGCTCGTGACAACTTCTCTACGTTGACCGCGGGCTTGCGAGGTTTCGAATGGGAAGCAGGCGACGATACAGGAGAGGAACTTCGCGCTCTCTTTTTCCCTCTCCTACTTGGCATTACTGGCGATAGTTTCATCACGTCTAGCGGGTCTTCCCTGGTATCCCAGCCAATTCTCTCATTAGGACTGGTCTGTTCATCTTCCTCTTTCGCCTCGGTCATGCCAATAAGATCCTGCCATGCTAAGCGACTTACGGGTGTAGTCGTACTATCGGATGCGCGCGAATGAATGGTTTCCTCTGGGGTTCGCTTACTCTGTTTCCTCTCATCTGGGTTATCTATCGATTCATCGGCATGAACAATTGGCGCGCAAGGCTCTTGGGCAACTGATTTAGTAAAGTTAGGGAATTTGAATGCATTGAGCTTGTTCTTTGAAACCTCGGATATGGGTTGGAGAGGTTTAGGAGCGGTATTTCGAGATGTGGTTCCATTTGTTGCGGCGGAATGGCTTCTGGTTTTATTCCAATGCTGGCGAGACTGGGATTTATTGTCAGCTCAAAAAATCCGTGTCAAGCAGCTTACATATTACTTGTTACTTGGTAGAAACGAGACGTACTTTAGAAGAACCATTTTGCTCCGAGAAGGATTTCTGGAGGGGCATGACGGCGTTTTTTTTGTTGAATTTATTTTATCATAATTTGCGATCAAAACACAGGCGCGTATGGGATGAGGATAAATAGGTGATGGGATGGAAAATTATTGGGAATTGGTGTGCAAAATAGATAATGTGAAAGTCGAAGGAGGGGTGCCAAAAGGTGATAAGCAAGTAGCAAGTAGCAAGTAGCAAGTAGCATTGAACTTGAAGCAATTGGGTGAAATGAATTGAATTGAGTCCGAGTTGACGCGCGACGCGGTTTGACGACGCGAGAGTCCCCACTAAGGAATTGATGATCAATGATCATAGATCGTGCAGGGGTCCATCGATTAGATCGAATCGAACTTGTGGGGAAACTTACATAATACTGCAAGCCACAAGCCACAGGAAAATGGATCCACCATGGTGTCATGCATAGTGGCCCAAGCTTCAAGCTCCGGACCTACCATTGCGTCAAGAAGTCAATTCGCATTTAAACTTATGATTCCACCTCCTTCAATATTCATCAGCGTCGAATGAGCAAATGAGTGAGTGAATGAGTAGTTGACTGAGTGAGTGAGCAAGCAACTACACAAATGAAGCAAATGAAATCATATCAATAGAATTAGGAAACTAATTTCTGTTCGGGTATCCTACATTCAATCAGCAAACATGTCGTCCGACGGCGGGAGTAATCCCTCCTACGAGGACTGGACAGTTCAAGAGACTTCAAACAAAACTTGGCCTTATTTTGATCAGGCCGTTCAGACCAAGTTCGAGAGAAAATTCTTCGAACCCGGCGCTACTATTGACTTTGACAAGTTGCCCACATTACAATCATGGGCTCCCTACGTCTTCATGGGTGACAGTGTACGTGTCTCCATGGTTACCAGAAAGGCAATGGCGGCTGCCGGGGCTGCTCATCGTCGCTTGAGTGCCAACGAAATTGAAGGTATCGCTGAAGCTAGTGTTCATGCCGCTCGGTTTCTTCCCTGGATCCCTGTATTCTCAGCGACCTTAAGCTGCGCCATGGCTTGGACCACCAGACGCACTTTCAAGTTTCCTCTCTATCAACCCAAGTCAATGGGCTTCACTCGGAATTTCCCTTCCAGAGGTTTGCGGCTCGTGACCGGCGAATCGGCCAAATACGCTTGGCATGCCGTTCGGATTGCCGGCTATTTTCCCTTTTGTTCGGTCCTGGCTGTATTTATGTGTACCTCTATGGCAGAGTTCTCTTTTGATTCACATATAATGTTTGATCGGCGCTTAGGGCGCCTGGTAGAGGACATGAAGATCGCCGCCAGACAGCAGCACAGAAACACTCAAGGACGTATTCCGGGCGTTCCTGTACCCCAATATCCTCAGCCGACTCAATCCGCTCAGCCTACATCCTCAGCCTCCGATTACCCACGTGACCAATACACTTCCGAGTCGGGCAATTCAGCACCTCAATATACCATGGGTGAGGGCTATGAACCAGGACCGGAGAATGCTTCCAGTAAATCAGCAACAGGTCAAGCGCCATCGCCTGACTGGACACGAAAACCCCAATATCAACCACAGCCTCAACCCCAGCCTAGTTCGTCTCAATATGACGATGACGACTTATTTGGCGACGACGATGACGCTTCGCCAGTTTCTGCCTCATCAAGGAGAGCTGAGGCAGAACGGCAGCAAAGTAGCCAAAGTGGCTCTGCATGGGCACGTATTAGGCAACAGTCCCAATCTGGCAATGCACAGTGGACTCAAGGTGATTCCTCTGGCCAGGAAAGGGGCTGGTCACAGATGCGACAAGACAAGGCACTGAACTCCAAGGAGAAGGAGCAGAAAACTCAAGGGTTCGCATACTCAAAGCAAGACGAGGAACGAGAGGCGAGAAATTATGAGAGGGAGCAAGCTCAGAAGGAATTCGATGCTCTACTAGAGTCCGAACGACGTGGCGGTTCAAGCAGATAGTAGAAAGAATACAATACAACTAACTTAGTAGCGAGAGAGATAACGATGATATCGAATCCTACCAACTTGAATCTACGAATCAACCAATTAACCTTAGGTATTTGCCTAAGGGTCCAAGTATCACCTACATACTTGCCTACCTAATCTAGTACATACAGAGTAATAGGTTGACAGGTGAAGTAACAAATGCCTAGTAGGTAGGTAGGTAGGTAGGCAGGCATTTATAAAATGGGAATGGGAATGGGAATGGTTATTTCAGTACAACCTGCCCCGTGCTTTGAAGTCTCTAAGGCTACCCTAGGTGCCTGAGGTACACTTCTTGAGTTCAAGCCATGGAGTTGATTACATACATGTAGTGGCTCCACGCCTATCACTTATCAGCTACAAACAACTATTAGGCAGCTTAAAATGATGTATCAGGCATCGGAGTCACGGGATTTCACTGCATCTCCCTAGATACATAATACCTTAGGTTAGTACCTGCATGTGAGCCGACTGATACATATTACATACATAAGGTATGTACCTCTTCCTGACTTTTTAAGAGTCAAATTTATATTTTTCTACCTTGAACGCTGTTCCTTAACCAAAGCTACAGTTTTATTACATTTCCTCGTTGCCGCGTTATCTTTGACCCCAAGAAACGTGAGAAATCTATATCAAGCAGTCACACCTATTACACTAAGGGGTGATTTGCTAGACAATCGTGGTGGTTTGCCGTTTGCACTTACACACCTGCACAGGTACTCGTTGCAAAGTTAAGCCAACGCAACCAGTATTACCTCTAGGGGTTTTGGTTCGAACCAAAGATCATGGCCGAGATATCCAGCATGGAGAACACCACTCAGTCCCGCTACTGCCCTATTGTATTTGTCCTCGGACTCCCGGGCAGCGGCAAGGGTACCCTATGTAAGCTCGTCGCCGATCAGTCCGATATCTCCGGCCATCGCTATTGCCACATTTCAACGGGAGATTATTTACGTGAGCTCTGCAAGTCTGAGGTGTCTGACGACACTCTGAGCTTCGACCTTAACAGAATTCGCAAGCATCTACGCGAGAGCAAACTCCTGCCCTCCCACGTACTTGTTCCAGTGCTAGAGCACAAGATCAGCTCCATCCCAAAGGAAAGTAACGCTACTACCACCTGGCTGATCGACGGGTTCCCACGCAACATGGAGACTGCACTGGTATTCGAGGAGAAGGTAAACAAACATCCGACTTTTGGCACAGTTCCAGGCAATCGCAAAAGTGCTAATCTAGTTTCCGTACCAGATTGGCAAGCCGGTGAAAGTCATTGTTTTAGAGTGCGCACGAGACGTTGCCCAGCACCGGTTCCTGAGTCGCGGCAGGGAGAGAAGCGACGACGAGAAGCTCTTCACACGGCGGTACGAGGAGTACGTCGAGAACATGAAAGCAATCCGCGAGCACTATGGAAGCGCTCTGGAATCGGTATGTAATGCCACCTTACATCCTGGTAAGCGTTGGATTCTTACTAACTTATTCGTAGATCTGCGTGGATGGAACTCGCGAGGAGAGCCTTGCCGAGTTTATACGTGTGCTACCACAAAACTAGGGGGCTCCCACGATTTGAAGATCTTGGGGTTTCACGTCCCCTGTGACACCCTTCAAGCACCATTGCCGATATTTCACATTCGAGACCCTTTCTGTATTTATTCGCAGAGTAACGCCAGACCTGGACTGTCCTCTAATGTAAATAATGGCTTGGTAGCAGACGCTAGTTCATCGCCCTTCCTGCTACATAAAGAACGAAGAATAAGAAAAGGAATCCTTTGAGGTCGAGGCATTAGGAGTACCTAACCTGATTAATTAATTGTCCCACCTATCCTGTCCTATGTAATATGAAAATCCCTGACTACCTGTTTACCATCTACTACTGCTCTAAATCGTGGTGTCTGACGCCAAATCATTGTCGATACTATGACGATGCATGTTAACGTCATCTTCGTTATCGTTCTGGCTTGATGCCCAATCAAACTCGATGCTTTGACGAATCATGCTCCCGTCATCGGCGTTTCCTGACTCCCCTATATCAAGCCAATCGGTCGCTTCTCCGGCCTCCAATCTCCAGCCATCCCCGTTCACGGACGGATCTCTCATGTCAGTATCATCCGTATCCTCGCGCCTTGTCCGCGGCGTCGCCACATCCCACTCCTCACTCGGCGCGGGCGTAATCTCCTGCTCCTGCTCCTGTCCGTCCTCACCCACTCTCCGCCGCTTCCTCGCCAGCCCCATCGGCATCTCATCGACCTCATAACCCAAGCCCTTGAGCGCGATATTCACGTCCGTGACCTCGCCGTAGTCGATCCACATGCGGATGATCAGGTCCTGGACGGTCTTCTTGTCGTCCATCGACACCCAGTCGAGCATGAACAGGTAGTTGCGCGACTGCAGGTACTGCAGGTACTTGCTGTCCGGGCACGAGCCCATCGCCCGCACCCACTGGTCGTTCAGCGTCTTGCGCGTCGCGCAGGACTCGCAGTCGCCCCATCCTTCTCCAGGGGCGTACGGACGCACCTCGCTGGGCGGGTGCGTCCAGATCTGGCATGGGGGGGAGGAGGTGGAGTACGGGTCGTAGTTCGCGCACGAGACGATCTCGTCGTCGGGGGCGATGTGCCCGCAGGCCATGAACTTGCTCTTCCAGGCGTTGCACATCGTGTCGCTTGTAGATATGGTATTTCCGAGGTGGTAATAAAAGGGGTGAAATGTTTTGAAGAAAATGCTGTGGTGCTATGGTGTGCGTATGCACTGTATTCTTGCGGTTTAAGATCGATGCCAAAACTGAGGAGCGAAGTTTCCTGGGAAGGAGGTGTGGTCTATATACTTTTTCCCCCCTCGTCTTATTACGAGTCTCGACGGTGTCCAAACGTACAGAGTCATATTGCTTGGCTTCATGTTACCTATTGTTAGTAGCCTGTGTATGAAATTTGTTGATACCTTCGCGGTAGGGTTAATCATCCGATGTTTATTTCGTAGGTCTTAGGTAGAGAATCAGGAACCTGACTGTAGATACTTAGTAAGGACTCAGTAGGAGATTCTCACGAAGCAATGTGGACCAGTAGGTACCTACCCAGCAGCTATATTGGCAGTCAGTGATCAACAACGTCTATCGACTAGATTATCAAGAGACTTATACGGATATCATTATCTCGGATTAGACAAACATGAGATATTTGGATTAAGTTTCGGTCGGGATAATATATAATCACCTAGTTACAGAGCTCTTGCGGAGTAGATCAGTGCGATGTGTGACTCTGGAATTGAAGGCGTCACTGAATCAACAGCATCACAAGAAGTATGATCACAAAAAGCATGCTGAGCTGTAAGCCTTCAGAGTCATTTGCAATTCATATAAGGATCACGGACTCCTGGACATTGTCACCGCTTTATCATTTACCCCTATACCATCATATCGCCACTAGCTTCACCGAGTCACTTAACAACCTTACCAGCGATAAATCTTCTAGATAACCCAAACCTGCGTTAACAGTATTTGATACAACATATAGGTATAAGGTTTGGTATAAAGGTGTTCTATATTTTATCAGTCACTCCATGCTACCTTAGTTACGCATGGCAGGTCGCGGGAAAGGAAAATCAATATCGCCGCTCATTTGCTGGAACGTGCATAAAAGGAGGCTCGAACTACTAGGTGCCTAGCATGATCAGAAATCAAGTACTATGTAGTAAAGCTGAAATAAATGTACCGAAACCAAAATATTTGCAACAAGCTAGTTTATCTATCTGTATCTTAAGTGGCGGCCATCATCCCCTATCGTCATTATGGTGGTGGGTTGCATGATTTCCTAGCCCAGCTCATTGGAGCCCCCTATTCGACCCCAATTCCAAATAGGGCAGAATGGTAACATCTCTGCAGCATGTGACGAAATAAAGCAACAATACAAGGCTTCTATAAACTGCGGGCCGAATTGAGCAACCATATCACAGAATTGTTGAAAAAGTAACCATATGGGAAGCAAGTACATAGGCCTTGGGTGACACCGGCGCGTTCAATTCGTTGGAGATATATATCTCCAACCTCAGCATCGCATCATACGCGGGACCGATGAGGAATGTGCGGGGAGATGAGATGGCATCAGATAACGTCAGGGAGAGCATCGTGGTTACTACATAAATACCAGCGTGTCGGCCATCTTAGGAGATATGATCATAGAGTTCAATTGAACAGTGTTATTGCTTAGATACTTGGTAGATAATGGCCCCCTCAGTCGCAGAAGTATTGCCTAGCACTGCCGAGTTGAAAACCAAGGCGGAGAAGCTCAACCGCGCCTACGACGCAGTTCAGCATGCATCAGTAAGACAACCTCATACATCAACTTCAGGGGTTAGGTAATAAGAAACTAAATGGCAGAAACAGTACAAGTACGCGCACTACCTCCCGGTCTACGACGAAACCACCACATTCCCACCCACCGAGCCCTTCGAGTTCGCCGACCGCGGTCTCCTCGCCGACAAAGCCAAGCCGCATATCCTCGGGCTGAACGACCCCAACGTCAAGGTCACGAAGCTGACCCCCCGCGTCGGCACCGAGATCGCCGGCCTCCAGCTCTCCGAGCTGACGGACGAGCAGAAGAACGAGCTCGCGTTGCTGATTGCCGAAAGGGGCGTCGTGGTGTTCCGGGGCCAGAACTTCAAGGACATTGGTGTGGAGAGGCAGAAGGAGTTTGGCAGGTACTTTGGCCGGTTGCATGTGCATGTAAGTCTAGGTACCTACTCTAATAAATCACATTTGCATATTGGTTCGACCATACCTACCTTAAAAGATATCTAACACGTCCCCACCATCCTAGCCCGTCGGCGCCCACGTCCCCACCGCCCTCGAATTCCACAACATCTACCTCGGCCCCGACAACCTCTACCGCGCGCAGCTCTCCTCCTCGCGCCTCTCCACCACCAGCTTCCACTCCGACGTGTCCTTCGAGCACCAGCCCCCCGGAATCACCCTCCTCACACTGCTAGCCGTGCCCTCGGCAGGCGGCGACACGACGTGGACGTCGCAGGCGGTCGCGTACGAGCGGCTCTCGCCGCCGATCAAGACGCTGCTCGAGGGCCTGCGCGCGGAGCACAGCGGGTTCCCGCAGGCGGAGAGCGCGCGCCGCGACGGGAGGTTCGTCAGGCGCGAGCCGGTGCGGTCGGAGCACCCCGTTGTGCGGGTGCATCCGGTGAGTTCTGCCTATTATTACATGGAGTTCCCGACTTTACTTGCAACCTGCCTCTGCTCTTTTGCGAAAAGAGAAAATGAAAAGATGGAATTAGGAGAGACGGGGAAAGATATGATAAGATTAGATACCTAGGTTCTAATGCTAGGTATTGCAGGTGACGGGCCAGAAGGCGCTTTTCGTGAACCCCGGGTTCACGAAGAAGATCATTGGGCTGAAGACGGAGGAGTCGGACGCTATTCTCAAGCTCCTTTTCACTGTTCGTTTATATCCCCCCCCATTCCCCCTTCCTACCTGAAGATAAGCCAAGCTAACGAACGCTATCCAAAAAAAAAAAAAAACAGCACATCTCCCAAAGCGCCGACGCACAAGTCCGCGTCAAGTGGGACGACGAGACGGTCTCGCTCTGGGACAACCGGGTGACGGCGCATACGGCGATCTCGGACTACGACGTCTATAATGAGGAGGAGGGGCTGCGCCATGGGTTCCGCATCACGACGCTTGGGGAGCGGCCGGTTGGGGTTGGGGGGTTGGAGACGGTTTGGTAGGGGAGGGTCGTGTGGCATCTAGGTACATTTGCTGGACATACTGATAAGTGGGGAGGGTTACACTTTTGGCATGAGTGACATTGTAGCTAAATATCTAATCATTGATTTTAAGTGGTATGGTTACTAGGTTAGGTAGTTACGTGGGTGATTATGGACCTGTGTGCGTAGTAGGAAAGTGATTTGTTGTGAATTATTCTTTTAGTTCACAAGTCTTCTCGAGCTCTGATCTGCACCAAACCAGTAAATGTATATGAAAGATGAAGTTTACAAGGAAAAACACTGTTTTATATAGTAGTGTCTAGATTGCTATACTACCCACGCACCAAAATTGTTACCAAAAATTACCTGCCTAGTACCTCCCTCGTCTGGCCCGCTTCTCTTAGATAGATGTGCATATACCTAGGTATATTTCTATCGCATTCATAAGGTAGAACCCCATAATCAGAGAACTCCTCCACCTTGTCGCACAAATCCTGAGTGACTGCCTTGCGGACGAAGATCTTCAAGCCCGTCAAGTCCATGTCACAGCCCTCAGTAATGAAGTCGTACATGGTGTATTCTTTCCACATCTCCCTAGTTCGGGGAGATTCTGCGTCTTCCAATAAAAGTTCGTCCCTGTGTCAGTCGAGTTAGTCAATAATTCAGTTATCTAGGATAGCAACATTGAAATATCCCACTTAGGGGGGAAAAGAGGGGGTGGGGCCTGGGGCTCTTCAGGTCCTAGGATTGCAACATACCGATCAACTGTCCTGGCATTGTCGGTCTAATGATGATTGCCGGACGCGCCAGGTCAGCGATAATCTGCGACATGGGGACCTTGGGGTAGCGACAGTATACGATGGACTCGTCATCGATCAACGCGAAACCTCCAGCGCCGTGCTCGCCGATGACTTGGATATCATATGCTTCCAATAGCTCCTTGCTTGTCTTGCTATAGGCCGGGTCCTGGGCGAAAGCTTCGAATTTGTCGGGTGAGAGGGGGCTAAATGCCTCTGCCAGGGTTGCGGCGACGGCGTGCTGGCACATTTTTACTATCTGGACCTCACGTGTCTTTTCCGATTCAGCCATAAGAGCCATGTCGCCGAGGCCGAAACACAAGAGCTTCGTTACTTTTCTGTCGCCCTTGAGGGAGACGAGTTCGCGCGTGAGCCAATCGTGGGCCTGGCTGCTCTGCCATTTTTGCATTACTTCGCCGAACGGTTTGACCAAGGGCTCTTGACTAATGCTAAACTGCTCGAATGCTATGTTCTGCCAAACGACAAAGTAAGAACAGAGGCATATGGATTCTGCGGAGCCGGCATCTGGTAGGGCTTTGCGCTTCAAATCACCTAGTACTAGGCGCCAATAGTCGTTGATACAACAGAATGGCTTCCTATGGTAAGCAAGTTAGCATTTATTAAGAAGAACTTGTTGATTCTTAGGATGGCTTATACCACACGGGGTTCGGTCCCAGGTCATTAAAGCTCCACGAATTTTGTATCTTGTCGTCAATGCGACGAATCGTGATTAATTCTTCATGTTGGAGACTGGCTAGCTTCTCCTTAAAAGTTGCAAAGTCTTCTTTTGTCTAGAGTTTCTTGCCAGAACGATACAGCTCTGCGGCTTTCGAAGTTCCATCGACCAGAATATCAACGAGGGCATCGCCACGCTTTTCTGTATGCTCGTTTGAGCGTTCAAGTGCTATATTGCCCATGGCTAACTATCAATGTAGTACTGATATTCGGTTGCAGTGACGTTGAATATGCCACTTTATTTCGGCTCTGCCCGAAGATATTGCAAAATAGAGAAGTATCTGGAGAGAATTTAGTGTAGACAGGTTGTTGGAGAGGATGCAGAATGAAAGTTGCACCGGTTCAATTCAAGATGTTAGATTTATGTATTGTTTCCAGAGACAATTGACGCGTCATGATTCCTCATGAGCTGATCTATACCCTACGCCTGTTCTGTGACTTACGGAGCCATGAGACTACCATGTTGCTGGCCCGAATGTACCACCCTCTGGTACTGTCTTGAGCCACGCCGTATTGGATGCATCCTGTTCATCGGAGTCAGTAGGTGTATGATTGAGAGACCTAAAAACGGGCGTATGATATTGTTGCCAACCACTTACAGCTGTGTTGTAAATGTCTACATTCCCCCACCACTGGGGGATAGTAACATTAGGAAGTGTGATTGCGAAGAAGATGACTATAGTTGACAACACGAGTCCTGCATCGAGAGCTGCTGCGGTGACGTAATTGTATGTGCGCCACCACCCATTGAACTTCTTGCGTATGCCATAATTAAAGATCAAGCCGACAATTGCCCATGACGAGAAACTAATAGGGGTAGCTGGTGGTAACCATCCCATAGCTCCGAACATTATCGGTGCGTTGAAGTGACGTGCGAACCCAAGCTTCATCTTGCGAGTGAGGAACCACAACAGTACCGGAAGACCAGCTCCGATGAGCCAGAACCAGTTGAAGTTCACGTACATTGATCCAGGACCAAACATACGATGGGGACCAAGAACACCCCATACGATAGACGATGAAAAGAATGCTCGCCCGTTAGGACAGGTGAAGTGACTAGGCTGTGTACTAAATACAAGTCAGCCATCGGAATTGAGTAATTGAGGTATATGACTTACTTTGAGCAAACGTCGGGAATAGCCCCTAAAGTCCAGTTCATGACGGCAATCTGTACAAAGACGGCCCATATACTAGCTATGACCTGGCACCAGAATGTGACTCGAGGGGGTATTTTCATGTAATGAGCCATCTTTAAGTCACTGCTCTATTTTGTGTTAGTCTCGTACAACAAATTTACATGGTTTATTGAGCCCAGGACTAGTAACTTCCTAGAGTAGAGCGAAAACAGATTTCTTTTGATAACGTACTGTTGGCAGTTAGTTAGGAGATGTGACTGATATATGATAATGGGCTACTCGGGCTTCTTGTGACAAACATACCATATGTTTGGGCTTGGCCAAGTGTAATTGTGCTGAAGACCTTGAAGATCATGACAGCGATCGGTCGGCCGGGGAAGATAAACCCTGCTATGAAGGGAGAAATTACATTCAAGGACAACGTAATGTTGGATACAGCCATGATCATACATGTCGGAACCACAAACACAAAAGCTAGGATGACAGACACGAAAAACCCCCACCAGGGTAGTTGCGAATCGTAACCTAACACCGTCCCAAGCCCCAATGCGAGGGAGATGACAAGAAGTGTCGTGTACCACCATTCAGGGGCATCGACATACTTCTTCATTAACTTGAGATGGATGTCCGGTTCCTGGTCGCGGGAGGCTTTGAAGCGATACCATATCTCCTTTCCATCGAAAAGCGCAACGTGAACAAGCGCAGCGGTTAGTGCGGCGAAGGAAAGCCCGTAGTTGAGGGCCAAGGTTGGAGATAAGAATAATGGCGAATAATTGTGGTACTTTTCCACATCGAGCGTGAAGCTATCGCCAAGAATCTTTGACACGCTGTAGGCGTTCTGAGTGTTGTCGTAAGCTTGCGACGTGACGAGAGGAAGGTACTCGGCATAACTGGTTAGGCACATTCGCGTTAGAAATAAGGCCTCTGGATAAAGGTTATGACTACTTACAGGGCACCGGAATAAGTAATGCCGATTGTCGTGAGGATGACAAAGAAGAACAGGCCTATTAAGGTGTTTACATGAGATGTCGTTGGGGCTAGCAGTGGATCGTACAAGTACGCGGAGACGTATGTGAAGTCAAAGGTGATGGGGATGAGACTAAGCCCTGTATAGCCACCGAAAAGTTGGTTCAATACGATGTTGTCTGGTCGAATCCAAGTTATGAAAGCAAACACAGATAGTCCTTGCCAAAGAACCCCCGGGATCCAATAATAGCAAAACATAGCTCCCATGACGACGAAGAAGTAGCGATATCGGCTCATGACCCATCCATTGGAAGTAGTACCGTCCATTTTACTCTTATCGTGAAGCGCATAAAAGAGAGAAGTGTACGAGAACTGGCTGGGCCAAAGCATAGCAGCGGGCCATATCAAAAACCGCCGAAACATCCCAGAAAGCGAGATTCCGATGAGCTGCGAGCTAAGAGTGAATATCAAAGCAAAGCCCCAGCCCAGATTGATATTATAGAACGGTTTCCCCTGAAGAGCAAGCAGTGCATCTGTAGAGTAGGCGTAAGAAATCGAAACGTTCGACATGAGTGTGATGACAACATGCTCCTTGATAGTGAACGGCCCTGGATTGAATGTCCACTGCAGGCCAAACGTATTGAACACTTTCGTGGGGACGATTTTGGCCCAGAGACATCCAATAGGATAGACGAGCAGAACGACAACCACAGCTGGGAAGTTGATGGCTGGGCTTCGCATGCTCAAGAGCATGTTCAAGCCACTACCGAGTGTAACGAAGATAATGCCTAGGATCCATGCCCTCACAGTACATGCGACTTCCCCACCATCAAAGGGACGCGTAGCAGCACGCACCTCTTCATAGGGTGAATCTTCAGTGAGAAGTATTTCGGTTTTGGCGATCTCCTTATCATCTTCTTGATCAATCGCTGATTTAATGATGTTAAACTTCTCATCGGATGAGTGAGATGTCGTATTTTGGCCGGGATCATGGTTGATCTCAGGTATTGCTGTGGGAGAAGCGCCACTTGTTCCCCTGAAGGTGAATCCCATGATGACAGAATACCAAGCTGGTAGGCAGGCAGGTAGTGGTCTGATACTGAATTTAAAGCTCACCCGGGATATTATCAGGACCTAAACATGTTCAGGATGAAGAGCAAGTCTTTATATCTTCTGATCGTGATGGGTCGAGATACCTAGGTTAGTTGGTTGGTAGGTAGGTAGGTATTTACCGGGTACCCTTATCGGAACCATGGTTGGGCGAATGCCAGCCGGATGGTACTACCCCCCCACAAGCGCCCATAAACATCTGAGACATCCTGGATATCCTTTATCGTTCCCTGGCCACCATATTTCGACCTTCCCGAAGCAAACAAACTCGGTCGAGATATGGCTAAATCCGTCCGGGAATTATTTTGCCGTAAAGAAACAGAACTTCACAAATCACGTGTCTCTACTTAGTGAGTAATATTCAACCGATGAATCTAGTAAGTCAGTTACATCTTATTTCGAGTTGATGGTGGAAATATCAAGCGGCGTTGAGCAGGCTGTGGTAGAAAGATTGGAGACGATGAAGAGAATATTTCATCAAGTGGGTGCCAACAAGAGCCTCCTTTGAGATATCTCGGTCACTGTTGACGTCCTAGGCCTGTAACAAAATTCTGATCCCGAGTTAGTTGTTGGATATCTACCTACTATAATCATACTGCTTTTAGGGCTCTGACTTGGATCCATTTGGAGTCCCGTAATTGAGTTGTTAACTGGGTACCTAGGGTAGGTTGGTATACTCGAACTTGGTCATTCGTATTACCTACCTATCATACTTCTTCCATATCCCAGGATAGATAAGTTGGAGACACTACAATTTATTAGCTGCTTTGCGTTGGCACATCTACATATTTACTATCCACCTCTATGCCAATTGAATTGATGAAAATTATAGATCGCCGTGTACTGTTGTACCTCAAGATAGGACGATAAGATCTTGAAAACCAGCAATTGATCAATGTAGCCCCCCATTTTCTGATTAAAAAGAACGCGAGTATGTGCTGATGGGTGTCACCTGACTCGGTTGATCGACTATACGCAACTTTTGGCAGATTTAGATCTTCTTGACTACATCTAACTTATCGCGTAATATAATATGGTTCCATGATCAAGTCGTGTCTGCGCCGTCGAGGGAATCATACAGCGGTGTATTATTGAAGAGCTAGTAATGTCCCTGGGCTGCTGTATTCAGAACGTGTCTCATCTGGAGACCTACATTTCAATTGTGGTTTGTGGGTAGGTATATAAAGAATCTCTTGGCTGTAGTTAAAGAAATAATTGCCGAGTCATTTGGGATAATAATAACTTGAAGAGGCTCATACAATGACATAGGTACCTCATGGGCCCATTTATGTATTTACGGGAAATAGGAAAATAGGATTACATAATTCGTACGAACCGGGATTTCTCTGTCCGACTTCCCCGCTGGGGCTGAGGTACCTAACCTTAGCAGTACCCGGTCGAAGGATGCCCAGCAGCCCAGGACTCGGGCGTTAGTAGCTGTGCGGCGTGCCCCGCCCCCCTCACTCATTCAAGTTCTTACCCAATAACTACCAATTGTATTTCTGTGCTAATTCTTTAACGCAAACATCCAACTGGCGGGGTTCAAGTTTTATCCCTTCATCGGCGTTAGTGAATAATATTACTTCAAGGTTTCTAACTTTGACAACTTGGCACTTCCTCTCACAACATTTTTCTTTTCTTTACTGGCTTTGATCACTGGGTTTTCTTGTGCTCGGTAAAGCAAAAATACAAAATACAAAGTACAATATTAACCCCATCATCATGGACGATCAATTCAACGGTCGTACTGATGATGATTTATTCGCTGATGATTTTGAGCCGGTGGAAACTCAAGTGAATGAAGCGACGGGGCACACGACAATTGATGAACCCACTTCAGTAGTCGAGACCAGTCTGCCTGCAAATACTGCGGAGCCAACCCCAACTACAAAGCCTGCGCCGACACCAAATGCGCCGCGCTCTCTTGCTCAATCGCGCCACGCAAAGCCAGCAAAGCCAGCACATAATCAACGCCCACGAAAGCACTCCCCAAAGCCTGTCGCCATCGCTCCGGTTGCCTCCCCCGTCGCCGCCCTCGTTGCGACAGCTTCACCAACCGATGTGGCCGGACAGCAATTGCAGCTACAGCAGCCAGTGCAAGATCCATCGCTAGCCAAGAATGGCACCAGCGACGAAGCCAGCAGCCCCACCAGCAAGAAGGCACAGCAATCATCCCTCACAAAGTCAGGGCAGAACACCGCACACGTGGACCGCCTCGCCTCAGGTGGAAACCCGCGCACGAAGCTGACAGAATCGGAACTTGCCGCCAAGATGGAGGAGATGCGAATCCTATCGGCGGAAAAGACCCGGCGATTCGAACAGGCCGAACGCGATAGCCGATCCCACGCACTTGCGTACGAAAAGGGTATGGAAGAGGCGCGACGACGACGCGCGGAGGAAGCAGAGCGCCGACGCCGAGGTGAAGAAGAGCGCCGCCGAATGGACGAAGAGCGCGCTGCCAATCGCGAGAGAAAGCTCCGGGCTATGGGCGCTAAGGAGGGCGGAAGTTGGGATGAAGGAAAGGCCATGGAGGAGGAACGAGACCGTAAAACGCAATTCTGGGGGGCCAATGGAGGGGTAAGAGGGGCACGAAGCGGTGCGTCGCTGGCCGGCAGTCGCTTTGCCGAGAAAGACGGTGATGCGGTACCAAGAGAATTTGGACCAGATGATTTTCGAGGCCGTGGGCGCGGCGGGCGCGGCGGGCGTGGAAGAGGTGGCGGGCGAGGTGGCCGTGGCGGATTCAACCATGATTACGAGCGTCGTGGTGATGGTGGTGGCATGGGCAAACCGACACCCGCACACAACGGCAATGGGGCTCAGAAGCCCAAGCCGGCGCAAGCTCCCCCTACTGCAGATGAATTCCCAGCTCTGCCAATGCCGAAGAAGTTAGATACTTCGACCAAGACGTCAGACGCGCCACCGATGTCTCTTCTTTCGCCTAGCCTCACTTTGCCCCCCATTGGCAAATGGGACGATGAGATGGCTGCGCTTGATGAGAAGAAAGGGTCCTAGAGTTATTTTCTTGGACCCCCAATCAAGTCTTCTTTGAATCGAGGATGGGAAAAAGTGAAAAGGAAAGGGGGGATGACGCGTACGAATTACGAAGGTTCTAGGCTGAAAGTAAAGAACCAATGCAAGCAACATTAGAGATACCAAATGAAATAAAATAAATCAAAAAAAAGAGGACAGAATTATTGAGAAGTATGCTGATGTGTGTGAATGTAAGTAGTAGTATGCCTATAGTAATCAGTAAAGTCATGTCAACTTTTGACCGTGATAGCAAAGACCCAGAACACCGATAACTCCGCCACATGCATTGTATGATCAGACCCATCGTGCCATTACCATTACCATTACCACCCACCACCACTACGGAAGCCTCGTCCACTTCTCCCTCCGTAGCCGCCACGTCTCGGCCCTCTAGGCCCTCCCTTCCATCCCCCGTCCCCGTAACCACCATCATCGCGCATGGGTCCATCATCCTGCATCGACGGACGCGGCCGGCCCCGTATATCCTTAGGCAGGGCTTCGTACGTCTTGCGCATCTGCGCGTAGCCGAGGTGCATTTTTCCGTAGAAGTGGTCGGCGAGGCGGCGGTCGTTGTCGAGCCTAGACAAATACGCGCCGCAGACGTCGCAGACCTGCAGCTTCTGGTGGCCCGAGGGTCCACTGGTGTCGGCGAGGGTCTTGAGCTCGCGCTCGCGCTCGAGCTTGGTCTGCGCCGCCTGCCGCACGCGGAAGAACTCCTCGTACGCGCGGCTCACCTCCCCCAGGTCCCCCAGGATCTGCACCTCGTGCAGCCCGCAGTTGATCGTCGCGCTCAGGTCCGAGATCGTCTTGAGCAGCACGTTCGTCTGGCGGATCTCGTCGGGGGTTTTCTCGAGCCGTCGCTGCGCGGCGTCGATCCGCCGGTTGCATTCCTCGATGTATTTTTGTAGGTCCCGCGCGTAGTCGATCTCGAAGCCGTATTTTTGCCGCGCGGCCTCGGGCAAAGCTTCGTACTCGTTCTTCAGGGACTCGGCGTGGATCTTGGGGCACGGGCCGAGGTCTTGCTTGGTGTTGGTGAAGAGGTCGTGGGGGCACGTGCCGACGATGTAGGAGCGGCACACCTTGGGGTCGGTCAGGGAGACCTGGGCTGCGCGGGAGGTCTGCGGACCACCCATTAGCTGCTCTAAGGGGGAGGGGAGGTGGTTAGCGGGTGCAACTGACGAAGGATATCACAGTTTGATAAATAACTTACCAAGCAGCTTCCTCTGTTCTGCTGCCATTATCGAGGTAGTACTAAGTAATGTCGTGGTGTGGAAAAGTTTGTGGTTGGTGAACGACGAGGCTGAAAGGAATAGGAAAGCGTTGAAGGATTTCAAGGCTGAAAATCAATCGACGAAGAAAAGCGAGCTTAGTAAACTAAAAATAACTATGGGCCTGCAGCTTTGGCCAATTAGATGGCCAGTAATTAACCTACTAGACCTTGTAAGCAGCAGATAATATGGGGCATCTTATTTGCTACATAAATTACATTATCCGTTCTTCTTCTTCTTCACAATCACACTGGCTATTGCGATATATGCTCAAAGAATCACAACATGTTTAAATGTACTACTAGTAGTATGCATCACGTAGACCAACTTCAAACCAACTTCTATGTTAATGTTCGTTCAATGATTTCTATGAGTCTACATTATATTGGCCTAAGCTATTTCATATTAACCCCCTATCTTTAACAAGGGAAATGACAGTCCACATTGCGAAACGGCAATGAATTTTGCTTTACCCAGCCATTACTGGTACAATACCGCGGCTTTTTCGTGTCAGTTTCTGTACTGTCCCAAGCAATGCCATCATACGTGAGTTTGATGATCCAGTCTTTATATCTCGATGGAGAGCAATCCAGGTCTCCCATTTGGCACGGTTCCGCTTTTACGCCCTTTGGCAGGGTATTGGTGAAAACGATATCCAAGTTCTTCGGCAGCTTTGTTTTCTGGGGGATGAAGGACATGGCTTTATTCCAAGCCTCCCTGCCATCGGTTTCTTGGTAGGTAAGGTTGTGGCCCCCGCCGTCGAACAATGTCACCTTGGCCGTCACGCCGTCGAGCGGTCCTGCCGATTGCTCCCAGATGCTGGCCTTGCACGAGCCTTTGGTGTACTCGGGTTGAGGACAGGAACAGATTTTCTGGAATCCTCCGCCATTGGGAAGACGGTTGAGTACTAGGCAGCTGGCGTGCCCTCCATTAGGACATGCCTTTTTGGAGCACTGTTCCTGGTCGCAAGGAGCAGCGTGCACCCCAGTAGGGTCTGCGGTACTGGTAGCTGCTGGGCTTTCGCCAGTCTTCTTGCTGGTTGTACTCGTAGCACTAGTCTTAGCGGTCTTGCTGTCTGCGCTGCTGTGGCTGGCTATAGTAGTCTTACTACTATGACTAGTTGTCGTCGCCTTGCTAGTATCGCTGGCTAAGGTAGGTTTACTACTATGACTAGTTGTGATGACCTTGCTAGTATTGCTAGCTGTGGTGGTCTTGCTCGTCTGACTAGATGTGGTAGCCTTGGAGGCTGTCTGGCTTATTTTCGCAGGACAAGCCTCACCTTCCTCTGCGCGTCGGCCCTGTCGAGGTTTCCATGTCTGTTTCATCGGCGCATCCCATGAGAAATGTCGCTCACCGAGCTCACGGCCCTCAATCCACAAGCGCCACGACGCCTTCCTGCCATCGCATTTTGCCGGCTGGTACTGCAGAAGCACCTTCCCACGATGCGATTTGTAATTCCGATCATCTAAAAATTCCCGTGCTTCATCTTGGCTAATTGGGGGCTTCCTATTAATTACGCTGATAGGGAGCGTTCGTGGAGCATAGCCGACAAAGTCGGTGATCGGATCACGCATCTCATCCTCTACTCCTAGCAAATATTCCAGTCTGTCGCTCAATTTGTCTAGTTTGTCGTCGGCGTTGAAGTTGCCCTGATTCGCATTTTCGGAATATAATTCTTCTTCAGGTATGGGGATGTTGTCTTTGTCTGCATAGTACTTGATGTCTTTAGTTTGTACATCTACGAATTTTTTGTCTCCGAGTCGTTTCCACGGCGCGAAAAGGAAAATACGTGTATCCGGAACCTCGCCCTCTTCGCCAAACATGAAGCCCAACTCTTCCGGTAGATTTTGGTTTTCGACCAAATCTAAAAGGTTATATTTGTGGTACTCATCGGCGTTAAAATCTTTGGGCAGCCCATTGCTAAGTCTGTCGAGGACCTTTTCTTTGAACTCCGCGTCTGTGGTCTTGGTAAATAAGTACTCCCATATATGCATCATCCACACCCCTCTAGTCGAGACTACAATTACCCCGGTGCACCCAAACAGTTTTTCCAAGGCTAGCGTAACAGGCTCATCACCAAAAACTACCGTTACTGAGGTCGGAAAGTCGGTTTCGTCAGGCCATTTGACAACTTGATATCGCGGAGAGGTGGAAAAGTGCGCCGCCTTAACCTCGCCAGCTATAAACTCCGTGTGTGATGGATACTGGCTGGGCTCGACCCAGTCGCCTTGATCATTGGCGTTGCGCTTGAATATCGAGTATTTATCAGTTCTGCGGGGCTTGTTCTTTCGCGGCCGCAGGGCCAATGCTGGCACGGGGCATTTCCCCCCGCCGCAGGTTTCGGGTGAGCATGGCACAGCGTCCAAGGTCTCGTAAGATCCTGTTACTGTTGTCGATGAGCCGGTTGCTCTACAGCCAGTCACCGTGCTATACGTTTTCGTGGAGCACGAGAGACTGGCCTGGTTCGTGGCCGTTTTGATACAAGTGATGCTTTTGTGGAATGCTGTGCTAGTTGTATCGCAGCTTTCTTTGGTGGAGTCCTTAGTTGATGTTGGTTTTTCGGTTACGGTCGGCTTGCTAGTTGCAGTTGGCATGTCAGTCTGAATTGACTTGACTTCGCCTTTCTTGTCATCCTTCTTATTGTCCTTGCTGTCCTCCTTGTCATCTTTATCCTTATCTTTATCTTTATCATCCTTGTTATCGTCATTGTCGTTCTTTTCGTTCTTATTAGTTTGTATCTCATCCAACGGACAGTTACCATTTCTCAACTTGAATAACTGCACACAGAACTTTGGGGTATCAATCTGAATATTAGGTGGAAATATATTAAAACAGTTAAAGCATATCTGTGGTGGCCCTATGAAAGGAATGATGACTTTTGTTGTTGCAGCAATGTCAGCATATACTTGGCACGATTCCTGGCGACTTGCTTACTTGGTACTACGGTTGGACTGTTCCCCCCGGGTGAAGTTGTCGTGATATATGCCGGTGTAGTGGCAGTATAATCGGTCAGTGGAACAAATGCAGCTGCAGGGGGCAATGTGAGCATAACAGGCGGGGCGGTTGTTGATGATCTGCTGGACACTGTGCTGGAAGCCGTCAGAGCAGATGGGTGAGATATAATAGTACCGGTTACGCTGCCCGTAGACTTCTCACTGGTATGGTGTGTGCTAGTAGGGTGTTCCTCCGTGGTTTTCCCTGTGGTGATAGGAATGGGGACAACGCCCGGGAGTGTTGAGTTGGCAGGCGTGCCTTTGGTAACAGTAGAGCTACTCGTACTTCTCGCATCGGTAGAGTTTTTCAGTGTAGTGGCACGATGAGCACTTGTGGGACTGACCAATGATGAATTTAAAAGTGAAGACTTTGTAGTTGAATGGATGTTGGTAGTATCTATGGTAATACTGGGCATTTTCAATGTGTTGATAGGCTTTATATCCGGGGGTATTGTCTGGGCCGAAGAGACTTTTGTTGTGCTAAGCTTGTTACCTGGCATGGGGAACGTATTAATCGGTTTGATGTCCGGCATTTTTAGCTCGGTTGGCGTAGTCCCAACGCCATCCCTCCTGACATTCCTTTTTTCATATAGGGCTACTTCAAGCGTTGCGGTGGACATGTCACAGATGTCGAGCTAGCAATATGTCACTATTTAGCATCATTTCTCTGTAGAAAGCCAATAGGTAGACGTCTACTAGGCATGTAGACGACAGGGTGTACTGACTGGGCTTTTGCCGGAGAGACTACATCTGGAATGTCGACCAGATGTCCCATCTTGACGTCTCTGAGGTTGTAATGGATCAGACACAGTCCCTCTGCTCCCAAGACAGATGGCGGAGAGCAGTCCGAACAGTCTTGGAAAGTACATAGTCAGCAGGTCAATGTGCAGATGAGATGCAGAGAGACTATCGAAGAGACCGACACTCCCGAAAAACAGCCATGTGGAGAGCAAGCCATTGCATTTATACAAGATTTGTATTATGTTAAGAGGGCCTCGCAAATTTTGATATGAGATATTTTTAGACAAACCACTCTTCTACATTTCCGTATACATGTTCAAGGGTACTTTTTCACGATTGTCTGCAAAGGATGGCTAGGAAGATGTGGATATACTCTTATTATTATTGCGTTTACTTCAATGGTAGTTGCTATAAATACATAAAGTATCTACCTAGTACCAAGGGTACCTTACCTAACCTAGGTAAGTTAGGTAACATGACTGCAATTGGAAACCGGGTAGTACTGATGAGGAAACGAGGAATTTTACATGAGTAGATGCTGGTAAGTATGAAAGTTGGTCAAGTGGCAAGTGCGGCACAACCTGCGATGTTCTTGGAAATAGAATGACCTATGATAAGTCACGTGCTCCAGGATGCAAGATATCCCTGATCACATGACCAAGTACCTAGTTAAATCCTGACAAATGTACATAAGGTCTAAGTGAGTGCATCCCTGCAGTGACTAAATCTTAAACCCTGTAGCTAGTAATTGTACATGTAGCTTTAAATGTTCGTGGTGATGATTGATCACTACTACAACTACAATCACGACAAGCAAAATGTCGTCCTGATGGACTATCAACCTTCACAATGCGTCCTTTCTTTTCTTACTTGATACCCCTTTCAATTCTATTTTGGAATCTTGCTATTGTTTCTGCTTCCGACTATTACGAACAACTAACTCTTAAGCCGCTGCCGCAATCCACCCTTCTCTCTAGTTTCAACTTCAGATCCAATACCACCTTGTCGCAGTTCGAAGCGCACAACTTTCGGTACTTCCCTCGCTCTTTAGGCCAAATACTACAACATGTCGGAACAAGAGAACTGCATCTAAGATTTAGCTTGGGAAGATGGGACGCGGAGAGCTGGGGAGCGAGGCCATGGGATGGTACTAAGGAAGGTGGGACAGGTGTTGAGCTATGGGCTTGGATAGAAGCAGAAACTGACGAAGAGTACGATTTCCTATGCATCCTGTCACCAAACATCATTCAATTGTCCACCGCTAACGTTGTTCTTTCTCTTTTTTTTTTTTTAGGGCGAGCCAGAAATGGCTGTCTCTCACGAACGCATTGTCCGGCCTCTTCTGCGCCTCTCTAAACTTCATCGACGAAACTAGGACAACTCGACCTGTCATGTCCTTCCAACCCGAAGGAGACCATTCATCTTCCACTCTTGAAAACATGCAACTACTACATGGTGTATTGCCGAGAGAAGTGGTTTGTACCGAAAACCTAACCCCCTTTCTGAAGCTACTTCCGTGCAAGGGGAAGGCCGGAATCTCTAGTCTACTGGATGGGCATAAACTCTTCGACGCATCCTGGCAAAGCATGGCAATCGATATCCGACCTATATGCCCAGATGGGGAAGAATGTGTACTGCAGATCGAGCAGACTATCGACATGGTCTTAGACATCGAAAGATCTAAGCGGCCTAGGGGTAAGTAAAGCCCGCTGTTTTGTTTCAAAGTCAGTCAGAATCTTTACATCTGACTCCGCAATAGGCAACCCTATTCCCAGGCCACCGCCAGGCCACGATCTCAAGTGCAATTCCTCGAAGCCATACCATTCTGGTGACACGTGCTTCCCGACTGATTATGCAGAGGGTCAAGAATGGGCAGTTGACCAAGTCTTTGGCAAGCCAATTAAGGGGGCCTGTCCATTAACCGACCCGACTATCCCCCCTGTTTGCATCCAAGCTCCTCTCAGCAGAGATGTTTATATTACTGAGGGTGCAACTGAGATTAAGAATCCACAGGGACCTTCTCGATGTTACCAAATTCCATCAGATGCTGATTTCTCCATGATTCTTCCACACGTACAGAAAGAAATCGAGCACAGGGTTAAGGAGATTGTTGAGCCGGAAACTCCCCTTTTATATGCGGAGCGTAGCTTTACAGGGCATGGATATGAACGTGGCGGAGTCAGGACTATCCTTACCAACCCAAGTCCTGATACAGAAGTTGAATTTTTCTATATGGAGACTTTACCATGGTTCATGCGGATATACCTTCATACCCTAAAGACTCAGATTGACGGAGTCGCAAGTGGTAAGAAGGATATCATTGAAGAGATTTATTACCGTCCAGCTCTTGACCGTGTCCGGGGAACCCAACTTGAACTGAGGATGCGCATTCCACCCGCTAGTACAGTGTTTCTTACTTACGATTTCGAAAAGTCTATTTTGAGGTATACCGAGTATCCTCCAGACGCAAACCGCGGCTTCGATGTGGCCGCAGCTATTATAACCATACTACCTTCCGAGTCTCACAACGCCTCACAGGCCAGGCAAAAGATGTCGAATCTTCGAACGACGACGCTGCTGCTCAGTCTGCCGACGCCGGACTTTAGCATGCCGTATAATGTAATCATCTTCACGAGCACGGCTATCGCCTTGGCTTTTGGGGGCATGTACAATATTTTGATACGAAGATTCGTCGGCGCAGACGAGAGCGCCGATGCCAGTGTAAGCGGTTTAAAGGGTAGGATTATGGCTGCTGTTGCTAAGTTAGCACAAAAGTTTAAGGAGGCCAAGGGGAAGAAGGTAGATTAGATAATGATATGGTATTTAATGGCCTTATAGAAAGTAATTGCTAAAGGTATTGCCCCCTATATGCACGTGAGTTGTCTTTTTGTGACTGATGTTCATTGGAGTTACAGTAGGTTTGCCTGGACACTATTGGAGCAATCTACTGTGCAGAGTTTTGACATTGAAGCTTAGTCCGAGGCGTGAAGGACTGGTGAATGCTATGCACTGCCTCCCCTTTTGCTACTAGGCGGAGATTCTATACGAAACAGCAAAATGCCACAATTTTGATGATTGAAATCCAAGGTAGGTACCTCAGGTACCTACCTACCCAGGGTATATATTAAAATGAAGTTGAATGCCTCTTCAGACGCTACCTAGGAGTAGGTATTTAGGTGTGTACCAATCGCCATAGGTAGAGCAGATCTCTAGGCTGCCACAGGCTTGCTTTTGCTCGTCTGTTGCGACGAGAGTTTCTCTCCCGACCCCCCCCCCCCTATCCACATACCTATCCTACACCATCCATCCCCTACGACTGCAACGCCGCACCCAGCGTATACGTCGACGAGCGGAAGTAATCCTGCATCCGCCCCATGATCACCGGGTTCACGTTCACGGACAGCTCCCACCGCTGCCACCTTTCTTCTCCTCCCCCTTCGTAGTACGTCCTCCTCTTCCTCCTCTTCTCGCTGCTGAGGTCGGGATACGTGTCCGGCTGCGTCGTGATGGTCTCGATGCTCGACCGCTTGCTGTGCGTGGCCGCGGAGTAGGAGGACGCTGTGGAGGCTGTGGATGTGGTTGATTCCTGCCGGAAGTGGTGCCGGCTTGGCCTTCGGGTATGGGGTGGTGCGAAGGTGTCGAGGCTGATGGGGTCGGGATCCGGGGTTGGGGTTGGGGTTGGGATAGGATCCGTCTGCACGCTCGCGTCGGCGTAGTTCGACCGCGGCCGCCGCGGCCAGTGGTGGTCGCATGTGCACCGGCTGCCTGGGACCATGGGCGGTGGCGTGGCTGATTTCGCTCGCGCGGGCGCGGGCGCGGGCGCGGGTGCTGATGTTGATGTTGATGTAGGTGCTGTTGGCGTTGCAGCGATCTCCGGGCTCGGCTGCTCCTTCAGCACCTCCAGCTCATCCCGCCCGTACACCAGGCTCCGCGGCCGCGTGGCCCACGACCGCCGCTGCTGGTGGAACGCGAGCGGGACGATCGAGATCCGCCGCAGCTTGTCCACCGACGACGAGCGCGTGTGCGTTGCCAGCGGCTTCAGCGGCCTTGGCTGCGGCTGCGGCTGCGGTCCGGGGGGGGAGTTGTCCGCGACCGGCGACTGCGACGCCGGCAGCGTGTTCGAGCGCGGCCGCTCGCCGTCGGCTTCGGTGGCGAGTTCGCGCGCTCGGCTGGACCGCCGTCGGTGTGCGGGAGAGGAGTTCGGGCTCTCGCCGCTGATGGTCAGGGCGCGCCGCAGCCGTTGCTGCTGGGTGCCTGAGGGCTCGCTGCGGACTTCGCCGTTCCGGTCCGATGCCCAGAAGGTGTCTTCGCCGGAGAGGACGACCTGCAGGGTCTCGAAGTCCCGCGTGCTGCCGTCGGAGGGGAAGAGCCAGTCTTGGAGGCGGGTGGGGAGGCTGCTGGATTCTGGAGGCGAGAGGGTTAGCATGTATTGGTGGTAGGCTGAGGTGGCTATAACTATGGACTTGCGTTGTCTGTATTCCCCAGAATGAGTCTTCCAACACACGTAGTGCTGCCCGGAGGACCCCAGGGCAGTAACAATCAATTGCGCCACGCCGTCCGAATCATCGGCGTCGTTGGCGAGGGAGTTCAGGAGGTCTGCGATCATCGTGTTTTATTGTCTTTGATTTAATATATCTTCACTCACTACTAGCCCAGCTGTTAGGAGTAGGTATTAAGCGGCATCCCTCAAGTAGGTATGTTTCAATAATTGAATAAATTTAATTTCAAAATGGCCAGCCGTATAGGAGAAACGAAATAGAAGGAAAAAAGAAAAAAAAAAAAAACCAATAATATTAATGTAACGAAAGTATGAAGATCATAGTAAGCAAATCATAGACTCTACAAAAATGCAAGAACAGTTTTACAGATGATGTCTACGAAGTACTAGGTAACTAGATAGAGCTAGCTGCCAGCAGCTGGGGATCGATGCTTGGATCATCAGCAGCAGCACAGAAGAAACCAACTGTCGATGATTGATTGACATTGCGAAAGAACGTCAAAGGGTGCAAGCAAACGCATGATGGTGGATGCCGCTGCGGGTAAGTTGAGACGCTATGGTTCCTGGAAAACAGCTGATATGGGCCCAGCGCCCTGCCCAAAGCTCCCCGGCGCGCAGAGTCGCAATCTGAAACCAAGACACGGGGGATCGACTAGGTGACCCCGTCCCCGTTAATACTGACAACCACATCATCGCCAGGGGCGGGATTAGCCTCATTTTTTTTTTTTTTGTTCTGGTAAATGGTGGTAGCTTAGGTGCCTAACTCATGTTACTCACATCACGCTTTGGGTCAGTGGCTTCGTCTACGAATGCCGAAATGAGGGTATTCAAGTTCAGATGAAGGCTAGCGGGCGTGAGGGAGCGATTCCAGAGCTGTGGTCGTATACTGGCCAGCCCCTTACTTGTGCAGCTTGGTGGATAGGTGTTATGTTAAATTTTGATCAATATCCATTCTCAAGTACGTGTCACTATATCAAGAAGTTTTATAAGTGTTTATTGCCTCAGGGTGTCAGTACATTCGAACACTTGGACACATCGAGATGGCGGAACGGCCCATTCTACCCAGCGGATCATATTACGAATACTGGGTCCTACTAGGTAGGTGGCTAGGTATCTAAGATAGGTTGATTGATGTTCCAACGGCATATTGCTTGCAGCCACGTTCGTTTATTACGGCTTAGGTTATTTCTATATTCTAGGTACTATTATTTACATCATCCACTTCCCTTTCCGGCGTAGGGTCATCTTCCACGTAAGGCTTCATATATCCTCCAGCATTTTCTCCTACCTCGCCGTTCGCTTCATCTAAAATATCGAGTCGATCTGCAATAGAGCTAGCTGCCGTGACAGATGCGGTGTCGCTGAGCCCGTCTGCTTTCCTCGCTGCTGACCAGAATGAAACGTTGTCCGTGGCTACGCTTGGCGAGTGGAGAAACGCACCTGACGGCTGCGCCGCGAGAGTCTCTGGCTGGAGCTTCAGTTTGTCTAGGTTAAGAGTCCTGTCCTCAATTTCCGCAGTTTGGCTTAAAGACGGATCTGCCTCATTCTGTTGTTCTTGTGATTCTGCCGTAGGAGTTGGTTGAGCCTCCGCCTCGGCTTGCTGCTGTTGATTCAGCATCTCTTGCCTCTCCTCCTCTTCCCGTTGAGTCTGCTCCTTGTGCTGCTTCATCTTCTCGTCTAGCGTCTGCGGCTGGTTCGGGTCTGGCTCGGGCTTGCGCTCCTTCTTCTCGCGCCGCGTCAGCTCCACCTCGAGCACTCTGGTTCCCATGGGAACCTTGGTGACGAGGCCATCGTCGTCGCGGTCGAAGTAGAGAGCCCATATTCCGGGGAACTCCTCGACCGCGACGAAGCCCTCCCACTTTTCTAATGTCATGCGCCGGTCCTGCCGGGTGCAATCGAAGGGCCCAGTGATGTGTGGTTGCGCATCAGCACGAACTCCATACTTTAACTCGTATGTGTCTTTGTCGACGTAGATCCAGTTTAACATGGGAGGGTCATCGCTAATAGTGCTGACGAGACCCTCGTATGGCTTGTCGGGGTATGGTAAGTAGTATCCTGAGAATGGATACCCGCTACCAGAGGCAGTGGGTTGGCCCTCTTCAACCGATGGTGTACTGGTGGTGATGTATAGCTATGACACCCTTCTATTAGCAACTTATTCCACATGCAAGTCTTTCGTATGAGTAAGTGCTTAGGTAACTTACCTTGTTGTCTTTTAATACGACGAGCTTGCCATCTATGTCCCGACTTCGGATAGATTGTTTGACACATGATACCACCATATTACAGCGACGAGAACGGTGCTCTTCTCGCTTGTTCTTGGATTGACTTTGGCGAATCGCCTCCTGCGTTCCCAATAGGGCAGGGGCGATTGTGAGCGCCAGTATCATAGGCAACGCCATAGCTAACTCTTCGAGTGCTTCTTGAAGGGTCTTCCCTTTGACTGTGAAAGTTTCGGATGCGTGAATATTACTAGTCGACGACATCAGTCTCTGTAGTTAGGCTATCGTCACCAGAAGAAAGTAATGGCAGAAAGATAGGGGAAATGTGTTTTTGCACCAACAAACTGATTACACGTGTATGTCAAGCTTAAAGAAGAGATAATAGTTATTTGGGGGGTAATTTTTCTTGAAATGGAATTACTCTGGACAGATTGATACCAGATTTTAGAATAATTAGTTTTTTCCCCGGGATCCTAGTATTAGCTGAATCTCCTATTACACCCAAGAGACCCTATTTCCTGACATATCATGCCATTTTCTCAGATCAGATCTCGGCACTGCCAGGGAAAACCGGGGTCAAACGAGACCCTTGACGTTTGAGGCTCAACGCTTTGATCCAGGGGTCCACCACACCCAGACCATCCAAGAGATGGACAGGCAATCGGAATAGGGTAAAGTTTCCACTGCAACTCGAGCAAGGAATAATTGGACGAGTTCGATCGTGCCATATCGAACGACTGCGTTACATCGGAGTGATGATGAACTCCATTGGCGTCGCAGCGGACCCAGCACACCCAGCACACCCAGCACAATCGAAGTTGTTTCGAACGCAGGGACATATTCCTAGTCAATTGTCTGGAGAATAAGCTATTTCGTTGAAGCTTGTGTTGAGGTCAACGGCATATAAAAGTAGTTCTGATGCCGACTTGGTAATGGGTTTTTTTTTATTCTCATCATCAAGCATCAAATTCCATCTTCACAACAACAACTTCAGCCGGCCTGACTTTCCCACACGACCCGATACCTTCGTCGTTCAAACATTTTTTTTTGAGATCTTCATTCGATTAATCCGATAATAAATAATTCAAAATGGCCGCCCCTACCAGCACGTAAGTCGATTCTTGATTCTATCAGGTGTAAGATACAATCCGGTCTAACAAAATTTAGCACTTCCGCTATCCCCATGAAGAACAACGTCGCCTATAACAGCGACTCCGAGTCTGATGGCCAGGCACGAGGTGGCCGTCGCCCCCAGAACCAGCTCTCTCAGACCCTTCCCCAACTACCTACCTCGGTTGGTTTGGCTCAACCAGCTGGTAAGACTAAACCAATCAAACTCGATGCATTGGAGTATCGAATTTACTAACATTCTCTCCTAGGCTCGCTCCTCAGGGGTGCCACCGACGACAACGGCAACCAGAAGACCGCCGCCCTCTTGGTCGGCATCAAGCTCGACCTCGAGGCCGAGGTCCACCTGACTGCCCGCGTTAGGGGTGACATCTGCGTGGGTCTCTACTAATGCACACCGACCTGCACCTGTGCACTGGAGACGCAGTGTACAGTTTTGGAATCTCAAGGAAGACAAGCAGTAGCAAAGAGCGACGACAATTGATTGGGAGAAGCGGAAAGCGCGCACACACACACACACAAGATACCCCATTTTTGCATGGATTAAGTTCGTGGTCTACAACTACACGATGGAATCAATCACGACCCCCCCTCCAACCCTGATGCTGATCACCTAGTATTTTGCGGGCTGGCTGGCCGCCGCTTGGTGCGAGGTACATATTAATAGACCATTTGGAGATCTCATCATGAATGCTTTTGAATGTGAATATCCTGTGATTAACTGTTAAATTCCATCTAATAGTAGAGTAAGTCAATCATTCCTTTCCAGTAACCCATTAGCAACGTGATGTGAACAAGTGGGTTTGAAGTACAAGAAAAGAGGGGGGGGGGGGGGGGGGGGGGTTGTATTCGTGAAAGCAATTAAAATTTGGTGATCACATTGAAAGAATTTGATTCGAGTTAATGGTATATCAAATAGTTGGAAATATTACTTATATCTAATCTCATAATATACGACGGAAATGAAGGAAATGGGAACTGGAGAGGTGGTGAATAGGAAAGTTGTATTTTTAGCTAATAGTTAGGTACCTAAGGTAGTTAAAGACTGCCCGGTGAGGTATTAAACATCTAGGTAGGTACGTTAAAACCTGATGGGCGAGGCAGCATTATTTACTTGGTATGTTGGTGAATATCTCATCATCATCATCGTCGCCATCACTGTGATCATCTTCACCACCTTCACCATCTTCCTCATTTACAAATATGATCACAAAATTACTCGGCGCATCTATCTCGTCACCTTGCGGAGGATCAAAAACATTACTGGGCAACTCGCCACACTCAATTAGTCGTGCTATCTCAGACTCCCTATACAAATGGATTATGTCCACCTTATCTTCTTCGAAATCACGAAGTGCTACAAGAGCAACGTCACCATCACTGACGAACTGTCTCCTCCTACTCATACTGCCCCGGGCGATAGCGTGGCGTATAGCTGGGATGCCATCCCCCTTTACGCTGAGAATCCGGACCCGGAACTGACCGTGGCCGAGAGCCTTCTCGATGTAAGCGTATTCTTGGCTCTTGTCTTTGAGTAGGAGCTCGCGCTGTTCATCATCATTATCTAATCTCTTCTTCTGGCGACGTGACACCTTCCCTCCTTTACGACTGGGATAAGGCATTGTGGTGTGGTAGAAGTGTCTTGAGACGTAGTTAAACTTTGTTGAGGTTTTGGAATATTTACACGGAATTTTATGAAAGATTACATGGGGGTGAATTTATAGTCCACGATGGGAGGTTACAAACATGTCGTTAACTAACACATCCCCATGATTAGTAACGGCCACAGAGTTACAGTTCAATATCACTATGTGAGTTGTCATAAGACACATATTCCGATCTCTAAGGACTTTAGTAAGGTACCCAACAAAGGAAATGGATAGGTAAGTCATCAGGGGCTATGGGCTATGTCTGAATTGTATACTCTTGGAGATACAAGCAAAACAATGATTGATGCTGAACAACCCGCTTTGTTATAGTGCGTTGTGTGAAACATCATTGTCTGGGCTACATGAGATCCGTACCTACCTAAGTAGGTACCTACGTATGGTCTTACAAGACAAGACACACTCAAACTTGTGATTTATCTTATTCAAACAGTTGATGTAATAAGCTGTATACCAACTAGAGGCGCGTAATGCAGATATAAGTGACTACACTATGGGTTAGCCAAGGCATTATAGGGAGAGTATGGATGTGAGGTATATTTGAAACAGCAACCACCGTGCTTATATATGTAGAGATGAATATATACTAGCTTCCTCCGTACAGTCAGTACCCAATACGATCTGTAGCAGGGGCTCTATAGTGGGCTAGCTCCAGCTTCTATTACACGACCAACACATTCGCCAAAGCCCACTTTCGCACCCGACTGCCCGCAAATGCCACGGATGGTGACTTGGTCGCCATCTTTCAAATAACGACGCACGTCCATGCCGTAAAGCATGATATCCTTCTTTCCGCCCTCACTCAGCTCTAACAGACTCCCCCTTTCTTGCAACGTCGGCCCGCTGATCGTCCCCGAGCCAAGGAGATCACCAGTTCTCAGAGGGCAGCCGCCCAGTGAGTGATGGGCGATCATCTGGGGGAATGACCATAGAAGGTACTTCGAACTCGTTTTGCAGATTGTTGTTGAGTCTCCCTGGGGTGCTGCGCTGTTGTTAGTCATTGGTCAAGAAGACTTCGTTGAAGTTTACAAAACACATACTCTCAAGGTCAATTTGTAGGTCAATGGCAAAGACGTTCTCCTCTTTGCCTTCGTTCAGGTACCCTTGTAGGGGCGTCCAGTTGTCAACACCCTTACTTCGGAACGGCTCCAGGGCATCGGCAAGAACGACCCAGGGGCTGATGCTGGTGGCGAAGTTCTTGCTGTTGAACGGCCCCAGAGGAACGTACTCCCAGGATTGGATGTCGCGTGCGCTCCAGTCGTTGAGGAGAACGTATCCGAAGATATGGTCTTCTGCGTCGGTAACTTTGATGGATGACCCCATGTTGTTTGGGGTCGCTATGAAGCATCCCAGCTCCAACTCCATATCCAGAAGTCTGCTTGGAGCCGTGGTAGGCTGCTTAGGCTCTGCTGCCTGGTCAATAATGATCTGACCCCAAGGTCGCTTAACCGGTGTGCCCGAGACTACGATGCTGGATGCTCGGCCATGGTATCCAACGGGAAGATGGGTGTAGTTGGGTTGTAGAGCAGTCTGTGGGCCACGGAATAAAGAACCAACGGTATAGGCATGGTGAAACCCAGCATAGAAGTCAGTATAGTCGCCGATACTCATGGGCAAGTGCATCTTTACGCTACGCTGGGAGAGTAACGCCTTTTCTCGTAATTCTGCATTGTCCTTTAAGACCTCTGGGCGTGAAGTTTCATTGGATAAGAGGTCTTGAATGGTTCCACGGACTTCGCGATGAATGGGCCGGCCTAAGGCTGCGAAGTCATTGAGAGTAGGCTTGGAGAAGACATCACGGTGTTCCTTCAACGCTGGAAATATCTCCGCAAAGGATCCATATCCAGAAAGGACCTTTAGATCGAGCACTGAGGATCCAATAGCAATGGCAGCGTGTGGTGTGGGATCTGCTGAAGAGCTGATGATACCAAATGGGATATTGGCAAGGGAAAACGGAGTATCGGGGGATATGTCAGGAATCCATGTTAATGCCATGGTATGAATTCGTAGTCCCAACTTGTATTATAGACAAATTCTCTAAGTAGTTGCAAATGAGTAATGCTTGGTGCTATGGTCCTTAGGCTATTCACATATGTACGAAGCAAGGTATAAGTTGTACATATGCCCATTCAAAGATTGAAGGAGATCGATGATATGTTCAGTACTGCGGGTGTGTGTAGTAGTAGTAATATTGATGGATGATCCTAACTAGGTTAGGTAGGTTAGTATGTAGTATCGACGTTTGAATGGGAGCACTGAGGTGTACCTTGGGTGGGTATCGACACAGGCATTGAAGGGGAGTCCTGAATACCTCAGTACAATACATAACTACATGAATGTTTATCGTTTTTTATCAATGTGCCGACAGTGCCCGACACTACCCTAGGGCTTAGGTATCTCTTAGGAGGAACATTGAAGCTGCGTGTGGGGGAAGGTGGGGGTATACAGTATCGTTGATGAAGTTGCAGGGGTCACACGCGAATTTAGATCACACAGCTACGGCGTCTCCACCTTTAGCCGTACCATTTAGCACTGTCCTAGCTTCCTTTAGGTACCCTAGGTACTACTACATATGTATGTAGTGTCAATTCATAGGTAATAGGTACCTACCGTACCTTAAGGTAGGCACGGTAGGTACCTACAGTACATATGTAGTAGTAACCTTAGTCACCTTCAGGGCTACATTCGCCGTATGACTAACTTCCAATATATCTAACATGCCTGAGGCAGCTACAATGTGCAGAGTATATAAAGCTGGTACCTGCCCAGCTAGAGGGCATGCTCTCTTCTTATTCATCTCAGTGCTCTTAATTGAATTTTACGTTCATTCCCTCATCCACCTTCATTTCTCCATTACAACACCGCAAAGCACAAGTCAGTGACTGCTCTTACGAACACAACGGCAGCAAGAACAAAGAAAAAGAAAAACAACAGAACGCATATCTTGTATGTCTTATAACAATTAACTACTATCATCCTACATACATATTAACTTGTGCTTCCAGGAACTTCACAAGTTCAACGGCAAACATGGCTGCCGTAGACAACGCCATTATTCGCAACAGCTCCCCCAAGGAGCTGGCGCGATATTTCCAGGAACTATTGGCGTCTAGTGACTGGAAAGCGATATCCGACCATATTTACGCACATATTGGTTTAGGATCCCTTGTGCCTACAGTGGTACATGTGTTCCTCTCTGTTTGCAAAGAGCCAGATGCCATTGCCGCCTCTATTCACCAGAATGTTTCTTCTCTTGCTCGACGGGTGGCCATCAACCTTTTCACGAAGAAACTCCAGTCAGACTCATTCTCCGACATGTGGATTGCCATGGGCGGAATCCAAGGTCTGCTGAAGTTGGTATCTGAAATGTCGGTCGATGAAGTCAGACTACTTTGTCGAAACTTGGGGAAAACCAATACTACGAAGGGCCCAGTTGAGGAGCGTCAGCTATGTATATCCGGCCTATATAAAGCGCTTCAGAATACTACCGGGGAAGATGACAGTGTAAACTTCAATCCCAGCACCAGCATCAGACCCCTTGGCACAGTCTTCGACAAGATCATCCCTGCTTGCACAGCAGACATCGTCCTGGAATCTGTTTCCACCAGCCGACAGCCTCGGAAGTTGATTTGCCGTGTGCAAATCAAATACTATCAACGAGAGTTCCTTGCCGCAGTCTTCCCAGAGAAGGGAAACGAGAAAAAGATCACGTCGTACCAGTTTGTGCTCAAGAGCAGTGACATCTGGTTCTCTCTTACAGTCCTGGAAAGATTGACAGTGGCTCCTGATTCCCTGAAAAGAAATGCAGAAAACCTCATCGAGGAACTGATCCGTCCTTTGGCCAAACGTCTTTTCCATCGAAGAGAAGCCGTGAATGTTCAAATCAAGTTCTACCGCCTCCTTACACAGGTGATAGATATGGAACCTAGTGTTGCCGACAAACTGGACCATAACATCATCTATTACGCGGCTCAAGCATGGGAGCGTGCCCATGAGAAACAGGAGACCATGGAACAACTTCTAACGAAACTAGTCTGCCTCATGAAGCCGAAGCACAACTGGACATTTACGCAGATAATACAACAGCTACAGCAGGTTAAATGTAAACTGCGCTTCCCGCTGTTGCGACTATTACTCCAAAGTGCCAGACCTTTTGAGATCAACATTGACTTCCCCTCCACCACTGACAATGAAAAGCTCAAGTCCCTCAATCAATCCTGGCCTTGTAGACTCTTTTACCTACTTCCAAAGGATGAGTCTCTTCGCCTCTTTCGATATCTAAGGGAGATTTACGTGAAGGGAAACTTTCTTTCCATTAAGACTGATCGTGGATACCAATATTGGTCAACCCGTGTCGATAATGATCACTATGCATCTGATGATCCGGATGTCTTCTTTGCCCTCCTGAACTCATGGCACATGAGCGATTTCCAATACCTCAGCGAGACCCGCCGTGTCTTAAAACATAGGAAATCTAAAGCAGAAGCTGCGCAAGATGCAGAGGATAGGGCTGGTTGGGCTCACTCTGCTGTTATCATTTCCATTGCATCCGGCCAGCTGGATCTATACGAAGACACCCTCCAATGGACACGGAGATTTGATAGGGACCCGCTAACATCAATGCGACTACTTGATACAGAAACAGTCAGCACAAATGAAGGCCTTGACCTTTTGAGTGCAATTCCTCGGCATCAAAAGGGCCATTCGATTTCATTGACGGTAATTGAACACAACGTTGAGCATGCGAACCGCATAATCATGAAGTACATGGAGCTTATTTCTATCTATATTCGAGAACCTTCTTTTAACCAGTACGATATAAAGGAGCTCTTGGGTTTACCATCGAAAGTAATCGGTCGGCGCATGGAGCGGCTAGATACTCTACAAAAGAATACTCAACTCTGTGGTCATTGGATCGATGCCTTCGTGTGGGAGCCGACCATTCGGATGATGCTGGAGCTTGAAACCTTGTGGCTTAAGGAGGAGTACCTAGAGGTCAAGTTCAGCAGACCACGGGGCCTACTATGGGAAAGTGATGTCCCGAAGAATCCGAATGGCCATGCATTAAAGTTTCTTGACAACCTCGCAAAGGCACGGGATGTGTTCTGGGAAGGATACCGGATGAAAATCCATCCTGCAGTTGCAACACTTGGAAAACCATGGCCAAAAGGTCTTCCTATTCAGTGTCTATTGCCGCGGGTGCCCTCAACTCTTACGACATCTCTGGAATTTCTGGAATCTAGAGCTCAGGCAGTCATATTTGCCCCAGGAGAAATACTGCTAGCCCCTCCGCCAGATGATGAGGAAGAAAGAGAAGCCATAGGCCAATTTGTTGATGACTATAAGTTTGCCTTGCAGATTTTCATATCAGCAGTCCCGAAAGGCATTGACCGTGACAACAGAATATTCAACGCCTGGTCTCATGCTCTAAAGGAGCTCACTGGCAGCCGAATGTTCAGAGGCGAATCGTTGTGGTACTGGAAGAAAGTTTTTGACTCGGTTAGCGGACTCAAGTTGCCTGATAAAATAGCAGAGGTGTTCCGAATTGAAGACATCGCACTCCCAGAATGCGATGACCCAGAGGTTCCATTAGAGTGGAATCCGGATTTGCGTCCTATGTCACAATCGTCTGCATTTACTGTCAAGTACGAGCCACGCAGACTTCCGCTTTCATGCTTAGATTGTATGCTCGAAACCAGCGCGGACAGGAAAAACCAGACCAAAGACACGGCTTATTTACCATTTCGTCCTATTTGGTCCAGCACAGTTGAGGGCCAATCTATACCCAGCGTATTCGACTTTTATGAACTTAAAAGCTCAATTCCAGCACGGATAAAGGATGCTCTCGCCGTTGCCATCATCGCTTCCTTAAACGCCACATATGGATCAAACTCTTCGTTGTTGATGAAGCCCTTTCCATCCACGAGTGACGTTCGCTTCCCAGCTCTCTACCTTGACGATGAATTCTTGGAGCATAAAGGAGAGAAGACTAAAAGGGACACCATTCTGCGGCTACTGGAAAGAGTTTCCGATATCGTTCCTACGCAGCTTCTGGAGGGGTTGATAAAGTCTTTGTTTGCACGATTAGGAACCGATAAGGATAGAGACACATATGTACTCCATGCCGTCGTAACAATGCTGAAAATCCTATCTCGAGGGAATAAACCACTTGCTGCGTGCAAATTTATCAAAGACTTCGTGGTCAACCACGAAGCCGATAGGTCATGGAACAGGCATGTCCTGACCGTTGGTTTCATGAACCGTTTATCTCCCATCGAGGCGAAAGAATTCATGGTGGACTTATCTTCTGCTATTCTCGCGAAGCTTGATGGACAAGACGATGGGGTGAAGCTGAGCAAAAAGGTAAAGGAGACTCTGCTGCCACCACGTGTCAAGGTCACGACAGTCAAAATGATAGCTCAACTGCTACGAAATGCAAAGTTCATTGACCCGAATACCACGTGCCATGTTCTTGCGAGCCTTTTGATAGCCGCTGCACACGTCGATATTCGAATGGCAGCTTTAAAGAGCTTATTGAGCATCCTGTCCGAGACGACCAACGCTGCGCTGCACTCGAACATCATCTGTGTTTTGGAAAACCACATTGTGCCAATCGCTGCATCCTTGAATGGACGTCATCCACTGACAGAAATGGAATGGACCCAGGCTGAATCGGAAGGCTGTCTCCCCGAGGTATGTGGAGGTAGGGATATGGAAGACCTACCACCAATTTTAAAGCTACTAGTCTCTTCAATACCTACGGGCAACGATGGAGTCAGTCTTCAAAGACAAGAAGTCTGGATGAATCGGATCATAAACCCAGCCTTGAAACTCATGATTGCCGATCACCGACGATGGACGGCGCTTTTCTTGTCTCGCAACGGGTTTTCGTTCTCCGTTGAAGATCTGCCCAGTGTTCCACCACACCCAAGACTACTACCAGACCTTCTCAAGGCTAGTCCTAGATTCCTGCCCGGATATGCGCTTGACTCCATTAAGAAGCTGATGATGATTAATATCAACCCTCCAGAAGGTGTCAAAGTCATCAACGATGTTATCAATAATAACACTCGATTCCTTCAGTCACAAGCCGGGGAACATTGGATTTTGATGTGGGGAGGCACTGACCATATTCAAGATCTCGGCATTTCTCAGGCTATTAGCCTCCTACTGAGCGAAGACTTGAATGCTTCTCGTGACGGGCTTGGTAGTATTACCGTTGATGCCTTGAAGGAATTCGTGACTGATATGGCTGAGGTCTATATCTCTACGTCTAATACCACTGAATTTGATGATCTCATCGGCGTTGTCGGGTTTTCTGGACGTGGCAAATCGCCAGAAATTCACGAGGCTTTCATGCGCAACTGCCTGCCAATCCTGAAAGACTTGATCTCACGCATCGACCATCTCCGAACTCCTATTTGGCAGCATGACCCGAATCGGAAGCCTACGGAGCTCCCAGACAGTTTCAGCATCAAGCTCAAGATACTTGAAGGATCCCATTGGAAGCCACATTGGAAAACGATGTCGGCAAATGACTACCGCATGTTTGCAAGGAGTGTCTCAGAGTTGATCGAGGATATTTCAGTGGATCAGACCCCTTACCATCATAAGTGGAAGGCCCTGAAGCGTATTGCAATGCGGCGATTCCCCAGGACTGATTTCGTTCCACTGGCTCTGGAGTTCGGCTCCCTGGAGGCTATTGGGCAGTCAAATCTTAATCTCGCAGACCATCTCCGTGTTGAATTGGCGGGGGATCTCTTAGCCGAAGCTGAAGAACCGATGGATGCGGAATCGAGTGCGAAGGCGTTAAAGCTACTTCGTAGTTGGGGGGATAGTCATATTGAGGCTGCTCGATCCTGGGCTTCTTATCTGCTGATGACTCGCAAAAACAACAAAAAGTTCGGACAATACGACTGGACTACTAAGCCATATGGTTACGGTCGGTATGCTGGGAGTGACAATGCTGGCTTTTGAAGATGCGACGCTCTTCCATTAATGCTAGGTAGCAATGGTTAGTTATATTCTCGTGGAAGACATCGTTGAAGGAGAAAGGTCTTGAGTCATGGTCTACATACCTACTTCGGGAGGCATATGAAAAAGGGGGTGGCGTTTATAAAAGTTTGCGGATAATTTGACATTGAGTCATCTTGGTGATGAAGGAGTACCTAAAACACATTACCTAGATACAATCCATGCTTAATGCGATACACCCGAAATTGACATGATGCTACAAGTTGTGTTGGCTCGTAGACTGATGCTGAGAAGTCGGATGTCCGGAACACCATACCTTGTGAGCTGTTGTAACACCAGGCCACTTCGTAGTCACCTTGTAATACCACTTGTAATGAGTATAATTAGAACTGCATACCAACGCTCCTAGTAATCCTATAAGTTTGGAATATTAAATAGGTAATGTAGGCTAGAACAAACCATTCCAGAATTGCCAGTTCCTGCTAATTAAGGTAGGCAGGTACCTGGGCATCCAATCTCAATATATTTGACCGTTTAACCCAGTTGTACAGACACCCACCCCTATCTTCCCTTGTGTATCATTCGGAGACTTCCCGTCCCGAACATTGTATTCCATTGGACTAGATCACACCCGAGATGTGGAGAATAGCTGGCTCAACATTTTGGGATATATGCACTTGTTGCAGCATGTATGCCAGTATCAAAGCGGCCCATTATTAATGTGAAATGCGTTCATTGTCTTCCTTTCTCGTCGAGCAGCAGGCTCAACAGATAGAAGAAACTTCGTCGTTCGGCAGTCAGTCCGAACTGTGTGAACTAGAATCCACCACCCATTTTGCCGCGCGGCTTGCTGCGAGGTCGGCCCCTGGGACTTATGAGGCAGGTAGACTTCGAGGTCTGTGGCGTTGCGTTTCTCGCCATCTGAACCGTTTCATATCGTGCTGCGATAGCTATATGTAGCCTATCATTATTCCAGGGGCTCTTATCCTTCGCCCTCGGCGGAGATGAGGGCATCCTTGGACACATCTCGGTTAAGACGGATCTATAGTGTCTGAATGTCGAGCTGAAAGATTTAGCGCATGTGCTCGTTCAATAATAGGTATATAAACATAGTAGCTAGGTGTTGATGTCTCATATCGACTTTCAGAATCAAGACAGCTTCGTTCATTCTATGCTCAGTTTCTACTCGAATCGTTCACAGTTTCGTTTCCGTACCTATACTACATTCGTTAATCTAATCATCTAGTGACACACACCAAGCCTAACACCAAGAATAGCTTGGTTGGTATGAAGGCCCTTATAATAACCAGCCCATTCATCCCTTGGGCACTGGGCTACCCCGGCCTAGACCATACCATAGCCAAACTCCAAGCCCGTCATGGATCCCCCCTCCAGTCCAGATCCACCGAACTGCTAGGCGACCTCCAAGACAATAACGCCCTGACCGCCGTCGGCTCAGAAATAAAAGCCATCCTGCAAGGCGCGAGCGCGGTCGCGGACGGTAGCACGTACACGCCCCCCGCCGCGCTCGCATCCGCCGCATGCACGCAATCGACCCTGTGCATCTGGTCCCACATCATCGGCGACCTCAGCACCGCCTTCACCGACTGCACGGCCCTCGCGCGCGGCGCCATCCGCCAGGGCTTCCACGACGCCGCTACCTGGGACAGGGACTCCGCGTACGGCGGCGCCGACGGCTCGCTCCTACTCAGCGACGACGAGCTGGCGCGCCCCGAGAACCGCGGGCTCGAGGACATCGCGGCGCAGACGAAGGCCTGGCATGGCAGGTACGCGGGGTACAACATCAGCATGGCGGACCTCGTGCAGACTGCCGCGGTGACGGCCACGGTCAGCTGTCCCGGCGGCCCGCGCATACGACACTTCGTCGGCCGGAAAGACGACGGCCGCCCGGGGCCGACGGGGAAGCTGCCGCTGCCCGAGCAAGACGCGCAGACGCTCATCGACCTCTTCGCCGCGAAGACGTTCACGGCCGACGGCCTGGTGGCGCTGGTCGGCGCGCACACGGTCGCGCGGCAGAGGTTCGTCGACCCCGGCCGGTACGACGCGCCGCAGGACTCGACGCCGGCGGTGTGGGACAGCGCGTTCTATGCGCAGACGCTGGGGGGCGACAACGAGACGGGCGTGCTGATCTTCCACAGTGATTGGAGCATCAGCGGGCATGAGGCTACGAAGGAACGGTTTGGGGAGTTTGCGGGGGCGGGGGGGATGGGGGTTTGGGGGCCGGTGAGTCTTCTAATCTATGCTGTGGTTTTCTTTGATGATGATGATGATGATGGGGGCTAATGGTTTTATAGGCTTATGCGCAGGCTTACTTCAGGATGAGTCTTCTCGGCGTCGGCAATCTGAATTATCTTACGGAGATCACGCAGGCGTTGCCGCTGCCGCGATAACGGTACTGGAAAGGGGTAAGTATGGTGTGACGACTGTTTGGGTCGACTTAATACCTGGGTATATTGAAGCGCTACATCATGGCAGTAATGCGTTTTTTTCGCTAATGGTATTCAAGCAACAACATGTGTGTCAGATTCTAGGTTAGAACGGTGGGCAAGTGTTTTTATCAGCATGTTTCCTTCATATCCCAGTTTTAGATTACCTAATGGTCACTCTGGAGGTGTTTAGTAGATATTCTTGAGCAAGGTGACTATATTTAATATATTTATGGTGTGTATTTTCCATCGAAATGTGGATGTGGTTGTCAACTCGATTCTTTTAACCCCTTTTACCCCTTTTCTTGGCAATCCAGCTGAGCTGGACTGGATTGGGTGATCTCGGGGGAGCTCCGCTCTTCTCTGCCAAGCCCTGCCATAACTAGAGAATATTTTCGCCGAGAATAAGCGAGCTGATAGCAGTACGCTGTTACGAGGCTACAATAACTAGGTTGGCGATCATAAGTAGAGTAGCAAGAGCTACAGCTGTGCCGTTGAGCGTCACTGTAATAGGTAGTAGGTATGAGCGAGATGTTACTCCTGATGATTGCATGCCATAATCATTTTATCTTGAAATTGGATATTTTCGTCAATTGAAGTCAGATCTGGTCATGATATTACTTCTTGGCGTTGCGGTATGGTTTGACAGAATCGATATATCGAATGAAAAACAACGTAAAAGGGTCTTATGTATTTGGGCATTTTCAAATCTAAACTCATCCATCGTCTCCTTCCACAATTGCTCCGAGATTCCATCCCCTTCTGGCGTGTATATGATTAGTGCCATGCTTCGTCGATATGTTAGCGTCGATGTTATCTTGTGAGCGTTAACCCCGTTTTATTATCACTTGACTTACCCTTCGACCTCCTGGAACGACAAGAACTTCCCATGTATCTCTTCTCCATGGTTCACCGCAGCATCAGTGATCATCGCGCCGCCACTAGCGCTGTATTCCCAAAATACTTTAAGAATTACAATATCAAGACGTTGGAGACCTCTAGCCCGCTCGGCAAAGGAGACGATAGACTCATAGACAGAAAGATTTAGCTTCCAAACCTCGATTGTGTCTTCTTTAAGGTCGATATCCGAAGCTAGCTTCGCTGCGGCAGTCTTGCCCTTCTCTTCATCTCACACAGCTAGTATGAGCTTGCTTAAACCCAATTATTGATGCTGGCGGCTAGTCGCAAAACCGATGCCGATGTTGGCCCCCGTAACTATGGCAGTCTTCCCCTGGAGGTTACCATTCTAATGCCAACACCAACACCAACACCTTTACATACCTGGTGTTGGAATATTCAGGTGGCTAGTATAGGGTGGCTGGTAACATCCGCCCCACACCTGTGGCATATATGTATTATCTACATCCCCAGTAGCTACCACTAGAACTTACTCTTCTTATATAACAAATATACGACTCTCATAACCTGCATCTACTTCAACACCTGGAGAGGACCCTTTGCACAATGTACCAACCTAGGTTACACGGGATTAACTTGAATGCACATGTATATTGTTCGAGGAACTCAGCCCATTCAACTATTAAAGAACTAAAATGCTACGAACTTCAGCCTGTGTGCACGGCATGTGGGATTGTTTATTTCTGTTCCCCCTAACTGTACCCCGCGGTCTGTATTTCTGTTCCCCCTAACTGTACCCCGCGGTCTGTGTTTGGTGGTGCTTAAGAAGGGATGACTCTTTGAGGAAATTCTCAGGAACAAGGCCGTACAGAAATCCAGAGTGCGTTGCGGTTTATTATACTCTTTGGAGTGCCGACTGTTCGGTTGGCTTACCTACTTTGATACTTACCGTCACCCGGTACCTATGCAAGGGGCCAGCACCAATGGTTGCGAAGGTTCATCACCCCTTCATTGATCCTTTATCCTTTGAGTTGCTCAACATCATTTACAGTCTCTTTCATTCTTATATTCTTCCGTTGCTTTCTAGAAAGCGTGGGAAAATAACATAAGGCTTGCTATCGGCCAGAGAAAAACACAAGGCCTACTTCTTTTTTCATTCCTCGTCACTCATAAACATGGCACCTCAGCAAAGGTCTTCCAGTCTAATTTCATTAAGCACCATAATCGCCATTGGGCCTATTGGCAATTATGGCTGGCTTCTATTACCCCATCATGACAGGGTATGTAGCAACTGAGACTAGCCTGTCGGCCTCTGACGTTTGTGAGCAACTTCGGGCCGAGCTCGACTCTGTTATCGTGCTACCCTCCGATTACCAATACTCAAACCTCAGGGCAGAGAGCTGGTCCCAGACCGCCTGGAAACGTCCCACATATATTGCCCTCCCAGCTAGTTCTTCTGACGTAAAGTCCTTGGTTCGCGTGCTCGTCGCCGAGCAAGTACCCTTTGCCCTCCGCTCCGGCGGCTAGTCGACTAATCCCTTCGATGCAAACATTGATAACGGGATTTTGATTGCTACAGATCGGCTTAACTAAGTAGCTTGCGATGCCGCCACCGCCCTTGTATCGCTTGGACCCGGAGCTAGGTGGGGCGCTGTGTATACAGCTCTAGACAGGCATAATGTCACCGTCGTTGGCGGAAGGGTGCTAGATGTCGGCGTTGGCGGTCTTGTGCTCGGTGGTGGTCTGTCATATTTATCGGATTTGTATGGTCTAGTTTGCGACAATGTAGTAAGCTACGAGGTAAATGCCACTCCCTTGAGGACTGTCGAGCACATCACAGTATTAAGAACACGAGAATTTATAGGTGGTTCTAGACGATGGAAGTGTCGTAGAGGCTACCGAAGAAGACCATTCTGAATTATTTTGGGCGCTCAAGGGGGGTGCCAACAACTTTGGTATGATCCGCTACCTTCCAAATCTCGTGTAGCATCCAATTCCCACCTCACCTTTCTCAAGGCATTGTCACCAGCTTCAAGTCCAAGGCCTTCACAAGCGGCCAGATTTGGGGCGGGATTATAGTATTCACCATGGATCAGATATTAGATGTCTTCCAGGCTTATTACGAATACCAGACTACTCCAAACAAGGACCTGTACGCCAACATGGTACTGAACCTCGCCACAAATAACGACTCCATAATTCTCACACTGGTATACCTCAAAGCTGTAGAGCGACCTGACGCTTACAAGGCTTTCTACAGTCTGACTCCCGTATTACACCGGACAGGTTTCACGACCTTGCATGAACTCATGGGGTCTTTTCCTTCGACAGACATCCCAAGGTGGACGTGGTACTCGGAGGCATTCGAGCCTAACAGCGAACTCTTTCGGTCAGATCAGCAACCTACTTGCGACTGCCCCAGAAATCGCTGCCATTTCCAAACTACAGGCTGGCTCCCTCGTTGGTACCGCACAGCCGATCACTCAAAATGTCGCACTGGCCGGACAGGAACGCGGCGGGAACGCCCTAGGACTACAGCCGGTGAACCAGACGTGGTTCGCATAAACATGGGCTGGTGGGACGCCGACGATGACAGCGCTGCGATTGCCGCCATCGAGTCACTCCATGCAAAGATCACTGATCTGGCAAGGCGTTCCTCGGCAAACTTGGAGTACATCTTCCTTCATGAATGAGGCCAACGACAAACAGCCAATGATTACTTCATACGGCGAGGATAATGTCCAGCGGTTGCAGGCTGTCCAACGGGTATACGATCCACATCGAGTCTTTCAGGACTTGGTGCCAGGGGGTCAGAAGGTGCCGTCGGCAAGTGTGAGGGAAGGGATGCCGGAGCTTTGAGCTGCGTTGATCTAACACTACGCAACATCACTTGATGTCGATGCTTCTCTATGATTTTTATAGATTGGAGTCCAGTTGGCACGGAGGTTAGGTTGCGTAGCTTGAAATGCTCATAGTAATCCGAGCCCCAATACCCAATACTATCTCTTCAAACATTACATATAAAATCAATGATATTAGGATCGAGCAGCACGTACGGGATAAAATAGAAATTACACAACGTGATAACTTTATTCAATTACATCTACCTATATTTACTGGCTCTCTGTATGCGTACCTGGATTGATCATTGGATAGACACCTACCTAGTCACTACCTTCAGGAGGTTTTCGGAACAAACTTCAGGCCCCATCGATCTTTATACGTCGTGAGTCGGGCCTGCACGAAGCGTAGTACTTCAGCGCCGAGGCCACACTGATCCAGAAGATCGACCACATCGTAAGGCACTCCACCTCTCGCAGCCCGGTCTATATTGTGAAGAACATTGACGTAGCTGTCCACCGGCGAGTAAAGGGCAAAGATTATGAGCCCAGTACAGATCCTGGCCCAGGTCTCAACCCACTGTCCCTGAACAGTGCCAGCTGCCTCGCGGAACTCAATCGTGCCGGGGTTCGGTGGATCGTTGCCGCAGTAATAGGCCCTGAGGCTATAGTTAGCCCGCTCACCGGCTTCAAGCAACCAATCCAGCTCGCACGTGGTGCGGGCATTGAGTAGCTGCGCGACTCCCCAGAATACCCCGAGGTCAGACGTGGCTTTCCTGTCGAGATTTCCAGGTTTATCGAGCTCGATGACAAAACTTGGGTACGCGAGGCGATCCATAGTGCGGCTCGTGGACGGGACATAGGGGCCCTTGTATTGAGACTTTATGGGAACAGTCATTTCCAACACCATTTTGATCTGCTTCTCGATCGTCTGCGCTAACGGGGATCTGGGAGTCATCACCTTTCCGGTTATCCTACCGCTTCGGTATAGGTCACAAGCTTCATTATAGTGTTCGTCATAAGTTGGCATATCGCCTACTTTGGAGCCCTTTGCGAGATGGCTCCGTTCTCGGATGCTTTGTGCATACTCAACGAGTCGTCTGGAAGGCGGATGCAGAGTAGCGAGAATGGGGTCGGCGGCCCATAGAAATGCACAGATGCGACGGGTTTGTTCTACGGACCAGAACTTCACGCCGTCGCCAACGTGTACGTGGAAGCCGCAAGTGTGGTTTAACGTCATTCTATACTTGGAGGTCAGGAGGTCTACAACCGACCTGACAGCGCCGAATCCTTCACTGGATGTCGTTAAGATTGGGGAAACGATCTCAGCGCCAAGCCACGAGTAATCACCGTTTGGATCTGTGGTTGAGACCACGGAGGAGTCCCCTTTGACGTTCCACATGGTATACTCTCCCGGTGTGGCGCGTAGCCCGTTTTCTTCAAAAGTTTTTCTCATCAGGCCGTAGATATAATCTTGCACTTGGTCTTCAGTCGGGCTGGCCCCGAAGACATCAATCATTTCTTGCTTTTCCTTGAGAGGAATTCTGATGATTGGCGGTAGCGTGCCAGCTGTCTCGGGCTTAGGGTCGACTTCATCTTCCCACAGCCACGCGACGAGCACCTCTAACTCGACGCCGAACGTGAGAGTATGTTGGTTAAGCAAATTCAGATCTGATACATCCATTTTGGAGCTTTGTTATTGTGATATGCAGCATTTCAAAATCTTAAGAAATCGGTACGGGAATTGTGGAATCTTATGGGCAGAAAATCATTCTCTTGTCTTGCCACAATAATGTTGTTTCGCTTCATACGCTGTCGATTTGAACGATACCTACGTTCGAGAATACGATCAAAAAGCCGTTGCTCTACAGGTACATATACATGATGATACCGTACTGTCGAAAGATTTTGATCTTCCCGGGGAACCTCGAGTGGTTCCATATGAATAGCATCTTTTGGACCTCTAAGGCTATAATATATCAATGGCAAGGTTAAAAGTAAGGTTTGGATCAATCCAACTATACCTCCGACTTTTTTTTGGTGTAGTTGGGTTGGTTATAATATACGATTACTTCCGGTGAAGTGTATATACGACTTCCTTTAATGTTTTATATTTACCAAAATTGTTGGTGTATACCAAAAATGGGGTTTGTAAACCTTGTCGACGCCTTTATTTAAATTATAAGTTGATACTATTTCTAACCTTGCTGTTGCTTTTGTTATTACCGGTGGTATAGTAAGCACAGCGAGAGTTACCGGTTACTTACCTATCTACCTGTTAGGCCGCCGTTCAATGCCCGCCATATAAGCCTTGGAACATAGTCCGTCGAGAATGATGAAGAGAGATGGTATATGAGCTTATATGTGTACTTGATTGACTTAGCAAGAGACTCATGAGCTATGAGGCTATGCCTAGATCATATACCTCGTACATATACTCACGGTGACTACATGTACAGTACCTGAGATCAGCCCCTAGACAATCATTTCAGCATAGAAGTGCAAATTTATTCAAGGTGTACAACTCGATCTTAAACAGTCTCATGCTACAACAATGAATTTCTGTTGCAGGTACCTCAGGCACCATAGGCTCCACTAGAGCCATATGGCCCATATGGCCCATATGTTGGCACTCCGTCACTGTAGTAAGGAATCAAGCAAGCTTTCTTCCTTTCCTCTTCTTCTTGGTTGCAGCAGAAGCTGCAACAATTTCAATCCTCAGGGTCTTTGTCTGACGCTTAGCCTGCCTCACCTTGACGAAACATGGTATACTATAATCAGCCCTATGAATTGGTTGTAACTCGTGCAATGTTGCACAAAAGAGTTCTCAGAAATACAGTGGCATTGTTGCTCTTAAGAAAGGGTTGAGAACAGAAGCATGGTAGTTCGTATCTAGGCACATATATCCTCATCAGACGTTAGGCAAGGCGTGGATAATGCTTTGTTGAAGCATCCCTATAGCTCCTTAGTTGCCGTAGAGAAATAAAGGCATTGATACCTAGACCATTGTCCCATTACTTCCGCTTCCGGCGTACTACACAATGACGTAGAATCTAATAAGCACTCACTCAAATCCCTCTATGGGTCTGTGTTATGTTAGGCTAATAATTCGATGTAAATATTTACGAAATGGCTAGCTTTGGGTTTCAACACGCAGGGCCGAATCTCCCGGGGCAAAATAACGCTTCTCTGGAAGCATTGAAGGTGGTGCGGAGTCTCCTGGAAAGCTTCGACCGAAAAAATGAGATCAAGTTCAGGATGGAAAGGATTGTGGGACAGGGGGCGCGAGGAGTCACGATGAAGATGAAAATGACCAGTGGCGGCCCGAATGGTTTGTCAGGAGAGGTAAAGTATTTCGCGATAAAGGCGTCATTGGATGATCAGGGAAATCAGAATCTCAGACAGGAGATGAGATTCCTCAGAGTGCGTATACGAGCCAAGTGTAAAAATAATGGTGTATCTAACCTTTCGGTAGCGACTTCGAGGTGCCTCCCACATTCAGCAACTATACGGAGTCCGAGGAGAACCCATGGTTGGTAGTATTTCGTACTTGAATCGCCCGGCGTTGGTTACGGAGTGGATCCCGAACGGCCTTGTGGCGGCGTTGATAAACAGACTGGCTGACTTCGATGGCCCCGTACCAAACCGGATGATTTGGAGATTCTTCCTCTGCTGTAAGTTATGAGAGGCCATCTTATTCCTTTCTCTGTATTAACTCTAAGATAGTATGTCGAGCATTAGTGTCCATGGCTTGGCCACCAGCTGATCCCGGGAACACGAGAGTACAAGATGGCATCGTGCCAGAACTGGTAAGGGGGCAGAGACTACCTCAATCCCTGATAGTTCATGGTGATTTAAATATGCAAAACGGTAAGTAACTTGAATACCGTGCCTCCCAATGAGCAACCCGCTAAATTTCTTGAGTCAGTTATGATTGGAGACTTTCAAGGAGGTGGGCATGAGCTTGTCCCAATACTGAAGGTCATTGACTTTGGCGCTTCCTCCGAGATGCCTGCAGAGTGAGTCGTCCCCTGCCATTCAAGAGGGGTGTACACTAATGAGATTATACGTAGCTCACCAAACGAGGCGGCCGTGAAGAATAACATGTTCAATATCGCCGGAGTGTTGTTAAATATTGTAGGAGGAAACAGTAGGATTGCCGGGAATATGAAAGTTACCGATGAAAGGGGGATGGAGAAGACGATAAGGTCGCATGCGAGAGACTTAGATGGCTTAAACCCCGCATACAAAGCACCTCCTGTCCTTATAGCTCGCCACAAACGAAAGATGGACAATCTGGACCCAGATATCAGAAACCTTTTAGCATTGTGTCTAGCCGCGAATGTGAACGACCGGCCAAGCCTTCCATACCTGGTCCAGGAGGTAGAACGCAATGTTCAGGAAAAGACGGCAGACAAATACACCAGTTATCCATTCCGTGAAAACGAGTCGGATGACAACATTCGCTCGTTTGCCCAAAGACATGTTCTTAACCCGAGTTAAAAGCTGTGAATTATATATCTAGGTGGGCACATATTGGAACGTCTGCACAGGTAAGAAATATCACGAATTCTATCAGGAAGAACAGCAACTATACGACACTAAAGGTGCACATACCTACGGTTCGGATAAATATAGTTAAAAGTGTAGTTTTATATAGATTAGAGCCTTACATCGTGATATAATAGATTTACGATTAGCGTACAGGGATATTCTTTGTTGGTAAGAACTTATCAAACACGAACGGTGAGTGTGCTTGTCCAAAATAGGGGGGAGCTTTGATTTTGGTACCTCGGTAAGCACCTATCACTACTTGTAGTGCCATACGTATAGCTTACACTTTCCTTAGCTTACGCACACTCTGCTCGCCATAATGCTCAATTATGCGCTGGCTGTTGCTCACATTCCGGCCTCTGTCGCGGGCGCACATCCAGATTAAAGCAAGGGATACCCAAAAAACAACCAAGGCGGGTGATTCGTTACGAACCAACCTCTCGTAATCTACTCTAGAGAACCAACATAAAAAGACAAAGGTGGGTGGTTAGGTATGACTACTCACAGGGTCTTCCGCCCCTCCACCCCGATTTCCAACTCTCATTCCCACCTGTCACATTTCGCAAATGATGAACATTCTAACATCGCCGCCATAGAAGGATTCTTCAAGTTACTCTCAGGGCAGAGCATCGCCATTACCATCGTCCTATATTATGCGACAGTCGCGCTGTATCGGTTGTATCTGCATCCCCTGGCCCGATTCCCGGGCCCCAAACTTGCAGCCGCGACGCGATGGTACGAAGGCGACTAAGATCTCTACCAGAACGGCCAGTACACCTTCAAGATAGGAGAACTGCATAATGTTGGAATATTCAGGTGGCTAGTATAGGGTGGCTGGTAACATCCGCCCCACACCTGTGGCATATATGTACTATCTACATCTCCAGTAGCTTCCACTAGAACTTACTCTTCTAATATAACAAGACATACGACTCTCATAACCTGCATCTACTTTAACACATAAGTAGTACGGTAAGGAGGGCATTGCGCCCGCTTTTCCCTTTCTTTCCGTATCATCTTTACTCACTTCCAGTCTTGCCTGGGCGGAAATCTACTTACTGCTTGGCAACATCGTGGAGCACTTCAAGTTCCAGTTCCCGTCAACAAAGGCAGAGGACTTTTACGTGACCAGGGATAATTTTGCTCTCGGCACTCCATCCATGGGAGGTGTCCCTGATTTTGTTACTGAAGTTGATATGGGATGAGCAAAATATCAGAAAAGGGGTGCATCAAAAGATGGGGATCGGAATTGTGGGCAGATTGCCAATGGATTGATTGCATGGTGCGTATGTACTCAGTAGCGGTGGTATCAGTCAAATATTGATCCGATCACACTACATTACTACCTCTTAGAGTAAGTAACAAATAATTAGGTGTGAGAATCTACGATGCTTGATGCAGAAGTTGTGGTGATTGAGAAACAATACCTTAGGTACCTAGGTACATAGTAATAATCGAACGATTATCTAACACAAAACGTCAATCTTCCATAATATGTAAGTGGCGCTACATCCCTGAGGTATCACGTGGCTATACTGCCATCACATGACTACCCAAAGTGCTACCAACATCAAATCATTAAATCAGGGAAGGCATTCCCCCTTTTCTCAAGCGAAAAAGAAAACATTAAGACTTGAGTGTTTGTTACACACACCTCTTGATTGATATCGATTACGTGCCTGCCTCAGGCATATACCTGCCAGATAGTGGCAGGTACGCTAGAAAGGAAAGTGCGCGCACTGTAGCCTTGTATTTAACACACGCATCTCTAATGTTAGTCAGTGTTTCCATCCTTACATCTCTTCTTTTAATATCCATGGTAACTACAGGTCTTCCCACACTTATCTCTGCCCTCCACAGGCATGTTTCTGCTAGGTACCTGAGGCATGAATTAAAACTTCCGTGGTTAATTTAGAAGGACACCTTGTTAACCTAAACGAAAGGTTGCATCGAACCCCGCTTAGGCTAATTGTGTATTTCTAGTTGATTTATCACATTCGCCTTCCTCGAGAGATAATACTACATTTCCCTCAAAGCTGCGATAAGAAGATGGCTCCACCTACTAGAAAGGTCAAGCCACCATTGTCAACAGGGCACGCTCTTCGGGAGCCATCCGACTACCAGCGGTGGAACTCAGACTTGATTGAGTGCTTACGAGAAAAAGATCTGCTACGGTATATTATGAAAAACGTTTTGCAGCCTAAGAGTAGTACCGCCGCGAATCGCTGGGTTTCTCACCGCTTCAACGTCATTGACATTATAAGACTTTCGCTGTCGCCCGCGATGCAGGAAAAGGTGCGCAAATCTGGGGGAGGGGCGGCGTTATGGGCCACTTCTCCGTCCGAGGCCGACCCAAAGAAGGTGTATGATATGATCCGGGAGTTGATGACTCAAGAGGGTAAAGAAAACAATTGCGATAAGGAGCCTCCGGAATCAAGCACCACCATAAAAGACTGGACCAAGAAAATCGAAGTGGCAGAACCGGAAAATGTCGACGAGGAATGGACATCTGTTGACCATTACTCTAAAGCACCGCCAACTGAGTCAATTCAGGATCGTGTAGTGCGCGTGACAAACGACCTACGCGACCTAAAAGCCTACTACGACATCGAGGGCTCAGTGTCCCGGAACAAGCGGCTTGAGGAGTTCTACAGAGATGAGCTAGCTGACCTTGAAAGGCAACCATTTGCTTCATATGCCTCCCAGGACGACCGCGTTGACTACTTGCTGCTCCGGAATTACTTACGCCGCGCGCAGCGCACTCTCGAACTAGACGAGGCGCGTGACGCCAAACTCGTAGGCATCCTTGGAACATACGCCACTATCATCACCGCATGGTGTGAAGAGCGCCGTCGCGCGGTGTCTGTCGACCCAAAGGCGGTGGCTCACAACCTCCACGAAGCATTGAAACAAGTCCAGCTAGCACGGGAGCACATAGTCCATAACGTCAGCAAATACTCGAGAGCCACGGGACACCGAGCTGCGCGCAGAATCGCCGCACTACGCTCAAAGCTCACTGAGACGTACAACTTCTACAACGAATATGACCCATCGTTTGACTGGTGGGTAACGGAGATGTACGAGGATCTCAGCAAGGCCCTGGACAATCTTGTCGAATTCCTGCGTGAAGTCCTGGTAGGCATCAAGCCCGGCGGCGATAGCGATGCCATCGTGGGAGAGCCTATCGGCCGGGACGGTCTGCTCAGCGATCTCGAGGCAGAGATGATACCCTATACGCCCGAAGAACTGCTACAGATCGCAGAGAAAGAGTACACGTGGTGTGAAAGAGAGATGATCAAGGCGTCCGAAGAGCTCGACTTCCATAAGGACTGGCGCAGCGCTCTCGAGCACGTCAAAGACCGGTATGAGTCACCATCCACATACCCGGCTTTCATACGGTCTCTCATCGACGAAAGCGCTGCCTACGTCAAGAAACATGACCTGGTGACGGTGCCGCGCATCGCGGAGGAGGCGATCCGCATGACGATGATCGGCGCGGAGCAGCAAAAGGTGTCGCCGTTCTTCCTAGGCGGGACCACGATGCAGATGGCGTACCCGACGCGGGAAATGCCTTACGACGCTAAGCTGATGTCAATGCGGGCTAACAACCGGCACTTCAGCCGGGCGACGGCCTTACATGAGATGATTCCAGGGCACCACCTGCAGGTCTTCATCGGCGAGCGTCATCGCCACTACCGCCGCCCCTTATTCGACACGCCCTTCTACGTCGAGGGCTGGGCGATGTACTGGGAGATGGTGCTGTGGGAGCGCGGTGACTTCTTCAGGGCGGCCAGGGACAAGGTCGGCACCCTCTTCTGGCGCATGCACCGGTGCGCGCGCATCCTATTCTCGGTGCAGTTCCACCTCGGCCGTCTAAGCCCGGAGCAGTGCGTCGATCTACTAGTCGAGAAAGTCGGCCACGAGCGTTCGACGGCCGAGGGCGAAGTACGGCGCAGTCTCGCTGGAGAGTATTCCCCGCTCTATCAGGCGGGGTACATGCTAGGTGCCTTACAGATGATGAAGTTGAGGAAGGAGGCGTTGGAGGAGGGAAAGGGGGGACTGCGGGAGAAGGAGTTCCACGATATAATCTTGAAGGCTAATACCATGCCTATCGAGATGCTGAGGGCGTTAATACTGGACACGGAGCTTAAGAAAGACTTTAAGTCGGAGTGGAGGTTTTACGATAAGTAGTAGAAAGCGCGCCGTGTAGTAGATACTCTCCATACGGAGTATATACGTCTACCTTTCTAATAACCGAGTACTGACGCAAGTGTACCAATGTGAAAATTCATATGACTTACCTATAACCCGTATAGTACTCCACATCATGGCAGTCGTCGGCCTGAGCATCCTTAGCGTGTGCCCCTATCTCTAGCATCCGGCCTATTCTTACAAACCGAGTTATAAGCGAGGAGTAGCTTAAACTCCATATCCTGGACTACATATCTAGGTACCTATACGACCCACCCCCCAAACGACGTCAGCCACGGATATACGTACTTAGGTATATATGATTGTAATCGGAGTACAGTTTCCGGAACGCAGTCACGTTTCTCTGACGCGGAAGGCTAGATGCGGGTCACCGGTACCCGGCACCGGCCCCGAAGCGCTGTGTTACCTACTAACCTACCTAGGTTAGGTAAGTCCTGCGGGCTCATTCAATGTTGCTTCGGTACTAGCTCCAATTCGCAGCCCCTATTGGCTGTGGGGCTGCAGTTATCTAACGTAGGTGGTAATTGCCCGGCATGTAGTTACCGGTTCCCACTCCTATATCGGTTATTCACCTACCTGGGTAGGTATATAATAGGGTGCAACGCTGGTCCTTATCTTCACAAAACAATGCAATCGTGGCACCGATCATTTTATATTTCATAGAATCTAGAAAATAGACATCAATATTGCGAAAATGGAGAAAATGGAGTATAGAAAGCAACCGGCCGGGCCACATGTGAACGTCAAACCCCGCCTGATCATCCACGGCGGCGCGGGAAACATCACGCCCGAGAAGCTTGGCCCGGAGAAGTACAGGCAGTACCAGCATGCTCTATTGACTATTGTGAGAACTATTCCCCTACCCATTTTTTTTCCCATTCCCCTCAAAACTAATCGATTCAACAGGTCTCAACGGTAGACACCTACATGCGCACACCCTTCCCCCCTCACAAGGGCAATGATGCATACTCACCCTCACCCTCACCATCTCCGCCAAAGTACCCCTCCGCCCTCTCCACCGCAACCCACGCCGTAACCCTGCTCGAGAAAAACCCCCTCTTCAACTCCGGCCACGGCGCCGTCTTCACGCGCGACGGCATCAACGAGCTCGAGGCCTCCGTCATGGTCTCGCGCGGCCACGCGAAGCGCGGGGTAGGCGTCACTGGGCTACGGAGGGTAAAGCACCCGGTTCTGCTCGCGAAGGCGATGCTGGAGCACGGGGGGGAGGATTTGGTGGGGGGCCGGGATGAGTCAGGGAAGGGGGAGGGGGAGGGAGAGACGCAGCAGCGATTCTCCCCCGACGTCCCCTCCGCCCAGGGCCACACCCTCCTGCACGGCCCCACGGCCGAGTCCCTCGCCGCAAGGTACGGCCTCGAGCTCGTCGACCCGAGATACTTCTTCACGCAGAACCGGTGGGACGAGCACATCCGGGCGCTTCGGCGCGAAAAAAACGGGTCCGGGCTCGCGACGTGGAGCAAGGAGGAGTATTTGCCGCAGGGGACGTGCGGTGCGGTGGCGCTGGATGGAGAGGGCGTGCTGTGCGCGGCGACGAGCACGGGGGGGTTGACGAATAAGCTTACGGGGAGGATTGGCGACACACCGGTTGTGGGGGCGGGGTTTTGGGCCGAGGAGTGGGGGGAGGCTGGGGGTGAGAGCGAGAGTGGGCTGAGGAGGCGGTTGGGGGTGCCGGGCCCGCTGGTGCAGTTGTCGGAGAGCCTGAGGGGCTTCGTGGCGGATTGCTTGCCGAGCCCTTTTCTGTACTCGCCGGTTGCACAGATGCCCTGCGCTACTCGTGAATTACAAACAACGCGTTCTATCGCTCTATCAGGCACCGGAAACGGCGACTCCTTCCTCCGCGTAACAGCCGCCAGGACCGTTGGTGCCGTCGCGCGGTGGGGCAAACTACCGGCGAAAGAGGCTTTATATCAAGTCGCCGGACGTGGCGGAGAGCTGCAGAGGAGTGCTGGAGAGCGCTGGGGTCAGACGGGGGAAGGGGAAGGCGGCATGATTGGCATCGAGAGCGTGGTTTCTCGCGATGCTTCTGGTCGGGTCGTGGGAGTCCGGGCGGAAATACTGCAGGATCATAATTGTGGAGGAATGTTTCGCGCTTGGATTGACAATGATGGCAATGCAGTGATGCGGATATTCCATCCGGACGATGGACGCGATCCCACAGGTGCTTTGGAGCAGGAGGAGAAAACAGGAAGAGTTTACCTCGAATAATAATAGTCGATGGTAGAATCTGCGAGACTATTTAGAATTAGACATTGTAAATCCACGGATACATCCCATGGTATCATCGCGAGTAGTATATTGAACCACAAATGTTCGTGCTCGTGAACATTAAGTATTGTATTGTATTTGGTCATGATTATGCCCGCTGAATAGTCACACATGGTAAAGACCACGATGAGTCAACCAAACTCTGTCGAAGCAGGATAATCCGTCCTATTTTACATTTATTTTCCCGATCCCCTATGCAGGTAAATGTCAAGATCGCCTAAAACCCGTATGAAGTACATGAAACCGATAGAAATAGTTATCGGAAAGGAGTAGAGTGGGAGTGTCTTTATTTCGTCGCGTTCGTTATTACAGGATCTAAGCTAGCATTTTCTCATCGCTCGGTGGTGGTGGCGGTACCTATGATCTGGTTAGCATTTTATTGTCCGATGGAATGAACACCATCAATTGGGATACAAACCTCTAATTTGGTAGAGCCAGCTAGCATTCTCTGAAATCCAATTCCGACGCCCTCAATGACAGCCAAAAGAACGGCGCAACCGATGGCACCGTTTCGTGCTGCCTTATAACCTCCTCGAACAGCCAGCGCACCTCCCGTAAAGAAGCCAGCAACTAGAACCATCGTTAGTAAAGTGTAGTTGGTCTGCTTGGCCACATAACGTACTAATTGCGTTGTAGGGATCCTCCTTCTTTCGTACTCCCTTAACGGCGCAGTCGAATGTTGAGAATAAACCACCCCAGACGCCTGTATAATAGGTAAGTTCCGATTTATGTCAAGATGTTCAGTCGTCAGAGCCTACCAAAGTTACCGCCTAATACTGGTGCCCTTGCCTTGATGGCTGTGATTGCTCCTATCCTACGCTCGCCCATTGGACTATTACGGAATCCCTTTATGCCGTGCCATATAGTTCCACCGATCGCCTGAGATTTCATACCAGTCAGTTCACATTCTAAAAGTTGAGTAGAGACCTGGGAAAGGAGCGTTTACGTACACCCATAGCAAAAGCGCCTCCAAAGTCATTCAGAATGACCCAGGGACAAGGGTCTCGTGCGTGATCCATGATTAAATTATGTGGTGATTAATCAAAGAATTGAAGAGGTTGATGCTGGATGGGTTATCGTCTGAAGTAATCGAGATCGCCTAAAGTCTCAGGGCAAAAATCTGGAAATGCCTCAGTAGGACACACAACGAGGGTATTCGAAATGTGCGAAGCGGAAGTGACAAGTTGTCGGTGTAGGCGTTCGTCGTGGGCTTGCGGGCGCGTGGGTATTGGATTGATCGAATTAAGAAATTGTCGAAATTCAGAAATTATTTTTATTTTTAATTGATGACGGAAGTCGGAAGGCGATGGAGAAATTTGTTACTGTCCCGTGCACAGGCCAAGCGGGACATGCAACTGACTCGATAGCGATAAGCGATAAGCGATAACTAAACGTCTTCTCGCTTTGGTAGCTTCATTCTGACCCTTGCAGATCCATATTATCTGATAACTAACGTTGATAAACCTTTGCTAAAAGTTTAAGAGCAGAGGGATACCTGAGTACTTTACTATTTACGCCAAGACATATTTCTGAATGCTGTTTAGTAGACTATGTGTTATACAGTCAGACTCATAATTAGAAACATTTCTTTGTCACTGGAGTATATAGGCTATTGACATTAGGATCTCATGTTAGATACGAAGAGAAGAGAAGTCTTGAGTCCCAAGTAATAACCTCAAGCCGATATCGGGGGGATATGATACGACGCAGAACATTGAAGTTGGGAGTTACGGCATATTTGTGATAGTAATAACAGCAGCATGGAATGATAAGGATCTGATTCCTTATATCAAGCTCTATATTCTTTCTCAAATTGTATTTAACACAATATGGAATCTATAGAATCTACAAGTCTGAACATTTGCCCATTCCCAAGATCAAGTTATTACCACCCTTTTCAAGCTGCTAACCTAGACACATAGTAAACACATACCTACATGGTAGTATGTGTACATATGTGGTGTGACATGTGGGAGTTGCACTAAACTACATGACTTTTCTCTTTGGGTAGCACAACTTCAAGCTGTACATACATTGTGATCTGAAAAAACAGACAGCACGGCGTTCGTACTACTTTCTGATATGTGAGCCTTTCGCCCACTCTATCTTTATATATAAGAGAGCCCAAGTTCCAATTTCTTGCTTACATGTATTCTGAGAATATAACGGGAGATGAAGCTTGGTCCATCATGTCTCGCGTATTGACAGCCAGATATCGCGCCATAGCCTGGACATGACTATGTTTCCCGTGTAGCCACTCAAAGCCTTGTTACCAACTGACCAATTGATCTGTCGAAAATCCCATAATCAGAAAAATCCCGCTCACCGTAAGTCAGGTTTCAGGCGCCATTCCGCATATTTAAAGGGGATTGGGTCCGCTCTTAGGAGCTGAGTTCAAATATATTCTCCCACATTTCCCCTATATTTATCACTCAACCACTCGAATGATAACTATCTAGGTACACATCATCTAAGGACTGTCTACAGCTATGGCCGTTGGGCTCGATCAGAACGTCGCAGTGTGTCGACGTTGCCAAGAAATCGACGAAGAGGAAATTAAGAAGAAAGAGGGTAACCATGAAGCCCACACGAAACACCATGTATATGGTAACGGAAACATGAACATAGGGTGTAAGTTGGCCTTTCTTTTCAGTAATGAACCTACATGTTGTTCAACCTTGAGTCGGAACCAAAAAACCCCATAGGTGGTATGTATCTTGCATCTTGGGGTGCAGCACAACCCAACCCAACATTGCCCTACCTAGGGAGACACATGTACTGGGTACCTACTGATGCCGTCCAATGCATCACATGAGATCTGTTAAAAAGAAAGGGCAAAAAAAGGAAGAACTGAAAACGAAAAAAAAAAAAAAAAAAGAAAAGAAAAGATGATGATCCCACGACGGCTCTGGTTAATGCCGTTAAATTGAAGTCAATTTCAGGGGATGAGCCAATGATGATGACTTAGCTTCTCTAAGCTCAACTAATACCCCAGAGTACTGGTTCCACTCCGACCCACTGATCCTGGTCCCTGGAATGTGCCTGAAGGCCCCCCTGAAGCGCTATCATTACTGCATTGAATCTGAGTTGATGCATCCATTGCTGCAAGTGCTTGCAGGCAGGTGCGCTACTGAAGAAAGCTCCCCACAGTTGAACAGAAAGAAGTCTTTCTGTCAATCAACGCACCACACGTCATCTCCCATCCTCCTCCAATTCAACTCCAATTCAACCCCAATTCGTTTCAATGCCTTAAGGTTAGGTACCTACAAACCTACATAGTAGTAACCCAGGTCCCTAAATTTCAACGGATTTCACATTTCATTATCAAACTTTCTTCATTCTCCAGCCAGTCATTTTTCTCAAAACAATTCAACAGTAAACGATCCTTGCCTATATCGTCAACCTTTCCAGTACTTGAAATCCCAAGACTACCTAGTATACTTGGTCTGTCTTAATGTTTCGGCACCAACAGTTGACTTGTAAATAGCAATCATGCCTTCCGCACTGGCGATGTCAGCCCCAACCCCCATTCTCGAAGTTCCTCCTCATAAAACGCCTCAATTGCATCATAATCTCAAGCATGATAGCTCCGTGCTTGCGATTGTAGTTGGAAACGATAACATTTATGCCGGAACCCAGAATGGAGAGATTCTTGTGTGGCAAATAGGCACCTTTCAGAGGCTCCATCAAATACAAGCCCATAAGCGTAGTGTCATGTGCCTTTTCCTATCCGATGATGGCTCCCTCCTTTTTTCCAGTGCCAGCGATCCAATCGTCAATGTTTGGTGCCCTCGCTCCATGAACCGGCTCTACGAGATATACAGCACCAATGACTCATTCGGCGACATATTTTCCGTTTCCTACTCGTCCCAGCACGAAACCGTTTACTATGGCGCGCAAAATACGTCTATCCAGTGGGTAAGCCTCAAAGACGCTACCAAACGCGTTGGCCACGATTCATCAAATCACCCAGACCGGAGGAATCATCGATTTTTCGATTCCCGAGCTGTAGGGGGCGCGAGCACACCGCGACCTACTGATGAGCGATACGATTTGATACCCCGACCCTATGTCGTGCTTGAAACAGATCCGCGTGCGAATAAAATGTTTGCGCACTATGGCTATGTTTATTGCATGCTAATGACGAAGGGTACCACCGCCTACACAGAACCAAATGAGGACGTTCTGATATCTGGTGGCGGGGATGGCACCATCAAGGTTTGGAAGCTAGGTGGACAGGATATTGGTCCAGATGGATACGAAAATGGCATTGAAGAAATCTTGGTTCTTGGTGACCAAGATGCTATGTCGGTCATGTCCTTAACCGTGGACGGGTCTTTCCTATATAGTGGGAGGTTAGACGGCGTTATTGAGCTATGGGACCTGGACACGAGGCAAAAGTTGAGGGTGATTAAAGCCCACAAAGGTGATGTCATGGCTCTACAGATGGGATGGGGCTATTTATGGAGCGCAAGTCGTGCTGGGACCGCCGGCGTAAGTGGATGCAGTCCTCTCGGTAGCATAACATCTAACGAAGACAACAGAAGCATAATACCGTGCACTATGGAAGCTATCAGCGCGACTCGGCCCAGAACGTCAGCCAGAAATATCAATGTTTGACCCAATGGAAGGCACACGATGGCAAAATTCTGTCTTCGGCCATCACCACTTACAATGGACACCCGATGTACATTACAGGAGCCAACGACAACAATGTCGCCATTTGGATGCTGGAAAACGAAGCATCAGTCGAGCAGCCATCTCAGGAAGAACACGAGGATATGATGATAACCTCGCTAAGGGAATTTGTATCATTCAAGACCATATCCTCTCGCCCTGAGTACGCAGAAGACTGTCGCCGAGGTGCGAGCTTCCTTCGTACCTTATTTAAGAAGCTCGGCGGTGACGTAGAGATGTTAAGTGATGACGATAGCCTTCACCACCCCGTGGTGCTAGCCAGGTTCAGTGGGAAGCAAGAGCCTGCTGAGAAACGAAAAAGAATACTTTTCTATGGCCATTACGATGTGGTACCAGCAGAAACGAAGAATGGAAAATGGAGCAATGACCCTTTTCAATTAACCGGGACCAATGGGTATCTATACGGCCGTGGAGTTAGCGACAACAAAGGCCCCATTATCGCTGCACTTTATGCTGTAGCTGATCTCATGCAAGCCAAATCTCTAGATTCCGACGTGTTGTTCCTGATCGAGGGGCAGGAAGAGTCGGGATCTCGTGGTTTCAAAGAGATCGTACGGAAATACAAGAATTGCATTGGCAATATTGACTACATTCTATTAGCAAACAGTTACTGGCTGAACGACGATACGCCATGCTTAACTTATGGCTTGAGAGGTGTCATGCACGCAACCGTCTGTGTGGAGTCAAAGACTCCCGACTTACACTCTGGTGTGGACGGTTCGTACATGGTTAACGAGCCGTTGTCTGACCTTATGGTATTACTCTCGAAGCTCAAGGGCCCTCACAATCGCATCATGCTTCCTGGGTTCTATGATAGCATATTTCCCCTCACAGCCGAGGAAGAAGCTCGATATGATGATATTCTCTCTGTTCTCATGGAACAAGGTCAACCAGGCTTATCTGCAGATACCCTAAAAGCAAATCTCATGGCGCGCTGGCGGGAGCCAAACCTTACACATCACAAGATAAAGGTGTCCGGTCCCGATGGCAGCTTGATAAGCAGTCACGCAAATGCCAAGATCAGCGTTCGGCTCGTGCCTGGTCAGGAGGTAGAAGAAGTTACTAGCTCCTTGACCTCGTTCCTCGAGGAAGAGTTCCGCAATCTAGAGTCCGACAACAAACTCAGTATTCAAATCGATAACCAGGCTGAACCTTGGCTTGGCGATCCTAGCAATTACATATTCCGGACTCTGGAAGAAGCCCTCAAAGAAGCCTGGTCATCTCTACTTTCCAGCAAGGGTGGTACGAAAGTCCGCAAGCCACTCTATATCAGAGAGGGGGGCTCCATCCCTGCCATTCGATTCCTAGAGAAAGAGTTTGATGCACCGGCAGCTCATCTTCCCTGTGGTCAATCTTCTGACTCAGCTCATTTGAACAATGAAAGACTCAGGGTTGTGAACTTACTCAAGAGTCGGGAGATCTTCACATATGTGTTTAAGAAGCTGTAGAAATATAGCATATACCTAGTTTACCTAGGTACCATGTGGTGGATATGTTCCCGTAGAAGAGGGCTAGAGAAAAATATCATTGATGTTATTGGTGATATCACTTACCATTTACTTCGGCGTCGGAGTGGAAATAGAGGCATGTGATTTTGCGTTGTTTAGTGGATTATAGAAATACAGATACCCTTTTCACGAACCACTAGCTATGTCGCTCTCTTGTGATTCTATAGAATGCTTACGAAGTATGTTTACCTGAGTACTGCCAAAATACAACAACAAAACTCTTATAAATTAACCCCTTTGCTTTTCCTCGCGTGCGTTTAATATTGTATTCCAAGGTTTGATATTGTCCCCTTCCCCTACCGCTCGCCCATAATCCAACGCATCATAGCACAGATGATGTAGGGAGTCCCCGGATCTCGCTTAGTTACTCGCTCGCTCGCTCGCTCACTCACTCGCGCAACCCCCCTCCAAAGTGCTGCAAAACCCGCTGCCGCAGAGTCTGTCCGCGATTCATCCGCTGCCCTCCTGCCCCTGGTGGCGTCGACGCGGGTCTCGGCGGCTGGCGCATCTGCGTCTGCAGCATCGCCTGACGCTTCCCTTCGGCGAGCCCCCTTTGGTACGCGGCGTCGATCAGGTCTTCCCATTCTTGCTGGCTGCGGTGGCTCGATCGCGACGGTGGAGGGGCGGGGATGGGCTGGGGTTCGGGCGGGAAGTGCGGTGGGTTCTTGTGCTTTGATGAGGAGGAGGAGGAGGAGTGGGGAGGGGATTGGGATTGGGAGGGGTGGGATGAGGAGGAGGATGATGATGATGATGCAGGGTGCTTGTGGGAAGTGGAGCGGGGGTGGGAAGGCCGGTTGTGTCGCTCCCGCGTTGGTGGGGGGCGCTCTGCTGGTGTGTTGTTCTTCTCTACGGCGCTCGTCGCCGCTGCGGGGACCCGGATGGCCTGGGAGAGGTCGGAGGCGGTGATGGTGTGATGGTCGTCCTCTTTTCTCCGTGTATCGCGCGACTTGTCCCTTGCTCGTGAGGTGTGTCTATCGACGGGCGCAGGTGCGGTATGAGAAAGGGGAGAGCGGTTGCGATGCTCCCTTCTGGATCCAAGCACGGCTTCCGTTGATGAGCTTATTGGCGTTTGTTCTTTGAGTTTCTGGGGGTGAGGGTTCCCCTCTAGTGGCCGATCCCGTCCCGTGGTCGCGATATCTAGCTGCGTCGTCGAGGGACGACGGCCTCGGCCTCGGCTCGATATACTTGGTTGGCGAGTTGTAGCAGCGTGGCGATTCCGCTCATTTTGTTCTTCTTCTTCGTCGTCGTCGTCTAGGAACTCGATTCTGAGCGAGTATCGCTTGCCACGCTTTGGCTCGTTGGTGGATCGAGATCGAGAGGGGTGGGGGTGGGCTTCGTGAGATGAAGAGGGCATTTTTCTTCGTTTTCCTTGTTTTCTTCCTTGCTAAATCGCTGGATATATCGGTGTGATGAATCCCTTACCCGCCTAGGTACCTCGCCTAACCAAGTTTAATGGACATTATCATTCGTCGTTTTGCACGTAACATCCATACTTCTACGTGTTAGGAGTTAGGAGTATAGTGATACCAAACCTTTACCTTTTTATGCGAGTACTCTTCATGTCGCCTCTTACAACTTCATTGGGAAGCTCAGCATATATTCCCCTTCCAATCCTAAGTTAAGAAACCCCCAGAACAAAAGCATAGGTATGAATCTTGTTCACTCATCTTCTAGATAAGTCATTTGGTGTCAACCGAGTGCTCAGCTCTTTGTATGTCATGTATCAGTCGGTAACAGCTAAACAACAAATCACACCCCTGAAGTGAGACTCTTCTGTATTAAATGGCTACTATTGGAGACTAAACACTTCTAACCTACAGAGTTCAATGATTCTAGATGGCCCATTATATGATATGGCCTCTTTGGGTACCTAGGCAGACGTAAATTGTCCCTTCAAATGGGGTTTCCAATAAGACCCTTTCGTGAACACTGGAACCAACTTTCGCCATATTATTCGCGTTGGGTTAATTGTTGTAAGTCATGATTAGTGTGTAAGAAGAAGCTGATTCACCGATTCATAATTAGTATTAGCTGCGTGTATATCTACTTTACCTACTATGTAGCTACCTAGCTGCTGATTCCATTGAACCTAGAGAAGGTTGAACTAGTTTTTTCCATCCATTTTCTTATCCCAACCCCTTCCTAAGCTATTGTATTTATGGCCTTTCCATCAAGCTGTGGATGAAATTGAAGTCGGTAAAAGTAATAGGCAAAAAGCCACGAGTCATTGGTGTTGGCGTCAGAAGACATATGAACTCGCTAACCACTTGTTTTGCGCAGTCCCTTTTCCCTCGCACACATCGCCGCACAGAATGCTACGACTGCAAACGCAGTCGATGTGGCAAAAGCATATTTGATACCCTCGTAGTAAACCATTCGGGCTTTTAGTTGAACATCGGGAGGAAGGTCGCGTATTGCTTCTGCTGAGTGACGGATCGCGTCGATAATCTACAAGGTTAATTTTATCATCAGTATTGCTCTAAAGGTTTGACGGGGCCGTGAGAACTGATGGTATGAAAGGGTCGTACTCTCCATTTATCTGGTACATCACGTAAAACGACTGGAAGCCGTGCATTCAGTGTGGTTTGGACAATCGCCGAGGTGAGCGATACGCCCCAAACAGTTCCGAGAGATCTGATGAGATATACAGTCGATGCCGAGACAGCATGATCTAAAAAAGTTAAGTTATAGACCATAATGATGGCTCAGGGGACATACCGGCGTGTTCGAAGGTAGCCAAAGAGGTGAATAGGATACCGGGGTATATAATCCCCTGACCTAGATTTGCTGGGAATATGTAAACGTAGTATTTCCAATTTGAGTCCACGAACTGTAATGAGGTCACTAGAGCATTTCCAATTGCCATGAGAATGGCACCGGTGCGGACGAGAGTAATGAGCTTGCCCCATCGCGACATGACGATGCCCGACACGAGCCCCCCAATAGGGGTTGCCAATGATGGGATGGCGAGCCGAGCCCCAGCAGCCGTGGCGGAATCGAGCAAAACGATCTGGAAAAATAAAGGGAGGAGGAAAAGGTACTGCCGAAAGATTAGTCTCTAGCATAGGGAGGTATAAATGCCTAGGTAGGTACTAAAGCAACGCACTGCATAAGCCGAAAGTCCAGCGCAAACATTTGCCAGTTGGGTGAATACAGGCAGCCGGCCCCTTAACATGCGGAGGGGTATGATGGGTATCGCCGTAGTCTTCGCTTCGACCAGAAGGAAAAGGCCAAGTAGCACGACACTTCCCACCAGTGATCCTATCACCCATGGGCTGCCCCAAGGTAACTCGTTTCCTCCCAGACTGAGCCCAACTAGCTGGATGGAGATTGCCACGACCAAAAGGAGAGCTCCCGAGAAGTCGACGATGCGCCAGGTCTCTTTTAAGCTCGAGACCGCGTTGATATCGGTGCGCTGGTCCTTGATGACCATGTGGCCGAGGACGAGAGCTACTACAGAGACCGGCACTTGCTATAGGTAGAAAATTGATTAAATTTAGATCCTCGGAGGTGCAGAGGTGGGGGGAGTGCTTGCTCACAAGAGTAAAACACCATCGCCACCCGATAGTATCCGATATGGAGCCCCCGAACGAGGCGCCGCATATCGCGCCGAAGCCAAATATGCCATTTTGCAGGGCTTGGTACATGCCGCGTTTGCGGAACGGAATCATGTCCGAGTTCACAATGGTAGCTAGAAGCGGGTAAGCGAGAGTTGCACGCACACACAAATTTCTCAACTAGAAGATATAAACTAGGCACTAACCCATAGTCATCAGCCCCCCGCCTCCGAACCCGGCAAGCGCCCGCATAGAATTGAGCAGGACAATATCCCCCGCGAGCCCGCACCCCAGACAGCCAAGCGCAAACGCGACAGTGGAAATAAAAAAGCAGATGCGGCGGCCGAAGATGTCCGACACGCGGCCGTACAGCGGCTGGAAAGCCGTGCTCGTGATGAGATACGAGGTGGTGAGCCACGAGGCGGTGTTGGTGGCGTCGAACTCGGAGCTGATCACGGCGTAGGTGGACGCCGTGATGGTGCCGTCGAAGCCGTACAGGAAGACGTTCGACATGATCGCCAGCTCGATCCAGGCGAAGTGCCGCGGGGCCACCCAGTCTTCTTCCTTGGGCGGGCTGGAGGATAATAGGGGGGCGCGCTCACTGGGTTCTGAGTCGCCCATGGGAGATGGCGCGGGCTCTTCTGAGTCCGGAAGACTTCCTGGGCCGTCTCGGCTCGTAGGTGAAATGCTGGATGCCATTGAAGCTTTTGTGAATATCTCAATTTTACATGGGAGTTTTCACAGAAATAAGATTATGTTGAGGGTATCACCAGGTGTGCCTATCTACAGGGGGGTTTTGGTTTTTGATATCTATTTTTTCTATTTTCATATTTGCTCGTTATGTGATTTGTAGGCTAAAATGGTGTGATAGTGGATGATTCCGATGTTATCTCCAATATAGGTATTTTGTCAGTACAAAACCCCCTATTATCTAGGATAATCTCTTCTTTGATTGGTGGTCTATGGCTCATCGCCCTAGTAAATTTATAACAGGTATAACAGGTATTATCTAACCTAGGTTACTTCCAACCTTAGTAGTATAGCCGTTCTACTTCATATAGCAGAACAAAGTCACGTGATTCATCAAATGGTCACTTCGAACCGACAGCGGACCGGTGCAATTCACCTTCTCTCATGAATACAGCCTTTACTTTGACATGATCTCACGCGGTTAGGTATTGTCATTTCGGGCTGGGTCTTTGTAAACCCGATGGAAAGATGCCGACTGCAATCCAGCCTAAAGACGTAATTGTGCCTAGACGTAACGGCATTCCTCCCATCTCTGCCAATAGCCTGCGACACTAAATCGAAAACACCAAAATTGCATCAGCAAACCACTCAGAATCTGACAGGAGTTGCGATGACATCTTCCGGATTCTTTGGTCCTTTCAACATCGCCTATCCCCAAGAATCTGGGAATGTACCTCGCTAGTCAAATCGATAAGGTCGATGTCTTCAACGCTTCTGATGAGGCATACATCAAGGCCGAAGAGGACTGTGGTTGTGCCGACTGCAACGTTGCGAATTGAATATCAGATAGTCGAAGGAGATACGCCTATCAACTACTCAGTAGTAGCTTTCTCGACCTGAATGGCAAGGGGCAATTGACCTGATTCGGCATGTACGATAGTGGTGATCAGGATGCCTTTTTTCTCCTCAATCTTACTACTTACCGACCTATAATGACTTCATCGCCCCCTATTCTGACAAGACAAGGTGGCTATAGCCTCGATAGTCAGGCTTTGGCGTTCGAGATCGGAATATCGGCCTAAAGTATTTGCATATTATCTTAATAGAATTATTTTAATACATGTACAACTGTATACATGTGTTCTATCACAGCAATGTTGATAGGCCCACCTAGCTGAGTGGCGGAGCGTCGGCCATTTCTTAGTTGTACTGATGATTATTTGGAGGTTTAGGCGGTCAGGCCGTGAATGAGGTGGAAATGTCAAAATTCGACAACCAATTAAAATCTCCAGGGTCCAAGCAAAATTAGCAAATAGTCTAAATACCTAGGTTAGTAGTAACACCTAGGTTAGTAGTAAATAGCATGGAAATTCCCTTGAGAGGAACAAAACAGAAACCGAGGCTCTGTAAAGTAATGCCTAGCTTGGAGGCTGGTCTGGTAGGCCAAGTAGTTCGAAACTCTAATCCCCTGGCTAAGCAGCATAGCAGCATAGGGCCCGGCTTTAGTTGACACGTTGGGCATGAACTACAGAGTCCTAGGGTACTACCATGTAGGTAGGGTAGAGGGTAATGCCTACTTACATACATAGTACATACATAGTACATACATAGTACCTACATCTTACACAGTCTGGTATTCATTTCTAATGCATACATACATAGTACATACATAGTACAACTTCAATGTTGTACATACTATAATGGAGTCGACGGTAACCTGTAGCACAGATTCCGACTGCAGAGAATTGATATCCGACAAATAGGACATGGAATGGTTAGTACATAGGAGTAGGTAGTTCATACTAGGCATGCCTCCCATAGGATGATCTCGAATATTGGACATTTATTTTATGACATCCTTGATGAAAATCTAACGATTTATCTCAGATTGAACCTAGGGGGGATTCTTCAAATCACCAGTTTGGCACCAGTTTGGCACCATTTTGGCTAGCAAGACGGGGACAACCTGAGTCCTGACAGGGGTACCTCAAAAGCTTGAGTAACCCCAAAATCTCCGAGGACGTCATCGTGCATTATCTTTTACCCTTTGCAAGCTGGATTTTCTTGGAAGACGACCTGGACCATAAACCTGAGTTGTTGTCGAAGAGAAATGACCTTCTAGACCTGTCTTGAACGGATACTGACAGTCGTATAAGCGTCGTATCTTGTCCTGAATGGCACCCTGAATGGCACCCTGAATGGCACCCAAATTCCGGTGCAACTTGTGAAGAGAAGCAGTAGTCGTATTAGCGGGCTCATATGCTAGTCACGGGCCCATAAGGCGGACACTTACTTTGTTGGCCTGCTCCATCTTTGGTTCGCATTGTAGGAATGAGAACTTGGACGAATGCCATCGCCGTATCGAGGTCTACCTACATGTATGGGTAGCAGTAGTAGGCAATTGTCCAAATTCACCCTGCATCTTGCATCCTGCATCCAGCTGAACGACCACGTACCTACCCAAGGACCCAAAAGTGACCCAATTGTAGACTACCCAAGCTTGTGAAAGGAGACCAGTCAAGAATCGTTTTCGATCTTTTATGTCAACGAGCCAGTTCAGCATTTTGCCCACTGTAGGTAGGTAGTCCAAATATAACTATTCGCTTAGTATTAGTTAATTGAGAATGGATAATAAATGTTGGGCCTTTTCAACCACCTGTTAGTTTTTAGAGCGATACGCTTAATGAGACAATTATGGACCGTTGGTGTTGGGTTGGTTTGAGGGTTGGATCTATCAAATCAATATTCTTTTTAGCAATTTCTGATAACTAGAGCCGACTGTACGCTAAGATACTCCGCTAACATTCGCTAGTAAAGACCTGGTTTGCTTGGCTCCCTCTCAAGATGGCCAAGGATCATTGACCAAGTGGGTCTTTTTCAAAGTTGGGCGCTTCTAGTGGCCTTAAAAAGGTACGTACACTCTATATACCCTGTATTGCTAGTGTTGATGGCTAATGGCCGGATGGCGTAGTCGCATCATGAGATTCCAGTGATGTAATTGAGTTTAAGAAACCCGCTTGCCCCTCCAAGTCTTGAACTCAATTAATTCTACAACCTTCGAACTTCACAGATTGATCGCTTTTCAATCTTCTCCAACTTTGCTACTACTTTGATTATAGCTTCTTTTCTTTTGCTTTCCATTATATAACCTACCTGGCCGTATATATACCTATATATATTTCCCTTACATACCCACCTACCAACCCACATATGCAAAATCAGGCGAAGTTGCATATTCATATCGAAACTTGACTTAAAACAGGGACCACAACACCCCCCGTGCTACCTACCAAGTCACTTACGCACATCATCGGCCAGTCCGCTACTAAGAGCGTCGTATCGAGGTCACACGCAACAACTGTGTGAGCGCGTGTGTTTGTGGACACGACAGAAAACGAAAAGAAAAAAGACTCCCTACCTACACAATCAACTACGTCTGCTTAGCTTGTCTGCGACTCTCTTAAGCTCCAAGCCACATACGAAAGCAGCCCCGCGCATCCCCCCAGCTATCGAATTAGTACCTTGGGGTTTCCGCCGACGCTCCTCTTCTGTCATCACAGTCCGAAATCTACAGCCACATTATTTATTGACCTGCAAAAAGCACAGCTCACATTATTTTATCTTCATTTTTACATATATTTATATAATTTTGCCCACGAAACTACTCACTACCGGCGTCCTTCGACCTACATCGGACATTTTTGACGTATAACGCCTTTACTATGCCGTATAAACTGTCGGACGACGATCTGGCCTACGGCGAGTCGTACGGTGGAAGGTGGGACAGAAATCGTTTCACGGTCGAGAGCGACCGCACTCGCCCAGGCCCAGAGAGGGAACGTTTCGAGGAACACGATCGATTTGTTAGTCGTGGCCCGAGTGGACGGGTTCGTGAGGCCTCGGTAGATGAAAGATTTGAACGAAGAGCACCCCGACCGTGGGATGATGATTTTCCTCGCGAGAAGAAGTACTACGATGATGGGCCTCGCTTTCTTCGACGATCACCGCCTCCCGAATTAGAGAGACGGGTCGTTCTCGAACGAGAGCGCGAGCGTGAACGAGAACCTCGCCACTCATCTCCCCCGCGACGCCCAGGACAATTGCTTCGGCGTCAATCGTCCCTTGATACCTTTGACAGACGACCCGCCCCAAGGTTCTACGAAAAGGAAGAGCGCGGGCCCCCAGTACGTCGCAGCGATTATCACCCTGAACCGTACAAGCCCATCCCCCTTCCGAGGTCCCGAGCGCTTCCCCCGCCGAGATTGTATACCGAGCGCGAGTACGACGAAATCAAGATTTCAGAACCAGAACACTACGGAGACGAAGAATTCCACGCATACCCCGAGATCATCAGGGAAAGGGATATGGTTAAGTCAAGAAGACGGCGCAACAGTAGTGAATCAAGAGATAAACTTCGCGTTGACAGCAGGGCCAGCAGGAGCAGCAGGAGCGTCTCACGCACTTCGTTTTCGTCAGATGACACAAGCAGCAGCGGAGGCACTACCGTCAAGAGCGGTAAAAGTTCCAAGAGTGTCAAGAGTGTTAAAAGTGTCAAAAGTATCAAGAGCGATGGCCTTAAAAAGGGAAAGACGAGAATCCCAATTAGACTCGTCTCAAAGAGAGCGCTTATTGAGCTCGGTTATCCATTTGTTGAGGAGGTATGTTCCATTTCTACACTCTACAACCTATTTCTTCATTACTAACAATCTTAGGAAAATGTCATTGTTGTGCAAAACGCGCTTGGCCAACACCACATTGACGAACTACTCAAATTGAGCGAGGAATTCAAAAAGGCCGAACAAGAGATTGCTGCTGCTCGTTCAAGCGCTGGCGGGATAATGGAAGAAAGGAGAGAAGAGTTTTACACCATTCCACCGCCACCCGTTGCGGTGCCTGCTCCCCTTGGGCCTCCTCCTGGGCCCCCTCCTCCCGTTATGCATACTGCAGCCCCTGTCGCACCAGCCCCTTCTCCCCCTGTCGCCTTCGACCTATATAGAGACTATCAACGCGAGGGTTCCCCAGCGCGTAGCACTCGCAGCCGCCGGAGTCATTCCATCTCCACGTCTCGCACTCCAGTCATCATCGAGCCCCGAGAATATCACGAATACAGCGAGGACATTTCTGTTGGGCCCCTAGCATTAGTTAGCGATCGACGACGGGGCGATAAGGATATCAAATTAGAAATAGCACGGCTCGAAGCCGAACGCGACCTATTGAAAAGCGACCGACACCACCACCACCATCACTCGCATTCTCGTCACCGATCTCATAGCCGCAGCACTAACCGCGAGCTTGTCTCTGCTGAGCGCCTGCCAACGGGTGAGCTGGTGCTCTACGAGGAGCAGGTGGAAAGGATTGAAGAGCCACGGCGCGGAGTACGCCTTGAGAAGGACAAGAAAGGTAGGATGTCCATTAGCGTGCCTAAATATCGATAGGTGAAGGTGCGCTTCTACCTGTTCTCATTCTGAGTTTAGAAGAAAACTCATCGTGGTGGAGATTCGGCTAACATGGTTCCTCGCAGGTCCGCCGCCTGGTTTAGTGAGGGCTATGCTTGCTACTCTCACGTAGTCGCTTGACCACGTTTTTCAGAGCTTTAGTACATTTTTGAACTACTTGAGATGAATATATAAAGAAAAAAACGAAGAAGATGAAGATTTGGATAAAGGCGTTGGTATTGATCCAATTTTCACCGAGGGGCTTAGAATCTATTGGGGGATTGTCCTAGGTTGGGCATCCCCATCAGTCACGATTTTTCACGATATTTCAGTTAATGGCGTTTCAGTACATCTTTGGCATCTGCTTTGTTCCAAATATATTTTGGCAGAGACTGGCTTATTTTGAAATTAACACTATTAACGTACATGATGGTATGATCTTAGTCTGATTATCTGATATATCATTGTCACCCCTCAGATTATGTGTAGCTGGTCGCTATTATTACATAATCGATATGGAGGGAAATGCTATATACCAGGAAGGGTTTTGGATGATATAATGACTCAACTGTTTCTTAGACAACTATTACCTTATTCCGCAATTAATGAACAATGACCTTTATCATAGTCCAGTTTCAAATATCCTCGACTCAGAATGAACGAGGTATATTATTTATGCATGGACCTAATTCATGTGCGAGGACAATACAACGCTGCTTTGTTGATTCCAGTACTTGAGGCAGAGTAACTAATAATCAAAAGGGGCTCAACGCATCGCCTCATTGTGCTCTTGTAAATGTACCTACCAAAGTACATATGGAAACCATGAAAACAAGACGCCTTGTTAAGTTAACAATGCATCTCTGTGCGTAACAATGTCGCTTTGTGGTTGATTTGCTGGTACCTATATACCTATTTCGCTGGAAGGTTTTGCAATAAAATCAAGGCAGAGACCGGCATTTCGATAGACCTTGATCGTTCAGAGGTTCCTGATTTCTGCCAGGGCAGGAATACCTGAGTGAGTACCTAGGTATCTACTATCTAACTTGTCGAATCTACTACCACAACAGCAATAGCAAAGTTCGAAAAAGAGAAAAAAAAACAAAACAAACGTCCCGGTAGGTACCTACTTAGGTAAGAAAGAGCGAAGAAGTGAAGAAGATCGTGCGGCGGCTTCGACGGCCACCTGAATGCCTCACGCAAAAGCCAGCTGAGTACTGGTACCAAGAGAATCCACCAATACGACGACGACCACCACGATGGCCTACACCAGCCGCGGCGTCGCCGGCGAAAAAGCCGCCGTGCGCAGCGCCCAGCGCGAGGAGGCGCTCCAGCGGAGAAACGCAGAGCTGGTCCGCCGCCCCAGCGTCGGCGAGCGGCCTCCCGACACCATGCGCCCCGCCGCGATACGGTGGGACGTGTTGTTGCTGGGGAAGAAGGGGTACAAGGGCAGGAGGGCGCAGGCGATGCGGCTGGAGATGGATAAGAGGCTGGACATGGATGCCGTCGCGAAGGGCAGCTACGTGTTCATGAGCTGCGACTATGTCGAGGAGGTCCTCGATTGGTGTCGGTTTGAGGAGGAGGGGCGGACGGCGACTTTTTGACTGCCCGGGTGGCTGGCGAGGGTGTTGGTGTTGATGTTGATGTTGATGTTGATGTTGATGCGTGTGTTTTCGTCGGTAGGTAGGGGCCCAGGTGAGCATGAAATGCGAGGGATATTTGGGATTGATCGGGTGTTTTGAGCGTTTGTTTTTATTTTGCTAACCTAGTTGAAGGGGTATGATCTCGATACTTGCTGGCGTACTAAGTACTTAGGTAGGTAGTAGGTACTACTATAGGTATAGGCAGGTAGTTACTTGATCATTACCTAATCATCTATTGAAACGCATAAAACAGAGCAGCATGGTCTGTTAAAGCTGGATAAATCTTTCATGTGCTATCATATAGGTACAAGCCATTAAGAGAGTATGGAAACCAACTTCCCAACTCCAACGTTATCCGAGCAATCTACCTAGGTTTGTACCTATGCATCATCCTCAAGCCCGCAGCTTGAAGAAGTATAGAGTACCTAGTTATGCACACTTATAACAACATTCCATTACAACCACAACACACAGTCTCCCCTAAACCAGTATAAGTAGTGACAGTCCCTTGGACAACAGAAACTCGGCATTCGTCTAGGTGGGCGAGATTACCACACGAACCCCTTTACTATCAGCCCTAGGCATCGGGATAACCATGTCGTACGCATACGCCACGTCCTCCGCCGTTGTCTCAAAGAGCCGCATCCGCGGCATGACGCGCAGAACAAGCGCCGACAGAACGACGTTGAGTTCGCAGTAGGCGAGGCTTGTCACCCAACTCGTTAGTAACTTACGTATCTCGACACACCTACCCGAGACAAAGTATAGGGGGAGAAAAAAAAAAGGGGGGGGGGGACTACTCACTTCTTCCCCACACACGCCCTACTGCCCCTCGAGAACGCCATGAACCCGCGCTCCGGCGACTGCCCCTCCTTGACGTCCATCCACCTCTCGGGGATAAACGAGTGCGAGTCCGGGAATATGCTCTCGTCGTGGTGCGTGAGCGCGTTTGAGGTCCCGATCGCGTACCCCTGCGGTATCACGTACTCGACGGGCTTCCCCTGCCACTCGCCGCGGTAGAAGAGATTTTCTTGTTTTGGGACGCGGGCGGAGCGGCCGGCGATGCCTGGGTTGGGTGTTTAGTTTTCAAAAGGCCCCCCCTTTTTTTTTGTGTGCACGATAGTATACATAGCTAGGTGGTGAATGCTTACCGTAGGAGAGGCGCAGGCCCTCTTTGATCACGGCCTGCAGATACGGCAGCTTCTCCAGCTCGTTCCACCTCGGCAGGCTCCGCGGATCCTTCACGACCTGGTTCAGCTCCGCTGTCAGCTTCTCAAGAATGCAGCGTTCGTTGCTGTTGAGTATGTGGAAGGTGATCACGGCCAGCGCCCAGCTGACGGTCTCTGTCCCTGCCCCGAGGAGGGTGATGGCCTCGTCGTGGAGATCGACGACGCGCTTCTGCTCGGGCTTCAGCTCCAGCAGGGTGCGGAAGATGGTGGGGCGGTCCCGCAGGGTCCCGGCGTCCATGTCGGCTTTTATCTTCTTGATGTGGTTCGGGATGTCGATGTTGTAGGTCCGGATGAGGAGCGCGATGTCGGCGGGCAGGTAGTTGATGAGTCTTTAAATATGGTTAGGCCGAGGTTATAGCAGTCAAGAGTTTGATTGATGTAACTATTGGAAAGGGGGGTAGGACAACAAACCTGTCGCCAAAGGGGGCGAGCTTCTTGAGATACGGGAAAAGCCGAAAAAGGTGAGTGGGCCGCAGAGTAGAGAGCTCGGCGTGGTGGAAGTTAGGCTCCCAGCCCTCCTGGTCGATGAAGCCGAACGTCTCGCCAAAGCAGTAGCTGCAGATGATGTCGGACCCGAGGCACGTATACGGGACGCTCAGGTCGATGGGCTCGTCGGTGAATCGCAGCAGCTTGTTGCAGAACGCCTGCGTCATCTCGTGGACCTCATCCTCCAGACGCGTGATCATCCCGCGGGAGAAAAACTTCATCACGGGGGTTTGCCGCGCCCGGTGCAGGTTGTGGTCGACGGTGCTGAGGCCGCCGCTGACGGGTAGCATGCCACTGGCCACTAGTTCCCCCTTGTCCCTCTTGCGGTTGGGGGCTGTGTAGATCTCGTCGATGAAGCTGACGTCGCTGCAGTGCACCTCGTTGGGGTTGATGCGGATTATGGGGCCTACCGTAGCGTGTTAGTTGTGTCCTAGATTTACTTAAAGATTGGCTTTATGATTAGGTAGGTACCATATTTAGCATGCATCTGCTTGATCCGCTTGGTGTATTGTCCATAGTTTATAATGTCGTAGTATATCTCGGGCAGATATGTTGCTCTTGCTAGTAGTGGTCCGGGGATATGGCTCAACGGGTGAAGGGGTGATAGGTTGTATATCACTAAGAGCAGCTGGCATACCACCCAACTCGCTCCAAGGAAGAAGAGAAGAACGGGGACATCGCCGAGGGTAAGGGTAAGGAAGGTAAATTGCTCAGCGCTGAGAATAGCCATAGCTGGTTTTGGTTCTATCTACGAGCAGGAAGAGTAAGTTCACGTCTGGTAAGTTACATGTCATATTGACAGATGAGAATATATCAGGGATATAAATCTCTAATATTTGTACTTGATATATTGGGCTCTACCGGAACCCAGGAAGCCTACCTGCGATATACAAGGTAGTTCCTAGAAACCTACATACTGATTAGGTATCCTGTGGCTATAGCAGCATATATGATTGGGCTTTCACTAGACACGGGGTGTACTTATGCTGTGTTACGTTACCAGCCTTATGTACATATATAAACGCCTTTATAGATGGCCTATAGATCCAATAGCCTCGTAATATACAACACCCTCCCAAGATGCCGCCTACATAAGCGTTGTTAGCGATATATCACATACGCCTCCTAGACAGGGCCGTCTTCCTTAACCGGCAGTTGAAAGATGTCATGGTGGCATGAGCTTGATAACGTCGGGGAGATCAGCGAATGCTAGGATGTAAAATCTCGCCATCAAGCTTGTGTAACAGTCGTCCGTGTTGCATAGAACTTTGGGTACTAGCCAAGTATGTACACTGAATCGTCGATATTGATAGTAGTGACATCTGAAACTCGATTTTGTGCATATTACCTGCTGTAGTTACTGATTCTGGGATAACTCGGGTATCTCGATCGTTTTTTGTAGTAGATAAGTGCAAGAGAGTACTATTATCATCAGCTCGAGCAGGGCGAGTTTTCGGGTCCGGGAGTCGGCCGTTGTCAACGTGCCTCTTCCCGGTCCCCGTTTCCGACGTAGGTGGTCCTACCATGTTATCCTCCAGTAACGTAGATCCTACCTAGTCACTGCGTCTCCGAAGCCCTCTTCCATGTGTCACGAGAAATGCATATCCCGTGCTATTCCGGCAGTCTGGGGTAGTCACTTGTGTTAACTTTCTTGCTCTCGACTGCAAAAGCCGCGTCCCACAGCATAAAAAAAATCAAGCTTTGTCGGATTATCTGTGTCAGTGTAGTACAACTAACTTCAAAGCTTACCATCTAAGTATCTTGAGCAATTATGAAGTCTTACTTCAAGAATGTCGCTGTCGAGTGCTATCCTAAGACCTTGTATGAAAGGATATACGAAGAAAGGAGAACTGGCGACTTTCACGACCAGGAGGTTAATCCAAGACAGGCATGCCGACAGACGACAGTTATTCTTCGCAATATTCGTTGCTGCCACTTATGATGCCGGCCATATAGGGAGGGGACACTCAGAGTATCCTGCGTTATCATATGCCTCGGCCGGGCAGAATGCCATCGCACTGTGCTCTGCAATGACACGTCCATAATCGCCCGCAGATATGATACCTCTGCGAGTGGGTGTGTAAATTTTGCGATCGCGGACAGTTTATTTCCTCGTGCATGGATTATTAGGCTGTGCTATATGCCCAAATACTCCAATAGCCACAAAGACTAATGCAGTCCTAATATCTATTTCCCGAGTGAATCGGGGTGGCAATGTAGTAATTATTCTAGAATATGTAAGCCATGAAGTAGAGGAGGCTATCAATGGGGTCACGTACAGCTAGGCAGTGAAGCGTAGGTGTGTTGCCTGCCGTTATCGTGGGTGGAGAAGTCTATAATCGATCAGAAGGGGTAAGCATTGCATCTTAGAGAGTACCCCAGAATATTCAGCCAGAAGCCTAAGGTATTGGATTCATATCCAGATGAATCAACGCAAAGCTGATTGGTACTTGGGAATGGTGCAAAATGTCGTTAGGTGTGACGACTTGAGAGTTATGCATGGCACCCTCTAATCCAAGTTGCATCTTGCCTAATCAACAAAGGTTGGTTAGCGGTCTTTATATCGAGATATCATATCATCGTCATCAAAGTGAACATACCTGATACTCCAACCAAAGACGAATGAAGTGGCGGGCTGCGACACGATAGATGGGCACCTACAATTATATCTGGTCATGCTTATTGTCAGAACAAGGTCATGTGATTTATGGTTGACCATGTGGAAATCTGGTCCACGTGATACCCCAACGGGTAGTGCGTTTGCATTTACATGCATTTGTCGAATTCTTCTGTTTGTTCATAGCATTCTCCTTTCTTGATCAATGCAATTTTTACCTCAACTATCGTGTTGTCTCATATTTATCCCTTCAAGGTTACACAGACAAGGGCATAGAGTCTCGATCTTTGTTGCCCAGGTGTGCATCACTCCAACCTCCCACCGCGATCAAGCTTACTATAGGCAGGTCGGGGATTGGATGAAGGACCAAACGAGCTGTATGTGCCTACAAGAGCACTAGTGGATATCTGAAGGGGAAGGGGAAGAGGAGTAAACTGTTCATAGTTGAGGATGGGAAGGCGGGGGAACGGGCATTGACGGTCTAAAATTCAACCCCTTTTATGGGCGACGAATAGAAAAATCTACCAATGACTGAAACTTACGAGAGATCACTTGGATTTATATCAGAAACAATGAAACTTGGGGTCAATTATTTATTCAGGGATACCTACCAGCTAACGAGCTAGGTATATACATACTAGGTAGACAGGTAGACGACTTCTGAGCGACCCGTTGATTTCATTTCGAGTCAGCTTTTAATCTACTCGAGACGTACAAGAGTTAAAACATTGCGTTTTTGCTAGGCGAGCTGAGCTCGGATAAAGTTTGTAGCCGGTGTTGCGGCTTAACTTGAATGTGCCTCCATGTAGGTGTAAGTCTCCATCCCAACCTGGCTCGGAAGTTCTGCCTCCGCCTAGCCCTAACCGACGACTCTGAATGGCAACCCCTCGACCTCCAATTGGTTTTGAGGGTGGAGCTGGACCTCAAAGACATACACCACCTGATTGGAAAGAACGGCGCTTGATGCCCCGGGTTGTCCAATATCTTCTCACGTCTAGGTTTGGGGGGTTTGGGGGTTATGGGCTGGCCGTTGAGATGGTCTGCTAGGGATTACGAAATGAAAGCATGACGCGGTAGCATAATAGTGCCGTTCTGGGTGGTAAATCTCAATGAAGAGGACGTGGCTATGAACAATAACTACCTACCTAACCACGAGAAACCAATTGATGGACGGATTGGTCAACACCGCCATATGGAGGGAATATGTGCCTGTGCCTGGTGGATGTGGACCCCAATTGGGGGCATGACTCCCAATACAGACATATCTTACCTGAATCCTAAAATAGCACTCGAGGTCCCCGGATGTTACTATAGGTAGCTATGTATATAATGGCTCGATGGTCGGACGTTCGTTTCCTCTTAAAACTCAATACCTATTCCCTTTAACTCTCATTTGGGCCTGTTCGCCTGCTCCAAGTCCGTGACGAGCGCACGGTCGAAAGTCTGCTCTCCTCGTGGCCAAGAGTGCTAGTTTAGTTGAATATGGCATGCCCAGCCATCGTAGCATTGGCATGCCTCGCCGCTGGAACACTCGCTACACCTACGGCAGGAAAAGAAACATGCGCGGCGAAAAGAGTAGCATGCACAGCAACGGAACAATGGACGGGATGGGATAATATCAAACACGCCTTCATTTTGTTAGTGCTCCCGCACGCCTTCTACATGGCGCATGCATACTAACAATTCACTACTACCTAGCGGCGACAGCTATACACAGACAGGTACCTATTGTCTCGGGCGACGAACGAAGTCCAAACCGAGGCGAAAAGTGCACTCAACCTAACAAATGATTCTCTCTCTAGGTTTCAACTACACGCTCACGCCGCCCTCGGCAGATAACCCCTTCGGCAACCCGGCGTATCCGGGGTACACGTCGTCGAACGGGCCGAACTGGGTCGGGTACCTGACGGTCAAGTACAACGCCTCGCAGCTGCAGACGTACAACTTCGCGTACGGCGGCGCGACCGTCGACTCCGCGCTCGTGAAGCCGTACCAGCCGACCGTGCTGTCCGTCAAGCAGCAGGTGGAGGACGAGTTCCTGCCGGGGTACACCGGCGACGCGCCGACCGCGCAGTCGCCGCCGCCCTGGACGGGCGCCGACTCCGTCTTCGCCCTCTGGATCGGCATCAACGACGTCGGGAACTCGTACAGCGCCGGCGCCAACTCGTCTGGCCCGCTGTACACGCAGGTCTTCGACGTGTACTCCGGGCTAGTGGATCAGCTGTACGGCAGCGGGGCGAGGAATTTCGTGTTTGTGAATGTGCCGCCGGTGGACAGGAGTCCGTTGACGGTGGGCCAGGGCGAGGAGGCGGTGGCGGTGGAGAAGGCGGCGATTGAGGACTGGAATCAGCGCGTGGTGGACACGGCGGCGGCGCTGAAGAGGAACCATACCGAGGACGCGAATGTCTGGGTCTACGACGCGAATAAGAGTTTTGGAGAGGTGCTGGATGATCCGAGTGTCTACGAGCAGACGGCGGGCCTCAAGAACACGACGACGTTTTGTGCTGCTTATCAGAAGTAAGTCTTTGTTATGTCCATACCTACTATCTGTCTGGGGGTGAACTGCGGCGTTGGAGTAGATGTAGTTATGCATTGACGCGATACTAATATGGCTGCATAGTGGCACACCGACACCGGACACGTTTATACCTAGCTGTGGCATTCCCGCAAACGAATACTTCTGGCTGAACAATCTGCACCCTACGTCGGCAATCAACGATGTGGTGGCCAAGCAGATCGTGGACGCATTGGTGGCTGGGCCAGGGGTGTGCTGAGGCGTAAAATAGGTTAGGGGCCTAACCAGTCAGCAGGTTGATCCAAGACCAAATACCTAGGTAGGTGGTACAAGAAAATACGAAGAAGTTTGGAGGAGGCGTTGTTGGTCACATGCCATCTTACGATCGACGATATTACTCTTTCTCTGGCGCAGATTTATCACGCGAATTACTATGTGAAAAGGAATTGGATTTAGCTGGGTAGCAATGAGGCGAAGTCTGGCAGTAAAAGTACTCGACATGGGCTCGGATGTGGCTAGGTATATAGTAAGGGTATTTCGAATGTTGTGATATGGCATAAGAATATGGCATAAGAGACAAAAGTACAGTTCTTTGGGATCTATTTAGTCAGGATTCGACTTCCTCTGCATCTTCGCTGACGCCAAGCTCAATAAGTCGTTGTTTAAACTTTTGCCTCAAGCCCTCCCACTCCGTCCAATCCACTGGCTCGGGCTCTGTTCCTAAAGAATTGAACGTAAAACCAGCTACCGTTAAAGGGGATATGTCATGGCGAAGACAGATGTGAGGATTCGCGCCCTTGTCTAACAGGAACAGAGCCGCTCGGAAGTTCCCTGTAAGGCAAGCAAAGCCCAAGGCGGTTTTGCCATAACCCCGTTTGCACCTGAGCTCCAGATTGGCCCCTAACTCTACCAATCTCTCAAGCGCAGTGATATTATGATAGTTTAGAACAGATAGGTGCAACGGCGTCAAGCCCAGAAAATCTTGGTGGTCAATGCTGACCAGTTTTTGAGTCACCAAGAAGTCTATCATGGGAATAATGTTCCGATAAGCAGCTGTATGGAGGGCGGATTGCGCTCTGTGAGGTGGGTTGGCAATGTGGAGAGGATCTGCGCCCCGGGAGATGAGCAACTTGGCAATGGGAACATTGTTGTTGCAAATGGCGAGGTGAAGCGGCGTCCATGCCACTGAGCGCCGAGAGCGGTGTCCCGCGAAATACCGGTCGGGAGAAGCTTGACACGAACAGAAATTCATAGCTGGACGATCGATTTTGGCGTTGTGATCAATCAGCCATTTCACGACTTCCTCTTGCCCATACTTGGCGGCAAGAGCTAGGGGTGCAAGGTCTAGCAGGTCTATCAAGCATTGAGGAAGGTCGTCGTCGCACCCCCAAAGCGTACTGCTGGCGCCGCAGCGGTTGGTGCAGATGTCATCGACGTAGCCCCCGTACTCGACTAGCCGTTTCAGCGTGCCGAGACGCCCAGTCATGCACGCCCACAACATCGCGATGTCAACCTCGTCGGAGCGTCTGAGATCGTATAAAATCGGGTTGGCGATAGCATGGTGTTCTTTATCTACTGCGGCGAGGGCAGCTATCTCGGGAGTGTCGCAGAATGATACGATCAAAGCGACAAGCTCCGTCGGAAGCTGGGTGAAGGGAGCCATTCGTATGATTTCATACTGAATGGAGCTTCTGATTTGATCAAAATCAAAATTTGACTAAAGGGGCATTGTGATTCTGGGGTAATTTTTGTATTTTTTTTTTGTAGGTGAAGTCTACTAATAAGAGAATGGATGTTTGACAGCACTGCAGCACTGGAGACATCAAATGCACATACACGAAGTACATTGTGCTATGTACCTTTGGAATAGGGGTAAAGGAGGTTGGGGGTGCATGCTGTTCAATGCATTTGCCGGAATATAGCCGTGCATGCCCCTGTATTGTACCAAATTTAGGTACCTAGAAGTCAAATCTTAAGGTTCAAATGTCCCTCTTCGGCGGCGCTCTCCCTCCCACTAACTAGTTAGTAGTAGCTATACGATAACCTTAGGTACTAACTAGGTACTAGTACTTCAACTCTCCATCTTCAATGTTTATCTTCATAGGGCTACCAGAGACATCTCCATCTCCATTACATCATGGTCTCAAGCTCAACTATCCTCTCCTTTAAAGGCGCCTCTAGTGTTTCGAACCCCCTAGCGTACGCATTCCACCGCGCACTTACACACGTCGCTTTTAACTTGCCAACGCAACTAGCAAGCCTATGAATCTTCCCTACCAGCAACGTCGAAATGAGTCGCAACGGATCTTCGTACTCGACCACGTGGTCGCCAATCGTCAACGTATACCTACTACTACTCGGTATCGATACTATTTCCTCATCTCGGCTCGGAGCATGATGCAAGAGTAGAAGCTTTACGCGGCTGGTAAGCCGCTGTGCGAGCATAAGCAATATCATGGCGAATGATGATTTACATAGACATGACTGGCAGCTCGACACGGTCGAGAATACTGTCATGTGCCGAGAAAAATTACTGAGGAATTGTGCACTAGATGTTACAAATCCTGAGGTCTCGATCGTATCGATACACGAATGCGCTGGCGGTTCCTCGTTGGCGTCAAAGTGAGAGTCTGCTGTTTCTAGTGGCATGTCGCTATTGTCCCCTGGAAATGCGGATGACTCACTGGCTGGGTTGGGAAGCTTTTCAAGAAGTTGTAGTGCATGTTCGATACATTGGCACGTGGAAACGTTGGAGTCGCTATCGTTATCGTAACTGAACGGGGCCTCAGCTGACGCGCGCTTTCGCATCAGCATGCTTTGGTCGTGTTCCTGGAAGCGATCTATTACCGAGTTCGATAACGATGGACTAGAGACTGACGAGCTAGTTTGGCATAATAGAGGGCTATCTGGATTCTGGTATGAACTGTCGGTGGACTTCGGTGCATCATTAACCAGTACGCCATTATTCAACCTCGCGTCCAACGGAGTGGTTATGGTGTCCAGAAATATCGAAGAGGGCAAGGAGCCCGTGTGAAGGTTGTTCGAGCCAGAATATTTGTGAAGCTGAGCGGGATCAAGGGCGAAACCTGGCTCCGGGGGGTTCATTTCGAATTGCTCAGAGACAAGGCCTAAATTGTCAGTGAAAGATCCTTTTGGTGAGATAGGCTCTGTCATGCTTTCGCTGTCCATCATGGAAAAATCGTCATCGAAGCTGCTGATGAGAGAATAATCGACGAAAGAGGGGAAAGTGAACCCCATGTTAAGGCTATCATCATTCGCTTTATCGAGGTCTACATTGGCCTGTGTGCCAGGACTCTCACATTCCGGCCCTTCCTTAAGAGTTATGGGTTTCGCGGATATCGAAGACTTCCGTGATCCGATAGAACCTTGTGTGCTCCGTCGGCTTCTGTTACCTCGCTTATCGACGGTGGGCGAAGGGTATTGACAGCATAGATTGGTAGAGCTGCATCGCCTGCAACCGGTCGGCTCGCCCGTACACTTCAGCTGCAACGAGTGTAAGAATAATGATTCTCTTCTATTACGAGCTCAGGACCTGCCTTTTTATCTCTGCAATTCTTGCAGGCAACATGGGGACTTCCTAACATTCCCCGATTTGGCCTGTTGTCTTCTATGAAGACCATACTGCCAGATTTATTCCTCTTGCCTACTTTGAGGGTCCCGAACATATTTGCTGTCGACGCAACCTAACGTCCAACGATCGTATAAATATATCACTGGAAAAGTATGATATGCGGGCAAGTACAGTGACTTACGGGTAATATCACAGTCTCTCCCTCGCAACCTGGTACTCTCGAGTACTTCAACTAGGCTTTAGATCTTCTATCTTCACCTGATATGAAAAGGACAGCGATACCGACGTGTGTCCTGAGGTTGATGTATCATGACATAGGTACTGTATGTCAGATTCGCGTTTCCCTTCCCGGCGGATCCTTGTGCATGATGGTAAGCGTGTACACCCACCGGATCAGTTTATCTTGGAATCAGCTTCAGGCTGACCCCTGATATAATCTCTATTGAACAGACTTCTGCTCCCTGGGATATCGATGCATATATGCCATACCTACCTACACAATCCTACATGCCTACTCACCAAGGGTTTTCATCATTATGTACATGCCATCTAATGACATCTGTAGGTTTTGGTGCCGTGTAGTATTTAACCAGTTATATAACCATGGTGACATCTGCATATACCTAGTGGATGGTTAACGCGGGAATCGAAAGCCATCCTTGGAATGCTACTTCTGTTTTAGAGGGACGATTAGTATGGTAGAGAACGTATGCTATAGGTGCCTAGGTAGGTATCTGGAGCTCAGCAGAAGGACGTGGAAAATCATGACTAGGTATCTAGGGCAACAAGTACACGATACCGAAATTGAAATGTCCTCAACTTCATTTTTATTATTATTCCCGCAAGACACCTCGCTGGCAGCGTAAGCAACGTGCAGATATTTGAAGCCTCGACCTGCAGGTCTTAAACACCCATTGTCAGACATGTTCTCCCTGACTTCCTGCAATGAATTGCGCTGGCCGTGCTATTTAAATACTAATATGGCTTAAAACCGCTATACTGATATTCACAAAGGCTAGAATATTTCGTCCAGTACGAGGGAATTAAGCAGGTGAGTTTAGATGTTTGTCATACAATACACAAATATATTGCCTATCACCAGTATATCTAATGTCCTTCCTTTTATAGCGCCACCGAACAGAAAAATGTCGTCACATGCTAATGAGGCGTACATTATGCTAGCTGAAATGAGTCTCTATGATAGCCAGATCTTTCCGTTAACAAGAACGTGACCGACGAACATGTTCTCAGCTATTCTCTAGCAATTAACCGACACTTTACTGATTCTTTCGGGTTAGTGGGAGAGAACATGCAGAAACATGTAGAAAGAACCCTTGATTCAGCTTTATGGCGCGCGGGCGTGACCCCTCCCCTGATTTTATGACGCTGACCGCTCACGGTTCGTGCAACCAAGTAAACCCAGACCAGTAATTCGCTAAGCAATACTGAGTAATGATAATCAAAAGCCATAAGCTTTCAACATAGGATCTTGGGCAAAGCGTTGCAGTGTTTCCTTTTCTAAGCATACGCTGATGTCAAAGGCCCCAGTGTCTGCGATATCTATAACTTGAACTAGCCCATCTAATCGCGGCATCACGCCCTGCATGTAGCGAGCCTGTTGCTGGGTCGCGCAGAAGTCAACCTCGTAAGCACGTGCTCGAACCCATGAAGTAACAATCGTGTGCCTGGAGCCAAGGAAGGCTTGCCATAGTCGCTGTGGGCAGACCTCATGTGCCACCTCGTGGAGATAATCAGACACCGCATCAGGGGTAAACTGAGACATCACTTGTCTTATCGAGCCAGCTATCGAGCCAATCGTCGCCGTGCTGACTTCGTAGCCTGTCTTCTCAACGTAGGCCAACAGGATAGGAGACCCGACATAGCTATCTGGCAGCGGGGGCTCGACCCGATTTCGGAGCCCGAGTGTGTTGTTTAAGTATACTATATCTTGCGTGTTCTCGTGTTGTCGTGCACGATTCATTAGGATCCATACGTGTGCCAGAACAGAGTCTAGTCTGGACACCTGTTGGCCACTCAAAGACTCCGGAAGACTGTCTTCAGCGGCCTTCTTCATCTTCGCAATTGCCTCGGCTCCAAACCGAATCTGCAAATGCTCTACCGGCAAGCTCAAATCCCACGTCGGCCACGGTGGCCGAGTCGACGGGCTCAACTCTAAGTGTCCTAGCTCCTCTGCCGGCGGCTTCGTGCACGCTACCGAGGGTGCGATCCAGCTCGGGTACCCGGGCGCGTCGCTGTCCCACCGATCAAACCGATGTATCGGCAACGCCCTCGCCCTCCCAACCTTCTCGGGATCTGGGCTGCTAGCTACCGCGGCGTGTTGATCCAGCTGCGTGGGATCAAACAGCGGCGTACAGTGGGGGGGGTTCGCCCCGAAGAACGAGCGTGCGTGCGCGGCCCAGGCGTGTGCGAATTGCATGAGGCACAGCGCGTCGGACAAGCAGTGCGCGAGCTTGACGCTGACCGCATACCCCCCGCACGCAAACGCCGTCAACTGGACCGCCGCTCCCGGAAGCGCGCCCGCAGACTCAGGAGCGAGCTGCGTTTGCGCGATGAAGTCGTGCTGTGGGAACGCCGTAGCGTTCCACACCTGCGTCGTCGTCGCGCGCGACGAGCGGCTCGGAACCAGGCTTCCGAGCGTGCGGCTGTCCGACGCTACGACTAGCTCCACCCCGGGGTCCTGAGTAGAGCCGTACGTGACGACGGGGCGCCCGATGTACCGCGGGTTGGCGTCCCCTGACACCACCAGCTCCGGGGAAGCCCACGCCAGCTGCCCGGCGTAGTGCGGGTACGCGTCCAAGGTGAGCCGGAGCGCCGATTCCAAACGGGAAAATACGGTCGGGTCGTGCGAGTCCACCGCTTCGGTCCGTTCGTAGAGCCAGATGGCGCTGCATGGTGCGAAAACGGCGACGGTGGCGTCGGCGATGGATAGTTTGGTGACGGTGGGGGTTTGAGGGGCGTGGGCTGGGAAGACCCGTGTGGTGCGTAGGATACGAGGTGAGTTGTCCATGGTGGTCCGTTTCGTTGTCGTGAGTAGGTACCTAGGTAGGTATCTTTTGTTCAATATCTTAGTTGATCTTTCAGTGATGACAATTCCTCCCTTTCTTCCTATTGTCCTTTGTTCCGTGTCTTTGTATCCCCACAGAGAGTATAGTGTATGATGAAGCCTTCTAACACCTATAAAGCTATCAATCAAAGCTCACGATACCTAGGAATTTGCGACAAAACTTGGATGCCTGGCATAGTTCACTCTATTTATATGCCCTCTACCTAGGTAGGTAGGACACTAAAGAATCGAATATGGATGCCTGCTTGAAGGAGGCACTACACTGCACTACCCACTATAGGCTTCGACCAACCAGTTTAGAATCAGTGGGCACAATACTACCTATTTGCCAAGATACATAAGTAAGGGGTCACGTACCGGGTAGATGATTTCATTGTGAGTAAAACGGCAGGATTCATGATGTGGACTTATAAAGACTTGGGATGAGTAATTCGGCGGCCCGGTTTACTACGGTTTACCTATTCCGACTGCATTGAACAGAACTGCAATGGAACCCTAATATACAACGCCAAATACGAATCTACGAAGTCCGCTGCAGGTAGGTAACGAAGCTTTAGCATGCATATCTACATTTCCAGGAAATGGATAACTGTAAAAATGTATTCGGCCCTGTTGTTAGGAGAACCCCAATACGGCATATCAATACACAGGCACCCATCTATATACCTAGGTTAGGTATTTAGTTATAGATAATCAATAATCAATCAAAGTTCATTACATACATACTACAATACAATGATATCTCGTTAAGGAATCGATCTATCCGTTATTCACCACCACCGTGCAAAAGCTCCGGAAAATACTGCACGCGCTGCTCCTCAACACCCTCCATCCACTCCACCACTCCCTCCGGCATCCCAAGCTCCATTGCTCTCCTCGTCCACTCCTTCGCCTCCAACTCCACAATCTCCCCCAGCGCCTCTCTCTCCTCATCCCCAAGCCCAAAAATCGCCGCCATCGGACTATCCAGCCGAATCTTCTCCTCCCCAAAGTAATGTCTATACCTCACTCCCGTCTCACCCGTATCCAGCCCACGCAACAAATCCCCCACAATCCCCTCCACCACCTCCCCGATCCCAACCGTATTCAAGTACCCAACCAACCTCGTAACCCTCGGCACAGCCCGCATCCTCACCGCGTAGCGCCGCACATTATGCGCCAAGTCCAGCGCCGGGCTCTCCAGCGGCCGTAGCACCAGCGACGGCCGATGCACGAACACCGGCCACCCCCCGGGGCTCTCCGCGTGCAGCCGCTCGAGCACCCGCTCGCTCGCCCACTTGCTCGCCGCGTACCCCTCCGACCCGTCGCGCGGCGGCGGGTGCGCCGCCACCGACACCTCCGGCAGCGCGAGGACGCGCGCGTTCTCGGCGAAGTACACGCCGACCTGCGCCGTCGAGACGAAGTGCACCGGCACGCGGCGCCCCGCCTCCAGGGCCACCGTGCGGACCAGCTCGAGCGTGGAGGCGGTGTTCGGCAGGCGCAGCGAGTGGTACGACTGCATGTGCGAGACCTCGGCGCCGTTGTGGACTACCGCGTCGGCGGCGCGGAAGACTTCGCGGGAGGCGGCGGCGCTGAGCCCGAGGCGGGGCAGCTTGAGGTCGCCTTCCCAGAGGGAGACTTTGGGGAGGGAGGAGAGGGTGGGGCGGTGCGAGGCGTTGCGGATCCCGATGCAGTGGATGTGCTTTATCTGTGGCGAGGCGACGAGGGAGGTGAGGAGGGCGGTGCCGAGGTAGCCGGTTGCGCCGGTGAGGACGATGGTGATGGGCTCGGAGGTGGGTGTAGGTGGGAGTGTGGGCGCGTGAGATTGCTGGATAAGGGTGAGTATGTCGCGCGGCAACGCCGTCTCCTGGTCCCAGTCCACCATTGCCTTCCGCGGCGCCGGGTGGCTGTCCGAGAGCAAGCTCGCCATGCCGCCGAGGGTGCTGAACTCCATCATCCGCGTCACGGGCGGCTTGACGCCAAACTCGGCCTTCATCTGCGCCTGCAGCTCGAGCAGGAGGAGGGATGTGCCGCCCGCGTTGAAGAAGTCGGTCGAGGTGGTGATTTCCTCGTCCGGCCGCACTTGCTGCTGGATTACTTGTATCCAGAGCTCGCGTAGCTTTTTCTCTACGGGGGATAACTCGCCTTGTTGTGGTGGTGATTGTTTGGTGTCTTTCGCCATTTTTGGGATGGGTAGGGAGCTGATTGCCCGCCGATCGAGCTTGCCGGAGCTGGTCATCGGCATCTGTTGGAGAGGGATAATAGCTGCGGGATGCATGTATCTTGGTAATTGTATCGAGGAGGAAAGAGTATGTAGAAGGTCTTCACGTCTGCTTTCTGGGCTTGTGGGGTGGAATACGACGTGTGCGATGAGAAACTCAGGGGCCGAAGACGAGGTCTGACGAACTGACACGATGACCTCGGACAGGAAGCCATCAGCCGCCTCGAGTATGGCGGTTTCAATTTCTTGCAGGTCGATCCGGAAGCCTCGAAGTTTTATATGGGTATCCCCCGAGACACGGCCCTCAATAACGAGGGCGCCGTCTTCTCTCCAACGGCCCAGGTCGCCCACTCGGTGCATTCTGGTCCACCCCCTTTCTCTGAACTCGCTCGATGCGAAGACATTGGGGACAAACTTTTCATCCGTCAGGCTGGCATTATTCACGTATCCCACGGCAACACATGCTCCGCCCAGGTATATCTCTCCCTGCACCCCCGGCGGTACCAAGTTCAGTTGTTCGTCAACCACATACACGGCGCAGTTGGGCAGTGTAAAGCCACCTGCGACTTTGCCGCGATTCTGTTGAGCGTTTTCGGGGTCTTGGTACGCTACCTCCATGGCAGTAGCCACTCCGAGTTCTGTTGGCCCGTATGCGTTGAAGAAATGGAGCTCGCTCTTCTGTAAGTTCCGCAACTGTGTGAGCAAAGCCTCGGACACAGCCTCCCCGGCACAGACAGCCGTCCGCCACGAAGACGCACTGATGCTGTCGGTTTGGCCGTATCGGAGCCAGCTCGAGCACTCTGTCGGCGTCGCCAGGGTGTAAGTGATTCCTTCGCTGGCTATAATGTCCGTGATGGCGGAAGCATCGGCGCGCAGCTCTCTCGGGAGCAGGTAAAGACTACCCCCGAAACAGAGCGCGGTGAAGATTTGTAGGTACGAGAGGTCGAAACTAGAGGCGCTTTGCTGCAAGACGACTTCTGCGTCTATTCTGTATATTTCCTGCGTTGGCTCGATTTGGTTTAGGATGCCGTCGTGTTTCAGCATGATGCCTTTAGGTACACCGGTGGAGCCGCTGGTGTATAGAAGTACGGCTTGCCCTTCTGCCGTGGCGCTTATTGGGGGTGTCTGTGTTTCATCGTTTATCAATGATATGTTGATGGCTAGTAAATCCGGTTGTTCAAGTTTGCTAATATGATGCTCGCTTTCTGTGTCCACTAGGACAAGGTGCGGCTGGCAATCTTTAAAGATCGTGGCTAACCGGGAAAAGGGGGTAGAGAGGTCTAGTGGCAGATATACACCACCGATCCGCAAGATAGCGAGGATCGATGCTATCCACCTGGGCGACGGTTCCTGCAGAAGAGCGATCCGAGAACCAAGTTTGGCTCCAGATAAAGTTAGGGTGTTCGCAATAGACCCAGATAGGCGAAGCAGTTCCGAGTAAGTAAGGCTTCCTGCTGCCCTGCTCTTAACGGCAACCTGGTCAGGGTTAATCTTCGCGATATCGTCGAATCTGTGAATTACGGTGGCTGGCCACATGGACGTACGAGGCGGGCCTAATGAGAGCGTTAATTATATGCCTTAAGTAAAAACAAGAGGTAATACAGGGCTTACTTTGACTGAATCTCAACGCCGCTTGAACGTCGCCATGATCATACATAACCGGCTTGGCAAGTGGTGCGGCAGGCTCTTCCACAAAGGCCTTGATAAGCTTCTTATAGCTCTTGACGAGAGTATCAGCCTCAGCCCTCTGGTAAAGGCCATCGCGCGCAAACAGTGTGACTCGGCAGTCTTGGGGGTCGTCGAGGATGTCCAGGTTCAGATCGTAGCCCGTCCTGGATGGCTCGATGGACAATAATTCAACTCCGCATTCGTCTGAGATTTGCGTGTTCATCACCTGTCTGTAGTTGATGAAGCTTTGGAAGATGGGCGTAAATGTAGATGATCGTGGTGGGTCCAGTCTGAAAGAGTGTGTTAGCTGACTTGATCTGAAAAGGGGGTGCGATTATGCCATACTCATTTAGGACCGCCTGGTACGGCACATTTGAATTCCTCAGCGCATTCAACATGTTAGCCTTGGTATCCTGAATAACCTCGTTGAACTTGCTTGCGAGACTTGTGCGGAAGCGGACGGGCAACACGTTGACGAAGACGCCTATGCAGTCCTCTGTTCCTTCGTTATTCCGATGCGCATCGCTGACACCGATTGTCACATCTTCGGTGTCCGAGTATCTCGCAAGGAGTACCCGGAAGCAGGAGAGGAAGAATTGGAATGGTGTGATTCTGTGCTCGCGGCATATGTTTTGAATGGCCGACCTCGTCTTTCGTTCGATCTTTACATCCACCTTGATATGGTTGAATGCTGTCAAGCTAGGCCGAGAAGTGGCAGAAGAGACCCGGAGAATTGGGAGTATAGGGGGAAAGTCGGGGTACTGTTCTTTCCAGAAGCGCAATTCCTTATTGAAACTTCCGGATGCAAGCGCTTGAGTCTCCATTTGCACGTAGTCTTTATACTGCAAGGCCATCTTTACCTCTGGCTGATGGCTGTAGTGTCGGAACAAATCGCGTAGAAATACCTGGATAGAGAATCCATCGAAGCAAAGGTGCGTTGTGCCGACAACCAAGAAATGGGTATCGGGCGCGAGAGATAAGAGAATGACACGGCAGGTCTTGCCGTTAGTCAAGTCGTAAACATGACTCTCTACCTCTCGCCGATATATCTCTACCTCCCCTTCAGAGTCGATTTCGCGATACTCGAGATCGAGATGGCTACTCTCCATGATGTATTGCATAACCTTCCCGTCGGACACAAAGAAGCAAGTTCTGAACGATTCATGCTTCTGCCCGAGGGCTCGTACCGCATCTCTGAAATCAGATATCCGTAACTGTCCCGAGATTCTCGCGACACCGCTGACGTTCAGACTTGACTTGTTGTCGAATAATGTCGAAGCGATCCAGAACATCCCTTGAGTCAATGATAAGTCGACAGTTGGGAGCGCCAGACGATCTCGATCTATCGTCGTGTCGCCCTCGGAGCCGTCTTTGAGAGATAACTCGGATACAGTTGAGAGGGTTTGGTCCAATACGCTATCGTCGTCACTAGACGGTCTTGACTCTGGCGTAGTCGCGCTTGTCGACGTGGTATTGTCAGATCGTATGAACTGCGCATTAGGAATCTTAGACGGATCAATGGCGTCCACAACCCCTATTACCAGTTCCTTGACGGACAAGCCACTTAGTATTTTTAGGACCGGGACGTTAACTTCCAAGCTCTTCATCAGCCAAGACCGGATTTCAGTCGCCATTAGCGAGTCAACGCCAAGTTCGTCCAGACCAGCGATATCGAAGTTAGTGTTGTCGGAAAGAGACTCCATACTCAGATGCAGCAGACTACCAAGCTTCTCAATGAGAGCTTGCTTGACGACATTATCAACCTCGTCTCTACTTCGAGCAGCGTGCAACTTCACCTTCAGCGAAGCCTTGGACTTCGTGACCGCTACATTATCGACCGCCTTCCCATTCAAGACCCAGTGGCTCATGATCGGGTTAGCCGCCCATCTCGGCTGCGCTTCCTCGTCCCACTGCACCGGCACAATACCCGTCGTGATGTCAACCGAGAGATTGGACCGCGAATTGCCCGCCAGCACGGCTTCGGCGAACAGCTGGTGGAAGTCTGACTCCGAGATCGGCTTAACGCCCAGCAACCGCATCACCGAAACGTCGATGCGGTTCTGCGCGACGTAGCCGACGCCGTACACGGGACCAATGTGGATGACGGAGGCGGCGAGCCCGCGCTGCCGCCGCTGCTCAGCGAGACTGACCATGAATTGGTTGGCGGCCGAGTACGCGGACTGGCCCGGGGTGCCGACGATGGAGGAGGTGGAGGAGAAGAAGACGAAGAAATCTAGGGCGGTGTCTTGGAGGAGGGCATCGAGGTTGATGCTTCCCTCCACCTTGGGCCGTGTGACTTTCTGTAGGATGTCGAAGCTGGTGTTGCTGAAGCGGATATCGTCGAGGACCACTGTTGTACGTATTAGCTAGAAGTGGAAGAAGATGGAAAATGGAGGCAATTGTTGGTCCTTACTGGCACCTTGCGCCACCCCGGCAATAGGGGGCATTGTGGAACATATTTCGGCGTACGTCGTTTTTAGTTCGGAAAGTCTTGTTACATCGCTGTATTTTTCATTTCTCATCGTCAGTAGCTGTGCCTTTAAAAATGACGATGGGAAACGTACCATGAAGATATCTTAACCTTACCCCCTATGGCAGCCATCTCCTCTACCCACCGTTCATCGATATTAGGGGTCCGGCTCGAAACGACTATATACCGCGCGCCGTGGCGGATCATCCATTCGCTTAGCGAGAGGCCCAGAGTCCCGGTTAGACCAACAAGCCAGTACGTCTTCGTGGCCGAGAATAACGGTCCAGCATCAACGGGCTGGATTTGCGTAGGAACTTCGCTTCCTATCGTCCAATCGACGATGTATCGATGTGCGAGTTCATTGGGTACACCGGGTACTTCTGCGAGGCCAATGTCGTTGTTCCCTATACTCGTTTCTGTAAAAGCTGCTAGCTGACTATTCGCTTTTGCGATAACCTCCTGGAGGCGCATTCTAATTTGACCCACTCGCGCGGCGGACGGTACTTTAGCCAGGCCTCTGTAGACTGTTTGCACAGTCTCGCATCTGCAGAAAACAGGGAGACATGCTTGGATTTCCTTGGCTACACGCTTTCCCGCGTCCGTGGCCGCGAAGTTCAGAAACACAGCTATACCCAAAGGTTCGAGAGCCTCTAAGCTACGTTGTGTGGCATTAGGATGGATCTTCACACAGTCGTGGGGCATGTCATCGCGCGTCGTGGTGAATATGACATTAATACCACTTCTTTTTGCCTCTGCTTCTACGATGTCGATGTATTCACTTTCAGGCTCGTGGAACCAGACTCGGTCTCCTTCGTCGAGATCCTCGAAGACTGAGGAAACGAGATGATATATGATGACCAACCGAAGGAAGGGCACTGCGAATGAGAGTGGGCTGTCGGTGGATAGCGGAATATAGATAGCTGGGCGCACTACTGATGCATTGGATGTCGACAGTGCAAGCACGGGGGTCAGGGTGTTTTCGTCTTGTCCAATGGAGAAAAATAAGGAATCACGCCTGGTGACTCGGACTGGCGCAAGAAGGGAACAGGAGACCCGGACACTTGATACTGTTTTCTCCGCATCGGCTGCAAATAGATCGAGTGGGATTTGACGGAGTGAGTAGCCAGAACCTGAGTCCACGATGCTCACGGTGTTGTTTCGGTTGTCAAATGTGCTCTGAATAGATATTTCCCTCCTCGAAGAATTATAGCGATCGTTCATGGTCTTATTCATCACCAAGCGAGGCACGACTTCATTGCCATCTTTATCTATGACCAGTTCTGGCTCGATGATCAGGTTGGTAAATCTACTGTGATCCTCTCGCTTCCACAGACATGCCGCCTTAAAGCACAGCAGGGCTTTACTGATCGACTCTGCGCTTGGCCTTCCCTCATCCTCAATGTCTAGGAATTGGAAGTCCAAACCAGGGAATTCGTCAATGGCCGAGCGTAATAATCCAATCGTCATGTTGGAATGCGGGTTCCGCGCCCGCCGCCCCTGAGTAACCCAAAGAACACAGCCAACATCCTGTAGCATGAGCTTGAGAGAATCCCAGGTTGCTTCTGTGAGATTCCGAAAGACGGGCTCTTCAAGGTCGGCTAGACATAGCACAGTTGCGTTTGAGCCGACTCTGAGAGATTCGAAATCTTGTAAAGAGCTGATACAGTGTACTTGTTCGTAGAATGCTTCCAGTAACGCCCCCGCTTCTGCCGCGAGTGTAGAGCTGTCTCCGCCGACCACGACTAAATCTGACATCAGCTTCGCCGGACTTGGGATGGTAGGAAGGGCGAGTGGATCGCGAAGGAAAGCTATCTCTTCATCCAGTGCCTGCGACACGAAAATGGTGAAGGGTTGGACGAGCGGATCTAGATCTGGAGTCGTTGTGTCGCAGCCGGAAAACCCGGTCTCGCGAAGGAGCTCGTTCCATTGTGGGAGGTGGACACACGGTGAGAGTGTTCGCCCGTCTTCAGCGCCTAGCCACCATCCAGGGAAAGCACCGAATATTGTTCCCATACGGGCCGGTAAATCGGCATTGACTTCTAATACCACGAGATAGCCACCGGGCCTGAGGAGACGACGAACGTTCTTGAGCGTCTGGGTTAGCGAAGGGGTCGCGTGTATCACCATGGAGGCAACTATCAAGTCGTACGAGTGTTCTGCAAACCCTTGGCTAATAGGGTCTTTACTTATGTCCAGGGCTTTGAAAATCATGCGATCGGCATCACTCCCAAGGCCAGCCCGTGCAGCGTCAAAGAAGCCGGATGAAACATCAGTAAACGTGTACGAGGAGAACGACATGTCTGTCTCGTGCTGGATTGCCTTGGTGGCAGCCCCCGTCCCGGCACCAATTTCGAGGCATTGGATTCGGGGCGATCGATGCAAGATCTGACGGATAGTCCGCGCTAGGTACGATAGATACTCAGGCATCCCGAGGCCCTTCTGGTAGAATTGCGATAGGAGATCGTCTTGCATGCCAATCTCAATCGCTGACGTGCGGTTCATGACGATGTCCGTGAGTCTCGGTCCTATGGCCCGCAGGAGGTTGACATCGGGGACCCCTGAGTGGGCAAGACTTAATGCTGTTATCGTCTCCCTAGTATCATCGTCCCACTCCGACCTCCAAAAGGACCATGCCCCTTTCTTGGCAAGACCCGAAATGTGCGACGCATATCCAAACAGCAAGCGATACGGTCCTTCAGACCTGCTGGGGTGATCAGAAGGGACCTCTTGATCTAGCTTGCGGAGATAAAAACACGCCATTCGCTCGAGCGAATATGCTAGGTCATAGTGCTTTGGTGTTACGACGCCGTCGGAAACGACTTTCGACGCATCCGGAGACGAAGGACCCCATACTGTGGAAGAGAACATGGCCTTGTCATCTTCGGCATTGGCGGGCGAAAATGGAACGCACTTTAGCCCTTCTACTTGTATCATGGCATAGCTAGAGTCGGCAGGAACAATGTTCACATCCCCCTTAATGTCTCCCTTACGCGATAATAAGTTGCTAGGCTGCGAAGCTTCCACCGTTAACTGTCGTCCGGACTCGCGCAGGGCTGTGCATAGCGCAGGGTTGACTCTGATTCGTTTGATCTTATTCGGAATATGCATCGACCAAAGCCTCCCATCGCCAGGGCTACTCGCCGCCAGAATGATAGCCTGGAAAGCTGAGTCGAGCAACGCAGGGTGTACCAATAACTGAGATTCCTCAACGTCCGAAACGGACCCTGTCACCGCTCCAAGCTTTCGTCTGAGGTTCGATAACGCTACAAACGGACCAGAGTATTCATACCCTATGCTGGTTAAGGAATCATAAAAGTCGTCGGTTGTAACCGCGATCATGTTCGTGGGACGCAGACTATTGCTCGGTAGGACATTGGGCGAGGGCTCGCCGAGGAAAATGTGCATGCTGCCGTGCGCCAGCGAATCCAACATTCCCTCGCCTTTGCCGGTAGCGGCGCTGTAGTAGAACTCAGCCGTGACATGAAACTTATCGTGTCTTTGAAGGTTGGCCAACGAGAAGACGACCTCCACGCCGGAGTCTTCGTCGTCAAATGTGAGGGCTTGGGTGATTTCAACGTCAGACAACTCTATAAACGTGATACCATCTCCGCGTGATACGGCTAAACAAGCTTCCAGAGCCGTCGCGACGAACGCGGCGGCTGGGAACACGATCTGGCCCTGGAGCTGGTGGCCCTTGAGCCACGGGACTTCCTTGGGCCGAAGCAGATGTCGCCATCGCATGTTTTCGCTGGAACAATCAGGAGCCAGGTGGCCGAGGAGCTCGTGCACCGCATTGGGCCGCTGGCTAATGGCTTTGGCGTACCGCGATTCGTGCCAGTAGTCGCCCTCGTGGTTCCAGGCATATGATGGCAGCCCCTGCACAGGCGCGTACTTGGAGCTTCCAGATAGGAAGGTCTCAAATGCACAGAAATCGACGCTCCCTTTTCCGAGGTGCAGCGATATATATGCGAGCCCTTCAGCAAGCGCCTTGATGTCGTTGGACCCTCGCTGGAGTAAGCTGGTATACGGGACTGTTTGGTCGGCTATGTCCTGGAATGTCTGCAGCACTGGCCCTTTGAGGGTCGAGTGAGGACCGATCTCAACAACGACGTCGAACGGGCCTTTGTCCGCCCAAGCTGTTTCCACGCCTTGGCTGAATAAAACTGGGTTGAGTAAGTTGTTGTTCCAATATTGGCCCTTGAGCTCAGTGGTGAGGCGAGCGTTATCATCGTCATATACAGTCGAGATCCAAGTGCATTGAGACGGAGGGTTTACTTGGATGTCCAGTTTCTCCTGGGAGGCAAGATACGCCTTGGAATAGGGGAGCATGTGGGGCGAATGGTAAGCCTTGTCGACTTTAAGAATTCTGTACGTCTTCTTTTCATCTTTTAACACAGCGCCTAGCTCCTCGATGGCATCCATGTCTCCGGAAACGGTGATACTGGCGGATGAGTTGATGGCTGCGATCCAAGCTCGGCCTTCGAACCTGTATCCAAGAAACATTAGTGTCAACGCTTTTTAAAGTGAGTTAGTCGTTTGAGGGGTCGAGATACGTACTCAGGTTCCTGCAGAAGCTCCTCCATGTCTTCTTGAGAAGTCCTTACTGCCATCATCGCTCCGGCCTTTGGCTGTGCCTGTTCCAACGTCATACTCAAACCACGATAATATGCAACGCGGATTGCAGCGTTAGCCGACAAGCGTCCTGCCGCATAGGAAGCTGCAATTTCCCCTGAAGAATGTCCCACGACAGCTGTGAACTCAACCCCAGCTGATTTGAGTATATCTACCAACATTATCTGCACTGCGGTACAGATAGGCTGTGAGAAGACCGCATCACCAATCCGAGAAGAGCCCTCTTCTTTTTGTAGCTCCTCTGCGATCGTCCACAACGGACGATCTTCTAATGGAAGACTAGCCAGCGCTGCGTCCAGCCCGTCGATGATCTGTCGCGCCGCGGCTGAACTTGTGATCAGCTCGAACCCCATTCGGGCCCATTGAGCCCCCTGTCCCGTAAATATTCCTAAAACGCGAGGCGTTGAACCGCCTGGGTTCTGTCGTGCTCGAGTTCCCAAGGGTTCTGTGGGATCAGACGTGGAAGACATGATCCTCGTATCAATCTTTGAAGCGAGTTCATCTACCGTCGAAGCAGAAAATGCAATGGCCTGAGCAAATCGCGTCCGCCGGGAATGTAATGTGAATGCTAAGTCTCTTAAACCCAAGCTCTGGCCATCGTTCACGAGAAAATCGCGGAATTTTGCCAGAGACTCTGATAGGGAGATCTCGGACGCCGCTGAAAAGATGAAAGGAGAAAATACAGGCGTTTCAGGGGTGGGATATTGGGTTGGCCTTTGAGGGTGACTTTCTAGAATCGCGTGAGCGTTTGCACCACCGAAGCCGAAGCTGCAGGTACCCGTTGTTAGCACATTCATGAATCATGACCACCACCATAAAGGGGCGTACGAACCTGTTCACACTCGCTCGTCTCGGGGTGCCAGCTGGGACAGCCGGCCACGGAATTGTGGAAGTAGGGATATTCAGGCCCGTGTAAAAGGGCTGTATGCGAGGGTTGAGGCGATTAAATAACAGATTTGATGGGATGGCTGAATTCTGAATAGCCAACGCGGCTTTGATAAGGCCTGCTAAACCAGCCGTCCCTTCAGTGTGGCCTATAATAGTCTTGATGCTGCCGACATAAAGGGGGTCCGGGCTCGGGGTGCAGCTTTTACTTAAGAATGCAGAGCTGATCGCCTCAGCTTCTATGGGATCACCAGCCTGCGTGCCGGTGCCGTGGGCTTCGAAGAATTGAGGTCTATCGGATGGATTGTTGATGTTTAAAGCAGCACGAGCATAACACTCCCGTATCATGGCTGCCTGTGCCTTTGAGCTTGGACTAATGGATCTGGTATTAGTGACATATTCTCACAGATGGTATCCTCTAACATCTACTTTTACTTGGAGTAGTTCAATAGGCGATACTCACACTGTAATGCCCTTTGTCCTCCCGTCCTGGTTCACAGCGGTCTCGCGTATAACGCAGTAAATATGGTCACCATCCGCTTCAGCTGCGCTTAGGGTCTTCAGGACAACCGCCGCAACTCCCTCTCCCCGCGCATAGCCATCCGCGCTCGCATCCCACATGCGTGATCTGCCACTTGGGCTCAGCATCTGCATTTTGCTTTCCGTGACATATCCGTACGGATCAAGCAGCAGATTGCAGCCCGTCGCAATAGCCACCCGCGACCCTCCCGAACGCAACTGCTGGACAGCGTGGTGCACCGCGTAGAGACTCGAGCTGCACGCCGTGTCGATGGTCATCGACGGCCCATGCCAGTCGAAGAAGTACGATATGCGGTTTGAGATGAGCGCACGCGCGGTGCCGGTGACGTGGTAGATGCCCATGGCATTCTCGTCGCGGTTCATGATGTGCTCGTAGTCGTACACCATCACGCCGGAGTACACGGCGGTGCTGGACCCTTGGAGACCGTCGATCGTGCTGCCGGAGTCCTCCAGGGCTTCATAGACGGTCTCGAGCAGCAGACGGACCTGGGGATCCATGACACGCGCTTCGGCGGGGCTGATGCCGAAGAACTGCGCATCAAAACGCCGGTGCGGCTTGTCGCCGCCCAGGAAGTAGGACTGCTGGACATTGGTGTGGCCATGGTACTGGCTGTTGCTGTGGTAGAAGCCGCGAGCGCTGAATCTGTCTTCTGGTATAGGGGTGAGGAGGTCTCGAGGGTTAGTAAGTAAGTCCCACAGCGCTGATGGCGTGTTCACGTCGCCCGGGAACCGACATCCAACGCCGACCAGAGCTATGGGTTCTCGACCAGACATATTTGGTAATTATGAAGAAAATGTATTGGCATAGATGAGCTCATTGCATATTTGGATTTGGTCCGGTCTGGTATTGTGTGATTCTGCTTTGCTCAACCCCTCGCACTTGAACTACAGATTATACACGGAAACTTCAGTCTAATATGAGGTTACGTTACGGTGTTATAAGAGGTTGATAGTCCTAGGCATCTGATTAGCCACAACACTTGAAGTCCTAAATGGCAGTGAGAAACAAAACATGTTCCGAGGTTTCACAGCCTCTGTTCATCATTGTTTCTACCCAAGACATACACGCCGGCTCAGTGCCTATAATAAGCTAGACACATATATGGGGCCAAAAAACACCAACAGGTATATAGGGCGGGTATTTTCTGACTATAGATCTCGGCAGTTATGCAGGTGCATGCATAGCCGAGTATCTTTAGGTTTAGGCATGGGTGAGTTTCTTACATGATATGGGAAACAAGGGAATATAGACCAAGCCACGCCCCTCTGACCGGACTACGTATCCCGAGAAGGATGGGATATTCAGTGTTGTTTCGTTGAGCTTGGTCCACAGTAAGCAACCCGGAACAAGAGAGGTGTTGGTTATTGCCGGAAGGAATATGTATCTAGGAATGTCTTGGAATGTCTATAGTTCATATCTGAAGCGAAACACACAAATCTAGCAATTTTGCCCAAAGACCCATGTATATCTACCATGTTTCTCTACCATATGCATCTAGTTCTATATCGTAAGTGGGCGGATGCTTAACCTACATTAGGTATTGCTAGGTACTACCTTAGGTGCAGTTTAAGCATGCGGCGCATGTCTGCTTAACAGAGTGATCTTAATTTAGCAACCTGGTCGATCAAGTTTTTTTATCGTGCTAATTGTGTTAGTTAATACTACGCTCGTACATTAGGTATAGATACGTTCCATTTTGGGGGTTACGGTTCCTTTATTGGAATCGCCTAGCCCACCTAGGCCAGTCAACGAGGCCAACTGAATTCTCCAACGATTTGTCTTAGTTACCCTTCCATCCAAAGGGTAGCATAATGTTTATCTAGAATCCTACAATGCTACATGCAAGTCCACTCCACCACGTGATGATGCAAGATGGTTGGATGATAGAATCCGGAGGGTGAACAAGTACGTCCGTAGGATCTTCGTCTCATACTGCTTACTTCGTTCCCGCTTCCCCTCTAAGCCATATTCTAAAGATGGTGGGAGGTACGAGATTCATCATCGGTACTTACTTTGCCTACCTACCTCTACCCACCTACCTAGGTAGGCAGGCACCCATTATACTATCGCCGTATATGTGCCCCCGTGCCTCTCCTCTGGTCCGCATGCATTCTTCTTCTTATACTATGTACGTGGGATCTCAAGTAAGCCAACCAGTCGCTTTCCAACATCTTTTCTTCCCCAACCCCAGCTTTGAATCTTACCACCAACAAACCACACAAGACCACGTACAAACTCCAACCGGCTTGGAGCCAATAAGAACTTGATACCAAAGATGGCCGGATTTCACGTCTTTGATGACTCCCTACAAGGCTCTTGTATAGTCATCTTTATCATTTTCACACCTCTCTGCATTGTGGCATCTGCGTTGCGCCTGGCCTCATCCCGTATCGCCTTTGGGAAGATAGGCATCGAAGACTATTTGACACTCGGGTCGCTATTCTTCCTCCTCGCCTGGGTGGCGGGTAGTTCTACTGGTATAGAAACCTCCTATTTAATAACTTCAAGGTTTTGGTCAAGACAATCTAACTCGGATGTATAGCAATCGGCTTTCTGAATGGACGTGATGTGATGCAAATGACTCCCGAGGAGATCTCCAATGCTTTTAAAGTCCGTTCTACACAATCGAGTATTGCCAGTCTTTGCTTGTGGCTGACAATATTCTCCAGGTTATTTGGGCCTCGAGTCTCATGTTCGCGCCGAACCAGCTATGTTCCAAGCTGAGCATCTTGTTTCTCTACCGCCGCATCTTCGGCATCAACCGCACTTACACGCGATGGATTAAGGGTCTGGCATTGGTGCAGATTCTTTGGGCCATCGAAACTCCCCTTGTCGAGGCATTCGAGTGCACGCCGGTCAAGAAGTACTGGGATATCACCTACGTGGGCGGAACGTGCATCGACATAGGCGCATATCTAGCGGCAAACGAGACGATCAACTCGCTAATTGATTTGGTCATGGCGGCCCTCGCCGTTGTCATGCTACGCCAGCTTCAGATAAGTTCGCAGACCAAGTGGAAACTAGGAATAGTCTTTGCCATCGGTAGCTTGTAAGTTATAGCTGCCTAGCACCTAACGATGCGCACTTGTGGTGATTGACATGGCTAACATATGACAGTGCTGGAATTATCGGATTCATCAAGATTGGGTTGGCATTCAAAGTTAGCGTCCGTAAGTATTACTTTTCTCTCTTCTGGTACCTATGGATATACTTGGGAGAGCCCCTGACTGACTTGGAATCTCCCACCCGTAGACAACCAAATTCAAATGGGACTGTGGGCTACGTTGCAGATGTCTCTGAGCATCATTTGCTGCTGCGTGATCACATACGGACCGCTCTTCACCAGGGCAGGCCTCACTCGTCGGCTCGCGACCAAAAGCCCAACGTACGGCAGCAAGTCTCATCACAATCTAGCACCCTCACAGTCGGGCCATGGGGTATACTCCGGCAGCTACGTCGAGTTGGGAGGGGCTGGCATCGGGAGGGGCAATGTTCGCACAGAGATCGGCATCGGCAAGCCCCGCGATATTTACAGCAGAGACTCTGGGAGCCGGGACTTTTATGACGAAAGCCATCTTGTCGAGCAGCAGATGAAGAGTGTGCGGATCCACCAGACCGTCGGCCCGTTGGGGTCATAGCTTCGTTTACTACTGATGCGGCATGCCTAATGCCTTGGCGTATACTAGGAGGTACCTAAACTTGGTATCTGGACATGGACTGTATGTATGTATTGGGGCTTCAATGTTGATAAGATCGCGGGCGTTTCTTAGTACTCTAGGTTGAGGGTTATATAATGTCCTTACTGTACATGTATGTATAAATTTACGTGAATATGATGTAGTTATTTCAAATCCTCCATGAGTAAATCCCACGATCGGGAGTTCCACATAGGTTGTCAGCTCACCAGGATGTGATGTTGCCCAGGTTCCTAGTGCCAGATTGTGCCGCTGCGCTAAAAGGTGAACCATTGATCTTTCAATGCCTATTTCTCTTTAGTTCGTGCCAGTGCATCTAACGCCCTCCATTATACTAGCCTGGGCGGTTACCTCGTAGTAGATAAGCTCAATTCTGGAGATGGCATCATCGAACTGATGCCGGGCTTTCCCATTTTTAACGGGAACTTGACTAAATAGAGACTCTAACTAGCGACTCTAGAGTCTAGCCAGGCAGCCCCCAAAAGTACTTTGCCTACTAAGCAAGGTATAGGTAGATCTATATCGAGGAGCCAATGAAATCGTCACGATCTATTGTTGGTAAGCTTAAAGAGGGAGGCGCAGAGCCCAGGTATGTACCTAGTAACTGAAGGGATTCCCGCATGGAACCAGACAATCAATAGTCACGTGGGGCCACGGACTGGAGTAGACCGGATTGCTTTGTTCCCGTTTCTTTCAGTTACAGATTCATCTCTATCTAGTAGGTGTTCACTTAGGAGTGCAGTAAGGAGGTAGTGTAGGTTGACAAACGGCTATCTAAATCGATTGTCAGACGTATGATGACCTTACCCACGATCCTACTGAATACCTCCCTAACCCCTGAGATCCAACTTACACAGCATGTGTAGTATAACCCCACCAATACCTACCTAGTATTCGTGTTAGGGCCCAGGTAGCATTGCATATCTACAGAAATCCTTCCATGGAATCACCGTTTTAAACGAGGTGTCATTTGCTTAATTTACTCCAAACGATGCACTCTGGTGCATACCTATCTAGGTAGCTAGGTAGTACTTAAAACACTGGCCAGCTTGAACTCACTTTTGCTCTTGTCCACGCGCAACACGTTCAAGCTATTTCCACAGATAATGGGGATCGCCAGCGTAATTGAGCCCTTGAAAGAGGCGGCTGCAACCTATTGGGTTGTGATCTCAGCGATAACCGTGAGTGAATTTACCCAGATCCTAAACTTGCTCTGGCCTTGCATCAAGCTCAAAGATGTTCTATGCAGGTATCCGTCTATGCCCTTTTCCGATGCATCTACAACCTATACTTTCACCCCTTAGCAAAATACCCAGGGCCAAAGATTGCCGCCGTCTCCAATTCCTGGTATGCATACCAATGGTGAGTTTCTCTTCAGTGATACTATTGATGAATTTCCATGCTAACTTCGCTAGGATAACTGGGAGGTACCCGATAGTAATAGCAGAGACCCTAAAACAATATGGTGAAATTATATAAAAGCAACATTCACTGTGTTATTTTCTAACAAATATTCAGGTGATGTGGTCCGTATAGGTCCGAACATACTTGTGTTCATCACGCCCAAGGCGGCTGCCGGTAAGAGACCTCACAATTTTCTTTATTTAGTTTTAGCATGTCAGTTGCGGCAAAAGCTAACAGATGAGTTAGATACTTATATCCCCTCAGTCAAGGGACTAGAATATTTCCCAAAGGCGGATTTTATTAGCCTTGGCTGGCCAGACCAGGGTATCACTTGGGAGACTGACCCCGTCAGACACCATCAGAAGGCCAAATGGCTCTTACCAGCGTTCAGTGCCAAATCACTGAAGGAAAAGGAATGGGTCATGCACAAATACACTGACATCTTTGTTAAAAGTATGAAGGAGTTGGGAGGCCAGGATAAGGGCATCGAGCTTAAACAGGTGAGTCTATTGCAGAGCTATTCCTCGCTACCTGCTGATACTTTATACTCTATCATGTAGTGGGCGGACTGGCTCGCCATGGACATAGCGGCCGATCTAGGATATAGCCGCGAGATGCATCAGCTTGAAGAAAGTAAGACTTAACTCAACTTCTAATTGAGTGTGTTGGCTCTAACGTCAACAATCACAGTGAGACCTTCGCCCTACCTAGCGTCCATCTGGGCCGCCAACTTCTTCGTCACAATGCACACCAACGCCAAGAAATTCCCCTTACTCAGCTGGATGCAGTACTTCTCCGTGCCACCCTCAGTAATCGGGAGCTACGTCAAAGCCATCGGCGCAAACCGCGCAGCGTTCATGAAGCGCGTCGAAGCTCGCGGCAAGACCCTGCGTCCCGACCACTTCGACAAGCTGCTCCCCGCCGGCTCACCCATGCCTTCCAAGGCGGATCTGCAGTCGTTGGAGACGGTGTGTCTTCACTTGCTCCTAGCGGGGTATGAGCCGATTTCTAGCTCGTTCCTCTGCATCGTTGCGTACTCTCTGCAGCACGAGGAGAGCTACACACGATTAGTCAGCGAGATTAGAGGCGCGTTCGAGAACTATGAGGATATCACGGTGGAGGGTGTGGTGCAGCTCAAGTTCCTGCATGCTACGGTTATGGAGCAATTGCGCGTGGCGGTCGTGGGGGCCACGGGCCAGCCGCGCGTCAGTCCGGGGGCAACGGTTGATGGGCATTACATCCCGAAAGGAGTGAGTCAATACTCGATTTACGTCTTCAATTCCAAATGCTAGGTAACTAATGCATTATTAAAAGGTCGAAATCCAATACGCCAACTACGCCTTCACGCGGGACCCGCGCTACTTCCACGACGCCTACAGCTTCCGCCCACAGCGCTGGTTACCGCAGGACCACCCTTACTATGACCCCGTCTACGCCAAGGACGCAAGGGACGACTTCCACCCGTGGAGCCAGGGCGTCAGATCGTGCCCGGGCATGGTGCTGTCGCTGCAGGAGACGAAGCTGATCGTTGCGAAGGTGCTCTGGAGCTTCGACGTGGAGATGCTGCCGGGCCAGCACGTGGAGTACGAGAGGGACTTCAGGATGTACGGGATGCTGGAGAAGCCGGATCTTTGGGTGAGGTTTAAGCCTGTGCCTAGGTAGGTAATTATGCGCCGGGGCTTGGAATGTGACGGGGAGGATAGGACATGGGAAAATGGGAGAATTAAATATTGGTATAATGGTACAAAATTGTATACTAGGTAGGTAGGATTGTATAGGTATTTTCGAGGGTTGCTAGGTATTGTTCAATCAACCTGAATTTTTACCTGGGACCTTCGTCACATCACCTCGCCCCCCCTATCATGCCTAAGGTTGCTAGTGGAATTCATCAACTGCCATCCTCCAGTGCTGTATTCGCGGGGCACCGGGCGCGGGGGGTCAGCAAAAACTGGCCCTGTCAGCAAAGCAACCTTAGCGATGACAATTACGTGAAATCGACGGTCTGTCTTGGGGCCGTTACTATCCAACGGCGCAGTTGATATCATTCCACTTTTTTATCCAGACGTATGTTAATTTAGACTCGAATTATCCCTACTATGTCCTACCTAGCTTTTCTATATTTGGCTTTCTTTGGCGCCGCTGAGGTCAACTGCAGAAATTTAGCCCAGATTTACAATATATTAACCCATTTCCGCACGCACTAATGGGCACTAATATGGTGATGTGATATCGGCCGTAGAACGCTATTTGGAAGACCCAAATAGGTAACTATACTCAAGGCTTAAGGCTGATTCAAGGTTGCATGTGCATGTACCTACATACAGTGGTAGACGACATACAACATCCACACATGTGTATGTACGCCGTGCCACGCGGTAGTAGCCCGCCTACCATTACATTCTATTACATTTCAATTTCACCAGGGCTGAGACGTCCGTGGAAACATGCACTCTCTACAGACAACGTTCCACACGATACCACTGCAACCCGTCTGGAGTAGGATCTCGTGATCCGTCGGCCCTTTTCGCCCGTGCCATTTTGGGGTCTAGAGATGTAACCCATAAGCGCCCACTCCATCGATCGTCTTCCCCTCATAAATATAAACACCACCATGTTCCGGTTCACGGCTTCTTGGACTCCATGAACCTTGAATCAAGGTGTGTCTGCCAATCTATCGGGTTACAGTTGTATTCTACGCCTACTTACCTAAAGCCATCATCCCAGGTACCGGGATCAGAATCCTTCTACCTCGTCTTCCACCAATGGGACGAAAACCCCACTCATGCCTACTTGCACATAGGTACAATACATAGTAGATGCCTACCTAGGTAGGTAAGTAACGTTCATGGTGTGGCACAAGATATTCACGTGTAAATGAACTTATTCGGCAAGATAAGTGCCACGGCATCCAAAGAGTCACGTGTTGCGAGACAATACTAGGCACTATATTCGACGCAGAAGTGATATTACCTAAACTTGATTAAACTAGAGAAAGGAATTATATAGGTACCTAAGCAAAGGGGGGATTCAACAGAACGTATGCGCGCCACCGGATACGTGCGCATCACGTTGGGCATTTTTTCTCCGTGATAATCAACAATGGCTAGGTTAGTAACCATGGCGTCGTCGTGTATAGTTAAGGGGCAACGCCACGGAGCCCCTTTTACTTTTACTTCCACTTCTCATAGTTTGCTCAAGCCAGCTCAGCCGGCGCCTGCTCCGGGGTCGGGACCTGCTTCACACGGACGAACGTCTGCGGCGACTCCGCGTCCTCGCCATTCTTCTTACCATCCCCCGAGTCGGAGCTCGGAGATGGTATAAGCTGGGCGCATGGTGCACCCGAGCATTTTGGAGCCGAGGAATCTGAGCCCGAGCCTGGACATGTGCCTGCGCCACCACACTTCCCGCACGCGCAGAAGAAGTTGTAGTTCACCTGCCCGATGGTGCCGACGTTCATCTGGAATTCCACTTTGGCAGACCCGCCGCGGAGGGCGAACGGGCCCCGGCCACCCTTGCATCCGCGGCCTGTTGCATCTGCTGCGCCTGCGCAAGGCGGCGCCGCCTGGTTGCCGTCACATTTAGGCTGCTGCTCCGCAGGCTCAATGTCGTTGGGCTGTTGTTGCGGGTTGGCGTTCGGGATGTTGACGTTTGCCTTGAAAACTGGCGCCATTTTAGTAAAGGGTGGGTAGATGATGGATATCTTGGGATGAGAAGTAAGCTTTCTCTACGAGTGGAGACTGATTCGGTTCAGTCAACGGGTAATCTGAGTGAGGTTTGTTACGTTAGATTCGCAGGAGCTCTGATGTGAGATCGATAGTAATAACTGTAAGTACAGAGAACGTGCCTCCTCTATGTACATGACGAAGGGGAACACGATAAAACACAATGTTTTGTTGTATATATCTTGTTCTTTGTTGGCACAATAATAGATTGTTCTCAACCAAAAATGATGTTTCTCTTTTCTTTACCAAGGTTAGTGAGTTTCTGCTCAACAAATCAAACGTCACCTTTCTTCTTAATGAATACTTGCATCTCGTGATGTGAACTCCCAACTTGCCAGACTATTACTACGCATTATGCTAGGTACGTGGTTTGTAGGTGGTGGGCAATGAGGCTATCTCCAAGATTCGCTGAACTTGAAGCCGTTAACCAAAGACTTAATCACCACGGCTATCTTCAAACATGCTACTTTGTGTGCTTCTCGTGGACTTGGTGGAGCATCGATTTATAATTCTGCCGCTTTATATGAATCACCCTGCTATCTTCCTATACATCCAACCTTTAAGTAGATACAGAATCATTATTATGTGCGTTTTGGGTCTAAGGGAAGTCTCTGCTGACATGAGTGACGACAACGTGTGACTCGATATGAGAATTAAATGTGACTTATGTTTATCAGGTCTCCTCAACACCTTTTGTTGTGCTTGCTTGATACCCCTTTCAAGTCGTTTACTGACTCGATAATATTTGCATCGACTTTGGTCTCGATATATAGCTCTACTTGATGTAAATACACTGCAAGGTCTTTAACTGCCCCGTAGCTTAGTCCTCGTATATCAGGTACCTACCTACCTAGGGTATTTATCTCAAAACCACAAGCATATTATTCTACCACTGAGTGAAGAAGCAAGTGCTGTTTATCTTCTAGGTAAATAAACATGCACTAAACCCTACATCTGAGATATCCATATCCACTTACCTGCCAACATTCATTGAATGTTGACACTTATCTCAGCCTCTTCTTCTCCAGATATCACACGGCCATCACCTCAAGTTGATTGATATCTACCTAGGTAGGTAGTCAAATCACTTCGGTTCTTGACTCTTCTTATTTCATTATATTCTGCAATTTCCCAATACCCACGCAAAAAACTCGAAACCATGGAGATCACGACTGTCAATGACCCAATCGAGCCCATCGAGGATGCTGAAACCTCCGATGCCTCGTCCGAACATACAATTGAGCATATCATGTGCGATCAGGCACTAACTGGCCTTGTTCACATGGTTTCCCAATCATCAAGGAACCTCGCCATCTTCCGCCGAGCTCGCGAGCTGATCATCCACCGCGTCCTCGCCAACGAACTCGGCTCCGACGAAGTCGCCCAGTATGCGATTGCACGATACATCAGCGAGAAGCCACGTCTCCGAGACTGGATCAATGTCGACAAGGCTCTCTCTTGCCCAGATCCCACAACCCCCAAGATGGTACTCTTCGAACATACTTGGTCTTTGGATGTGCTCGAATTTCGATACAGAGACATCTTCCACTTGACCGACGCCAACGAGATTATTGCGTTCCACAAGAATATCGTCGAACTCGTCGACAAATACATGGCGGATCGGGTCGATGCAACAGAGCTCCCACAAGTCTCCGTCGCGGGCAATCAATCGTCTGAGTCTCTGGTACAGCAACATAAAATCCGACATCAGCTGGCTTTGTATGCTGCCGACGCAGCGCGCCATTTGATGGCAGGACAATTCCGACTTATTCTCGACCGAATGATGATCGTCTCGTTCCCTAAGGACCCGTTCGTCATGAGAATTGACCTGGAGGTAAACAACGGCAATAACCCTCCATTTAATATCGCCAACACATTAGTTGCCTGAGAATAGCACCGAGAGCCGTGAGAATTGAGTTGCCGGTGACATGCGAGCGGGAATGGAATGAATACTGGGGATCAGAGACACGCATAATGGAAAACTGACAAGTTTCCGTCGTGATTACTGGGAGATGTGATAAGGTATGATGGCATTGGAGCATTCGTGGGAAGGAGAGACTACAGTAATACTGTCATTTCACTGATCGCTGAGAAAAGAAAAGTGTTTTGGGGGATGAAGTCAAACTGAGATTGGAAGACTTTCGTGTCCCCTACATAGGTACTTACGAGGCAGTTACGTCTCTAATAATTCATTTCTATTGTTCACTTTGGGCACTTGTTCTTTGTCTAAATCATCGTTGTACCTTACCTACCTACCATCGTAGCTAGTCTTCCGAGGTCTTATAATACCGCGTCCCGCTAGAACTCGACGCGTTATTCTCAATAAAGTCCGCCGCTTCCATCCAGTCCCTAAAGTTCTGGCGACTCAATCTAGGATTCTCATGATCACGGGTGGTGGATGGCACAGTTCGGTCTTCCGAATGCGCTGCTTCCATGTCATCTAGCTTCGCGAGAAAGTCCTTTGCTTCTAAGGCCCCGGGCCTGATAGGGGCAGCGTATGACTTTTTCTCCAAACCCCGTAGGCTGCCCCAAAATTGTCTGAGCTCTTCCTCCGTCTTCGGTTCCGCGTTCTTCTGTGCGAGACGCTGGAACCGAATCCAGTCTTCTTCGCTCTTCCAAACCCGCTCCTCCTCGCGGAGCTCTTCGGCGGTCCTTAGCTCGTGGAAATCAGTCCAGAATAGATCACCCAGCTCTTGCTTACCGGTTTCGACTAGCTTGGTAGGGTTGCCGAAACACCCGAGCCCGTAATCGAAAGCTGGGTCGGAAAGGCTTACCTTGGTAACTCTTTGCGGGAAATTGCTTTCTTCCAATTCCTCGTCGCTGATGCTCAGGGGCTCTGGTGCATGAGCTCGATGGCCTTGGAATTTCTTGATATCCAGAGGCTTAGCTGTTGTGGACCAGCCCTGGTTATCAACGTTCGTGACGGGTTGGATATCCTTACCACCAAAAGATACCTCCTTGCTCTTCTTATTCTCCATTGTATGTGGCAAGGGCGTGATTTCTTACTTGCGTCTTCGAGAAAAAAGGTCTGATAAACTTGGGACTTTGTTTCGTACAGTATGCTAAAACTAGCGCCTTTCAATAACTGTGTCTTTATTATCTTTTCAAAGAAGCTCACCTATATTTATGCCCCCATGAAACGTGGATTTGTTGTGATTGTATCCATACAAGAGATCCTCTCCACAACAATTGCATTAATTCTGGCTTTGTTCACCACCAAGACATACTGTTGCTAAACATTGATATCACCGAAATTCAGAAAACCTTGTTGTTAGGTTGACATACTAGCATTGAAGACACTCAAAGATGCGCCATTATGTGTATACCATCCCATTACACGTGCTCGTCACGATATCCAGCTCCGGCATCAAGTAAAAGCGATACAGCGGAGATGGAGCCTTAACGAATAACGAGACTATTACGTGCCTACCAGTCTACGAAGTAGTTACATCGACAAGTATCTACCTAACCTTACAGCATCAAACTTGCTGGAGACTGGAAGATCTCGGTTCAACATAGGTACCTAGGCAAATTGATTAGTATCTACGCAGTACATGTTCATGCCAATTTAAATGTGTATACAATAAGCATAGGCATTTTATATACACCTCGTCACCCTAACACATAATGCAGTAACTACGATAATCACCAGATTGCTCACTTTCACGCCTCGTAATCGAATCTATTTAACCGGGGACATTTGTACACACTTATCAAGAGCCATGCTAGGCGGAGATTTAAAAAAATAACAATGTGTTAAGAAATTGCTCGACGGATTATTCTTGACACCTGATGGAACCACTTATAACCCCTTTATGAAATTACTCTACATAATCGAAGCTATTCGCAGATGCCTAAGGTACATCTATATACCTACTAGATACCTAACTAGGGCAGGTATACTTTATTTACGAGATGTACAATCTTCAAATTAAGGCATCAAATATAAGACTAACCCTAGATATATGGTCTTGTCAACTTGCAGGTGCCAAAACACAATTTGCAAAAGAATCACCACCTACCATGGCTCTTTATTAACTTGCTACTTTTATATTCATTGAAACAGCATCGTACTATAACCTACGACTGGTCTATACCTACGCTATTCTTACTAAACAAACGCATAAACACCCAGGGTATCCTGGCAGGCGACTTCATTGTAAACTTTTCATATCCCAATCCCTATTTCGATAAGATCCCACCAATCCCAAGATCAACCAGACCGGCATATCACGTTCAATACGTACGTACCATTATCCTAGGTAGGTATCAAATCGAGGACTTCGCGGTTAGTAGCAGCCTTCTTCTAGAATCGCTATCCACATCGAGCCTGCCCTCGATCGTCGCCGGGGTATCGTACCGATGGCTGTGTATCTCCGTAAGCTTCACACACGCCTTACCTGCGATGAACGTGCCGTGGTAGTCCTTGTCTCTCACGGCCCGCAGCCCCTTGTTCGGGCCCTCGTCCGGGAACGGGTGCGGGTCCTGGACGTCGCGGATGCTGACGTACTCGTTGAGGAACTCCTTGTTGTCGAGCCCCTGCCCGTTGTGCGTGTAAATCGGCAGGTACGTGCAGTGCTCGCCGTAGCAGCCGACGACGATCATCTTGCGGTACTTCGAGTACACGGTGCCGTACGGCGTCGCGGTCAGGTTCGGGTCGTCGGACTGGATGTGCTTGTAGTCGGTAGTCGTGGAGTTGTGGTGCGCGGCGCTGAAGATGGTGCCGGGGCGGTACGCTTGAGGGGGGTGTGTGGTGTCTGTGTCGCGCAGCGTGGACGTGCTGGTGCCGTACATGAACGCCTCGACGGTCGACCAGCGCTTGAGGTCCCGTATGCGCTTCTCGTTGAACTCCCTGGGGCTGATCCGTCGGGTTGAGCCACGCGGATCGGGCGGGGCTAGCCACTCGTTCTGGCTCAGCAGGTCGCTCTCCTCGTTGTACCGGTCTAGCTCCTTTCGGAAGCTGTCTTTAAGTTCAATGGGGGTTAGACACGACTCAGCGGTGCCAGCATAGCTGGCAGTAGAAATGCTCCGCGGTCTCGATCTTGGATATGGATCCTTTCTATGCTTGTTTTTCCCGTTGTGTGATTTACCTGTTGATAGATATTCCCGCATAGCAGCGGGCATTGTGGGTGTCTGTGGTCTAGTCTGGATTGTGGACGCATTGCTTCTGGTGGACGCAACCGAGTTCCTACGCTTCCTAAAGAGATCAACCCGGCTCGAATGGCATGGGTCTTCGTCGGCTACCCACGAGTCTGGGTATGACTCTGAGGCCTGTGACCTGGCCGTTGACGGCCGGGAACTCGGTTGATCTCTACTTCGTGGTATGGTCGGCTTCACGAATTCGTGAACCTTTCGACCGTCTCTACTGTCTCTGCCGTTTCTACCGTCCATCTTGTACAAGCCTCGCTTTTCTTCCTTACCACTAATAGTCAATACTGTAAGTAAGAAGTGCCTGTTGCTGAGTTGATAACTGGTGTGCTGGATGCTAATGTTCTATCAAGGCATGTCAAGGACATACGGGGCTGGGGCATGCTGATTTAATAGTCCAAGGAACAATGCTCATTGTCTTTGATCCATGACATTGAAGCCAAACAAAACGAACGCTTTGTATCATTGTACGGCTTCTTTGACAACTATCTAGACGTTCATCAACCTATTATTATTTCCTTTGAAGCTGAAACTGATCTTATTACAATATGTCAAGTTCACCGAGTTACTCCTCGCTAGTCTTTACTATTGAACGGTTGAGAGAGAGCTCTTCTATTTTTGAGAAATACATTATGCCCAATACAGTGTAAGCTGCCGGGATCTCCAGTGATGTCTACGATAGATTCAATGCTATGTCAAGTCTGAATGAATATATGGGTTTTAGTTATGCGTCGCTCTAGAAAGTAGATCGTAATCCACTAATGTCCGAAAAAGCCCCCTAAAAGTCCTTCGACGACACGGGCGGAAAAGATATATCCGGGAATTTATACAGAAGAAAGGATAACGAACTTCTCCCAACTATAGTTACTTGAATTGAACCAACAAAGGGAAAGGTCAACTCTATTGCCTAAGTGTACACGCTTTTACTAAAAGATGCAAAGGGGGTTAAGTGAAGCCTCCCCAAGATATAGTGAGAAGCCGCCTGTATTTTAGTGGACTACCCGCTATATACAATGCTAACTCATCCCTGGACTAAACCTTTGAAATCAATGGATCGTTCGAAAAGGGGGGCTACAGACAGGGATTATCGCCCACTGTGCGCATCCTAGGCTGCCTAGGTGCCTAGCAACCTACCTAATCGGGGGGGTTATAGCGATTAACTTACTAAGACCTAGAGAGTTACCCCACTAAAACTTAGCAAGCCTAGGCACTGAAGTACAGTATCACTCTTATTATTCAGCACGGTGAGCTCATATTGAATTTGCCCAGGTGATGTGCGAAATCCTGACCGGAGTAATTGACCTATCTCGTTACATACATACTGTAGGTGTTCAATAGATCGAGAAATTTATTTCTCACAACTACTCAAATAGCCCTAACCTGCCTCTGAAACCTCGGAATCTTCTTCGTGAACTTCTTTGGATCATCCCTCGCCCCATCCTTCCAATACTCGTACTCGATCCACGCATTCTCCGGCATCTGCTCCTCCATCGCCGCAATCCAGTTCCCCAACTCGGGCGAGAGCGGTATCACGCCCGTCTCCAGGACGTACTGATCCCACAGCTTGATCAGCTCCTTCAGCCTCTCCGGCTCCTGCTCCGCCAGGTCGTGGACCTCGCCGGGGTCTTTCGCAAGGTTATACAGCTGCCACTTCTCTGGGCCCTTCGGCTTGGGGATGAACACGATCTTCCAGTCACCCTTGCGACACGCCGCCCGCCCGCACGTCTCCCACCCGTTGATGAACTCCTTTTCGTGGATGGTGGCCGATTTCTTTTGTAGGTACGGGACCATGGATTTGCCTCGCATGGAGACGACTTCGCGGCCCTGATATGTCGGTGCGGGGTGCTGAACGCCAGCCATGTCGAGGATCGTGGGCGCGAGATCCATGACTGTGGCAAATTGGTGCGTTATGCTGCCAGGCTCGAATTGGCCGCTGAAGCTAGCGGGCGGCTTCATCATGTATGGGACGCGGACGCCACCTTCCGTCGTGTAGGCCTTGTACAATCTGCTCGGCGCGGTGGCGGCCTGCGCCCATCTCGGTCCATACCATATAAACGAGTCGCCGTTCCCAAGGTTGTCGATCTGGTTGTTGTAGTACTTCGTCAGGTGCTGGAGCATGGTGCTCTGGACGATGGGGTAGGCTTCGTAGGCGGCACCCTCGGCGCCGTTGTCCGAGAGGAAGCAGACGAACGTGTTGTCCAGTTCGCCGATTTCCTCGAGATAGTCGACGACTTTCCCCACGTTGGCGTCGATCGCTTCGACCATGCCCGCAAAGCATTCCATCGCGCGAGACGAATTCGCTCGCTCTTCCGCGCTCATGTCTTTCCAGTCTTTCACCTCCTCGGCCACGACGGGATGCGGTTCCACGTCCTGCGGCACCATGCCGAGGTCCTTAAGGCGCTGGAGACGCTTCTCACGTAGGACATCGGGGCCATCGTCATATACGCCGCGGTACTTCTTGATGTATTCCTGCGGCGCCTGCAACGGCCAATGCGGGGCTGTGAACGGCAAGTAGGCGAAGAAGGGGCGCTCGTCTTCGCTCTCCTTCCAGTCCTTCAGGTACTGCAGCATCTTGTCGCCGTACCCGTTGGACGAGTACCAGCCCTCGGGGAGCTTCTTCACGTACTCGCCGTCTTCGCTGTGCAGGGCGATAAAGCTCATCGTCATGAACTCGGGGATCTGGTCGGTGCCCTCGAGCTGCGGCTCGTACCCGTAGTGGTTGCTGCATGCCGGCAGATGCGCAAAGCTCTTCTCGAACCCGCGTGCCTTTGGGCTTCGCTCGGGCGTTAACCCCAGATGCCACTTTCCGGCCATGAGGGTCAGGTAGCCTGCGTCGCGTAGTAGCTCGGGAAGAGCTACAACCCGTTCATTTAAATACCCTTCCTATGTTCGCCATGTCAGTCACTAAAAAAGTATCTCTTTAAGTGATTAAGGCCATAATGAAAAGTACTGAAGAGTTTATCTACAAGCAGACTTACATATCCAGGCATGCCACGCTGGACGGACGTCGACATTGTTCCATTCGGGTCATTCTGACCGGATATATTAGTCCATTCAACCAAGTTTCCCAGGCCAGCAATGTGATGATCGGTACCAGTCATTATCATGGCCCGGGAGGGCGAACATGCCGCAGCAGCATGGAAGTCTGTGAACCGTACACCATTCTTAGCGATCTTGTCAACATTGGGTGTGTTGATTTCGCCACCGAACGATCCGACATCAGAGAAGCCGAGGTCGTCAGCTAGAGCAATGAGGAAGTTAGGTCTTTTGCCTGGTGCCATGGTGTGTATGTTGTGTATGCCCCTATCCTAGTTTCTACTAAATCCTGAAGAGTGAGACGAGTGAGTTGTGTTGATAGTCACCAAGGAAAATAAAAAAAGGGGGTAGGGGTTCTTAGTAATAGCAGAACTACGACTTCCAGTTATGTACCCAGGTTGATATTTCAATACATCTTCCGATGTCGTGACTTACACGGCAACAAGTGGTCCAGACACTAAGTATATCCCGATATGTTCGGCGTGTCGGCCGATAATTGATCTCATTGGTCATCCCCCTATAGTCTCTTCAAGCATTGAAGCTCCCCCGCAGATCTCCGGAGATCCTCGGCAGTCGGCCGGACCTAACTATGACTAGTTGTCGAGAACCCCTAAATTGGCAGCTTACATCAATTTCGCAATCACGTCATCGCCCCCGACACAAAGGCGCAGACTCTCAAGTAACTGATGAATGTTCTGGACGTAGCGTGATTAGGGATTTATAAGGATTCTTGTAACCTGGTAGAGTGCCTAGGTAGGTAATATGGAAGAGTCCGAATCTTTGCTTCCGCACTCTGGCGAAGACGAGCAATTATCAGAAATAGGAGCAAAGATGGACGGCACCACGCTGGGTAAGATTCGTGCCTACTGGCTGGGATCCGTCGTCTGTATGGGCGGGTTTTTGTTTGGATACGACAGTGGAATGTAAGTGTTTAAATGTTATTCATTACACGAGAGCTTCGTCGAAGTCTTCCAGTGCTAATTCAGTCGTAGCGTTGGTCAGTAACTTAGTCATTTTACTCTGCAGTGCTATCTGATGTACTTGATATTGACTCTTGGCAAATACAACAGGCGGCGTCTTGACGATGGCCTCATTTAAATCTGACTACCGTTATGGAAGCACTGACCAAACGTACACCAACTCGCTCGCAGTGGGCCTCCAACAACTCGGCGGCTTTCTAGCTTGTTTCCTCGCCTGGCCCCTGACTGATAAACTAGGGCGAAAGAAGTCGCTGATGATCTCTTCCTTCGTCTTCTGCATTGGAGCCTTAATCCAAACAATCAATACTCATTCACTGCCCGCCTTCTACGTCGCCAGATTGATTGCTGGGCTCGGTCTTGGCGCCGCCACGGTCGCCGTACCGATGTTCAACAGCGAGATGATGCCCAAGGAGATGCGTGGACAGGTTGGGTCGTTCTTTCAGTGGTTCTACACGTTTGTATGAATTATTACCTACGCGCATGAAGGATCATACAGAAGTATACTAACGTTGCTAGGGAATATTTGCTTCGTACTGGGTCGACTATGGCGTAGCCAGAGGCATCGCATCCACGAATCCAGCACAATGGCAAATTCCGATCGGTCTTCAGCTAGTCCCTGCAGCATTCCTTGGCTTGGGAATGTTCACAATACCAGAGAGTACACGATGGCTCACCAAAAAGGGCAAGCACGAAGAAGCTTGGAGAAGTCTTCAGTGGATTCGAGCTGGCAGCTCCGACGCAACGGTTACTGAGATGGAAGAGATTCGAGCTGGAGTCGTGGCTGAGGAAATGGCCACTGAGGGTTTTAGACTACGAGGTAAGATCCTACCTAGGTCTTGACGCTAAGAGGATGGACGATGGCTAACGCACTGTCATAGAGTTACTTGAAAGGGAGAACTTCAAACGAGTATTTGCCGCATTCGCAGTATTCACAGCACAACAGGCTACGGGTGCAACTGCGTTTGCTTACTTTGGACGTACGTAACAGCTGCTATTTCAATTTGAGGGAGCATAGGAACTTCCAACTTTTTACACTTTTACTCGGGGTGCAATCACTAACTTATGTCGTTAAAGCGCAGTACTTTAGTCTCATTGTTGGTAGTGGCGAGCAAAGCCTCCTCTTAACCGCCATCTTCGGCGCAGTGAAGGTGGTGGCTTGCGGTATCTTTGTGCTATTCTTTTCAGAGCGACTTTCCCGTCGTGAAGTTCTCATTGGCGGCGCTGCCTTTATGGCCGTATGCCATATCACTACTGCAGTCGTCGTTAAACATTTCCCTGCACCGAGTGAGGGGGGCCACACAGTACCGCCCTCAGGGATAGCTACTATAGCCTTAATTTATCTGTTTGTCATTGCTTACAACTTTAGTTGGGGGCCTTTGCCATGGTACGTAGTATTTAATGTTTCTTTTTCCCCTATCCTAGGTGCTTTAGGGGGCTTCGCTCCTTGCAGGTTCAATCAAAGAGACGACGGCTGATTCTCTTCATCGCAGGCCTTATGTTTCAGAGTAAGTACATCTTCACGTTATTCACCGTCAGCATAACTAATATCCTCCAAGAATCTTCCCTGCAAGAATCCGAGAACCTGGTGTGGCCGTAGGTGTCGCTTCACAGTGGTTGTTCAATTTTGTATTCTCGTTGACAACTCCGTACATGATCTCTTCAATGGGTTGGGGGACATTCTTGTTATGGGGTAAGTGGAACAGGTCCTAAAACTGTAAGTCTTCACATGCTAATTCTCGTAGGTATATTCGATGCTATTATCGCCGTCGTCGCGTTCGCTTTTCTGAAGGAGACCAGAGGCCTGTCACTTGAGGCCATCGCGCATCAACGTTTCAAGGCTAGTAGCTCTCACGGATTTGGGTAAAAACACGCATGGGGGACATCGGGAAGCGTAGACAATTCTCAATTCTTTAAATACTTACCACAAAGAGGAAACTCGCTTTAATTTTAATATGCTTTCTTAAAATCATAGTCAAAGCCCAGTATCCTGTTTAGATCCCAGAAATAAGCGTATGATTCGGCCGATTGTTAGCCGAATATTGCCATCGTACAGGTTTCCCCTATTATTGAACCACTTTACCCGGGACTTGCGGTTAGGATGAGAATGCGGGGTGCTAAGGTACGAAGTACTACTAGTACGTAGTAGATCACCATCATCAACCCGATCCCAGCTTTATTAAAGAGAAAGACTTCTCAGGTTGGAATAAGAGCTAAATCTGATTGGAGAATTAAATGTCGACTTAGGTGTCCTATATCTAAAAGTGGTTGTGCAATGGCTAACAGGTTACTCATTAGCGTCGTGTCTCTCATTGGGATACTTACCCCTTTGACACTCGGGGCCAGCCCACAAGCAATCAATTCAACATATTACAATCCTATACTACCAGGGTTCCATCCAGATCCAAGTTGCATTTTCGTGCCCAAGTGGGACAACACGTTCTTTTGCGCATCCTCGAGTTTCAACGCCTTTCCTGGTATACCTTTACATGCAAGCAAGGATCTGCAGAATTGGAAGCTCATCGGTAAGGCATACCTATATAACTACTAAGCATCCTTAGCTTATACTGATACTAATCATCGTAGGCCATGTTCTAAATCGATGGGAACAGCTCCCTCGCCTAGCCGAAACCAACAGATCCACGAGGTATGCAGCCCATCTCGTGGAGAGGCTTGTAAGCCAGCGCTAACATAGGTATGAAAGCGGTATCTGGGCGCCTACCTTGAGGTTCAACGATGGAACGTTCTGGCTAGTGACTACCCTCGTAGACGATGATCATGCAGCCGAGGATGCTTCAAGATGGGATAATGTACGACCTGTTCGGCGAATTCGTGTTTGATGTGTCTGCTAAAGTTCGATGTAGATCATCTTCAAGTCCGATGATCCATATGATCCACTCGCGTGGTCCGAGGCTATCCACTTCGACTTCGAGGGGTATGACACTTCCCCAGTATGGGACTCTGACGGGAAAACTTATATCGTTGGCGGACACTCTTGGAAAGTCTCGTGAGTGAAATGTGATCTTCATATAAATCATTCCCTCCATCTAATCTTTTGGCAGTCCTGGGATTCTCTTAGCTGAGGCAAACTTAGAGACAGGAGAGGTGGGCGAATGGGTGTCTATATGGAATGGTACTGGTGGAAATGTAAGTTGTCTTGCCAAATGAGAGGATTATTTCGCTAATAATAAACCTAGGCACCAGAAGGGCCTCACATATACCTCAAAGATGGCTGGTGTTACTTACTTGCCGCCGAAGGTGAGGAATTATATTTTGTATAAAGCAAGACCATTGCTCACGAACAATAGGGGGCACAGGACTAGAACATATGGTTACGATGGCGAGGGCCAAGACCATCCACGGACCTTATGAAGCAAATCCGGCGAACCCAGTCCTTACCAATGCTAATACGACAAATTATTGTAAGTTGAACTTTTATCCGAACAGATCATACCCCGATATTGATATTCGCAGTTCAAACTGTGGGCCATGCAGACATGTTCCAAGACGCTACAGGCAATTGGTAAGTGCTAGACGTGACGGACATGGGTAGTCAGAAGGCTTACCAGGAGCTATAGGTGGGGCGTTGCACTTTCAACTCGATCGGGCCCTGAATGGTTATACTTTCCAATGGGAAGAGAAACCATAATGGTGCCTGTTGCATGGGCCGAGGGTGAGTTTCCAGTGTGGTCCTCGGTGGACGGCGTGATGAGTGGATGGGCATTCCCTCCTGAGACTTTAGACCTTGACGGATCCGGGTGAGTCGCTTCTTCGACTGTTGATTTTAACGTTAACCCGTGTAGCCCGTTCATCACGGAAGGGGATGTGATTGACTTTGAATCCGGGTCGGAGCTCCCAGCTCACTTCACTCACTGGAGATTTCCGATTCGAGAGTCCTACATAATCTCGCCACCAGACCACCCGAATACCCTCAGGTTAACCCCGTCCAAGCTGAACCTGACAGCGTTGAACGGGAACTATGCTGGTCCCGAGGGCCAGACGTTCGTCGGGAGGCGGCAGCAAGACACTCTTTTCACACACAGCGTCAATCTTGAGTTCTCCCCGATGTCCCTTGAAGAGGAAGCAGGCGTTTCCGTATTCTTGACGCAGAACCACCACCTAGACCTTGGCGTTGTTATGCTTCCGGCCAATAACAGTACCTCTTTAACCACCGGCACAAGCTCTTCGGGGCTCGCACCTCACCTAAGGTTCCGCGGTATCTCCTACGTCCCCGTTCCAGATGATATCGTAGTTCCGATCCCTAAAAGCTGGGCTGGTAAAAAGCTAAAACTGGAGGTGAAGGCTCATAACATGACGCACTATTCCCTGTCCGCGGGCCCAGCAGATGCGCTTTCAGAAGCCCGGACTATCTTGGATGTCTCGAATGCTCCCGTCAGTTGGGGATTTTCAGGTAAGTCGTTCGATAATCGCACTGTGGCTTGATACTCACGCGTTGTAGGTGTCATCTTGGGTATTTACTGCACAAGCAATGGGTATGAAGGAAAAACGCCTGCGTATTTCTCCGAGTGGAGATACCAACCTCAAGGGCAATTTAGAAACTAAGGCCAAATTGTAGCGAGAGCTCGACATAGGGCCTGGTGACCTGAGGCTATAATAAATACTTAGTATGCGACGTTGCGATAACGTGAAATCATGCATTCTGCTATGATCTTATAAACACTCGACCGGAGGCGATGTCATCTTTACAGCGATTCGCGTTAGGACTAGCGTTCTAGAACGAGGATACGGGCTGCTAGGGGTAGTAAGCAACCGGCCAGCCCACCGGTGACGACAAGACAATCCTGACTGTCTGCAAATCTCATTGTTAAGAAGTAAATCCCATGTCTATCTTATATGGTGTAAGTACAGATTGGATTTCATTCAAGGGTACAATGAAAATGAAGTAGGTTGACCACGGAAAGGCATTGGGGGATATCGAGAATAACCTAGGTTAGGCGATAAGAGGAGCCGGGGTGATTAGATCTCGAGCACGTGACTATAGTCACCTGATCTGATTATTGGAGGAAGTTGTGAAGCTTGTCTGCTACAAGACCACTGGGGCCTGGGCAGCGTTTTGCTATACAATCTTATGGTGTCGTCCGATGTAGGAGAGTTACAGAACCTTACCTTGAACTGAATGAGATCAGTTGAACGGTGTGCGCAGCCACTTCACTTTCACGCTATTTAGTACCTGGGTATGTATTTACCCCGCTATTGTTATGAGATTCCGTTAATACATATATCCCTGCCAACCCGGAGGACTACCTAGGGTATGTAGCAACTAAGTTCAAAGGGGATAATATGGGCCGTCCCTGAATATGGGCCGTGGGGCCAAGTTGGCCAATAAAATTTAAGAAGGCCACATAAATTCTATGTATTTTTTGATATTTTCCATTTTATCTTTTAGCCAATGAAAGGTCTTATTCTTATCGGCTTACTAAGATGACTTTTATCGGATAATTTCAATTGGATGATTACTTTAAGAGTACAAAAACATTAGATGCATATGGCTCTAATGGCCCGTACGCGGTACCGCTACCAGTTTAAGTATCAAATAACTTCGGCAATAATAATGTTGAAGTCGTGCAACCTGGCAAATTCAAAATCTCTAATTAAGGGCTATTGATCTGTATTTTTGAATAGAGATTTGATCTTGAATTGAATTAATCGCACCAGGTTGAAGATTGGTGTGTACTAAAGGCTCCGGACTAGCGGCGCTTAGCGCACCAAGATTAGGTACGTAATTATGCAATATTATGAAACCTGTATAAATCTTGAGTGTCACGTGATGCGAGCATTTTATTACATAATAATTCTTGTAATTTTGAACTTATTTAATTGGCTGACTTATACAGTCTAGCACAGTATTAATATTACTGTTTCACACATGGCCCTTCAAAGAGTCTGCCAAAGCTCGGACCTTAAGGACGTTTTGATCCAAATTGAGAATTAGAACTGAGCTAAACCTAGGTTGTGCTAGCTCCTTGATTTCATTGGTTCACTGCGAAGCTATCCCAACCAATCACATTAACTAAAAAAGCTCGTTTCGCTTCCCAGAATGTACCGCTTCTTACTTAAAGTAGTAAGAGCCTTACTTAAAGCAGTAAGGGCCAGCCCCACGGCCCATATTCAGGGACGGCCCATATTATCCCCTTTGAACTTAGGTATTAGTCAATAAACTCGAATTTCCCATAATTTATGTATTTATCCAGCGTACCATCCGAGTTATGCCAGTAATAGGCCCTTTATGCACTTACCGAACTGTGTTAAGCCTCCTAGCTTATCAAATCATTACTCTAAACAGTAAACTCGCATCGATCATTTCAACATTTCAACCACTTCATCAACTCAACATCAGCAACCCCAGCCACGCCCCCCTTATCGAAACGAAATAGAGTCAACCATACATTGATCAAATAGGAATAAGGAACTCACTCTATCTGTTAATCCTAATCGCTATTTATTTTCATATTTTTTCCAACCAGCCACGCTCTCGTGTTCCTTTATTCGTACTGAAGCCGTATCGCCAGAATGGCCGACATTGTCAGCCTCGAGGAGGATATCAAACAGTACAGAGAGCAGGTACATCATTCGTCATCCACTATACTTAACTGTAAGCTGACAAGAACGATTACAGCTCGATGTCGTAAATTCTGGTCTGAGGGATGACCCCGGTAACGCAGAGCTTCTCGCTCTCAAGTCTGAGTTAGATGATGCGCTCGCGCTATTGAACGAAACTCTTGCTGAACTAAAGCCTACTAAGGCATCCCCTCCGAAACAGAAAGCACCATCAGCCTCACCCGTTCAGGAGAAATGGTCTCGAGAGAACCATCCCGCCTTTAAGAAACCCACACCTACCGAAGAGAAGGAACCCGACACCGAGTTGGTAAACTACAAAGTTAATGATAGTGTAATGGCGAAATGGGTATCGGGAGACAAGTCTTTCTACCCCGCTCGTATTACCTCCATCACCGGTTCCTCCACAGCGCCTATCTACGTCGTAAAATTCAAGAGTTACGACACCACCGAGCAGCTACGCGCCAAAGATCTCCGTCCCATAGCACAGAAAAGAAAAGCCGACGGTACTCCTGTCAACAACACCACCCCATTCTCTGCACCCTCGCAGCCATCAGCGCCTTCCACTTCATCCAACCCTGGCGTCATCTCTGCCGCTGCCAGCATCAATCCTGAGCTAGCACAGAAAAATCGAGAAGAAGCGTTAAAAAGCGCTGGTGATGCGAAGCCCAAGGCTAAAAAGATCAAGGCAACAAAGGAGCTCGAGGCTGGCAAGAGCAAATGGCAGGAATTCAACACAAAGTCCAAGTTTGCGAAAGCGCATAAGGCAAAAAAGGACAGCATGTTCCGCACCCCGGACGGCGTCAACGGCAGAGGTCGGTTTCCTCATCCACGAGTTGTGAATTTACAAGACGCTAACTTTGGAACAGTCGGTTTTACCGGTTCAGGGCAGGCTATGCGGAAAGATCCCACGAGAAGCCGTCATACCTATCAGACAAATGATGATCTGGACTAATACCAGCTGCAGGTGGTTATGATTACGTAGAAGGCTACGTAGAACACGTCTAGTTTATGAGGAGTTGAGATTGGGAATGGAGGTTCTATAGGCTTTGATCCCCTTTGTCCCTGTTTAGGTTCCATGGATGCTAACATAGCCCTCAAACTAGACGCTTTCTTTAGTGCTTCGGTTATTCCACCCAAGCTTTTGAGTATTAATAATACCAATCGTTGAATGGAGAGTCTTCTTGCTACCTAGACGTCTTTTTGGTTCAATCAAGGATTAGATTGCTAAAGTCATCATGTACAGGAACCGGAAACGGAACACTACGTCCTCTGACGTCTGTGACCGTAACTACGAAATTAGCCTTATCTACATACTTGGATAGCTAGGCTGTATTGCAAGTGGTCAGAAGGCGAGAAGCACGAGATGATATATATATCACATTGATCACTCCTTGACAATTCAGCAATTCATAGTATTTTCTACAAATTTGCTAAGTAGTAGGTACAAATCTACAGCTGTGATATTATCTCTTAAGCCCTACCTTCGACTCCACTAAGCGAGCAATATCCATGAAAGCCTGTGCCCTGTCGCTATCGGGCTCTGAAACCACAGTTGGCTTCCCTTTCTGGCCATCGCCCCCGACATTCTGATGTAAAGGGATATCACCCAGTAATTCGATAGAGTGCTGCCTACAAATTTCTTTGACGAGGTCGTTTGACCCGAATACTGCTGTATCATGATGGCAGTGCGGGCAATTGAAGAGTGACATATTCTGGACGAGGCCGAGTAACGGCACATTGACCATCTTGAACATGTTGATCCCCTTTACGGCATCTTTCACTGCAAGTGTATGCGGCGTAGTCACAATGATAGAGCCTAAGTATTTTTAGTATCTCTAGAGCACGTTAAAACAGGGGTAACCCGCACACTCACCATCGAGTATGATTTGCTGCGTAATACTGAGCTGCGTGTCGCCGGTGCCCGGTGGCAAGTCAAGCACAAGAACGTCTAGACCACCCCAGTCGACCTCATGGAGAAGTTGCTGCAGCGCTTTCATAACCATGAGGCCGCGCCACACAACAGGCGCATCTGCGCCGACTAGGTATCCCATAGACATCGTCTTGACGCCGTAATTCGACATGGGCAGCAGCTGGTTTTCTGCGTCAGGGGTCAGGGGAAGGTTTAGATTTGGCAGGTGGCAGGGGATTAATTAGTATGACGCACGTGATGATAAGCGAGGCTCTCCGTCCAGGTCAAACAGGGTTGGTATGGAGGGCCCGAAGATATCCGTGTCGAGGATGCCGGAGCGGTAGCCCATCCGGGCAAAGGCTAGGGAGAGGTTGGCTATATGGAATACCTGTTTAGTAAAAGTCCCTTGGATGCTGGTGTGCCTAATAAAGGAATATGCTTCAAAATAAGAAGAATGGAAATAAAGGAAACATCAACCTGCTACAGTGCTCTTTCCCACGCCGCCTTTAGCCGATGACACGGCGATTATCTTCTCGACGCCTGTGATCTTCCGTCGCTCCGGGAGGCCCCGCTGCATTCGCGGGATGGAGCCCGATTTTGGCAGACCCTGGGATTGGAGATGAGCATCTCTGGGTTGAGCATGGGGTGTTGGGGTTAAAACATTACGAGAGGGTTCTCATGGCTGAGCGCACGGAGGGTCTGGTGGAAAAGACGGCGTTGGATTGTAGCCATATTGTAGGATGCGGATATATGTACAACTTATAAGTTGAGATCAAAAAAATGAAAATTTTAGCTCGTTAGATAAGAGTGATTCGACATTACGAATATGCTAAATAAATAATCGACTTGATAGCCCATATAATTAAGCACTTTACGTAGGGAATATCTTGTTGATGATGAGTTCAGTTCGAACACTATTATAAAACGTAAATACCTCCAGGGCTGCTAGGTACTCACATCGTTAACCCGTTACAGGGGACCCACGGGAACCGGGACTGGATAGTGTTCGGGGGACCCTGGCACTGCTAATGATTACTGCCGGTCCCCACCGCCAAAATTTTCTAAACTTTCTTTTCGAGTTTAGTGTGGGGCCGACTCTATTGACTTTTTCTTGCCCAAATACATTCAAATCAGTTACATTCACGTTATATTGTTTTTAATAGGTATAGAGCAAGCTGCCCTTTCAACTTTAACTCTTTTCTTCTCCTCTATTCTTTGCAAATGGCAAAGGCAAAAAGTCGCGCTCGGCAGCTGGCCAACTTGGTAGAGCGACCAGTAACAGGTACGAGTCCACATCGCATACCCTATCAAACGTCAAAGCTAATGTTTTATGCCCTCGACAGATTTTGATCCGGAAGCTGAAGTCGCAGACGCGCGCGATGACAGCAGTGATGAGGAAAGTGTAGATGAGAATGCAGGCACAGAGCATTATGTTTCAGTCGGGTATGAGAATCCAGAGAAGGTCATGTCAAGCATTACTATGTACTAAACTTCGTTTCGCAGGAAGAGCCAGCTTCGTCGCAAAGAACCAGTTGCTCTAGGGCCCAAATATCGAGGTGCCCCTGTGAGCCGCGCAGCCCTTGAAGACGATGAGGAGGAGGATAGCGAAGGATTAGAGGACCTAGAGGATGATGAAGAAGACGACGAAGAGGGTTCGAAAGATTTTGACGATCCCGAGACGGCTGACCTCGAAGTCGATCAGGCCGATGCCGATGACGCAGAGATTGACAGTGACAACGCATTTGGCGAAAGTGACGAAGAAAAATTCAAGGGCTATGTCTTCAGAGGAAGCTCTCAAACGTTGCCAAAGAAAGGACAGAAGGTGACAAGACCAACTGCTGCCGACTTTATGCTGTCCGACGAAGATGAGGACGATAGTAGTGGGGCAGAGCTTGATGACGAAGAAGAGTTTGATGAAGAGGAGTCTTCGAATGACGAGCTTAACGGTTTTATCGATGATGAAGCCGAAGAAGATGAAGATGAGGACGACGAAATGGGTGGCGTCAGTGGTCTAAGTCATGAAGACAGCGATGAAGAAGAGTCGGGCGAAGAGGAAGACAGCGATGGCTCCGAATCCCCCCGCGCCGATGACTCAAACCGAACAACGATACAAGAGATGATGAGCGCTGGAGGGCGCAACGTTGTCAGCAACCTGTCAACCGTTGCGCAAAAGGATATTTCCAAAGGAAAAGCAGTTCGTCAGCAACGGAAAGCCTTTGACGCGCTCCTAAACATCCGCATCCGACTCCAAAAGTCACTTGTTGCGGTCAATTCGCTCGATTCAATTGAGGACCTAGAAGATCAGTCAGCACCCTACGAAGCAGCAGAAGCAGCTGCACTCAAGTTATGGAATACAATTGATGGCTTCCGCACAAGTATCCAATCTAGCTCTTCCGGGAAGACTGGTCAAAAGAGGAAGCGAGTCGCTGATACAGACACGCCAAGCCAAGACATGTGGGACAACATGGAGGTGGTCGAACAGAGGGCACTTATTCGTCGAAGAGCAGTTCTCGAGAAATGGTCGCATAGTGCACGGAACATCAGAATGGTGGATAGATCATCTCGCAAGTTTACCAACACTACAGAAAAACCTCTGACCGCGAGATTGGACGAAGAGCTGAATGCGCCAGAACGGCTTATCAGACGGACACGGACACCGCGTTCGTGCGCGCCAGCACAGGTAGCACGAAAGGTCAACGAAGACCCGAATATCTACGACGATGCTGATTTCTACCAATTGCTACTAAAAGAACTCGTTGATCAACGGACGGGGGACACATCAGGAGGTCCGGGTGGCCCCGCGGCAACGGTTCGATTTGCGGCCGTAAAGGAGGCAAAGGCAAAGCGACACGTTGATACCAAGGCCAGCAAAGGTCGCAAAATGCGGTTCAATGTTCACGACAAGCTACAAAACTTCATGGCGCCAGAAGACCGCCGCAGTTGGGAGCAAAGTGCAATTGACAGGTTCTTTGGAACTCTGTTTGGCCAGAAGTTGGTCTTGAACGAGGATGAGGACGATAATAAGGATGCTTCAGACGAGGAAATGGGTGGTGCGCCAATCGAGAATGGAGGCATTCGGCTGTTTAGAGACTGAGCTAGGCTCGACGATAATGGCCCTGTTCATTCAAAAATTGGCAAAGTAATGACTAAGTATCTCTCACGATCCCTAGATTTTTTTTTTTGAAACAGAAATGATTTTCGAGATCTCGTATTCCGATCTCGTATCCTTCCTCCAAAGCAACTCGACGATCAGGATCGACATGCAGCTCGGTCGAATCAAACCCCTTAAATAAACATCTACCTACTCTCCATCAGACGAGATTATATTAGTTCAGATAGATTTGTTTCTCTTTAAATAGCAGCTGCTCCCATCGATATTAATGGCCGCCATTTACACAGCCAGATCCTCCAAATATATCAAAATCTATTCTTATATAATATACATCGAAAAACTCACTCACAGAATCTAGAGAAGAGGATGAAAACTTACTAATACCGTTTGATAGTCTTGGTTCAGCACTTAAAAGCAATACCACACCAGCGCCAAAGCCCTGTGCGGAGGTCTACAAGTACCTATCATAGCGATCTGTCTTACACGAACGTTCAGGCAGGCCATGGCGCGAGTGTCGAAGTTCGAGTGTTACCATTGCGCCACCCACGACCAAATCCTCGTTGTTTGATTGTAACAACTGTAACAACTGGTAACGGCCTTCAAAGACCCCAGAGAATACTGGAATTGATACCTCAGAGATGGATAAATCGATGTCTATCTCGATAGTAACGTGGACTATTTGGATGCCAACCACACTAAAGCACTCCTTTTGGGGAACACTCGTTGCATTCCTAGAATTGGAAGGATGCATCGTTACACCGTCAGTCACATCTGCGTCTTTATCAACTACTCCTTACTTGCCGTCGTTACTAGTCTCCGAAGACCAACGTACTTGATTCCCCGGTCAAGCGCGATCACGCCGACCTGCCACTGTTGGTCATTTCTTACTACCGCACAATTCTTTTCTCTTCGATGAGAAACCATCTACCCAGGTCAACAATGCTCTTCTGAGAGGTTAATCCTGCTTGAGTGCCAGAGGTGACCATCACATGTAGGCAGTGTTGGCTGCGCGTGGTTTATGTCGCTTCTCGGCAAAGCAATTGATATTCCCGACGACGCCGATGTTTCACTAGACAGAAGTTGCAAGCATCCATATGTCTTTACAGCTTCATGAGGCGCGTCGCCCGACAACGGGTTATTACTCATAAGCTGCATGCACATAGAGTTACAAACCTCTTACCAATTCGCAGAACTTTACCAAAAGTGCAAATATACAGTGAGTAAACATCATAAGCGAAAAGATGATATATTACCACACGAAGACAACGCATCCTGGAGATGTGTAGAGGTCCAGATAGAGGCCCAGATAAGGCTACGATGGTGAAGAGGATACGTTACGTCCTTCGAGTGCCAGGATACCTGGAAGTTGACGTGCAGCTGTCACTTGCATGCAGGTGCATAGGTATCGACCCAAATTCAGTTGGGGTTCGAACGTGGCCCGAATCAGCAGTTCTTCCGGATAGTTCAACTCCTACATTTCCCAGGCTTCCTCATAAGCATGTCTTGAGGAGATTTGGCGACATTTATTCAATCCTAACCGGTGCTTCTTCGGTCTCGACTGAGCTTCCCATTCAGGATTAAACTATGATCTTCTCCAATGTAAAAGAGCCTTCGCCTCCTACGCACATGTCTCTTCGTCTTAAATCATCCAATCATATCTTAAAACGATCCTTTTTATTTAAGGTATCGATCCTGTTGAGATCCCTGCCAAAGACCCATGTGGACCGGCGCAGGTACAAGTTGGCGATTATTCAATCAGGTGCGTCGTTGGAGACCCAAGACATTTGAATGCCGGCCCACCCATATCTAGATCGTACTGCATGTGAATTCAGCCACGGGGACTTTAGAGCGAAGATCTTTTGTATTGTGTTAAGCCACCGGGAATTTTTCATTAACAGGATTTCATATATGTTGTTTATATCAAACGGACACTTTTTTACTCCGTCATCTGCCTATATTCCTCCTCCAACCATATACCCCCTATTCTATCCGAGGTCGAATAAATAGATGATGACAAGTCATCCATCACGCTATATGTCGCATTTCTGCATCTGCTGTTTGTCATTATAAACATGCGGGGCATTTGTCCGGGGGAATCTGGAACCAATACCGATCGGGTGCGCCACCATCGACAATGGGTGCCATGGCCTGGCGCCGCCATTCATATCGGAGGATTTACCCTTCATTGGAATGTTGTTTCATCGGCCGCATCGAACAAACCCACCCCAATATAGTATAATCCAATCATGGCTATCCGCGTTACTGGAGCAAGGTTATGTATCCATAACTTTGTCGAGTACCCGTTTAGTTCCATCCCCCCCTAATCACTCTTAAGGGTCACGCTGAACTACCAATAGCTACGCGCCTTGAGCTTAAACTCACTTCCTTTCGCTTCAAAACGTAACATACTATAACCACATCTGCTTTTTCTACGTCGCAAAGTAGAACCTAGACTCCGGAGATGTAACTCGGATATGTAACTTAACCGCTCCCGGACAGCTATGATGCCCCTTCCCGGCGCCGGCGTCTTTGCAAGCTTGCTTCCCGCACCACCATAACTCACTCCAAATGTAGCCTAAGTTGAGCTCTCTACTCGTGGCCCAGACGCGTGTCTTGGTCTCTGCCCCTATCAGTGCGCCTGCTGATGGCACCCCAGACGCTTGGGACCCTGGTCACCTTCCCTTTCCAAGCTCACGAGAACTTCAGTTCTTAGCCTGGGCTGGCAGCGCTGGGCTTTTCTCATTCTTCAAACCGGTTGGCGTAGTTTCTATGCTTCTGCCTTGGCCCCCTCGACGTTTTTCCTAACTGTGAACTTAATATATAATATCCTTAATCTGCCCGTTATCTGGTAAAACCGGTCGATCATCTCCTTTTCCATGTCATAGTCTACACAGCTGGTCTACGACTTACACTCCTTATTTCCCATTTTGGTTCTCTACTACAAGTGTACATACCTCACATTCCTATAACATCAGATATTTTACATATCTATATATTCACATTCCCTATCCTTACAGTGATCGACATCGTCTCATCTCCGCCACCATGCTTCTCAAGCTTCTCGCCTCCGCACTGGCGGTAACGGTTACAACCGTCTCGGCCGAGGGCGCCCCCGGTTACTCGGGTTACAGAACGGTTTGGGTGGAAACGTTCGACGGCGCCGCCGGGGCTCAGCCCAACGGTAACAACTGGAACATCATCACTGGCATCCACGTCAACAACGAAGTGCAGGACTACACCTCGTCGTCACAGAACCTCCAGCTGAGCGGCGGCGCCACCGTGCAGATCGTGCCGCGCAAGGACAGCAGCGGCAAGTGGACATCAGCTCGCATCGAATCCAAGTACACGTTCACGCCCACCGCAGGCACCGTGACGATGGCGGAGGCAAAGCTACGGTTCGGCGACAACGCGATCGCCAACAAGGCCGGGCTGTGGCCCGCGTTCTGGCTGCTGGGCGACTCGATCCGGCACGGGACGGCGTGGCCGGCGAGCGGCGAGGTCGATATCATGGAGACAGTCAACGGGCAGCTGACGGGCCATGGCACGCTGCACTGCGACGTGTACCCCGGCGGTGCCTGCAACGAGCCCAACGGCATCGGCGGCCCCGTCGGCATCCCCGACCAGAGCTGGCACAGCTGGCGCGTCGTCTGGAACCGCCGCGCCAGCACCTGGACCGGTGAGACGATTACGTGGTACTTGGATGGCAATCAGTTCTTCCAGGTCTCGGGCGCGCAGATCAATAACCAGGGCGTCTGGAACACGCTGGCGGGCGCGCCGCTGTACTTTATTTTGAATGTCGCGGTTGGGGGCGACTGGGTAAGTCCTGATTTTTCTTTTCTTCACTACTACCTACTCGTATTGTTTGATGTTCTATGAACGCTAATATAACCACTTTCTCCCAGCCTGGCCCGCCAAACTCGGCTACCCAGGACGGCTACGGCAGCATGATGGAGGTCGCGTACGTTGCGCACTACCTCGCCAACTAGGCAACCTGATGCTGATAATGCATTATTACATTCATTACGAGAACAACAGCTTATGAGTATATACCTAGTCCAGGTATGGATGAGAGATTAGCATGCGGTGGAGTTTTGGGGGAAAGGGGTTGGAGGTCTTGGTTTTGATTTTCTCTTTTGGCATTCTTCGTCCTTCGCTACTTGAACATATTTGAGACACCCTTTTTTGGAACTGCATATACCCACCAATCACTTTCGCTTCTTGTATATAGTTACAAAGACATTACATATGTCATATGTATATAGGTATTAACTAGGTAACGCGCCTAGGTACTGTCAATAGGTATTATCTAGGTATTTACAGATTTATTACCTCAAGTGGTTGTTTAATAGGCACTCTATAGCACGTGCCTGTCTACCAACCTTGGAAGTTAACCCGTTAGTAGCCTGGGTGGTTGACATTAGGGTTTACAGCTGGTGCAAGTGTACGTTGTGATAGATACCGAGGGTCTTTGTGAGCAAAACTGGGTAGGTACTTACTGTTTACTCCTGGGCCTGTCAAAGAGTACCTAGTTTACCTAAGCTGCGTGCTTTGGCTTGCTGGACCAGGCCCCTGTTACTTTGGGTCTGAACGAGCATTCGGGATGGATCATTAAGAGAATCAAAGTCGTAAATTCGTTTAATAACTGAATCTATTGTATTTCATGTTCTCGTGTAATTACTAGTAACTATGTACTACTCTGCGTGCCATGCCATCAGGCAACATACGGCCACCCACCGCAGAATTTCAGCTTGTTCCAACCGAAGCGGAATTCGTTAGCCGGCGTCTGCGTCTTGACGTTGTACGGTACTATTGTTATCTCGATTAGCTTCAACCTTTCTATTTTCCTTCCCTTCGTTATGCCTTAGGCAACTGAGTAACTAGGTAGGTAGGTACCTGGGCATTCAAAATGAGGAAAACTCACCATAATGGTAATAAATAATCGGGCCCCCGGCCTCCTCATCAACCATGACGCCCTGTCCACCCGGCGCCCAGATATCGTCATGGCTACCGAGGATCTCTTTGCCACCATTCTCCTTCGCGCAGTCAACACCCTCATCGTCAACAAACCCGCCGCGCGGGTCCTTGGACCGGCACACCATCACCTTATACACGTCCCCAGCGCCAAGCCACGTACCGTCCTGCTGCTTGCAGCACCGCCCCGACGAGAAGAACATGTAGTACCACTCCTTCCAGCGGAAGACATAGCTCGCCTCCGTCGGCCCCGTGCTGAACAGCCGGCTGTTGGTGCGGTTGTTCGCGAGCTGCGTGATCTCCTCGTTCGCGCCCTCCGCGACCCTCGTCGGCGGGTCGGCAAGCGGTATCTGGAAGATGCCCTGCTGGTACGACCCGAACGACAGCAGATGCTGCCGCTTCCCGGTCCCGCCGTCCTCCGCCTCCACGGTGAGCAGGGCCGCGTCGAGGATGTTGTAGCGCTTCGCCCAGTCGATCTCGAGGCGCCCGTGCTGCGTCCAGGAGCCGACCTCGAGCGTCCGCGACGACGCGGCCAGCACGCTCGAGTTGTGGAACCACTTCCGGATGTCCGGGTCCGTCTCCCCGACGCTGCCGTAGTCGAACTCGTGGTTGTTGATGTACAGGAAGTACGTGTCGCCCACCTGGTGGATCGAGGGCGCGCCCCCGTTTTCGCGCAGCTCGGCGACGCCTTCGTGCGTCCAGGGGCCGTGGAGGGAGGAGGCCGTCCAGACGCTGCCGTTCTTCGCGGTCGTGTAGAGGAAGAGCTTGCCGTCGGAGCGCCGGATTAGGGCTGGGTCGAGCGTCTGTGCGGTGGGGTTGTTGGGGATGGTGCCGAGGAGGGGCTCGGGGGAGGGCCACCCGTTTTGCGCGCACGCGGCGCTGGGGATGATGGACAGGGCGAGGCCCATGGTCGCTTTAAGCATGGCGACTGTGAAGAGTTGGTGGGAGAGATGCATGGCGGTGGGTAGTCGAGACGAATGCAATTATTGTAACCACTCAGGCCTAATAACGTTGTATGTACCTAGGGCTGGTATCTCCGGGAAACTAACAGGCGCCCGGGCTTGTCCTCGAATTGGAATTTAAGAGTGATGCCTCCTCCGTCTCCAGACATGTCTCAGCAGCAGCCGGAGGTTTATATAGCTACCGACTACTAGGTAGGTAGCATTTCATGATCTTAGGACGGGGCTAATGCTTACATAGATGCTACCATTCCCCAGAGAGGGAAAAAGGGGACCCCGACGTGGCATCAACAGGGTCACATTGCTCTGCTGCTCCGGCTCGGCAGATGGCTGCCAAACATAAACATGCTGTGAAGTAACTGAATCCCCATTCTGTACCTACATGCCCAGACGAGGGAGAAGAAAATTCAAAATTGCGTTGATATAAATAGCACTCAGTTGTTCTTTCGTTTAGTTCGCCTATAGTGCAAAAAGGTTTGCTGTAGATCCGTGGCTTATGCGGCACAGTGATTCCTCTTTAAGAGATTCAATATTAGCAATATGTATGTTTTTGTCTTCTTTTACCGGCAACGTGGATATGGTAGTTCCACTAGGTATATGTATATAACACGCAGAAAACTTTCATATCAACTAGTCTTTGTTGATTCCTTAGGTAACTATTGGGGCTACCTACCTATTTTTGGCAATTCTTTCGTCCATATTGGTCTTTTGTAGTCTTAGTCCCCGGTCACATCCATGGATATTCTCAGCTCTCTCAGCCTTACCGACAAGGATATCTCGAATCTGATCGACGCTGACGGCTGACGGTTCGGCCGTCGGCGTGGGTAGTCTTTCATTGGCCCAAAAAGGGGGGGAGCGGTGCATCGCGGACAGGGAGGGAGATTATTGTCTTACGAGCCAAGATTCCTTCAGCTGGAGGAGCTGAGGATGCAGATCTGTCAGGTATTAGGTACTTCGCGATTACGTACATATGGAAACAGAAATTCTACACCGATCACTTCCCTACTAGGTATATATCAGAGCCGAATCCCGCTTAAGTTAGATGAGAAGTAGCATTATGCTAGATCATGGCTACCTAGATTAGGAAATGATAGTAGGGAGTACCTAATCGGGAAAGAATACGAAGCAGACCTGTTGATATTCAGGACAAGCGGTGGCACGAGGGAGTGGATGATTTCATTATTGCTCTATTGTTTTGTCCTTTTTCGATGCCTTGCCGAACAGGCTCGCATGTACTCGCGACCTTTCCATCCACGTCGGTCGTCTGCCGTGTATTTTGACCTTTCCTTTCCTTTTCAGAATCCCCACCACTAGGTAACAGGTTCCACTGTATGAACTCTACTACTTCTATTTTCTTTGACATATCTTACACAGAGACAGACTCTTCTTCTCTCAGGAACCATCTACTCATCCGGCATCAACGAAGTTATAAGCTTCACAAAGGCCTGGGGATCGTCACTGTACATGACCTCCGCCCACCTCTTGCCATCGCATATCGAAGAGATTCCGCGCGGGAACATATCTGCCTCGTATTCCTGCACCGCCTTGTCCAAGTCCTCGAGGCCGTGCTCCTCAATCTTGTTTGCCAGCGTCAACGAGTCCGCCATGGCGAGGTTCACGCCCTCGCCATTAGGGATCGAGACATGGGCCGCATCGCCCGCGAGGGTGAAGCCCGGAACAGACTTCCAGCCCATGTCCTCGGTAGCCAGCGAGTAGAGGGGCCAGGCGCGGAAGTCGGTTGCGTGGCGGATGAAATCCTGGTATTCCTCCGACCAGTCGGCGTAGAAATTCGTGAGCAGCCAGCGGCGCGTGGCCTCGATGTCTTGGAGGTTGACGGTGCCGTCGCGGTAGTAGTTTTCCGGAATTTCGAATCCAAAGTAGATTCTGTAAGAGCCGTTTCCCTGTCGCTGCGTGACAATGAGCTTGCCGGAGCCGATGGCTAGAGACGATCCCGCTCCGACGTTGCTGGCCACCGTTTGGTATAGGGGGTTTTCAAGTCCGATCCTCGACTCGAGGTATGTCTTTGAGCTGTACTTGGGAGTTGCTTGAGTAATCTGGAAGACGCGTTAATAACAAGCTGATGCAGGACCGCTGAAGAATCATCCCCAGATGGGAACATACTACAGAACGGACTTTGCTCCACGCGCCGTCGGCACCGACGACAAGCTTGAAGCTAGAGATCTCAGTGCCATTAGAAAACCGAATAACCGGCCTTTTATCCTCACCAACAGCGACGCTCTGCAGCACATGGCCCCATTTAATCTTGTCCTTGGGGACCGCATCCAAGAGGATCTGCCGCAGCTCGGCGCGGTCGATCTCAGGGTCATCGCGGCCCTGGCCCATCTCAAACACTTTCTTCCCGTGCTTGTCTGCGAGCGACATCACCGCGTCTTCGTATCGTGCGTATTTCTTAAACTCGTCGATCAGCCCGCCTTCGCGAAGCGCGTGCTGTCCGGTGTGGGCGTGGATGTCGAGAGAGCCGCCAGCGCGGTTTGAGTTCGCGCTCGCGTCCCGCTCGAAGACGGTGTAGTCGATGCCCTTGCACTCCAGGAGACGCGCGAGGGTGAGGCCACACGGCCCGCCGCCGATGATGGCAATTGCCGGGGTGGTCATCTTGCTGGTGTGTAGAAGTCTTTGGTAGCCCCTTCTCAACATTGCTGCCAGACTACAGTGGAAAACCTAGGTATTTATAAGTGAGTACTCTTGCAGGGTTTATGCCTAAGTACTTAGAGGTAAGTTATCATTTTTCAGTTATCTATTCCTGTTTTGAAAAGGTCATCTTACAATGTCTACCTAGAAGCTTCCGGGTCCAATCAGCCGTATCCGACTCGGTCCCGGCACATGACCGAGTTGTCCGAGGTGGCCGAGAGCATCGACTAATCACTAGGCTAGAGGCTAAGAATTGGTATACTATTAGTCAAACTTAGCTTCACGGTCACTATTAAATCTCAATAAAGCGAAGGTTATCGTCAAAAGTTCATACCGAAAGCTCTACTCTCAGGGTCTTGAAGAGCACCCAATGCAATAGGCCCTCATGGCGCTAAGTTGACATAAACTAAAGAGAAACAATGGCAGATCAATCATTCAACTTTTGGTGTAGTGGTGTAATCTAACACTAAGCATGACCCGTCAATTTTCACGTCACATCTTTACCGCACATATCAAAAACCACCTATCCGATTCCTCCCCGTAACAAAGCCAAGTGCCATCTACCTAAGACGTGCCAGAAGAAGTACGGAGACATCCACAGTGAGTAACATTGCCCTTATCCATACACCTAAACCTCATCCTCAGCCAGTCTCTCCTTAAAGTCCTCATCATTGAGCTCCGAAAGCTCATCGTCGCTCTCCTCTTTGAACGTCATCTTCTTCCTCGCGCGGAATCTCCTCGCCGGAGGCTCCATATCCCCATTCTCATCAACACCGCCAGCCTTGCGCTTCTGAGCGGCGTTCTTGGCCTTGGTCTTGGGAGAGACGCTGGTAGGCTCGATCCCGCTCAAGGCCATGAGCTTAATCCGGATCGGCTTCCAGATGTGTCTTGCGGAGTCTCCAGTGCGGTAACCGCCTACTTCGGCAAGCTTCTTGGAGTCGACCTGCCAGTGGGTTGTGAGCAGTTAGTTAGTAGAGTGGCAGCGGAGATGGGATGGGGTGAATGGAATGCCAACTGATCTTACCTGAGGTACCCCGTCCTTGATCTCGGTGATACACAGCCATGCTTTGGATATGATTTCCATCTCACGCTGAGTCAGTTTAGGCTTGGCACCATTTGCCCCTTCTTTGGTGGGAGTGGTAGGCATGATGAGATTTGTGTGTGGTAGCGGTGTTGAGTGCAGTTCAGAGGATGATGTTGAGGGAGAGATGAAAGGTCAGTGAAGAAGAACAAGGTCGGAGACTCCGTGGTTAATAAGTCAGAGAAGAAGTGGGATCTATGTTCCAAGGTTGTTATGTCCCCGAAGAAGCAAAATCGCCAAAGTACCGACTGGTGAAGTAGGCAGGCAGCAAATATGCCAAAGCTATCACACCCCATGAATCTGCCTAACAGCTATCCAAGTTCAATCACCGTTTTTACCACCAAACTTCACTCAAAATACAAATACCAAAATCCATGCGATAATTCTGACTTACTAGAATACTTCTAGCTCTTTTCTATCAATTTTCCTTGTTTGTTCAAAAGTTGTCTGCTCATAATTGTTGGTGTAAGTGTTAGTGAGTGCTTCTAGAGTGTGTCAATCATATAAACGCACACTTCTATAAATCACCACACATAGATCTGTCCTAAAGTGGGGAGTTCACACCACTGGTATAGCCTTACATCGGAAGTTCAAAATCTATAGCTTCTTAACTATCACAAAGTGGCGCATCATTTCCCTAGCTCTAGTCAGGTTTTCGGTGAGGTGAAAGTGACAGCGAGTGATAGAGTTGGGGTCGGAATATACCCGACGTTGTCAAACTTGGCCTCGGCTTCCAGATAGTTGTGATAGCCTCGATCGCCTACATCTTGTTGATGTCATGCCTCTACTCCAAAAGGTGAATGATTGATCTTTCATTGCTTTTTCTTATTCCAAGGGTACCTAGTATATCGGACAAGTAATCACTAGGCAAAGGCCATTCTTATGAGCAACCACCACATGAATATTGATATGCCTCTAACTTGTGACGAAGCTATAGCATAGAATTTTTCGTTTATATAGGACTAGTATAAGGTGAAGGTTTGGGAACTACCATTTCGACTTTGAACACTTCATTCATCAAGGGTCGAAAATTTAGTGGTTGAAACTTGAAGAAGCTTAATATACCTAGAACAAATACGTATCAAAAAGGTATTGCAACATTTACTAGTTCCTAAGACTTGTTATTGTTGCAGTATAACTGCAACCAGGAAGAAGGAAGATGAAAGGAAGAAAGCTTGCTTTATTCCTGACTACGCTGGCGGAGTGCCAATATATATGGCCTAGTGGAGCCTATGGTGCCTCAGGCACCTGCAACAGTTATACATAGCAACTTAACCTTGGTAGTAGCCAACAACAGCATCATATCTTGTGGCGGTTACTTCCTTATCAACTTAGCAGTTACATGGATGAGAACCTAGTACGTCAGCAGACAAAACTATTCTGTGATACCTACTTGCTTGGTAGACACCCAGGCCTTCACAATCCATTGCCGGCATTATCTTTAAAAACATTCAGAAGTTGTATACCTATTATGTAATTACTGTCAAAGGGCGGGACCTACCGTCACCTAAAATACGCAGAACATCATTGCGAATACGTGGGGATGGGATCTCCAGCATATCCATCTCCCCGGAGTTTCCGGAAGCTAACATATATCCACATGGAGGCCGGTAGCCCTTTTTGTTCTAGTCAACCCCACAAAGTCTTCCCCTAGCTACCTTGGCTAAGGCCCGGGTAGATCCTCGACAACCTTGGAATAATATTTTCGGCAACAGCAGAATTAGCCGATTAGCTTCTTAGGAAGGTAGGTTGGTATACGTAGGTAGAGAGAGACGGATTGCGTTACCTCGGGCTGTTTATAAATCATTGTTTTACGACCGAGGAGAAGGACGGAGATAGATGTAGAAAGCGTAAGAAAATGCCGTAACACCGCGTATATAGAGCGAATCGGAATAACTACAGGAGAGTTGCCAATCGGGAGTTTGACAACGGATCGTCCGAGTCTACCTAAAGACCGGTTTCCCTACCTACCTACCCAGATAGGTAATTACACGAACTCGTGACATTGAGACGACATCACTTAGTAGAGCGCCCAGCCTAGGTTGGTTACCTAATACACCGCACATTGGGACAAGCCCATGCCTCTGACGAAGCGAACCCTTGCTAGCTCGAATGGGGCGTCATGGACTCATGGTACTCGACTCCCGAGAGGGAAAAGAGGCCCCGTTTCCTATTCGATAAAGCCTATCGTGCCGTCGATATATAACCAAAAAAAGACCCGGGCATGAAAAAAATCCTCCTCAGAAGCCCAGCTATCCTTGGAATCGCCACTACAATGCCGATGGAATGTGGTATCGGCCGGCCAAGACGTACCAATTGAGCGTTGTGGCCTGTCGGAATTGAGATTTTCAGAGCGCTTTACCGTCCAATATATTAGGTATGCAGCTAGAAAGATAGATCACCCCCCGGAAAACGTGGTCATCTGGGGTCTGATGCATCCGCGTGGTACTGGAGGCTTCACCTAGCTTATCTAAGTGCCGTCGGTGGAACAACGAAGCGTTCTTCCAAGTTCAATTGCGAATTGAAGACTAGGGATGCTAAGAAAAGAAAAGCATGAAATGATAACGAGAAAAAAAGTATTTATATGATAGAGACCCGAGACTCTTCCCCGGAGGACTCTTTCATGTTCTTCAGCAAAAAAACAGCACACTTCTAATTATTCACGTACCCGTTACTGTAATATAGTAAAGTTATATTAAATAATTCCACGTATAATCCAATAGACGAAAGTCACCCTTTACACCATGGCTACTCCTAGTAAGCAAGGCGGCTGTCTTTGTGGTAAAATCCGCATCGAATATGAAGGAGATTCTTCCCCAGTGGTATGTTTCGTCCCCCCTCCTTACCTACCTAAGGGAGGTATTGGGCAATTCAACCTCTGGCTGTCTCTAACCCAAAGGTAGGCTCTCTGTCACTGCACGGACTGTCGCAAGGTATCGGGATCCGCCTACAGCACCAACATTCTTGTGCCGAGTGCCACGCTCAAGGTTGTGTCGGGCACCCCCAAGATCTTCACCATCACGGCAGACACGGGCAGACCGATCACGTCACATTTCTGCGGCGACTGCGGGACGACATTATGGCGCGACGGACCCGGACTTGGCGACAGATGCGCTCTCAAGGCTGGTACCTTGGACGATCCAAATGCGATCAACGAGACCAAGCCCAGCCTGGAGTTCTTTGTCCCGCGGCGAGCTAACTGGATCCCTGAGACCCCAGGCGCGGCCCAGTTGGTGACTCATTGATCGTAGCTACCTGCCATGAAGTCGCTACTGTTCGGCTACATGAGAGGGAGGAATACTCGGCTGGGGATGCTACAGGAAGATGGTCCTCGTTCGCTTAAATTGAGGCCGCGTCTATGGTCGTACGGAGTCATGTAAACTCCGTCCACATCAATTGATATCTTGGCCGGAAGTGCTTGTTTGCATATCGATGTATTTAATGAAAGGGGTTTAAGCTATGAAGCAGTTAATTCAGATGTTGGCCTCAAAGTTGGGGCTCGCCTACATACTTGCCTTTGTATCACAATCTAAACTAGGTACCTATTTGCCTATATATAGTACTCTTGGAAGAAGCGCATGCGCGTGCAATTGGTGTCCTATCGAGGACGAAAAGTTTGCCGGATTTATTAGATAATACTATGCAAGGTTTTGTGCATGCTGTGCCACTATTGCTCTACGCATATTAACCCTTGCTCCCTAAACTATTGACAGATTTCAAATGCACATATGCTAAAATAGGTATAACTACATACTAAATTTTTTTTATATAAGGCGTTGCTTGATAAACATAAAAAGCCTCGGGATTGGGGAAGATTATGGGACTTGCAAAGGGGGATAGAAATTCATAGAATCTGAGAAATTCTGAAATACCTAGGGAAGCTAACGCGGCAGACAATAGACAGACTCGGCAACTCGGTAGAAATCCGGCTGTGTAAATGCCTAGCAGCGACGAAGTTCGAATTCGGCATAAACAGTGTTCGCTCCTCTCCACTGAGTCTCCAGAAGTTCCATGGCAAGTCCTGCCTTCTCTTTGCGACAATAAGTTGATGATTTTTTTTATATCGAGGATAATTGCATTAAATCATGGTTTGCGCATTGCCGCAGTCGCATGGAATATCTTGTCGTCAACCTTTTAGGTACCGAGATAGTTCTTTGATGGTTTAACGCGAGAATTTCATTCGTTTACCGGCCTCAGCTAGCTCTTACATTATTCTACCCGCATTAAACACGTTAACGACGTTTCGCAACTCATCATGGGCACGAGGTCCTTGAATTTATCGGTAGATTGACTATGCGCCTGGATGATGCTAGTTTGAGAGCGTGATGTTGATTATCACAGCATCTTTTGTTCCGTGCACTGTCAATGACAAGCATTGAAAGCCGTCTCTGGGGAGATGATAAGACGTTAAAATTGATAAATCAGCAAACCATTTGGCGTAACAATATTCGAACTAAATTACACGGTGGATACCTAGGTACGTGAGTGGTCGTCGATACGTTGGACATTCGAGGTTCGTCTTGAAAAAAATGATTTCAGTGGCATATGTCCAAGTACTATCTCCATTTTGGTGCATCGGTGGCCGGCCCTTGAAGTATATCCCTTGTCGTATCAATGGTAGCGAATGTCGTCCAGATGGTAGGCACACCGACCACTCTCATTGATTTCCATATCTTCAATCGTTTGTATCGATAGATATATCGAGATAAGTAAATGTATCGATAAATAGTTACTACTAGGTATCTTACGGTACGTAGATCCAGAACCATAAGTTGGCTGATCATCTCCAGTATTTATATCAAATCTGGTATCAAATCTGGAGCTTGCCGAGCTTGCCAAGGTTGCTAAGCTTTTGTGAGCGCAATGTTCAAATGTTTATCTTCGATTGATTGGTATATATTAAACAGTCATGTTACAAAAAGTAAAGGGCGGATCGCTCGGAATCGCCAAGTCTAATCGTATCGGAATACATACCCTAGGTACACTAGTAGCACCTTACGTACCTAAAGTCAACGTCACCTTGGTCGCACAATATTACATTAGGTATGCAGAATAAAAGGAAAGTGGTGTTTGACGTAATATTCTTGTGTGTTTATGGAGATATTTGACTGTTAGTAGGTTTGTTTATCACCATGGTGCTTGCCTTTCGCGTAGGTACTACTATGTATGTAGTGGGCACAGCTTTGCATAGCCACTGTCTGCCGCATCAGCTTCTTTCTGATACAGGAAAGAGCAGGCGTCGATGGTCCGCGTCAACCTACTAGACTGTCAAATTGGGATTCGTCTACATACAGTAGCCCGCATAATACGTCAACTTGAAGTACTAGGTAGTACGTAGTTCAAAATATGCACCTAACAGCCTGAGTACCAGGTACTCCTGCTTCGTATTTTCAATGCGCCCTGACTTGACCTATCAAAACCTTTTGTTCATCCGTTTAACGGTTTTTTTCTTCTCTGCTTATTCTTATTACCCGTTCACTATTCCGTTACTGGACTTTGAACCATTTCCTGTTCCTAGTCTGACGCCTCTTTCTGTCTCAGGCCTTTAGTGACTACATGTACTGTTATCAGTACCTAGTAGTAATTTAGTACATATGTACTGCTAGTACTGTACGGTACCTAGTACTACGGGGTCCAGTCTCCAATTTTGAAACAATTCGAATCATTGGGTTACTTGTTCGAGACGAAGAATCCCATTAACTAGTCCAATCCTGTCCTGCCTCGCCTGACTTCCAACATCCACTGCCCTTCATTCCTTGTTTGCTTGCCTTTTGTCTTGCGTGTTCGCCACTGCTTTTTCTGCTTTTTCTGCTTTTTCAAACTTCTTCACCTTTACCTCACCCCAAAAAAATATTCGCGTTTGGGGTTTTTTGTTCATTGTATCAACACCAATTATCATCAACACTCGCTTTACGCACCACCCTCTCTAGCACACTTTCATCTTTTATTTAATATTTGGTAGTGACTTGAAGTTTGCCAAGAAAATTCTTTTATTAGGTACTACTAGTTCATTCTGGAGTAATCTTGTCTTGTCTTGTCTTGTCTGGTCTGCATTAGGATTGCAATACACCGACCGTCACGATGTGGATGTCATCGGCTCTGCCGTACATCACTTTGGCAGCGGCCGCATTGTCCGGTGCGCTTGCTCAAAGTTACGATACTATCCCGGAAATCGAAGTCTATGGCCAGCACTTCTTCTACTCCAACAATGGCTCTCAATTGTAAGTCAATCCCCGCGACACATCCCAACGCTCCCGTCTTGGCAAATCCGTGTACTAACCCACTTCTATTAGCTATCTGAAGGGCGTCGCTTACCAAGAGAACTACGTTGCCAATGGTAGCGCAAATGCGAACGCTAAATACACCGATCCCTTGGCCGATGCCTCGAAGTGTTCTCGAGACATCCCTGTCATGAAGGAGATCTTCACCAACGTCATTCGAGTCTATGCGATTGACCCTACTCAGGACCACGATGATTGCATGCAGCAGTTAGCTGATAACGATATCTATGTTATCGCCGATCTGAGTGAGCCTGGTACATCAATCGATAGCAACAACCCCGAATGGAATGTTGGTCTTTACACTCGTTACACTGCTGTGGTTGATTCTTTGAACAAATACAAGAATGTGATTGGCTTCTTTGCTGGCAATGAAGTCATCAGCGCACAGAATCAAACTGTTGCCGCTGCTTTCGTCAAGGCTGCTGTCCGAGATACCAAGGCATACATCAAGCAGATGAACTACCGCTCCACTTTAGGTGTAGGTTACGCGACTGCCGATGTTCCCAGCAGAGACGAGTTGGCCCATTACTTCGCCTGTGAGCCTGAAGACGGCACAATCACGACCATTGATTTCTGGGGTTACAACGTTTACTCTTGGTGCGGAGACAGCAACTATGTAGAGTCCTCGTATGGAGAACGTGTGGAATTCTTCAGCGATTATCCTGTTCCCGTTTTCTTTGCAGAGTATGGCTGCATTGATTTTGGTGGAGAAGCTACAGAGAGACCCTTCACTGAGGTTGCTGTTCTTTACGGCAACATGACGTCTGTTTTCTCTGGCGGTATAGTCTATGAGTATTTCTACAACGAGGCGAACCCCTACGGTCTAGTTCAGGTTGACGGCGACACTGTTTCGAAATTCCCCGATTACACATCCCTTTCGTCGCAGCTGGCAAAGGTAACACCGTCTAGCACCGTTTCAGCTAGCTACCAACCTTCCAACAGTGCACCGGCTTGCCCCACTGTCGGTGGTACCACGTGGGCTGCAGTTGCGTCACCTCTGCCCCCTGTAGTCAACCCTCAGCTTTGCGCTTGCGAGGTCGCCAACTTGCAATGCACTGTTTCCTCGGATAATGATGATGACTATGCGAGCGCGTTCGATTTCATTTGTGGAGCCAACGAGGACTTCTGTGCCGGAATTGCACACAATGCAACAACTGGTGATTATGGTGCCCTTGGTGGATGTTCACCCAAGCAGCAACTTGCTTGGGTTGCCAACCAGTACTACGAAGCCAGTGACAACAAGCAGAGCGCCTGCGATTTCAACGGTGTGGCCAAGACACAAAGCCCAACAACCTCGGCAGGCTGCGCGGCTCTAATCTCAGCAGCTGGCACTGATGGCCGAGGAACAGTTCCTAGCCCAACAGGCCAGCAGGGTACGGCTGCGGCAAGTGATTCTTCTGAGGGTGCTGCCATGAGCCTCATGAACACACCCGCCTTCTTCAACTACGGCACAGCATACTTCGCTGCCTACGTAATTACGGCTCTAGTGTCTGGAGTTGGCATGTTTGTACTGTAAATGGATGATGAAGTGGTTTCAAGACTTTGATAATTAACGGTGGGTATGGCAATCCGTTTGTATGTGTACTAGATTGTGTTTTCTGCTCCGCAGTTACGAATGAAGGAGAATACGAGATGGAAAGTTAATTTGCTATGAAGAAGACTATGTGATTGGTGTTGTGTTCTCATTCGTGCATGAAGTTGTATGCATGCATGTGTGAGGCCAAGTGAGGTCCATGAATGATATGGACCTACCTAATATTGCTATGGAAAAGGAGAGCATTCTCAAGATTGTACATTAAAGCTTTACCGAAATCCATAATCGAGACGCGCAATCATCCTTTCTCAATAGTGGATCTGATTAATTGCAATATGCAGGTACAGGTACAAGTCCCGGGCACTAACATCATGTCAGATGCATCATGATGCCAGTATTGCAGTCAGCTAGGTTAGTGTAGTAACATTAGCATTGCAGCTGGCAGCTGCCTACCCTTGTTATACATATGTAGCCCCAAAGGTAAAAATGTGACTAGGTTCAATGATACCCCTTATAGATGCATACATTAGGTACTCCTTTTGTTCCCAAGTTCTTGTTTATAGATTCGTCGAATATTAACTTCTTCAACTTGTGACTCTACCTACCCTAGGTATTCAAAATCTTTGATCGCAATCTTTGTTCGTTTATTTAGAAATCCGGTCACGCCCACAGCATGCTAAGCTTGTTACATGTCTGTCCAGTACATCTCGTTTACTTTGCTACTGGGTTTCCTCAAAGATCGATAGATGAAAATTGAATCCCTAGCTCTTCATGACTTCCTCCTAATCAGCAGACGAAGCTATCCTCATAATCCTCATCATAGCCAGCCAGCTCATTATTATAGATGCCTACTCAGCCCATCATCCTCGTCATTATATCCTATCCAATTCTTGAATCAAGCAACGTCCAGGGAATTTTTCTTCCAGTAGCTGTATCGTTTTCTCCTCCTCGTCCTTATGTACCACTATCTGGGTAAATTGGGGTATTACCTGCCCGATGTACTCCAGGATGGGTAGAATCCAGTCCACCCATTTTCTTAACTCTTTTGAAGATTTCTCCATTCCCATCTTAATAGCTTTCGCGTTTTTTCTCAAATATTCCGTAACCATGTCGTCTGAGAGCTTATGTTCGAGCTTGCTTTGGAGCTCCTCCAATGAAGGGTAAGGCTTTGGTCCCAGCAATCGGATACTCAGCGTAGTAACATTTTCAAAAACGTCATCCCACTGAAAATGGTTCAGAATATAAGGATAAGGTATATCGGTGTGGGATGTCAAGGGAAAGTAACCTCCTAGGTGTCTTAGAACCAGTTCTATCTTTCGCATTTTGTGCCGCCGATCGGGATCGAACTGTCCTAGCCACTCTGCATTGAACTGTTGGAGCCACTCTAGATCTGAGACGTCATTATCCCAAAAATCGAACCCAAAAGTATTGTCTCCGTATAGGAGTATCTCCACCTCCTCGGTAATCTGGCGGCAGATAAGAAGGAGTCCGGGTAAGGCACTTTGTCGAGACGGAGGAGTGTTAGGTGAATATCTTCTGCACGAAGAACAGTAATCGGTCGAGGCCGGAGAAAAAAGTCTTGGGACAGAGCTCTTGTCCGCAAACATAGCGACTTGTCTGTCACACCATTCGCAATTCTCAACCTTGGAGGAGTAATATGTACCTCTTTCGTCACTAAAAAAGGGGTCGGTATGCCAAGGCGGCTTTTTCCATCCTTCATAGCGCTCTTGCCAATACATATCGTCGCAGACATTTATGAAAAGGTTCCGGGGGATGCACCATCGGTATATCTGCTGGCGGATTTCCAGCGGCATGGCATGGAAGCCGCTGGGTTTTGGAACAGAAAGGGAAGAAGCCATGGCCGCTCCAATGATAAATATATATCGCTTAGGCAACTTTGTTGTGGTTTTATGCGTCAAGAAAAGGTGCAAGAAGCAGTGAAAAGTGCAACGGGAAGACTACGGTGGGTGGAAAGTGATATATAGGAAATTGTTGAGCGGGGTTGGGCTACCTAGGTACATACATGCAACTTACCGACACCTAACGGGCTGAAGGGTATGGTATGGGGTGTGAGTGAATATGGCCGTATCATAGGCGCATTCGGGGGCTGCGGGGTGCGATGAGACAGACACCTTCAATGTTATGGGCACGAAGCTGCACATGTATGTATGTGTACGACGACTGCAGGTAGGGAGGCACATACATTTGTAGTAGTGGATATTTGCAGACACACCAGAAAACACCGTTGAAGAAACACAAAACCACATTCAACGGCTCGGCTGGGCTGCTCTGCTCTCATGGCTCCCTTCGTATAGGTATATATCCTATAGAGACGTAGGGTGTAGGCCGCGTATGTATATGTGCATGTTGGAACGAAATATATAGCTGACTTATATAATTGCTGTTGGTTTCCTATGCACCTAATGTAGCTAGCCGAAAGGTGTATGTAGATGTCAATATTGAAGTCGGCCTACCTACATATGTATGTAAGTAAATATGTACCTATGTATATGGATACATATGTAACCTTGAGAGGAGTAACACTACATATGTACGCATCCCAACATTGAAGCATGCATGCTGGAGCACGCATAGCTACCTACCTACTATTGTAGGTACATTGAAACTATTATGTAGCTTGAAGTTTTTTGCTCAACTATCGCCGGGTTGAATATCCATATAACCGCATTTTCTTTATGGTTACCTATCTTTGGTCTTAATTTGCATGTCTGTGTTGTCAAATGAATGGTGCATAGGGGAGAGGGAAGAGACGAGAATGATAGTTACATACCTAGGTACCTACCTTGGTACCTACTAGGTACGCATAGGAGGGGAATTCATAAAAGATATCGGAGAAGGACCGAAAAAACTACAGAAGAGAGCTCCTTTGAAAAAGATTCAAATACATGACACTTACCGATTATCTTGTCTCGGATGTATGTACATGAGCAGAGTTGATAATTATAAGCCTCCCTCGGAATGAAACAGCTATTTGCAGAGTTGGAGAAATTCAGGGGTAAAAATCTCTTTGTGATAAGATTAAGCTACATAAGCTAAGATAGAGTAGCGAGATATAACCAAGAGGGTCCCATAGCTCAGTTGGTTAGAGCGTCGTACTAATATTGTGATCCCAATATTCTGTGTTCACTTTGCAAGCTTATGCGAAGGCCGAGAGTTCGAGCCTCTCTGGGACCATCAAATCTCAATTTTTGACCTTTTTGCTACTTGTAGTACTTGAAGGCTTTCATCCTATTTACCTCTAATTACTCTCCCCTTTTTTTTCACATGCTTTATGTTGTGTTTTGCAACTTCTTGCTCTATGTGAAAATTGGAATTTGCAAATATTTGGTGGGGTGAGGGGAGGGGGTGGATGCTATCTTGGTTAAGCTTTTACGTTTTAGTTTGAAATCTAATTGCAAGGATCGAACCGAACCAGCTTGCTTAAAGTTCTGTTAAATACGCTATCTTCACTTCTTACATCACACTTATTTATCTCCAGCCTGTCTCTGCTTTGTTGTCCTTTTTTTTCTTTTGAAGTGCGACAACATACCTTACACTACCCAAGCAGCACATTAATCGCTGTATCGCGCACCTCTCATTATCCAGAAAAACACCCCGAAATACCAATCAATCTCGAATTCAATCACCACACCACCTACCTATCCACCCACCCACCCACCCTCAAGATGCAGGGCTTCAACATGGGGCGGTACGTGCCGCCCGATGTCGAGGGCACGACGACAGGCAACAAGCTGCACAAGAAGAAACCCCCCGGGTTCTCCCGCGACGGCGCGCAGCAGACCGTGCGCTTCGAGATGCCCTTCGCCGTGTGGTGCGGGCACTGCGCTCAGCCGACGCTGATCGGGCAGGGCGTGCGCTTCAACGCCGTGAAGCGCAAGGTCGGGTCCCACCACAGCACGCCCATCTTCTCCTTCGCCATGCGCCACGCCGACTGCGGCGGCGCCCTCGAGATCCGCACCGACCCCGCCAACACCACCTACCTCGTCGTCGAGGGCGGGCGGAGGCGGGATACCGGGGAAGAGTCTGGGCTGGGGATGGGGATGGAGCCGATATTGACGGACGCGGAGCGCGAGGCGCTGCGGACGAACGCGTTCGCGAAGCTCGAGAAGACGATCGCGGACCGCAAGGCGCTCGACGACGCGAGGCTGCGCATCGACGAGCTGGCGCGGGAGAGCGCGCGCAAGTGGGACGACCCCTACGAGCGCAATCGCAGGTTACGCGCCGCGTTCCGCATCGGTCGCCATGAGCGCGAGCGCGATGCGAAGAGTACCGAGGACCTGCGCGAGCGCATGAGTCTCGGGATCGATATCGTGCCCGCCAACGACGAGGATGGGCGGAGGGCTGCGCTGGTGGATTTCGGGATGCCGACCGAGGATGAGATGGGTCAGAAGGCGCTCGCCAAGCCTCTTTTCGCGACGAGTGGCGATAGCAACAACAACAACAACAACAACAACAACAACAACAGTAATAATAACAATAATAATAGTGGGGACGGTCGTAAACGCGGACATAGCAAAGAAACGAAACCCGCCAAGCGGCTCAAGTCCGAAGCTGCCGCCGCGCAGATGCGGGAGAACCTCGTCTCGGAAATCGTCGGGAATACGCGAGCTGCGCAGGATCCGTTCTTGGCCAGCTTGGCTGACCGGAATAGCGGAGAAGCTGGCAGTGGGAATGGCGGCAAGGGGCCGCCGAGAATCCTCGGTATCAAGAGGAAGAGGGCGGTGGAAATGGGAACGGAAACGGAAACGGAAACGGGAGAGCAGGGTGGTGGTGGTGGTGGTGGTGGTGGTGGAACGGAGGTGGGGACGGAGGCTAGTAGGGATGGGAATGAAAAGGATACGGGCGTTGGAATAGTGGCAGCATCAGCAGCATCGTCGTCGTCAGCAGCAGCGGCAGCAGGAACGGCCCTGGTCGAGTACGATTCGGATTAGAGAGAGGGGTACCACATTGCATTGCATTACATTGCATGGTCACGGCGTTTTACTGGTTTGGTTTGGTTGATACATTTGATTTACGATACGATACCCAAGATGAATGAATGGAATGTGGAATACTACTACTTACTGTGCAGGAAGTTAGACAGGCACCTTACCTAGCCTGTATCATCACATCACGAGAAACGGCATGAGAAACGAGGAAGAAGGGAGGGGGGAGTGGGAAAGTAAAATCAGTGGGTTTAGGTCACAGCATACAGAGCAGAGGGTATTACTACATACTAGTACGCCCGACTTTCAATATATCAGCAAGCAAGACCTTTTCTACTAGTCTCAAACTGACGAGGAGCATTATGCCACTGAACTACTAATATGTATATTTCACTCAGCATGCATGCCACACCTTTCAGGGGTCAGACTAGGTAGGTAGAAACAGCATTCTAATAAATGCCCTAAAAGAGGAGAGAGCGCTAACGCTGGCATGAATATCAAAAGAGTAGAGAAATCGGGGATTCCAGCGCACCCGAGTCGACTCGATTGACCTATGCAAAGTCCACGTAGATAGACAAGCAAGCAAGGAAGCAAAAATACCTAGGTAGGTAGACAGACATGCCGGATTCCGCCCGTAGCTACCAGAGAAAACCCGTATGAACTCCTTAATCCAGAGAGCGCAGTGCATTTATTGATTCGTTTTGTTCATTGATCGACTTGAGAAACGTGCTGTGGAGAATAAGTGATGGGTCGTCGAGTACCGTACTCGCCTATACGTCATCCATCTGACCGGCAGGTTCATCCTCCTCGTCTCCAAAGCTCGCCACCGAGGACATATCGTCGTCATCCTCGCTAGGGGCGCCGGCGTCATCCGCGGCCTCCTTGCTCGCATATCGTTGTACGTATTCTGTTCCGCATTTTAGCTGCATACATCCATCATACCGATGTGGAGCATATATGGAATGAACATACCCTTCACCTTTGCGTCATAGCTCTTCGGCTCGCGCATCAATAAGGCGGCCGCTTCACCGTTGAGAGGGTCGGCTGGGTTCGGGTACCGAAGTAGTTGGGGGAGGAAGACCTCAAATATGTTGATCATATCAAACATAGGCGACCATGTCTGGTTAATTACATCCAAGCAGACCGACCCCGACCTATTTATTTGCATCAGCCTAACTGTGGTTCTGGCAAGCCCAATTCTAAGTCGAGAAGTGTAGTCTTACAACTCATCAATATTCGGGTGGAATATGCGATTAACAAAACCGATACTAGGTGATTTGTAGGGGTATTGGTCTGGCAGCTCAACGTGGACTTTCCAAATCCCGCCCTCAAAAGGCGCTGTATGCGAGGTTAGACGAATCATACGGGATTTCGGGTTCTGACTCTTTACTGACTCTCAGCTGGGCCCTTAAATCGGACGTAGAACTCCTGCCTAGAAAGGTGCGTGAGAATTCGTAGAACAACGGACAGTGATGCGACTCAGCTTACACTACGACAATCTAGTCAGTGGCACAGTCAACAACGCGGGTCAAAAAAGGGGCAAGTACTATTGTCATTGACTAGAGTGACCTCATAGTCGGACATAAGCCTACGGTCATTAGTCCAGGTCTTGACAAGTTAGCTAGAGGAGGCGATCCTACATCCTATATTGCAGTCAGTAAAACGATCGGAGCTAAATGGTGATAGTTCGGTATAGCATACTTCATGACCTAGTTGTAAGGATGTGTCAGTATCTACCTAGATAGCTTATGCTTCGAGATCTGTTCCATGCCGCTGCGCACTTACATCTGTCTCGATTCTTCGTCTTGGGCTGCTCATTTTTGCACAACTTGCCAAATCACGCCTGAGTGTGTTTTTTCTCTTTCTTTCCGTATCACGTCTCTTGGTGATATATCTGTTGACTTTCCAGGTGTCCGAGTATGGTCGTCCTGACTTATTGGACTAATATATGGTGTTTCCTACTATTCGCTTTTAAAAGAATGCCCAAAGTTGCGTCTGTGAATACTAGGTAGGTGGGTAGTGTTGATGATGACGGGTATTTCTGAAGCGTCGTCAGGTCGGAAATCTTGGGAACGATTTGGGTTCGGAAAGAAATATGGTCGTCGAGGTACAAGGCAGCTGCTTGGATTGCTGGGATATGTGCGTAGGTATGTATGGACGTGCGTACAGTACTATGAATTTGTACCTAGTATGTTTGTAGGAGGGTGGTTGCGATATCAGTGTTAGGTAGTACTGAGCACTGTATGTTGATGACGCTTATTTGTCCGAGCAGATTACCAACCTACCTACACACTGGCATGAACAGCTTGAGGTGTGCTGTAAAGTAAAGAGTAAAGAGTAAAGAGTACTGAATAAATGTGTTTGAGTAAGGAAACGTCGATGTTTGTTGGTAAATTTGAACAAATTGAAAGAAAGAAGAAATTGGCCAGAACCTTGCGCTCCTTTTTGAACTTGAACGTCCTTGACTCGGGAAGTCACAGGACACAAGAGCAATGACGCGGGTTGCCCCGATAGTAGCCCCGATAAACCGTTATTGGAGCAGTGGTAAGTGGGGTTTGATGCTATCGATAAAAAGAATGTGGGACGTTTGAATGCATCCATGCCCAGTAACTATCAAGGTTTTACTTGGCTTTGCTGGTTTTACTGGGTTTTTACTTAGATTGTGATTATGATTTATGATAATGATATCCATGATCATCTTCAATGTTTTTCAAATGTCTTCATTCATTGAGTCATCCTCCATTTTAGTACCTGGTTGGTACCTGACTTAACCTAACTACCTACTTTATAACCAAACATTTGAACATACATACTACTAACTAGTACATAGTATACCCTGATACTACTTAGGTATGTAGGTAAGCAGCTATTCTAGGTAGCTAGGTGTCTATACACCATTGCTTTCCATCATTTTGGGCATCATCAGTTATTGGATGTGCTACTTGCATCCGGTCAGTATCCGGCCATCGTTTCGCGGTCCCCCATTCGTACTCCAGCATCGAATTAATGCACAACGTTTTCTCGTCTCGTTGCGTCCATCATGTTATAGCAACACTACCACTAATACGCCGCAGACGATTGGCTACCCACCATGTAGCTCCGGCCAGATACGTAGGTAGATATATCGGAACGGTATCTTTAAGGCCTCCCTGAGTCTTGACTCACAACCCAGCTCCAGGTTATATCCAGATCTTTACCAAAAAAAGATATCCAAATGATATTCGCTTATCGCAATCGCTCTCGTCCATTCGTTCGAGTATGACCAGTCAATAATGCTCACTAAGTTGAATTAGTCAACCTGCCATCCTTCAAACGATAGAATGCAGTGTTACGCTTTACCTTTCCAACTGCCTGTTGGGCGCCAGGTGGGAGTTTCATCCCGGGGAGGTTCAAGGGCGGTGGCGTTTCGCCTTTGATCCCGCAAGTAATTTCAATGCTTCGAAACAATCCGCCAACGGCTCTTTGTTCCGGAGTGAAGACAGCCAAATTGGCAAATGTGAGGCAATTTGGTTCGTTGAATAAGCGTGCTTGACAACCATCATCCTGATTAGCCACGAAGGTACCGCATTGGGCTATTCCCGGCATGTTGTAACACTTTGGTGTTGAGTGCTGCGATCCAGGTTTAGGTAGTTGGACGTTCGTTATCACTGTACCGCGACAGTTTTTAGGACCGGGTGGTCCCGAGAACAGCAGTGCGGCTATTGAAATAACGGGCTCAGTAGGCTCCGGTTGGCCCGCCGTTGTAGTACCGTTGAGTAGATTAATATCTACTTGTGGGATTCCGGATATCTCTGGTACTTCCGAAACCTGCGGGATCTCCGATACGACAGCCTGTTCTCCTGTTGCATTCTCTTGTTGGTGGTAGTCTCCCCCTCCCACTGCTGTCTCTTTGTCTACTACGACAGAACGGTTAGGTTCTTGTACCCGTACCCTCTGCCCTAGAGTACCCGTCACCAAGCACGCTACCCCAATATTAACGAAGGTTATCGTTGGCTGCCAATGAAGCCACATTATGATGATATTTAGTTGTGGGAAGAGAGATGACGGAGATCAAAAAGAAAAGTCGAGTCTCGAAGATTTATTAATGTTGAAACAGCTCGTTGCCTTTGGTCTGAGACGTTGCCAAGAACTGCTGCAAGTCACTGAGCATGCACCCTCTTGGCGTTTCATACTTCCACGATCCAAAGATTGCAAAGGCTAGGTAGGGACAGGGTATTAATAGATTCCCATCTGGGGGAATCCAAGATTGAATATTCTACGTGCCTAATATGAACGAAGGGAGTGCCATTGACAATGTTTTAACAAGGAACAGATGCAGAACTCCTCTCTTTTTTTTTTTCGTCATCACAATCGACTAGCCCAACATGACATCGATATACCAGAGGCTACCTAGGTATATACAGCTGATGGCAACGGGCGAACGAGTCCAATCATTTGGGAATGGTGACAGATAATTCATACGTCTTGCCAGGTTGTATGTTTGTAAACCGCGCCTCCGGGAGGATTTGACCCTCATACTTCACTACGACTTTTGTCACTTCGGCTGACTGACGCATATCTACCACAAACGTGGCGCCACGGAACAGTCGAGTAACCTTGATCGCATCCCAGAAAGATGGTAACTGCGGCTGGATACACAGGCCCTTTGCATCGCCGCGCAGCCCGCATAATTCCTCGATAAAGGACCGATAAACCCAAGATACTGTCCCCGTATTAAACAACTGGCTAGATCGCCCGGCCGTACGTGGATAATATTGGTACGCCCCGCGGTAGTAGTTGGGAATATAAACTGGGAGCTGTCCCCGTTGTACGTAATCCTCCTCCGATGGTCCCGGAATCATCTTCCGCAGGACATCGTACGCCCGGTCTGCCTCCCCGATCGAATATAGACTGTGTACGTAGAAAGCGGCCGCGTGGTTGTATACCGACCCATTTTCTGCGGAGCCAGGATATTTCTGGGTTACGCGCCCTACATCCTCTCGCATGCCTTTATATTGGGGCCCGAACATGACAGTGCCATACGGGGTTCCTAACTGCGAGTCTACTTGGGGAAGCATCCGTGCGATCTGTTCAGGGCTCGCTGCTCCACTGAGGATCGACCATGTCTGCGGATTCAGCCAGATACGCCCTTCTTTATCTTTCTTCACACCAAAAATCACGTTGTCGTCAGTAATGCCCCGCGCAAACCAGTCACCATCCCATAGGTGTTTGTTAGCTGCATCGTTGACCGTCTTGGCACTCTCGCGATAGCTCTTTGCTAGGTCGGCTTTGCCCTCCTGCTCACACACGTCTGCCCACAATTTCAACGCAAACGCCGTCGCTACTGTCTGCCATCCCGATACGCCCTTGCCCTTATATCCCACCATGTTAAGCGGATCGCACCAGTCACCTTGTGCGATATAGCTTAGGCCACGCTCGTCCCGTGCCGAAAGTAGCCAGTCCATTGCTCGGCTGAAGCGTTCGAACACTGTATACGTATCGCCGTGCATATCCTTCACTTTCTCTTTGAGGAGATCATAGTCACCCGTCTCCGAGAGATACGCCGCAAGCGTGACTGGTAACCAGATACAGTGATCGGTATGCGGGATCTGATTGATATATTTGAGCTCCGCGCCTTCTGTTATCAAAATACCGTCAGGCATCGCGCCATCCTTCTCCTGTTGTCCCACTGCCGTAATGAATGCCTTTCGCGCAACCTCGGGCTTGATATAGGACATGCCCATGTTATCCTGCAGATAGTTGCGGGTTTGTGGGTCCGTGGTCAACCTGTTCACGTCGCCATGGTAGTAACATTGCCTCGGCAGCCAGTGATTGACGAAATTATCCACGTGCTTGTCAGGCGTCTCGATTGTTAAGCACCCCTTCCCTTTAGCAATATACTCCGCATACTCGCGCGCCGCCTGTTCAAAGGCTTCCTTGCTAAGATACTTTTCTCGGACTCTACGGATTTCGGCATCGTCGTACGCGGGTCCAAACGCAAATCGGTACTCGCGCTGGTCGTCCGTCTTCAACTCCGCGCGATACTGTACGGCGGCCACGGGAGTTTCATAGCGAGCATCACTGCGTCCAAGTTCGGGTAGTAATAGTGAGGATGGCGCATGCAGCCCTCCCTCGCCTTCGAAAGCTTGCTGCATGGCTTCCCATGATGTAGGCTCGGATTCACATAGGAAATATGACTTGTCCTTGAGATATTTGTTTTTCAACCAATCGGTCGCCTTCTGATATGGCGTGACACTGCTGCTCACCACGCCGCCAAGATCTGGTCGCCATTCTGCCTCTTGGTTCATCCACGACATGTATCCAAATGGGAAATAAGGATACACACTAACTCTCCGCGGTCGTGCAGTTAAATTAGTCACCTTAACGGTCCAAAGCTCAACTACATCATGAGTTGGAATCACTAGGGTCATCTCAATGCGGATCCCAAGGTTCTCGACAGTCCAGGAAACATTACTTTTGCCAACAGAAAAGACAAATCGATCCAGCGGGGCACGAACGGGTTCGTAGGGTGCCGAGAATATTTGGCCGGTCTCCTCATCTTTGACGTAGACGAACCGACCTGGGTGATGGGCGTAATAGTTTTGTTCGGGCTGCATAAAAGTTTTGGCCTCGAGATTAGGGGCATGCGCATACTTGGCCGGCTCGGGCTGCATGAACTGTGCGGTTGCATATCCCCGACAAGTGATTTGGATCATCATCTTTTGATTCCAGAGAAAGCCACCGGCCTTCGGCATGGCAGTCGGGCTTGTCAGCTCGTAGCGGTCACCATCTTCTGTGTGTTGTAACATCGTGTCTTCCAAGGATTTTCAACGCTCAGCCGCAAAGATGCATTACCCCTTTATCTAAATTAGGTTTTCCATCTACGACAGTCTCTCAGGTATTCGTCGGGGCCATGATTTATAAAAGGCACGACCGCACCGTGAACCAGGAACACCGCTACGCCGGCACGGGGACCTTGGCGGATGACCCTCGTGCATCAAACTCTCTCGGAAGAATATGCGGGTAAATTAAATACGCCCGCTACGCACTTCCGCTACGACGTGGGCAATAAGCCAATACCCTGCTCGGTATAATAATCAGCGGTCCACTAACAACTCCCGACTCAGATTGGGGGTGTTTTGAAAGCATCATGCGATTGCTGCAGATCTATTTCTGCTCGTTTGGATTCTCACGAAATGATGCCGACGATATATTTCCTCGATGCACCCATAGGTTATACAGCTTTTATGCGAACTCCAACCGCTGAATTACAAGATTTTTGGACTCGCGAGGTCCTTCCCTTGTGACTTACTAAAGAGCGGAGATAAGACCGGAGCCATAAGGTTCGTGGGATCGTGGGGGATATTTTCCACCATGGAGACCAGGTCCGATGAGCCCACGCCTTAACCGAAAGCAGATTGGTAGCTCCATGGCATAAGAATTCGGTTCCATGAATCAAAGGCCACGGGGGTGGGGGATTGGCTGTCTCTGCATCAGTCTTACCAACTTGTACACGTATTCTCTAATGGGGTGCGGCGTCGAATCCTATTTACCATCAGACATGCATTTCTCATACATTTTGAAAATGCTATGTACCAAATCGCTCAGCTAGGTATCTACCTAACCTAGGTAGTTACGGTACTTGCTCAGGATAGAACTTAGGCCCCATGACTTTAACATCAGGAGGGTTCAGGGGGATGGAACCTTTAATAAGTGTTTTATGGCGTCACCGACTCTATACCGCTGAACGGCTCTGTAACGTCAATTACGGCGTCGGGCTCGGTTATGCGTTCGACGGTAAACAATCGGCGGTTGTCCCGATGGTTTATATTAACATAGGTACCTAGGTAACCAGAGTCACAAGCCACCAAAGTGTCCTCAGAGAGAAGGATATTAATAGCAGTAAGAGAAGTGTTCCGTTTGGAGGAATTTGGTATCGCAGATTAATTACAGTCCTTTTTCAGTGCCCAACCTACATCCCCTAACGCCTTAACATACATTCCAATCTATCCCTTCTATCCTGTCCTCCTCCCAAACCCCCTAAATTTAGCACTGTCTACAGCTCTGGTAGGCATTTGTAAGGCTAAATCGAACCCGAAAATACATCAAATAATTGATAGAGTCGCCTGGCACCTTCCGGTTGATTAGGTAGGTTAGGAGATCCGGCTCGTTATAGTTATGCCCTCAACACCGCCCCTATTTTCTCCCGAGAGGAGTCCCACCCGAATGAATGGCAATTTATCATATATTTTCTTGCTTTATCATAAGATGTAATTCAGCGGGGATTGGCGAGCTATACTCGCACGAATGATGTGACGGTTTCGACGCAGATCTTATCGAGTTCGTGGGGTGTAAGAAGTGCATTTGAACACGTCTCGTTGTTCCTGCCATTGGCTTGTTGTTTCCACCGGGCTCACTTCAGCCCTTTTCCAGCTAAATCTGAGAAACAGAAAAGTTAGATTGATATCAGTCTTCATACTCCTAGCCGCATCGTGGAGGTAGGCATGCTACTAACAAAAATCCGAACCCCATGGTAGATTAGGCAGATTTAGTGTTGGTGAGTGACGACCGGTCGTGTGCGAACGTTCTCTTGCTTGCCGCTGGTGATGAACTGGACAAATCGCATAGTAAAGCTAGCCGTGTATCGTCTGGTGCAGCGTTTGCTGACAATATACTCTTCTTGCATGATAACTGATGAGGCAAAGGGGGAAGGGCGAAAGCGCTCTGTCTGTCCTAATTATCTTCGGGGTATTTGTAGACGACCTACTACTCTTTTGTCCTGTGATAAGGGGGAAGGACAAGGCAGCGCGATTATATACACACCATCATTGAACGCCTCACGTCACAATTTGCTATTTTCGTATCGATGTCCGACTCTTACTTACATACATTGTCTGAGAGATTGGGGGCCCCCGTCCAGCCCTACGGCGTGAATAGGTTGATACGGATGCTGACAGGGCAGCTCTTGGGGGGCCAGCTGAGCCAATGGGGGAGAGAAGGGGTAAGCTTCCCAAGCCGCGGGTGTCGTCATGGCCTACGAGTGGTTGCAGTGGGAAAAGCTGAATGAACTGGCTGTGGTGCAACAGTCATGCAGGTTGCTTATGTCGCATTGCACTTTTTTACAAGAGTCGGTGAGAGCAGAGTTGTTGCGTAGGCGGGTTGGGCTTGGTTGGTTTCGCAAAGCAATTGACTGCGCTCCCAGCGAAGAAAAAAGAATGACTCCGACCTCCCTACTATACCGCCTGTTCCTGTTGGCTCCCGCGATGAAGGTGCTATACAAATTGCGGTCTACCTAAGATCCTACGGATATATCCGAATGGTACGGCACCCAAAGCAGCACCAAGCAACAAGCAGTGTTGTGGCGCCGTTTCACTCTAACGCAGATAGATGCGCACCCGCTACTTTGTGTCGTGGCCTTACCTAAGGTCACCTACTGCTAAGCCTTCGGTGAGTGGAATTGGTGACACGGCCCATGTTCGTGGAACATTCGTGAAGACTTTCGATATCTGTGCTATGCGAGTTTTGAGATACACGTGCATGTATGTCTGTACTCTGGATGTCAAACGTCCGCTGTAAATGAGTTGCACACGATCTCTAAGTTGGGTACACGATAGTTAGGTATGTAAGTCATTCCCCAACCTGCGCCACGTCAATGATGTTGGATTACATGTCTAATCAAATACAGTAGTAGGCAACAAGTATGCTAAGCCTCTATACCTAGTAGTCGCTGGGAGGTAGGTACCTAGGTATTCTAATCACTCCCCCTTATACGTCGCGCCGATGTCCCCCCACTTGAGGTTGCTGAACGTGACCTCGGGGTGGGCCTCGATCTTCTTGATGTTCGACGGGTTGCCCTCGGTCGCGTTGCAGGGGCCCGCGCCGTCCGTCGCGCCGTCCAGCCACGACATGTTGCTGCCCTCGTCCCACCAGATGCTGAACGCGAGCACCATGCCGCGCGTCAGCGCCCCGCCCATCGTCTCGTGCGCCCCCAGGTCCACGAACTGCGTCGCCCCGGTCGCCGCGCAGTACTCGTCGTCCGTCCACGCCACCTCCGGCACCCCTTCCTTCTTCACCACTTCGGCCCTGATCACCGTGCCGTCCTGGATGTACGTCCGGTGGATCTCCTTCAGCGCGCCGGCGGGGTCCGCGGGGAAGGACGTCACGACGGTGAACTTCTTGGTCGTGTCGACGGTGAAGTTGGACCCGCGCCCGTAGTAGCCTTGCTGGTTTAGACGGTATGGGTTCCACCCGCACCCGCTCTTGTCGCACACGCCGCTCGCTTGGCACTCGTCGCCGCTGCAGAGGTAGGGCCCGGTTTGGTTGCACGGGTGAGGTGCGATCTGGTTCGCGCGCGAGTTGGCTTCCCAGATGTCCATCTCGTTGCAGCAGGCGCCTTTGCCGTCGACGTTGCCCTGGGAGTGAGGGTTAGCTGCTGTGTTACTTACCTAAGCATGTAGAGAAGGGGGGGGGGAGGCTGAGTGGGTCAAGGGTTAGGGTCACTTACTTCACCGTTGATGAAAGCTGCGACAACAAAAATTAGCAAACCGAATCCTCGAGTAGACGGCCCGAGGGCTTGATGGAAGGGTTTCAGGGGACTCACGCGTAACATAGCATTGGGCGTCGCAGTATCCCGTGCCCCATGCAGCTCCACCCGTGTTCAGATCGCTCTTGCCACCATCCGCCAGCATCTCGGAGAGGTAGAGGGCGCTGTTCATGCCGCAGGGCAGGTGGCTGACCTCGACGTCGAACGCGAACTCCTTGCCCGTCAGCTGCAGCATCTCGTACTTCTCCTTGGCCTCGTCTAGCAGGTAGATGCGCGGGGAGACGACGTTCTCGCCGACGATCAGCTGCATGTTTAGTGAGTCCCCTTCTGTCGTGACGCCGATGCTGGTGTAGTCGGACTGGCCCTCCACTGTAATCGTAGGTACGGGTCAGCCAGCTATTCATTGACATGGGAAGGATGTATGAAGCAGTAAAGCATTGTAGTTATGATGGGTGCCACATACTAATGCAGTTCTTGGCGCAGTCCTCCTTGGTCGGGCACGCCGCCGCGTCCGGCTTGCTCCCCCAGCTCCCACAGCCCGCGCTGTTGTCGTTGAGCTGGTGCACCCAGTGCGCCGACGAGTCCAGCACCAGGTAGTTGGTCGCCTCCGCGCAGCCGTCCGCCGTCGTGCACCGGTACGTCTTCAGCTCAGGGTGGACGTCAGGGGTCCCGCCGGGCTTCTGCGCTGAGACCAACTGGCCCAGGGCCATGAGCCCGAGGGCGAGCTTGTTCGATGTCATAGCTTTCGACGTGTGTTTTTTGCACCTAGATTCGGTCGCGATTGGTTATTGATGGGATTTCGTCGATGATGCAGTTGCCGCGATGGAGATGGCTGAGCACGCAATCTCTGCTCCTGGAGTAATTCATCGCTTCGGTATATATATGCCTATATACCTCTATATACATGAGCAATCTCTCCGCACATAATGTATGTCTCACATCCATGATACCAGCAATACGAGGTTATCATTACCCTCCCTCTCCCCCCCCAATCTCTTCAAAACACCCTTCTTCCGCATGCCAAGATCATTCGATGCCTATTCTGACGGATGGAACATCAAGTGCCGGGCCCTTTGTTTAGAGGCCTAGGGGAATGTGGCCCGGGAACCCGGCGGGTTTATTCGTGTTTGTTTAGTGGTGCGATTTTTATAGTATGGGGTAGGCTGGAGGAGGTATGGGGATTTTGGAGGGCCGGCCAAATCTTTGGCCTTGTCTTTAATGGGGTAAGAGGCTAAAATTGGCGTTCCTTACCTAGTAATGTTCAAACGAAAAAAAGCCCGGACCTCCAGTTCATCACCTTTTTTTTTTCTTTTTTCTCCTTTGAGGGGGGGGGGGGGGGGGGGGATTGAATGGGAAAGATACCGGCTGGAAGGCTTATCTGTTGTGTTCCTGCATTCAAGCTGCGTCTCTAGTAAATTGCCTACCCCAGGTCACTACCTAGTACGCCTCATGTTATCCTCCAACTCCATGATTTGGGGGGCAATGGGGATATGGAGATGCGGAATAAATACCGTGCTTCTAGGCTAACCGTGGCCCGGTAACTCTACCGGTGGGTTAGTCAGGTCCCAGGGCTATTCATGTCGCAGGCCTTTCCTGGTGTTGGTCAGGCCACATCAGTTGTAACTTGTATTAAGTAACTACCTACTTGCTCTGTGCCTACTAAAATCGATGGAAATGATAGATCAAGTTGGCCAGTCTTATGCTTACTATAACAGTATGTATAAGTAAGTCGATAGCCAGCATTTTTAGCGTTTTTAGATAGAGGTGGGTAGGCATGAAGGTCTATGTAGTCGTTGTCTACGACTATGAAGCACAGGTAATCTTTTTAACCTCTCTTTCACGGATGTTACCGCGACGACCGGAATTGCCAAGGAAGTGATCATAGCGATGTCTTATACCTGTGCCAGAAGATGTGACTGAGGATTAAAAGATATCGCCGATTCAGGTCGATCCGATAAGCGTGGGCAGGTGACCCTCGATGCTGCCCCTAGCGTGTTATTCATTCGACGTCAACGAAATATGGCGGTAATACGCGTTTCGAAGAAGACTTTGGAAGGGTCGCGGGTGTATTTTAGCAAAGATGGGATAACAAAGAGATAAAAGGGGGGGGAGGGAACAGCTTGTGCTGGCGAACTGTCAGAACATGCCGCTACGCCAAAAGGTGAATGGTTGATCTCTCATTAAATGTCTATGTCTCTAGGTTAGTTTATATCAGAATATCGGATGCAAACCCTCTCCCAATTGAATTAGTAGATAAGCTCTGAACTTATAGGTATAGTTACCCGAACTTCATATTCCTATATTCTATTGTCATTCCTGAACTCTGAAAGGGCGAATTAAATGACTGTTGAATGATCAGCAACTGAGTCTTATGTGCCGAATTTCGATTGGTTCTAAGGGTAGCAGCCAGCTCACGATGGGATGAATATTCACTCCGAGGTGCAAGAGCTGTAGTCGAGAAAGATAAAGCCTAACATCTAAGATAAGCGCTTCACCTGAGTACCTATTTAGGTACATTTCAGAAGGCTTCGTAGCTGGCGGCCATGCTGATAGTGATAGGGAACGCTAGGAAGTATTCGACCACACGAAAGCAATGTTTCTTTTGTGAATAGCTTCCACAGTGTTGGAAATTGTCAAGGGTCTACCTGGGACCACATAGGGGACCACATGGAATTCACATGGAATAAAGACAACTTACGTGTATACCTATGTAGCTTTCATAGTCTCTGGGAGATGTTGGAAATTCCTGCGCAAAATCGATGCTGTTATGCGTCTTCTAGGTTCCGTCTCGTGACAGAAAACTTCAAAATATGCCGACGATTATTTATCTATAGGTAGATAGTGTTGAAATCTTAGATAATTTTAATATTGATGGCTTATTAGAACTGTATATAGATACTATAGGTAGTAGGTATCCTATTTGTGGTCTTGGTAGGGGGGGATGATAGGCGCGTAAGTTAGCCACCAAGTAAGACGAGTGGTAAGTTTAACTCGTCTACAACGGCTAACAAACAAATAACTATTTGCAACACCTTAATAGATCCATACCTACCGAGTATATACCAACCAGGCACCAGTCGTGTTGTGATGTGTTGTGTTGAATTCGTAGTCGTAACCTTGGAAATCCAGCATCGGATGATCATAAAAGGGGGCTTGAACGATTATTCCAAGCCTTTTCCATTGTGATTTATGTTTTGGTTGTAACCTTTCTCAGAGTCAGATTTATAGTACAAGATTCATGTATTCACGTGTATTTTAATACTCAGCAGCCACTTAGTTAGGAGGGTGCATTCTTTGAGAATCTGCTGAAGTGACAACGGGATATCTGTCACGCGCATTTAGCTCGCCTACCAGAGATGCCGACTAAGTCACAAAAGGTACTGGGTAGTTACCCGTGGCAGCAGGTTCTTTTGTCTCTGTCAGTTGTCTCAAGAGGCATATTGCTATTCAGGTTGACCGTGATGCTTTATTCTCAGCCCCCTTTATCAGCTATAGAAGACAATGGATTGTTTGTGGGGGTTATTCTAGTCTTTTTCAACATTATAAGTACCGTGCCAAGTATTAACGACCCCTAGGTCAACTGTATCCTGATCTCATACAACCTCCTATTGCCATATCCAAACATGTATTCAAATGTACCAACTCTGTTGATGATATCGTTGGGTTCGCTTTCGGCGGCCCACGTCATATTAGAAAACCCTAGACCCTTCCGGTTTGTTGCTTACGGACCGTCTAATCCAATCTCACCTACCGGTGAAGACTTTGCATGCAAGATGCCGCCTGGTGCGAAGTTGCAACCTGATGGCGAACCTACGACTATGGCGATTGGTGAGGAGCAAACAGCCTCATTCAAAGGTCAAGCCGTCCACGGCGGTGGCTCGTGCCAGTTTGCCGTAGCCGGACCCGTAAGTGACGGCGATTGGGCAAGCTTCCCTCTCCGTGATGCTCAGTGGAAGGTCTTTCATTCCATTGAAGGGGGTTGCCCAGCCCGAAATCAGAGAGGGAACCTCGACGGCCTAAACCAAGACAAGTACTCCTTCACGATACCGCCTGGAATAGAGCCAGGCGATTACGTTTTCTCATGGACCGTAAGTATTTTCAGTCTTTTCGTTATTTCCAAACCCCAAACCCGTCTTGATCAAGCGATAATTCATAATGAGATGAGTCACCATGACTTATAACAGAAACCTACCTACTAACTCAAGCATGAAATAGTGGTACCCCCGCATCGGCGGCCAACCGGAAGCCTATCAAAATTGCGCCCCTATTACTGTGACTTCGGCCAAAGCTAAGCGTCATGGCGGCTCGGCCCGTCGTGCACTTCTCACTAAAAAGGTGGACATATCCTTTCCAGAGCTCTTCATGGCCAACATGGGCTCGATCTCGGGATCGTGCACGACTGATGAAGCGTTGCAAAAGCAGCTCGCTATCGCATTCCCCAACCCAGGTCCCTCTGTGGAGCATCCCGAAGGTACGGCCAACTTATTCCAGCAGCCTTGCGATGGCAATCCCCGGGCCCTAAAGAACCAGGGTCAGCTTCAAAGTGGAGTGTCTTCTAGCTCTCCCTCCTCTGCAAGTGTAGTGGCGAGCACGCCGTTTTCTCGAACGAGCTCTACTTCCGTACTAGACGACAATAATCATAACACCACCAGCACTACCGATACATCCAGTATCGGCTACTACTCGACTGATGATCCACCAGCCCCAACGTCTGTGTCCGTTTTGGGTTCGTCTATTGGCCCAACTCCGACTTCCCCTTCTGTGACGCACCCCACGCAGAGCGCTGAAACGTGCACAGAGGGCCATCTTACGTGTCTGGATGACGAAACTCACTTTGCAACCTGCACCGGTGGACAACTGACACCGGCCCAGCCCATCGCCTTGGGATACAAGTGCCGGGCTGGTTCCGGGGTTGGGCTCGACATCTACCCAGCTTAGGGAGCCCAGGGAGCCCAGGGAGGTAGTTATTTGCTCCAGAAAGTCTGGAAGCCGACACTGTGGGTTACGATCAACGTGCGGGTTTTTTCTTTGATAGATTTGATCGATTAGCAGGATCGGGTAAGGAAGGTATACTGTACTGTATGCACCATGTATGTATGTATGTAGGGACTATGTCCACAAGTAATAACCAGATCTTTCTAATGAAATCGAGATATTTCTTCTTCTTTCGGCCGTCACCTGGTATCCGTTAGTAATACGAACAGACTTATTGAAAAGTTTGATGTTAATGGTTCCGGACTATTAATTTACTGAGGACGAGCGGAACCTGCCTTGACAGTGATACCTAGTCCTGAAGAAGCAGCAATAAAATACCTCAGGGATGAAAACGAGGCGGACGCAATTAACAGAAATATTAACAAATATTGCAACAGGAGAATTGACTCCGACGACAAACACATTACGTAGGTATCTAGATAATTAATATCTAATTACTATCTATACAGTTTCTGTGTTTTACCTAGTATCATACAGATGCTTCTATGTAAGGGATTACACGTGTATTGTAGATTCCCTTACTTTGATCAACGAAGAATTGACGCGGGAGCTAGCACTAGTAACAATGAACTATGGATGTATCTGGGCAAGATAGGTGATTGCTTCAGTCTATAATGCTACTACGTAGCATGTTACTTGTTGTTACAGACGATAACGTGTAACGACGATACCAACGACAAGATACCCACAGTGGATAAGTACGCGTAGGAGGTATGTAGGTAGGTAGGCAATCACGAACAAACAATGCATTTATGTATGTGCTATATTAATACAACGGAGAAGGATTCAGTTTCGGTAAGTCTCGCCAACTACCTGGTATTATATAATATTATGCCTTACTATGTATATACTATGTATACTATGCATAGTATTGATGCACATTGTCTTCGAAACCTCTAGATAAGGTCTAGAGCGTAAGAAAAGTGTGTAAGCGAAGGTAAACTACCAGGGGAAGAGGGGAGGAGTAATTAGTGGAGGAGAGGAGTACTATGGTAGAAGAGGAGGGAGGAGTGGGAGGAGGAGGAGGAGATAGAGGGGAGAGTGCTTAGACTTTTTGTTAGTTACGGAGTAAACTCCCTCGATTCATATTCAAACAACCTTGCAACTGACCTGCTAACCATACTCTCCCACCGACAAGCAACTGGGCTACTGGGGCTACTGGGCTAGAACTTAATAGATGTTAGCGTAAGACCCGCAGTGATCCGACATGACCCAGATCAACAGAATATCACTACTTGATCATTGGTGGGTGATGTTCTCGATTTTCTAGGTTGCTAGGTCGACCATTGGGTAAGCTTAGCTGCTTGGCAGTTGGGCAAGTTGGGTGCTTGACTGGACCGCTTGACTGCTTGACTGCTTGAGTAATAACTGCGCATCCATTGTAAAGAGTTCGTTCCGACCCGGACTTTGCGTCGTGGTGGCTAGCCGTTTCATCTTAATGGACAAGTACCATTGCCCTGGCTCCGGGAACTATCCGAACCCTGCCCTATGCTCTACTCTGTTAGTGAGAATGATTGATCACAATCCCGCACGAAAGGCGGAGAGTACCAGGTAAGTACATGGCACCACACTACTATGCCGTACTATCATAGTATTATGTAGCTAGTAGCCTAGGTACAGGTAATGTACATGCCACTATAGGTAGATAGAAGTAAGCCAAGCCGTGCCCAAAAATGGGGAGGGACTGAGCTGTTCTAGCCAGTAAGGAGGGTAGCCGAGGTCACAGGTAATCCGAATGACAGGATACCTATCGACTCATGTGTAAGCCCCAGGTATTGTACCTACTACTTACCTACTAGGTAGGTAACCACCAGTAGTACTATGTAGTAACTAACTAAACTCATGTACGCACATACATATGCATCTTTTAAGGCCGATGATCGCATTGGGTCTTTACTGAGTCAGGTAACGTTGGAAGTTGTCTCTAACCTTAACCTAGTATCGCCAGAAACTAGGAACGAAGGGATAGTTACCTAGCCTCTGAATCGGAATGCTACTCGGTGCTGTTATTGTTACCAAGTTATTGTTAGCGGGTCCGAAAGACCTTTGACTTGAACTTGGCATCATGATCTCAAATGTATCAAACGTATCAAATGTATCGAATGTATCAAATGTATCTACATTAATGTATTGTACATAGTACTATTTTAGTAGTACTATTAGTTAGTAGTATGTAGAAACTCTGGAATCACAGCCAGTACGGGGATAGGATGATAGGATAGGATAGGATACCGTTTTAGGCCCTGAACGGAATGCGTCTTATTTTAAGAAGGGGTCCTTACAGCTTGTGGATCCCTTGCACAAAATATTCAAAAACACGCTAAAAAAAGCACTTAACTCAAAAGAGCACCTTTTTTTTTTGCACAAATCTCTAAGACCCCTGTCATTAGCTTGTACTACGCTGTAAGACCTATCTCTTATTTTATGCAATGTACTGTTTAAATCGGGTCCAAAGCTAAACTATAAGGGGTTTAGCGCCCCACAAAAGAGCTCTTATTTTCCTGTAAGCAAGACAGGTTGATTTCAACCTGTCTTGCTTACAGAAAAGCCTCTTACAGCGTTGCACAAGCCCTGACAGCTCCCTGCCAGCTGGAAGATTAGCTATACAGCTGGCAAACCAACTACGCAACTAGCTGTTTTCAAATATTAATACAGTTGCCATTCAATTATTACAAGTGCCTTTTAATAATTACAGCTGTTCTTTTGTTTTTTTCCATTTTACTTAAATTATTACAGCTGTGACAGGTATCTCCAGCTGTCGTCAGGTGTCAAGCTGGCTAGCCATATTTAGTTTAGATTGATTGCAAGGGATAAGGAAGATACATTTGAATTCATAAAATTTTATGTGTGGGGTCAATGTATCTTTTTAAGAAGAGCCCTTAAAATAAGACGGATTCCGTTCACAGCCTTAATCTCCTACCTAGACCTTATCCACATCTTATAATGGCATTGTACCGTCCGAGTACGTCAACGGGTCATGCGGGAGACGCCGCATAAAGCAAGTATTAAGACTTTTTCGTATACCAACCTGCCAACCTTGTTCAGGGGGAAGGGATCCTAAGGAGGCACGTGATTATTCATAAAGGGCACTATGAGGTCCTATTTCATATTTCAAAATTCTCGTAGCCAAGTTTGCAAAAAGTTATCTCGGCCAACCATATCGACTTCCTAACAACGTCACTATACAACATCTCAACTCAACCTCAACCTCACCTTACCTCACCACATCGCATAGACTCTCTAACCTTACTCCCTTTAACTACTACCACTAACCACCACACAACCACCATTACCACCATCACCATCACCACCATCACCACTTGTAAATAATTCGCCATGGTCGAAGGCAAGGACGTGATACTGGTGACCCAGTTCCCGTCAGATTCTTGGTTTGAAGGTTTCGCAAAGCGCCCCAATGGCACGATATTAGCTGCTCGGCTGGACGAACCCGATTTATACACATTCGACGCTGAGGACAAGGATGCGATACCACAGCCAATCTACAACTTCGAAGATGTAGCCAATGGCCTCTGCAACATGTGCCCGATACCGGACAGCCCCGACGAATACCTGGTCCTCTCGAGCGTGATCGACCTCGCGAATGTCAACTTCGACGACATCAAGATATGGCGCGTAGCGCTCAGCCCAGACGACAGCAGCCCGCCCCAAGTAAAACAAATACCTGTTGATCTTTCGGATACCGGATTCGCCATTGGCATCATCGCCGTCACAAGTCGCATATTCGTCATCCCAGACTCGTTTAAGGGCTGCATTTGGCGTCTGGATATAGAAAAGGGGGAGCTGACGTTGCTGATAGCCGACGATTCTATGAAGTCTGCGGGCAACGAGGGCGACTTCTTTGGCCTAAATCGCGTACGCGTCACCGAGGATTTCATGTGGTTCACCAACACCAGTGCTGGTACGCTGTGTCGCATTCCAATTGACCGAGTCCCCGATGAGCCATCGGTGGGATTACGTGTGGCGGGACCGGTGCAGGTGGTCGCGGACGATGTACCGCATTGCGACGGTCTGGCCCTCACCGAGGACCAGACCACGGCCTACACCTGCAACTACAACGAGGGTTACGTCTGGAAGGTCACCATCGACCCCCCCACTGGCAAGTCAGAAACCAGCGTTTGCCTGAAGAATCTATCCGCCCCGACGACGGTGGAGATGGCGTACGTGGACAATCAGCCAAGATTATATGTTGCATGCTGCGGCGAGATCGAGATAGGCTGGGTTCGGCAGGACGACCCGAATTACTGGAAAGAAATTGCAGATATCAATTCGGCAGTCACTGTTACAGTTGTTACGCATGAGGAAACGGTAGAAGCGGCTTAATTATAAAAATGCTACAGCATATTGGGGGAAAAAAAATCGGAGTTTTAGTTTGAATTTTTCTTATCTTTTCAATGCTGGCGCAAACTCATGACCAATCCTCTATATTACCTCTATACCCATCCCCCTCATTCACCCCTATTTTTTTATTGACGGCGTGCCGCATACCTACATACTATTCCTACCTAGATATCTAGGTACTTACTATCTACCTAACACTCAGCATCGTTATCATTCAAAGACATTTTTTCATTTACGCATTATTATTATTACTATTTTTTTTATTTTTTTTTATCTTTACATATTATACAACACTCCGAAGAAGTTTAGGGAAATGTCTTCTTCCTTTTTCAGAATAATCAAGAAGACCCACGGGAGTGGACTGGGTCCTACGAAAAAACTTGGGAGGTTTGATGGGGAGGGGAAATGGTATTTGGTCCGGGAATGGAATGGAATGAAATGGAACTGGCCAGTCCTTGTTTTTCGGAATCAGCAGCGAAGCAGCAAAGCCGAACCAAGTCCCCCTAGTCTATTTACGTATAGTTAATGTTTCGGAAATTGAGTATAAAGGTACTTGACCTAGTTGATCCTTACATAGTGATGGTGTACTATGGTGGGAAAAAAATAAGTGCAGGGTGGCCGATGTACATATGATGATCGACGATTTCCGAATCAGTTGAAGCTTTCGAAAATTGGTGGCCCCTTGTTCGGGATTGCTTCCCCGCCGTAACCACAAGACTGCCAGTGCTACCTTGTTCCACAACTATCTGCCTTTTCGGGATGCCGTGGTGGCCTAGGTCTTGGAAAACTTGAGGCGGACGGGCAAAGACGCCAACAAGTACGCTACACTACACTGGTACTAGGCTGAACTTCACGAATACCAATGAGTCAAAGACACTTTAGTCGCTTTAGTGTTAGTTACCGTGATAATACGGCATAGTATCAATAATTTCAAGTGCTTACAAAAAATGGGATCTAGTTATCTTCATCACATAGAAGTTGATAGAACAGATGTACACCTAACCCAGGCCAGGTATCTATAAAAATCCACACTTAGGAATATCGACGACAATGGATGATCTTACCCAGGTAGGTAGGCAATTCCCCCAACAGTCAACTCCTAACTAGGCAACTATATCGTCTTTGACACCCATAAAGAGTTTTCTGAAAGCTGAAAGCAATAAAACATAACTACTCTCCAAAGCAATTCGTATCACAAATTACATACTTGAATACTTCTTTTTGATACCCCACAAAGGATCGGCCCGTGACTTTCTACTGTAAAGCTATTGCACATATTACATAGTACTATACTACTATGATAGTAGACCTATTAGACCAAACAACACCTCTTGGCAACTCATCTCTCCATAATTACGTCCGTACGATTTCATCGTAGTGACTATTTCGTGAAACGAAGTCATAGAAGCTCGGAATCTCGATATTGTACTTGATTGGGTCGCAAGAAGAAGCACAAACGTTCCAATCTCATATTAAACCCAGATCTACATAGCTCTCCCTCCCCCCCTTACATACCCAAAGTACCGGTAACTACGTAGGCATCTACTTTAACTTTCTCCATATTGGGTCAACCTCTCGCCATAGAACTGGAGCTTTTGCAACAAGCGTCACCGATCCTGCACTCTTGTTTGCTTCTGCCTACTGTAGACTGTCGATGGCGCCGGGGACAACTGGGCACGGTTGGGGTTCCAGGCCTGGCAACTCGGCAAAAGATAATACACTACTATGTATGTCAGCATGTCAGCATGTCAGCAAATCACGTATCTACTATCCAATCGGTAAACGATGTTTTATTTGCATGGGAAGCGGGCGGTAGTCCATCCTATTGGATATGAGGCTCATGCATCTAGGCATCCTCTGCACCAACAACAAAATGCGGCTCATTTGAGCTTCTCACTACGAGCGAATAGATCTACATAGTTATGGACTAGAAAAGCAAAGGTAAACTCTTCAAGATCTAGTGTCAGAGGGATTAGCCGATGACAACGACGTTGGAACGAGTCCAGTCGTCGCATTAGCTCATTCAATATTAACACTAAGAACAAAATGAGCCAACGATCCATTGTCCACTCTTATCTCTTTTCTTTCTTCTTTTTTTTTCCAACTTAGTTACCTGTTCCTTGGGTCACCCGGGGCTCTCGTTCCTAACTCCCTACTCCCTGCAACTCATCATACGCGTACTAGGTTAGGTACCCGATACCATTGCACACCCCGATTTCCTCGAGAGAGAAAGATCCACCGGAACCACAACTATCCATCGCTCGGTTTAGGTTTTTGCCAGCCAACGGCTGGTTGGTTTTAGGCCTAAACAATCTGCCCAAGCACCTACTTAACTTAGCTGCTTGGGGCAGGCAAGGGACTAATACATTTGGACAGCTCATGGTTAATCACATCGACTGCTTTTCCGTGCCGCCCCCGAGTATTTGGAATATTGAATTTGAACGAGGATCTCTCCTTGTAAGAGACGTGTTTCCTCCCACAAGCGTCTTGGGACGACAAAAAAAAAAGATCGTCCTCGTAAAAACATCCTACGTCTTGTCGTCCTCCCGTGCCGTGTGCCACAATCTTTCGGCATTGCTAACTACCAGGTACCTAGGTAGACGACATCGTGGTTCAGGGCAAGGCCATCACACAAAGCACAAACACACCTGGGCTCTTTGATGACATGACAACAGCGCGCCCGCCCCTCCTCCCCCTTGAGTCTGCGGCAGTTCTCGAACCTTCCTAGTTCGGACCCCTTCGCTCTGTTCGCTCTGGGGATCCAACGTGCAAAGTGTCGGTCAGTCAACAGCAGGTCAAGTATGTGTGTATGTATGTGCGCACGAAATGCTCACATACATACACGTGCTTTCTACCATGGCAGAGAGATGAAATGAAGCAAGGCAGAAGCAAATTTCGTGCGATCAAACGCCGCATCGTCAACGAAGTCGTGTCACAATCAAAAACCAAGGGTGGGGGCCGGGCCGTCAGTGTGCCGCCGATGAACGGAGGGCCCCTACGGACCTTCGGGCTGTTACTAAGATCCCGTTCAGACCCCTAAAAGTCAATCAAGTTGAATCAACTATTATAACTACCTAGGTAGTTATGTAGTTAATATTTGGAATGTGGTAGTTATATTAATCACATAGTTACATGGGTGTTGTGGAAGTCGTGCTTGATTTGAACAACCCCCCCCCTCCCTCCCCTTCCCAGCATTCCAAGAAACGCTTGGAAAACTTCTTACCCCTGGTTTGGTGGTCGGGAAATACAAGTTATTCTACCTACACTTACCTAGTAGGTAAATACACATACCTGGTAATGAATTATACCCATATCATTGTAGACTTGTCGCAGGATTCAGTTAAATGGATATAATTATAAAAGTTATAGAACTAAGCGACTGCAACTTATGTACGAATACACTACGCGGATTACCCAGGTGGGCAATCCCCGTAACTAACACGAATCCCCCTATAACTGAGAGCATACGTGTAGTTATTTCTAAAAAGAGGCACATTAACTACACTCAGTTAACCCAACCTTGAAAAGTAGGTACCAAGTCTTTAGCATTTCGTTCCCATCTCGGTTAGAAATGTTCCATATGCTTGGAAGACTGCAGCCAAGTTATTCACAAATCCCGAGTTCACTTGGCGTATGCTACAATTAGCAACGTTCGAGATGAAATGGCGATAGTATTCTCCGTGATTCGTCGTACTGGGTAGATGTTACCTGGTACGCCGCGTTACAGACAAAGCGTCGACGAAAATCAATTACTGCTGTAGGTAACGTAGCGGATAAAATTAGAAAGAAAGTAGAAACTCAAAAAAGGGGAGGGGGGGGGGGGGGGGGGGGGTGGTGGGCACTACGTATCAGAGTTAGCCTAACCTAGTACGGAGGTGATCCAATTACTCACGATGTTGTGTGAATAACATCATAATAGACTCGACTATTTTGGGGGGGTAATGTTAAATAATATTCCAGAAAATCCTATCTGCCACTTTTAGTTAACACACCATCTCAAGGAAAAAGAGCAGTCGACAACAACCCTTCGAATCTTCTGTGAAACCCAAATACTTGTCAGTCAGATGGCTCCTTGTATAACTCTTTTTTAAAACCTACTTTCTGGCCACGGGTTCTCTCTTTCAGCACATTTTTCTTTGTCGATTCATTCACGGCTTCCGCATCGCCACATCCTAAATAGTAGGTCGTCTAGTAACCTAGAGGGTGGGTGAATCGGTAACTACATTCATCGCGATGGCCAGACTATGAACACCATCCTCCCACTTGCTTACCAGGATTATAGCCCATTTAGTGTCACTTCGACGTCGCCGTCGCCGTCGCCGTCACCGTCTTTCACGACTAATATAAAGCCAACCGTCCTAGTGTTCCTTAGGCTGGTAGTGTGAGAGTTGTTAAAAAAACCAACATTCCGAATTCCCGTACTATTTGCTGGGCTTTCATCGATGCGTGTCAGGAAATATGTGTTACCGAAGTCGAAAATTTTGTCGTTACCTACCTAACTTTACCCAGTAGCGTATATGGTCTATTCTCAGTTAGATAGGTAGAAGTAATGATATAGTCATAGCCACATCATAGCCATGGCAATTACTAGGCACCTAACCTACTGTGACAGTATCTATCCCCGTTGCTGCAAAAAGAGTTACGCTTCAAAAAAGGGGAACAAAGGGGTCACGCACCCACCCTCCTTAAGGTAACCTAGGTGGCGCGAATAAGAATCGACTTAATATTCAAACTCGTCGATGAACCTGACAGGAAGCTTGCCGTGACTAATAGCAATTAGGCAGTGAGTGTCAACGTCAACGACTAGATCTAGAAGAGTTCTAGAAACCCCGTACACATAGGTAGGTGGGTAAAGGGGCATCCTGCAGCCTACTGTTACATCAAAGAGACAGTTGTAGTTCAAAGATAGTGCTTACTATATGTATCAGAACTCTTAGTGAATGATCGACAGCGACTCTAGAACATGCTGTACAGATCCTTCTGTGGCTCCCTTCTGTGCCTGGGTGATATAAATAGTCAAGCGGCCCCTACCATCAGCCCTGGAGACTACAACCATACTGACACATGGTGACCTCATCGTGATAGTATCACATATCACTTGCACTTTAGCATCCCCATTATACCGTGAAGTGTTGGCAGCTTACTGTAGGATGCAGTGACTTTTTCATGAACGTCAAGTCATTTTAGGTCTGAGTTGTCTGGGCCTATGTTGAATCGGGACTATGACCTTACTCCAACTTATTTATATAGTTGAAGCTGCAGGACGTATATATGTAGATATGCAGGAGCAGCCAACGGCCCGACATAGGGTGCCGTTGGCCCACATTGACCCCATATCTTGATTGGCAGCCTATTTATAATAGGGTTATAATGGGGCTGTCTGCAGTTTAAACGCCAACTGGACGTGAAGGTCAGGTCATCTGCCATTCATAAGAAGGTAACTATCTACGTACGCCGACCTTGAAGACGATCAAGCTTTTCAAAGAAGCAGTGCCGGGAGACGGAAATGGCATACGTAAACGAATGGTAAGATAGAACATGTTCTGATCCATCCGGATTCAGTTTCGTATTGATAACTACACGGAAAGGACGTCTGAGTATCCGTAAAGCTTTGCCCGTAGTGAGGTCGGTAACAACTGTTACGAATCTAGGCTTGCCTACAAAAGCTACTTCAGCTTACTTAGGCACCAAGCATACTGCCAAGTTGGAGGTAAACCAAGCTCCTATAACTACAGCTGGAAAGGTGTACGATAATTCATAGATGATCGATGGGTTGGGAATTCCAAGATTGGGGATACTAATTGCAGAATAGCCTGGCATAATCGAAGCCAGAAGGACTTGTCGATATATGGCTAATGTTTCAGTCGTCACCGGGAATCCGAATCGATTTGCTGCCCCGCGCCTAGACACTGCAACTTGCAAATCGCATCCCGGAGCTTCACTGTCTTCTATCTTCCAGAGCAGTAGAAGGTCTTGGGGGTGGGGGTATAACCGTGAAATCCATAGCAGGACAAGCCCAGGTGGCAGTCGGGCTTCTAAATAAGGAACATGTCTCCTGGTGTTTGATCTCGTTGCGTATTACATGACCAACATGGGATCTTGATTTGTAGAAATCGGAATAGCTGCTTGGAAGGTTGAGCTATTCCATAGAAGATCGCCATGTCTCTTCTTCCCCGCCTCCTGGGCGGAGAAGCACCCATACAGCACTTTGGTATGGTATTCAGTGCAATATTGAATTAAACGAGTAATTTGACATTTTTCATTCAAGCTAGGCGAACTTCTGTTTTGGAAGACCGAGTGTGTTGTGTCAAGGGTCTGCTTTGGAGGCAACGAAGGCGGAGTAGGCTATACGGGGGCCTAGCTACAACAAGAACGGCTGCATGTAGATCCTCGTGTATCGGGTAACAGCAATGCTGTTCTGTGTTTTCTAGGTTCCGCCTCGTAACATGTTGCGAAGTATCGTATAAATGTGTATGGCAGCTCGCGATGATAAGTTGCGTCTCATCTAAACCACCAGTTGACCGAGGCATTGAGAGCTCCATTGTCGCCACTGCTAGCAACACTATGCCACCACCCTGTAGGGATGAAAAGAGCATCGCCAGGATTCAGAAACACTTCGCTCACAGCTTCGTTTTCCCATACGGCGCAATGGAGCAATTCACGTTCACGACCCCCCATCATCTCCGTACCCCTAAACCGGGAATTCCCGTGGGATTTAAGCTCCCTTCGGATGCGAGCGTACGTATCATCGCCTTGACTTGGCTTCATGAGGCGTATCTTTTTGCGACCGACAAGCTGGCAGAATAGATTGGGGTTGGGATCGCGATGTAAAGGCGTGTAGGTGGGCTGTAAGCCGAGCCAAATGCTTGAACTGTAGATATCCCCCTTTCCAGCATGCCTGACAAGGTCTGGTACAGGTACATCTTGGGAAAGGGGTTCAGGCAGATGATTGATGTCGGACTGAGCAACATAGAGATGTGTAACGCGCTGAGAAGGGTGAGCTTGCGTGTTATTAAATTGACATGCGCTCATGATAAGACTCAAGGGAGCACTGAATTGTTGGAAATTTGATGCATTATTTGGAGATTCTTGTGCTTCATTTGATGATTGTATTATAGCATCAATGATGGTTGGTAGATAGGATTGTCCGTACGCCCTCGACTCGCGAAGCCATGCTTGAAATATTGGCAGTGCCTGAGTTCCTGAACCTGGTGAGGTAGTGAATTCGTAGGACAAAACAGTATCCTCATATGCCTTCATATAATCTGTGAAGCTGATATGGCCATTTGCTCCGCCAGACAGGAACCATTTTTGTACAGCTGGAAAGTTGTGCAAGCGTTGATGTAATAAGGGGCTCTGGGGAACCCATGCGACTTCACGAAATAAATCTAAATCAACTCTACCCGCAATTGTCTTTATATTAGCCTCATCGGAGATTTTATGAAAGCTTGGGCCTATCGAGGATGCTGATTGGAGTCGAGTTGAGCATATCAAGCGCCGTAAGGGGTGGCTATATGAGGTTAGTGGTCTGAGTCTGGAAAACATTTGCCAATAGATATTTTCAGGATGTTCTTAACATGACATTCTCATATTAGATAGAGATAATTGATTTTCATAGATAAGATAGATAATAATTAGAATATGCGACATGAGGCTAATAGCTTGACTTGGCTTTATATCATGAGTGTCCTAACCTAGGTTAAGCTTGTATGGGTATTTGGGTTGCGATTGATATTCCCAAATTTTAGTGGAGGATAAAAAGACATCAACCAAAAAAAAGAACCCTGAAGGCAAGTGACGGGTCAAATTGCTCAGCCCTATCGTCCGAACTCTGGATTGTAAATTGTGGCTAGATTGTGGCTTGCCCACTAGGTGATCCCAGCCATGTCAAGGTTGAATGATGTTATCGGAACATTGAAGTTCATGATCGACGCACGAGCCATATCGCAGATAGCTGATAGGCCTAGTAGACGGGTACGTACCTACAATTCATTTTGGATTTTATCCTTTTCCGGTGCAACTGACCGGGCTAACCTAGGTTACCTAGTAGGTCACTTAGGTGAGTGCAACGAATGCTGAACTTGCTGAGTGCGGTGCGTTGCTGCCAGGTTCTAGGCTCTAGACTGGGCTGAATATTCACCTAACTTCAATTTGGTAGCCTCTTTTTTTTCTCCCCTCCAAAATCCCCACGACCCACGAAACTTATCATCAATCACAACATCACAACTTCACAACTTCACAACATACTACTAGGTATCTACCCAGGAGATACCACCCGTTTTTACCATTTCGCAATATTAATTCATCATTGTATGACGGCTTTACATCTACCGAGACGTTCTCTAGAATTACCGCCCATTACCTTTTCCTTTTTTCGTATCCTGCCTTGTGTCTTCTTTCGCGTCATGCAGCTGCCATAGCTCTTTTCCACACTTCCCTTCCCTTTTCACTTCAACCACGAGAAAGCAAGCAACGAAGCAGTAGCGAAAGCGCCGAGCTGGGTTATTCACTACTGTCTATCTCGTGTTTGTCTGCAACGACTTCAAAATTTTTGCGACTTCCTTTAACTTAAGAGGCGTCTTCCTTGGCGCGCCTAGTCTTGGCAGCATGTCTTCGTCGTCTGGAACACCTGAGTCTTGGATCTCTTCATTCTGCTCTCTCCTCGGCCACGAATATTTCGCAGAGGTATCCGAAGAGTTTATCGAGGATGATTTCAACTTGACCGGCCTGCAGACCCAGGTCGCAATGTATAAAGAGGCCCTAGAGGTAACATGAATTATCTTCACTTTTCCCTGCTCTCTTTTCTCCTTTCTTTTTTTGAAAAAACAAAAAAAACAGTACCCTGATAGCCTGCTAACCAATATGCCTTAGATGATTCTTGACGTTGAACCCGAAGATGACGATGAAGAGGACGACGAAGACGATGAAGAAGAAGATGAATCTATCGAAGGTGTCGACCGTTCGCGGCATGGCGAACGACGCAATCACAGCAGAATAGCTAGTGATCTCTCGGTCATCGAATCCTCCGCCGAGATGCTTTATGGCCTCATCCACCAACGTTTCATATGCTCTCGAGCCGGCATTCAACAGATGTCTGAGAAGTATGAGCTAGGTCATTTTGGTGTCTGTCCCCGAAGCCATTGCGAACAATCCAGAACCCTCCCCGTCGGTCTCTCCGATATACCGGGCGAAGAAACAGTGAAGCTATTTTGCCCTTCCTGCCTCGACGTATACGTCCCGCCGAACAGTCGATTTCAGACTGTTGATGGCGCCTTCTTCGGTCGTACCTTTGGTGCACTCTTCCTCCTCACCTTTCCCGAATACGATCTTACCAAGCGAGGTGCCGATGTGCTCGCAAATGCTCGTATTAGTGACGACGATAAGGATATGCTCAATGGTATGTACACGTGCAATATTGCACCTGGACTAGGAAGGAGCAAGATCTACGAGCCTCGTATCTATGGTTTCCGCGTTGCCGAGGCTGCACGATCGGGCCCGCGAATGCAATGGCTACGTGACAAGCCGGAAGATATCACAGAATTAGACGAAGCACGTCTCTATGCAGAGACGAACCCGGACAGTGAGGATGAGGATGAAAACATGAATCTTAATGGACGACCTGTACGAAGGTTACGGCCACGAAGACGGCATGACCAAGGAGGAAGCTCCATGGCAGTAGAAACGAACGGTGCAGAATCAGAACTCTAGGAGAATGATGTTGATCATAGTAGTGGAGGTGCTCGCCTTTCGGTTGCCGAATCCATTGCATTCAGTGCAGATATCAACCACGCAGAATAACTCACCTAAGCCCCGTGCCTCCGATTGATTTTTTTTTTTTTTTTTTTTTTGCTAGGCTGATGGCATTGCCGTCGAGATGTCTCTACTTAGTAGGAGCCCGCCCTTCTTAATGCTGGTTCTTCATTGACGGCACGAAGTTAGATGGCTTAGAGTATTCACTTCATGATACCAAGTAGGAAAAAAAACCAGGAATGAATGAATCACGTACTTCACCTACACTACCTAAGTACCTTGCATGACCGGCGTTGGCTCGTTCATATTTTGACGCTTCCAAGTTTCCAGACAAGCTTCTTGTGGGAGGTTAACGGGCATTGGTGGGTAGGAATGGGAGAACACACACACGCACACACATACTTACTCGGATGAGGGCATACGAAGTCGTTTCTTCCGTAACTCGACCATATCATACTTATCTTGTGCCGATCGCTTCAATTGGAGTCAAAAGGTCCTATAGACTATTGCCAGAGTATCATGAAGCATCATCTCTTATCGTATGTGCCATTGTAGGGGAGAGAAGAGGAAGTGTAGTAGTAGATACCGGGTGCTACCTGGATACTTATTGGTGTATCGAACTGGCTACACAAATAACGTAATAACGTGGTCGTTTAATTTTATTCACTCTAGACTTGCAATTACACTGTTGGCTGACACGCGCCTCTCGCGTACAGATATCTCATAGATCTTGGGTGATATTCTTCCGGGGTCGTATCGCTTAATGTTTCTTCCTACACTAGTACCTAGGATTTTATCTACTGCTCGTTATGGCAAGATCTCCCATGATTAGGTACATGTAAGAAGGAAGATGAGAAAAATTCAAGCGATGATTGGGAAGGAAGAAAAAGAATTTCTAGTCGGGGTTCTTATTGGTTACCGTACTATTTCGCCATCCGTATCTTACACTTAAGTACACTACTTGCAATGCTTGTGGGTAAATTACCCTTACTGTGTAGTTAACTATGTATGTATGTACACCTACACGTGTAGGTATGGAGTAAGATAGATGCATAGATGTTCGAGAAAACGGCCCCTTACCCCCTCCCTCCGGGGGACCTCCGGGGAGCAAGGAAGAGAGGCCACGATGAAGCACACCGAACGGCGGTTTATGGCTGGAAACAATCTGCTTGACTAGGTAAACTTGCATTTTCCTACATACCGAGCCCACACACACACCGTCTTATGTATGATCGACTTGTCTGTGTCTCTATCTACATAGGTGCCTGACGAGACGGAAGCCCAAACCTCCCAATGCCTTGAGATTTTGGGGTTGGAGGTTTTCGATGAAGTGAGACTTGCATACATAGGGGCTTCTAGTGCTACATAGTATTTACATGAAAGCACATGTATCTATCCACTATCCGTGATAAAGCGGGAAGGATGGCGAAGATGGAAAATCACGTGAATGATGCTCATTCTGATTAATACCAAACTAGCAAATTCCATGATGGATTTAACTAGTGTCGACGGACGGTATGAAGCAAAACCCCGAATACAACATAAAAGGGAGCTATGTAGGTAGATAAGTTACCTAAGTCCGTATGGCTAAGGGCTACCTTGCCGTTTTCATTCATTGCTAGGTCAGGGATTACGCGTTTCACGGCATATGTGCCATTATTAGGTGGGCTTTTTATATGTGCCATGTAGACATATGTCGATCATGCCCGACGTCTGTGTTACCGAGTGACTCTGTGATACTATCATGATGCGTCCTATCAATGTTCGAGGTTGAGTTGGAGTATAGCTTTCTCCTTTATCTTGATATACCTGAGTAATCGGATATCTTTAAATGCCATATAGAACCTTTTATACCACCTAGTGCTATATCCCGATGAATCTGACAATTAAGGGTCCTTCCTTTGGCGGGGGTTTCCCTATGGCCGTGGTTTAGGCATGCCGTGTCCCGGCTCCACCAATCAGTCGCCACTATTCTTCGCACATCATCTCTCTTATGTTCAATGCTCGGGGCTAGGAGTCGGTCGAGCAGGCTGATTGATAAGCCGCTACTCGGCACGGACGAATATATATCAAAACTGACTCAGCGCCATTGCGAGCAAAGTTCAAATGTTGGCAAAATTAATTCAAATTTGAGTATAATAGGGTGCATGTGAAGTAGTCGTCATTGGCAACTATTTGAACATCTGAGCTTAGTATAGGATGGAATTGATCATCGATTACATACATAGTAGTACTAGGTAGACATGCCCGACTCGGTATCTTCAAGTTCAAATGTCCGTAGTGTGTAATACCTTCAATGCTTTCAGTAGGGCCTTTTTTAGTACGCCGGTGATAAACAGCTGCCGGGTGACTCAACACGGAATTAGGATTTAGTACCACATAGGCTGACATAGCACGGTAGCTGCTAAATAATTACCGTTGAATCGCTTGCGGCGCCTTGGCAACTGTACTATTGCTGTACTACTCAAGGGCCAGGAGGTAGATGAACCCAAGTGCCCCCCTGTAGATCACCTCAAACTCCCCCCATTTTAGGCCTAGTGTCCCGCTATAAAGCCCACGCAGAATGGGGCTCGGTCACACGAAAATCCGGAATTTAGCGGGCTGTAATTGGCCACATGCTTTACAGGGGCCCACCTGATTATTTGAACTTTCGAGTCTTATTTTTTTGAGTTTTGCCTTTGCACCCAGGTACAAAGAAAACGGGCTGCAAAAAGCCCAAGCTTCAAACCTTCAATCAGCCCAAGCTGCCGCTTTAGTGCATCCTATATCATTGGAATCGCCTCAATTAGAGCTTCCAAACAATATATGTTTCAGATTAATGCGATATCTGAATCTGAAGTTATTTGAATTTAAAGATTAAGAAGCACCTGAAAAAAAATACATCTGTAATCGGTACCTTGATCACGTGATGGCCCTCGGCTAGCGTTAAAAGTGCTTACTTCATTCAACCCCGAATAACTTCGCAACCACCCGTCGCATTTCTTTGAAACATATATCATTTGGAAGTGCTAATTGAGGCGGTTCTAATGATACCGGTTGCATCAAGATGCATCCATTGAAAGAAAAGTTATTAAGGATAGTATGTTAGAGGCTAGCTGGAGAGCCCGGACCAGCGCTATGTACTAGGGTGCGGATAAGCCTCCGATAGCAATTGATTTTTAATTAATTAATAATTAAATAAGAATTGATTAAGAATTGATTAATAATCGATTAAAAATTAATTAATAGTTAATTAATTTAAAATTAAAATATATAAAATATTAAACTTAATAATAATTATAATTATTTTTTAAAGTTATGTTTATAATTAATTAATAATTAATTATGAATTTTTCGTTTTTGAAAAAATAAACCTTAAGAGATAAAAAGTTGAACCCAAGTGCCTAAAAAAGCAGTTGAGCCCAAGTGCCTGTCCGAATGAGGTATAGTCGTCGGCCCAAAATGGGGGGAGTTTGAGGTGATCAACAGGGGGGCACTTGGGTTCATGTACATCCTCCTCAAGGGCTAGGTATGTACATAGTACATACAAGGTGGCTGGGTGGGTAAGATTTCCACGAGGGTTCCAAAGTTCCAGATGCAGCATGCACCATGCCTAAATCCAGGGGTGTGGGGGGATACGGCGCTGTGGATACTAAGCTCAGTGCTGTAATCAAGACGCATGTGCGTCGTTAGCATCATAGCCAATCGGAAAAGCTTCGGTTTCACTAATCGGGTATTGCGAAGTTCTCCCGATCGCTTCTATCATATCTATCATCTATCATCTTACATGTATCATCCATCAGTCACATTCTAAAGACCCGACGCTGTGGAGTAGATGACTGCATGATATGTACAATATTGTAACAACAACGGCGCGTTTAATTTCTGTTATATCTCAACAGCAACTCACTATTATATTACAACGGGCTAATATCGGGTTAATACGCTCCAAGGTTGTTATAGAGACTTGAGGTTTACTTAAGGGTAGGTCTCTTAGGTACCTAGGTTAGCGACTTCATAATTGATATGATAGTCCACCAATAATTATATTCCAAAGCTGCTTATCTACATACATACATACATAGTGTATGTGTGTACTACTTTTAGATACACAAACCCAGTTGTCGCTCTTTCCTGATCTTCGAATATTAACATACGACCATTAAAGGTTGGATTAGTTTAAACTCAGTTAGTATATAGATCCCGAGCGGAGTGGGACGTCAGTTGAAATAACCCGGGCCAAGCTAAACCAGCCCCTAAAAAGATTAGATGAGTGGGACTCACAGAAAGGCGGCGTTTCGTATGCAGCCTAAGCGGTACAGGGTTGGCAGGGTATGTGAAGACAGCACTTGCCCAATGCTACTACACCGTACATACATTAGGTACATACGAGGAGCGCCATGCATACATGTGAGATATGTACTTAAAAGAGTCTACTACAGTAGTATAGATGCAGATATCCCATACATATCGCTGATTACCCATCTTGGTTGACAGCCAAAGACCAGGTACATAATAGAACCTTTCTCCACCTCTTTCTTTAGATCGAAAAAAAAAAGAAAGACTGGAAGACTTGGAATTTTCTATTTACGGGGGATGTGACTGACTGGCCGACTAATTCAGTGATTGATTGTTAATCCCTTTTCTTCTGCCAAGCCTACGACCGAATCTTTGGACTAAAGGCATTACAGTACGGCCCGCCTCATCTTTTGTATTAAGAGCTAAGTTCATTATAACTAAGTACAGTACCTATTGCCTCTTTACAAACCCCCTTCTTTCTTCACCGTAACATTTTCCCTTTTTTTGTATTCTTTTCATTCTTTTTATTACTGGCCTTCCTACGTTTGGAGGTGCCTAAGTAGTCCTAGGAAATACCTGTTGGCATCAATAACTGAAAAGGAAAAAAACCCTTGCACACTATTATCGTTATCACATTCATCATAAACTGTTTGGTTTGCCCCCTTCTCTGCCTGGTTTGGGGTTCTACACCTTGCTGTTAGACGGGTTCATCTAAACCATATTTGGTTGACTTTCAAGCTGTTATTCGTCAACAAATGTCTTAGATCTCTGGAGAAACACTATCCAGTTTTTCATAACTTCCAATCAAGAGACGTCAAATTGGCGGAATCGCGTGTAAATCCAGGTTACGGTAACAACGACCTACAAGGTTAGTTGGCAATGGCCGACAAAGACCTGGAAAATCAGCCCTCGGCGGCTCAGGGGCCGTCGCCAGAACAACCCGGAGATGAGTCTACCACCTCAGAAAGGACCACAAGACCACCATCTTCAAACTCCACTGTCACGGCAAGCCACGAGGAACAACGCGAAATAGCTAGGCAAAATAACCCCAATGGCTTCTCACTCACCCACGGCGTTTCAGTTGAGCAGGCCGAGGCGGATTTCGCTGATCTCCAGAGATCTCTCTCTAGAGCAAGTCATCATAGCCGTCAGAGCCATAAGCGAGTATCGGTTGACGAGAAAGGGGTTGAGACCTCTCTCGAAGCTGCTACATCCGAAGACTCGGCCTCTATTTTCGATCTAGAAACGACTTTGCGAGGCGGTCTGGACGCGGAAAGAGACGCAGGAATCAAGCCAAAGCACATTGGCGTGTACTGGGATGGGTTGACGGTCAAGGGTATAGGCGGCACTGCCAACTTCGTTAAAACATTTCCTGATGCCTTTGTGGATTTCTTCGACTACTGGACACCGTTGATGAAGATACTTGGCTTGGACAAGAAGGGAGCCGAGGTCACCCTGTTGGATAACTTCAAGGGCGTTGTCAATCCTGGCGAAATGGTTCTTGTCTTGGGAAAGCCAGGATCTGGATGCACGACTTTCCTGAAATCGATTGCAAACCAGCGGTGGGGATATACCGCTGTGGAGGGTGATGTTCTTTACGGTCCCTTCACTGCTAAGGAGTTCAACCAGTATCGTGGCGAGGCAGTCTACAACCAGGAAGACGATACTCACCACGCTACTCTCACGGTCGAGCAAACACTTGGGTTTGCGCTCGATGTAAAAGTCTCTAAAAAGCTACCAGCAGGCACCACGAAAAACAAGTTCAAGGACGATGTAATTTCCATGCTTCTTAAGATGTTCAACATCGAACACACACGAAAGACTGTGGTAGGCGATGCGATAGTCCGTGGTGTCTCAGGCGGTGAGAGAAAGCGCGTTTCCATTGCCGAGATGATGATCACGAATGCCTGTATTTTGTCATGGGATAACAGTACTCGGGGTCTCGACGCTAGTACCGCTCTTGACTTCATCAAGTCACTTCGAATTCAGACCAACCTTTACAAGACGTCCACATTCGTTTCGCTCTACCAAGCTTCTGAGAACATATACAAGCAATTTGATAAAGTTTTGGTCATCGATGCCGGAAAACAGGTGTATTTCGGGCCTACTTCTGAGGCAAGAGGATACTTCGAAGGCCTCGGCTTTCTCCCGCGCCCCCGACAAACCACCCCCGACTATGTTACCGGCTGCACCGACGAATTCGAGCGCGAATACTCGCCTGGGTTCTCGCCCGAAAATGCGCCGCATAGTCCCGAAACATTGACTGATGCTTTCGAAAAGTCCCGGCTTGCCGAAAAACTGAATGCTGATATGGTTGAATACAAGACTAGGTTGGAGCACGAGCACGAGATTGCCCGCCATGACGACTTCCGCGTTGCGGTGCACGAGAGCAAGCGGGGTGGTGCTAAGCATTCGGTTTACAGCGTTGGATTTCACCTACAGGTCTGGGCCTTGATGAAGCGTCAGTTTGCCCTGAAGCTTCAGGATAGGCTTGGCCAGTCACTTTCTTGGGCTCGCAGCATCGTTATCGCCATCGTACTAGGAACTCTGTATTTGAACTTGGGAACCACCTCCGCCAGCGCATTCAGCAAGGGCGGTCTCCTATTCATCTCTCTCCTGTTCAACGCCTTCCAAGCCTTTTCTGAGTTGGGCTCGACTATGACTGGTCGGCCGATCGTGAATAAGCACAAGGCCTACGCATTTCATCGACCCTCAGCCTTATGGATAGCCCAGATATTTGTCGACATGACCTTCTCTGCTGTACAGATCTTGGTGTTCTCGATTATCGTCTACTTTATGACTGGCTTGACAAGGACCCCAGGTGCCTTCTTCACGTTCTATCTGTTGATCTTGTCCGGAAATGTTGCCATGACCCTTTACTTCCGTATTATTGGTTGCCTTAGCCCGGATTTCGACTACGCTATCAAGTTTGCCGTCGTGACAGTTACTCTGTTCATCCTGACATCTGGGTATCTCATTCAATATCAGTCTCAGCAGGTTTGGCTACGATGGATCTTTTGGATCAATGCGTTGGGTCTGTCTTTTGCTAGTCTCATGGCGAACGAATTTGGTGGTAGCAAAATGCGATGCTCTGACGAGTCTCTCATCCCCTCCGGACCTACCTATGGAAATGTCAGTCATCAAGTCTGCACGCTAGCTGGTTCCACCCCCGGATCTCTCGAAGTAGATGGCTCTGCCTACATCACGCAAGGATTTTCCTACGCCCCGGAAGATCTATGGAGGAACTTTGGAATCATCATGGGCATTATTATCTTTTTCCTGATCATGAATGTTGTGTTGGGAGAATTCGTCAAGTACGGTATGGGCGGCAACCAGGCCAAGGTCTTTGCCAAGCCCAGTGCTGAGCGCACAGCGCTAAACGACGCTCTCAACCACAAACGACTGGAACGCCAAAAGTCAAAGCAAGATGGTGAAGGATCTTCGTTGAAGATTGAGTCTGAGAGTGTCTTGACCTGGGAAGACCTTAACTACGATGTGCCTGTCACCGGCGGTACTCGTCGCCTGCTTAATAGCGTGTACGGTTACTGCAAACCTGGCCAGCTCACTGCTCTAATGGGCGCTTCCGGAGCTGGAAAGACCACCCTTCTGGATGTTTTGGCGTCAAGAAAGAGCATTGGTGTGATCGGCGGCGACGTCCTTGTTGATGGTGCTAAACCTGGCAAGGAGTTCCAGCGATCGACCTCATACGCGGAACAACTCGACATGCATGATCCTACGCAGACCGTTCGCGAAGCCCTTCGATTCTCCGCCGATTTACGTCAGCCCTTTGAAACTCCACGGGAAGAGAAATACGCCTACGTCGAAGAAATTATCGCCCTCTTGGAAATGGAATATATTGCAGACTGCATCATCGGCACTCCCGAAGCTGGCCTCACGGTCGAGCAACGTAAGCGGGTGACTATTGGCGTTGAACTAGCAGCTAAGCCTCAACTTTTGCTATTTTTGGACGAACCTACCTCTGGTCTCGACAGTCAGAGTGCATTCAATATTGTGCGTTTCTTGAAAAAGCTCGCTGCCGCTGGACAGGCTATTCTCTGCACGATCCATCAGCCCAACGCCGCTCTATTCGAGAATTTCGACCGACTTCTTCTGCTGCAGAGGGGAGGCCGCTGCGTGTACTTTGGCGATATCGGGAAGGACGCGACTGTTCTCCGCGACTATCTAGCTCGCCATGGTGCTGTAGCAGGCCCCTCTGATAACATTGCCGAATTCATGCTGGAGGCGGTCGGTGCCGGAAGTACTCCTCGCGTGGGAAATCGAGACTGGGCCGACATCTGGAACGATAGTCCGGAACTTGCTAACGTCAAGGACACTATCTCTCAGTTCAAGGAATCTCGCAAAGAGGCTGCTGCTCAAACCGACCTTTCGTTACAACGCGAGTACGCATCGCCTCTGCGACATCAATTAAGCGTGGTTGTCCGCCGCACTAATATCTCGTTCTGGCGCTCGCCAAACTACCTCTTTACGCGTTTATTCAATCACGTCGTGATTGGCATTCTCACTGGTCTGACCTACCTTCAACTCGATGACTCGCGGTCCTCGTTGCAAAACAAAGTCTTTGTCATGTTCCAGATCACCGTTCTGCCTGCGTTGCTCATGCCTCAGGTCGAGCTCATGTACATCATCAAGCGAGCGATCTTCTTCCGTGAGCAGTCGAGCAAGATGTATAGCGCATTCACTTTTACCACGGCTATGGTTGTTGCGGAAATCCCGTACTCAATCCTCTGCTCCGTAGTCTTCTTCATCCCGCTCTACTACATCCCAGGGTTCCAGTACGAGTCATCCCGTGCCGGGTACCAGTACTTCATGGTGCTGGTGACGGAGTTCTTCGCCGTCACGCTCGGCCAAGTGCTCGCCTCCATCTCGCCGTCCGCCTTCGTCTCCAGCCAATTCGACCCCTTCATCGTCATCACCTTCGCGCTCTTCTGCGGCGTCACGATCCCCGCCCCGCAGATGCCCGGCTTCTGGCGCGCCTGGCTCTACCAGCTCGACCCCTTCACCCGCCTCATCGGCGGCACCGTCACCACTGCACTCGACAGCCTGCAGGTGAACTGCCAGGCGGGCGAGCTGAACACATTCACGGCGCCTGACGGCCAGAACTGCGGCGAGTACATGGCCACATTCTTGGAGACGGGCGCGGGCTATATCGTGGACAACACGACCAGCGTGTGCCAGTACTGCGCCTACAAGGTGGGCAACCAGTTCTACGAGCCCCTGGGATTCAAGTTTGATAACCGGTGGAGAGACCTGGGAATTTTCATGTCTTTTGTTGGTAGCAATTTGATTATCTTGTTCCTTGCGGTAAGTTTTCATGCCCTTTTTATTCTCTCTCTCTCTCTCTCTCTCCTTTATTATTGCTTACAGAAATGCTAATTCTAATTGACAGAGCCGTTTCTTCAACTTCAACCGACGATGATTGGTTATGTACGAAAGTGAAAGTGGATATGAGAGATGTAGACAGATGTGGTAGTTATGGATTGGTTATATATCATGGCTGATTGAGTGTGGATGGATGATTGGGAGATGATGATGCGCACATAAGTGCCTACCTGTTCATTAGAGCTTCAGGAGAACAATAAAAAAGCGTCGGGGTCTTTTTTTTAAAAATTTTTTATCAAGCGGTTTCGGAAGCGAAAATACATCTGTAACCTAGAAATATATACACCAGAGAGAGGAGTGTTGTGCTCCTGGACTAAAGCATGTTACTCCTTAAAGGAGATATAAATTTTTTGCACACTTACACATATACATGCCTCGTGTTTGGTTATTAGATGCTAAGTGCGTTCATAATACTTAGGTACCTATATATTCTGGTTGATTGGTTGTTAAGATACTTGTTGGTGTTGGCGCATGTGATTTTTGATTTATTACCCAACGACTATCATGCCTAGGTGGGTATATATAGTTATCCGCACTTCGTAGTATAGGGGCTTTGCTAGTATCGACTTGCTTCTAAACGAGGTTTCAACGACGATCGAGATTTGTAGTGTATAGTGTAGTTGTACTTCCTTCCCTTCCACCACTGATGAGGTAAGAGGCGTATGCAGTACATACACACACACACACATACATGCATACCTGAGCCACCTTTGATAGGTATCACAGGCCGCAACACCGTTTAGGCAGCACTCCAACTCCAACCACCACCAAACCACACCACACAATGGAGCCCACCAACCCAGCCCCCGCCAACCCGGGGATGCACTACCTCTACCACCCCGCCAACGACGCCTGCCCCCTCGCCTTCCAGTCCTCCCTCCCCATCCCCAAGCCCACCACCTCCCCCGACGAAGCCAATCGGTACGCGCACTGCATCCTCCTGCTCCACGGCTTCAGCGGGTCCTCCGCGTACTTCGCGCGCAACTACCGCGCGCTGAGCGAGCGCCACTGGGTCGTCGCGCCCGATCTGCGGGGGCACGGGAACTCCGGACGGGGGAGGGGAGGGTACCACGTCGCGCGGCTGGCGGCGGACGTGCGTGACTTGCTGGCGTTCTTGAGGGCGGCGATGCCCGCGCTGGAGAGCATCGTGCCGGTCGGCTGCTCGATCGGCGCCGCGGTCCTGTGGACGTATGTCGAGCTGTTTGGGAGCAGCGCGGACGACGGGATACGCGGGTTCGTGTTCGTGGACCAGGCGCCGCTGCAGGACCGGTCGCCGGCGCTGGCTGGCAATGGCGATGACGACGACGAGTGGGGCCCCTCGCGCGCGCACCTGGGCTGCTACGACGAGGCGACGATGCGCGCCGCGCAGCGCGAATGGACCGAGGACCCGGCGGGCGCGCACGCCGGGCTCGTGAGGTCGTGTCTGGGGTACCGGCACATCGGGCCAGACGACGACGACGACGCGGACAGGCGGCGGCGCGACGAGGAGTTCTTCACGAAGATCAGCGAGCGCTGCGACCACGTGTGGCTCGCGCGGCTGCTGGCCGACCACACGCGGTACGACCACCGCGAGGCGATCGAGATGATCGAGGTCCCGACGCTGGTGCTCGCGGGACGGAAGACGGGGTGTTTCCCGCTGGAGGGCATGGAGGAGACGGTCAGGAGGGTGGAGAGGAGGAGGCCCGGGTTGGCGAGGATGGAGGTCTTTGAGGCGGGGCATTGGTTGTTTTATGAGGAGCCGGAGAGGTTCAATAGGGTGGTGGGAGAGTTTGTGGATAGTTGTGTGAGGTAGGTAGTGAGTCAGGTCGAGTCCTGTTTGCTGACTAGGTAGGTAGGTAGGTAGGTACCTAGGCATTGTTGGATGAAAAAATTGTGCTTTGTTCGTGAGTCCATCTCATACCTGCTAGTCACAATGTCAGTTACCTTACTGACATGAACTAGTCTTGTACAATAAACACAAAAAAACCATTGTCTGGTCTTTGTCTCTTTCAGAAGGCTCGTGCCTCTATTATACAGTTTCTTTCAGCTACATCGTGTGTATAAGACCTCACATATAGATAGAGATTGTTCAAGTTCATCCCCTCCCCTATCACACCCAATTCACTGAAAACTCAACCATCAAAAACAAAACAACTACTTGCAGAAACAGCTTCGATATATCATCACTTTATCGCTTTATTCACACGAAAACAACATGTGCACACAAGAGCTACCAGAGCATGGGGAGGCTACCCCTATCTATACCGCTATCACCAAGGCGTATTGGTACATCCACTAAGGGTCCTCATGATGGAAGGGACTGGTTAAATCCTCAATTCACAAGCATTCCGAGGCAATTTTTTTTATAGATATTTACTTGGTAGCAATGAGAGGGTAGTTTAATATTACTTATTTATTTTATATTTCATGAAGCAGCTTACTTGACTTCTATCTTTCTTACCGTCGGAAACAATAAACAAGCGTAAACAACGACGGCTCGAAATAGCGTCCGTAGGTAAACAACTTCTCTAAGCTTTTGGTGATAACCTTAAACAATGCCCTTACAATAATCCTTCCTACGCCTTACCTATTCCATTCATACATTCACTACCTTTTTAACGTTTATATGGGCATTCCATAGGTACCTACTCAGTAAACTAGCAGGTACTCTGTAGGTTACCTACCTACCTTACAGTATCAATTATGCGCTCGACCTCTACTGTCCCCGGGTGAGGAAGGCGAGCACGACGAGAATCAAGAGCAAGGCCCCGGTCATACGCCGGTATCGTTGTCTTTCCATTCTCGCTAAAAGAAGAGCCCGATCGGCGGCCCATTCTGGCGCTGGCTCTGGCTCTGGCGCTGCGACGGGCCCCGCTCCACCTGCCACGGGTCCCACCAGTATCGCGGTGGTAGCCGTCGAGCCCGAGCTATCTGACCGGGGCGGAGACGGGTCAGGCGACGGGTCAGGCGACGGGTTAGGCGACCCATCTGGGGACGGGTTGATGATGGTGGGTGGTTCAGGCGGGCTAGGCGGCTCGTCGGGGAAGGGGGGGCCCATGCCGAGGCCGTCGAGGTTGCCGGGGGCGTCGAGGTTCTGGAGGAAGGCGGGGCCGCCTATGGCCATGCCGAAGAGCTCGGGGTGGATGTGCTCGAGGATGCCGCAGGCGCGCTTGAAGACGTACCAGAAGCACTCGCCGTGGTAGTGGTTGGTCTGGATGTTGGCGCGGTCGGCGGCGTTCTCGCGCCAGAAGGTGGAGATGTACGCGTGCGCCATCTCGTGCACCAGCACCGTCATCTGCGTGCGCCGCGTCATCTCCACGCGCACCTGCATCGTCACCCGGTCGATCGACCCGCACATCCAGATCACGCTCGACGGCCACGGCTGCTGCACCTGGATCCGGGTCGCGGCCCAGGGCTCGCCCGCCCGAGGCGCCCAGTCCTCCTTCACCAGCGTCAGCAGGATGCCGAAGCGCCCCTTGAACAGCCGGTGGAAGACGATCATGTCGATGAGGTCGATGAGCCGCGACAGGTGGTAGTACCCCATGTCATTCCGCGGGGCGGTGTCGAAGCTGCGCATGAACTCGTGTCGGTTCTCGGGGGTGTCAGACCAGCCATGCGAGTTGATCTTGGCCTTGAGTTCCGCGATGGTCTTGCTTTTCGGCAGGAAATTGTCCCCGGGGTGGGCTTGAGGAAGTGGAGCATATGGAGGATTCATGATGCAGAGAGTCCGTCTTCTTCTTAACACTACCTAAGTACGTACTCACCGTTAGGCTGTCTTTTACGGTATAGCTCGCGCTTCAAGTCGTAGTTATGCTTATTTTTGAGGGATGTGGGCTCCCTGGATTCTTCTTCTCAAGCTGTTCTACTTGGATTTTATGTGTATGCTTTATGGTTTTTTTCTCGGTGGTTTTTTTTTCGACTTACAGATAGGAGACGCGCCTCATGGATATGTACTTCAAGAACACCCATATTGAATCGTTGTTAGGGTATCATGCTGGGTGTTTGAAACCTATGTCGTTGTTTCAAAACAATGTTCTTGAATTTCGTATTTTTGTAAGTATCAACTATGAGATACCAAAGCATCGTGAGATTTGAGTATATACTTACCTGTACTTACCTGTCCTTGCCTGTACTTACCTAAGAAGTATACAAGATAGCAAACCCCTTTGTTCATTGTCCTCGTTTACGACAGTTCTCCTTCCTAGGTACTTTTGTTTATATGACCTGCGTTGCGTTGGAAGTGGTTGGTATTGTTTTGTTTTGTCATGTTAAAGGAATAAATTTTGGGGCGGTGATGGAATTTCGGCAACGTTGAAGCACATTGGTTGTGTAGGTACTGTACTACTAGTAGTATGACACATTGAAAGTATGTGCTACTAGTACGGTATACACATAAATGGTGATAGGCTTGATAAGTTGATAGGCAGGCAACAACAGCATTAACGGTGCTGGTTTGGTGCCCCTCGGCCCCCTCCAGTAAAAGTTTCAAGGTTCCCACTGAAATGTGCATAGCGCTGATAATGACCCCTGCAAAATCTGCAGGGCTAGGGGTTTAAAACATAGTGTAGATACCTAGTATGCAATATACGGCCAGGCCGCCAGGTAGATACATATGTACATACTAGGTAATCAACTGGAAATAATAAAGAACATTGGAACATTTAAAATAATAAAAGGGGCTTCACTTCTATTTATATACATTTTCTTCATTTTTTGTTACTACTTAGTACTATGCATCAAGTACACATAACTACTAGGTAGTAAGACGTGATGTGGCACACACGCCTGATTGCAACTTTACATTACAGTAATGTCAGGTATGCTATAGCCTATAATACTTCAAGGTTCCTGTGATAAGGGATTCCTAATTTGTGCACTGTAGCACCAAACGGATCGGATCTGCAAACCTGTCGAGCGTGACGAGGGTGGCCAATCTGCGTTTTGGGCAGTACATAGGCCGTGCTTCTTTTTTTTGGGCTGAAAAAAGAAAGAAAAAAAAACTGTGAAAGAGGGAAGCGAGAAAGAAAAGGAGAACAGTCAGAGTCTTCTCGGACGAGACTAGACAAGGTGCATTGTTTCTTGTTTTGCGACAGTACCTAGTATTTATACTTACCAAGGTCCCTTACCTACATAGTAGGTACCTACCTGTCTTGGTGTCTGAGGCATCCAGATCTGTGACCTACAGTGCGGCTGGACGAAAGGATTTGACATCTTTTCACTTACCTTCCTTTTTGCTCTCTCCTTCAAGACTGGATCGGAACTTGAAGTCAATACCTCAATATGCCGCCTCAGTTGTGGGAAAAACTTGGCACCCAACATCCTAGAGCATATGATGCATTAAATGCCGTGGCGCACGCTGTTAAACCATATTTGCCGCCGATCAACTACATCACATTGCACTATGCCTACTTCATCGGTACCACTATCGTGGGCACCCTCATCTTTTGGGGCGCGTCTGTCCCGACCTACAGCATCGGCTGGTGGGATAGCATGTTCATGGTCATGTCCGCGCTGACTGCCACCGGTCTCAACACAGTCAATCTCAGCCAATTAACCACCTTCCAGCAGGTCGAATTGTGGATATTGATGATGATAGGAAGTCAGGTCCTAATTTCCTACGTCACTATCGCATTTCGCCAGCATATCTTCGAGAAGCGTTTCGAGGATGTCGTGAAGATGGAGCGAGAGAAGAGAAAGAAGAAGGTGTCAGACACGGGTGCCGTCGTGGGCTTGGCGGGCGCCATGTTTGGTCTGCAAGTAATGTCTTCCTTCGGAAAGGGACGGGCCCCGGGCAAACCCCACGTTTCCAAAAGCGCGAATCCCATGTCTTCGCCCGCCACGGAGCCGATTCCAGAAGAGGGCCAGGAGGGTATGAGAAGTCAACCTCAGCATATTGGCTTCCTTGAGCCCGTTCGAGAAGGCAAGTCCCTGGAGGTGCAGATGTCAGCAACTGGACATTCAATCTACCAGACTCAATCACACCAAAGTGTCCAGACAAGACGAAGATCCCACACCGCGGGGTCCAGGACGGGGGGTACTGAAGGGTTCAATGTGCAAACGTTTCTGAAGGAGCAAAAGCGCAGCATCGGAAGGAATGGTCAATTTTTCAACCTGTCGGAAGAGCAACGAGAATACCTCGGCGGTGTCGAGTACCGTGCCCTCAAATTCCTCTCCGTTTTTGTCATCGCCTACTTCGTGCTCTGCCAACTCTTCGGTGCCATCGCTCTTGGCGCCTGGATGTCGGTCCACGCAACCGAAGCCGCCGCCGTCAATTCACAGAACCCATGGTGGGCAGGCATCTTCCTCGCCGTCTCCGCATACAACAATGCCGGCTTTACCTTGTTGGACGCAGGCTTCATACCCTTCCAGAGCTCTTACTTCCTACTGACCGTCGTCACCCTGCTATCGCTGGCAGGCCCGGCCGCCTTCCCTGTCTTCATGCGTTTCATCATATGGAGCATGTCGTCTCTGTTGAACCTTTTTTCCAAGGATAAAGAGTACGGCGTTTGGAAGGAGGGGTTCGACTTCATCCTCAAGTTTCCTCGTCGTGTATATACCAGCTTGTTCCCCTCCAGGGACACCTGGACGTTTGCGGCTACCTTCGGGGGTTTCGTGATTGCCGATTGGGTCCTGATTCTAGTCCTCAGCATCGGAAATCCGACCATGGAAGCTATTCCCCTTGGCCAGAGAATCTTCGACGCGCTCTTCCAAGGATTCTGTAAGTACCCTCCCCAATATAATCCCTCGAAAACTTATCTCGAAATTTTGAACTAATGAACTACCTCTTTCCACAGCGATTCCCTCAGGAGGATACGCTATTGTATCACCATCAGCCATATACTTCGATGTTCAAGTACTTTGGCTAGTCGTGTACTACACAGCTGCCTATCCCCACATCATCACCATGAGAAACAGCAATGTCTACGAGGAAAGATCCCTGGGTATATACGAAGGCGACCAAACGGAAGAGGAACAGCTCCATTCGGCAAGCAGCAGTGTCTTCGAAGTGGACGTTACCGATGCCCCGGAACAAACGGGACTTCCACTGCCCGCGAATAACAAGAACTGGGACACCATGTCACGCTCGCCATCCACCAAGTCCATCAAGAAGCTCTACCAAGTCGGCCGCCGCGGCACCGCCTTCGTAGGCCGGCAAATCCAGCACCGGATGTCCGCCTTCCAAGGCGTCGGCGTCGCGCCCGCCGCGCCCGCCCCAACGCCCTTCAAGCCGCTCCGACGTGCCGCCACCATCGACTTCGGGCGCGCCTCGTTCCACTCGCTGCACGACCAGATCCCGAAGAACGGCCCCCCCAGCCTGGTGTCGCAGCAGGTGCGCGGGCAGCTGAGCCACGACGTGTGGTGGATCGCGCTGACGCTGTTCCTGATCACGCTGATCGAGACGAAGCACTCGCTGACGGACCCGGCCGCCTACAGCGTCTTCAACATCCTCTTCGAGATCGTCTCCGGCTACACCAACATCGGCATCAGCATCGGCCTCCCCGACCAGAGCTACTCCTTCAGCGGCGGTATGTACACCGGCTCCAAGATCGTCATGATCTTCGTCATGCTCCGCGGCCGCCACAGAGGGTTGCCGGTCGCGCTGGACCGCGCGGTGCGGCTGCCGGGCAAGAAGCTGACCGAGGACGAGGAGGAGGATGCCGAGATTAGGAGTTTGACCGGGTTTCCGTCGCGACAGTAGTATGGTTCCTTCGTTCTTTCGTTCGTCCTTCTTTCACTCGTTCCGTTTAGATTTTATAGGGGTTCTCCCTCACGTTCCTTGATAAAAAGAAATACCCAGTAGCTAGACTACTACGCCCGCTGCTTTAGTTAGACTGCATTTGCATTTGCATTTTAGGCACACTTAGAGTACCTGCCTACAGATAGACGAACCCCCTTCACCCCCCTTTTTTTATGTCCTTCTCAAATTTTTTTTTCACTTCCCTTTGTCAGGTCTGGGAAGGAAAGAAAAATAATGGTTCTCACGTATTTGTTACTTGGGGTGTAGATATGCCGCCGTGTGGGTGCAGTCAGGTGGTTAATGATATGTCCCTTTTTCGGTGTTCGGGATCTGGAAACGGGACGGTTTTTTTCTCCTCATGGCCATCTTATCTGGGTCTGGTCTGGTCTGTTGCGTGTATATAATTCTCTCTGGCTCCTGAAGTTTGAGACTTCTGGGAGGGTAATCGATATATAGAGATAGAGAGAGAGAATGGTTGAGCTTGCGGCTGTTGGTTTCCTACCAAGCCAAAGAATCTTGCTCTAGCCCCCTTTTGATCGTACGCTAAGAGTGAAGGAGATATTCTGATGAATGGTCGATTCTCGTTTGCCAGCTCGTCGAGTAGAGAATTCCACGTGATGTTGATTTTTTTTCGGGTCCACTTTGTCGTTTTCTACGGTCATGGATCTGATCATGTGGTGTTGTGTGGGCCGCTAGGGAGCCCCATAGCAGCCCTATATCGGCACATCGCCAGCTAGGCTGGGAATAGAGCAAGCGTTCTTCCACTTCTTTTCCCATCTTTTGGTTGCAGTGACCTACAACATGTAGTGTAGTTATTCATTCCACCAACCTCGTCCGATTCAATATATTCTCAAGTCAGGCACGTGAGTTGTCTGTCTATTTTAGCCTGTCCATAGTAACGCTGCCCACGGATGTGTGTTTGGGTGCCCAGGTGGGAATAAAATTGTCTGGAACTGATTCATTGCCTCTGTTGATCAAGCAGAGTTCACAAGAGACGGTCAGGAAAGTTGCGCTGACGTGCGGTAAGGAAGAAGATATACTGGCGCCAAGTGGCCTAGCCCAGCTCCAATATCTTGGCAGCGCGAGCAAATGCTTGGTATGCATCGAGCTGAGTGATCCTTCTATCCCTTATGATAAACGTCAAAGAAACAGCCGTTGGCTGGACATGGTAGGCAATTTCCAGGAAGATCAAGAAAAGAGTAGATAACCTTCCTATATTTACTAGGTCGCAAGGTGATAGTAGTACACTTCAGGAAAATCCCCATCTGTCCCACCCACCCGCATGTGAATAATCCAGTCTACCCACGTAACCAATCAAGCAAGATTTATATTACTCCCTTTGCTTCCAGGGCAGGCCATCCTCTTGTAGTTATTGGTGATCCGAGGTTGATATCTCTCTATCAAGCCTGGTCTCGGTCCTATAGTTTCAAGTATTGTCTGTCTTCCTCGGGAGGGCTGCCGGATGCCGAGGTTGAAACGACAGTGTATCCCTTCGACAGCCTCCTGTTCAGACCTATTATAGGGCCCTCTAGCACGATTTTCGTTAGCACCTGGCTGGGCACACGTATTACTAGCAAAAGAGCGTAGAGCACTTACTTCTGACGATAACAAATATCTCTACCAGAATCGGAACCCAGGCAATCGCGGAGAAGACCTGACCAAAAGTCCATTCGCTATTTTGGTTATCGACTCCGGACATCTTGTCCACCGCGCCCCGAAAGACTTCGAAGAGGATTAACATCATCCACATGAGCAGAAAAGAGAACAGCAAATTCAAGCGCCAGATATATTGGAAGACCTTTGTCTAGGGCCCCCTTCCTTGGCACCGTTTCTCATTCATCTGTATATCTTAAGGGCAACGTAACAAACCCCGTTGACAAGCAAAAAAGCTTCAGCCAGATATGACGTTGGTAAGATACCATATTGGATTAAATCTTGAGGCAAGCATGCAAACACCCAACCTACGTCAATCATGTCTTTATATACCTAGAGACACTAAACCTCCATATGAGAAATAAGGGTTGGAATTTTCAAACAGGACTTCGTTAGCGATACCGAGGAGGCCTATGAGAACCCAAATGGTTACACGAAGCCAGTTTCGGCGTAATTCGTGTGCTATGGATTACATTATGAAGCAAAAAAATATGGAAAATGTCGACATGTAAAGTGAGCCGATCATTGCGAAGTACATCCAGTGGCCGTTTTGGGCACCGTCCTCCTGCGAGTAAGCTTGAGAGAGCCGGAAACACGTAGCGACAAGCATTGAAAGTGAGAAAAGCATTGCCACATCCAGAAAGATGTTGAGTGACTCCTTAAATCCACCAACCAGCAAACCAGTAATGGACTCCGTCTGGGATTGTTGCTCGGGATGGAAGGAATTTGGCAGACTGATCACGACCAGGTATACTGTGACCAAGACAGCCGCGATATAGTACGTAAACAGCATCTATATAGAACGTTAATTACGCATTTCCAAACATGTTACAGGAATGGAGGAGCTATTCTCACCCCTCGACCCGAGACATCAGGGTCACCACCCCAGGGAAGCTCTTTGCAGACATAGTCGGCACATTTTATCACGAGGGAATGAGAATAATTGGCCACGAGTTATGGATTCCATAGCATCATACCATAGCACCAGTGTATTATTTTCTGGAGCCAACCAGTCATGGGGCAGGATGGCTCTGAGGTAGCTCACGATAATGTCTCTTTGCGCTACCTTGGTTTCCTCTTGGAGGCTTTGGACCCAAGCAGCCCACAATCTCGCTATTTGGATCAAAATTAAGTTCAGACGGTTCAGGAGGCTGCCACTCAGTACTAAATACTACCCTAGGTATAGTCGACATCTTTCGAGGGGGTGGGAGGGAGAGCTGGCATATACGACTATCTTTGATGCCTTCTCACTCGCGTCAAGATGTCTCCTTCGAGGGTTCGACGAGATTAGGTATAAGAATATTTTTGGGGTGGCTGTTCAATGATTTGTGGCGTGTTGTACGCACTCTTCCGCTATGTACTATCTATACTAGATAGAATAAGCTACCCCCTTCTCCATCCCCTTCCCCTTCCCGTTTACATGGCCTTGTTTCATTTTCCTACTTTCTATAGACTGAAAAATCCGTCAAACCAGAGACCCTTAACCGTGCTCAGTAGGAGTTGAGGATCAACGGAGAGGAAGGAATTCAGGCACTGGTTTCACAGATCAAACAGCAATATTGTCCAAGCCAAACAGCATTCCTAAACGAAGTCAGGGGAACACACACCAGAGCTCTTAATGCTTACTCAACAAGCGCCAATCCGTTCGAATGGTATAACAATTGGGTGACAGCACTCAACCACGGGAGAATCTACAAGATCCCGGAAGTAATGGGAGACATCGCGATCTTCGACTTCCTCGCTGTCGCGCATTCAGACGGTTTCCAAAAGTGGGTTTTGCCATCTTCTTGGCAGGGGCAGGGGTGTTGGGGCTTTGGCGGCCTACTTCTTTGACCCTTAGGCTTGTTGGCATTTGCTCCGGCGAGCGTTGCAAAGGTGGGGACACCTATCTTCTGCCCGCGGCGATCTAGATCCTGCATTATAGAGGAGAAGTCGGCCCCATATTCAATGAGCGACTTCAGTTCCTCTCCTCTGTTCGTTTTGGATATTGCTTCGTAGATCTGGGGTGTAGCCCAGGATGGCATAATCTTCTCCGCGACAGCGAGGAAGTCGATAAATGTCTGGATTAATACATTTCCATATTAATTGGTTGGTGGCGTTCTGCTTTAGAGCAGTGATCCATAAGATGAAGTCTTTTTTTCCGGTCAGTTTTTGATTGCTTGAGACAGTTGTTGGTAGATCGGTTTTTGGGTAGTAAGATATTTTTTGGAAAGTATTAATGGGTAATAACTTGTTTGTTATGGATGAATAGAGTAATGAAGGGGTTTTGAAAAGTGATTGATGGGATTATATTTTCAAAGGCTGCTTAATAAAAGGAGTTTATGTACTACATGTAAACATAGCCTCCCTACTGACCAGCCCGCATTCCCACGTCGTTTAACTGCCCATCGCATAGAACAGGTCTAGATCCAGCGGTATTCTCTCGCCCATCCAGATAGCTCTTTGGGAATGGTTCCGGCGCTCAACATCCATATGCGAGACCCCCTCTCCGCCTTCTACCGTGTTAGGATGAATCAGCACCGAGAGCGGGCCGCGGTAGATGGCCAGCCAGGGGATGAAGGCGCCGAATTGCGCCGGAGTGAAAATGTTGACCTCGAACATGGCCACGGGATGGGGGCCCACTGGATGATCCCAGAACCGGTATATCCGCAACTCGGGGACTACGAGGTGAGGGTTAGCAAGTTAGTCCATTTATATTCCGGGGTGCTTAGTTTTGAATGGATTTGACGTACACTCTCGTCGAATGCGTTCCCAGAGCTCCTTCGCGTACGCTTTGTTGCTTGAGAAATAGTATATATGCACGTCGCTAAAACCACGGGACCCCTGCTGTTAGTGTTTGAATGCGTGACTAGTCGACAATATGTGTATACTTACAAAGCACCGCGGCGACCGTTTTCCAGGGGTTCGGGAAATGTAGTATAAGCTTCGCTAAGGATATCTCTAGGCGGGTTCTTGAAGCTCTTCCCGTCTTCGTTTTTCTCATCCGGGAGCGGCGGAGCGTTCTCGAACCCCGCCAAGGGGGAGGGGTAAGTGTATCTTTCCGCCGGGGAACCCATTGTTCTCAATTCTTTCCGAGAAGTAAGAAAGTAAGAAAAAAGACAAAAAATAACTGATGAAATAACAAGATAATCACGTTACTTGTCAACTATGCGTATGCGATGTGTACTTGCGAAGTTGCACCTTCTGTTACAACTAACTATAGATAAGTGGGCATGATGTGCTCATTCGCCGTGGTTCGCCGCTAAGGCCGGGTGGAGTATAATTACAAATCAACTCCCCGACAAACGACGGCCCCGTTTTCCCTCCCCACATCCCGCACATCCATGCTAACCACCAAACGTGGGTGTGCGACTGTCCCGGCACACGTGACACTCGCCAATATACCTACGGACCCGGTCCGTCACTTCCAGTCTTACTAGCCTTGGAAGTATACGGATATCTGGTTTTGCGTTAGTCCATAGATTGATTTTTACCTGATTAGGTATCTACTAGGTACTCGACCGTAAGCTTGAATAGTAAAAAAAGCCCTTCTATCATATCTTCGGAGTGTCATCATAGCTAATTCACGGCATAAAGTCACGATATACGAAAGTCACTGGATCAGATCAATTGCCTCTTTTTGGGGAGAAAACATGATCCAGAAAGCAACTCGTTCCCCGGCAGTCTGATTTCCAGGCTCTGCGGCCTGTTACGGCTTAATGAAGGTTCATTCGGACCTACTGCCAGTGGCAGCCTGCCACTTGGACTCTACTCGATATTCACATGTCCCATTTGTGCTGCAGGATAACACCGGCAATTTCTGGGCATGCACCCGAGGCTAGGGAGTCGTTCGAGCAAAGCGGCTCCCCGTCTATTGAGTTCCCCTCCGTCTCGTGGCATCTGCGGGATCATGCGGGAGCTCACGAAGCCTGGCTGGCTACCCTCTGTGCTACTTACTACGAATAACAAGGGGGTATATGTCGATATACAGGCTATATTATTGATTGTACTACATAGGTAGCTAGCCTAGGCCCACGGCCGGGAAAGCGGAGAACAAGTTGGATGATATGGAGGAGTGAGTACCCAGTGTCCCCCCTCTTCCCCCGTGCCGTTACGTTTACAAGAACGACGATAGTATGGAGCTTCATGTGCCTCGACTAATAGGGGTCGCATTGAGAGGTTTACCAAGGTTTGGTATTTTGTATGTATGGTCCGCAAATAAGCTTCAAGACGGAGCCTCCCCGATGAGGGTTACAAATGTTGCCCCTGGGTAGTAATCTGCCACGACGACAAAGTCTAGACGAGTCTATGCCAAACATTAATGGACAATGTCGTTTTGGATGGTGAATACGCATCTGTTCAACATGGCACTTTACTCAATATACTTGGCTACCTACCTGGTAGCTACAGAAGGGGTAGCCACACGGAATGCAACGCATTTTAGTATTTTGGAACTCTGGCTGTTTAATATGTGCTAGAATATGGTTCAGTAGTAGCTTGGCATACTTGAAGCTTTACCATAAACTATCACGACTACATGACTGATCATCGAATGTGAATAGTACCTAACCAGGCAAGTTTGGTATCTTGAATAGGCCTAGGTATGTTCTGGATATCATCTCTGCCTCAGCATGGTATATCCCATTCGTGTAATTTGAAACAGACGTCTGTTTGTTACATTTGCACTGATGGAAAGGCTATCCATCCCTAGTCTCAAGAAAACCTGGGCAGGCAATTAAGTGAACATCTCATCTAGTACGTTTGCACCCTGCCCATAGAACGAGAGTGCCCCTGAATATCAAAGTGTCGAGGTTAGGTACCTAGGTATATTTCGAAACAATATGGTATTCGTAGATACTAGGTTAGTATTTACCTACCTACCTACCTACCTACCTAGACATAGATAATTCCGGAGGCATATACACATGAGGGAGGATATTCAGGATTCACCTGCTAATTATCTTGTTAACACTTTTTTGCTTAATCGAAAAAAAGCAGCAATAATATTATAATTCAGAAGACGTAAACAATCCTACCCGCTACCTACCAAAGTAACCATTATACCTAGTAATTTCTTGTTGTTATTAGCATAGGAGAAGTACTTCGATTAGGTAAAACTAAGCGCGCGCTACTTAGTCCGGAGACTGCCGATGGTTGTATTTACGGTAGGGGGACACGCACTCGTTCCCACACCCCGTTGCGTCAGTACCATGTGAACTTAGGAACGGTTGGATATCCAAGCTAGTGATCTTTGTTATCAGATGAGCCTCAGAGAATGAAGTACGGGGATGTCACGGGCTAATTCATAGATCATCTACTGAGTCGCATCGAACTCCTAGCTACCGAACCATCGTGTGATGCCTGTATGGTATTGAACCCGATTAGCCAATAGACATTTCCCAGTAGATTTGTATGTATGAATGTACTAATCTCCTAGGTACTCCGTACTCCGGATCTGTTACACTCGTACTCGTAAATCTCATTATCCCCAGCGATCTGAAACATTATTGACACTTTGGCAACTGTAGCCGTGGCTGCCGGAGTTGCGACAGATGACTACCCCGTTGATAGATGTCTCAGAAATGGCTGGGGGTTCGATCACTATCGACATATTAACTAGGTAACTAACCAGCCTAGTAGAAAGGTACCTACACATATGTCGATAGTTCGGAGGATACTGTAGAATGGCAACGTGGAAGCCCAAGTTCGGTTGACCCCTTTCTTTGGAAAGCCACTCGGGCAGTACCGGAAATGGTCATCGGCGCCAGCACTTAGCACTTACCTAATCGATCAGTTTCCAAGCCGAAGGCTATAGGTTCTTTGCAGAGAACTATTCGTATTATCGGTATAGTAAAAGTTTTCTGCGGCCGTGGGTATGCAGCGATACGCAACTGTATTGTATTGTACATACCAAGGCATGTATTGCAAGGACCCTGCGTACATTCACTTGCATATGGTTGCTGCAATCATACGATCTGGATCTAGCCAAGTATCTAAGGACAGATGGACGACCAATCAGAGACCAATTTGAGCCCTACTTGACAACTTGACAAACGCGGACCTGTGCCGGCTGTCACCGTTTTCGAAGGTGGAGCGGAGGAATAAGCCATTGGTTGACTTAATTTTCAGGCGAGGCTTTTTATCGAGTCCTCATCTGGGCCTTCTGAAGTTTTTTTTCAAGGTCCCATGATGGTTTTGATACGAGAGATTGCTTCTTTTCTTGTTTGAAGTTGGTTAGAATACTAAGTATGTGCATACAAAGACATGTACCTACCTACCTAGGTAGGCACCTTGGGATTAAAGGTAGTAGAAGTGCAAAGTAAGTGTAAATAATAGGCTACCTACCTACCTAGGTATGTATTAAATAGAGATCATACCTAGTAATATAGTAATATAAGAGATCTTTGTGAGGCGTGGGACGTGAGGTAATTTCCACTGCGTCGGAATCAGGATGAAAGGCTGATGGAGATCTGATGAAGACCTCGGATCCAGGTTATTGAAGCCGGTGGAAAAGTTCCGTAATCACGGCCGCGTACACGGTGTGTGTTGAGAACCCGTCTGCGACTCACTAATGCTAGGTATGTATGTACTTAGTAAGATTCGGAAGAAAACGGGTGACTCTGGACATCGAACTTGAATGTTCCAGAGACAAATGGAGACTCAGTCCAGAGTCAGCATGAACTTTGAATGTTGAAGAGACGAATAAAAGCCACAGCCGCCACAAGCCCCAACAATGTATGCAAACTATGTACCCCACATGTTCTTTCCTGCTAGGCATGTGTGCAGCATTAGCTAAGCGAGCTCAACGGTTAAAGTGGATCTATATGCGAGGCTGCCATATGCCGGGACATTTTAGGTTAAACTAGGTAAATTACTATCCAATGAAGATTTAAATAATTCCATTTCGCTCAATTCCGACCAATGATTACGGACAATAGCGTCTAGAACCCCTGGACCCCTGGCTCTTTTTAGAGGGAAGCGAAGGTCATACGATATTTTCAACGTCAGCCTTGCGAATGGCCTGATCTTAGAGTAATTCACCCCACCTGACGCGTGATTCTAGACCCTGCCCCTTGAAAAGATACTTTTTAACGACAAAAAGTCAGGCCACCTTGGAAGGGGTTCCGATGCACCGAATGCACCGATGGCAACCCTTTACAATGTACAATTGTACAAACAACTTTTTTTTTCGCCTTTTTTTGCCTGTCATCAGGGTCTGTGACGAAATTTGTAACCCGGACAAATCCCATACTTTCCCATAGTTGACCGCTGCGGCCATCAGCCCACCATGTCGAATTCGGGGCATTCTTCGTTCCTTCAGGTCCTTCATTTTCCCGTATTATTTGGGTAGGTACAGTTAGTAGTTATGAGGTACAATACAATACAATACAATACAATACAGCTGTATTAGGTAACTATGTACTATTGTACTACGATGTAGGTCATTCATTCTAGGTATTCTCCGATGTTTACAGGTCAGGTATTTTATTTGATATTTTCATTTTATTTCTAACCTTCCTTAACTTTTTACTGGCTATGTTCATGACCTTTGTTCTTGTTTAACAGAGAATTGCCTTCTGATCGTCACACTAATACAACAAGACCCCATAATTGTTCTATAGATCAAGTTGACTTCTCAGATCTCTAAAGAACAACTGGAGTTTATTATCATTGATTCATATAACGAAAACCAGCACAGTACTCGTGGCAATATACTGGGTGTGGTCACAGTATCCGGAAAAAAGAAGAGCAAAGAAAGAGAAAGAGCTGGAAGTATTAAAAGCCCTGGAAGTATTCTGGGTAGTATATCGGGATCGACCTTGGGGCCCGGCTTGGAATTTATCTGAGCGTCTCCGTCGCTTTGCAGCGTCAGGCCATTATTCTTTTGATTGTAACTTGTACCCTTGCATCATCGGGCGGTCTCGGCCATTGTTCACTTCAACGGCCCCTGCCAGGTCCCTGTCAGCCTTTACTTCGTGGGATCTGATTCTTATTCTTTAATGGCCGAAATCTCGAATTCCCATCATCTCATATCTCATTTCATCCTAAGCAACATACCATCAACATATCTCAACCTACTAGGTAGATAATCTAACCAACTACCTACCGAACTAAAATAGCAATCCTGTTCTATTTACTTTTTTTTCCATCCAACAATCGTTCGTTCTTCAACATCGTTTGATCAACTTTACAATTGTGGCATTAGCTGTGCCATTTGTGATATCATATCTCTCCATCTTCTAAGGTCGAGATCTTGTAAGGCCTATAGTGTGTGGCTTGCGGCTCGCTGGCTTTGCCCTGCCTAGTGGCTTCACATCTACAGTACAGACACACACATACACACACATACACATACACACACAAGACACTTACACTTACACTTACACACGCTTTCGGTTCAAGTTACCTACTTGCGCAACTGTACTACGACACACGGCAACGGACGCAACCGCACGGCAACGGACGTGGCAACTGACGCCCACTTCTCCTCTTACTTGAACCCATTTCGATTAATTCCCAACTTATAGTCGTTTATCTCGCCAAGCCTGGACTGCGCATGATAGCTCATACATTATCACCTCACCATCTATAACTTTTACCTCTATCCCGCCTTGGGGCACTTCTTCCTTGATATACTGCGGGATTCGTCATGGACGCAGGTGTTATGCAGGACATCGACGTTTATCCTGCTGGTGATAAGGTACGTTACTAGATCGCTGCCATCTTGGTAGCATCTGTTACTACTATTACTATATCTTCCCCCCACCCAACCTGGACCTCAAGACCCCTAATACTCGGTAGACTTTCGAGACTTTCTTCGACCAAACTACAGACTACTCACAACAACTATCATCGATCAGCTTTTGGGACGAACTAGACAGGTCAGCTGAATCCAGTGTCGTGAACTCGGCCCCGACAACAGCTTCGCACCAGACCCCCAGCACCTCTGCTGATTCGCCAGCTTCAACCGCATCACAAAACCTTTCTATCTCACACAAGCACAAGCTTGCTCGACAGGAGCTACCAAAGAAGCGCCAGTGCTCTGATATTCGAAGGTCCAGATTCGCCGAGGACCCTTCTACCCTAGATTGTTCTGACTATTGGCTTCGCTTCGACAGCGACAACGAAAGCGAACCCATCTTTGAGAACCGCGATAGCAAACCCACCCTAGCTCACCCTCATCCTAGGTCAAGGATTGCCGGGAGACCCGGCAATAGCTTCAAAGTGGCTTATCCGCCCTCGTCCACTGCTGATCTGATCGACGATAGCGCCCTTGACCACGCGCTGTCGGACGAAGACGACCTCTTCTCCATGGCTCTAGCTGACCAACTTACCAAGAATGAGGCACCTGTGCCTTCAGAGGTCCCACCACGGGAGAGACTCTACTCAACCCCCCTTAGCTGGGAGCCACCGCAGCCCGGTTTCCGTATGGATTATGTCAATGTAAACCCCCCTTTTAACGACCCCGAACGCCAGCGATTACTAGCTATCGCTATGGGCACTGGACAAGCCCCACAACAACCAGTCAGCGCACGACAAGCACCTGGAATGGACTTCCGATTCGAGATCAACCAAAGTCCAACAACCATGAGTGACAGCAAAAGCAATACGCCCGAGCCTCGAACTAAGCCAACTGCGACAAGGCCGCAAGCCCCCGTACGCACTAATTCAACGGAAGGCTTGGACAAGCCTAAGGACAAGCCAAGAAATAGCGACCGAGCTGCGCATAACGATATTGAACGAAAGTATCGTACCAACTTAAAGGATAAGATCGCTGAGTTAAGGGATGCTATTCCATCTCTACGAGCGATACCAGAAGACGGCGATGACAATGAGAATGCTGGTACATCAAGAACTGCCCCTAAAGTAAGCAAGGTATGTGTGGATGTGGAGCTTGTGAAGCAATTCTTCTGAATACATGACTAACTTCTGATAGGGCACTGTCTTGACTAAGGCAACCGAGTATATTCACCAGCTTGAGCGGAGAAACCGGTCGATGGCTCAGAAGAACGAAGAGCTCGCCCGTCGTTTACACGCTTTTGAACAACTGGTTGGTGCCGCACCTGCACCCAACTGGGCGCCACAAGGATATGGCGCTTCCGTCTTCAACCCGCGAGCATTTTCTTAGACAGTGGTTTAACACACTCACTTGCCAAATTCGCATCATCATTCAAATATCGACAATTCTCATCACCACTCATCTTTAATATTCATCATCTAGGACTTTTTACTTTACACCATGATGATACTAAACGAATATCACGATACCCAAGATCTGCAACCCACTCCCATTCGAATGAAACTGGGCTTGGTAGTCTCAGACACATCTACATACGAATACAAACACATTCAACTACCTTCCGTACCTCCCCCACCCGTCACCATCACGTCTAGCACAACCGTATATATACACACCACCTTCTGCATGACATTTCGGAGTTCGGTAAATACCATGTCGGGTTGCATGTCTGGGTTCCTGAGAATCGACTTTTCGACTACTAAACAGAGCAAGCATTCGGGATTAGATGAATAGCTTCTCATATGGGGGCGCTGCCGCTTAGGCATGGTTATGGCGTTTTTGGGAGGATTATCAGTTTCGAGTAGGACTGCTCAGAGCGGTTCATGACGAAGGAATGAAAAAGAAAAAAGGCATATGGGGGACATTTTTATTATTTTTCTTTATGAGTTTAAGTCCCGACAGAAGGGCACGCTTGCGAGAAGCTTCAAAACGGAGCGGCAGCGGATTTTGGGATGTACGGGAATTTTCTGTCCTGTTTTGATACCTAGCGTACCTACATCTTTCTACTACTATACCTAAGGTATCGATATTTACCAAATCTCTTCCAAGAGACGAACGCGCATTCAAACACATATTATTTTTAATAAAAAAGAAGCCCACAGCCTACAGGCTGAAACTTTTTTCTGCGCGCAAATCCAACTGTTCCAATCTTACCTCAGATTTGAGTGAATTTTCCCCTGTGCCCGTTAATTTAGCTACCAGGTGTAAACTACCTGGGTAATAGGTATGTAGCTAGCCCCCCCTGAACCGGAGCTGTGCTGTCCAAAGCATCGTACGATCGAACCCTTGGCAAAGGGGGCGCGCGCATTACGCTTTGGGGCAATGCGACGGCTTTGAATGGCAATTTGTTTAATTGGGTAGGCTTCATACGCACGCATCTGCAATGTACATACATCCTGTATGTATGTACCATGCACGTCTACATTATGTATGTATGTACTATGTACGAACCTACATAGTATTACTTCAATGCTACATAGGTAGGTAGGTATGTACGGCACTGGGCACTGGGCACTGGGCACTGGGCACATAAAACTAGAACATCCATGTGACAGTAAAGTTTCGCTGTTTTGGTTATTACTGTTACTTCGCGGTAGGGCATCGTGTGGGACACAACTGTTGCCCAAATACACTACCGAGGTAGTTGTGTAGTCACATATTTACCTAATATATATAGGTAGGTATAGTTATAGGTCGTAGGTCTGTATGAATTTGTTGAGAGAACGTCGGCGAATTGGATGGATGGATGGTTTACGTATCTTGTATTTTAGGTATGAATCGCACTTACACATGATACCTACATGCCTACATGCCTACAGTATCTCCAGCATCTAGAACTTACATCCTCTTAACTGGCAAATAAGGGGTGAAGAAAAAGGGGGGGCGGGATAGATGGAGGGGTCTGGTTTATCAAGAGTGGCTTCTTATTCCTGTTTTTTCTGTCTTGATATGTGCTTGGTACTGCATCTATCTGCAGCACCAAGGCAGGCAGGTTTATATATCATGTAGTAGAGTGTTTTTTCCTTCCATTCCCCTACCCAGCGTTAATACATCCATCATCAATCATCATCTAGGTTACCTATGCACCTACATGTAAGTAGGTAGGTAGATACCTGCATACCACCATGCTTTCGTAACTCCTGGTATCACATGTAAAATGCATGAACCGCCAATTTTTCACCCAATATGCTGTATTCTTACAACCACGTCTTTCTTGGGGCGTCTGAATAATGGGTGCTTTCACGGAGAAGATTTTCCGGATTCGTTTGTTGGGGGGTTATATCTTCTACCAACTCAAAGCCTCAATGTCGTCGACCTCCTTGACGGCCTCAGTAGTAAGAATGAGGGGGTCGTCATCACCGACGCACACGCTATCCTCGATACGGATGCCTAGACCCCGGAAGGCCTTGGGCCATCTCTCGTCGTCCGGCACGTAGATGCCGGGCTCGATGGTAATGCAGTGGCCGGCCTTCAGAATCACGTTTCGGGGATAGCCTGGCACGTCGTGGACATCTAGCCCGATGTAATGGCCAACGTGGTGGGGGAACAGAATGCTCATGGCGTCTCCGCTCAGGTCGAAGCCGAGTTGCTGCAGTTGGTCGCGGAGTCCATTTTCTGTGATTTGGTGCAGCTTGTCTAGCGTGACATTGGCGCTAGCGCGGCATAGAGAGACAGACGACCGCTGGGCACGCAAAACGGCATTGTACAGATCTTTCTGTGGCTGACTGAACTTGCAAGAGATAGGCCATGTCCTTGTTATGTCTGTAATGTACGTTCCGTACTCCCCGCCTGCGTCAACGAGGACGAATTCGGAATCATTCAGCATGCCGTTGTTGAGGACATAGTGGATCAGCAATGCTTTAGACCCGCCAGCTACTACGGGGATGTAGGCTTGGCCATCTAGGCCAGACTTTTGGTATCCATATTCGAGAAACGCGGCGAGCTGCTTTTCGGACTTCCACGATTGGCGCATGGCATCCGTCAGGACCCGGCCGGATTCACGCCCCGCATGTCGCATGTTGGCAATTTCAGCGGAGGACTTGACGGCGCGTAGATTATTGACATAGGACTTTAAAGGAGGGGTAGCCGCATGTGGAGCTGCGGAGCGCACAAGATCGCCAATTCTTGTGGAAGCACCATTCTGAGCCAATTCCGCATCGGTGAAAAGATTCTTGACGCCCTTGAGCGCATCAATTAGTAGGCTCTGAACTTGGGCAATATCTCCAGTCTCATCCGCATTCCAAACGTCCCTTGCTGCATCGACACCACTCCAGGGCCCATTCCATTGCTCTTTTTTAGGGTCCTTTGGTCTGCAGTACAGGTGAAAAGTATAATCGCCTAATTCACTGCCAGTTTTCCTCAATATAGCCAAGGAATCAGGCTCTGAAAAGCCAGTAAGGTAGAGAAAGTTGGATTCCTGACGGAAGTTGTGAAACACGGCGCCTGAACGGTATTTGAGGGTTGCTGAGGGAAGAAGGACGGCGGAATTGGGTGGAAGGGAATGACATAGAGCGGCGCGACGCTCGTGGTATTCCTGGGCAGTAATACCGCGCGTCAGCTCTCCGGGTCTGAGGAGGTGCGGGTGGGTTTCGTGAACGGGTTGGCCGAAGAGAAGGTCGGAGGCTGGCACAGTCGTAGAGTATGTGCGTGCGGATTTTGAAATTGGTTTACATTCTGGAATTGTATGGCGTGGGCGAGACGAGAATCGAGGAGAAGAGCGTGTCGTCGATATGGATCGTACCAATTGAGGAGTGAATGGACTCGAGTAACGTTGAAGATATCGCTCTATTTGCCGTAGTGGCAATTGTCGAAGGTTCATATTTAAGAAGATATCGAGGGAAAAAAAAGAACCAATTGGGTCACCGGATTACTCACAGCATTACCTCTTTCGGTAATGAGAGGGTATTTTGAGGTTTAATTGTTCTTGTATGAGAATGAAAACTTTGGATACAAATGAATGTTTTCCAGGCCAATTACTCAGTCCCTTGATCTCCGACCTCGACGTTGTTATGTGGACGTGTAAAGTCGATCATTATCATTTTTCTATTTCTTCATCTTGCTTAGAAGAGCAATCAATCAATCAATCAAATTCAATCAATTGGATCAATAGGATTGTTGCTTTAGGTAAGCAATTCTACTAGGTATGTAGCACAGTATCCAGTACTACCCAGTACCTTATGGCTAAATGCATAGCTACTGCTGTACCTACATAAAAAACATTCATTATGTACATAATGCATTACAAGGTGGGGTAGTTGTTATTGTACATAGTAGCAGTTGCCCTCTGGTTGCCGTGGCACATGGCTAGTGGGGACGTTTAGTGATGCAAATTGGACCGTGCGCCTTCCATTTCACTACAGTTAAGGTGCTTTCCAGCTGTTTGTTGTTGATTGAGGGAAATTGTTAGTGGCCAGAACGCACTGACCCAGTCACGCCTAAAAAAGCTTCAGCTTCTTTGAATTCTACTCTATCATTTGCCCACCTGCCAGCTTCAAGCTTTCCATATTCTGGTTTTCGACTCGACTCCCACACCCCGTTGCACCGTTGCATCCTTGTCTTTTCAAGTCATTCTCGCGTCTTTTGAGCCATTGAGTATTTTGAGATTGAAAATCTCTTTCAATTTTATCTCAATGTTCTCCTGACGCCGGATGCTCTGCCCGTGTTGTACCCTTTAAAACTCGGCTCCTTGTGTCACGATTTTAGTCGCGTGCAAAACCAAAATCCATCTTTATCTGACTCCATCACCACCATTCAGCATTCAGCATTCAGCATTTCGAGAGTCAGGTTAACACGCAGAGACACAGGACATAAATCAACAGAGTTCCACTTCCACTACACTTTTACTTTTTTTTTTTTTTTTTTTTTTTACTAACTTATTTCAACGGCAACCGTTTTTTCTTTTAACCCCCCTCAAAGTTCAACCAAACCTTGAACTTTGTTGTACCTAGGTGGTTTACTCGAGCATCACCACACCCAACAATCACTTAAATATTTCATTGGTCAACAGAGTTTAAGCTTTCCAAAAAATTATTTGGTGCTTATTAAATAAAGTACATGAAATAATTTAACATTTATATGGCAGCTACATCATTATCGCCGACTCCCGCACCTCGGTCCGTCATGTCTGGTCGTCGAGTTCCCCTGTCAAATAACCAGAATATTGCCAACTCCCCCATACGAAACCCCGGGCTCTTTGCTAAAAACAAACGTCCCTCAGCTCAAGTCCAGCGAGAGGATCAATATGGCCAACCACCTCCAGCTAAGAAACAGATCATTGAAGGGGGCACTCAACGCTCATTGAAGTCTCCTTCCCAAAATCAGCGGGTACCTAAGAGCCAAATTCCTATACAAACACGACGTAATGCGAACAGCTACGAAAATAAGTTGGCCAGGGAGAGATCTGGCCAGCACCAGCAACACCAACAGCATACCACCACGAGCACCCCCAGATACACCGAAAAGGATATAGAAGATATACAAGTTTGGCAACAGCATCATCGGGCTAGGTTCCCGAAGCTTGTCTTCTATCTTGAAAAGGTTCCCAACGATGCTCATAAGAAGTTGGCCAAGCAAATTTCGGCCCTAGGTGGTGTAAGTAATCTAGGATACTCGATTTTGATTAACATGGTTGACTTACAGTATATTCGTGCAGCGCGAAGCGGCTTTCTTCTCCATTGAAATCACACACGTCGTTACGACACGACCTATCCCTTCCGAAAAGAGCGTAACCCGCCGAGATGAAGAGGAAACTGGTACCGATAAGCATCAAGAGAATGATCAGGAGCAGGAGCAAGAGCATCACCATGGTGAAGTTAAAACAATTAATCCTTCTTTGTTAACTCGATTGTCGGAGGCTTCTGTGAGACAGAATCTCTTTAATAGAGATATCCGGGCCCGAAAAATGCCCTCGCAGACTCTTGATGAATCCATAAGTCAGCCGAAGCGGAATATGGATGTGCTTCTTCGCGCCAGAGAGATGGGGAAGAAGATATGGTCATTGGACAAGTTGCAACGCATGCTGTCACTGCTCCTCGAAACCGATCCATACGTCAGTGCGGAAATCGCGTACGGTTCTCGAAAGATTAGGGAGGCCGAACCTCGTACTGCCGAAGACCGTAACTTGCTACGCCTTCTTCATAATGAGCGTGTCAACGGACGATCCGACCGAGACCCTACCGTTAATGATCAAGAACTGCATTTGTTTAAAGGCCCGTATATATACATATATGATATGGACGAGAAGCAGAAACCCATCATGGTCAAAGAATATAAGAAGGTTGCCGACAAATCAAGGGGAGAATGGCCACAGTTCCGGACTGCTGCTCTGGGACGTTGCCCGTTCATCGAGGAGTATGAACCCAGGGAGCCCCGGCCTCAACCTAAACCGAAAACCCAAGAGACTAGGGCTACTACTGCTGCTGCGACTGCTGCTGCTGCTGCTGCTGCTGCTGAAAATAAACCTGTCCTTCATCCCGCAAAGATGGAGCCACCGAAACCTATAACAGGAAAGCGATCATTGGGCGAGATGGAGAATAGCCACTCTCGAGGCTCTAGCGTTACCTCGTTTGAGATGTCTAACTCATCCAGGTTCCCCTTCGGCCAAGCGGCGGACTCTCGGTCCAATGCATTCACTGGTCGTGCTGCTACTCGGCTATTTGGCGGTGAACCAGTTGCTTCTGGTGTCCAGCCTTCGAATATAACATCAGCAATTCGATCTCAGATGGTCTCTTCAACTGCCACTACTCCGGGAGTTATCACTGGCTTGAGCAAGGAAGTTCACGATCTTCAACGTCAGGTCCTGAAGCGCAATAGTACTGCGACTTCACAAGACTTGAGCTCTCGTCGCAATGCTGAAATAAGCTTGCGAGACGACGTTCCAGTCAAACGGACATTGAACCTCAGTCGCACCTCAAGTCGAAAGCTAGAGGCGGTGGAAGATAATGTGACTGATAAGGATTTGCGTCAGAACGTCAAGGTCACTGCGCGTGCAGAGAAACGTGAGACGGCAAAGTCCAAGAAGAGCGATCTTAAACCTGGATATTGCGAAAATTGTGCAGAAAAATATGCCGATTTTGATGAGGTATGTCCAGCCTTTCGAACGAAGACCTTTACGTGCTTAGGTGCCTGGCTAACTGACAATCTTTCTAGCATATTCTATCCAAGAAGCATCGCAAATTTGCTGACGACGGCGAGAACTGGACCGAGCTAGATAATCTCCTTTACCAGCTTCAACGCGCGCCCAAACCGAAATCCTTCTCGTCCAGGACACCATCTCTCCAGGAAAGTGACGAGTTGTCCTAAAACGCTTTGACAGCAGATTAGTACCTTCAATTCACGTTCGTAGAATTTGGTGGCTTGTGCCACTAGTCGCCGGGAATCGATCATCTTTATAACCTATTTTTAATTTTTGCTCTATCCTTTCACTAGCATTCGCAGTGCGATGATACCCAATTCTTACAATCCTTCTGGCATTCTGAGTTGTTTTCGATTTCGTCGGAGAGCGATTGGACTTTCGACAGCCAATCTTATCGTACAATGGGAAAATGGTGAACCGCTAGGCATGGAGTCTGGGCATAAAATTCTACCTGGATCGGTTGGTCATTGTACCCAATATGCATGGGTGGCGAAGGTGTTTCCCTCTTCTCATATTCTAACATTCCACGGTAGGCCCGGCGGAGGAGGTTCGGTATGCAGGGTTTCGGTAGGGGTGTTAAATAGTTAGATGGTGTGTGAAAATATTGTTACTGCCTACCTACCTACGTACCTAGATAGTAGGTAGTAACTGGAGCAAGTTTCAAACGCGACAACATCTAGGCCCTACGAAGCGATAGGGCAGACAATTGGTACCTACCTAGCTATATCAGATGATTACTAGGCAGGTTGCGTATGTATAAGTAGTAGTTTACGAAAGGGGGTGAATTCAAAATATCCAACTTGAGAACTTGGACTGACGTGATCTGAATAAGCACCTACCTTAGGTACCTGGATACTAACCTAGCTTACCGTAGCGAGAACCCCCTATTCGCGAGAATCATTCTAAACTTCGTCCAATAATAGAAATTGGGAAAAATTAATCTAACCTGAAGAATTATTCTGCTTTTTTTTAGAAGAGTTAGTTGCCTGTATTGGGAAGAGATACCTAGCATGCCAATGTAGAATAAATCGCGAGAAACGAAAACTCCCAGGCCTTTGCACCATGCTGTGTTTTACCCCTATTTTCAGCCCCCCCCCCCAAAAAAAAAAAAGAAAAGAAAACCCCACACGTTCGCAGCTTCATCTCGCTCCATGAATAAGAGAATAAATGGCCATGCCAGAAACGTAATACCAAAATGGGACTTTATTTGGGGATTTCGTGAAGACTTAATAGCCTACCTAGTACCTATGTGTCGGCCCAGAAAACGACCGCTACAGACAATAATGACGACTCCCCAACTAAGCAACCATACCCAACCCTCCCTTCCAACAAACCCATCCATCCATCCATCCATCCATCTCCATCTCAGCAAGGAAACCGACACTCCAAATCCCGACTCGGCAACGGCTTCAACTTCCACCCCTCACTCGCGCAGTACGCCTCCCCCTTCCCCGTGCCCGTCTGCACATCCTCCCACCTGACACCCCCATAGCTGAACGCAACGATCCACTCCCGGTACCGCGACGGCGAACACGCCACGTCGGCGCCGACGCACTCCGCCGGCGCCACGCCCTTCGGCAGCGTCGTCGTGAACTGCACCTCGAGCGTGTGGGGCAGCCCCGTGTCCTTGGCAAGGAGGGAGACGGTCTCGTTCCATGCCATGCGGCCGTGAGGCGTCGACTGCACGTGTAGTGGTGGTGGGGAGGCGCCGGCGCTCGCGTTGCGCAGGGTCAGGGTTGCGAGGACGCCGTCGAGGGGGCCGGAGGACCGCTCCCAGATGTGCAGGGTGCAGTAGGAGGGAGGGGGAGAGGGAGAGGGAGAGGGAGAGGGAGAGGGTTGGGGGCACGAGCAGATACGCTGGACTCCGGCGTTGAGGGGGAGGAGGAGGTTGAGGGGTAGGCAGCTGGCTTTGCCGCCGTGGGGGCAGGAGCGCTTGGAGCAGGAGGATTGGGAGCAGGGGGTGGCGTGGATAGGGGTTGGTGAGGCTGTGGGCGTGGGGTGAGCTGTTTGAAGTGTGCTTGTTGGTGTCTCTGTCCTGGTCGTGAACTTCATGGTGGTAGATTCCTTGGTAGTAGACTCATTGGTGGTAGGCTGCTTAGTGGTTGACTCCTTGGTGGTAGATTCCTTAGCAGTAGACTGCTTAGAAGCCGGCTCCTTCGTAGTAGATCCATTGGTGGTAGATTCCTTGGTGGTACGCGTCGTTCCAGTAGTCTTGCTCTCCTCCGTCTTGCTGGTCCTCGGCGGACAAGCCCAGCCGTCTTCCGCGCGAGCTCCCACTCTTTCTTTGAATATCTGGCTCGGCGACGGCTCCCATTCAAAGTATCCCACTTCTTTCCCCTCGACAAACGCGCGCCACGACGCCTTTCGGCCGTCACACTTCCCCGGCTGGTACTGCACGAGCATCTTCCCGCGATGTGTGCGGAAGTGCTCGTCTCCGAAGTTGTCGTACGCTTCTGCCGGATTAGGCCGGCGGCCGTCGATCTCGATGTACTTCTCTATGGACAGGTACCTGTACGCGTAGTCGGTGACCTGGAGCTTTGCGTCCACTACGTTTGAGGACAGAAAGTCGAGGAGGTAGTGCGCCATTTGCCGGATTCGCGACACGTACCGCACGGTGCCTGCGTTCGCGTTCTCGTCCGCTAGTTGCTCGTTGGTCAGGGGATGGCCGCGCAGGTCACGCAGGCCGGTGATTCTATTGTTATTGTCTGGGTCACGGACAAAGGTAAACCATATTGGCACTCGTGGCGTGGCGATGTATATGTGCGTATCCGGAACATCGTCGCGGTCCTTGCCGAACATGTGGCCGTACTCCGGCGGCTCGTGTATCGCGCTGCGCAGGTCGTCGAGGGAGTACGCGTGGTACTGGTGCCACATGTGGTCGAGGGGCCAGGATTGGGTGATGGGACTAAGGACGTGGTCTTCGAAAAAGTCGTCGTCTGCGTCCGCGTCGTCCGTGGCCGGGAACACGGGCTCCCATATGTGCATCATCCACGCGCCCCTCGTCGACACCACCAGGAGCCCGGTGCAGCCGTAGAGATCTGTCATGGCCAGGGAAGCGGGCTTGTCCCCGAATACGAGGGTTTCGGAGGTCGGTAGTTCACCGTCGTCTGAGTCCATATCAACGTCTTCGCCCTCGGGTGGGCTGGTCCACCTGACAATTTTGTGCTCGGGAGAGGGCGACTGGGACATCTTCTTGACCTCGCCAATCATGAATTGTTGGGTAGACGGATAGTCGCTGGGATCGACCCAGTCGCCGTTGCTTTCGTCCCCGCGCTTTAGTAGAGGGTAGTACTTATACTCTTCAAATCCGCGTGCCTTCTTTCCCGTCGTCCCTTTCAAGGTCTTGGGGCTGTGAGGGCAGGTCTTGCGGCCGCATGTTCTTGGCGAACATACCTCAGGAGTCGTCTCTGTATGGTATGTGGTTACTGTTGTGGACGACGCGGTGGGATGGCATCCAGTCACCGTACTGTAAGTTGTCGTTGAGCATGAGGGGTCTGGCTGGTTTGTGGCTGTGGCAGTACAGCCGATGCTCTTGTAAAATGCTGTTTGAGTGGTGGTGCAGCTTGTCTTGGTGGACTCTTCAGCTGATGTTGACTTGGTGTCATCTTGCTTCTCATCCTTGTTGTCGTCCTTGTTGTCGTCCTTGTTATTATTCTCACTATCCTTATTTTTTATCTCGTCCGGTGGACAGCTTCTAATCAAGCTTTTGAACAGTTGGATGCATATTTTTGGGGTATCAATTTGAATATTAGGTGGAAACACGTTGAAGCAATTAAAGCAAACTTGAGGGGGTCCCTTGAAAGGAATAATAACTTTTATCCCACGTTAGCAAGAAATTGGGATACTCGCCGTGACTTTCAAGGTTGCTTACCTGGAACTATAGTGGGATCATGCCCTCCCGGTGAGGTTGTAGTGATATACGTTGGCGTAGTGGCTGTATAGTCTGGAAGCGTAACGAAAACGGCTTCAGCTGGTAAAGTAAATAGGACATGTGCTGCAGTTGTTGAGCTAGTAGACGTTGAACTAGTAGGTGTTAAGATGGGAATATTTGTGCCAGGCTCGTTATGAGTGGTAGGCGTTAAGCTGGAGACCCTTGTACTATGTTGATTATCATTGGTAAGTGCTGAGCTGGTAGATGTTGAGTTGGTGGGCTTTGAGTTGGTAGGCGATGAGACGGCAGAGGTTGAGTTAGGAGCATGTGTACTATGTTGGCTATGACCGGTAGGTGTTGCATTGGTGGGCTGCTTATCAATAGTCTTTGAGGTACTAGGCCGTTCCAATGTATTGATAGGTTTGAAATCCGGGGGTGCTAAGCGGGTTGACGTAGAACTCTTGGCACGAGATGTCTCAATGCTCTTCGTGTTGCTGGGCTCCTCTAGTGTATTGGTAGTCCTACTACTTTGGGTGGTTGTACCCCTTAATGAGGAGTTGGCATCAGCGTTGGTTGCAGAACGGGTGGCAGAGTGGGTAGTAGAGCCGGTAATAGAAGGGAAAATCAGGCTCTTCACGCTACTAGGTCTTCTCAGTGTATTTATGGGCTTGAAATCGGGGGGTGTTAAACTGGTTAATGTAGTATTGAATGTGGTAGGCTTCTCCTTAACTGCCGTCGTGTTGGCCGACTTTTTCACAGTATTGATTGGTTTGATATCAGGAATATTCGTGCCAGCCGTCGTTGAGGAAACACCATCCTTCCTCACATGCCTCCTGTCATCAGCTATCGTTCTCAGCGTAGTGGCAGGCGAGCCACAGAGCCTAGGCTAATAGAACATGAGTTATTCCATCTTGCTATCTAGCTCATGGATAGGAGTATCTACTAACTAGGTCTTGACCGAAACGGGAGGATAGAGGATCAGTGCCGGAGATTTCATCTTCATGCCCTTTTGCTTGCGAGGATTTGTAAATGGTGCTTCCGCTGCCGATGGATACGGCGGATAGCAGACCAAGCAGTGCTAGGAAATGCATGGCTTGAAGGTAGGTACACAACGGGCAACCTTGATGATCGATTTGAATAACCAAAATCAAATTGTGCTATTTACCTGGGTATTAGAGCAGCTTAATACAGAATATCTTTATAGTTTCTATCATCGGAGGTACCTATAGTATTTACATTATACCTCTCTCTCATCCCGTGTAAGCGTCTCCAGTTCTCGGTATTCTGCATGAACTTCTGTTATATGCGGCTCTAAATCACGCACTCGTTTGCCCCGCGCCTCCTTATTGCTTCCCCTTTTACTTCATATTTCAGGTATCCCCTAATACGTGCCGTATCTATTTTGAACAGAAACATAATCGCTTGGGAGGGATCTCTGTGTTACTGTCTCCGTGCCGCATGCATTCCATCCAAAAGTGCTCCGCGGAACCCTTTGACCGTGATCTCCATGCCACGACTTAGGCAATCTAGTTGTTAACATCCGAGGAGACGGACGATATCTCCGTTTGCCATGATCTTATGGTTGTAAATCATGGTGCGGCAAATAGCTAACGACAGTGCCATTATTCACGGTGGATATCATATTCCAGATTTATAATGACGTAACAAAGGCATATCGATTATTATATATTGTAGTGTCCAAGTAACTTGCCCCGAATCTATGAGGGTCTTTTGCGTCGATTTCGATTTCTATACGATGTTTGTCTCGATTGGGAACGAATTCATCCTGTCACAAACTAAAACTTAGAAGACGCAGAACAACATTGTTGTTGCGCAGGGACCTCCAAGATCCCCCTAACGACTATGGGGGCTACATATAGATGCAGCCCACCAGACTCTTACTCAACCTTCTCTGCCTTAGCGACCGAGTCTTGTAAGAGATATACTTAGATTTGTGTTCTTGGTGGATGGCGTACGGAGAGCGAATTTCGGAGTAGGTATATTGGACGTGTATGGCCCAGCTCACTCTCTCGCGAGGGTGCTTTGCGCCCCTTATAAGTTAGGCAGGTAGGTACTTTTTTATAGTGGATCCCACATACCCCCCTATCACCTTGAAGGGCCCTTTTTTAGCCGTGACACATTATTGGGTAAATGTAACATGTGAAAATCATGTTCAAGAAATACCACTTCTCTTCTTTTCTATCTTTACCAGTTTATTTTATAAGTCCATCTTGGCAGTGGGCAGCAGCGGTGACCAGATCTGGAGATATTTAAAGCGCATCGACCGTTCCCATCTTCAATCGTCATAAAGTCTCGCTACATCCATGGCTTAAATATATTCATATAAACCTAGGTAGTCTGAAACTAGGGCTATATCGAAAGCTTGCTTTTCTATTTGTAGCTACCGTAGCTTGTAAGATATTGAGCACGTCGAAGATGGTTGCTGGAGAGACAGGTCTTTGAAAAGGGTGTCACGTGGGTTCCCCTGAGCTTGATATATGGGACTCTTGGAAGCCAATGTTCAATCTCGAGTAGCACAGACACCGTACCAGTCGAATGGGTACAGACTGGTTATGTATAGGTATGAACTGATGCAGCTCGAATCTATGCATCGCCGGATTGACCAGGCGGCAGATGCGGAAGTAAGTCAGGTATCAAGACCAGTGCATGTAGGAGCTTAGCATTTGCCGTGCATTAAAAGTATTATCTTAAACAACGAATTTAAGGTGTCCGTTAGTGTACTCCAGTTGCCAGCTGGAACCTCTTATACATAAGGCCACTCTGGGCCAGAGAGGGAAATCATGATGAAGTTCAGGTCAAGACCGTCAAGGAAGTTAAGATCAGCGAAAGAATGATTGGAAAGGGGTTGCAACGCTTTCGTTTTCAATAGTCAAATACTCAGAATGAATGTTGCGTGTATATGGGCATCAAATTGTATTTAGGAGACTTATTGTGAGGTGGTTGTAATGAAAAGGGGGCAATGGCGACATGCCCGATTCCTGAAATTTCGATATAGCTGGTACTTTGATACCTGCTTAGTAATAGGGGTCCGGGAAATAGAAAAAATGCCAACTCAAGGCTGGCACGAGATGGAACACCTACCTACCTACACCCAACGTCGGCGAGCGGGGTGATCGCTTCCTGGATTGGACTGGGCTTCGACTTATCCAGGCACCAACACCCTCACCGGCGAAGCGGTTAGTCCCCGCGACATTTCCCACCCCCATGGGCCTTTACTCCGCGACCAAATCACAACGCAAGTACCGTTCCCGTAATCTGCGTGTGTACCCCCCACCCATCGATGCCGTTAGGCGATGGATGTGACGTCGAAGGCGTCAGGTGTGTGTGTAGGATCCCGTGTTGTAGCCAACGTTACTGATATCGTCTCGTCTTTCTAAGGCTACGTCGGCATTTTTCTACACTTCAAACCTTTGCGCGTCGGTTGTCAATATCTAATGTTGGTGTCAATAATTCTCTACTCGGAGTAGGTAGGTAGCCTTCGCCAGTTTTTCCACTCCCGGGACATCCGTGAGTGAGTGCTTGGCCACGACACGACTCTTTTTATTCCCATGGCTCGTCCATGGCAACCATCTCCTCACTCACTGTGTGCTTTGAGGAACGCTTGCTTGCTACCGAGGTTATAGTAACTGATGGATTATCGAATGCTTGCTCATCCAGTCACAATTACTACCATTAACTACATCCGGCCATCAATGGTTACTCAAAAACTGCCGAGTGAAGTGACACGAACCTCTCCGAGAACTCCGGGGGCGCGATGCAATCATCGACGATCCGTTCACAAGATCTGGATACTGACAAAATTGCATTCCTATCTCCGACACAGGTGGTTTTGGTCTCATTCGGAGACACGATCGGACGGGTTAACGGTGCCGGTCAAGGAATGCTGCTACAATCATAACGCGCCACATGGCTACTAGGCATATCCATCTTCTATCCTTATATTGCACCGCGGTAACACGGAAATACTTTATAAACACCGAAGTGCTGAATAAGGACATTGCAGGATTGCGGCGAGTTGTGATAGTATTTATGACATTCATCTCGCCAGGTGTGGATGGTGTTTAGTTCATGAGAGTTCAAATATCCCGTCATATATGACTCACCTAAGTACTTTGTTTATCAGGTCAATCACACCATCGACAATGTCACCAATGGAAGGAAGTATCGAATCAGTGACGACCAAACTCGAAGAGTTGATGGTGGCCGACTTCAAGGGCCGTGAAAAGGAGAGGCTTCAGCTACTGAATAGTGCGCGGAAGATGATCAGTCGCGTGGAAACACTCGAGGAGAGGTTTCATAACATCTCTTTCTTGGAACCCATAGTATTTGCAACACTGAAAATTAGCCTGGACTTAGGCCTTTGGAAAGGGTGGGTGGCAGCAGGAGGCGGCGAAAAGTCGCTCGAGGAGTTGGCCAAGCTGACAGAAAAGGAGTGCGATTTGAACCTGCTTGGTAAGTTTCCTTGAGTGCTCTTGCTGTACAGTTGACAATTGACAAGTGGTAAGGTCGCTCACTCCGCCTACTGGGAGCCGCGCACATCATAGAGGAGACGGGCGAGGATCGATACAAACTTACTCAATTCTCGCAAGCATTGGGCGATGACTCTATTAGAGTCTCGGGAGCCATGCTAGCCAGGTAAGAATTATACCCTATGCATGATTTTCGAAGACACTAATATACCGAAGGCCGTACCACTGGGAGGTGTGTAGTACGAATTTGCCATCATTTTTGGCGAAGACATCGTATCGAGAGCCTCGAGATCCGAGAGTGTCTGCTTATAGTGATGGAAACCCGGAAGGACTGGCGTTCTTTGAGAGATGCATGGCGAACCCGGAGTATCAGGAAGGTTTCAGTAGCTCCATGACTGAATGGTCCAAGTATAAGACGCCATGGCCGCAATACTACGACACGGAAACCTTGATCCAGGGCGCTGATCTCTTCTCGGGGGCACCATTAGTGGTCGATCTAGGTGGCCATCATGGCATTGACCTATTCAGGTTTCTGGACAAACATCCGGATGTGCCAGCTGGTTCCTTGGTCCTGCAAGACCTTGACGATGTCATCGCGGGGGCGAATATTACCACAGATAAGATCAAACCCATGGTGCATAGCTTATTTGAACCCCAGCCCGTCCACGGCAAGTTTCCTACCCGCCTTATGACCCATAATATGGGGAAGTATAAACCCAGAACTAATGTGTGATAGGGAGTCGGGCGTACTTCTTCCACTGTGTATTTCACGACTGGCCGGACCAAGTGGCAGTGCAAATTCTGAAGAATATCAAGCCGGCGATGAAGAAGGGGTATTCAAAGATTCTTATCAGTGACATCGTGATTCCACGTACAGGGGCTACAATCTACCAGACTGGAATGGACATGAACATGTTGGGGCTCTTCTCTGCTTGTGAGAGAACGGAAGCAGCATGGACCAAGTTGATAGAGGACGCTGGATTGAAACTGGTCAAGATTTGGATAGACAGTCGGGACTTTGAGGGGATTATTGAGGCAGAGTTGCCGTGATTGGGAGTTTTTGGTAGTTGGCGATGCTTTATCTTTGTCTATGTAAATGATAGATGATAAATGAGGGATGATGGATGATGGAGGAGGGATGGTAGATGACAGAGGAGGGACGGTAGATGACAGAACCTTGGAAGATAAAAATGATATCAATGATTATTGAGGCACTCTATGTACCTATGTACAATACATGCACTAGACGTGGGGTCGGGCAATGATCTGACCGGGGTACCGGGGTCTGTGATCTGCCCCGTCCCGCACCACCATCGACTTTGGCTCCCCAATAACTTGGAACCTTATTATCCCTTAACTATCCCTTATCATCCACAGCGCTTATGTACCTGCCGTAGGTTAAACCTCAGCCAGGAGTAACATTGAAATTTCGAAGCTTCCCAGGTAGTACTTCGAGTCATCCAATATCAACCTCAATTATTGGCTGAGATTACTCACACCTTAGGTTAGAAACACTGAATCTTCCTGAAAGTCTCCCTTTCCTTTGCTCTCTTTAGAGGTATATATACCCGACGACATCAGTTTGCATTACATCCATCATCTATCTTAGATACCTGCCTAGGCAATATGGAATACCCAGACGTTCCCTCTCCATCACCTCCAGCTACCCCCATCGCGGATAGACCAGCTTCGCCTGAAATCCCGCTTACCATGGCTGCCTCAGCTGTTCTCACGGCCTTGCCTCAGGATGCAAGCGCGGCTCTTGCCAGTGCCGGTGAGTTTGAACAAGAGAAGATACTCGTTCGGTTCAGGGCTGCCGGGTCTATTCATCAGATCGAGCGCCCAGTGAGACGTATAGGCGCGACACAAAAGTTCGAAGCTGTCGTGTCTCACCTGCGTAAAGCACTGCGACTCGAACCAACCCAGGGCCTATTTCTCTACGTGAACAGCACCTTTGCCCCCGCTCTGGATGAGATTGTCGGCAACTTGCATAGGGTATGTCTAGTATTATTATTCCTTCTCGAACTGTCTATGAATTATGAATCGCTAAACAACCGCCCACAGTGCTTCAAGGATTCATCCGATCATTTGATTGTATTTTATTCAATCACACCTGCCTTTGGCTGATTTATGCAATGTCTTGGGTCTTGGAAACAACACCACCCACCCACCTATGGCTTTCCCCATTCGCCTATCAATTTTGATACATCTAAACTATTACAATGCACGCATACCCATCTTATTTTCAACGGGAATTGGTATAATGCGGATTTAACACAAGCGAGAAAAGGCTGAGTCATAGCCCCTCAGTATCTTTCACGAACGCGTCGAGCTCTTCCTTAGGGATAGAATATGTATGTTCTGGTGCTGGGAACTGCCGACTCTTGACCTCTTCCCGATAAGACTCGATGGCCCGGAAACTCTCCGCCCACACGTTCCCAAACTGTTTTACAAATTTGGGCACGAAGCGACCCGGCTGGAAGTTTCCAGACATGTCGACCTGGACTAGAACTTGGCCAGAGCAGCCGTTCCCGGCACCAATCCCGATGGTGGGCACGCTTAGCTTCTTTGTGATGATGCTGGCGACCTCGGGCGGGACAGCTTCTAACACCATGGCAAAACAGCCGGCTTCCTGGACTGCTATCGCATCTTCGAGAATTTTCATGGCGCCCTTCGATGTCTTGCCCTGAACTCTAAACCCGCCCAGGGCATTTTGGCGTTGAGGCGTAAGCCCGATGTGTGCCAGAACAGGTATGCCAGCCTGGCTTATCTTGGCGATGGTCGGGGCCATCTCTTTCCCGCCTTCAAGCTTGACGCCGTGTATGCGCCCGTACTTGATGAGTTGGATCGCCGTTCCTAATGCCTGCTCAGGTGAAATCTCATAGGATCCCATAGGAAGGTCTCCAATCTTACTGTTCGTCAGTTTCTTTTCTCTCTAGCAATCCTTATCTCTTTGCATATGGTCTTACTGTGAAGGCACTCTTAGTGGCACGTGCGACCGATCGACAGTGAAGTAGCATGTCTTCTACTGTTAGTTCACTGGTGTCCTGCATACCCATTGCGACCATAGCTAGACTGTCACCAACAAGTATGATATCCATGCCGGCGGTGTCGGCAACGTGCGCGCTGGGGAAATCATGGGCAGTCATCATGGCGATGGGCTCCCCTTTTCTATACATGGATCGAAGAGTTGTGAGGGTCACCTTCTTCCTCGGAGGATCGGACGTGGGGGTTAGGGGCGAATAGGAACTCCATCGTTTTTGCTTATATGTTTTTAAATGCTGCTGCCATGGCAGTAAAAGTCTAGGTGTAGGGAAGAGAGCATTTGGTATTAAAGTTCGGTATGGTAAAAGAGCACGTGACCGTGACAAGAGCTGCGCCATTTGTGTTGAAATGTGTAGTTTGTAATTAAATGAAAGCGAATTCCATGCATCAAAAAAAATCTAACTACAGTTTTTTTTAGTATTAAAAAGAGTTTAGGAAGAAAGCACTAAGTAATACCCATAATCTCAGAATGGGCCGTGGTTTTATTCTCTGGTCATGATGGTTTTTGCTGCGTACAATTGAGTCTCCCCCTGGAATTCCTTTGGTGTTTTTTTTAATTGTTAGACACGATCAGCACTGAGACTTATGGAACATCATGATTAGGTAAGGCTGCCTTAGGTCGATGGCTTCAATTAAGGTAATGCCCGAGGTCTGACATTTAACAAGGCCTACTACCCGGTACATGGTTGGTAGTGGCTGATATATTTTGTATGTGGCGTAGGCGCACGTGTTTGCTTACCTCAACTATGTAGGTATGTAATATTCACCGACGCTTCTCAGTAAAAGCGTTGGATGGTTTAACTTTATTGAATTCTCAAGAATTATGAAATATTGCGGCACAAGCAGCAAACAAGCAAAATCAAACAACCGGTGCAGTATGCATATCTACGCAAGCCAATCTATTCGAAGAACCGGTACCCGAAATGGAAAATGGTGTCAATCACCTGCAGAACACGAAGAAAGTCAATTATCAATCAACAGACAGTAACAACCGAAGCCATCGACAACATCGCCGTATATTGCCCGGAAATGGCGGTGGGGCACCACATCCGGGTGAAGGCATCAAGTGGATCTTACTTATGTACCGTATATGTAATATGAGTGACCGGAACACCGTTGCCTGTGGTGGCTTACCATCCCGGAGTCAGCATTCCCCGGGGCTTGCTCGACTTACCCACCCGCCTGGTAGAAATGGGGGTCTTGCACACTTCCAGGTGGTGCGCCTTGCTGCTTTCATGCTTACGGTACCATGACTCTTTATTGAGCACCTACTACCTAATCTAGTACCTAGTTGTGTTCAAAATACATGCTTCTGCTTCGGTATATACTAAATGTTCAAAAGTTGTATATTCGGTTGAATTCAATTGGCAAGGACCCTGATCCGGGCCGAAGTAGGTTGGAAGGACCAATGATCCAAGATGAGGCCGAAGCTCGGTCAATACGTGGGGGTACAAAACGTTGGGGACATGAAATCACTAATCACTAAGCACTATATTTTAACGCACCAGGTTAAAAAACCCCCTTTTCATCAGCCTCTGCTTTGATGTCCCCGGGAGGTGATATCACCCTCTCGCGGATAGACGAATCTAGAGACTATTAACTGACCCCTGAACAAGCCTGACGTGTGTAACCATGGTCAAGAGGCAAGGCATCGATATTCAGAAACACTGCGCACTCCCTAAAATCCAAAGGGGGAGCTGCTGCAAACATCAACTATTTACCAGGTGGCATTTTATAGTCAGTCTTATGAAAAGAAACGAGTATCTGGGCAACTCGGAGCTCTCCTCGTTGCTAGTTACATTCGTCTTAGATGTTCTCGATGGCATCATTTTTTCGTAGATGCATTGCCCAATCTCATGACGCGTAGGACGACAGCTTCCCCGCTCGATTGCGAGACTTGCATTATCATTTGGAGATATGTTACCTCGATCTAAGGGCATGTCGTTCTTTGAAACATATCTTAACAATTGGAAGCAAACAGTGAACTTGAGTAAAGAAAAGGGGTCTATAGGTACCTAGACTCATCTGCAACGCGAAAGCAATGTCTCCATCGAGGGTAGAAGCTCTTCCGCCCTACGAATATCCGGCTGAAACTAAAGAGAAATGTATGTGCACGTCCGACATACGCATACTTACAGACAAGTAGTAGATTTGACTTCCTTGGAACAGTACAATATGCGGAACTAGAAGCGCTTGATATATCCAAGCTCAACGAGCCAGGGGGTAAGCAGGCGCTGGCGAAGCAAGTATTAAGCTTCATCAACAAGAACGGTGAGCCAAAGCCGAGCCGAGAACCTACACACAGCTCATAGGCACCTACCTACTTAAGTACCCAGCTAAAACCAAAGGGGGGGGACATCATCACAGGTTTCTTCTACGTAGTCGGCCACGGCTTCTCCGACGAAGAAGTGCGACGCCAATACGCCCTATGCGAAGCCTTCTTCGACCTCCCCCTGGAGGAGAAGCTCAAGTACCAGTGCGACACCGCCTCCGGCGACTTCCGGGGCTACAAGCCGCAGTCGACCGGCTCCGCCGTCCTCGCGGCGCGCGACAACGACGAGCGGTACAACATCCCGAAGTTCACGCCCGAGCACTCCTCGCGCCCCCACCCGGCGCTCATCCGCGCCCACTGGGACGAGATCCGCGCCTTCTCGCGCAAGGTGCACGACAGCCTGCTGCTCCCGCTGCTCTGCCTCTTCGCGCACGTCCTCGAGCTCCCCGACGAGGAGCACCTGGCGCAGCGCCACCGCTACGCGGCCGAGGGCCTCGAGTACCTGCGGTACATGAAGTACCACCCGCGGAGCCCCGCCGCGGACGCGGGGGCCGGCAACGTCTGGGCGAGGGGCCACACGGACTACAACACGCTGACGTTCCTGTTCCACCAGCCGGTCGCGGGCCTGCAGGTGCGGGCGCGGGACGGCGCGTGGCGGTGCGTCCGGTCGCCCCGCGACGCGATCATCGTGAACGTCGCCGACGCGCTCGAGTTCCTGAGCGGCGGATACCTGAAGAGTACGGTGCACCGCGTCGTGAGGCCGCCGGAGGACCAGGCGGGGCGGGCGAGGCTGAGCTTGATTTACTTTGCGAGGCCGGAGGCCAAGGTTGTGCTGAGGCCTGTGGAGAGCCCGCTGTTGAAGAGGCTGGGGTTGCAGGGGGAGGGCGCGGGGCAGAGGTTTGCGCATGAGGTGACGGCTGAAGGTAAGCACCTGTGCTCTTTGCTGGCTGTTGGTGTTGAGGAAGGATGGGTGCGCTGACAAGAAGTGTAGAGTGGGCGAGGGCGCGAATTGCAAAGGATCATCGGTTCCGGACTAGGCTAGTGGAGCAGCGGGAGAAGGAGATTATTGCGGGTGTGGAGCAGAAGTATTATGACTGAATAGGGGAACATTGACAGGTAGGATTTGCTCATTGGGGCATTGGCTAAAGTCACGCGTTAAAGTCATGCGTATCTAGGTATTGCTAAGTACGTTGACTGATGCTGAATAGGTAGTCTCGGATATCTCACATATGCTATAATAACCCAGAAATGCCATCCCTGAAGAGCTTATAGTTGCACAACTCATAAAAGCCTATGTTACCACGCGTAATGGAAACTCTCCTCTCAAGAAACCAAAAAAAAAACCGATGTTAGTTAGGTACACAATCCCTCCCTCCCCCCTTCATCTCCTCTACCTACGCCCCCTGCCCCCCGGTCAACGTACCCACCAGCACCTTCGGCGTCGCATCCGTGAACCTCTTCACATCATCAAAGACCTCTTTCCCGGGCACGCTGCTGGCGGCGACGGCCCACTGGGCGACGTCCTCGAACTGGAGCCAGGCCTGGACGGAGACGAAGCCGGCGTCGTCGGCGGTGTAGTGGGCGACCTTCCAGTCGACGAGGCCGAAGCTGGCCCAGTTCTTCTGCACCAGCGGCATGTGCACGCGCAGGTAGTAGTCCATGTCGAACTTGGCGGCTGAGGGGTACACGACGGAGATGATGCCGGGGGGGGCCATTTTTTGTTTTTGTTTTTGTTTTTGGTTTCTTTTTGGGTTTCCTTCTAGATGTCTCTTTTTTTCTTTGGTTTGGGTGGTGATGTATGTAGCTGGCCTACAAGATAAATTTTACTTGTGTAGGTAGCTTGGAGATGTAAGCGTGTAAGAGAAATGACCCCTTTTTTTCAAATATTGATAATATCGTAATTCGTGATAGAGAGGTACAATGGATCTTATACTTATTGAATTCCCAGAATGAGCCTCGGAAGCTTCTAGGTTTAAATATCTCAACAAGGTGGAGAGAGGGGAGCTGTTTACCTATAAACATTTTAGCTCGCACGGCTAGGTTAGGTAGGTACCTTAGGTAGAAAATAAAAGGATCCCGATCTCCTCTTGGTAGCCTCAATATATTTAGAACGTAATCGAAACCCCGCTTTCATGGCATGGTACCTTTGCGTCACGGATATTCAAGCATAAGTACTTCCTTGCCTACTTAGTTAGTACCTTGCTAGGTAACCTGGAAGAGGAGTTGGAATCCGTTTGTGAGTAGGTAAGTAGGTACTAGGTAGGTTCATGGTTGTCTATGAAAAAATGAAGCTGCTTTAGGTAATGGTAACGCATCTTATTTTATTCTCGCGACGAGACTAGCCATCACCACCACAGTTGGATTTCTAAAGTAGGTAACCTTGGAAGTCTAAAAGAAATTGGGATAAAAACCATAAAAAGAAAAGAAATACCCTACCATTCAAAGTAAGCATCATTGTATGTGTGGGTATATAGGTACTAGGTAGGTAGGTATCTATATTGATTCAAATGCTGCTAGAAATACATGAACTACTAGAAAAGGAAAAGAAACTACATATACGGCCGAATCTGCTCCTCATTCCAATCCCAGAACGCACTCGCAATCCCCGTACCTCCTTCTTCCTTCGACTTCGTGGCTTCCTTCATGTCCTTGCGTACATCCATGTAACGTCCCCATGGCACAACTAAAAACGGCAATCATGTGTCAGTTTAATCTTATACCAGGTACGTGTATCTAAGAATAGAAGACGGGACTGAGGGGGAGATCACTTACCCCATTCCCCCGAGCGCGCTGCCACCTCCGGTGCGAACGCCGCGAAGATCTCCGTGTACGCTCCATATATGGGCGGATACGAGAATAGGAACGTGAACAGCCGCCTCTGAATCCCATTCGCCTGGCGAAAGAGATCCGTGTTCAAGATCCCGGGATGCAGGGGCACGCTGACGATGCCAGCGCCCTTGTAGCGGCGGGCGAACTCGGCGCCCTGGTAGTAGACGCCGGCCTTGCTGATGGCGTAGCGGACGAACGGGTCGGCCTTCTCGTGGTAGTCGAGGTTGTGCATGGGCACGCCGCCCGGCGGCGACTGCATCTCGGAGCCGGACGACGACACCCAGATGACGCGCACGGATCCCGCGGGCTCGTTCTGCGCCGCGCGCACGAGGGTTGGCGCCAGCAGCTGCGTGAAGAGGTGGGTGCCCACGTTGTTGACGCCCAGCTGCTCCTCGTAACCTTGCACCGTTTTGGGCTCCCCCTTCAGCACCATGACGCCGGCGTTGTTGAAGAGGACGTTGATCCGGTCCTCGCGCTGCAGGATCTCGTGGGCCGCGGTCTTGACCTGGTTGAGGTCTGCGAGGTCCATGCGCACGAAGATCAGCTCGCCTTTGGAGACTGGTACTTCCCGCTTGATGTCTTCGATGGTCTTGTCCCCCTTCTCCTGGGAGCGAGCGGTTATGATGACGCGTGCATTCTTGGAATACAAGATCTGTGCTAGTATTTTCCCAATGCCCGTGTTTGCACCGCTGATCACATAGACCTGATGTGGTATGATTAGTTGTTTTGAGCCATAATAGGTTGGTATGCAATTGAGTGAACCATTTTTTGGGAATAAGGGTCAGGTATAGGGAGAAGGGCTTGCCTTTCCATCTAGTGGTGGTATATCCTTATCGGTGAACTTTGGCCTCGGAGGCCATGCTTGTGATATGTGGTGATAGAGCCTGCTAAGACACATATTGTAACTTGGTTCTAGATAAGTGCGAAGATTTAAAAAAGAATTATGTATTAGGTTAGGTAGGTAGGTAGGTAGGTATGAGACTAGATGTTGGTAGTGATTTAATGAGAGGTGTTAGCTTAAACAGATGCATTCACTACCATCTCGGGTTCTAACCATCCACGCCCAGATAACCAGATAATATATGAAACGATCTGCCAAGGCATTAGGGGATTTCTGGTTAAGTCCATCATTAATAAATGGGTTTAGGGTTCCAATAACTCTCCGATGAATATAAAAGCTCCGTTTATCTTGTTGGATTTCAATGAATTAAGAGCCTTGGGAATTATACCACGAGTATTCACGGCCGAGACTTGCGAATATCTTCTTTTGATTTTCATTGGGTGGTTCGGTAAGCCTGTATTCTCATTGGCTACCGCTGCGATGGATTAGTGGACCAACGAATAGTACGCTGAAAATGTACGGCAACATGTCTTGATCTGCTTGATTTAGCCATGGATTCAAACAATAATAGAATTAGAACTCGGTATTTCTAGGGCCAGTGAAACACTTATAGATAGATAGGTTGTTGGTGGATTATAGATGGATTTAGAAATGGATTTATGCATTAAATCCGAGACCTGGTGCTACTTCAAACGGTTTACTACTAGTAACTAGTACTACTAGTAATTATCGAGGATTCAGCTACTTCAACGTTGGAATAACTATGATGAAGTAATCCAGAAACTCTGTCCTCCCCAATGACATCACCAAACCTCAAACCACGGCTGTCCGAGCTTAAACGATGGATCTTGATGATCGACAATTTGCGTGGTGGTGACGACGGAGCGGCTGAGGCCGTGACGTCACACTTCACCGGTGGTAATACAAATACCCTTGATGGTCCAGGGACTACATATATGTCTTGCAATTCATCCCAACTCATCTTATTTGAATCTACGAGCCGGAAAAAAAAAAGCAAACAAAGAGACATTTAAATCTAAAATCAACTTCATCAATCATCAGTACCTACCAGAAACCACCCACCATGCCCCTCGAAACCAACAACAAACAAGACACAGGTGTAACCGGCGCCGCCAAGTTTGTCACCAGCACCGTTGGCAACACTGTCGGCGGTGTCGGCCGCACCGCCGGTAACGTCGTGGGCGCTGCCACACGCGGGATCGGGGACACGTTGACCAGTGCCACGGGGTCCGCTGGAAAACCTGTCGGCGACGCCATCGGCTCCATCGGCACGGGTGTCCAGAGCGGCACCGAGAGTGTGTCCAAGGGCGTTGAGAATGCCGGGGAGTGGAAGCGATAAGGGGGGTGTTGTTGTTATAGGAAGGCGTGTATAGGTATGTATGCGTCAACTGCATATAGGGGATCTTGGGTTGGAGTCTAGGAGTACGGGTACGGGCATGGATGTGCTTTTATGGTGTGCGCCCACGGATGCGATATGACAAAATGGAAAACTTGTACAACATAAAAATAAACGGGCATGGTGCGCGCACCGACATGATGACGAGTGCGAATCGCTTCCAAAGGAATTTACTTTTATTCAGTTGTATACTTGAAAATTTTATGTGAAGATCAATGCATCGAAGTGATGATGTCGACAATTCTCAAATGTGACTTGGTAACTACCTATGTAGGACCTAAATGATGTGTTAGTAGCCACTGCTACTGAACTCAATCCTTATGATGCATACACCCAGATGAGTACTGGTTCTAAGAGATGCTCTTAGAAACTCAAAACGAGGACTGCAGGAAATTCCATTTTGTACATCTAAACACTACTTAAGTACGTACCTATCTTACGTCTAGGCCGCCTCATCCTACCTAAGCCATTTCGGATCCCGACAAAGGTGTCGGCTGCTCATCCATACAGATGTGCGGTGTCTGGTCTTCCGAGCAGGACATACGGCCTGGCCCGCTCCTCCCCCCTGGCTGTGTTGCTTTCGAACCCGTCTTCTTGCGCCGCTCTGGTGCATATGCTCGCGAGTTTCTTCGTGACGATTTTCGCGATGACTTCTGTGATGTCCTATCAGACGCTAGTTTTCTGTCCAGGATATCTTGCAGTAATTCTTGAGAGGACCGCTTTCTGCCTCCTTCTTCCAGCAGTGGTATATCAGCCGGTGTTCTAGCTGGAGGTAATGCTTCACGAATGCTCTCTGGCGTATGATCCGATAAAGGCATGAAGCTGTACCGGCGCAATTGGTCTAAAAGACTGTGGCCGGAATCCAAATTCCGCGCCTCCATTGGCTTGATTGTACTTTTTCGGCGATGCGAAGAAACACCGATTGCGCTACCTGTTCTGTTGCTAGATACCGGGGGCCCTTCGTCTAATTTCCGGGGCCACTGTAGAGGGATGACTTGTGAAGGGAAGCTCTTGATGGGTCCTGGTGTTTCACTCGGCGACTCTTCTAACATATCTAAGTGCTTGGGAGTATCCACGCCGCTGTGTGCATCAATGCCACGTGCATAAAGATCTGACGCCGTTCCTTTTTGTTGGGACGTGTGAGGGTCACTTAATAGGCCCAGTGGGGTTAGCCAGTCGCTCGTACTCGTTCTGGAGAGAAGCCTTGGAAAGCAGGTTATCGTCCCATCTCGATAATGGCTCATCGAAGATCTGACGGTACTGAAAGATGCCCTGGGACTGACTGGCTCGGACACTGAACGCCTTTGGTCTTGGGGCTTTAATTTTGGCGAAAGACCGGATTCCTCCAGCGTAGGACTAAGTCTTGGGCTCATTCCTTTATCTGGAGATGGTAGGGCTGAGACTACGCGTGACGAACTAAGCGTAGAGACATTTCGAGACATTTCTAGTGATCCGAACACGTCCATGAACGGCTCTCTGGTCGCCTCTCGAGCTGCACTTCCCGAGTTTGGCCTCTAGGAAACTTCGGTGATACTTTGCCGAGAAATGAACGTAGTTTTAGGGCTATCGAGATGTTGTTCATGACGACCAGAGTAGCCGGCAAAGCTAAATGAAGGCTGAACGGAGCTGATAGTTGTGGCTGGATCAGCGATAGTTGCTGATCCAGGAATGATCGCTTTTAACTTGGGTTTCGGCCTCGGCTGCGATTCTTTTGGCAACATCATCGAAAGGCATTCAACGGCTGGGCTGCCCTCGTCAACGTGACGGAGACTAGCAATCACAATATCTAGGATTCCCGCAATGTCGTTCGTAGTTACCAGGTAACTATCAACTGCTGTTTCGCCAGCTATATTATGGCTTTGTAGACGAGTGTTTTCGCCCTTCTGCAACTTCAGTGTGGGCGGCTTATTCTCATCATCCATCCGTAACATTCCTGTCTGCGACGAACAATCGACATGTCTTTTGTTAGACAAGTAAGCCCGAATATTGCAAACAATGGCATCTGCTCCTTGCTTATCGATGCTGACCGAGGGGTTGGAATATGCCCCTTTTGAATGAGAAGGTTTGGTGTACAATGCTAGTGGAGATGCTGGAGACGAGATCATGGGAGAAGTGAAGCCGCTGAATTCTTCATTTAATTTGTCCATGATTGGCTGAACTAGCGGAACAGTATCAGATGTGCGATGAAAGGTCCTGTGTATACGGCGACCTATCGGCTTCGGACAGAAATGATGATGTTTAGGGTTATGCTGATGGCGGATGGTAAACGGAATGGCCCATCTTTGCTTTGATGCACTCTTCAACGTCGGACTTTGAGCTCCTGAAAAGATGGGAGCAGAATGGCCGGGCAGGGAAGCCGAAATAAGTGAATCTGGTGGCGGCACTGTGTCATGGCTTGTCTCTTGTAGCTCGCGCGGAGCCATTGCAAGGCTCACATGTCGACTAACTACGCGACTGGATGGTGCACTGTAGAAGTTGTCGTCCAAGCTGCCAACGGACTTGCGATCGATAGCATGATGATGAGCCATATTGATTTATTGTTTACCCAGTAATAATTGCTGTTTGGCGTCGATGCCTACGAGTGAGTCCATAAGGACTGCGGTTATAGGATGATATGAATGCAGTTTATCAAGTTAGACGAGGACACATAGGTAGGGGAGATCATTAAAAGGGGCTGCAGTTAATGTGTTTTCGAATCTTGCTGTTGTTTCGTAGCTCTGTTATATTATCGTCACGCGTAAGAGCTTGAACTTTACCCCCTAGACGAAGGGCAAGTCTTTCCTTTAACAGCATTGCAGCCTTCCATACTTACCTGCATGCAGGTACTAACCTAGGTTACATAGATCATAACCTACTAATTAGCCAGGTAGGTGCCATACCTAAGCAGACTTTAAGGGGGGAACAGAGATACACATCATAAGGCCGTCATCGGAACTCGGATTGGCCCGGCCGGGTATCTCCATAAGTACTGCTAGGTAACGGTATCATCCCGGACGAAGAAGTCTCCGTGATGGCTGTTTTGCCGCGACCACATCCGTTCGATCCCAAGTTAGTAGGCTTAAGCGACAAGAACAGTACTTATTTTATATCATCCGCTGCAGTCACGACACTCATGGTCCTACATGCTGTAACCATGTTAGCCAAACCCAATGATTTGATGCACTCGGAGAAAGAAAAGTCGTAGATTGTTGCCCAAGGCCCTGAATGCAATGGCCCGGATGTGCGTCGGTCGGATTGCAATTTTTGTTCAGCGAGTTGGAGTCTAACCTGCTTCATAATAGGAAGCCATGCAATGCAAGTAATGTTCCTGGAGAGAAATCATAGCAGTCTATTTGCGTGAATTATAATTGGAATGGCGACGAATCAAGGCAGTGATGATATTGCGGGACTACATATGTATGATATATGTACTGTAGGTTAGAAGATTGAGAGAGTGAAATGAAGATCTCGGGAGGAAAGATTTCACACCAAAAGAAGGAAAAGTCCGTGTCGGTATAAACCGGCGACATCCGGTCAGGTACAGCACCAATGAGCACATTAAGTTCTAGGTACCGGCAGCTACCACTAGTAGTACCAACCAGGTATCGCTGTTACGCTGAGATAGGCGCCTGCCTGCCAGTGTGCCACAGCCATTTCCCGGCAGCGACCGCTGAATTATTGAAGGAATTATTGAAGTCTGCAAGGTTCCAGGGCCCAGAACAAGGTCAGGGTTATTAAGTATCACCCCACACATTATGCCCGATGACATGGAACTTGGGACTTGGGGACTTTGGACTTTCAATGTTGTACTTTTCTGTTATTCTTCTATTACATATCCTTCTATTATTTACATACATACCTACTTCTCACATTTATGTTTCTGTCAGGTTGACAAGTCTAAGCCTAAGAAAAACCCTAGCCGAAGTCGCATGTGTCAACTAATAAATTCTCGAGCAGCCCTGGAGTCAAGTCTAGGCGGTCTACAGCTGTGAAATTCGTAGGAGACGTGTCACATTACCATTGGGACCATTGACACTATTGGGATCATTTTCATCTATTCCATGAACAGCTTAGCTTTAGTCCACAGCTGTGTTATACATTACATACACTACATACGCAAGTAAGAAAAGAAACAGTCGCGTATCAGGAGACTTTTATGAACAAGTTAGGGATTGACACAAACCTTGGTCAGACGGTGGCGAGGACGGAATAATTTTATCTCTTTTTTTCTTCTTCAACATCTCTTATTCCGACCCTCATACGTGCTCTACATACTCCGTTCTTACGAGTATTACCAAAGAAAAGATCTAAAAAAAACGATAAGAATCATTAAACGAAACCCGAGAGAAGGGCCCTTACTTCCAACACAATGTGCATCGTTCTTATCACAACAGCCCATCCGAAATATGCACTGATTGCTATTAACAATCGGGACGAATACATACTGAGACCCACCAGCCGGCCGCATTGGTACACCCACCAACCTTCGGGCGAGAAGATTCTATCGGCGCGAGACCTGTATCGGCGCGAACGCGGAACTTGGCTAGGAGTTACCAAGAGCGGCCGCATTGCGGTGCTGACCAACTACCGGGAATCTAGTGAAGATGACCCGGATCCGGATCACGCAATCGCCGGAGTGAAGAGCCGCGGCACCGTAGTGTCGGCATGGCTAGGCTCACCGTCGCAGAACAGCCTAGACGACTTCGTCAATACGATGCTAGAGGGTCGCGCCGCGAAAGGCGTCGGCGGCTTTTCGCTTGTCTGCGGTGACCTGAAGCAAAAAACGGAGAATGGCATCAAGCCGTTAGCAATTATCTCCAATCGGTGGGATCACATCGGCGAAGTACCGTGGATTGGTGGAGAGCGAGGTCAAACCTACGGGCTTAGCAACGCCGTCTATACCGAGGACGCAAAATGGGAGAAGATTATCAATGGAAAGAAGTTGTTGAAGGATACAATACAAGAAGCTGTCGAGAAGGATTTGGATGAAGAGGGGCTGATAAATCGGCTCTTCGCCGTTCTTGACGACGACACTCTACCCTTGGAACCTAAAATGACGTTCCAGCAACATATGGATGCGCTTCGGCGGTCTATATTTATCCGCAGTTTTGCAGAAGATCAGGGTTGGAAAGACATGGCCGACGCGGCCGATGAAGGCAGAGCAAAGGCCGCGTTTGAGGAGATTGAGGACTACAGCGAGCACGAAGCACAGAGAGATCCCCACGGTTATTTCATGAAAGGAGCTTATGGCACACAGAGACAGACAATCGTCCTTTTAGACTGGGAAGGCAACATCACCTTCAAAGAGCGAGCATTATGGGACTCCCATGGAAATCCAGTTGAAAGAGGCAAAGGGGATGAGACGTTCAAGTTTAAGATAGAAGAATAAGAAGATAAAATTTAGGATAGCAAATGATAAAAAGAACTTGCCATAAAGGGTTCTGACATGCTTTTCTTTAATACAACTTTACCTTGATCCATCTATGAATGTCTGAATGTCTAACTACCTACCTCTAAGACTGCCATTCATGTTTGATATCCATGTCACGTCCTCACCAAGTTAAAGTCATCTTAGACCCCGTCAAGTAAACAGTCAATAAAATGGCATGGGCTGTACCTAGGTACTGTGTGAATTCAAGAGCTAATTAACTCAAATGGATGTTCAATGTTTGTTTAAATGCCTCCAAGATTAACTTGAGGAAAGAAGGAGCTACAAAATACAATACTGATGTTTATGTTACCTAGGCAATGCACTGCAGGCAAGAGCTGATGATCTAGTATAGTTTATCTATAGTTTTATCAATAATTTATCTGAGGGAAGAAGCTGCGGCCCCGTTGGAATATCATGACCCTGACTCGACTCGACTCGACTCGATTTCGGGTTTCGAGTTTCGAGTCTCGAAAACATCAAATATTAGGATCAAATATGCAGAACTGCTTCACCACCAAGACTCTGTGTACCTACTTGCTGAGCATTTTTCTCCTTATCTCACAGGTAGCCAGATTTTCTTCTGAGTTGTCCCTCTAAACACACTCATCCCAAACATTGTTCCCTTTTACTTGACTAGGTAGGATTCTACTTACTCATGGCATCCCAACTCCAAGAGAAACAGGACCATTTTACATCGCCTAGTAACCCTGTTTTCCTGTTTTGTGAGTCGATTTATATTCTGCGTAGCCTATTCTACGGAACCATTTCGTGTTTCCATAAATTGGGCTCGCTCTACGCCAATACAGTTTTCGGACTGTTGAGTATCTGGACGCGTCTGTTTTTCCTCGTCAACCTCAAGACACTCCTCTATATCTACCTCACGATTAAAAAAGCTCTTCAACCATGGCCGACTCGCCCGAGGGTTCTCCCACACCCAAAGCAAGCCGCCAGCCAGCGCGTTCGAGAAGTGATTGGCCCAATCCCCAAACTCCCACGCCGATTCGCAGATCTGGAGACCCCGTGTTCACGTTTAGAGGATCCGGACGGGTGGATGGCGCAGGAACTCCTTCTGGAGGGAGACAACTGGAATCAAGTCACCTCCCCTTAAGCTCGAGCACTGTACCCCTTGGTGGCCAACGTAGAGTCGCGGCATTGCCATCTTCTCAGTACCTACAGGTTCCTCAACCATACCAAACTCGTCCCATCGAATCATCACCAACAAACCTTTCAACGGGCTTCGCAAGCATCAAACCACCCGCTAGCCATCACACATATTTGTCGGCAACCACATCTGCCGGTTCTCAAGGAGCCTTTAGCGGCCAGACGGGTTCATCTACTCGCTCAACTACAACATACGCACCGCTTCGAGGTTCTGCGATTGATCACCCAGGTCCACTTACTAGCCACCCTACTACCGCATTCTCCTCCATGGTCGCATCTGGATCTCGTGGGAGCTATAATAGACATCTAGCTAGTCCATTAAAACAATCACAAACAACCAGCAACTTACCTATGCCAGTATCGCCTAGAAGGGATACACCTCGACCTTCTCCAACGCATTCGTCAGCTTGGATGCCGTCCACAGCTGCTCCGTCAGCGGCCATTGATGCTTCCAAATTCAAGACAGAGAATATTCCACCCAGCAGTTCTTTCACCCACCTCGGCGTTAGACACAGGGACAGCCTCCGACTGGCTAGTACTCAAAGTATTCCTAAGCGCACCCCACCGAATGCTGAAGACAAGGGAAAGCAGAAGGCTACGATGGGGCCACCCCGCCTCAAGCTTCCTGTCAAGCAGCCATCACCATCACGCGCTGCCGAGGAGCGACAGGCCTCACAGAGCAGACGCCGTATTTCGCAGATTCCACGTTTAGCACCTCCTTCGAAGGCCAAGAGCACGAAGTCAAGTAACATTCCTAAGTCGAACACTATGGGCGTGTTCTCCAATCTCGCAGCCTCACTATCGCGTACATCTCTATCCAGCTTTGGCCGTAGGGAGTCACGCCAGACATCGGCGGCCTCTGCCACAGCCTCGAAGCATAGCGACAGCGAGGCTTCCTCGACCAGTGGCCGCCCCGTGATTTCGGCGCCAATGCCATCTGATGTTCAGCTACCACCAGTCCAACTCTTGTCTCTAGACGACTACCGCTTCGTCAACACCGCGCGTGACCTCAAGTATTGGAGCGGTCGCTTCCACGCGCTCCAGAGCCGATTCCAGAACGAGCAGCTGACGGCAGACAACCTCGCGACAATCGTCGCCGCAAGCCGAACCCACTCTCAGGTCCCGGAGTCCTCGAAACAGCAGAAATCCAAGAACACGGCCGGGTTTCCTACGTCGTTCACCATGGCCAGCATGGCGGCGCCCACATCCTCAGGCGCAGCTGCGTCCGCTGCCGCCAAAGTGGAGGCAGCGACCTTCCTCACGGACGACGATAACCGCCTGCACCGCATCTTCCTGCACCTGGAGGCGCAGTGCACGACTAATGAGGCTCGCGAGAGTCTGCGCGCGTTCCAGCAGCACTACGCGCGCCTTTACCAGAAGCCGGGCTTGCTCCCACAGGGCGGTACGATGGATGATAAGCCCGCTGGCCCTAGGAGGTACTTTAGTGGATTGTTTGGCAGTGGCAAGAGTAAGAAGTGAGTAAGATTGGAAGTGGAAGTGTGCTTGGGAGTTTACGCGCGTGTCAGATGGGGGGGTTTTAAACTCGAGTCTGAGGCCTTCGCTACTACGTGAAGGTGAAGGCAGATGGATTCTAGGCCATTGGGTTTTCTTTTCCTTTCTTTTTCTTTCTTTCCTCTTTTTATTACTCCTTTAATTGTCTCTTTTGCAAGACCTCGTCTTGTGGCAAGAAAGTTCCCCTAATGATTTACGACTGGACCTTGCCTACTCTACCTAGGCGGGCATTTGATTTTTGCGAGGCGCCCGGTTTACTTTACGAGATACCCGGTAATTTTACGATTGAGGAATTGGAACGAAGGTAGTCAGTCTGGTGAAGGAAAAGGGGGAGGGGACGGAGAGGGGTCGAGTGGAACGAACTAATGGCGTTTTATGGCATCTGCATGCAAAGGAAGAGGAAAAAAGAAAGAACAAAATTGCAACGAGAAGGAGAACGAAACAGAACGAAAAGGGGAGGAAAAGGAATGGCAAGAAAAATTGCAACGAGAAGGGCACGGAACGGAAAAGGTAAGAGAAACTGGAAAGGGGAAAGAGAAGGAGTCTTTCGAATGAGCCAACTTACTCATGGAAAAGCTCCGCACATCGGGAGGGAAAGGGGCATGAAATGGATTGCGCTGAGCATGGGCATCTGGAAGTTATTATCCAGATACCTATCCAGATTGGCAGTCTCTCTCAACGACTATGATATTACGATAAGGGGGAGTTTAGGAGCATACTTGAGGCATTAATTAGGTACGGATATTCCGCATCAACAAGGAGTTTCGGAGTCGGATTAGCATGGTGATGGAATGGATGACAGGGTAATTAAGGTAATTAATAGGAGATGGAGTATTATGTATCGATAGTCTGGGGGAATAGGAAAATTAGTCAACTAGGCACGACTCATTAATCAGAAATCAAAACTCGAGTTTTACCAGTACCATCGCATTCCCACGATCTTCGTGAAAATGCTGGAATATTATTTGTTTTCATTCTCTCTTTTTTCTTCCCCCCAAAACGGGAATATTGAACCTAAACGCCGTCATGATCAACCTCCATCCATCCCTTCCGTCTTTCCAAGTCCTTGGAGAGGTGGTTTTTTTTCTTAATTTATATAACCGCAATCCAACCCGACTCCCAAACCCCGAGAACTCCTACCTACGCTAGAAAGAGTTTTTGTGATATAATATAACTCGACTTGACTCGTGATATCATGTCTAGGTAGTTACTGTAGTAATACTATACGTACCTACCTAGGTAGGCACTTGCTTGCCCAAGGTTTAATACATTAATACACACTTGTTTTGTTAAAAGCAAAATGCGATGATGGGGGAGATGAGGAAAATAGCGTTGCTCGTCATTTCCCCGCCGCCGCCGCCGCCTTAGCATTCTTCCTCGCCTTCATGAAGTCCTTGATCTGCTCTACTTTGGTGGTGAAGAAGATGCCCTTTTTGTCGTTGCGCCAGGCGCAGACGCCGATGTTGTCCGCGAAGTCGGCGACGGCCTTGTACTCCTTGTACTCGTCGAACTCTTTGAAGATGTAGCCGTCGCGGGTGGAGATGCGCTCGGTGTCGAGCTGCCAGAGGCGGATCTGGTCGATGACGACGGGGGGCAGGACGGGCTTGTTGGAGGCGGCGGCGTGGCGGTACATCTGCTCGTCGGCGTGGGTCGAGAGGTACGCGACGATCTGGTCCGAGGTGATGCCGTGGGCGACGGCGTTCTTGATGGACTGGCGGGTCAGGTGGCCCGACACGAGGCCCTTGAAGCGGAACTTGAGGTCCGAGAAGAGGGCGAGCACGGCGATTTGGAGGGGCGAGTGCACGTACGCGTACATGCGGAAGTTGGTCTCGAGGATGATGGTGCACTTGTCCTGCTCTTCGCTGGTCGCGTTGGTGGCTGAGGAGAAGCCTGCGCTGACGCTGCGAAGTGCGGTTTCGTTGCTCGTCAGGGTTGTTGCTAGACGCGTAGGGAAGAACTGGCGTGTGTTGTGTTGCGGTATGTATATTAGGCCGAAGTCGATGAGGGAAGGTAGCATGTTTCGGCGACTCTCCGTCAGGGCGTCGGTGCTGTATGCGCGGCCAAATTCTAGGGAAGCTAGTAAAAAGAAAAACTGCAGCATGTCTACGCTGTCCATGGTCGACCTGGCCCCGTTGGCATTGGCAGCATCGATGGCTTCTAGCCAAAGGAGGAGCAGCGCCCAGACCTGGGCATTTGCCTCTTGTAGTAGAAATGAAAACCCAATATTTGTGATCTTGAGAGGCCCCTCCCCGCGCTCGACTAGCCGTCCTGCCATAAGAAGGTCCTTCACCGATTGCTTGGGTCCGCCAGATCCCTTCTCGAAGCTGGTCAAGCCGGTAGCCGAGACAACGTAGTGGAGGATGTCGTCCCATTTCTTTCTCGCGTATTTGTCGAGGAACGCATGGTCGACCTCAACGGGGATAGCATAGGTGGAAGGGACGCCAAAGGAGTTGTGCTCGCCTCCACCCTCCAGCGCAAGTCGTAGGCTATTCTTGAAGTTAACAGTCAGAGTTATGGACTGAGGCTGTACAATATGGAGGGATCGTAGGATAGCGATGGCTTTATCCTTTTCGCGGGTGGCGTTGGGTTTTATCCAGAGGTCGAGATCGGCAAGAGACCATGGTGTCGGAGAGTAAAGAATGGCCATCACAATAACCTTGGCTGTTTCTTGCCGTTAGCAGTGATTTTGGCTTGGGTAAAGGTGTTTTTAGAACGGTAAAAGGAAGCTCTCTTACCCAGATGCGGGAGCATGCGCCGGAAGATGGCGAGGGCTGTAGAAGGCTGCTGGTACAGTTTTCTAAACGTCGTCCCCTGCAGCTGCTCCAGGTACTGGGAAAGTGAGTTTGTGTCGACCGACATGATTGATGATAGTCAAGTATGAATGAGGAAATGTTGTCATGATAAGAAACGAGACCAAAAAATCGAGCGTAGGTCAACGTTTAAGAAGGAGGTTAGATAATAAGGAAAATGGCGAAAGTTGAAAGAAGTTGTAATTCGACTACATTCAGTGACTGCCATGCATTTGTTGAAGTCTTCAAGCTCACTAGGTTGCATAGCGCTCAGGCTAATGCACGCATTTAAGGTTGCATTAAGCTGCTTAGATACATATGTAGTCTTTATCCTTGCTACTGGATTGGTTAAGTGAATATAGAATTTAAATCGAATATTTAAATCGAATCTCTAAATCGAATCACTTATCGCACATATTGGATCTTCTTACTTACCAACTCCTCCATTATGAAAGCAATGACAAGCTGTGTTAAGTTACGAGTTTATTGAGTCTGAAATGATCTGTTCCTATCAAGTCTCGAGCAAGAGAGTTCATGGACCTAAGCTGATCTGAGCAATTAACTATACAAGTACTGAAGAGATTGGTTATACTCAAGAAGATCCATGAAAAAGGTCAGAGGGTCTTTCCCAAAGCTCAATCTGACTACTCGCGATCAGAGACTGTCAGCTTTTGCTGGGGGTCCGGACTTCTTCAACAGCGCCTGTTGCAACTGCCAGTATTCCAGCACCGCTTCATCCTGCTAATTTTACACCGGTAAGCATCGTCTTGCTATATCCACGTATCTACTTATGAGTTGATCTTCTAACATAGTACAGGAAAAGCTCAGAATAAGGACAACGGAAAGGGAAACAGTCGAATTCTCCTATTTACATTGATGATTGATACCCTGCCGTCGATGATTCCCATAGACTTGTGGGACATAGTCCTGTTTGGATAGTTATGGACTCTTACAAGCGCAATCCGGAGCTGCAAAGAGAAACACTCAATTTTGGTACTTCTTTGCAATTGAAACATGCCTCTTTGAATTCGAATTAGGGGTTATACATTGTCGTCCTTCTTGTCGTTTACTTGCCTAGGAACATGCCTATTAGTCGTGTACCTGATTTCAGCTCTGTGCCGCATCGCCCCTCAGACCCCCTCGGGGCCGAGGCAGTTTTATTGTAGATGAGTGGCTTGGATTGTATAATAACTCTATTTCTGAATCTCAAAGTCAGGTTGTTATGTGTTGGATGTCTCCATCTCCAATACTTGGGCATCGACATCACGACGAGCTCCTATTAAGGCAGGTACAAGCGTTTGCTAGTGAACTTGGAACCATCACATAACAAGCCCGTTGCTTATTCTGCTACAAATGGATAATGCAAGAACTGATCATCAACGTACGATCAGGTTGAAGAAGTGAGATGAAGAACGCAATATGAAGCCAAGTTCAATAGATATTCTATGCAAGTGTCTTATTAGTAAGAATATGTCCTCTCGCCCTATCAATGGGACCCTTGTGTAATACGGAGCAATGGTATTATAGAGAATCCTACGCCTTAACAGCGATTGGCTGGAGATAGTCGGCACGTGTAGGAGATCTAAAGCAGCATGAGAGATCGCCTAGACTCGTCTAGTGCCGCAAGGATTGGTATGGTTCTGATTGTCAAAAAAAAAAAAGCAAGGGGGCAACTTACCAGGTGAACTTACAACACGGTTAGGATCCGAACAGCAATGGAGACTATAGTTCGTATGTGTAATATGTGTAAATACTCGGGAATCGGGATCTTCATTGTGGGATTCGGGAAGAGGTAAGAGATAGCTATCATCGCTGCCAAGGTCTGGAGACGCCTATTTATTCTTCTTTTTACAAACTGCTAGGTGTTCATGTTCGGTGAAAGGATGATGAAAGTCTCGATCCCATGGCCATATAAACCCGTTATCGGACAACCAAAGCATCTAAGACTTCTCACTTATCGTAACTCAACGGCATGATATCACTTTATATCACTTGATATATCAAGAACCATTACTAACAAGCCTATCGTAAACTAACGATTTTAGATTTATGCCGGTTTCGGGAACTGTACGCGGCTGGTCCCCCGCAATTGGCATTCCTCCTGCATGAAGAGGGGCACCCCGAGATCTTCCCTATCACGAGCCTACTAGGTTTAAGTGCTTTGGGCTTGCGATGTGGACTTATCAGATAGGGAGAAAAGCGAGTCTAGAGAAGCGATACTGAGCTCTCCTGGACGGTGACTCGATGGATGTGGAACGCTTATCAGATGGCATTAGGATAATCCTATTGCTAATTGGTGCCAGATACAATAGTACTCTGCGTGTTGGCGCGTCATTTCACATCCTTTGGAGCCGCTAGACCCTTGATTATCGAGAAGTGAAGTGAGGTGTGTCTGTCGATGGGCTCATATTACATCTACTTAAGCTCACGCCCCTTTTCTATCCGGAGTCAGCGGGCAGCGTAACTTTCATCTTTCATATTGAGAATCCTCAGCACAATGGTTCCCGCAACTTCCGACTCTGTCCCACACCCCCTGGACCCGCTGGTCCTGGAAGAGATCCAGTCAGCCATCGGCATTGTCAAGAAAGCACACGGAGATGAGGTCTTCTTTAATGTTGTCTCCCTCCACGAGCCGCGCAAGGCGGAGATGACAAAATGGCTAGCGGATTCCGTCAATGTCCCGCGGCCAGCAAGGATCGCAGATGTCGTTGTCATCGCGCCGGGTGGCAAGGTATACGATGGTCTTGTAGACCTCGCGGCTGGCAAGATCACAAAATGGGAGTTATTAGAGGGACTACAACCTATAGTAAGTGTTGACCAACCGAATTAATAACAAGACTTACTAACTATCACCCAGATTACTATGGAAGAGCTGAAGACCGTTGAGCATGTCTGCCGGAAAGACCCCAAGGTCATCGAGCAATGTGAAATCAGTGGCATCCCCAAAGAAGATATGCACAAAGTCTACTGTGACCCATGGACAATTGGATACGACGAGAGACACGGCAACAAGATTCGACTTCAACAAGCGCTGATGTACTACCGGCCTCACGTTGACGACTGCCAATATCAGTACCCCCTGGACTTCTGCCCCATATATGACGCAGAAAAACAGGAGGTTATTGATATTGACATCCCCAAAGTCCGTCGCCCCTTAAGCAAGGTCGCGCCAATCAACTACCACCCGGCTGCAGTTGAGAAAGTGGGCGGGTATCGCAATGATCTGAAGCCCATTAACGTCACTCAGCCCGAAGGCGTGTCGTTCAAGATGAACGGGCGAGAGATCGAGTGGCAGAACTGGAAGTTCCACATCGGCTTCAACTACCGTGAGGGTATCGTTCTAAACGATATCACCTACAACGACAAGGGCACTCCTCGCCCAATCTTCTACCGGCTGTCCCTGGCAGAGATGGTAGTACCATAGTAAGCCATCCAACCCCGTTTAAAAGGTTGAAAAAGAAAACATGTTAACGAATCTATAGCGGAAATCCCGAGCACCCCCATCAACGGAAACATGCGTTTGATCTCGGAGAATACGGTGCCGGCTACATGACCAACAGTCTTGCGCTCGGCTGCGACTGCAAGGGGTCCATTCACTACCTAGACGCGCACTTTCCCACCAGATCCGGAGCCGTCAACACCATCAAGAACGCGATATGCATCCACGAGGAAGACGCCGGCATATTATTCAAGCACACCGACTTCAGGGACGAGTCCGTCATCGTCACGCGTGCGCGGAAACTCATCATCCAGCAGATTTTCACTGCTGCCAACTATGAATATGCCATCCAGGTGAGTTTCCCCTTTTGAGATGCTGTTAGAATCAGTCAGACACTAATAACTGCGAACAGTGGATCTTCCATGTAAGGAACCCTTTGTGGGAGAACCCGCACATCGAATTATAGTTGCTGACTTCCACTTTAGCAAGATGGTACCATCCAGCCAGAGATCAAGCTCACGGGTATCCTAAACACGTACAGCATGGCGCCAGATGAGGACACCAAGGGCTGGGGAACCCAGGTGTATCCAGGTAAGACGACCCAGCAACACACAGCTTCTTAGCCTAGGGCATATATATATCCAGCCCCGGGAGAAGAAGAAGAAAAGAGCTCCAAGACTAACAGAAGCCTTTTTCCACAAGGTGTCAACGCGCACAACCACCAACACCTCTTCTGCCTGCGCGTCGACGCCAACGTCGACGGGCCGAACAACACCGTCTTCATGGCGGACGCCGTCGCCTCGGACGCGCCCGTCGGCAGCCCCGAGAACTTCTACGGCAACGCCTTCTACGCGAAGCGCACCAAGCTCGACACGACGGGCAGGTCGCGCACCGACTACAACGGCGCCACCAGCCGCACCTGGGACATCTGCAACACCAGCAAGCTGCACCCGTACAGCAAGAAGCCCGCCAGCTACAAGTTGGTCAGCCGGGAGGTCGCGGGCTTGCTGCCGAAGGAAGGGTCGCTGGTGTGGAAGAGGGCGGGGTTCGCGAGGCATGCGGTGCATGTTACGAAGTGTAAGTTCTGGGGATCCTACACCACATCACCTAACCTACCTTTACTACTTCTCCTTTCTCTCTCGTCATCTTTTTATCCCTCGCCTCATTTTCCTTTCTTCCCCTATCCTCATCCCATTTCCCCCCTATCCCATCTTGGAACTGGTTATCAAGCTAACAACATCTAGACTCCGACGACCAGCTCTGGCCCGCCGGCCGCCACGTCCCCCAAACCTCGGGCGAGCCCTCCCTGGGCCTGCCGGAATGGATCGGCGACGGGACGGAGTCGGTGGAGGATACGGACGTGGTGCTGTGGCACACGTTCGGCGTGACGCACATCCCGGCGCCCGAGGACTTCCCCGTGATGCCCGTCGAGCCCATCACGCTGCTGCTGCGCCCGCGCAACTTCTTCGCCAACAACCCCGTCCTCGACGTGCCCCCCAGCTACGCCAGCACGCCGAGCCAGGTCGCGGCGAGCGGCGCTGGGGTGACGGATGCGACGGATAAGATGAGTAAGTTGGCTTTTGCGACGAATGGTGCTGGTGGCGGTTGCTGCGCAGCGAAGAATGGGACGAATGGGGTTAATGGGCATTAAAGGGGAGAAGAAAAGAAAAGAAATGAAGCAAAGTTGAAGTTTGTTATATCTGCCTGTCTGTCTGTATGTATGTACCTACACAATAACTTGGGATAGGGGGTGAGGAGCGGATAGTTTTGTATATATTTAACGCCGTGCAATTATTATGATGACATCAACCCAATTCGATTTCGATAGCCATCACTCACCTAGTAGTTATACACAAGTTATGCACGACTGTAATCTGGGGTGATAAAAACAAAGGAAGAGAGGAGGATCAACATTAGTTATCATGTCATAGTGGACAAAAGTAGAAAAAGAAATGCATCAGCCGCGAATCGAACGCGGGGCCCATCGATGGCAACGATGGATTTTACCACTAAACCACTGATGCTGTTTCGGAGTCGGGGAATTACTGATCCGTTGAGAATCTTGGCTGTTATATGAGTTTAAGTAGGTATCCACAGTGGTCTGGTTGTGCGGGCTTACATAACATAGCACTATATCTGCATAATGAGTGAACATGTGGACCACTCTTAGGACGACATCTATCTTCTGCATCGTCAGAGTCAACTTTATTATAATATGTAAGCTTGAATCCGTGTTGGTTAATTAAGTGCTTCTTTGATTGATTAATCGCTATTCCGGAATTCTATTGGATTGCCACTGGAGTAAATGTAGGAACCAGATGATGGCAATATTCGGTTACCTGAGCACTGGCGCTTGACTTGGGGCATTTGCCTATCACATAGGAGGTAGTAATTACGGAAAATGATTAAAATCTAATGCTAAGAATTTGATCGTGTGCAATGTCATCGTGCATTGATAATACCAGATATTACCAGATGTTCTACTTGTATGTCTGTATGTATGTACATCATGGATACATGTACGTGCAGATAACACGGAGTAAGTGGTGATTTGTACATACATATGTATTAAACACACGGTGCATATACATTATTCAAGTTGATACCTACCTATGTACCTTCCTCGGGTTTTCACATCGACATGAGCAGGTACTACTGGTAGGTAGTACATTGGATACAATACATGTAACAATTTCTATCTGAGCAGGTACGCGCACCGACATCCAGCATTGGAAACTTCTACAATCAATCAAGTAAAGTGTACATGTATGTCATAGGTATTCTCTCTTTTCCTCTTTCCTCCTTCTACTTAACTACTACCCACCTACTTTACTTTACCTACCTAGCACTATCCACCTAATGCTAGGTCCCTCACTTTAATCAAAATACCGATTAAATTAAATTACAAGAAAAATATCATTTGAGCTTCATCCCCTTCAATGCTCATTTATTTATGTACCTAGGTTAGGGTATTGTACATTAACTGTATACTAGAAACATTCAAGGTACTTAGGTAAGTACATAAGACACAAACCTCCGATGTCGTATCCCTCTTCACGTTTACTCGCGACATCAACTTACCAAACACCAGACAACATTATGCCTCCTGCACTGGATTTAAGCTCTGACGATGATCATAGTATTGATCACAGTCGTGTTACGTCCGACTTGATCGGCGTTGACACAGTCCAAGAGCAAGCCATGCCGCCACGAACCCCCACCACTCGCGTCTCAAAGGGGCCTGGCAGACCTCGCAAGAGAGCCATAAGCGACGTTGACGCGCCTCTATCCGCCACATTGGCCACTAAGCTTGCCGTTACTGCCAAAGATGATGTGGTTATGGAGGATGTCCAGGCACCTCCTCGCAAACGCGGTCGACCCCGCAAAAGTACCTCAACCACACAACCCGGCAACGGAGTGGGTCCCGCCAGCAGTGAACGCGACCCAGAAAGTCGCCCACAGTCGTCGGCTTCCAACCTTAGTCGCAATCAAGATGGTCACTTGCCTCAGCTGGCTCTCTCTAATCTGGCTGTCGGATCCCCAAAGCCCACGGGCAAGGGCAAGCACAAGCGCACGCCAAAGACTCGTGGCAACCAGCCAAACCTCGAAAGTCTCTTGCGTGAAATTTTCATCTTGAACACAGTCCAGCAAGGCCAAGAGCTGCGAATCACTCACGAGCAGGCCATGCAGCTGCACTCCATCTTTGCGCCAGCATTATCGGCGCCCGAAGGAGAACTCATGGTTCCATCACGACTAGCTAACGCTATTCGATCTTTCCTTGCTAATCCGGCCAACGAAGATGGTATCGCACTATGAAATCCGGGTCGGGAGTAAGGGTGTGGAGAGGGGGTGAGGAGGGGGAAGAGATGATTAAATGGGGAGTTTTTTCTTTTGTTCATTCGTCGTCATCTAAAGGATAAAAGGGATATATCCGCATTGCCGTTCGGAGTCAGCATCACGATTTCTTTTGTGTTGAAACCCTTGTTAATAACAACTCGATACCATTGCTCTCAGACAATTACTCCTTTTAATTTTGAGGAATAAAATAAAACGTGGCATTTTCTCACATGAGAGATACTTACCTAGGTAGGTAGTGATACTCATGGAAAAGTGCTCCTTCAAATTGATGATGTTGTTCCACGTGTTTATTTGATGCAGTAGGTTAGTGCCTACCTAGTACTACATATTCGCCCTCCAATAAGTATTCAGGGGTAAATCATACTATGTACAAGTGCCTACGTGAAGCCCTCCTACCCAGCCCTCTAAGTAACTTCAGCCCGACTAAGCCACACTTTTCAATTGGCGACGAGGTCATAAGGGGCCGCCCACCATACTGCTAACCTGGGCATTTTGCGTTATTACTGTATCACCTCTTTTCTTTTCTTTTATTGCCGTTTGCTTTTTCGACTAAATACCGCCGCCACCATAACTACCACAAGATCTGATAAGATAAGAGGATACATTTCGCCTGCCTGTAATACCTCACCTTACATCCCAGTATTCACATATGCATTGCTAACAGCGTAAGCTAGGCACCTGGCATCAATCTACACAGTATCCAGTAAATATGGCTGATAACTAATGGCAACGAGTGAGCTACGATAGAAATGTGTACAACCTGTAAGGCGTACTGAAAACCCCGGTTCTATACGGGCGCTTACACAGAAGTAAGCTCAGCATTGTTAGCCCTACGACAGAGCCTCCCTTGCGGCTCGTGGGCAGTTCCAATTGGCACAGCCGCGCCCAACGGGCTCTCATCGTGCTCCTTGAATTAGGAGTTTGGTGCTCTCCACTGAGCTTTATGGGTAGCATTGATTTCGCAGCAGGCAACCAACTTGAACCAGCCCCTGGAGGTGTAGGTACATAAGGATATGTCAGTCGGTCAAGTAATCACGGATGGATGTGTCTCAGACTCACTCACCAGCAACGACAGGTTCGCACTTTTGACTTTTTGGCGAGGGTGGGTTCAATAACTCATGTATTCTACAATGAGGACCATCAAGCGGATATTCCACTATCTAGCCCATCTAGAGTGGACGGAACGGGTCCAGCATACTTGCATCTTCTGTAATAGGGAAAATCTGGTCAAAATCGTCTACGAGGTAGGTATTTAGAATACACTTGTTATAATTATATCACTTGGAAGAAAACGTGAGACTGATAGATAGCCGTGCCAATCAAGGATGATGATCTAATCGCCGTCGAAAACCGACGTCTGTCCGGTCGGTACCACTGGCTTATTATGCCCAAGGCCCATAAGATCCGGGATATCGAGGCGCTGGATGGCAACGACCTACCTCTTTGTAAGCCTTTGCTGAAGCTCGCTCATGTCCCTCTCCCCCGTGCCTAGGTAATGTATGCTACCTCGGAGGCATTAAACTAACGACACTATCAGTACAAGAGATGGACCGCGTAAAACATCATCTAATCGCCCTCCATTCCACCCCCGCCACGCCCCGCCCATCCATCATCTCAGGGTACCACCGGGGCCGGCGGCCGCTACTAGGCAAGATCTACTACCCGGACATCGTCTCCATCCACCATCTCCACCTTCATGTCATCGTCCAGCCGCACGTGGTGCCGCGACTTTTGAAGTATCCGGCGTGGCTGCCGCTTATGTGGAAGTCGGATGCTAGGGTGATGCGGGAGGTGCGGCGGCTTGTGTAAGAGGGGGCTCCGAAGCAGGAATATCATTACTTGGAGAGCTTTTGGCGGGAGGGCGCTTACTTACCTACATACTTGGAATACCCAGTCAAGCGTTGAATTTTTCTTCACTTCGTTCGGCGATGTGGTGAGCGTTATACGATCCCCTCAAACCGATTATCTTAGACACACCTGATTTCATGAAGAATTATGTATGAAAATGGAGAAAGAAACTTACGGAAACTTCTGTCACTCAGCGAGGTTCAAATACGGTCAAGGAAAGCCTAATTACATCCTGTGAGCACGCCGCAATAAGGGTCGTGTCCCGTGTCCGTATCGGCAAACCTACGTTCTCCCGAGGCAACACCAAACTTTCTGATGAATCACAAGGTAAAATGAGCAACCCTATTTCAATGTACATGAATCATTTTGAAGGTAAGAAATAGGTATGGTTCCCCCTGAGTGCGATCACATGTCTGTCTAGGTAATATTGGCCCAAAATGGAACTTGCAGTGGCAAAACCCCCCTTTAAACAAGCTCTCTTGTTGCATCAGTTGACGACGCAGCTGACTTCTTACAGACAATCACACAGGAATTCGTGATCAACCCGACCAGTTACATAGAGATTTGCCACTCGTAATGAATCCAATGTAATGATAACGGGAAGATCTCAAAGCCGTGTCCGTTAAATCTCGGCAACAGTCGACCCGTGGTGGAGTAGAGTTTTGTTCACTTAAAGGGGCGATCAAGTATCTCGATCCAAGGCATGATACTTATCAGCCCTTACTCTAGCCAAGGTGTGGCTAAACCTACCCTGACATATGGATAGCCATCCATCTACCTCGGTATGGTCGTTTGTGAGATGTGCGTATCAACCTATCTATTACTTAGCAAGGCTCTCTGTACCATTATGAGTTTCCCGTGATAGTTTTCCGCTGTCTCTCTTTAAAAAGGTTTACCACGTTTTTGCTTTATTGCTCACCAGTTTTACGGTTACCCAAGTGCGTGTGTATAACAGGTCAGACCAGGAGGAGGGCTCTTCATGAGTTTCCATAGCCATGAATTCCGTGCGCAAATTGACAACAGCAGCCCTCGGCGCCCGCTCTCTCAACAATGGTGTTGGCTACTATGGATTTGCCGACAGAAATGGTAAGTATGCCAGCTACGTCTACATGAGACGAATACGCTGACAATAGCAGCGATGTCAAATCTGGGGACACCTCACGCCCCAATATTAAGTCGATGTCTCGCAAGCGATTCTTCGCATGGCTGTTCCTGGGAAGACATGAATGTCGCCGATACCAACGCTTACACGACGCGTCCGGACTCAGGCGTCACGAGAACTTACGACTTCACTATCACGAGAGAGACAGCTGCTCCAGATGGCGTGGAAACGAAATTACTTCTTGTGAACTCGCAATTCCCGGGGCCAGTGGTGGAGTGTGACTGGGGAGATTGGCTTGAAAGTAGGTATCAGTTTCCGATAATAACAAGGTATCTGGTGAATACAAGCCTGAACAGCGTCGCAGTTACAGTTCACAACAACATCTCGGATGAGGGTACGGCAATACACTGGCATGGCATGCTACAACAAGGGACACCTTGGATGGACGGTGTGCCGGGTATCGCTCAATGTCCAATAGCGCCCGGCTCCTCATTCACCTACCGGTTTAAGCCCGATCTATACGGTACCGGTTGGTATCACTCACACTACGAAGCGCAGGCAGTGAGTGGCTTCGCTGGCCCCATGATAATTCACGGCCCAACTCACGTCGACTATGACATCGATCTGGGCCCGATTGCTGTCTCAGATTACTTCCACGAGTACTATGACGTGATCGCCGAAGGATTTCTGAACAACAAAGTCGAAGTCACCCTGTCTGATAACAACCTGATCAATGGGAAGAACTCATACAACGGCAACAATGCTCCTCTGGCGTCCTTCAACTTTACATCGGGAAAGATCCATCGGTTACGGCTGATCAACACGTCAGCATTCGCTGTGCAAAAGATATCTATTGACGGGTACAACATGACGATCATGGCGAACGACTTCGTGCCGATCGTCCCCTACTCAACCGACGTCGTAACCCTCGGCCCCGGCCAGCGCTCCGACGTCCTAGTCCACGCAACCGGCAAACCCACCGACTCGGTCTGGCTGCGAACCTACAAACCGCCCAACTGCTCCCCGGGCAAGCACGGCTCGTACCTCGCCACCGCCGCAATCTTCTACGAAGCGGCCGACCGCACACAACCCCCCACCACCTCCCCCGGCCCCAGCGCGTACAACTCCTACTGCGGCAACGACCCCCTCCCCCTCACCATCCCCGCCCACCCCCTCTCCCCGGGCCCTCCCAGCGTGACCGAGAACCTCCCCATCGAGCTGCGCCCCAACGGCTCGTCCAACCTCTGGTACATGGCGAACCGGACCTTCCGCGTGGACTTCGACTCGCCGCAGCTCCTGGGCGCGCGCGACGGCCGCCGGGAGTTCCCGCGCATCCAGAACGTCCACGACTACGGCGCCAACGCGTCGCTGCGCTTCGTGATCCAGAACCCCGGCGTCCAGCCGCACCCCGTGCACGTGCACGGGCACAACTTCTGGGTGCTGCAGACGGGGGCGTGCGAGGACAACGAGACGGTTTTCCCGCACGGGCAGGCGGAGTTCGCGAGGGTGTACTCGCCGGGGGAGGCGAGCGAGCGGTTTGGTGGTGGTGGTGGTGGTGGTGGTGGTGGTCCGGGCGGTCAGGGGTATCACCCTCGACTGGATGTCGATCCTGGGGCAGGTGTAGACGACGAGGCGCACCGAGAGAAGGTGGAGGAGGAGGAGCGAAGGCGGCGGGATGTGCCGTTGATGAAAAATTGGACGGCGACGACGACCACCACCACCGGTGACTACGGCTCCTGCTGGGACGGCTCCATCGTCAACCCGGGCAACCCGCAGCGCCGCGATGTGCAGATGCTGTTGCCGGCCCATTATATTGTTATCCAGTGGGACCAGGATAACCCGGGCGTGTGGCCTTTGCATTGTAAGTTTGAGTTTCCAGCATGAAGACGGAGATGATGCTAATTTGGGGGTTAGGTCACATTGCCTGGCACTTAGCCGGCGGTATGGGATGGATGATCTTGGAGCGGCCGGACGACTTTCTGGATAATATGGATGTCAGTGATGCTATGGCGCAGACTTGCGATGGGTGGCATGCTTGGGGTGCTGATAATGTTGTTGGTGAGTTGAGCTTCTTCCCTACTTCCTTTCCATATCATTGATTGAGAAAGGTATCTGGGTATGTGTGGTATCTCAGCTAACGAATATATACCTACTGCAGGTCAAATTGGTGGTGGTTTGTGATAACGTGATAATAAAAGCACTTGGGTATCCCGAGTTTCTTAATGTATAATCTCAGTCTCATTGCTTCTGCCTCATATCAGTGAACGCCTAACCTAGCTACATCTCGTCGTAATCCGTGCTATGAATAACATGCCCCCAATCCTCCAGCACCTTCAACGTCCCCTCACACTTCTCCCTAACTCCCTCATAACAATCTGCCCCAAGCGGAAGTCTAAACGGCACCTCCCTGCCCAGCGCACAACCCTCCCCCTTTACAAGATCCGCAATGATCGTAACGGCTTTCCGCGGGTCGCCCGCTTGCGTCCTATCTTCTTTTGCCAGCCCATCAAGATGCGCCTGCGAGGCCGCCATGTATTCCGAGATCCGCGACGGCACGGCCTGCAGGTTCCCCGGCGACAGCAGGTTCGTCCTGAAGCGGCCCGGCTCGATTAGTATGGTTTTGATTCCGAGAGGCGCTATCTCGCGGCTTAGGCTCTCGACGAGACCTGTGGGTTGTTAGTGGAGGAAGTTCGTTACCGAGTTCCCAGGTGTGGTATAAGTTTCAAATAGAGAGGTAGACACTACCTTCCAAGGCAAACTTCGATCCCGCATAAGGCCCGACAAAGGGATGTCCATGCCAGCCCGACAGGGAGCTGATGAATACCATGGTGCCTGACCTCCGCTCCCTGAAATGAGGTAGGATGGCGCGGGTTACTTTATAGGTCCCGAAAACGTTGGTCTCGAATTGGGAAAGCAGTTGTTCGTACCTGATACCACGTAAGAAAGAGTATTAGGTGTGTAGGTTCATTTACAGATTTTACTTACTCGACATCCTCCCATCCGCCAGTCACAATGTATGCAGCGTTGTTGACCACCACGTCAATCCTGCCATATATCGAGACGGCCTTGGCGACAGTGTCGTCTATGCCCTGCTGAGAGTGGGTCACGTCGAGTTGTAGGATGGCTGCCCCAGCACGATCCAGATGTTGGACCTTCTCCAGGTTTCGAGAGGTGGCTATCACGAGGTCTCCGCGAGAGAGAACATGTTGTGTCAGTAGCTCGCCAAAGCCAGAGGAGCATCCGGTTATGAGCCAGATGAGTTGAGTCATGTTGATGATGTAGATAGCTTCTAATAGCTACGAAGGTACCTAATCGTGGGTTATTCAACATATAATTTATTGAAAAGTACCGGTAGGTATCTTGGAGGAGAGGAGAGTTCCAATCCAGTCCAGTGGTCGAAGTCAAAGAGTGGTATATATACCAACCCAGTTCACAATGTATTATCCATCTTCTTCGCGTGTTATGAGCCCGAACGAGAATTTTACGTCGACAGATCCCGGTGACTCATTCATTGCCTCCATCCCGTACACATCATACTTGAGGCTGTATAATCAAAGATCGGACTTCATCACGGTATACGGCTTAGATTGCTGAAATGCCGCCCACGTGACGAAGCTGAATGCCGCCATGTTCAATGCTACCAAACCACACAGCTTGTAAAGCTACCTAGGTTAGGTAGATATCCATACACTAGGTGCTTATGTCAGTGTTCAAGTTGTGCTCAAGTCCGCTCAACCCCGCCAAAGTCCGCATCGGGACGTTGCAGCAGTCGGAATGATATGCGGAATCATAGGCATAAGCGTGTCAGTGAAAATGCAACATCTCGGAATTGAGAAATGATAAATGACACGAAGCATGAAGTTGCCGATTGGTCACTATAAGCCAATAGAGGGATGAAAATAAGGATACAATCTTGAAAGTTCTTACCGACCTACCTACTCCAACCTCAGACTTACCTTACTGCACCCCTGAACAGTCTACTCACTGTTTTACGAAAAAATCACATGAAAACTTCTCCCCCTTTCCAACACTACCTAGGTAGGTACTGGGTAGCTAACCCACCCCACCCCACCCTCCATCATCACCAATCTTACCCGATACCTCCTCTCAATCCCATCATCACCCACTCTCACATACCTAGCTACATACCTACATCCGGCTCCTCCTTCTTCCCCCCCCCCCTCACGCATAGAACTGCAACCCCGCCACCACATCCCCCCACCGCGAGTGCACATAATCAAGCAACACATTCCCCCTCGGCCTCCACGGCCCAGCCCTCCCATACTTCGGCAGCCTCTCCTGCGCCTCCGCCGCGTACGTCGAGCGCAGCGGCCACACGCTTTTCTCCGACAGCGGCATCCCCGCCGCCGGAAGCCTCGGCACCGCGGCCCCGAGCCCGCAGCGCCGCATGAGGCGCACGACGCGCACGAACACGAGCACGGCGCTGTCGACGCCCGGCGTCCACGACATGTCGACGTAGCCCAGCAGGAAGCACAGGTTCGGCACGTCCTGCAGCATCGCGCCGCGCCAGACCGCGCGCGCCGCCATGGGCCGGCCCCTCCCGTCGACGCGCATCGCGATGTCCCCCCCGAGCCGCATGTTCAGCCCCGTCGCCGTCACGATCGCGTCCGCCGGGACCCGCTCCCCGCCTTCCATCTCCACGGCGTCGGCGGTCACCCTCCTGATCACCCCCGTGACGACGTCCGCGTTCCCGCGCCGCAGCGCCGCGAAGAAGTCGCCGTCGGGCGCGAAGCACAGGCGCTCGTCCCAGACGCGGTAGCGCGGGCTGAAGTGCGGGTCCACTTCCATTCCCGGCGGCAGCTGGGCCTTCGTGGCGCGTAGGAGGCGGTTGCGGGCGCGGGTGGGGAAGGTGCGGTAGAAGAGGACGCCGAGGAAGGCCATGAGGTGGTAGAAGAGGCGGACGAGGCGGCGCAGGGGTGCGGCGGAGACGGGCTGGGAGTTGTTGCTCGACGCGATGTAGGTGGGGCTGCGCTGGACCATGACCACTTTCGCGGCGGTCTTGGCGAGGTTGGGGAGGAGGGTGATGGCCGTGGAGCCGCTGCCGACGATGACGATGCGCTGGTTCGTGTGATCGAAGTCTTGGGGCCAGAATTGCGGGTGGATTACGCGGCCTTTGAAGGTCTCGAGGCCGGGGATCGTGGCGGGGCGTGGGGTCTCGTAGTCGTAGTAGCCGGTTCCGAGAATGACGAACTGGGCCTTGATTTCTCTTGCGAGGCCGTCATGGTCCACGGCCAATGTCCATTGTTGGGACTTGGACGACCAGTCCATCGACTGGACTTTGTGTCTGTATCGGATGCGGTGATCGATACCGTGCTGCTTTATAGAGTCCTTGAGATATTCTTTAATTAGAGGTCCCTCGGCGATGGGATTGGGGTGAGGCCAAGGGTTCCAGCTAAAGCTGTAGGTGTAAAGGTCCGAGTCTGACCGGACTCCTGGATACTTGAAGAGATCCCAGGTGCCTCCGATATCATCTCGGCCTTCAAGAATGGCATAGTTGAGATGCGGAAGTTCGGTTTGTACCCGGTAAGCGGCGTTTATACCAGACACTCCTGCTCCGATTATGATTAAGTCAAAAGTTTCTGGTGGTGATGCCATTGTGATGCTGTCACAGAGTGGACTATGATGAAGATGTGTCGACTTGTAGTGCTTCTCAACAGAAGAGATCGGAGAAGTGGCCAGCTTTATATAAGTGATAGATAATAGAGCGAGCCTCGGCCATAAGCATGTGCCGTGTTGTTTTGAGAGGATAGTACCTGAGACATGCCGAAAAAATGGGTAGAGTGGCATTTCATGGCTGGCAGATAGGATAGCACCAGCTATATGCACCCGCATGAGACGAGTACACAGCAAACAAATCTACGGAATCAGAGATTGGAGTAATGGCCCAGTCCATTACATTACCCTTCCTTGTCATATGTGACATGCATTCATTCATGTGCGCATGGAACATCTGCAAGCACGGGTTGCATGGCTACCACTTTGACGACATAAACGAGACGAGTCGTGCTTGGCTTTCGAGAAAACGCCTCCCATCCGATTTCGTTCCATATCAGGTGTCTCCGAGGGGCAGTTCGCCATTCCGTGATCAACTTGGTTGTACACATGTTCTTGGTCGTAAACCAATGACGTCTAACAATCATGCATAACAGTAAGTACCTACCAAGATACTTGGTCACATAATGATACCTACCTAACCTAGGTACCTACCGACCTACATATATGAAGTAGCTAGACAGGTAAGCAATGATACTGTAAACATTGGAATTAATATCTTATTATACTGCTCAAAATAATATGCTATGCGGCCCATGACCCAACAAGCCCCTTTAGCTACTGGGTACGTGTAATGTCTTTTGATACTAGAGGGGATTGTAATATATCACATCAACATATATAATGCTTTAACAGCTTTCTCGGCCGCAGCGATATGCCATGGGCGAATATCTGTATCTTTGTCCACCATACCGCGTGCTCTAGCTAGCGTTCCCAGGCCCCGGTAGTAAGTAAGCATCTCGCGTAGTAGCGACTCGTATGCTCTGGGGTTGCCCTCGTTATGGACAATGTTGACTTCCATAACGACTGGCGGATCTTCAGTTCTCGTCCCCCCGCGTTTTACCAGATACCCGCTAACAAGAGCAGGATTAAGCTCGGTAAGAGAACAAGAATTATTTAGTCTGTGTGATAGGACGGCCCCCCACGTTTGATCTGTGATTTCCGTCAAGGTGGCGTCACCGTCCGATTCTGGGTTATTGTCACCCGGTGTCGGTGCGCCCGCTGCCACGTTTTCACGCATGGGCGTGGATGGATTGCCACTCTGCTCCGGTGAAACCATTGACGCTTGTGGCGTCGAAACAGGAGTGGTGTAAAATACCGACAGGGCGTTACTCGATACCTTGGCAGGCGGTGGTAGCAGCTGCATAGATGGATCTGTGTCAACTGTGACGAGAGTCAAGGTAATGGACGCCTTCGACTCGGACTGAGCCAAAGCAGACCACAGCTCCACCTCAGACTGTTCCATCATCCCACACTTTGCGATAATGATTCGCCAGTGCACTTTCCAAGCTGAGATAAAATCGCGAGTTGCTCCCCATATTTCCGTTCCAACTTCTGCCATCGTTGTAGATAGCGGCTTTCCCTTCCTTCCTAAGCAATATGATGCAGTCATTTGCTGACTACCTCTATTGTCTGTCCACGCAGCCGTAATCCACCTTCCGTCTATACTTTGAGCATAAGCAATATGCAGACATGTATTTTCGTGGAGTAAGGACGCCGATGGATGGGTTGTTAGCTTGAAATCAATGATGCGCGGTGGTGGCTGTTCCAGCATTATGGCCGGCGGCGATGGCACTGCAGCACCGAATTGGGTACATCTGTCATACATCTCCATCGCTAGCCTAGAAAATTCGAGAGGAGATGGCATGGCTACTGAATGTGAAGACGCTACAAAGTCTTGAGGTATGAGCTGTAAAGCTAGGTCATTGTTAACTGGCAACTTCTTGCTGGATAGAAGTTTTTTGTAACTTTCGAATATCTGGTTGAAGACGGCGCAACATTCGACTATTGACCCGGCTACATCAGGTGAATAGATGAAGAAGACGACAAAGTTGACCTCTTTAGCTTTCAAAGATACTAGCATTTGGCTGACCTTGGAAGCGCAATTCGCTAGTGTAGGCCTTAGGAAGGGTGCAGACTTGCTCGATGATGCCGAGTCTTGTTCGACATGATAGGGAAACATGCCGTTCTCCACGCCAGATGTGGATGGTAAACGATTAAACGACCCTAATTTCAACGACTCGTATATGCTGCGCATTCTATCTGTAAATACAAGCATATCATCTACTAGGCCTTCATAGTCCGGGAAAACACAAATGGCGTTGATGTCTTTGTTGCCTGGAGATGGACTAAGACCAAGGCTTTCCCAAAAGGAAACAGCAGATGGCAAGACAGACAGCTTCGATTCGTAGCGTCGCAACTCGAAATGTGGCGAAGGGATCTGAAACAAATTGCTTGGTCTCATCTGGTCGGCACCTGGTGGTCTTGGTTGCATTCTCGTAGGCTGTCCAAGTAGTGGTACGTCCTGAAGTTCGAGAAAAGGACGGAGTTGGTATCGAATAGCCAGTGTAAGGCATGGTGGGAAATTGGCTTTCATATCCTGGATCGACCTACGAGTTAAACTCGTGAGGCGGCGACGTTGATCAACTCTCGATTCTAGAGATTGGGGTGCACTGTTGGCTAGGAGAGTGCTGGTAGAGAATTGATCGGTAAGAGTTTGTGCAGCCATGATCAATTGATCATCTGGTAACGTATATTGAATCAAGGGTGGCTCCGGATCGGCGAAATATTTCGTCAGAGGAAGATCTACCTCGGACTTAGAGCCCGGGGGCAGCTCAAGGGGCAGATGTGGCGAGCTCGCATCCACAGATTCAAGTTCCCTGAATGAGGCGGCAAGCGATTCCCCATCGTCATCTATTGGACGTCGCCTGGCGCTCGATGATTTGACAGGTGACATGGGTTCATCACTATCATAGCTGGAGTCATCTTGGTCTGATACAAGACTTAACTCGTCAGCATCCGAATGAGTGTCCTCGATGTGTGAAGGACTTCCACGATTCGATGCGTGATCTTGCGCTCCGGTGGCACGGCTTAAAAGCTGGCCAACCTTCGTGGGAAGCTCTTTTAACCCCTTTCGATTCTTTGAATGGCGTCGTAGATAGTCTGTAGTTGGTGGCTCGTTAAGGCTGGATGTCTTGAGTTCTCCCGACCGTTCGGCAGAATAATCAAATCGTCCGCTTCCTTCATATTTACTATTCACGACCGATAAAGATGGTCCAAAATCAACTTTGTCGAAAACGCTTCCACCTGTGGTAGCACCTACACCTCCGTGCTTCTGAACAACTTTATAATTATCAAGGGAGGCCTTGATCCTTTTGAAAACTGTGTCCGGGTTAAACGGGCTGGCAGGCCTCTTCACGCCTGCCGACCGAGACCTGCCCGGTTCTAGACCAACTTGGCGACGTGCGTCGTCTACTAACGAACTCCGTGCGTGTCTAAGCTCAGGCTTTGCAAACATCGGCAAGGGAGCCACATCGGGCATGTGAATATCTGGAATGTCTGATTTGATATGCGATTCTTGTGCGGTGGAAAGGGTGACTGAGAGGTCAAGGCTGGAGTTGGTGTTCGAGATATTCGGGATATCTAGGGAGCCTAGGTCCATATCTCCAGGCTGCTCGTCAAAGAAATTGAAATCAGCTTCGGTGATGTCATTGTCCCCAAACATATCAGGGCCTAGCTCTCCGAAGAGGTTTTCGGACTCGTATGAATTGCCAATCCGCTCACGTTTTGCCTCTGGATTTCCCCAATTATCACTATACGAGGACGATGTGTTGCGAGTTGCGTCAGCGTCCACCATTATCGTGTTGCCAGCATTATTTCCAGGGCTTGAAGACGTGCCATCCATAGACGGAGTTGCCCCTGTCATGTTCGGGAGGTTATCCGGTGGCGTCGGATAAAGGCCAGGTGGTAGGGCCCCGGTAGTGCTGCATCGTCGCATAGTGAGAGGAGACAGTCCAGTCGTATGCTGGATTTGATTATCTGCCACCGCCATTTCATGGGCTGTTGCAGCATCCCTTTCCTTCTTATTCTTTGCCAATAGCTCATCCCGGTCCCCTGTCCCCAAGAACCATTGCTTAGCAACTTTCAAAGCGTCAAAATTTTGATCAGCTTGAGACGTCGATGAGTCGTCCACTTCTCCTTTGATAGCTAGCCGCGAGAACATCTTGCAGAAGCATAAGCTCGCTGGCCATGAAACGCCGGGGGAACCTACTAGGGGAAGTGGTGTACGTTTTCCATCCACAGTTTGATCCATTGGCCTCCGGCGCATTCGCTGGAGATTGATCCAATTATGAGTAGCACTAACGGAAGAATGGATGTTTCGAGTCTGTAGAAATCGGAAACAAGCATTTCGCCAAGGACCGTCCTCTCTCTCGGATCGCAGTCTCACAGCCTGAGTATCTGGCGATTGACCATACCCACCTTCGGTAGCGACGCTTTCAGGCACGGCGACAGGATGACAGGTTGCGAACATTCCCAATGGCGCGGCTAGTACAGTAACACCAAGAGACGGCAATGGGTATCCAATATTGTCAGATATGTTAATTATACCTTCCGCTAGGAAAAGAGCAATAGACACAACTAAACTACCCGTTGTTGTGAGATATATACGTAGCGAAGCGAGGATAGCGGGTTCGACGATATAATCATAGTGAGATGTTCTCGAGAGGAGCAAGGTTCGAGAGCTCAGAGGGATGGCGCCTGTGGCGGCACAAAAGCTCGAAGACACTGCCGAGAGAGCGGCCGAGATGAAGTGGTCATAAGCATCTTTCATCGAAATCGAAGAGCTGACTCTATGATCAACGGAGGAAGCTGCCTTGTATTCTTGCTCGCTAATAGAGCCAGCATAAGACTGGGCAGGTGGAAGAGTTGCTGACTGGGCATTCTTGTATGTCGGATCAAGAATGGCTGACCCACTAGATGAAGAACTGGCCGGAGTAATAGCAGTGTTTGGGGCATGTACGCGATTTTTGACGAGCGATGCTGATTCAAAAGCGCCCTCTTCAATTAGAGAAAAGGTAAATCCAGCGCCGTCAATAGACTTCGGGAAGGCTGGTGTGGCCGTTTGATTCCCCTGGGGCCTCTCTTTTTGTGATAACCGAAAGCACCATACGCCCCGTCGGCCGGTATCAAAATGGGCCAGGAATCCATCTTTTTGAAGTGTAGTCTCCACCTCGAGTGCGATAGAACTGAAGGACGTCGAGACTGAAGGGACGGTTTCGTAGAAGGCGAAGTTGACGGATAATATATTATTCTAAGACATCAAGAATTACATAGGGTTAGTAAATGATATAGGTAGGTAAATCAAAGGGATAAATAAAGGGCTTTTCAACTAACAACTACCAATGCATTAGTTTCGTATTCACCAGTGTCCATATCGTAAATCGTATCAATCATTCCGATGGGGTATTCGTTCCCATACAAGAGACAGCGCGAGGCGCAGCTAAGCTAATAGGATGATGGATGAGTTTGTATGTAGGTGGTGGCCGTTACGGAGTCTATGAGTATGAGTTTGTTTCAATCTTTGAGGTCTCCAGCACGTGCTGGACTCCATCTCCGCTGCGCCTACTCCGACAAATGAATATAGCAGCAAAGCAAAGCAATGCAGAGTTCGACGGGCGGAGGAGGGGGCAATAAGCAGGCGTGCAAACGACTATCGAGCCATGAGAGTTCCTTAGAGGCCTCGGTAAATATTGGCCAGAAGATTGGAAGTATTCTGGAGAGTTGCGAAAGACCGATTATGGAGACGTCACAAAGTCGATCGCAAGTTAGGTATTAATAAGTATCAAAAATGATTGGAAATAGCCAAACGGGTGGTTGGGATGATCATTGGTGTAGGTAGATAGGTAGGTAGGTAGTGTATAATTTCTTGTTGGCTTGTTAGAGGGAATATGTATCAAAAGGGCTGAGGAGAGTTCGAGTCTTGCGCAACTCAAAAATGGCGTTGAATAATTCAAATGCTTGGTCCGGGGAGCATGGATACCAGTGTACCATAGAAGCTAGGTGGCAGGGGTGGTCAGGGATTGGTAAATGTGGCTTGGGCCAATCATGTACTAGGCGCATTCAGTTAGCTGGGGCCGTGGACCCTGTGGCCTACAATGGCCCTACCTACATGCTTAGCGTAGTACTATGTACATAATAAGGAAGTGGATCTATACAAGGGTCTCTTATCGAGCAACGAAAGTGAGAAAAGTCTCCACTGAATTTTTACTTATCGCCCCTCTAGCGTCTTCATCCTTGCCTTCGCGATCGTCTTTTTCTCCCTTCTTCATTTTCCATTTTATTTTATAGGAATTTTCTTTTCTTTCTTTTCCCATCTCACTCCTATTATAGTGAAACTTTTCCTGGCAACAGTTGTCGCCATGAAGGTCACTAATCAAGGAGATGTGTCGGTCTACACGATAGCCGGCGCCAATACTGCACGGCCTCTGCCAGACTGGTAAAGTCAACTTTTGGATCTTGGTTTCTTCAATGAGGATGAACTAACTCAATGTCTCTATGTAGGTTGGCCCGTCGCCGGAAACGTAGCTTGAAAACCGATCCCGAGTACCAAAATAGGATAGAACTTCTTCAAGACTTTGAGTTTGAGGAAGCCAGCCAGTGTATCCGAGTTTCAGATGACAATGATTGGATTATGTCTACAGGAACATGTAAGTCATAGGTCTGGATGGATCCTCGATTATGGAGTTTGAAGTTTGAGTTTTCCCAATCGGAGTCAAATATTGATAATCAGCAGACAAGCCGCAATTCCACGTCCACTACCTACCTCATCTTGCCTTGTCATACGCGAGGCATACCAAATCTCTCAACACGACATTTCTTCTTCTCTCGACCGACTATACCAAATCTTTACATCTACAAAGCGACAGAAAACTTGAATTCCACGTAAGTAATACAGGAGTGTTACTGACGAAGGATCTCATTCAAAATTATTGCTTACTGACACTCTAATAGACGCCCGCCGGATGCCATTATGAATTACGTTTACCCAGGTATGGGAGAGACCTGGTCTATGATCGACAGTCCACCGAAGCATTAATCCCTTCCGTGGGATTGGATTCAGACGGCAGTGGCGAGGTTTTCCGAATGAACCTCGAGGTTGGGAGATTCATGAAATCTTATCAGATTGACGTTGGAACCGATGATGGTGTTGAAGGTGGCTTGCAGGGAAGTATTGGCGTCGGAAGTGTCAATACAGCAGCAATTGCCGAGAACAGTCACAACTTGTTAGCATTTGGCACTTCTATTGGTTCAGTGGAGTTTTGGGATTCACGATCCAAATCCCGAGTCGCCATCCTCGGTGGTCAAGAAGGGGAAATAACGGCACTTGACTTTAGTCCTTCTGGCCTTTCTTTAGCCACCGGCACATCAAATGGTCTCATAAAACTTTTCGATCTTCGAAGCCCGAAACCGCTCTTGCAGAAGGACCACGGACCCGGATTCCCCATCAAGAATCTTATTCACATGACAACATCATCACAAGAGAAAAAGATATTATCTGCTGACAAACAGATGGTAAAGATATGGGACGAGCTTGATGGAGAGACATGGACCTCAGTCGAGCCTCTTGTCGATATCAACTTCGTCACGTGGTGCAAAAATACCGGAATGATACTTACGGCTAATGAGGGCAAGCCTCTGCACAGCTTCTTCATACCACAATTAGGGCCTGCACCTCGGTGGTGTTCATTCCTCGATAATATGGTTGAAGAGATGGCTGAAGAGGTCACCACCGACCAATACGACAATTTCAAGTTCTTAACATTACCAGAACTCAAATCCCTCAGCATGGCTCATCTAATCGGCAAGACGAACTTATTACGTCCTTATATGCACGGATACTTCGTGGCTTCCAGACTTTACGATCAAGCTCGACTCATCGCCAACCCATACGCTTTGGATGAGGAGCGGGCTAAACGCGTTAAGGAGAAGGTCGAGAAAGAACGTGCTAGCCGCATTCGCGGAAATAAGAAGGTCAAGGTCAACCAGAAACTGGTCGATAAGCTGCTCAAGCGTCAAGAAAAGAGAGCACACGTCGATACAAAGGCTGGTGTGCTGGGTGATGCCCGTTTCACTCGCTTGTTTGAGGACGAAGAGTTCAAGATCGACGAGACTAGTCGGGAGTTCCAAGTACTTAACCCAAGCACCAAGGTGGATCCAGAAACGGGCGCGAAGACTAGCATGGCACGCGCTCGGTCATCAGACGACAGCGGGGAGGACGAAAGCGACCTGGATCAAAGTGATGATGGTGACGATGGCTTATTTAAAAGGGACACGCCAAAAGAAGTAGAAATGCGTGTCAGTTCGTCCAACCGAGGCAGTGGACGGTCGTCTAAGGATACCTCCTTAGGCTCCAGAGCTCAAAACTCAGGAAGGGTTAGCAAAGCCCGAAGTGGGGATGTAGTGGGAGAGCGACAAGTCACATTTGTACCGGAATCGAGAAGAAAGAAGACTGAAGAGGCCCCGAAAGAGCGGGCTAAAGATAGACGAACGGACTCGCGACGAAGCGCTAGCACTAATGTCTTCAGACGACTTTGATACCCAAACAATATAATAACGATATTGGTACAAAATTCCAAGGGCAACCTTTGCCTGAACTCCACGCTTCAATTTCGAAAGGAAGCTATTCATGACATTTTCATTTCAACTCGTACTTAATCTCAACTGGCTTCGGCTACCTATATGTATCCTCCATTGACACCTAGATTACTAGTCCTTCACTTCCTCGTCCACTTCTTATTTCTCCCCTCGGGACTCTGTCGAAGACTTGACTGGGCAAGACCTTTCTCGACATCTTCAGGGCGAAGTCTGGGTGTGGGCGGTACGTCGTCCAGGCGCACACGGCCTCGGCCTGATTTATCAGATGAATCCTTGACCGACCTTGGAAATTCAGAGCGACGAGGCGTAAGGGCAGTGACGACCTTCCTTGCTGAGCGTCGAATATTTTCCCTGATTTTCCATTCTCTCTTCTTGGCCAGGTAAAATAATACAGCCGTGGAAACTATGACCTGTTAGTCTATCAAGGCTATGTATGGGGGATGTAGAGTAAGGGAACTTACTGCCAAGCACGCACACAACAGCAACAACAACTATTATAGCGACTATCGCCCCGTGAGAGATCTGAATAGCGCCGGGGCTGCTTCCAGATGCGCCAGCGGCATCGTCGATGTTGCCGCCGGAGCTGATGGAGCCAGGCCCGCTGTCGCCTTCGGTGTAAGTCCCGTCCGTCGCTAGCGGGAACGAATTGGAAGAAGTAGAGGTCGCCATCGTGACTGGCACTAGCAGGCAAAGAAGAGAAAACTTATTTCTAATTAAGTTGGGAGCCCGGTACTTTGGATCCCGGTGGGACGACGTGGGACGATTTAAGAATGACTTTTTGAAGATTACCAGCAACCCTCATGCAGCCATATGGTTATAGATAGATGTTGAAGGGAAGGAGAAGGAGAAGAACCGGGATTTTGCGTCACGCCACACGGGGGGACATGTAGGACTTATGAAGGAGATGTTGGTAGGTAGTGGGTTAGTGGTAGTAGGGGGGCGGCAATGGTAGAGCAATACATCCTCTCTTTCTTTCTTTCTTTCTCTCTCTCTCTCTCTCTCCCAAAGAGCTCTGATGCACCTCTGGCAGTCGAAACCCTGACGATCCCGGCACTTTTCAGCGATTCTATTGGCCCACTTAAAGATCCCACGTCGAATTTAAGCCATAAGGTGTGTTTTATTCAGATGGCAGCGTCTTCTCATTGGTCTCATTGGTCGTCACCATCCGCGAAGCGCTTAACTCCCGGCGCTTTCAAACTGTGGCCCTGCCAATCACGGCCGTGGGACAGGGGTGGGGTGGGTAGTGGGTATAGGTTAGCAACCGTGATCAGCCAAGACACTGACAGGAATTGCAATCTCGTCACATCTTGTCGCCTACACTTGGCTTGGGACGTTGCTGCCCGCAATTCGTTGAAGAAAAGTTGTTCACGGACTAGTTATTTAGTTACCTGGGTATGTAGACGGAAAGCAATTGCAATTATCCACATTTTTACATAACTAACTACCAAGGCCATCAAATTCGAACATGATGTAACTAGCCATTCCCGTCTCGATACAACTCTACCTAGGTACGCCCATTCCACCACATACCATACCCGCATCAGATAGATAGATGGCCGCGATGTAAACCTAAACTTAAACTTGGGTTGTTTCTAAATGGCTACGCGTAACATCATCTCGTAAGCGAGCAGCCAGATAATAACCAAGACTTGCTTAGGACGGGTGCACCTAACGTCTTCGTGGCGCTGCGGAAGTCGTCTAACCTAGGTACAATACCATGTGCGTCAGGAGGTAGGTATGTAGGTATGTAACTAATATCTCGGATCGCATAAAAGGTCACGTTTCCGGCCGCTGTCATAAGTCTGTCTATAGCTCCGGCCTCACATGCGGACGCCAAACACCACTCGATTGGGATTGCAGGCGACGTTTCTTCTTCCAATATCAAGCTCGAGGTCTCGGTATTGCAACCGGACGTTAGCCATCCCGGGCTCGGGTGCTATCTATAGCTATATAGGATGCGCGACAGGCTGTTGCTCCTGCGGCCAGTTGGTTTCCAGCTATAGGTATGGTGAATTAGGCTTCTGCGAGTGAGTTGATGCTTTGCGGGTCATTAGGTAGGTACCGGTATCAAAGCTTGGTGACGTGGAGAGGTATAAAAATAGCATAGAGTGCAAGAAGAGCCGACTTGGGAAATGCAGGTTTCTGTGCTGTGCTGGTCTAGTTCGAGTGTCGGATTCAATGAGCTTCGATGTCGTGTTTCCTTCTTGCCATGAAGTTGAAAACTGCGGCGCGTGTTTGTGTCAGAGCGAAGCAACGATGTTCGCTCTTGGGTAGTTACTCTCATGAACGTACCTGGTATCAAGTGGCAAATGAGTAAAGCACACGGAGTTGTTGCTTGGTATATGCTATGTACCTTAGGTAGGTAGGTACGGAATCCAGACTCCAAGTCCAAATGTTATGCTCCAAGGTTAACTTCATAAGTTGTTAGATCTGAACCTCAGCTATAAACAAGCACTAAGCACTACGCCCAACATCAAATACCTAACCTAGGTAGGTAGGTAAGGAGGGGGGGGTTCTTCATTAAACAGCAACTACACAATAACACACGGCCAAACCACCCTAGTCCAAAAGACGCTATACCAGCCCACCTTCCAACGCTACAACTACCTACCTCCCTACCCTCCCTTCCCCCCCAACTCACCCCTCAACCTTCCCCTTCTCCCCCTCCCCAGCCGCGCCCTCCGCAACAACCCTCGCCTCGCAATTAAACTCCCTCACAAACTCCTCCAAGTACTCCGGCACCCTATCGACCCTGTTCCCCTCCCCCGCAACCGGCCTCTCAACCACATAGTGCACCGGCAGAACGCCCGTCCACACCCTGGCCCTCAGCTCCTGGTCCGCCAAGTCGCTCCTGTCGTCCTTCGGGCCGCCCGCGCGCGTCTTGGCGCTGCCGGCGGCGACGCGGACGCGCAGGACGGAGGTGCTCTGCATCTCGGCGGGGGAGGGGGGCACGCGCGTGCGGCGGTAGCGGCCGGGGACGACGGAGTCGGTGACGAGCTGCATGGCGTAGAGCTTCTCCGCGGCGTCGGCGACGAGCGTCGCGCGCCCGAAGAGCACCGCCGACCGGTAGTTGTAGGTGTGCGAGTTGGGGGTGAGCGCGAGGACGAGGCCGTCGAGGTGTGCGGCGGAGACGCTGACGGGGAGGCCCTGTTCTTCTTCTTCTTCTTCTTCTTCTTCTTCTTTTTCTCCTTCTGCGTTGCCGCCAGTGGCTGCTGCGGTGGTGGCCTTCCGCGACATGTTCATGAGGCGCGAGGAGACGTAGCCGTGGAGATAGAGGTCCAGGACGTCCCCCGTGTCGGCGCTGGGGCGGCTGAAGGACCCCATCTGCCCGATCATGGGGAGGATGGTGGGGAAGGGGGAGCTGGGGTCTTGGAAGGAGACATGGAGGATGGGGCAGGTGTTGATGAGGTGGTGGATGGTCTCTAGTGCGTAGGAAGCTAAGGGGACGTTATCGGTTAAAATGATTTCCGTCATAACCTAAGTAGGTAGGTAGGTAGGTAGGTAGGTACACGGGGATGGTCATACCTCGAGAGTCATATCGGTTCACCTTGCTATAAGGCAGCTTTGGATACTCTAGATTGACTGACGGCATGTTGACGAGTTGTGGCACTTACCCTGCTTACTTAGATATATAAGTGCTTGTATGTGCCTAATGAACTGTATCAAAGAGATGTGAGATATAATTGACCTTTTAAGAATAAGAAAGAGTACAGCTTTTGTACCATAGCTATCACCTAGATATATACCTCAGATACTAAGTGAATAAACACAGTCATCTACAAAAGCGAATCCCCCTTTTATGTAAAAATGGTAAATAAAGGAGACGGCTATCCCTGAGTCACAATCCCCAGTACCTATCTGAGCTAGAACGCATGCTCAGTTACCTACCTACCTACCTACCTACCTACCCTTTCTAACGAACGATACCTACCTACATTAGATACACCGGCTTGCGGTAGCAAGCAGCCAGCTCCGAGATAGAACTAGAACGACAAATGGAAAAGAGCTGATTGGTAACAATCGACTTGTTAAAGATCGGTGGAGTTAGACCGACCACCTTGGGGGAAAAAAGCAAACTAGGTAACTAGCTATGCTCCCCAAGTCCAAAGTCCATACTTGGAATGTCCATCCGAGCAGAACCATTTATTTATTGGTATTCATCAGTAAAGGTTGTTGGACAAAAGGGCGTGTCCAAATAGCGAGATCGCAAGCTAACGAGTCATCAAATCCCGAATGATGCAACTTGCTTGAACCTTTTGATTTTGGTTTTGGAACTTCCGCGGCGATGAATCAGATCGATCTAGTTAGTTATCAAGGTAACCCAGCCACATGTGGCTAAGCCTACGTAGTTAACTAACTACCCCACATCAAGCACCGACATGGATAACTAGTGTAGCATAGCATCAGCCACAGATCTTCAATCAAGCCCCACCAAAAACCTTCAATTCAATCCTCCATCATTCAATTCAATTCATCGCATCCAAAACGATCACGACCCTCCCTCCCGTCCAAAAAAAAAAATACCTATTAGTTAACTAGCAGATCCTCACCCGCCCGCAACGCCGGCGCATCCCCACACCACACACAATGGCGAAGAAACGTACGTCCCACATCCCCACGCCTCCCTAGGTACAGAACCGTTCTTTGCTGATACCTCCCGCTTCGATTACAGCCAAGTCCCGTCTAATCCCCGTGCGCCTGCTATCCATGGCCATGACCGGCTTCTTCTACACCTTCTCGCGCCCACGAACGTCACGGCCCATGAGCATGTTGAAATACGATCCCGTCGGTACGTCCTCATTCCCCCCTAGTTATCCCTCTTCCCCGTGCCCTTTCTGTCCACGCCCACGCCCCGCCCCTCGTTAGCCAACTAACATCGCGTGTCCCTCCAGTGCGGAAAAAGGTCCTTTTCCTCGAGCAGAAGCGCAAGGGGAAGTAGTCCGCCCGCGTACGCACCTAGCCATCCATACCTACTTATCGTCTTCGAACCCCCTTCCAGTTCTGGGGCTATCTATGGTTTGATGGGGGCCAACAAACAACCTCTTAACGGACACAGAGAACCACCGCGAGTTGTTTGCTACAGAGCGCTTTTCTCAGTTTATATGAAGGAGCTGCTCTGAAGACCCTGTGTAGATGCTATCAGGGCCGTATATAAATATATACAACTGTATCATACTCAACGAAATCTAGACCACGATGAGAAGCTAAGAATTCACGGCGCATCAGGCAACGTATATCAATAAACATAAAAATTATATATTAGTCCATACCTATGCATACTCACCACTTCCAGCCACGTCAAATTAGCCTCCGATCGAGATTATATATCATCTACCCCCACATCTAGGCCGGCAATTTCAAGCAATGTTGAACATAAATAGCCCCAGCTACATCATCAGGACGACGATCACCTCATCTTTAACAGATATCGGTCTCTACCTATCGAAATAAATGGGCTCCCTAAAGACTATGGGTTGTGTGCCTTTTCTCTTTGGCAATTGTTGTGCATTAAGCACCTAGTCTCAGCGATTTGCTTCGTAGAGTGGTCGGTGACAATGGTGTTTTAGGTGCAAATACATTATCTGGTTTCAATCGTGGTTCCTAGTTGGTTTCCGCTGGAAAAAACTCAGACATGGAGCGAGATGGTCTGGTTCTCTGTGTGGCATTTTGCTCCGGTCCTTGCTGTTTATCAAACGCCGAAGTTCTCTGTCGTTTTAGAAAATGCCCCTCGTATTCATCGTCTTGAAAAGGATCGGAGGCCAAATGGATAAATCTGTCCGAACCCTCTAGATCAGAAGCAACATGGCCTCCAACAGTGCCATTACTGTGCTCGGGTGGACTGGCTAGACCTTTTTGAACTTGCTCCTTGCTCGTTTCCAAAACGGTGCCGGCAACAGGTCGATTATACATACTATGGGTGGTGAGCGTCGTTTTGGAACCACGTCTTGCTATCTTTCGCTTCAATGAAGGTTGTGGCACTGCCATGGATTGGCTCTCGATATCAAGCGTATCTTTTCCTGTTTCCAATCCTCTAGACGCACTGCGAGTAATTATCTTCATAATCCCTCGTGAAGGCATCAAATGTCGTCTGGCACTCCTTTCTTGTTCAACAGACATGGGGGCTTGGAGATCGTCTTCTGCGGCCGGCGACTTCACTATAACTTTTCTTGTATTGCTTTGTAGCTCCGCACGCGACCGAGACGTGTCGATTTCTGTGTTCCCACCTATACCAACATCATTTCCCGGTTTCAGGAGGGCGGCCTCCCCATTTTGTGGCCCCTGACTTGTGGTCACAGCTACTTCTAAGCTCGCCAACTGCCCCCGATGATGTTGTAGAGTACCTGAAAGTTTCTTCTGGATACCCAGAAGCTCCTTCAATTGGTTACCCATTTCAATCGTGTGCGGCTGATCCATTGCCAACTGCCCTAGAGTATGCTGCATTTGGTTGATCTCGTCTCGACTGCATGACCACTCTTGAAGGCGTCTTTGCAGACCGTCTCTTGCTTGATCAGATTCCCCTAGGCCTGTTGTCAGCTGGCTGATCAAATCCACTGCCGTAATGGTTTCATCCCGAATCAAGCGTAGGCCCTCCTCAATGTCTGCTCTTTTCAAGATCTCTACTTCTTGTTGGGATATCTCCAACTCTTGCTCGAGTTTCACGCGAGCTATATTAGCTTCTTGGAGTTGGGCTTCCATGGCTTGGTATTCATCCCTGAACTTTTCCGTCTCTTTAGTAATAACAAGGGAGATTTCTTGCTGATGTTGAGAGGCTTGTAACTCGAGAATATTCTTGTGCACTAGACGATCATTCTCGATCTCTTCCCCCCTATCTGCAAGCTGGCGAGCTTGTGCCCTTAGCTCCTCCTGGGCGGCTTCGAGATCTTCACTAGATTTCGTTATTGACAAATCCTTCTCCTCCAGTTGCATGTGGAGATATTTCGTCTGCTCCACCAGTTCATTGATCTTAGCATTTGCGGCTTTTTCGTTAATTGCAACGGCTTCCAGGCTATCCAACTTTTTCACCAGTTCTTGTCGGTCTCTTGCTTGATCATTCATCTGGTTATGTGCCTGGCTAAGCTCATTTTGTAGGTCTTGAATCTGACGTGCTTGAATATTTATAGTCTTGGTGTTATCGTGCTCTCTTTCATGTAACCTTTCGACTTCGCGGGTACTAGTCATGCTCTCCTGGCACAATATGCGGATATTATCCAAGGCTTCTTTACTCTCCAGATTAGAATGCTGAGTTGACTTCATATAGCCTTGTATAGTAGAAAGGGTCCTGTAAATAGGTTAGCGTCACTGTTTGTTATTGACGTTTTTTCGAACGGGTACATACACTGCCATGCTGTTGTCGTGGACCTCTTTCAGGCTTGTGATTAGGTATGTTGGGTCTACTATTTTCAACTTGGCCTCATCTAAAACGCTTAGGATCATGTCGATTCTATGAAGTTAGTGAGTATTACCAGGTAAGGGTTGCTACCTTGGGCTACCCAGATACTCACTTTTCGTCTTGTTTCTGGATGCATGTCTTTGCAAAATCTGCTTGGTTGCGCTCATCCTCTACCTTCTTTACAAGTTCACCATTTTGTATAGTCAATGATCGGAGTGATTCTTCGTTCAGCTTGTGTATCTCAGCTAGCTGTTCGGTCAAAGTCTTAGAATGCTGTTGCTCCCGCTTGAGATTCGCCTCGCGCTCCTCCAGTTGTATTCTCAGAGCCCCGATAGTTTCGTTCACTAGAAACTTTATTAGTATCATGATATTGACGAGATCATCACTACACTCACTTTCGTTCGCCTGCTTGTTTGCTCGCTTGATAACTGCGGCAACCTCTCGCTCAATCCCGGCCTTGGTAGTTTCCAATGTCTTGACTGCTTCTTCTATAGATCTTTCTCTTACTTGACTTTCTGCTTTAAGCTTTGCAGTCACATTTTCGTGGGTTTTTTGGGTTTGGGTGAATAGTTGCTGCTGTTCGAGGATAGCATCATTGAAGCGCACTCTCCACGATTCAATCTTTTCTTTCATCTTCGTACGTAAGACAATTACCTCGTTTTGAGCCCCTTGACTTTCAGAACGAAGTTGCTCGACCTCTTTTGACAAGTTCTCAATATTCTGATCACGAGACTCGATTTCCCTCTCGTACTGTTCAATGTGTGAGTCCTGGGTTGCAATATGATCCTTCATGATGTTTATTTTCTCCTCCCACCGATCTAGAAGCTTCTGATTGTACACAAAGTTGTTGTTCCAGGATTCTGCGAATCGTGATAGGTGGGCCATACTTTCCTTACGGGTGGGACTGGGTCGTTGGTGGCGGGCTCTTGGGGGGACGCGCAACTTCGAAACATTAGATGCTTGGGAACAAGGCCTTGTCGTAGCGAAGGCTTGATTTTCTGGGGCTTTGATATCTATGGGTCGTAAAAGGCCCTCCCTTTTCTGTCGCTCTACATGCCGATGTTTCTTTGAAGGATATCCTCTAGTAGCTTGGGAATTCTTATGGGGCTTATTGACATTCTGAGAGGGCTCATGAAGCACTGGTGGTATTTCGTTCTCAGGGGAAACTTCATCTACTATAATCCTTGACACTTTTACTGGTTGAGGTTGGGGGCTTGCTTGTGGCGATACTGGAGAATTCTTCTTTGGCTGTCGATGGTAAGTTGGCATCTGTACAAGAGCCTTTTGACGGATATCTGAGATAGATTTTGGTAACTGGCTCTTAGATAAAGACGAATACGAAGACGTGGGCCTCGACCTATTGCTTCGTGGCAGGCCGTTGTCATCTGGAAAGGGAAGAGGGAAGGTGGATGAATCTTCGTCGGGAAAATGTGCTGAAGCCGCGGCTTCGGGAAGTTGATCATCGTGAGCATTGTTGCTTGAGACATGCTGCGAATTCCCTTTGGACTTGGTCAACGTATTGAATTGAATACCATTCGTAGCTTCTCTTTGCTCATCTTCACAATCTGTCGACAGGAGCGACTGTAGTTGGTCATTACAATCACGAGAAGCTGTTGTACAAAGGGATTGAGCGGCTTCCTGGTTACCAGGCGAAGATGGATTGGCTACAAGTTGTTGTTTTCCGTTGGAGCCTCGTAATAGATCACGAGGAGGTGCCTTTTGAAATTGAAAACCTGCTGCAATCTCCTCAGTGGTTTCTATATCTGGACGAGTGAAGTACTCAGACGCCTCCTGAGAGGCACCTTCTTTGGACATGTTCAATAGTACTAGAAGGTTCGGGGCTTCTAGATGATGAAGTAAGAGAACTTGGTGGATCAGTCCAGGAGATTAAAATTATTGTAATATCCAAAAGAAAGGTTTAGGGCTTGTGTGTGTCTGTGTCTACACAGAAGGAACATTGCCTAGGTACTGCCCTAGGTACCTATTGTTCCTTCCTATGTTGCTTTGATATGACAGAGAAGGTACTATACCCATTATTGTCATCGTTTTAGTTTTTCTCGAATGGGTACCTAGTAGTAGCTACCTAGGTACCTACATAGTACTAACCTCAGCTACCTTAATAGGGGTGTGAGTAAAAAATCACATTTCAGGTATACGCAATCACTCTGGGTCAAACTCAAATGGATTCTTTATTTCGCTTTTCATATATACCCACCATATCGCCAGAAATATCGTTCGAACAACTTAGCCCAGAGCTGTATGCCCTATTGTCATTTGCGCCTACCAACTTTCCCATATATGTACGGGCAGAACCGTCCGCATGACTGCCCAATGTCCCAAAGCGCCCTGATCATGCCACTCGGCGAGCTTCTCGGTCTCGTTGACCCTCAGGATGCCGGCCTCTTCGGAGCCTAACAAGCTCGACTGGTAGACCTCGTATTTCGGAAAGAGATAGCCCTTGCGGGAGAGGCTCTGGAGGAAGTCGGCCTCGATGGCCGGGCGGAAGGTGACCGGGACGGTGGCCTTGGTGCAGAAAACGATGACGTTGTCGAAGTCGCGCCCGGCTTCTGCGACGGTCTCCGAGGAAGGGGGCTCGTTCTCTCGGAAGATGCGGCAGGATGGGAAGACTTCTTTGATGGTGTTGATAACGATGCCTAATGGGGGCAGTGTGAAGTCGCCAGCATAATTCTGGTTGTGTTAAAATAAGCTTTCTAGTGTAAAAGGACCGCGATAATACTTACTATGGCTATCACACCATTGGGTTTTAGCATGTGCTTTAAGTTCCTGAGGAATTCGTCGGTGAATAGGGGGATTGGTTCTGCGCCGCCTGTGAACACATCATGTACAATGTAATCGTAGTTTTCGTGGAGGTCATCCTTGTTGGACTGACTCCAGGAGATGGCATCTTGGATCACAGCCGTGTGGTTTGACGGTAGATGGAAGTACTTCTGCGCAAAGTCATACACTACGGGATCAATTTCAACAATGGTCGTATTGATACCGTGTGCTATTAATGCTGATGGAGTAGTCCCAATTCCGAGGCCGCTAGTATGTTGTTAGCTTCAATGTTGCATGGGGAAAATTTATAAGCTTACATGTTTAGAGCTTTCGCTTCGTTATCAGGGGCTTTGTTGGGGACTTGGACAAGGCGCACTGCTTCAAGCTGAGTAAAGACGCTGTAAATTGGCTCCCCAACGATTCTCCGCGGAAACTTGGTCCATTCGCCACCAAGTAGACTATGGTCGCATCTCATAACCCGAAACCCAGTTTGGTAACTGTCCAAAACTGAGATATAGCCAGTGTTCGATTCCCAACGGTCTACCAACGACCATCCGCTCGCATTGAGAGTAGAGTTTAGGGAACTCGTAGCCATTGGGGTCATGAAATGCGTGTTAAAGAAAGCGGTATGCACCAGCGCCGGCAGGGCCCATGCCAAGAGTTTCGACCGAGCCATGATGCTGTACGTCGAAGTGAAGACAAGTTGAAGACTAACGCGAGTCTGCATCATGGATGTGCCAATCTGTGCAAGTAACTGGCGTAGGGAAGCACTTTGAATCAAGTTGAATATCGTATAAGCGCTCAAACCGGGTGCCGAGCCAGCAATGGACTTGGGCAACCCACTTAGATCGGCATCTTCCAGGACATCCGCGATGCACGCTGTACTGAGGACAACGAGCGGGAATAAGGTGAGACTCTCTGTGATCGCGGGTCCCAGCTCCGCGCCGAAGGTCTCGCTATACTGAAACAGGAAGTACTGGACCATGGGGATATACGCGGCTATCAGGGGCAGCAGCTTTATGGTCTTGACAGGTAGGGTTTGCCTGAGAACTATGTTGGCACCCCAGCCGACAAATAGGGCAGACCAAATGACTCTTTGGTGTAGCCTGGTGGCAGGGATTTGACCGTACACTGGCGACAATGATAGCAAGGAGACATTGGAATAGGCGGCCATGAGGGTGACGAGGGCCAATGCCTTGCCATAGACGATACTCTGCTGGATGGCCCAATTGGACCAAGTCTCTTCCTTGGCTTGACCAGCTAGGAGCTTGAGCTCTGCCTCGAAGTCTTCCTTTGTCTCAGGAGGTTTCTTTGGACGACCAGACTGGGACGACCCTTTCTTGGGGGTTTGTTTCTTAGGAGGCATGGTGAAAAATAAGGAGTAAGAGGTGAGAGGGTCAGATGAAAGATATTAACTTCCTACAAGGTAAATAGACACCTATGTAGGCCAGAATATAATTGAATGTACTAGCTTTCAACAGCCAGCTGCTGATGCTTTCATATTTCTTTTCTTTTCTTTTATTTATTTACTTCCTTCAATTTATTACAATGTATAGTGAATATGTGAATATCAATAGGCTAAACTTGAATAATTGAAACTTTGAACTGAACAGATTATAGTTTGATATCCCGATAAGTGAATCCCTACCTCTTTATTAAGGGGTATGGTGTTAATGAATTTGTGGCGTGTTTCCTGTGGCTGCTGAAACACAAGCACTAGGACCCACTTTAGAAGGTTATGACTAACGTTCATTCCCGAGATAATGGATCCACCAAGTTACTGTATTGTACTGTAGTACATACTACTACTAGTAATAAGCTCCTAGGCTTCAACATCCATACCTCAGCAGCTGTCAACTTCCACGACTCTACTTGAATTATCTTACTCCCTGCGAAGATGGACAATGACGACGATGACTTCGGTGCAGATGCAGAGTTCTTGTCTGCTCTAGCCTCGTCTGCCGTTGTGAGCAATTCCAGTCAGACCAAATCCTCCCAACCTACGAACCGTATCCAGCAACCTACTCCCCAGAGAATACAACAACCAACTCCGCAAAGGATACAGCAGCCGACACCACAGCGTTTAGACAAACCACCGCAATCATCCAGCTCTTCTGCGCCCATATCTGGTTCGAAGATCGTTCAGCCAACACCTCAAGCACTTCCACAGCGTTCTTCCGGCTCGTCCATACTCGTGTCACCCCGCCAAAAAGGGAATCCCGTGCTAGCATCTCTACGATCAGTAGCATGGGAGTATAGTGATATCCCGGCCGACTACGGCCTAGGCCAAACAACCTGTGCCCTATTTCTAAGCCTCAAGTACCATCGACTACACCCCGAGTACGTTTATACGCGAATTCGCAATTTACAAGGGAAATATATCCTACGCATTCTTTTAACCATGGTCGACATTCCAAACCACGAAGACTCATTGCGCGAACTCTCCAAGACGTCGCTGATCAACAACGTCACCATAATCCTCTGCTGGTCCGCTGCCGAAGCGGCGAGATATCTCGAGCTATACAAATCCTACGAGCATGCGAATTTTAGTGCCATAAAGGGACAGCAAGCTACGAGCTACCCCCACAAGCTTATCGAGTTCGTCACGGTGCCTCGGGGAATCAACAAAACCGATGCAATCTCGCTCGTCAGCGCATTTGGGAGTTTGAAGAACGCGGTCAACGCCGAACCTGAGCAGGTTGCAGTGATTAGCGGGTGGGGAGAGAAGAAGATAAAAAGATGGTGCGAAGTCGTAGAGGAGCCGTTCCGAGTCCAAACTGCTGCGAAGAGGCGCGCCGTCGATAATGGAGGTAATAAAATCCTAGAAAAGGCCATCCCGCTGAGTCGGGCGCCGCTACGAGATATGCCGAGTCTGTCAGCAAGTGTGTCTCAAAACAGTCCAACACCTCAGCCTCAAACAAATCCATCCACAATTCCGAAGGGGAGCCGCCAGATTCGGGATGCTCCCGTTGACGAGGATGAAGAGGAAGCCATGCTAGCTGCGGCTATCGAGGAGTCTAAGAAGGCGATGGCGCAAGAACAGCCGTCCAGCTCCACGTCGAAAGCTCGTGAAAATGAGGAGTTAAGTGACGGAATAGCGGCAGCTTTAGCTAGACTCAGGGACAAGGGATGAATATAATACCTGCCTAATTTAGGTGAAGTTAGGTATAACCATCAGGGTGTGTACCCCGAGGATTGTCCCTTTGCGGATAGTATTCTGTGTCTATTAGGCATTGAAGCAAGGAGAAGTTAATAGTTCGTGATTGCATGTTCTCATATGATCGCGCAAGGTCATATATCACCAGCGCACTAAATCCCTTGAAGACTGGGGCCAAAGGACGCTAGTTGAAGATGTTGGCCGATTTGGCTCCAGCATTCTTAGACGAAAGCGGTCTGGCCGCTGCTACTGTTACTGGTCATGTTTGTGTTTGGCTTTAGCGTTTTTATACTCCATCAGCCAAGATAGAGCATGCCGTCGTGAGATGTCCACCGCACTATAGCACATGAGCAAACAGCCTGTCACGAGTACCTTAGATGCAGGTCGGAACTAGAAATACGCTAATTCTATTACCCCATCATACTAATAGGCCTCAGGTCACTACATAGTACACATGTTACCTCACCGATATGATGCATATACGATACGTCGTGTGCTCTTTCATCCACTTTCGCATTTAAGTAGGTAGGTAGGTATTAAGGGCCTCACGATGGAAGCAGCACGGAAATATTTACCTGGTAGGCAATAGGTAGGCAACAGGTAGGCAATAGGTAGGCAATAGGTATGTAGGTATATACTACACAATATCTACATGCATATAGTATACATGTATGTAACCTCCCTTATCTATCATTGGTGCCGCTTCAGTGAAGATCCGATGCCTTTTCAATTTCGGCGCTTTTTATTCTTCACATGGGTTCCCCGCACGTAAGTGTAGGCTAACCTTAGGTACATGCCCTGTTAAGTACCGGAGCCTTGATCTGGCAGATCAAGAAGCTAAATCGCACCATTTCTTCCTTGCTTGCACTGGATATGGATAGTGCTAACCTACCTGGCATGTCACCTAGTAGTTAGTAGTAACTTAGTACTATGTAACCATGGGGTACCGAAGCTAATCCTCGTTTTGGGGTAAGGTCCCGGAACTCTATTGACGATAGTTGGGGATAGAGGGGGAATAGGGGGGGTAAGGTAGGTAACGTTAGAACCAATCAATTAACTAAAATCTAGGGGCATCTCAGCTTACCTTACTTACCTTAATCTTATATGCAGTAATAACAAAGCAAAGCCAAAAGAAAGCAGCCCTGCCCTGGCGCTTAATCCTTATTAAACCTTTAAACCTTTAAACTAATGTTCAATAATTATCCAAGACACCTGCCTGGGCACTAAACACAAGACAAGACACATCGTCACAATATTTCCCTCCAATCCCTCAGCTCCTTTTTTCTATTTCTTTCTCTTCATCTTGTGTCTTGGTCACAAGGGTCACAAGACTTTCAACTTGGAAGCTCAATATCTTTCTTCATCTTATTTACGGCCCGTTCTTAACCAATCCTCCTCTATTCTGCAGCTCCTCCTGCTTCTCCTCATTATCCTGCTTCTTTAGATAAAGCCTCGATCTGCGGCCAGACTTCTCCTTCTGGAAGGTCATACATTCCCTTATTATTGTTATTATCGGTATCCGCCCAAATATGGACTGTCTTGAAGAAAGCCGAGACTATTCAGCATAGTCCTAGATTCTATTTCGTAACGTTTGTATTCCATCTTGAACGAGCTTCTCATCTTGCTCGGTTCTTGGTATAAGTCTAATTTCTATCATATGAGTTATTAAAATATTCATGACGTGCAAGCCGTGGCACATGGCCCGCACGTAGTGAGACTCGGGATATCCTCGTGCGTAGATTTCGTGATCATCATAGAGTCGCATTGCAGCGACCCTTAGATAGATGACCCCCATGTCTCGTTGGTCAGTTCAAACTTCAGGCCAGGGACCTGTGCGCGCCTGGAATTGATCCGCGTTCCCCCTAACTATCCCAAATATACTTGCGAGCCGCAACGACGACTTTATCATTTACTAGGTATCTACCATGGCAATCTGCAAGCCAACATTAGGCCCGCTCATCACTTTCAAGCCACCGGCACAGATATACCGACTAGGTCACCATGTAGCATAGTATCCCTGCTACCCTGTTTAAACATGAACCGGCTTCCCATCAAGCTTTACGCTCCCGCGGCCGGCTTGTTTAGTGATTATGGGTTGATTATGGGTAACGCGAGCGAGGTAATATCCACCACCTATTGTAGATTGTAGACACCCCCCCCCCCCCCCCCCCCCCCCCCCCCTAAACACCCACCCACCCCTGTTGTCAGGTATGTCAGGCAATTTTGGGACTCAATATGGATATAAGACTTAGATCTATCCCTCTTCGCTTTTCTTGTTATCTCCTTTGTTACCCCCTCAGCCCTTTCCATCATTTCAAGGCTCGATCGACAAATTTTTGTACTGTCGCATCTCTCTCTCCATGGTGACTTAGAACTCGTTGTTCTACTCACAGCATCATTGAACCATGGTCAACTCTAGATGGGCAGCCGCTGCCCTAGGTTGTGCCTGGCAAGCTCTAGCCCAGCCATCCTATGTCTCCCACCCCGAGCGAGCGGATGCCGTGAAGGCGACATTCCAACGCGCGTGGGATGGTTACTACAACTATGCGTTCCCCAATGACACTTTAAAGCCCATCTCGAGGACTTACCAAAACGATCGGTGGGTAAACCCCCTTCAGGAGCTCTCTCAGGAATTGGAATACTAACTGGATATTTAGAAATGGCTGGGGAGCTAGTGCCGTTGATGCTATTTCTACGGCCTTGGTTATGGGGGAAGCAGATATTATTAACGATATCGTGGAGCACATCCAGTCTATCGACTTCGGTGCCACGGCCCCTGGCTCCGAGTCCGTGTCTTTGTTTGAGACCACTATCCGCTATCTAGGAGGTCTCCTATCAGGTAGGATCAACCAAGAAAATAAAAAAATCGCTATAGTATTTCTAACTAACAATCATGCAGCATACGATTTCCTGAGTGGTCCGTTGAACAAATATGCAAAGGACCAGGCTTCCGTGGACAACATCCTAAAGCAGGCGATCAGTCTCGCCGACTACCTCAGCATAGCCTTCGACACGCCCAGCGGCGTTCCCATCAACACGCTGATCTACAGCAACGGCGAGTATCAAGTGGGCAGCGACACCACGAACGGCATCGCCACGATCGGGACTCTGGTGCTCGAGTGGACGCACCTGAGCGACATCACGGGCGACGACAAGTACGCCGCCGTGACGCAGAAGGCCGAGGACTACCTTCTCAAAGTGCGGAACCCCAGCGTAGGCGAGCCGTACCCCGGGCTGATCGGGACGGACGTGCGCATCTCAGACGGCACCTTCACGGACTCGAGCGGCGGCTGGAACGGCGGCACGGACTCCTTCTACGAGTACCTGATCAAGATGTTCGTGTACGACCAGGACCGGTTCGGCGAGTACCGCGACCGGTGGATCGCCGCCGCCGACTCGAGCATCCAGTACCTCGCCTCGCACCCCACCAGCCGGCCCGACCTCACCTTCCTCGCCGCCTACAACGGGCGCGACGACCTCAACTTCGTCTCCACGCACCTCGCCTGCTTCGACGGCGGCAACTTCATCCTCGGCGGCCTGACCCTCGACGACGAGGCCTACGTGCAGTTCGGCCTCGACCTCGTCGCCGCCTGCCACGCGACCTACACCGCGACCGCCACGGGGATCGGCCCCGAGGTCTTCTACTGGCAGGACGGCGAGCTGCCCGCCAACGCGAGCAACAACCGGCCCCCGCCCTCCGACGCCGCCGCCTTCTACGACCAGGCCGGGTTCTGGATCCCGTCCGGCGGCGCGAGCTACGTCCTGCGGCCCGAGGTCATCGAGAGCTTCTACTACGCCTACAGGGCGACGGGCGACACGAAGTACCAGGACTGGGCGTGGGAGGCGTACCTGAACATCAACAGCACGTGCACGGCGGGCGTCGGGTACAGCGGCCTCCAGAACGTGAACGTGGCTGGCGGGGGAGGGTTCGACGATTTCCAGGAGAGCTTCTGGTTCGCGGAGGTGCTGAAGTACAGTTACCTGATCCAGGCGGACGAGGCCGAGTGGCAGGTTAGTGCGGGGCATGATAATCGCTGGGTCTTTAATACGGAGGCGCATCCGTTTTTGGTTAAGGGGAGTCCGATTTAAAGAGCCTTTTTTTTTTTTTTTGAGGGGGGGGGATGATGAGGATGGTTATTCTTATGGTTAGGTATCTATTTAGGTATGAGTATATACTAGGTAGAGAAGCCCGTCTATTAGGTATAGAGAGAGGTCAGATTTAGTGAGGTGGCTACTAGGTTGGTACCTACTCAGGCATGCATGTGTGTGATGGTATCAGGCGCACTACTATTTACTATTACTACTACCTACTACTACTACTTGGGTTGAAGGGTACACTTGCGATAGGCGGAAGGCTAGGAAGCTTGATGGGATTTGTTTTACTTTTTTTTTTTTTTTTTTTTTTTTTTTTTTTTTTTTTTTTTTTGCATTGGGACGGCGTTTCGACTTCGCTTCTGTCATCAATTAATATATTTGTATATATTATCGTACTAGGTATATTCTTATGACTACAGCCGCATTAGTGTAGCGAGGTATGTAACCTAGGGGAATACGAAACTTCTTAGCAAGTTGGCTTGAACGTCGTCCTATGTTACCTACCCCGAGAAATGTCCCACGAACCGATGGTTCGTCACGGTCGTCGGGGGTAACAGAAGAAGCTTAAATTGTGTAATTTCCTTCCATGTTAGCACAAGCCGTGTGTTCTTGTTGCTGGTATGCACTATACCTACCCATGTATGTAGGTACGCCTCGTCTAATATGATATGTGTTACCTACATGCCATACATATTAGACGAGGCATGCATGTGTTGTCCGTCGGGGCTTTCTCCGAGTCTCGTGTCTGGATCTGAGACAAGCCTCGTACCTAGCTGAGCGGCCCGCGACAGCAGTTCGAGGTCCACGACGACGAACGGATCCATGGATAGGGTTTTGTGGTTTGCGCACGAGTTCGTTGCCAGACTTGGCTGGAGAAGCCTTGTGCTGTATTCTGTTATATTGATATTGTATTAACTTAGCACTATATCATGGTGTAGTAGTTGTATGTGGCAAGTTCAAACTTGGCTAAGCCAGTTGGCCGTGTAAGTACCTAACCTAGAGACTTTATACCTGTAGCCTGTAGGCAAAATTAACATCAGCAATGTTAGTCCTTCCATCACTATCGATACAACTCACAACTACGATGCATTTTCACCCCCTTCCCGCTCGCCTTCGCCCGCACAAATACCGGCAACTTGGCGACAGTCTTTTGATGACGCTGTGCGTGCGGATCTGGAGTCTGACTCGCCCGAACCAACTCCTCAAGTGAATGTCAACGACGCTACATTATCATCTTTCTGTGACCGAAAATACACCTTTAGTGTCAATAATATTCCATCAAAACGAAGAAAGCCTTGGTACGAGAATGTTGGTGTCATTGTTCAGGACCCTGCCCTCATTTCTGTCCTTGTCTTCTCCATCATAGCAATTGCCCTCGACCTTTCGGGCGCCCGCGAAGATTATCCTAGCCGATATGAATGTGTAACGATGATCGCTATCGTTGCCGTCATTATCTTGCTTGAAACTTTTACTTGGGCTTTACAAAAAGTGCATTATCAGTGCATTGGATGATAAGACTTATAATTCTGGCTACGTCCGCGCCATAAGATCAGGTAAGCTACGAGAGATTCCACGAGTGGAACTCCTCGTTGGTGATTTGGTATTACTTCAACAGGGCGACATGGTACCGTGCGATGGAATTATAGTAAAGCTTGCTCACTTGAGGTTAGATGAGGAACAAGTTATAGTAGAGTCGGGTTCAACTGTTACCGAGGGATCATGGTTATGTTTTGCAACAGCTGTTGGATCCCATTTATCTTTTGGGAGAATAATGATTTCTCTAGCTACGGAGGGATCGCCCACCACAGATAATCTATCAGCTAACAGTCCTGCTCACTATTGCATACGGTGGTGAGACGGTGCTTAGATACAACAATCCTGCTAACTCTCTTGAAGTCGGAGGTCTCGTCTTCAGTATTTTGATGCGCATACTGGTATCAAGGAGTCGAATCGAGAAGGGGCCCCCGAGCGAGGTTGCGCACATAGCTGAACAAAGGGTCGCTTTGTATGACCGCGGTGCCGAGTACCCCCGGCAGCCTCCCTGGCACTGGTGGTTTCGAAGGGGTCGATTAACGCTGCTTGCCAACCCGCCAGCCAGCGTATTGATGCGCCTTTACATAATATACCTAGGCAGCTATGAAATTATTAAATGCCAACTGAGATACCTCCCCGAAAATACCTGCTCAACATGTTGGAAGGTCAATAGGCCAAGATTCCATGGGTTTGAGTTGAAAATAAGGTCTCTTAACCCTTATGGCCAAGACGAATACTGGGCAACTTTTTAAAGGGTGTTATGTCTACGGCATACATCTACGAAACCATCTCGCCTATTTACCTAACCTAGAAGTCAAAGGAAATGTGGGTCAGATCAAAAGGTGGATATGGCCCCCCCTATTTAGACAGCAAAAAGGCAGCCTTGTAAGATGTCAACGGAGCTGCATATTTTGGACAGGACAGTGGCCACGGCACTCTCTATCAGTTTAATGCCAGACAGACACCGTGACTTAGAGAGGAATAATTTATAATGTATACTATTATGGAAGGAAGCTTTAGGTGAGTGATGTTCTCAAGGTGCCTAACTACCTACTTGGTAGATAGGCATAATTCCCTGTGAAATTTGATGGTTTTAACTGACATAATTTACTTCACAGCTATAAAATCAAGATGGAGCAGATCATATATGAATATGTACAAGGATGAACAAAAAAGGGGGCCGTATAGATACGTGAGAGGAGGCTTTGACAACGGCGTATCGAGATACATAGGATTTATCAATGTATATGTAAGCATGCGTGAAACTATGCAGTCTCCGTCCCACGCACACTGCATACTACATACATGTATACATTGTACATGCACAGAGGAGAGGGGAAGGCTAAGAGAGAAAAAAGAATTGCGCTGGGTGCGAATCGAACGCACAACCTTCAGACTTCTAGATATAATGCCAACATAGACTATAGTTGTCTATGGAAGATCAATGCTTACGTACGCGACTCGCAACCTTTACGTCTAATTTTAAGTTATGGAATATAGGCCGTATAGGTGAGATACGCGTAAGTATTTGCCCGACGCTCTAACCACTGAGCTACCAGCGCTTTTTTTCTGCGTGTTGGTATATACTTGATATTGTCCAATATATGGAAGAAGTAAAGGAGAAGGAGAAGAGGGGAACGGTTACTGCTGCTCCTGCTCCTGCTGCCGCTACGAGCCCCGTGAAGCGACCCTATCCTACATTCCTCACGTTACCGCATGTGGCGTTGCTGTGTTTGCCAATCAGATTTGAATCTCGAGCGGCAGCCAACAGGTGCTACAAGGATGGGCAATATGACAAGTGACAAGATACATATATGTATGTAGGAGGGGTAGAGAGGACCAACACGTACGGATGAACGTACTAGGTACCATGTTTCATAAATAGGTATTGTGTATTTAGATCTATAAACGCTGGCACAACCGACTGCCTACCTACCTAGTAGTACCTACATGTAGATACATTATGTACATGTAACTTATGATGTAAGTGCCAAATGATTACCGAGTAATACACATGTACATATGCAGACATATATACCTAGTATGTATGTTAACTTAGAAAACTGCCAATAGCCCACAGTAGAGCACTTCTAAGTACGCGCAAGAATCTAACATATTACTTACATGTACATTTTATGACGGCATACCGTCTTTAAGTAGATGTGGTAGATGAACATGAACAATCTATCTTTCACATGAATTGTATAGTTCAAGGGACTCTGCTCAGTTATTAGCAATGTAGGTGTAATGTGGTCAATATTTAAGGTGAAGTAGGTATATTATTTATTATTATTCTATGTACCTAGGTAGGAAGGAAAGTTTACGTGCTGCTTGGCTTGAGGATATCTCGCTTCATTCATCCAAGTATACACAGCGTGGTTATAATCCCGAACACCTTTGTGAGGATCATGATGCGTTCAAGTCCGATGTATCAAAGAAAGAAAGTCTAGATACTTAGCCATCACTTACTGAAATGCGATACGACGATTCCGCGAGGCGTCTTGCCTTGAGATTGAACGAAGCTTAGGAGTGATGTACTGAGAAGAGTTAGCTTGGTTCATGACTATAAACATGAATAGCTAAATCTAGAGAGTTGTCGTATCAGATCAAACGCCTTGTCAAAGGCAATATCATCAAAGCTGTCGAGCTATGTTGACCGTCGTGAATTTAAGATCATCATTGAAGGGATTGCAAAAAGTAAAAGAAAATCATCTTACCTAATGGATTAGAGGGAAGCTAGGTACGAATAGATTTCACGTCCTGAAAAGAGGTCTATATCAGCTGGTTAGCTGTGACCGCTGTTTGAGGAAAACAACTTGGAAGGTCTTGGTTCTGCTGCAGTCAGACATGACTTTGCTCATCAACGCTGTTAAGCTCTGACATATGCTTGTCAATTGTTTACGTCAAATCATCATACTGCAGCGACATCTCGACCTTCCGAAGCTCGAGAATAGAACTAACCAAGTAGATATGGTTGACCCAGCGATAAAAAGTCTTTCTGACACTTGTTATTGTTAGCAATGTTGCTATTTTAGTTACAAGTGAATAGCAAAAGGTTGGGTTGAATATCAGAAAAAGCATGAATGGTAGTAAAAAGGGTGTCTACAACGGAAAGTCCGAATCAGACTCGTCATCTATGTTCATCAGGTAGAAATGAGAGGGTTGATAATAGAAATTGTCCGCTTACCTGGGCCTAGAAGATCCAATATTGGAATATTAGTTGTTGGATGGACCATGGAGAGCCATGATCAGCCGAGGCCGTCAGCATACTTAGGTAGCCAACGGCTTCACATTGAATCTTTATACCAGTTCCAGTTTGACAGGTAGGGACATTCAAGACACAGCACTACATCAAACCCCCAATATTAGCGAATGTCGCTACCCATGCTGATAATATGTATGGAGGGTGTTGTGATCAGTGGGCGAGGTTTTCTAGGCCTGCCACAAAATGGCGTATCGACTCATGTGAAAGTAATTCGGAGCCCAGTGCCACTTCATCATATCGAGGTGGAGGAATATCGATGGAAAGATTCAATATTGGCATACCATTTTCAAGGTGACAAAGGATAATCTGTAGTTGGTATTAGCAATTGAGGATACTCTTCGAATGCTAAAAAGATCGTAAAGGATGATATGGGTGTATCAGAAAGCAGCAAAGGATTTTCGTCAATGGCAGATGCCTCAGACGGTAATTTCCAGCTATGCCGAGGCATAGAAATGTTCATCATATAAGAAGAAGAGGGATGATAGAGGAGAAAAAGACGGTTGAATGACTTACCAATTGCATTGATCCAGTTGATTCTGCGCAAATACATGCACGAGATACATAGTAATACTACAAACTTTACATCTTGACAAGGCAAGAGAAAAGCAGGCACCTAACTTCAAATTAGTACGATGAAGCTTTCAGATTGCGCAGGTGAAATTGATGATCTGATTTTTTGTCTGCTCAGACTGACGTGTAAAACAGTTTCATTCCAAAAGAGGTCAAAGACTCTAGTTTGCGGTTTACATGATTGTCATCAACGAAGAAGGAAGTAGGAGAGTATTGGGAACTTACAATGCTGAATCAAAATCGCGTTTGGGTGTTGGGTTGTTGTGTGAAGGAGAGAAAATGTTTATTGTTGAAGGAAGAAAAAAAATATTTTCTATTGGAGCTCGTTAGCTTCAAAAAGGGCGGGTCTTGAATCCACAGTGTACCTGGTTTCGGAGGTGGAAGCTTAATGTTCCCTGTTTCCAGCGGGTGATCTTCGGCTAGGTATTTATTGCCCCGCATCTACATCATAGCAATGTCAGATTCTTCTACGCAGTAGTACTACCTACATACTAACTAGTGGTACCATTACCTAACCTTACTGCATATTAGTGATTATCTTCAGGGCTGCTACTACTAGTCTACTAGTAGCATTTAGGTACCTACATGTAGTCCAGTGACGTCTTTGGCCCGAGCTCGCCGGCATATCCCGTCTCGGTATAAACTGTAGCAGCTCAATGATTGCCATGACCCGATAAATCCTCTTTTCAAGCCCCAATGCCATTCTCCTATCCACATTTCCCCTCGGCCGACCATGGTTACTTGGCACCTGATTCTAGATTTGACTCCACGGGATGAATGCCGTATGTCATAGATGCCGCTGGGTTACCCGCAACACCGAGAATGGGGAATATCGGTTGGAGGAAAAGTCGTTAAGAATGTGGAGATTTGTCTGGATATGTTGAACGTTGCCCGGTACCGTTTACTTACCACACAGTAGTTACCTATCAACCTTTTTCTTATACGTATCTACCTAATCTCCTAGGTTACCTGTTTCCCCTCGGCATATTTATATATAAGGTACCCGGGTAGGCCGTGTCGCTATCGTCAATTCCCGTCTAGTCATTGTTTTACGAGAACTTGCCGGAGCATTATCTATTAATACATCCATACATACCCCAGCCTAGTATCTCTAGCTGTCTTGTCTTCCCCTACTACTCCCAATATACCTAAGTAGCATATTCCTATTTGGCCATAACTTGTAGTACAGCCCTCTTATTCACATACTTTCCTGAATCTAACCTCTCCCTTCAACCTACTTCCGTAAATTCCTACAAATAATCATGGCGACAAACGGGAACGATCACGAGATTCCTCCGGCCGAGTCGGCAGCGATAAACACAGATATCGTGACATTGACTCGCTTCCTCACAGAAGAACAAGTAAAACACAAAGAGGCAACTGGAGACTTCACGTAAGTTTCTGTCTTATTGAAGAATTCCACGAAAGACATAATGGCTAATGCTAGGCGGGGAAAAATAAAAGATTATTATGTCACGCCCTTCAATTCTCCTTCAAGGCCATCTCTCACTACATCCGTCGAGCAACACTAGTAAACCTCACAGGCCTAGCCGGGCAATCCAACGCGACCGGAGATGACCAAAAGAAGCTGGACGTGATTGGAAATGACCTCTTCATAGCGGCTATGAAGTCGTCGGGGAAGTGTGCATTATTAGTGTCAGAAGAAGAGGAGGAGGTCATATACTTCAAGGATCAGACCGGAGCGCGGTACGCCGTAGCTTGCGATCCCATCGACGGCAGCTCCAATCTGGATGCCGGTGTGTCGGTTGGAACGATCTTTGGCGTCCACAAGCTAGCCGACGGCTCGTCAGGAACGAAAGAAGACATCCTAAAACCCGGGTCCGAGCTGCTCGCTGCAGGATTCACCATGTACGGCGCCTCAGCACAATTAGTTATTACCATGAAGGGCGGCACCGTCAATGGCTTCACCCTAGATACCTCATTCGGCGAGTTCATCCTAACCCACCCGAACATGCGAATTCCGAAGCAGAGGGCCATCTACTCCGTCAACGAGGGCAACTCGCTATATTGGGAGGATCACACGAAGGAATACTTCAACTCCCTCAAATTCCCCCAAGATAACGGCAAGCCTTACAGTGCGAGGTATATTGGTAGCATGGTTGCTGATGCGTACCGAACGCTGTTGTACGGCGGTATCTTTGCTTATCCAGCCGACAAGAAGAGCCCCAAGGGCAAGCTGCGAATCTTGTACGAATGTGCGCCAATGGCCATGGTATTTGAGAACGGTAAGCCAAGGCCCCCTTTTTGGTTTTATGCATTTGGCGGGATGTTAACTGACAATTCTGTAGCCGGCGGTCAAGCCCTCGACAGCAATATGAGACGGATGTTGGAGGTTGTGCCGGAACACATCCACGATCGGTCGGGTATCTACATGGGCAGTTACGAGGAAGTCGAGAAAGTCAAGAGTTTCTACAAATGATTCCGATCGAAGCAAAGTGCAATGGGATGAGTAGCTAGGTTTAGGATCTGCTTCTTTTTGGCGCCCAATGGCAAAGTCAATGGAGTAAGAGGCGTATCTTAGCAAAATGCCAATTCCTTTTTGCATCCAATCGAATCATATCGATATTCTTGATAAAATCCATATATGATGTGCATTTTCCTCTTTATCTATTTGCTTTAGTAATCAAATCATACCTTACCACAGTTTGGGAAAGAATTTGGGAGTGTTCCGCTTCCACTCCTGATAATCCTTGCGATCACCATACTTGGCATCGTACTTCTTCTCACTCAAAGGCACCCCCGTCACCTTCAATAACAGCAGGCTCACAAACGCCGGGCTGATATACGACACCGCAAGCGCCAGAATCTTGCCTGGCAGACCACCCGATAGCCCGAGTCCAGCCTGCACTGGCCGCGTAACCAAGACACCGGCAGCCGCAGTCGCGATGCCCGTCCACAGCGTGCACTCGCCGAAGTAATTCGGGTATTGACTATACGTCGATTTCCACGAATTAGTCTCTCATCAAGTCTATTTCCCCACCACCGGCAACTCAGACATCTGGGCAACTGGACTTACCTCCTCGCAAACAGCCCCCCCGTCAAGAAAAGCTCATCGTGCAGCTTCTCCTTCCGTCCCTGCAGCCACCTGCCCTTCTGCCTGTCCGCCGTGATCTCGAACGCGAAGCCCCCCGCGAACAGCGCCAACCCCAGCAAATCCGTCACGCCAAAAGGGACAGCGGCTAGCGATGCGATCGGCGCCGCGTTGATCGCGAGCACGGGGGCCAGACATAGAGATACCCAGGTCGCTTGCCCGACGAAGGCGCCTGCGAACTTGCCGGGGGAGACGCGGATTTCCGAGAATCGTGAGTCGTGGCCTTGCTGCAGGACCCGCTGGAAGAGGTAGGTGCCCACTGTGAGGAGGTGAGTAGATGGTATGGGTAGGTGGGTAAAGGGGATTTTGGGTTAGTGGGGGAAGGAGGGAGGGAAGGGAGGTAGGCAGCTAATGTAGTAGTAGTCCGCATGAACGGTAATTCCCGAGATCTATGTTGTTTTAATGGTGTATGGTGCACTACACTGAAGGGAGCATGTGGCGCATCATGGAAAGCAAGTGAGAAAATTAAAGGGTTACGCACATCTAACCGACCAAAACACCACCGCAGCCGTGAGCGCAATCTGGCGCCAATGAAACCCCCCGCCCGCACCACCGACCACCGAAAGAATACTCGGCAAAGCCGGCTTCGGCAACCCAACCAACGTCGCAGCAGCACGGGCGCGCAGGCTCGGCAGGTACAGGCTTAGCGCGGACACGGCCAAGAAAGTCGCGGCGCCGGAGGCATCGTAGAAGCGCTCCGACTGCGTGAGGATGGAGGGCACGGCGACGGCGGTCTGCAGGGCGAAGGCGGCGGCGACGCTCGGGACTGCGGCGCGCAGGAAGGGGTTCCGGAAGTTGGTTATGTGCAGGAGGTTTTGGAGGAGGCTGGAGGTCATTGTGAGGGTGTTTGCTCTCTTATTGGGGAAGTAATTTGTTCTAATGGGGGGAAGTTTATTAAAATGGTTATTTCTGTACAGGTGCAGTGGGATGGTTGGTTGTAATGTAATGTGAGTATACTATTTTTTTTTTACCCCTTGGAACATGATCTACGTGTAATACATCAATGATACCTGCGTACCTGGATAGGTACTACCTATGTATATGGTGGTGTCTCGCGATACAATGCAGAGTCAAACGTTGCTGCAGCACGATTGTGTCAGCGAAGTCGTGACGTAGGTGGAGCTTTAGCCCGATCGATGGGCGGGATTGGGAGGGGAGCTGTGCCACACTAAACAACTGTGGTTGAGTCAGGGGTCACTCCTTTTTATGTCTCGATGTTTTACATAGTACCTAGGTAATTCCTGTCAAATTTTTAGATACGGGATATTCTGGTTTAAGCACAGGAGCTAGGTAGATGGTGAGATAATTGCTTCATTTCTCAAATACCTACTAGATAGGGTACTAGGTATCTGTTGCAATACGTGACATATTGGTCAGACCTTGTCCACCGACAATGGCATGTGGCTTATTGCTAGAATGCCCTTAGATACGAAGAACTGCTTTTGTAATAGCCATTCCGACAACCTACCTTTCTCGGTATTCACTAACGCTTTAACCCCATCCCGCCCCCCACACCTTCTCCCCCTTAAACCACGTCTCCTTAACCTTCGCAGCGAGCAACCTCCCTCCCTCCTTCCCCTCCTCCCCATCCTCCCACTGCATATCCCAAACCGTAAGATCCGCCACCTTCCCCTTCTCCAAGCTACCCAGCCGCTGATCCCAAAACACGCTCCTCGCCGGCCCATAGCTCGCCGCCACGACGGACTCGCACACGCCCAGCCGGTAGTTATAGTTGACCACCTCGGCGTACTTAGTGTTCCGGTACGATCTTCTAGTCGTGGCAACGTACACGTTGCCCATGACGTCCCAGGGCGACGTGGGGCTGTCGCTTCCGAGGGCGAGGGGCGCGCCGCCGTCGGAGAACTCGCGGTAGGGGAACGCGCGCGAGCAGCGGTGCGGGCCGAGGAGATAGGGCCAGGCGCGCAGGATCCAGGGGTCGGCGTGGACGGGTTGCACGGAGGCGGTGCTGGGTTATAGTCAGCAGAAAACACAAACGTTCCTTTAAATCTGATAAAAGCTCACATCCCTAGTTCACCAAGCCGCTTCGCATCCCGCGCCGACGCGAGCTCGAGATGCTCTACCCGGTGCCGGTTCTTCGGCGAGCAAGTCGCCAGCGCATCAACAGCCATCGTGATCGCCGCGTCGCCTATGGCGTGGAGCGCGATCTGCAAGCCCGCCGCATCAGCCTTGCGCACCACCGCGCCGAGGATCTTCGCGTCCCAGAACGGGTCGCCGGTCGAGGCCTTGGCGATGTCCGCCCCTTTGAGGTACGGCTCCGACAGGTACGCCGTGCAGGCGTCGATGATGCCGTCGCAGATGACCTTGATGCCGACGACGTGGAGGTCGGGGGATTCCTCGGCGCCCAGCTGCTTGTGCACTGCGATCGCCTGGTCGACCTGCGCCAGGCAGTCGGCCTCGTCACTCGAGGGTTTCATGAGCCAGTATGCCGCGAGATGGAAGGGCAATGGCTTCTCCTTGCGGAGTTTTAGCAGAGTCGCCCATGCTTGCTCTTCCATGGCCATGTCGATGGCGCCGGTGTAGCCCGACCCGTTGTATTGCTCCACGGCGGCTCGGACCCAGTCTTCGCGGTTCTTCTCCGTCGCTACCTGCGAGAGGAAAGGCCAGATGATGGTGAACACGGCGGCTTCCTCGAACGCTCCGGTGGGCTTCCCGTTGGCGTCGCGCTCGATCTTGCCGCCCTCGGGGTCCTTGAGGTTTTCTGCATCGAGCTCCTTGAGTGCAGAGGTGCTGCACCAGGTAGTGTGAAGATCCTTAGAGTCCACGTAGATGGGTCGGGGATCCAAGTCATCAATCAAGCTGGCCAGAGGTGAAGACATGTATCTCATCCAGCCTTTACAGAGGATCCGCGGCTCATCCGGGTTCGCGATAGCATGGTCCTTGATCGCTCTCCGCACATCGTCTGAGTTCTCGCAGTTGTCTAAGGCAGCTTTGCTCAGCGATTGTCCCAGCCGGAGTAAATGAATGTGCCCGTCTATAAAACCCGGTAATACGGTCCGGCCCTTTAGGTCGTGGACAACGGCGCCAGCTTCGCGATATCGGGATATTGCGTCATCGTCTTTAAACCCGACATGCTCAATAATGCCGTCGCGGATGTAGATTGCATCTCCAAATTGAGACTTTGTCTCCAGTCCTGGATCCTTGGCGTGCAGAAACACCTTGCCATTGACAAAGAGATGCCCGGGGGATTGTGCCATACCTAATAGTCTAATATCTACCTATCATATAAGGGGGAAGAATAACGATCTAGTTAACCTTGATGGGCAAATAGAGAGACCTATGAATACCTACCTATCTCTTTGCCTAAATAGGTAGTTATAAAGAGCGCACTATACCACCTTCGCCCTTGTAAGGGGACTTCGCCTTCAAGATACCACCCCGCGTGCGATCCACCATTACCTTGGGTAGCTCCGAACCGGGGGCTAGTTTGGCCTAGAATGTAGGCCTTGCATGAACAATTCTGTCAATACACCGAGAGTATTACGATATCTTTGATGTGTGGACCTTTCTTATGTGTAATAGGCAGATCTAACATAGTTCATGCCCATCTCACTAACTGCCTACCTAACCTAGGCATTATGAAATTGATGTTTTAATAGACTGATATTTCCTCAGATTAGGAACATTAGGTACCTAGGTAATAAAATGTTTACTTATGGCAGCTAAGATGGATCCTATTATCCTTCCAACTTACACGGGGCTGGGCTATTAGTTTGGCAGACTCTGGCTATGGGAAACTCAATCGTAGAACCTTGGGTAAGAATTAAATATGAGTAATTATCGTGGAAAATGATGTTTAGATGAAATTTCTAGATATAACGAAAGAGTACACTCAGTTAGGGACGAAAAGTACTCAGCCCCTGAGCTGATTTGTAAAACGAGTCGCTTACATGCCTAGTATCTACCTAGGTAAGAATACCTAAACATACCTACTAATGCTTCGCTGTCTATCTACCTCTCTATACCTTAGGCCGAAACTCATCAATTACACTAACCGGCTTCGTGTACTCGAGCGTCGTCTTATACTCATATGGCAAATGGAACGCACTCGGGCCCGCCACCTCGAGCCCCCGTTTCGTGGCCCAGATTGGATGGGGCGCCATGATCATAACCGTAACCTTCAACCCGTAGCGGTATTCCTGCACGCCGACGGCCTCGCCGGTAGATGTGTCGAGGAGGAATATTAGGTCGGGGATAGTCGCGAGAACCTAGATTAGACGTCAGCACACTTTGGCTCTCGCAGGTGATGGCAGTGCCCCTTACCTCCTCCGAACCATCCTCCCTCTTCCCAATCGCAACCAAATTCTCGTTCATAAATGGCACCACAACCTCCACCAGCCCCTCTTCACCAACCTCTCCTACATCCGCTTCCGTCTCCCTCTCCCTCTCACTCAGCCGCTCAACCGTTACCTCCCCCAGACTATGCGCCGTCGTCGTCAGCGTGCTCTTCACGCTGCGGATCTTCCCCTGGAACAGCACCCTTGCGCTCCTCCTACCCCCATCCCCACCATTAGCCGCCTCAATAATCGCCTGTGGGACACCCGCCACATCGCCCCTCTGCTGAGCCGCCGCAACCGCACGACCGAGCCTCCAGGCCAGCGAGTACGTGTTCGGGATGCCTACATCTCTCATCTCCTTCCCAGTGACCGGATTCCCCGCCGCGCCAGCAGCCGACCCCATCTCGACACACGCGGTGCGGATCTTCAGGCTCGCGGTTTCTGTGTCTGGCTGTGGTCGCGGGATGGTGACGCTTTGGCCGCCGCCGCTGCACAGGATCACGGGGAGCATGGCGTTGACGGAGGGCGCGTGCAGGTATTGGGATACCATTTCGAAGGCGGGATAGGCGCGGCCTGCAACAATAGGTTAGAAGAGATGCCTGGTAGGTAGTTGATAAAGGCCAACGAAAAGGGGTAAAGAGAGGAGAGAGGGAGGACTCACCCATCATATCGCCATCCACGACCGGAACCCCGTAGAACCTCCCACTGCCCCAAACCAACATGCCCACACCATTCGACCCCCCAATCTCCGTCGCCACAATACGATCAAACCTCGCGCCCACCTCCTCCTCCATCGCCCGCATCGCATGTAGCACGCCATGGCCCCCAGGCCTCTCAATACTAACCGCCGGCGTGCCCACGCTCGCAACCACCGGCATCACGTCGTCATCCCTCAGGTCCTCGAGCCGTGAGATCCGGACGCTGTCACCGCCGCGCAGCAGCTGCCGCAGGTGCAGGTACGGCTCGTAGGGGGAGCCGCCGCCGCCGCAGCCGAGGATGTAGCAGCCGATCGCGAGGAAGCGGATGTCGGGCTCGGAGAGCAGCCACTCGCCCGACGCAGTAACAGTCGGGCGGTAAGTATTGAAATCGACGCGTGCGAGCTCATCGTCGTCGTCGTCGTCGTCGAAGGAAGACAGCGCGTGCGCCTTCGTCTCCTCGTGCAACACCTCGTCGACGAGGTCGTCAGCCACCGGCGTCTCCGACATCGCGGCACGCACGCGCCCGTGGTCGGCCTCGCACGCGACCTCGATCCTGATCAGCGTCTGGTCCGTCGTGTACGGCACCCCGGCCACCTCCTCGCGCAGCGTGACGGCCGAGCCGCCGTGCCCGCCCTTCGCGACCGCGTTCTCGACCGCGCGGCGCCGCACCTCCCCGACTCCCTCGGCGACAACACCCCCGGCGCCCCGGACGATCAGCTCCGCGGAGCCGTAGACCTTCGCGATCGCGGCGCCGATGGCATTGGCGACGCCGGCGTGCGCAGGCACGACCACCTCGCTCACGCCCGCGAGCGAACTCGGGCAGAGGATCGCGCCGCCGCCGACGAGGATGACGGGGCAGGGGTCCGGGCTCAGCTTCACGCGGTCGATGCAGTCTTCTAGCATCTTCGTGATGCGGACGTTTGCCCTCGCGGCGGTTTCTTCTGGGAGCGAGACTTTTGCCGTGCCGACCGCCGCGCCGGAGACCGCAACCGCGACATCCGTGGCCGTCGCGACGGCGCCGCCGAAGCAGAGCGCTTTCTCGGTGAGGTGGTGGCCGACGCTGTCCGGGCCCACCGTTACGTGGTTGGTATTCTCGGCGATGTGCAGGATGGAGCCGCCGCCGAGCCCGATGCTCTCCACCGACGGCATCTCCAGGTTGACCTTGACGCCCGCGAGATCGGTGTACGTCTTGGCGAGTCGGGGATAGCCGTTCTTGAGGAGATAGCCGACGTCGGTGGTGGTGCCCCCGATGTCGACGACGATGGAGCCGCCCTGCGACAAGGACGACTTGGCGAGGAACGCGGCGCCGCGGATGGAGTTGGTCGCGCCTGAGGAGAACACGCGGATAGGTGTTCGCATGGCCTCCGAGAAGGGCAGGAGATGGCCGACGTTGGAGGTGAGGTATAAGGGGCAGTTGAGCTTGATGCGCCGGATTGCGCCGATGAAGGCGCGGATGGTCCGCTTGGCGAAGTTCATGATCGCTGCGTTTAGGATAGATGCGTTCTCGCGGGCAAGGAGACCGGGCCCGGCGATGTTGCGCGAGAGGATAATGTTGACGTCGTCACCGAGCGCATCGCGGAGCCAGTCGTGCACGGTGTCCTCCTGGTGGTACTTCTCATCTGTCGCACAGCCGATTCCCACGACGGCAACGTTCTTGATCCCCTTGGACTTGATGATGCTAGCCTGCTCTCGCACGGTCGCCTCATCGACATGGCCAATAAGTGTTCCATCGATATTACATCCACCTGGGATAATGGCCGAATGGCCGTGGACTATCTTCTCAAGAGACCGTGGCCAGTCGGCAAAGGGTGGCGTACCATCGGAAAAATGGTGAGATGCTAGACGAAGCACCGCGACTTGCTCTACCCGAGAGGAGTCCTTTTCGATGATGGCGTTGAGGAAGTGGGTGGTACCGATGGCCAGGGCGGTAATGTCGGTAGGCGTCGCAGCCGACTTACTCAACAAAGCCTCCAGGGAGGCCTGCACAGACAAGGTCACATTGGAAGTCGTTGGTGTTTTGTGGGATGCTATAACGGCATCTCCGCTAGATTTAGAGATATCTAGTAGAACACTGTCTGTATTTGTGCCTTATAAAAAATGTCAACTTTGAGATCTATAGTAGGCAGATAGGTAGCTATTCCAGGTTTTTGTTTGTCCATACCTCCAACGTCCACGCCAACCACCAGGGTTTTGCTTGTTTCGCTATATACACTCATAATCTCGAATCGACTTTTATCAGATTATCAGTACATGAAAGATCTTATCTGATCGGATGCCTGTCTTATGCTTAAACGTTACACATATGAACGGTGGTTGCTCCGGTCTCGCCGCGAAGTTGTGGTGGCCTCTTGGCGGCGTTGATCTCCATTCGTACCCCCACGCCGTGCTAAGGTGGAAAGAGAAGTCGAGTTTAGGTACCTACCTAGGTAAGAGTTCGTATTCAGCAGACTCTAGCTCCGATGTAGGGTCCCTACTGTAGCTTCCGTATTAGTAGTATTTAGTAGGGTCGGAGGGAATAGCGCTAGTTGTATTGTGCATCGGTAGTTCGCAGAAGTTCTCTAGGTGAGGCACTTATGGCTTGTGACTTGTGACTTGGGATACGAAATAATTATTACCTCAACTAGCCGGATACCTACCTAACCTAAGTAAAGAACATGCCGCCATCCACCAGCTGCGTCTGTCCCGTAATAAAATCGCTATCGCTGCTGGCCAAAAAGCTGACCAGCTTGGCGACGTCCTCAGGCACGCTAACTCTATCCAGCGCCGTGCCCTCGTGAACCCACCGCTTCATCACCTCTCCCTTCTGCACACCCGTTCGCTTTGCCGCGTCCGTGTCAATTAGATCCCACATAGGGGTGCCCACGATCCCCGGCCCGTACGCGTTTGCCGTGATGTGATGCTGCGCAAGCTCCATGGCGTACGCCTGCGAGAGGCCGCGGACGGCCCACTTGCTGCTGCTGTAATGGGGCAGCAGGATGTTCGACTTGAACGCGGCGACCGATGCGGCAGCAACCAGTTTCCCGGGTCGGTCCGGTCGGCAGTTCCCTTGGCTTATCATCTGTTTGGCCGCTTCGGCGAAGCAGTAGTGAACGCCATATACGTTGATGGAAAACATGCGCTCGAGATCTTCCGGTGTCACCTCAAGGAGGGGCTTCACCTGAGTGATTCCGGCATTCGCTATCCTGATAAGAATATTAGTATACTCGGTACCCAACAGAACAAAAAGAGAAATTATAGACAGGCACCTAGTATATGGTAGGTATTTGGATGCATACGAAAAACTCACATAGTGCTTAAGGGGCCTAGATTGGAAACACTGGTCTTAACCATCTCCTTCACTTGGTCCAATTTGGACACGTCTGCAATCGCAGTACAAGCTTTCCTTCCCATCCCTTGGATCTCCTTCACGACCTCATCACATCCAGCCTTGTTCGAGCTCACGTCATTAACACAGACATCGTATCCATCCGCAGCAAGGCGCAACGCTATAGCCTTCCCAATACCCCTACTGGAGCCCGTCACAATGGCGGTCCTTCCATCATTACTGGCTCGAGAATATGAGGCGTATCCAGCCCGCAGAGTGTTTTTTCCTAGGTTGCCGATGGAAACGCGGTAGGTATTCGATGGTGTATTCGACCTGGATAACCGAGAGCATTCCCTTCCCACGAAGCTTGCTACTTGCCCGCCGATTAGCCTCATGATCGTTCAGATTGATGTGAGAGTTAAACTAAGTGATATTTGAAAAAGAGAGCTGAGAGAGATACCTACCTACCTACCTAAGATAGCCAGAGCTACTTCGATATATGCAGTCCCACCCCGCTTCGAAAACCACAGGCTGTACTCGTTGTCACCGAGACCGCTGGCTGAAATGGAGTGCATGAGGGGTATTAGTTGGAGACATCCTCCTTCAGCATTCATCAAATGGGTTTTGATTGGTTTTGGTGAAGAACAGTTTGCATCTTGGCTAGTGTCGCTTTATTTAATACCGAGTCGCGTTCAATAGTTCGGGATTATCGTCAATTTCCTACTCTAATAGAACATAGCATCGTGGGCCTAGGTAGGGTTTCAAGGGGATATGCAAAGTGCCTCTGGTTAAATCTTAAGTGGGACGACGAAGTTGCCGTTCCCTGCGTCTTAAGGGAGGATCGTGCTATAGTAAAGTAATATCAGAGAGTATACTATGTAAGTATACCCATCAAGTAAGTGATTTAAGATGTCCCGACTCCGACTACCCAGGTCCCTACTATCATAAAGAACTCCGTGACTCCATCAAATTATATTATCTCGAGTACTACCTACGTCCCAGTAGGCATCTACTAGGTAGCTAGCCACTTTGCAAGACCACCAACATGATTTACCTATAAATAAATAGGGGTAGTGCTAATCCCGCAATGTCTTCAACCCTCGCCCCTTCTAGGAAACCGAGTCCTAGTATTTCGAGATTCCTGCGTTGAAGAACAGGGTAATGGGATAACATCCCTTGGACTAGATGGGCCTAAAAATAACGGGTATAATTCACTAACCTGCTTAAACAACGTGTTTGGCTATCTTATACAACTAGTTAGCCGCGAAGGCAGCCGCGATACTTGGTGGACCAGAAAACAACATTCGCTTGGAAGAAAACAACCATCTTATACAATTATCGTGAGTATGTACTGAAGCCCGAACTCCCTTCATGCCACCCGTCTATTGATGCGATGATGCGAGACCTGGAGCTGCCCGTTGATCTCCGCCCGATTGAAGCTGCGTGTTTCCGCTCACTGGGTCCGACCTACCGACCAGTGGTGGAGAACGCGCTCTTCACGTCGGCCCGTGGCCATTCAAATAGTACATCGCCGCCATAGACTGTCGTGGTTATAGTCGAAATACGAACTTCGATTTCTCCGTAAAACTTTTCGCATTCTCGGAGGACACGGTTGACGAGACTGCGGCTCAGCGACGGATCGTCGGCGTCTCCAAAGTGTTTCTCGACTCGTTTCCGCAGTGATTCCACACCTTTGCGTACTTCACGGCCATCGTAGCCACTGAGAATCTTATTGAACGTACCCTTGGCGTTGCTTGGCTGTGCGGCTATGATGGCAGCGCTCTTTCCCGAGGCTAGTTGTGTTTCGATATTCTCCAGGTATTCGAGAAGTTTTCCCAAAGGTCGGCGCATGACGGCATTAAGGTATAGATTCACATGTTCGCTCATCTCACTGGCAGCTGCCTCCTTCCAATCCTCGAGGATCTCTAAGCCATGTGTGTCGAGGTCCTCAAGGAAGTGGTTCATGTTCTCAATCAGTAGGATATGGTAGTTGAGAGCTTCCTTGTCTTCCGGATCGGCGCCGCTATTGGTGAGCGTAGCGGGGTTTTCTCGAGCGATGACCTTCAGTGAATCGAACATAGTCTTAATGATGCGATCATACTCCCGATCCACGCTGCGTCTGACCGGAGAATTCGTATCGACTGACATGAGCATGTTTTCTACCGCATTAGAAAACAGCGGGAACACTCGCATAAAAGAGATAACTCCTTTGCGTTTCTTGATTTTGACCTTCGTTTCTTCGATTGCGCGTATTTGCCCTTCGACAAACTTGGCGAATCGGGTCTCAAGACTACCCTGAAGCTTCTGTAAGATATTGTTTAGGAAGTCTTGGTTAGACTGTGTTATCTCGACCTGCTTCCGCTCGAGTATTGCGAGAACGCCAACTCCTTGTCTATTGATGTGTTAGCTAAAACTAGCCGAATTGGGTTTACGCAGATGGAATTTCACTTACAGTGGATCTTGAGACAGAACCCAGTCGACAGTGCTTTGCAAGTCTTGTTCCAAAAACGAGAATATGGCCTCCATAGCTCGCGTGACCCTTCTTGCTAATTCACGGTCAGGCTCCATAAGCCGATGTCGTTTTAAATCACCACCTCGTCGATCGCGTGGCCTCGCTGCCACTACAAGGTCCGTGAAATCGGCAGTTTCTAGGGTTGTAGCATGGAAGAAGTCGACGATAAAGTTTTGCTCAATCTCAATCAGAGGAACTATATCATCCATCATGCCAGAGAATGCTTCGTAGGGGAAGCTGCGGCCGTCTGAGATCTTGTCCAGGCTTGTCTTACTGCCCTCGCCGAGAGGACCCCGTAGAGTTCTCGCAAAATTCTGGCTTCTTTTCACAGTAAGTTTTCGGGCAGTAGCCATTGTGCCTTCTTGTTGTCTCTCCACTTCAGTAGTGAAAAGGAGCTCCCCTTCGTCGCCAGTAAGTCTTCTGGCATTGCGTTTCCAAGAGTCTACAATGTCCCTCAACCTGAACTTGTAGAGCGGAAGGTTCTTCTCCTGGTACACTTGGAGACAGCGATTCCACCCTTCTAGGTCTACCTCTCTGGCATACAATATAAGTGGACTGTAGCGCCAAAGCAAGTCCCGACCAACATCGTGATGGCCGGGGTCGACCTTTTTCGACAGAGCCCCCTCAACAGCTGATTTAATTTCTGAGGATGCCTTGTCAAACTGTCGGGCTATAAAAACGCTAAATCTCTCTAGAAACGCAACGCTCTCCGAGCGATACATCTCCTTTTTCTCTTGGACAATTCGCATTTTACCATAATCGGTATTGAGAGTGGATGGCTGCCCCCCAGGACTAATATCTTCACTCTTTCGAAGCTCGGATCCAGCAGCGGAGGAGTCAATCTTCGACATGGCTTTATACAGTGTAACAAGGGCCGTTTCGATTTCCTCTAGACCTGAAGTCGTCTCAAGGGGTGCCACAGAGAGAGCTCGCAAGTCTTCGGCGGTGATGGCACATGTATCAAGTAGCGACTCCAGCTCCTTCCTGAGAAGCTTTTGATTTGCTGCTTGCACTTGTAGACCTTGCCCTTGGGCTTCTATGTATGCAATATCATCGGACAAAGTCTAAGACTATTGTTAGCGGCCGCGGGACCCGGAACCCGATTCATTCAAACTTACCGATAACTCTACACTGTATAGAGTGAGAAGATTGTCAAGCTCATCACATTCTGTGATAGCGACGTCGAGGCCTCTTTTTATTGCCTCGACCCGATCATCCTCTGCCTGAAACCGTACGACCCAGCCTCCGGCTTGGACTTTATTAAGTTCGCGGTCGATGTCAAGTTTCATCTCCTCAAAATTGCGACTTCGCATCTGCTCACCAGGAACCCAGCCAAAATGATCTAGCCATCTTGCAAATTCAGGAGTCTGATCAGCTAATACGGATGTGTCGATGCCAAGGGCTGTTAGATATTTTGTATCATTACCAGTCACAGTTAAGCGTCGCGGTTCCTCTTCTTGTTGGATCTGGTCCAGGCTCTTTCGCTTGGATTCTTTAGCAGGGCCATGTGAACTGGTTGGACGGCTAGGGTTGGGCTTGGTGACCTTGACTTCAGGGACAAAAGAAGGCCTCTCTGGAGATTTCCTCTCAGGTTCAATTGGCTTAGGTGTCTCAGGTTTAGGTTCTGGACGTCGTGGTGCCGGAACAACACTAGTTATGCCATCTGGACCTTCAACACTGATTTTGCTTTGCAGTTCACGTAACCTCTCTCCAGCACCACCGGGACGCGGCTTGAATGCAGTCGCGGCGGATGCAGCCTTCCAGAGAGTACCCGCTAAATCACCGCGGCCTTTCCTCGCCTTGATCATGGGACCTAAGCCAGGGCGATTATCGTCGTCTGCGGATGTTTCGGTTGGCGGTGTCCCAGGAGCTGCGCTTTCAGCGGCTGGTGATGCTTTTGTGCCATTGTTGACTATTGGGGTTTCCGGGGTATCGGGAATTCGCTCTATTGGCAATACTCTTCTCGGAGGCGAGGTAGGTTCAAAAGGTTTCCCAATGGAATTGTTCCGTGGCGACCCTCGCTCGGTGCTTCGTGGCGGCGGTTCCCTTTTGGGGGTCTGGCTCATCAATGGTGCTGGCACGAGATCATTGTCCATAACTTCCTTGGGCCTTGCTGGATCCATTGGAGGTCTTTTCCTATCCGGCAAATCAACTTGAGAAGCCGACTCAGATGGCTCAGCAAATCTGCCAAATGCCCCGGGACCGGTCATTCCACCCCTTGAGCGTGGAGGCAGGCTCGCTGCATCCTCACTTCTTATTGTGGAGACTGATGCTGCTACGGAATCTTGACTTTTGTTGTTCCCTGCCAACCTACGTAAAGCGGCCTGTTGGCTCCCGGAACGAGCAGAATCTAGCCCAGCTGCCGGCGCTGGTGCAGAAGTTCCATTAGGGGGCGCTAATTTACGGCCCGGTGAACTAGGAGGTTTATTAGGGCGGAATGGTTGGATTCCGCCTGCGGGAGCAAGAGGATTAGGTGGGCTCTGTATAGGTAGAGTGTCGTGCTGAGATGGTACAGGATCAGGTCTGTAAGGTTTGGGGTCCATCCGCGGGGGTGTCGCAGCAGATCTTGACGGAGGAGGCGTAGGAGTAGGACCAGGACCGGCTCGTAAAGAGGGAGTAGAATCAGAAGGGCCACTTCGACTCGGTGGTGGACGTCGCGATCCTAGCACTTGATCTAACTCGCGGGGGTCGAAACCCTTCAACTCGGGCACGTTCCCGCTAGTATACTTTCCGTATATCTTGACTAAGCTGGCAATAAAGAACTTCTTTTCCTTGTCGGCCTGAGCTTGCCAATAGTACGGTTTCCCGACGCTGACGATAAACCCTGTATCTCCAGCCCATTCTCGTTTCTGGGGATCAGTATCTGGGGATGTAAAGGATTCGATGGCGCTCAGGTCATTCAAATCCCATGTCTTTCCAATGGAGAATGAACCGTTGGCATTTTCTTTGGATTTGTGCATACGAACTCTGCCCGACTTTCGTACAGCGACGATAATCACTCGAGGCTTTTCTGCTTGGGCTCGCTGATCAGGAGGCGGGGGTGAAGAGGGATGAGAAGCGTACTCGGTGATCTTGATGTGGGTGATATAGGTTTCGAGTACTACACGGGTGCACAATGTACGTCAGCTCCTAACACAGTCCGAGCATGTTTTGGCAAACATGAACAACATGAGCAACACGGGAGGACCGGATAAATCTTACTAGACCCGTCGACATCCCTCTTGTTAAAACAGCTTTCCACAATGCGCTTCTTCTCCTCCTCGAATCTCTCAGCCCTATTGCCCTCACGGCCTTGGCCGAAAGCACCATTTTGGCGCGGATGATCCATTGTTAAGGAATCCTGTAGGTGTGGTGCTGCGAATTCATGAATGAAGGTAGTGGACTAGGAATTGCGGAAGTTCACGGAGCATCTTCGACTTTAGATCGACTATAGTAAAGAGGCGACAGCGCAATCAGATGTCCACGGGTGCGACCAGGCTTATTTAGGATGCCTACCCAGGTAGTCAATCTGGGTAGTCAATTGATTGATTATTTTTACGGAGATTCGAATATTAGGACAGGGCCTAGAGAGAGCGAAGAGGGCGATAGCTGCACGTGGTTGAGGATACTTTGGATAAAGGGAAGGTTGTCCAGGGCTGTTGATGTACAAGTTTACTGTACAACAATTTGGTGTCTCAGGGAGTTGGCAGAGCTGAGGCCAAAGCGTCATGGGTCATTTTTTTGGGTTGGGTCGCTGGTTGGGGGGTGATAAATGAGGCACAGGCTGTCATCATTGATGTAGAAAAGGTGGCAGAGTGGTATGCAAAGCCACACCTAGCAGCCCTAGATACCCGGCCCCGAAGCCATGTTCAAAGGTTAAAATGATGGATCCGCTTAATTCTTTATCGATATCTACCCAGCCTACAAGATGCTTGGCACATAGTTAAATAGTTACAGTGCTCAGTGCTAATGTCATTAATTCCATTTCATCATTGTTGATATGTAAATTGATATGTAAATTCAACACGTACAAAATGTGCACCCGAAAAGATCCGTCGTCTTTCATCTTCAAGCATATCTCTCCATAATCTCTCGAACCCTCTCCAGTGGCAATGCCTCAATTTTATGGTCTCGGTTCCCTACCATAGTTTCTGCCATGCATAGCGCGTTGTATATCGACTCTTCCGTCGCATCTGCTGCTGCCTCGAATAGTCCATTGATTGAAGTGTCATCAACTACTTCAACGGTGAGAGGCGTAGGCTTAAACGGATCGACTGCCCTTCGCTCCATGGATACCGACTGCACTGGAATTTCGTTGCCAGTCGAAAATGCCAAAAAGATATCACCTGATGGGTTATGACCGTAGCCTCCAACTCTAGACAGGCCCACCGTTGCTCGTTTGGCCAACCTCTGGAGTTGCGTGGGGTGTAGAGGCGCATCTGTAGCGATGATGACGATAATACTTCCATCTTTCCGGTTCTTCTCTTTATCGAGCGCCTCTCGAGCCATTTTGATAGCTGGGTTGCTTTGAGCCGCCTCGTCAGCCTCCTGCGCCAGGATTCTCCCCACCGGTACGCCTGCGATGCGGAAATGCTGTGGTCTGCCATAGTTGGCCTGTACCAGCACGCCGACGGTATAATTCTTGGGATCTCCTTTACAATCGAGTCCCTCGACAATTCGACTGCTACTGCCAGTGCCGCCTTTGAAATAGTGGCAAATCACTACAATATGATCTGTTTAGAATGCATCGAATATTATCACGGATTTATGAGGTATAGAACTTGCTTACTTCCGGTCCCACCTCCAACGTTCCCTTCCCTTACTCGGTCACTCGATGCATTCTCAAGTCCATTGATGATATGTTCGGGCCTCACCACAAATTGTGTGAGATCGTTCAGATATCCGTCGAAAGTCTCGGCAACGACGGGCAAGAGAAACCAGTCGACGTTCCCTTTTTCCACGCCCTGAGCCTTGATGGTGTATTCATAGATCCCCTGGTATGCAGCACCAACTGAAAACGAATTGGTGATAACTATAGGGGAGTGCAACAGACCTGTCTCGTTGATCCAATGACTCCCAGTCATCTCACCAGACCCATTGAAACTGAATATGCCAGCATAACAGGCGTTATTGAACCATCCTTTCCGAGGCAAGATGCTTGTAACGCCCGTGTTTACGGCACCATTGTCGGCGAAAATTTCTTGGGTGTGAACGAGAACCCCGGGGACATCAGTCAGGGAATTTAAGGGGCCGGGTTTCCAGTACCCCAGGTGCAATTTGGGCAAGAGATCCCGAAGGCGCACTCGAGACTCTTTGCTGGAAACGGTGCCTGATGTGAATGACATGATCTGAAGCCGATGGAAATTATACCTAGTAATTGAGATGAGGTTGGCTTTATTCCAAGTTTCAATTTCATCACACAACTGGACATGAACCCTCGTGAGAGGCCCCCTTTTATGTCCCAACCTTTACGATTAACAAGGACGTCATATTGACCCTTGGATTTCTATGTGACTCACGCCGGTCCCTGACGAATCAAATACAGTTATTGGATAAGCTGCTGTGCTTCATTTGAGAGGTACGTTACAATACAGTTATGCATTTCAACTTGTTTTACTGCCAATAGTATCATAAACGTTTCACAGAATGTGATGCGCATTGTAGGCCTACTTATATATTCATAGTTACATCTCTGCCATCGAGATCAAAGCTGATGAACTTGGGGAATGCTAGGTACTGTAGGTACTTAAACCCCCTTGCCTTGTCGATTAACCAAACTTGAAGTGGGGTCGTGCACAGCTAAGTTTAAACAAAGAGGTCACCGCCTAGGTCAAATTAAGAAGATTGAGGTTTATTAAGCCATCAGCAATATAACTAACCAATAACTATAGCTGATTATTAAACTTCTGCTATAGTAATGGCTACCTCGCCCGCTTTCATCTAGGATCTCGCTCAACGCCCAAGTTACTCAACCATCAATCCATCCGCCGACGAAGTCAACGATAAAGGCGTCGTCAGTATCGGGGTGAATCAATATATCAACCTTACCGTCACCCTGTATCACTTCAATTTAGCTCACAAGATGGACAGATGCTGGCAATTGAAGAAACCATCTTTACATTTCGAAGTGCGGACAGATCTCCCGAGTATCTCTGGAAATGCAGTCCTCTAGAAATCCAATGATTATCCTAGACACTCAACCTCCCTGTTCATGATCAACGCCATCTTGCCATTCGCAGTATGAAAGAATAGCTTCCAACTTCAGCAACAGTGTCCAAGATCTGATCGGATACTATCCTCCATTTCTTCGTCTCTGGAATGATATGCAGCATTGTATGAGGTGATAAGAAAATCCTCAATCGTATTGTCGGCATAAGAGGGGCCGAGGTGGATTATTGGCCGTGCATAAATCCTTCAGATTGACTCCGCGGCCAGCGGAGAAGCTCTTGTCAAGCAATATCCAGAATAAACCCTAGGCTTCTTCAACAGAGAGGTAGAATATTTGAATTTCGATAGACGGGAGGAAGTCATATATACTGGGTACCTAGGTACCTATTGGTGCATACCTACTAGGTAGTATCGTTGTTGGCATTACTAAATCCATGGATATAGCTTTTCTACTTCACATCCAGCTTGTAGGTAACATATAACGAAGCATCGCTGTATTATATTGAACCGAGACTGCTATTACAAACACCTAACCTTCTTACCTAGGTAGTACCTAAGCTTTACCGGCCACTAACCGGCAGAAGGTTACTTTCCCCTCATCCCATTCCCCCACAGTGGAACTCTTATTTAGTAGGTACCTAACCTACCTAGGTAGATTTGCTAGTGCTAGCTACCCCACATTCTCTTTCAACTCTGCCCCTAGATCGGGGAAATCTCAACAAGATCTCACCCGTGGACCTCTCACCTTTCCTGGGCATCTTTATAATAGGGAGTGTGAGCTCAAGTTGTTTTTATTTTGATATTTTGCAGTTTGGATATTTTTCTATTTTAATTTTTGGATAAGTCAATTCCACATAGCACAGACAGCTACAGTAGGCAACTATAATCCTATATCTCATATTCCCAGATACGTCAAACAATTTCAAATATACGTCTGGTCAAGGTCAAAAGATTCGATATTAGTACACTGCAAAGATGGCTGCAGCCATTCGTGTGATTCCAAACGTGAGTTATCAAAGCCAAACTCCACAAGCTAATATTACAAACTCGTTGCTAAAGTGAGAAATTTATCAGGCTGCTTCGCGGGCAGCCAGTCTCCTAAGAACCGTCCAGTACGCTCATCCGCCAAATTGTCCGTGTCATTCAAATCCAGGACATCACCATCACCATGCAAGAAATCAAGTTGACGCATACGCTCAGCGTACTCAGAATCGAATGGGGAGACGTGGCTTCGCCTCCCCTACGGACTTTTCACAACAAAAGGAATATGCATTTGAAATGGCTGCCTCGTCCATCCGATTTGGCCCTGGAGTGACCCAAGAAGTCGGCATGGACTTTACAAATATGGGCGCCAAACGCGTATGCGTGGTAACTGATTCTACTGTTCGACGTCTCACTGCGGTTAAGCAAGTAGAGGAAGCCTTAACAAGGGAGGGAATCGAGCACGTCATATTCGACAAAGTCCGAGTCGAACCAAAAGACAGCTCGTAAGTCAACTCAACACCTATCTCACAGTCTAACCATGACTATGAGATATATTATAAGTTAAGTCGTAGCTCAAATCAAACATAGAATCAAGGAGGCCATTGCCTTCGCCAAACCGTATCGCCCCGATGCTTTTCTAGCAGTCGGGGGAGGCTCTGTCATCGACACAGCCAAGTTAATGAATCTTTACACCGAATACCCCGAGGCCGACTTCTTGGACTTTGTCAACGCGCCACTAGGAAATGGGCGGCCGATTGACAGGAAACTTAAGCCACTAGTCGCCATTCCTACCACAGCAGGTACCGGAAGTGAAACGACTGGAACAGCTATTTTCGACCTTGTAGAAAAGAGAGCTAAAACTGGAATTGCTCACCGTAACTTGAAGCCGACACTCGGTATTTGCGACCCCTTAAACACGAGAACAATGCCCTCTGCAGTGAAGGCAGCTTCTGGGTTAGATGTCCTATGCCACTCGCTCGAGTCATGGACTGCTATCCCATTCAACGAGAGGGTACCTCGACCAACAAATCCCATTTTGAGGCCAGCTTATCAGGGAGCAAACCCAATTAGTGATGTCTTTTCTCTCTCGGCACTTCGCAGCACCGTCAAATATCTTCCACGGGCCGTCAAAGACCCCGAAGATTATGAAGCCCAAAGCGAAATGCTTCTCGCCGCAACCCTCGCCGGTGTTGGTTTCGGGAATGCCGGAGTTCATCTTTGCCACGGTACGAGAGATAACTCCAAGTGAAGTAGCAATTGGGAAGCCCAAGCTAACGAATGTGTTAGGAATGTCATATCCCATTTCCGGTCAAAATCCTGGTTACAAACACGCAGGATACGAAGTTGACCAGCCCATCATCCCGCATGGTGTATCCGTTGCCGTATCTGCACCAGCCGTATTTAGGTTCACAGGAGCGTCTAACCCCGATCGCCACCTCGCTGCTGCGGAAGCGTTTGGTGTGGATATAACCAACGTGAAGCGTGAGGACGCGGGCCTAGTGTTAGCTGATGCCATCACCAAGTTTCTCATCGAACTTGGCGATCAACCAAAGGGATTGAAAGAGTTGGGATTCAATTCGAGCCACATCGAAGCCCTTGTTGAAGGGACAATACCCCAGGCTCGAGTTTTGATGTTGGCCCCTGGCTTAGCTAAGGAACTTGAGCAAGAGAGAGATCAACTGAGGAAACTCTTCGAAGAGTCCATGCAATACCGATGACAAATATCTAAGACGAAGATGTATATATAATGAGCAAGGCATTTCATGATTTCATGTAGATACCTACAGAATACAGCATAACCAGATATCGCCATGACACTAGAGGATGAAGTGTGCAAGATTAAACCAGTGAATCTCAGCGATCATACATACATGCATGCATTTGGGCTATCCTGAGGCTTCACCTGACATATTAATTCAGCTACTATCAAGGCCATGATGCGTCAAATACCGATCGCCTTAATTTGATTTATTATAAATTACTTGCATAATGAAGGGCCTTCGAACGTTACCTAGACACAGCACAATGCGCGGGTAAGCCACCGGGCAGTGCCGAATGCAACCATACCGTACCCTTCTCACACGCTTCTCAAATTATCGCGGAAATGTCTCATTTATTTTGGTAGGGGAGGTAGAGTAGGTGTCACCATAATATATCAACTGCCCGAAGATCAAACATTGGATGGCACGAACTCCCTACCTACCTACCTACCTACCGCAAGTGCGTTTCGCCGTGAGCCGAGGAGACCCTTCGGCAAGTGTTTAAAGAGGGAGAGAGATAGATAATATACTTGTCGAGGCCAAGGCCGAAAGCGCCGGAGCCGAAGGAGTATGAGATGTTATATTTTGCGCTGATGCGTTCGGCCCGAAGTCTTCGGACCTAATACAGATAATAGGTACCCTACATGAGTGTAGGATGACAGACATACGGCAGAGGCAGAGGGGTGGGCACAGGTTTTACCGCAGGCATGTTCATTGCTGACTGCATCCTGAACCGTTAGGCGGTAAAGAGATAGATGGAAAGATAGATAGATACCTGCCTAAGCACCTGCCTAGGTAGATTTTATAGCGGTGTCCTCGTTAGCAGTAAAGTATGCGGACGGACCTAATTATAATCCCGCCAGGATGATGATCTGATCGCGGCTCTGTCGCAAGGGAGTTGGCCCGGACCCAAGCCGCTGGAAACGTTCTATCTAACTGAGCTAAGTACCAAGCAAGGCATATATCTCGCAGCTATCATCAATACTGCGCAATGCGATAATTCGGGCAAGGGAGGGGGGGTGGTTTTGCCCGAATTGGCTCGCCAAGATTTCGTTGAAGATTCCGCCTGAATTCGCAGCGTTTCCCTTTCCGTGCAAAGTTTAACTTTGGCTCTGTCTGTAGAAGGCGAAAAAAATACGAAATCAAGAATAGAAAATCGTAAAATCCACGTGCCGATCATGCCATCCTTGCCAGTCCTTGACCATAACTTCCAAGTTCCTTACAGGAACGAGAGATCTACGGTACACGAACATCACAGATCCATATCCGCTGCTTCTGTGTTGGCCGAGAGAGGCTAGCCGGTCCCCGGACTAACCCTTGGTGATCTAGAACACCATCTTTTTGCACGATATACCACCCCGGGCGAAACCATTAGTTAGAAAAGGCGTTGCCTATCTGGGTGCTACGACATGCCTATTTGTAGATAACGGAAGCATTCGACCCGCCATCTTGTTTTGGGCAGGGGGGTTAGACATGGGGGTAGGGGAGTAGGGGAGAAGAAAAACCGCTTTTTACTTGGGGAAAAGCTGGGGTAAGGAGACAGAACCCGATTTGGGGAAATAAGATTCATAGTAAATAGAAAAATAGAAAACTAGAAAAATATAATAAAATCAACCATCATGTCCAAACGTTTTTTCTTTTTTCGAGGTCACATCATGGTTCGTGTTTTGGCACTCTTTTGTTTCTCGTTTACATACCTGCCTCTTCTCTCTCCCTTTGATCGGTGATACTTGAAAAGTTTGGGCTTGTTGCAAAATAAAGTCAAGTCAGCTACCTAGAGCTAAGTAGCTAGGTACCTACGTCAAACGAACGAACGATGGAAGAGAAGGAGATCAACGTCGGTGGCGTGACGGTTCATCATGACCACATCGCTGTGCAAGAGGGCACGGGCTCAGGAGGAAACGTCGCTGGTGCTAAAGCGAAGGTGGTGCATAATGTAAGCACTGAGACTTTGGGTTCTTTTAATGGACTCCTTACCTGCACAACACGCCTAAGGGGCTGGAGCACTCATATCTGATCTGATAACAGGCCGAACTATACGCCGCTGTCCACGAAACGAAAATCAACTATAAGAGCAGAGAGTCGTTACATCTTTACTGTGAGCAACCGACTACACAGGACCTGTCTTACCCCCCCCCCTAGTTTCGGGTACTGACAAGAGAACAGTTTCCGTTTTTGTTGCGTTCTGCTGCGCTTGCGCCAATGGATATGATGGTGAGTACCTACCTACAGCCTTACCGATCCCACACGCTGATGAAAGCTCACCCGTTCAGGATCTCTCCTTACTGGCGTCATTGCCATGCCTCACTTCCAGAATACCTTCCACAGCGGCAAAACCGGCACCCTGGTCGCCATAATGTTCTCTCTCTACACCGTGTTAGTGCTCCCCAAATACCTACCTACCTAGGTGCCCACTTATTCTCCCTATGGTCAAAACTAATAAGCGACTCTTCACTACAGCGGTGCAATGGTCGGCGCCCCCTTCGCCGCCATCCTCTCTGACAAGTTCGGCCGCAGGAAAGCCATGTTCTGGGGCGCGGTCATTATCATCATCGGCATGATAATCGTCTCCACTTCGTTCACAGTCGCGCAGTTTGTTGTGGGCCGCTTCGTTCTCGGGTTCGGCATCTCGGTCATGTCGGTGGCTGCGCCCGCTTACACGGTTGAGATCTCGCCGCCCCACTGGAGAGGTAGAGCTACGGGTATGCTATTTCCCCTTGAAATACTTATCATGCGCAGCATGCATGTTACTGACCTTGGTGCTACTTACAGGATTCTACAACTGCGGCTGGTTCGGCGGATCCATCCCCGCAGCCGCCGTCGTCTACGGCTGCAACCAGATCGACAACGACTACTCCTGGCGGATCCCCCTGATTGTTCAGGGGCTTGCCTGTATCGTCGTAATGGGCGGTGTCTGGTTTATCCCGGAGTCGCCACGGTTCCTGATCGCCAACGGCCGCGAGGAAGAGGCGGTCTCGTTCCTGGTCAAGTATCATGGCAATAACGACCCTACCTCTAGGCTCGTGCAGCTTCAGATCGAGGAGATGAAGGATGGGATTCGCCAGGATGGCATTGATAAGCGGCCTTGGGATTGTAAGTTCACTACCCCCCTGCAGCTCTCCACCTCCTCCTTTCTTCTCCCTTTCCGATGGCTTCAACTTCGTCTCAACGGTCATAGCTAACGAGGATTTATAGATCGCCCCTTTATACTGACCCACAGCGGACGTTGGCGCATAGCTCAAGTCCTGATGATATCCATCTTCGGCCAATTCTCCGGCAACGGACTGGGCTACTTCAACACCACCATCTTCGAGATCATCGGCGTTACCTCCGTCGAGCAGCAACTAGCCTACAACCTCCTCAACTCGGTTCTTTCCGCCGTCGGTGCTCTGGCTGCTGTCTCCCTGACTGACACTATGCCCCGACGTAAAGTCTTGGTTCTCGGAACGCTTGGTGCGCACTACCCCACCCTCATTCCCCCCATGGCCCTACTCACTCCAAAATACATAACACGATAGTCCATCCACTAACCACACACATCTCTGCAGCCTGCGCCGCCGCGCTCGCCACGAACTCCGGCCTTTCCGCCGCCCTCGACAACCAAGGCGCGAACATCCAGCCGTCGTACGCCAAAGGCGCGCTGGCCTCCTACTTCCTCTTCAACGTCATCTTCTCGTTCACGTACACGCCGCTGCAGAGCGTTGTCGCCACCGAGGCGCTCGAGAACACGACGCGCGCCAAGGGCCTCGCAACGTCCAGCGTCCTGGTCTACGCGATGGGCTTCATCAACCAGTTCGCGGGCCCGATTGCGCTGGGCAATATTGGGTATAAGTATATTTATGTAAGTGGTTCTGACTGTGATGGGGTGGCGCTTGGGGGGGTAGTGGAATGTGAACTAATGTGGGCGGATATAGGTTTTCGTCGGCTGGGATGTCGTGGAGGCGATTATGTGGTATTTCTTTGGGTACGTTCTTTGCTTCTGCAGTCCCCAGCCCCCTGTCTACCTACCTAGTACTTATCATACACATGCACACGTCCTGTGCCCCCTGTGCCCCCTCTCTCCATCTCCCCCTTTCTCTATATATACTAATCCGCCTATCCACTCCACAGCGTCGAGTCCCAAGGCCGCACCCTCGAACAGCTCGAATGGGTCTACAACCAGCCGAACCCCGTCAAGGCATCCCTTAAGGTCGACAAGGTGGTCGTGCAGGCCGACGGCAAGGTGGCGGAGAAGGTGGTCGTGGATCATGTGTAGTAGTTTACGATATGTCTTTTGGTTTTTGTGCTTCGTACCTACCTACTAGGGTATCATGGGAGATTTAATGGATTTTTATGCCTGCGTGGAATGCTGTGGTTGTAGAGATGCATACCTACATAGCCTGCCAATGAGATGGGCATGAGTCGATGCTTTTCAAAGGCTTATTCTATGATCACTAGAGGCTATGGACTAGGTACCTACCTTGTTGTCAGGCTGGGGTAAGTCGCGTCACGATAAAAAGGGGCTTCAAGGCTGCTGGGTTTATTTGATAGGCGGCTACTGTTATACTATGCTCTACACCAAATCTAAACTGTTTTCCTGCAATCGCAAACGTACTGTCGTATATGACGGTGGCAATCGAATTTGCGTAGGCACTGTCAAGGGTGTACCTGGGGGGGCTACAAATAATAAAGATAGCTTAGATGTAGGCATACGTATCTTCCATAGTCTCCTCTCCGGGGCGATATTGGAGATCCCCGCGCAGCAACGATGTTATCCCGCATCTTCTACGCTCTTCATCGTGACAGGTCCCTAGTATGTAATTGTGACCAGCTGTGGACAGACTTCAGTAGCTCATCATGTTAGATCGGGGAGAATGCCTCTCCGTTGGCAGTTCGAGAAGAGGTGTTTCCCAAAAGAGCGAAATGCTCCCGTCTTATGATGCTACGATGACCCGACGCTCTTCTCGGCATATACATACGTACCTATCCCTCGTGGCACGCCAGATCAGGGCATCTCACACTTCATCCCACAGTAAGCGCTAGCAGTCTGGAAATACCTACTCGAGTAACTACGGAGCATTGACTTGCATTCTTGCCGGAGCAGCGTTGTATTTTGATAAAAAGGCACGCATTAGTTTCGGGCGCGTCTGTGGAAATCTACACCGGCAAGGGAGGTTTGCATGATCGGCAGCGCTAGCTAGGCATATTCGATGCTTTTCTACTTAGTATATAACTACTTCGTTGGTGACTCTGCCTGAGAGTTCGCGCCAACATGTAATAAGATGTTGGTTCTCTTCGACACATCTTAGCTCACGTAGGTATGTTGAACAGTTGGTAGCTGACTGCACGGTGACAGTAATAGCGCACGCAGGCTTATAGAGTCATCTTGGTATTTGATTTCTCAGCGATTGGCGAGTCTGTTCTGAGGTATGTACGGCAGACCCAGAGTATCGCGTCGCCTAGGTATATCGCGAACTCGACAGGGGCACCAACTAGCCGAGACCACGCGATTATCGGCCTGCAGCCAATTGCCGAGATGCTACGGAGGGGTTCAAGAATTGTATCGAGGGTCCATCCGTCTATGTGAACCAGAAGAACGCCGTTTTCGGTAGAGATTAGGGTCGTATTGGGACTATGTTACCCTTTTCCGTGTGCTAAATCTTGGACATCTTGTCTTTTTTCAGATGTTAAAAAAGGGGATCTTTCAGCGTGCCATATTACCCAGTACGGACTTGGGTTGATGATACCTGTCTACTTATGATAGCTCACGTACTCAGGTAGCAATTAGCCAAGCAGCCAAGAATTATTAAGGCTACATGATTCCTGTAACCTACGTGATTGCCGACGTCTAGTGCACGGGAGTGATGGGAGATTCGGCTCATCCCCCATCTCACCAACACTTCCGACTTGTGCGCGATGACCTTACGGGAGCCTTGGTGTAACCGGATAGTTATCATGAATAGTGCTCCCAACGCCTTGCTGGACCGGCGCGGCAACTCTCCGGCAGCCCGAACAGGAATAATCATGACATGAGGAATGCATTAATCCAGCGGGTTTCAGCAAGCCACGGACAAGAAAAACCCCGCAGCCGTTCATTTCCATTCTGCATTTGATAAGCTGACCCTGCTGTTCCGCCTTAGAAGGCCTAGCTGAGAACTTTCGATGTTGCACAAATTCCACATTGCCGCAGAGAACGGCTCAGCGCCTGGGCATTTGGCTCCTGCGAACGCTTTCCATCACGTTCTGGAGAGTTGCGATTGGTGGGGTTTCATCACGCCGGCTTCGTCAGGTGCCAAGGAGCTCATCGCTTAGATGCTGTAAGCCAAACCTGGTGGGCTGCTTGCTGAGGATATCTTCACTTCTTCGCAAGTTCAGCTCTCGTGAACATGGAACCCAACGACGTTCGCGCAGGGGTGGTCCTCCACATTGATCTTGACACCATCACGCTAGATATTGACCGATATCTTTGGGGTTTGTAGATCTTTACTTCTTGACAGCCTCAGTGCATGAGGGTGAAAGCTTGTATCGCTAGGTAAAGCCACGGCTGGGGTGGTCAACTGTAAACTGGGAAGCTCAATAACCTGTCTGTGCATCTATGTTGGCCGGCTGCTTCAAGAGGTCGAAGCTGAGACGGTAAAGGCTGTAGAAAAGGGGCAAATCCATCCAAGACACCTAGCTTAGGTATCGAAACGAAAGCCCTAATGCTGAAACTCCATGGTCTTCCTAGTTATCACAGAAAGCTAGTATTACTCCTTATTCTAGAGGCCAAATAATTGACTTATTCCTTTCCTCACGTGCCTGAGAATTTTCATTCTCTGACCATACATCGACGTCTGTCTTTACTACAATCGCCCCATTCTCTTCAGGAGCATGGGGAGAGTCCTCTCTCAAAGGCAGCTCGTCCTCGAAGGCTTCTGCTTCAAACCCGCTAATCTGAGCATTCCTCCCGTAAGCGCGGAAGCCTCCAAGGGCGGCTATTCTGGGTGGGTGTGTAACGGCGGCGCCAATAGTGACAAGTGAGAATTCGTTTTCTTTTGAGCTATCGGATCGGTTCTTCGCCTCATTGTTGCGTCCTTTAAGGCTAGCCTTCAGCCCTTCCAATCTTTCGGATATTCTGCGGAGCAGATGGTAAAGGACGGGAAGATCTGCGACGAATTCCGCGAGGTTTCGCTCGAATATGGAGAAGATGAACTGCTCGCACAGGCTCCAGGAGTAATCTAGGTCAAAGAATGTCTTCACAAATATCAGGCGCGTGATGGATAAGATGAAAATCCTAGATTAACATTCCCTATCAGACTCGTCACCCGAAAAGGGGAGGGGCTACGCCACTTACACAATCCCTGACCCCGTTAAGCTGAGGATAGTGATTTTCCTCCTGAGCCTCATTTGTAATCTTCCAATGATGTATATAGGAGATAAAGCATAGAAAACATCGATTATGCCACCAATAACTAGACGTCTATATTAGCTACTAGGTTAGGTATCAAGCGCCAGACAGTTGAAATCTTCAAAATCTTACCTGTCGTAGTGATATGCACAACAAAGAGGGGATGAGGACTGGCGATGGTTCCCGGTACCTCGGGATTCCAGAGTTTCTCAAGTGGCCTTGCTTGGAGACCCCAGGCAATGAGTTGCCCGAAACTAGCAAGCGTTGACATGACCATCAACCCATAAATGAACCATTTAAAACGTCGGTGAACATTGGCGAGGTATGTGAGTATGAAGAAACTGATGGACATTTTCACGGCCCATATAGAGACGCCGGCGCACATGATATCGTACTGAGTAAATTTCCTGACCACTCTTCTTTGTCTCATCGTGAGGAACTGAAGGTGACGGCCAAAACCGTTGTGAACGCATCGCATTTCCAGAATATTGCCAGTCAAGTTGAACGCCTATTGGCCCGCGACTTAGCATGGAATTTGCTGGATGTATTTACGATCAGAGCTTTCAACTTACTAGGCCAACAATAATGAAGTAATCTTCAATGCCTAGTCTCCTCCGAAGGTACAATTTAGTCAAAAGGCGCGTGGTTGTGGACGATACAATCAAGATAGTTAAAATTGTAGCGGGAACGAGAATTTCTAAGCTCTTGCTTTCGTCAACTAGGTTTGGATCAAATTGTATATTTACTGCGGCCATAGTAACCGGTTTAGAAGAAGAATCTAATGCATAGAGAAATGGGGACCAAAATCAAACCACGAGGGGAAATTGTTGTTGTTCAATCGAGCTAGCATGCTTAATAAATACACGTTTTGTAGTCAGCCTTACGGCAGTGGCTGCCATCTTTGGTGTTTGGAAGAAACACATGTCTCTGTAAGCTTTTCGGGGCTTCGGCTAACGGCAGCATTGTATCAGGCATTTTAAGTCCAAGAAGAGAAGTGAACCGTGAAGATCGAGATAAAAGTCAACTGTGGCGTATAGATCTGGGGGCTGCGTAGCGTAGTACAATCCGCATCGACTTAAACTTCGTACCGTCAGTGATTCGGGAAGACACCCAGAGGAAATCAGCCCCTTTTTATTATTTTTTGAAGTGGAAAATAAGGCTAACATCATACGACTCAATATAATTCACCCCCTATGCTTTAAGTGCCCAAGAATGCGCATAATAGGCTCTGTTGATGTTTATTGACATTAGTTGGATATGCCAGACCAAGCTGGTGTAGCCGTTCAACCTGAGACATCGGATAGGGGTAATATCCACTCGGGTCCTCCCTCCGCCAATTACCTTTCCTACCTACCTATATACATACGTACGGACGTACGTGTTATTGCCCTGCTTACATAAAATGTATCTACCTGCCTACCTAGGTTGAGTACTAGGTAGTTTTAATGATCAGACGGGATCGGTAAGCTCATAGAGCTTATTTTTATTCCGTGACTAGCACTTCTACCAATACAGAATGCGTTCAACCACGTCGGTGTACAACATCTGTATTCGCTTTTACCGTGGATAGATTGGTAAAACTCGGTCGTACCTGGGTGGCTACGAATGTCGTTACTAGATACCTACGGAAGTACTTAAGCTATTGATAGGTGCTGAATACCTAGCCAGGACCAGAGTCTTGTGGGCTCACTCAGGTCATCCTAGGAGGTCCAGGACTCAGCCTTGCCAAGAAACCTAGAACACATTTCTGAGTTTCCGGGTAGGACTAAGGAACTTGCTACACGTTATGTCATGGACATACTCGAATGACCCCAAAGAGCCTCTTGATGAAGAACAACTAGGCAATTCGCAACTAGTATCACAATTTCTGATAGTAGAAGAACCCTCTTTCTTAAAAACCACATAGAATTCAGTTCATTTGGTCGGATATATATAAATTTCTTTGTGAACGAAGTCATCTTCTGAATATCTACCAGTCTTAGAAACTACTGAAACTCTGAAAAGACTTGCGTATTTATTATGACGGGGAAAGTGCAGGAATTATAATTAGGCGTCTTTAACTATGGAATCTGAGAGGTTGTAGAGATTTGAAGATTAGAACCGAGGTGTACTGCCTTAGGGTGTCCACGTGACCAAGCTGACACAGCAATCATGTGATAGCTCCATATTCTTGATTAGTCATGAAGCCAGCAATCACGTGAATTACGGAACCATGTGACAGCCTCTGAGGTCACGTGGCTCAGCTTCGTTACAATCCACCCAAATACCTCAACCCCTCGATCAGTCAAAACCTGTAACTTATTCAAATCATGTATGACGACTTACATAAACGTCGTTGTAAGCAATCGAGGGGTGATCCGGGAAATCTTCCTAGGTGTAGATGTAAAGCTAGCTCTCGTGAGGGCGTTGAAAAATGCGGAGCTTACCGGAAGTACCAGTTCGCACCAGCTTGGCTTCGTACATATCTACTTTACCCAACGCGAACTTAGGGTTGCTGCACCTGCGCTTACTTGGTGGGTGGGTAGCATCTGAACCGAACCGAAGGATGCGTGTTTCCTTCCTCCCCACGGTCCGCAATGCATGGTGCCCTGCTTGGCGGGAGTGTGACGTGAAGCAGTCGCCCGTGGTGGCTGGCGTAGACATCACGGCTTGTTGGTAGCACACGCTATACTGCTGTATCTGTAGCAATCATCACATCGCGGACCTAGCTACCAACAGATCTTACATGAATGCATGCCACGATGAGGCCCATGGGGTATAAAGCGCCACCTACGCAGCTCTGGCTGTTGTCTGCCGAGCTTCTGTATAAAGCATCCTCGACGTTGAGCTCGTATACATAGGAGTTAAGAGACGAGATATTGAATCCTTCCAGTCATCATGGCGCCAGATATTGATCGGCTTTGGCTATCTGAGTCTGGTGTGGACGTTAGTCCAGTGACTGAACGAAAGAGTCTCATTCAAAATGTCCTCAATCGCAAAGTGCTGGTCCCTAATATCATGTCTTTGATGCCTGCGTGGACCAGTGAGGTCCAGCCGGATATGGATGAAATCAATAAAGAGATAGATGAATGGCTCTTGACGTAAGCTACACGTTGAACTGCTTTCAAGCCACACCATGCCGGGGTACTAACAACATGAGCCAGAGTCAACATTGCGGGGGAGAAGAAGGCGAAGCATCGAGCTCGAGGGAACTATACGCTTCTTGCAGCTGTATACTATCCACATTGTACCAAGGATAAGATGCTGACGCTCTCAAAATTTCTCTATTGGGTAGGTCTCTATATCTTAGCGCCTGGGTATACAAGGGGCGACCATTACCATAGCTAACGAGTATAACAGATTTTCTTTTGGGATGATGGTAAACATAGAACTATGTGAGAAATATATGGTGATACTAACCCCCGGCTTAGAGATCGACGCAGGCGGGGAGCTCACAAAGGACAAAGAGGGTACACGCATATGCTGCGAGGAGACCAATAAATGCATCGATGATTGCCTCGGACCAAATCCCGAGTACACCCCGCCTCCAAATACTCGAGGAACGATAGAGATGTTCTACCCCATCCTCAGGGATCTTCGAGCCGGCCTTGGCCCAGTCTCCACTGAGCGCCTGCGGGTCGAACTCCACGATTATGTGAATGGTGTGGGGCGACAACAAGGAGTCCGTGAGGAAGACCGCCTTCCAGACCCTTGGTATCACTTTCAGATCCGCGCAGACGACGTCGGCGTCATCCCTAGCATCACGCAGAATGAGTACGCGATGGAGTTTGAGCTGCCTGAGTCCGTCCGCAGGCATGAGGCTATGGAAGCCATTGTGCAGGAATGCACCAAACTCACGATTCTCTTAAACGACTTGCTTTCCTTGCAGAAGGAGTTTGTAAGCTCTCTATCATAAAATCAGAGAACTTTACTGGTTTACTAATTTTACATAAGCGTGTGTCTCAGCTGGAGAACCTAGTTCTCCTATTCATGAACAAGTACCACATCACCCTTGAAGCTGCCATCGCCAAGATCCTCGATCTCATCCGAGAACACTATGCGCTCTGCGTGGCAGCCGGGGAGAGACTCCCGTGGAGCAAAGATGACGAGAAACTGAACAAGGATATTAGAGAGTATGTCGACGGTTGCCATAGGCTGGCTACTGGCACCGCGTACTGGAGGTTGGTTCAACTTACCCCGCCTAGGAATGATAGGAGAGCTAATGGACAATCCCAGTTACTCCTGTGAGAGATATTTCAAGCAGACTCAGCTCAATGATAAGTGGGAGGTTCTTCTGGATCTCTCGTACCAGTGAGAATGTTAGGTTGAGGGAATATGACGATATTACGACATTATACTTAGGGGGCAATAGGTTAGATTGAAATTCAGGGCGACCCCACTTCGATTTATATATATACTAGATACGGTCTTTGAATCTACGCTGAAATACAAGTTTCTTCTACGCTTACACTATGTTCAGATACCATGAAATTTAAATCTTACCGCGAGTAAATAAAGGCTGGTATCGTAGTAGTCGAGTGTTGCAGGTAAGTATGCCTTAGGTGCCATGGCTCCACTAGGCCTACCATAGATATTGGCACTACGCCATCGTAGTCTAAAATAAGCCAAGCTTTCTTCAATCCTTTGCTCGCAGTTCACCCTGCAAGATCAAGTTATGTAATTCTCTCTCAACCCTACGCTATACCTGCTCTACCACGTCCTTCGGCTGGAGAACGCCAGCGTACAGAACCTCTTCATCAGGTCAACCAATCTTGATCGGAGTCATCTGCCTCATCTGATCAAAGTGCACACTCCCATACCTTAAGTACTCGCCAAACGTCCCCTCTTCGCAGTCCTTGCCCTGGAGCTCCTCCGAGTCCCACATGTCCGCAAGAAAACAGTCCAAAGCCCCAGGGGGGCCGTGCGATAGTTTCATAGTCGACGTGTTGGCGAGGGCATCATTGACGAAGATCTCAGCGGCGTGCCACTTTTCATCTCGCACAACTCCCTCGCCAGTGCGTTTCATGGTCAGCAGGTCGAACTGTTTCGTACCGGACCATTCGGTTGCTTGCTGAAAGTAATACGTCTCCTGAAGCCCCGAGTACAGGAGTAACTTGTTTGAATAGTACTCCGGACCGTTAAAGCCGTCCGATGGATCTACGAGCCTGCGCAGTCTCTCAAAACACATGCACTGTGACAGATAGTCGGTAAAGATCTCCATCGGGATATTGAGGCCCGCCATATTCAGCCTCGAGAACGGCGGACTTAAGAGTGGCAAATGCTTGAGCAACGGGTTTTGGTGAAAGCCGTGGCAATTGGTAACCCCGTTCCAGAGGGACTTGAATATCTCGTGCCAGCGCCGGATGGCCGTATTCCCACGCTTAGTCGCGATGAACCCGTTGGTCATGATCTCGACCCCTGGTCGCATCTCCATCGCAAAGCCAGCCATCTCGTACGGCGACTCCGGGTCTTCGATCAGCTTCCAGCAGATATCCTCGACGTGGCGAAAGAGAAACGTGCCCACGTCGATCCAGATGCCTCCATAAAGCCACAGCAGAGGCAGTCGGACGAGATCCCCCGAGTGCTGACCAACCGATGGCCCATCCATCGTATTGCTGTTGAACGTATCGGGGAAGAAGGAGCTGTCGACGAAGTTGCCGACGTTGGTTTCAGATCCAGACACTCGGTCAAGGAGGTGAACGGTCCAACGTGGACCTAGCTTGCGCACCCAATTGATGATGTTCCGCTGGGTCCAGGGGGGCATCCGGCTGTATCCAGAGTGCCAGAATGCCCAAATATTCCTGTCCGACGTGATGGCATGGCGTTTCTGGAGCCATGCTGCAATCTCGTCATCGGAGCGTAAGTCGAGCGCTTCTGGCGCAGCTAATCTAAGCCCTGGCGGCACACCGATTTTGCTGGTGTCCGAAGAAGTAATATCCAGTGGATGAGTTATTTCTATGGCTGAGGGTGCCATTATCAAGGGTTCTGAAGTTGATAGTAGTGTAAAATCGAACACTACCAAGGAACCGTTTTTGCAGTGATACCGGACAAACCGTTTCTTTTAAACGGAACCGCCGAGAGCCTGGAACGTTTGCTTATGCTGCTGCTTCAAACCAACCCTGGATCATATCCGCTCATACCCCTTTTATGTTTCTGCTTATTCCCTCCATGACTAGCTGCCGCCTCGACAATCGCTAGCGGTCACGCCAAGGAGTAAGCCGATGTGATAGTATGTGGTACTTTTCTTTTTGAATCCAGTCGACATTAGCTCCAGGAGTAACATAAACTGCTTTTTGTTCCGCAACTGCCTGGTTATTGGTCTCCTTCGAGGCATGCAGCGTAAATCCATATCACATATCCTCGTGTTTGTTGCCTCGGCTGCTGGAATCATCCAGATATGATCTCCTTCATCTCGTACCTGCTGCCTACTTACCATTTTGGAAGGTTCTTGTTTATCTATGCGTTTTGATACTAACTAGGTATGTAATCTACTCCAGCCGACAACGGAAACCTGGCTGAGGTGTAGTTCTGCATACTTTGGTTGTACACTATTTGTGATAGTAACTTTACCTCCTATGGGTTCCGCCTGAAGGCCCTTGTTGCCCCTCCATCGACTAGGAATATTGTCAAGGGTACGCCTGGGACTACGTGGGGGGTTACATAGAACAAAGACAGCTTACACATATATGTAGCTTCCATAGACTCCATAGCTCCGGGGAGATGCTAGAAACCCCCCGCAATAACGATGCTGTTCTGCGTCTTCTAGGTTCCGCCCCATGACACATAGGTAGCAAGAAAGACGCGAATGTTCCTGCTATTCACGAACCATTATATTGAAATAGGGAAGGGTACGTATTGACCACCCTCTATCCCATATACAGTATAAGTGTATAATATTCCATTGTTCTGTCTACAGAGTCTGGTCAGAGAATGGGGGCGGTAGCTCTCCTATCTACATGGAACTCTTTGGCTATTTGCTATTGTACCGTGACAAATAAATCTGATATTGAGAGATCATGATACTTTTCAAACTTCAGCTGCGAGATTCATCGAAAGTAGGTACATTCCAGCTGTCTTACTCCATCTTGAAATGGCTTATAATTACAGGTGCCTTCCTACTAACATCAGGCCTTCTCTTTACCCAGCTTCTCAAGGTACTGAGCGGCAACGTCCACCACCGCGCTTTCGAAGCTTTTCAGCTTCCTACCAAGCAACTTCTCCACATCACTGGATTTCGTGTCATACTCAACAGGCAACGTAGTCACCTTACCCCTCTTCAATGCACCCGAGGCAACAGCCTGGGGGAAAGCCTTTTCGACGGGATCGAATATCGTCCCATAATCAACCTTAGTTCCAATAGCAAAATCCATCGGATCCCCTGCCCTGGGTTCGAGGAACAGCACGCGCAAATGAAAGTCTGCCAAGTCATCCACGTGGACAAAGGTGCCGTGGATCGGGAAAGGCGGCTCTCCGCCAACCAGGCCCATCATAAGGAAGTTGTTCGAACTATTCTGCGTCGGCATCGTAGCGGCGTCGAGCGCCAGCTCGTTGCAGCCGAAAACATAGCCGGGAATCACGTGCGAAACAGTAAAATGGGGATTGTGCGTCTTCACGAAATCATCCGTGTTGTGCAGCTCGACAACCTTGCCCAGTATGTACCCCTCGAAGATATCCCCAAAGGTGGATGGGACAGGATTGGGCAATGGGGGACGCGTGGAAGCGGTGACAGCGGTAGGGGGTGGCGTCAGGCCCAGGTTTGCCACAATTGACGAGGTGATAATGACACGCTGCACGCTGGGTGTTTTGAGCGCGGAGGAGAGCAGGGCCGACGATATCTTCACCGTGGGCGTGAAGATTTGTGTTGTGGGATCATAGTTTGGCAGTGGCACCGGTGAGCCAGCGTGGATGATGTGTGTAACCCCTTGTTGGGCGGTATCAAAAGCGCCCTCAACAGTCAAGTCTGGAATGATGACGGGGGACAGAAGCAACCGACGAGAAGAAGTTAGAAATGAGTCGCTGCTTATTTTCTGTATGTGTTCTAACTATTTTCTTACACGATAATTTCCAATTTGAAGCGATCGCTTTCCAGCCTTAAATGTTAACTGAACTCTTCTTACTCTTCATGTGTAGTTTGGACGGAACACACACATGTATCGGGAAGAAAATCTCTATGATGATGATAAGTAAGCTGGTGGTTAACTTCTATCAAAGATACGATGCTGTATTGGCATGTCCAGAGCGTGAATGGAGAGTCCATGGTAGTTGGGTGACTAAACAAACGGATATGGACATGGTAGTTCGTCGCTTGTAAAGGAGAGTTTACACGAAAGACTGCCTTAAACGCTAACATACTGTTTCCTCTATACCTGTTTAGCTGACGTAGGCTATATAAGAAAGCCATAGTTAGGGCATACTCCACGGAGTAAATAAAGCCTTCTTAGGCTTACCCCTGTGTAGAGTGAACTGTTCTATTAACGGAGCCCCTTAATTGCTCCGTTTTAAAAACCGTAAACTTCCGGTAGTGTCCGTTTTGCAGCTGGGTCCATAACAATGTAGGTATCAATCACTCCTTCGCTACCTACTACTAGTAGTATAACTAAACAGAGGTAACAACTCATACCTACCTATGCAGTAATTAAATTATGATATTAATATCTAGTTATAACCTGCCAGAAATCTATTCCATTAATTTTTTTTCTTTTTTAAATCTTAACGCTTTTACGCTCTGGATAAGTTGGATTCGTGGACAAGCCCTTATTTAACGAAGTCACTCTGATTAACAGGGAGCCGTCACATGCTGGTACTCGTTCCTGAGCTGCTAGAGACTGCTATTTTTGGATCCCAAACCCTCTTACAGTTTTCCATGCCATGTAGGTGTTGTTTTGTTGCTCCATCTTAGTCTCCAAGACATTATACAAAGCCCCACCAACTGATGAGGAATCCGATACAGAACAATACATGATAAAAGTCCAGAAAGGTAAGTACAACCTACCTGGTGCCTATTCTTCAAGAAATAATGTCACCTAACTAGTTTCACTTACAGCCCACGATGCTAAAATATTTAGCCGTGTCACAGAGAGGCGGGGAACGTCATCTAGGTTACTAGATTGTTACCTACTCAAGAAGTCTTGCATCGTAGGTGGCGCGCCTCGCGTTGATGGCGTCGGCACGCCGTCTCTTCCGGCCCAAGAATGCTAGGGCCATCCTGTGTTCGACCCATGGAATTTATAAAGATCCTGGCCGGCGTGGGGCTTCACCGGTGATATGAGATTACCAATAGACAAGCCGGTCTAACTAGCGGGAAGCATGGCAATATGTTCTCATTTACGAATGAGTTCTAGTTCACATTCGCAGATGCCGTCGGTTACATTGTGATGATACTCCACGGCCCCGATTAGTATACGAAGATGTCGGGTCCGTAAGCAAGCTCCTCGCTTACTCTACAAGGACTAGCCCGGCCCAGTCTTGCGCCCCCGGAGTATTCTACAGTTCCGCGCGTCAGAAATACTAGTTAGTATTTCATGTGGTAGGACCCAATCCACCCGGTAGACCCCATCCGCCTATAAGATATAAAAAAAGCTTATAATGAAGGTTGTCATACACTACCTCTCGGCGATTATGCTGCAGAGTGATTACATATGTATAGGTTGCGTTCGTTGCAACGCTGCAGCGTGTTTCTCTCGCCTTCTGCCATTCGAACACTGCTGCCTGTGTGATCGTTCATGCACCTGGACCGGGGTGAAATGTCACGTCGATGGGAACCCAAGAGCTTCTCTGCTTATGCAGTGCGATGTTACATAGCAGATCCGCAGGTTTTACTGGCGCATGGCTAGCATCACAGCTTATATTGATATACTTGGCTGCAGACTTGTGTGACGCTGATTCATAAGCCCAATCGCCTGTGAAAGATTGGCGTGATAGGAGATGATAGTAGTGGAGGCGCTATTGAATGTGAAAGGAAATACCTAAGGGGAAGAGGTAGAAATCAAACCAAGACTCATCCGTAGAGTAGACCATGGATTAGTTAGGCTTTTATGAGAAAGAATGATGTCTCTACAGATGCCGACTACATGGGAAACTACTCTCGTAGTAATTACACTCTTAATCGTTGTTGCGATATCTCAGTCACTTCGAAAGCCAAAATCATTCAAGGTCCCAATCGTAGGTGGTGACATAAAAGACATAAACACACTCAAGGCTCGATATGTGAGAGAGGCCGACGTTATTCTTCGTGAGGGTTACGAAAAGGTTGGCGAATTTACTGAAATCCATTCGATCTAATGACAATGAGTGATCTAACTTATTTATTAGTTTAAAGATGCAATATTCCAAGTCATCACTCCGGATGGTCCCAGAGTCTTCCTCCCGCGGAGATTTGCACATGACCTGAAAGACTACAACCGCCATGAAGCGAGTGGGATGAAGGCTCTGTCTGATGTGAGCCCCTGACAAGCCCCTAGACCTCAATATTCGGAACTGACAGTGAGATTTCAAGCGTCATATTGGGCATTATACGACTATTGATCATGAAAGTGACATCATGCTAGGAGCCATCAAGATAGATCTCAGTCGAAATCTAGGGACATTCGTGGGAGATGTCGAGCACGAAGTTGCTTACTGTTTTGAGACTCAGTTTCCAGCATGCGATAGTATGATGACGCACGTTCTCATGATGAAGCAACCACTGATACTAATATATCTATAGATTGGACCCCAATTGACCTCCACGACAAACTTCTGCGTGTAGTAGCTCAAGCCTCAGCTCGCATTTTCGTCGGCTATCCCATGTGCCGAAATGAGGAATGGCTGGATTGCAGCACGAAATTTGCACTTGATGTCATGACCGGAGGAGAGAAACTAAAGCAGTGGCATCCCTACCTGCGGCCCATTGCTCAGTATTTCGTTCCCGAAATGAGACGTATTCGCGGAGACCATCAACATGCTCTGGAGTTGCTGTTACCAGAACTTGACAGAAGACTAGCAGACTGTGGCAATGGTAAATCCTCTGCTCATAATGATATGATTCAGTGGATGCAAGACCGCGCAGGGAAGATGGGGGATAAATCTTTCGACAATAAGGAGTTGGCCAACTTGCAGATGCTTACAGCGACGGCAGCAATACATACTACTCGGCTTGCCATCATTCACACCTTATACGATCTTGCGGCAAGGCCGGAGTATGTAAAGCCACTGCGAGACGAGATAATGGAGGTAACCAGGGATAGTAAAGGGATCCTACAGAAACAACACCTTACCCAGATGAGGATGCTAGATAGCTTCATGAAGGAATCTCAGAGACATAGCCCTTCTTCAGTCGGTAAGGCCATTGCTACCAAAATCTCCATCCAAGATAGGGATATGTGGCTGACGCATCACACAGCAACCTTCCAACGGAAGGCCATGATCCCCATAACCCTCTCCAACGGCTTCCACATACCCGCAGGCACAATCGTACAATGCAACACCAACATCCTCGACGAATCACCCCCCGACTGGGGCGACCCGCACGCCTTCGACGGGTTCCGCTTCTACAAGCTGCGCAACAGGTCACCCGAGGATATCAACCGGTTCCAGTTCGCGAGCCCGACCTACGACAGCATGCAGTTTGGGTTTGGGCGCGACGCGTGTCCGGGCCGTTTCTTCGCCAGCAACCAGATCAAGATCATCCTCGCCTACATCCTCTCGCACTACGATATCAAGTTCGAGGATGGGGTCGTTGGTCGGCCGAAGAATATTATGTTCGAGGTTAATGTATCGGCTGACCCGACGAAGATGGTGCTGTTTAAGAGGATGAGGTGATGAGATGGGGAGTCGGTTGATCAAGTCAATCTGTCTATCGGGAAGTTTTGGTGTAGACTATTTACCTATGGTTAGCATATTTCAAAAGCCACATTGATATACTATCAGAGTAATGATATCCTGCCACACTCTGATTAGTGCCAAGTAGATGTTGCTCGTATACATATGCGCTACGTATGCGCCGTGACGGCATGAGGGTCCCTGTTCGGCGACGAGTCCAGCAGCAACGGAAGAATGGTAGGATCTTCCATTGGGAGATCTAGATCATATAGGTAGTAGACATGTCGCTATTCGTGAATGTTTCTAGCTGTAATGGACGGAGCCCAACGCCTCCCAATGATTGGAGCAGAGAAATGTACCTGAGATTGATCATAAGTATAACGACTGTTTCGCTCCGATTAGGAGAGGCGACATACCTACTAGGCACTCCTCTACCAAGATGAAAGAGCTAGTCTCTGTGAGCAAAATATTGACTAGGCTCCATCAAGTTACATGTAACTCGGCGATGCGTCATAAGACACGCTCTGTTCTATTCTTGAGTAGATCTAAGCAAAGGCACGGCGCAGTTTTGGAACTTATATAGTAGATCTCCACACTTTTAGACTATATCAGGATTAAGGGGTCTTCAAGTCATAGTCTACCCGTACTAGATCCTTCGTCGAAGTGGTATATAAGTAGTCCTGACCGTCCGGTTGGAAGGGTAACGAGCAGGTAGTGAGTCTTTCAGTTTACCAACCTTGTTCAACCACACCAAGATACTACTTCGAAAATGGGCCAGAAATTAATCCCGACACTCCATAACCTGGACCACTCCGCGGCGTTCCGCTGCCTCTGGGCTCTGGAAGAGCTCAAAGAAGAGCGAGGCATCAAATACCACCTCAGGAACTACCCACGCCAAACGGGCCGGGCGCCGCCCGAGCTCCAAGAGCTATTCCCCCTCGGCCGATCGCCCATCCTAACGCTCGAGACAACGGCGGAGGACGAACCCCCACCAACACTGCAAATCAAGCCCGGTGTTCTCACCGAGGCCCTGCTGATCCTGCGCTTCCTCAGCGACGAGTACGGCGCCGGGCTCTGGAATCCGGATAATGAAGTCGACATGAAGCGCAACGCGTACTTCGAGTCCTTCGCGATGATGAGCCTGCTCCCGCATCTCCAAGTGCCCATCGTCATCGAGCTGGTCCAGCTGGCGACGCCACAGGAACAGCAGGGGGGCCCGTTTCTGCCGACTCTTCTGTCGATGTGGAAGCAGACGTTCGCGCCCATGTTCCAGCTCCTGGAAGATGCGCTCGGCGAGGAGAAGCCGTGGTTTGCGGGGGGCAGGTTCGGGACGGCGGATTTCAATGTTTGCTGGTGCGTTGATCTCGCGGCGCAGAGAGAATACATCGATGCAGATGCTTACCCGAAGGTCGTCGCGTGGCATGAGCGGTGCAAGGCAAGAAATGGATATAAGAGGGCGCTGGAAAAGGGGGGCGGGTATGACTTGAAGTACTTTGGGGCGGCATCTTAATCGCCTGTACCGCTGAGACTACGACCTAGGGGTCTTAGTCTTATAGGTTGGAAGAGTTCGTAGACGAAGGAAATGAGCATTTGTTTCCAATTGCTCAGCGATTGAGATGATAGCGAGAACTTGCCAGGTATGCATAGTTAATCTATTCAGAGTCTTTATATGTTGGCTGTGACGCCTCCACGAACATGCGCATCCCCGGTGATGCGTAGATCAGGTGCAGGTTCCAGAGAATCGAATGAATGAAACAGGCATTCCAGCGCGTCCTGCGTCACGCGCTCTTCTCTTGCCATGCTCACTTCCATACCCACCCTTCCTGGCGCCGTAAGCTTACAACAGGGCATCTAGAAACACCAATTCATTAACCCATGTGGCCATGAGGCCACAGCTAAAACCTAGAGGGGTTTCAAACATCTCCCACTTGCCATCAACACATTAGGTCTTGCGATCTGAGAGATGGGCGAGGTGGTAATTGGGCGAGCTTGCATGAACCCGCACAACCACATTTTGGAACTAGGTACTTGTTTTATTGTTGGGAACGTTACGTGAATGAAAGGTTATGAGTCTAGTAGATCTTCGTAAGTAAATGAGTATAATAGATGTAGGTGAAAGTGATTCTACCGAAGAAGAATACATAAGCCTCTCTCTTGCTTGGCTAGATGCCGGGTAAATAGGACAAGGTCGATAGAGTAAGGTGCATTTCTAGTACATACTTGATAGATAGTACGGTTTACTTGTGACTCCGTACCTAAGTAATAGTCAGACCGTTGGTTGTGAGGGAATTCACGGTCCGTTCCTAGACTATGACAAGTTTCTCGGTGACTAAAAACAGTCATTGCTTGCCTGCTGTTGAAACGTCTACCCGGTCACTATAAAAGCTGCCAGATATACTAGAGACAGACAATGAGAGACCATTTATTCACCTTTCGGTATACATAGCGATAACTACCTAACCTAGGTGTAGGGTGGATCATGGAGCCTTAAGGCCCAGTGGAAACCTGCCCAATCGGGTAATTCGAGGTATTTCTGATTGGCTGTGTCGCGGTACCCCCTGTAACCGAACTCCCAAGGGGTCGGGTCATTAACTTCAAGGTTGCTCTGAAATTCGGATGTATAGTCCCGATACTCACGATATCCCCAAGATGGGATTTTGACAATCAGTAGAGTATTAGAGTTAGTGTAGGTAGGTTCTACACCGTTTATCGATGCTTATGACAAGTGGAACAAGGCTGGGTTTCAGATCAAGGTAACGACAGACTAACTCGTACGGAAATAAATATTTTCGTCAAAATGTGCTGACTTCATATCTCATCTTTAGAATGGCGGTGCCTTTAAGCTAGTTTCAGCACTTCCCGATACCTGTACGTTGCTTCAAGACCCATTTTACCTTCATTAGCGGATGTTACTAACAGTATTGCTGGCAAGACACGGACTTCATCGCCTCTGGCGGACCTGAAGGATACTCATGGAATGTGATCCGCTCCGAAGCCGACATGCTACTCTTCGAACACGCTAGCACCTGTGGTGCCAAGACCTTCGATGAGGTTAAAGTCACCGGCATCGAGTCCCAACCCCACATAGACACGGATGCTGCTTCGAAGTTCGACGGACCCAACCCCGGACGTCCTGTTGCGGCAACCTGGAAAGCGAAAGATGATACCTCGGGAATCATCGCCTTTGACTACTTAGTCGACGCTAGTGGAAGTAAGGGAATTATCAGTACCAAGTACTTGAAGAACCGCAAGTTCAACCAGGGACACAAGAATGTCGCTAGCTGGGGATACTGGAAAGGAGCTGGTGTTTACGGTGTCGGTACTTACAAGGAGTCGATGCCGATACCAAACGCGAGCTAACCCAGACAGAATATCCAACACGGTCGAATTCTGCTTCCAATCCTATACCGACATTGACCCTGAGAAGAGAAATCTGTTAATCAAGAAGCTCAGGGCTCTCGGAATCGAGGACAAAGTAGCTGGCCAGATGAGCGTCCAAGTCATCGAAGAAATTGAAAAGGATCTCACACCGGAAGAATCGGCTATCTTGGATATACTCCGTGGAAGACGGATGATTCAAGGCGAGGATGCGGTAAACCTGCAAAACTTCACACTCGACTCTATCGATGGACTAGCCCCGAATTTGGAACAAGGAAAACTCGGTTTCGTCAAAGCGAAGCCGGTTGGCATCGTCAAGGCCCAGCACGTTTCTCTCGCATACCACATAAAGGGAACCCGTCCTGATATGCGAACTCAGAGAGGCGAGCCAGCTGCTCGGACTTAACTACGACGAGAGGAGGACATCTACTGGTATTTAGGTACTGTATATGCGAGGAGAAGTCTACATATGAACATTGCGACGAAGGTCGTAATCAATTCGACCACTTGTTACCTGCCCAGGTGCCTAAATTATGTATGTAGTAATGAACATCACACATTTCCAACTGAGATTTACTATTTAGAAGTTTCCAAGCACTATGTTAGTTCGATTCTATCAAGAGAAACCCGCAACAACCTACCTCGGCAATTAGCAGCAATGCCGAAAAACACTAGCAAGGTCACATCAAGCTATATACGCAAGTAATTCCCGATTCGACAAGATGGCGGGGAAGGACTAGGTAGGTAGTATTTGGTTTCTGCACATTGCTTGGTAGGTTAGCTACCAGACACTACATACCATCTTTAACGTTGAAGTGAGGTGTAGGTACCTAAGTAGTATTTACGTAAACACCAAGCCAGGTGAGAAGTAGACATACTAGGTAGGTAAGTATATATATATATCAACTCAATTAGGTAGGTACTAGGTATCTAGTAGCCATACCAATTACACCCCATATCCAAGCCCAATAAATCGAACTTCAGGAGCTCAGCAACCCCCCCCCCCCCAAACGTCTACACCATGGGAAACCTCAGCGCCAAAACCCTACCCATCGTAGACTGGGCATCCGCATCCGACATCCCGGACCTGATCGCAGTGTGGTGGGACTCGTTCAACGACGACTTCATCCGGCGCATCTACCCGCAGACGCCCGACGGCAGGCAGTGGCTCGAACGCGCCTTCGCGAAGAACCTTGCCCCGCGCACCGATCCCGACATCCCCGCCACGGAAGTCATTATCGTGCGCGACCCGGATACTGGTGCGTACTCCCCCCCTCCCCCCTTACTACCCATGTCTGCACCTGAAAGGGGAAAAGAAGAAGTATATCCTTAGGTAGGTGCTTAATGCTTAATGCTCTATGATACTCATACATTCCATGGCTCAAAGGCCTCCCCGCCGCAGTAGCCGTATACCGCATCATCCCCGAAGGCAGCGACGCAGCGCGGCGGTCATGGCGCGCGCGGTGGCCCGCCCTTGGCGATCTGCCGGATATTCGGGAGGACGTATGGACGGAGTTCTACGACCCGATGGAGAAGACGCAGGCGTATCTGTTGGGGAGTCGTGGGCACGTTTGTAGGTCTTTTCATTTCATTTTATTTTATTTATTTTGAATTGCCTCGGCATCTATATCTGTACCTAAATAGTTTGCTACTTTAAATCATCAAGAGCGGCTGGTTTATTAGGTATTTTTCGCTGCAATGTGCAAGACGGGCAGGAACATGGGCACTTGAACTAATGGAATTTTGTGTAGATCTCGAAGCCCTAGGCACGATGGCGCAGCACCGGAAAAAGGGATACGGAACAGCGCTTGTCCAGTATGGCAATGATTTGGCAGACAAGTTGGGCGTGGAGTGCTACTTAGATGCGAGCGATATGGGAAGGCCGGTGTACGAAGCGAATGGGTACGTGGTCCAGGATACGTCTGCGGTGGTGGAGAAGCGGGCTGGTGTGTCGATGGTGCGGCCGAGGACACGGAAAGACTGACGGATACCCTTGACAAGGAATCAATAGCGAGTTTATATGAGAGGTACCAAACGTCGCTGTATGAAGCTTTAAGCCCCATGTCAGCAGATAATATTGAATGATATGACCAAATCGTGCCTTCACACCGAAAGGGTCATGTCTAGCTAATGTAAGAACATCAACCTATTCGTGATTCACATATTACTCATTCATAAGAAAACATGAGTCAATTGAGACAGACAGAAAACAATAACAAACTACCTTCTCTACACATATACCCACCTACATATATCATATATCTACCTAGTACCTCTATAGTGACACTTCTCCTAACATTAAACCAACTCATCACATCCCTCTTCATCTTCCTCTTACCCAACTTACAAGATCCCCAGATACCCATGTGTACCACCGTACCCTATCGAAGATACCTAGAAGAGATGAAACGCTTCCGCAAGGCAATGGCGTTTCTCCACTCCCCCATCTCTATATCCATGCCATCCGATCAGCGCCTTCAAGCCACCCCAGCGTCGACGGCGTTCTCCCAGGCCTCTTCGTCTCTATCCGGGGCAGAAAAGGAATTTCCGAAAGCTCAAACGAACTCTATTGCCATTCCCGGATCGATAGCTAATCCAAACTAAGAACGGGGCGTAGCTAGATGAGATTGATGGGATTAAGTTGTGGTGGCTGTCGCATATTGGGGGAAGGGGCATGCACCCCAGGTTTGCGAGCGGGATGCAGATATCGGGGAGGTGTGCTCTTGGGCCATGTGGGCCAAGGGGGGTTAGTGGCGAGGGACCCTAGGTACCTAGTAGGTGTTGAGGAAAAAGTGGAGGGGGAAATAGGGGGGAAGGGGAGAGAGAGGGGGGTTCGCTGTCTACTCAGTAATACCTATCTACCTAGGTAGATAGTTGATGAATCACTTATTAGACGAAAACCATTCGTGATAACTGTAGTGTGCGAACGTTGCATTGTCTTTATCAATATTTCATATTGCAAATGGCCTTAAAACAGTACGCAAGTAGGTATATGGGATCTGTCAACTGGAGAGGCGATCCTGAGCTTATATGTAGCTCACACTAATGTACAATTGTCTAGGTATCATGCAGCCCTTCCTCTGTTTCCGCGCCCTCGCCCCCTAGAACTGGTACTAGGCCCTGATTCTACGCTATTATTGTGGCTACTAGGACCTACGTTGCTGTTGTTGGGATTGATGTTGGTTCTCTTTGATTTGTTGTTGCGGTTGCCCCTTCGCCCGCTGGCATTTGACTCTCTCTTCTTTTCTTTTCCTTCTTCACGGGCGGTTCGCCTCGCCTCCTCATCTTGTAAACGTCGGCTCTCTTGATCCCACCACTCTTGGAATGCTTGTTCTTGTTGAATTTCCTGCAAACTACGTTTAGCGACTGCTTCGCGGACAACCTCCTGTTCCCGCCGCTGCTCTCCTATTATATCGGCTAGCGCGATACCTATTTCTTGCTCCGGCTTGGGCGCTCTCTTGATGTAGGACTTTGAATATGGACCGACTGGTTGTTGCTTGGGTTGAACAGCGCTCGTAGAAGTTTGTGGACCACTGTTGTTTCTCTGGCCGGAGAACCTTGTATCTGGTGAAGCTGTGCGTCGCGGTACAGATCTGGCGGACGAGGCCTCTGCAGCAAGAAGCGGTTTTGGTTTTGGGACTGCTCCTGACGGTGCCCCCGACAATGCGGTCGAGGATTCAAACACATCTATCGGAGATGCCTTCGAAGCAGGGGGGACCTTTTGCCAAGGCGACTCCTTCTTCTCCTCGACCTTTGTCCACGGCGATTGTGACTGTCGAGATCTAGGTTCTTGTCGAGTTGCTTGTTCTGCTTGCTGCTGTTGGAGTTGTCTCTTTCTCTCCTTCTGAGATATCTTCTGTGGCAGAGATTTGTTGGCGGTGTCCCTTTTCTCGGCCGCCAATCCCGCAGAAAGAGCTGATTGGGCAGGTCGCGATTCCTCTAGAACTTCACGCAGGTCTAAACGCTCAGTTGGGAGTGCTGAAGAACCCCAGGGATTGCCACCCGATCCCGATTGGTCTGTGATAAGAGGGATGTCAGATGCTTTCCCAGGTCTAAGACCTGACGATGACAGCATCGTCGGAGGAGTAGCAACTAGTGCAGATGTGTCTTCAACAGCCTTGCCTTTGCCTTCTCGCCAAGAGGCACCATATGCTAGTACTTGGTACGAATCGCTCTTCCCTTTAGGCTTCGATAATTGAGGACTTGGTGAAATGGAACGTGCAGCACCAGGCGATCCATCTTCGTCCATAGCAAAGATCAGATCCGCTTGAGAATCCCTTGGTCGGAGTTCTGGTGTGAAAGGTTCGTTATGAGCTGCTTTCGATTTCCCCCTGGTTCTATCCGGCATAGGTGAGAAACCAGTAGAGTCGTCCAAGCTCCCAATACGGGCCTTGAACGAGGATGACAATTTTTTCTCATCATCTCTTTGACTGAGGTTAAATGCTATTTCCTTCACTCGTCTCTGCCTTTCCTCAAGAATATCTTCTGCTAACCCTGGGTTACGTTCATGAAGAAGTAGGTCGGCTCTCCCGCTTCGCGCAAACGGGCATCTAGCTAGCTGATTATCTCTGACAACTTCATCGAGCTCGATCAAGAGGTCATCATCAAGATCGTCAAGGAGGCTGCCCAAATATTAGCGATATGTTCTCTCCAATGATATTGTCGAATGTCAGAGAGTATATATGATAGGAACCGACTAGCTAAGCCTCCAATTTGAATCGGACACGATTCGACTCGCGTGGCGAGCAAAAGCAGAAACCAAAAGGAAGTTATTTCAAGTAAAGTAACCAGATGTACTCACTGGTTTTCGAGCATCAACTCCATCTGCAGACAGATATACTCTAACCCCTTATCTTTGAACTCGGTCACGGAACAGGGGCTTATGACATTAAGCAGCGTCGATATATTTCGAGTAGTCACTTTGACTGCTTAGCTATTGGATAGAAGAATCTCTCGACTGGGCAGACTTACCGAAGCGGCCGATGACCTTTTGGCAAACTTGCGATAGACGATCCAGCATGAGCTCATTAGCGATGCTCATGACATCTAAGACCAACTCGGAAAACTCGTCAATATTCTCGGCGGCAACATCGTCAAAGAGTTCTTCACCAACGTCCGCATATAGGTATTGAAGAACATAATGGAATGATTCTGGGTCCATATGTTTCATATCAATATTGATGCGATCAGAATCATTTAGTGCTGCCCGACGGCTCTCTAACCACATTCCACGCGAGCGACCGTGGAAGAGGCCTTGGAACCATGGGCATCTTTGACAGACCATAGCACTATGGATGATAACCTCGTCGCCATCCAATTCTAGAAGAGTATCCCCGTCCTCAAAAAAAGTCGGGTCCTCAATTGCTTTCTTAAAGTCCTTATTCATGGAGCGTGGTGGTGAAGTCTGGATTCTAACGGCAGCCTCGAGGTCAGCCATACCTAGGTTAGCTGCCAATTTCATGAGCTCGGCGCGAATCTGACGATATCTAAATGCCAGCGGCTTTGATTGTCGTGTAAAGTTCCAGGCTGGGACGAGTGTGTCGCAGTACAGGTAGGCGACAAAATTCATAAGAGTGATCAAATCAACGCTACCTGCGAGCTCTACAGTGGTAAGATCATTATGCTGGCTGATCTTCAAGATGTCTTCAATTTCGTAAGTACCGGTTTCTCTGAAATGCTGTAGCCCGGTCCGGAGCAGTGGACTTCTAGCAGACAAAAGCCAAGAGTGCACGGGAATTGCTAGGTGCGGGTAGGCGGCCGCACGAACAACCATGCCAAGACTGTCGTGCTGAAAATGCCACTTTTGAAGATGTGCCTGTAGATCCTCCTCGAGATCAGTTGATGTTAACACCTCATAGGCTAACGTATCTACCCGACCCTGTAGCACAGTAGAATCATGGAATTTCCACGTGTCTTTATTTTCTCGTGTCTTCGAGTTCATGGCCTGAAATCCGGAAAGGGGAAATAAAGAAGCCATGTCTTGCCACAGGGCGGGTTTATCTATCTCGATTTGTTCTCGAGTCACATCGCAATCCTTTCGTATCGCAGCGTACGCACCAGATGCGGAGCTTCTAACAGCGACTATGTCCGTGATATATGAAACACGTTGAAATTTGAAATCCTTACGCTTGGTGCCCGCCGGTGCGAAAGCCTTGGTGTCTTTAGCCTTTGTTCGCTTTACTCGACGCCAGACTGCCCCTGATTGGGTTGAAAGCATCACCGAGCCATTCTCTCCAACAGTCACAGATTTCACTCCATCCTTCTTTGAACTCCAGATGCATTGAGGTACTGTTACAGCATCCTTAATCTTAGACGGGTTAGTTGTAGAAGTGGCAGGTTGGTTCCCGTCGGGGGAGTGATTGACCACCATCGTGAAGAGGTCGCCGTTGCCCGTAACAGCTGCTATGGTTTCTCCACTGGACGTGATATGGTAAATTTCACGGCGGCCAGCATCGTATCGAGAGGACATTGAGAGTTGTACCGAGCGTTGTAGTGGTGAGCTAGTAAATGGGTCATAAGTAGGAAACTTGATCATGTTATAACCGTAACTTGTGAAAACACAAACTGCATGGTCTTCAAATAGACATGAAGTCGCTTTTTCAATAGCAGACACCATAACAATTGAAGAATGGCTTGAGAGTAGTGTTGCGGCAACTTTTCGGGGAATCGTCTGAACTTCAAGAGACCGAGAATCCGCATCCATCAAGGCAAGTTGGCCGACGTTCTTCCCCCAGCAGAACAGGGAAGACCCTGTGTGTGCCACGGAATGAATGGCAGAGGCAGCTGCTCCTAATATTATTTCCTTCTTCAACGGACCAAATACTTGTCGTGGTGTTGTGCTCATTGGTTCCTCATCAGGTCGAGCTGGAGGTGGGAGTGTGAACCCAAGCTGCGAGTAGATATTTGAACCCCACGTCCAAAGTTCTCCGGTACTAGTTACAGCCATTGAATGATTCTGGCCAAGAGAGACTTGGATAACCTTCTTATCAGATAATCCACCCTGAACAGGCATGAAGTTGAATCGAGTGTTCTCGTCGCCGAGACCTAGACGACCGCCACGCCCAATTCCGCAAACATATAAATTAGATATCGGGTCAGTTGTAAGGATGGCGCTATGCAGCTTGGAGAGCACAACGTCCTGGATCATCAGAGGGCGGTTTTGGACCAAAGTGGGGACTTCTGACGAATCGCCAGACGTGGAATCTCCTAAACTTGAAGGCCGATTTCTCTCCTCTAAATATTGGTTGCAGAAATATTGGATGAGGTTATCGGGCCGCTTCAAGTGAATGCGTTCGGGGTATTGTCTATCGTCTTCATCACCAAGCCCAAGAGTGAGGTTGTTATTGCTGCCGAACGTAAAGACCTCCCCACCCAGGCCAGAGGATCTGCCATGGTGCCTGAATGACACATTAGTGACTTACTTTCATCTAAGTGGCATGTGGCTAACCTAACGTCTTCACCACCTGGGCCCTCATCCATGTCCGATCCATCATCCCCTGAGCTCGAACGGTCTTCGGAGGCCTTCAAACTTCGTAGCGCGATAGTAGCATTATAAACGTCAAACGGACTATTTCCCTCATGATCCTTCGTCTTAATCAGCTGTCCCACCTTGGTGATGATAACACCACCGACCGAATCAGTCAGATCTTTACGTTCCTTCTCAAGAAGCAATCGAGCGATCGAGATGTTTCCATTATACAACGCCCTATGCAATGGGTTCCATCCACTTTCATGGTCTTGAACATATATATCAATGGCGGGATGGTCAAGGAGGGCCTCAACGAAGGAGACAGCATTCGAGGAGGTGGATGAGGCGGCTCGGAGGAGAATGGTTAAACCAGAGTGATCACGGCTATTGATCTCACTTTTCCCAATATTTCCTCCTCCATTCTTGGTCGTGACATTGGCAGGGCCAAACGCAGATGCCTTGCGCGATTTGGTGGTAGCGCGTGGAGAAGTTCCCAATGCGCCGGGGCTCCCTACTCCGGTAACGTGGGTCTTGGATGGGTTCTGGGAATAACTGGCCGGTGCCAGCAGCCGACGAAACTTGTCGACATCATTATCCCAGTAATATTTCCAAAGTAGATAACTCATGTGTATGCGATGGGGCGTCGTTCAAAGCACTTCAAACTGCACCTCGCTGTGAATCTCGAAGGATCACGGCCTGTTTAAAGGTGCGATAAAGAAGCGCTTTGACGTGACAAGAAGTCAGGGGAGTTTTCCCACTGTGGTGGAACTTCAAAATGCTTTAGGGTATGGCAGTTGGCGCGTCTAGCCAAGTCTTGGAGGGGTGGTGTCGATGTGGAAGACTAGGTATCTAGGGAGGCAGATATAAAGGGGCGAATGCGGTGATCGGCGTCGAGTAAGTATCGAGCGATAAGTGAGATGCTATATAGATAAATGAAGATATATTTATTGAATTGCGCTTCGGATACGTAGATGATAGATTTTGGGATTGGAATGATGGGCCGCTGTTTGTTCAGTTACCGTTGCCCACAAGGCGAAAATGATGACGCTCGATCGATCTATAGTAGTGTCGCGAATTAGTTATCTAATAACTGTAGCAGTCGAATATTTTATCAAGTGTCGCGTAAGTAACCTTGTAAGTCAATCTCGATCAAATATTGCAATAATTATCAGAAACTCAGTGTGGGTGAGGTGAGTACGTGTTTGTCAAATAATATTTGGAGGAATAGAAAAGGATAAGTCACCTGCATGTGGATTATTAGATGTGTTCGAAATGGTAAAGAAGGTGCGTATCCGCGGTTTCTATCATGTGTGCCTTCGAAACCCCGCGACGCTAAATTCCAGGTACTACAATAAATTCCGGGTCGTTGAGGGCATCTTTTTAACCAATCATATCTCATTGCGGCAGAGCATGGCACAACTAGGTAGGATAACCTAGCTAAGTACCCACTTATATAGCCATACTGCTGTGACAGATCAGATAATAACTGATAAGAGCGTTATGGCTTTAAATGCTTCTAATTGTATGCCTGTCTTCCTTGTCAATTATTGGTCGTGTGTTCTGCAAAGCATTAAAGAGGCTTTCAACAATCATACCTCGTTGGTGAGCCTCAACAGAGCTATAGGGCTACAAATAAGAATATATCCCGAGAGCTCAACCTCGACACCTAGATACATAGTAATATGTAGGTAGAGACATGGATTTCCTGTACCATTAGGTATGCTGTATGCATAACAACCTTGGATGTCGATCGGGGTCCTTACATGGTATTTCCAACATGGTAACTATTTGTAGCTGCTATATAGGTAGTTACATCATAAGCTCCAAGACTAACCTGCTACATTGACATATGTACTTGGGGTATTAGTTCAGCCTCGAGTCCTAAGCTTACATACGTGTACTTCAAGTAGGTATCTAGGTTAGGGTAGACATAATCCCTGCCGAATCTCCAGGTCTTTTAAGTGTTTTCAGGTGGGGTCGCATGCTCCAGGCCCTAGATTAACATGCTCGCATGGTGTGGGGACTGCCTTCCTAGGAACTCCGACTCGGCTGGCCCTGGCCTTTTGGTTTTAGTGCCTTTGTATAATTCGGCCGTCATCGCAAATCGGAAATTCGAATTCGAACTTCTTATTTTTTTTCACCAAATCCACTTCCCGCCGGTAGCCGCAGGTATGTCTTGATCAAATACTCTCCTTCATCGTGTCTCCAAGTTTCACTTTTCAGCTCACTCATGTTCAGTCTGCTCATCATTAGTTGTTTAGTTTACAGAAGCTCGAAAACCATCGCCCATCATGTCGCAAGATAAGCCCCTCCCGTTCATATACACCTTTGGCGCAGGTCAGTCGCAAACTTCCAGTCTTTGCCGGGAGGCATGCGCGCCACGAACTAACACTCTGAATTAGGTGCCATTGCCGGTATTTCGGAGGCAAGTGACGGATTCTATGCTTTCCAGGCATGACTATATACTTATCTGATATTCTAACTCTCCTCACAGATTCTGACCATGTATTATCCTTCCTCAACATCCGCATGCCTACTGGGTCGTGTATAGCATGCCGCGTAACTAATAACAAACCAGGTACCCTTTGGACGTTGTCAAGACAAGAGTGTAAGCAGCAATGTGATGCTATTCAACCGTCATGGCTGCTCGAAACTAAACACACAATAGACAACTCCAATCGGGCAAGGCAACTGGTGCGGATGCTTACACTGGCATGGTGGACTGCTTCTCGAAGATCGTGCGCAATGAAGGGTATGGCGCCCCCCCTACCTAATCACGAGGTTGTGACATATGTGCTTATCTGAACTTCCAGTTTCTCGAGACTATACCGAGGTATCACCGCGCCCATTCTAATGGAAGCCCCGAAGCGTGCTACCAAGTTTGCCGCCAACGATGAGTGGGGAAAGTTCTACCGCAAGGTGTTTGGAGCCGAGAAGATGAACCAGTCCCTCTCCATCCTGACAGGCGCATCTGCCGGAGCCACTGAATCCTTTGTCGTCGTGCCCTTTGAGTTAGTCAAGATCAGACTGCAAGACAAAGCCTCTGCAGGAAAATACTCTGGCATGATTGATGTCGTTGCCAAGACAATCAAGAACGAGGGTCTCCTAGCCATGTACAACGGCCTGGAGAGCACCCTGTGGCGCCACATACTCTGGAACGCCGGCTACTTCGGCTGCATCTTCCAGGTCAAAGAGCTCTTACCAAAGGCAGAGACCAAGAAAGGCGAGATCCTGAACGGCCTGCTTTCCGGCTCCGTCGGCGGCACGGTCGGCACCATAATCAACACACCCATGGACGTCGTGAAGTCGCGCATCCAAAACAGCCCCAGAATTCCCGGCCAGACCCCCAAGTACAACTGGGCCTGGGGAGCCTGCGGCACTGTCATGAAAGAGGAAGGCTTTGGTGCGCTCTACAAGGGTTTCCTGCCCAAGGTCCTTAGACTTGGTCCCGGAGGAGGTATCCTCTTAGTTGTGTTCACGGGCATGATGGTAAGTCTCAACATCTCCAACCTACCAACAGGCCAAATGTATTGGGCAAAATCACTAACAATTTTTCACCTACAGGATTTCTTCCGTTCCATACAAAAGCCATAAAAAGCCATCATAAAATCAAATCAAAGTAACCTACCTGTTCTGCACGGTTTGAAATTTCTAGGCATTGATATGATACCTCTCTCTATCTCTCTGTTTGGCTGGCTATTTGCATATTGGCTCACAGCAGGTGTCCATAGAGGCATAGAGGCATACACATTTCGCACGCGCTTTGTTCTCAATACTAGTCCATGTTCCGATTGTGTGCTTCTCTGTCCTCATTAATGGTTCATATTGCTTTTCAAATGTGAGATTAACATGATCGTCCTCATGGAACGGATGAGTTCCGTAGGCATCTATCTAGATAGAGCCTAGCTACCAAGCTAGGCCGAGTACTGTACATTCACAATCAAAGAAATTTCCCACAACTACTATTATCAAATGTTTTTTTAACGCCAGCTGTGTGATTTGCTAACCATGGTATCTACCAACTTATGTATATATCCCACCTAAGCACCTAATCAAACACAACCTTGCGCCCCTGAAAGGCAATCTTCTGCCCTTCCTCCTTAGCCTTCTTAGCGGCCGCCCAACTCGGGTGCAGGGGCCCCGTGTCGTCTCTGCTCGGGGGAACCTTGGGCTTCTCGGGCATATCTCGGAAACCACCACCACCACCACCATCCTCTCCTCCTCCCGAAACATGCTGCTGGCGGTCCGGGTGGATATTCCTGTTATCAAACGGATTCCGGATCCCCTTCTTCCAAGGCTTGTTCCCGCCGCCGTCCTCGTCGTCGCCGACGGCGCCCCGCCGCATGTCCCACCCCTGGTCGCGCCCCTTTGTCTCTTGCTGCTTCTGCACGTGCTTCGCCTTCTCCTTGTACTTCTTCTCCCAGATGGCCTGGCGCGCGCGCTGGCCGCGCCGGTTCTTGCGCGCCGAGGGCCCGACGTCGATGTCGGAGGCGTCGGACTCGGAGCCCGATATGTAACCCCCCATCAGCGTGGGCAGGAACGCGGAGCCGCCGGTTGAGATGGGGCCGGTTTTGGCTTTCTTTGGTTTCGGGAGGGAGGCGGAGGCAGTGGAGCTGTCGCTTCCGGATACTTCTGGATCCGAGTCGGGCTCGGGCTCGGGCTCTGAGTCGACAGACGATAAAGATATGTCGTCGGATGTCGTCGTCGGTTTTCGGATCGACCTCGCTCTACTATCGACAAAGTCGTCTTCTGCATCGGAACCATCCTCGTCTGAATCATCTGACTCGCTGGAGCCTGCCACAAAATCGTCGTACCGCGACCACACTCGCTCCTCCGCGTCGCTATCCGAGAACCCTTCAAACGGCTGGTCATCTACCTCGTCCTTATCCTCGTCCTCGTCGCTGCCGAGCTCTTCTTCGTCAATCGTAGCTTTATCCCGTTTCCTTTTCAAAAGCACAGGTTCCGGCTCAACCTCAGGATTCGACTGCTCCCCTTCTTCACCCGCCTCCTCTCTCTCAGGAATAGCCACCTCGTCGTCCTCTCCTCCACCAGCTTGCTCATCTTTACCCTTCCTCCGCTCGTCACCTTTCGTACCTTTCGTCTCTTTTATCTCTTTCGCCTTACTCTTCCCCCCCTTCTTCGTCTTATCCGGCATCGGCACCCTCAGCGCAATGCACGTGCCCATCACCGCCTCCTCGACCACATCCCGTATCTGCTTGCGGTTGCACAGCGCGCTCGTCACATTATGCAGCGCCGTCTTCTCCTCCTCCGACAAACCCTCCGGCTTCGGGATCGCCCGTATGATGTCGGCCGGCAGCTTGGGCGCCTCGGCCACGCCCTTCACTTTCAGCAGCGACGAGCACAGGTGCGCGTGCGCGGCCTGTTGCAGGTCGAGGCTCTATGCGTGTTAACCGTGTTTGCTCCTTTTTCCACTTGACAATGATTGATTGATTGATTGAGGTTAGGTTATACCTTCAGCACGGCAATCTCCCGCTCTAGCCTCGTGACCTTGAGAGGGTCGCTTTGCGCTTCGCGGATGCGCTTGCTCAGGCGCTGGCGCTCGAACCCTTTGGCCGCCTTCATGCCGCGCGCCAGTTCCTTGTGCCATTGTGTGAGTTTTTCTGTGAGGCTGGGCTCGTGGCTTCGTTTTCGTTTCGGCATTTTCGCGGGTATGGGGGGTGTGGTGGTTGGGTTTTTGAGAAAGTGAGGTAACTAGGAATTCTAGCTGCGAGAGATGCGCAAGAGGTTTAGGTTTAGTTAGTTAGTTATCTCTATTTTTTGATAGGTGAGAAATTTCCAAAGTGCTTGGTATTTGAATATGCTACTAAGAGAGTCTGAGATATGCATGTAAGCTGCATTGGCCTTATCCACAAACCTACCCCCCTTTTTCGAGGGGTTTACACTTTACAGATGTTCATGCAGGATACAAGTCGAGATAAGCATTTAATTATTTCAAACGATTATGAATTCCTCCTCTAAACCCGCCTCATCGCCTTGTTGAAACACCACAGTTTTATCCAACACCAAAGGCTCATCCTTATCACCTTCGGCTTGACCGTGGTACTGGAACCAACCACAGCGGACAAATACTTGGCACTGGCCATTTTCAATCCGTCGCAGCAGCAGGCCTCTGACCCCAAGTACCCCACGATCTTCGTATTGGTGGGCATATATAGGCCAAGCACGATACGCATCGCTCTCATTCTCCCCCCTCCCTTTGAGAGCACGGTCGAGCTCGTCGCGGCAGTCCCATTTCACATGCCCTCTCCCCAGACCTTCTAGCTGCAATGCAGCGAAGTATTCCTCTGCAGTCAGAGCCTGCACTCTCGCAGGAATTAGACTTCCGCAAGCTCGCGCACTACCAGAAGTAGCAACTCCAATAGCGCTATATTCTTCAGCAGTAGAGAAGCGCGCCTTCGCTACCGGAGAAAGGAAAGGTTCGTCGGGTAGCATGCTGCTCGTAGTAATCCTAGGGTGCGTCGAGATCGGGAACGCAAAGCTCACTCTTCCAGGAATGCTTAGCCACGACCATGTTGGAAAGCGATCCGTAGTATTGTTCCGATAAGGAAGCCCTCGGCTGCCCTCGCCATAATCACATACAACGTCCCAAGCAAGTTGTTCCACGAGGTCTGCAGACCAACAGCCGTGGGCATATGTCAGAGAGTCAAAGAGGCCAGCAGCCCCGGGCGCAGCCAGTAGCGGTACACATTCAGCTATACTATTGATCACGGCAGCTCTGTCTTCCGTTGTTTGTATACTAGTCATGGAATATGCTGCGATGGTCTTTGTCCACATTGCAGCCAGGCATTTCTGGAATGACTCAAACCCAAGAAAATTGGCATCGTTTGACGAACCCGCCTCAGAAACGGACACTGGTGGATCAAAGTTCGCATATGATTTGTAGTGCCCCCACATGGAGGGCTTGTGTACTGCAAGCTGGCCAAGAATCTCTTCTTGATTATCAGAACTCCTACAGTGGTTACCAGTCACAGCGAGGGCCTCACTGCACAATGCTCCTCGTCCGTGATAGCATTGCCACCAGAGCTGGTCTTTCCCACAGTAAAGAGTGGCAGGGGAGAGGAGAGTCGCTTGGTAGAAGAGAGCCGAGTTCCACAGGAGAGAACCAGTGACTGAATCCTGGAAACCCTCGTTCCTATATATTGCAAGTTTCTGCTCCGGGGCCCATTGCGGTCTAACAACAGGCATTCTGCTTAATTCCCTACTCGAGGACAGCAGAGGGTCAGACAACTTTGCACAAGTCATAGAGGCGATATTAAATACACCTCCAGCAAATATGTGCGCGGTAGTGATTGGGTCTTTGGTATAACTAGGGTCGAGCTTAGGAACCCAAAGGCATTGAACGCCAGCATCAAATGCAATTTGTGCAGCCTGGCGGAGACAGCCTGGGAGTAGCGAAGTCGAAGTCCACGAGTGCACGTTCTCAAGTCTGAGCTCTCCGCTAGCCGCCATGTCATCGGTCCAGTCTGGACAGCTGACTGTGACATAGAGCGAGCCCGTCGATGGCTGTTGGCCTGGAATATACTCGCGAATCGTATAAGACAGCTCTGCATCGTCGCCTTCTTTGCTTAACTGAATAAGACGGGAAGGACGTCTCAGGGCTTTTTGCGATCTGGTGCGATGGTTCCGGCACGAGCTGTGAAACTCAGGACTTTCGGAACGTACACAGTCCATGATCCAGTGGTGGCAGAGATTCAACCCTTCGAGCTCATTGTCATGATTACCTCGACTTCTTTCCACTAGACGAATCATTAGTAATTCTCACCAACTTCATCAAGTCAAGTTGATATAGGCTGACCTTGAGCCGCTTTAAAGAAAACTGGTCTTTTCAAATTATTGACATTGATGAAAATTGTGATTTGAAATTCGTCTTTGTGCTTGGTGATATGAAAGCTGGTCGCATTTTTATCTGGCAAGACAGAGATGGGCTCAGGGGGCAAGGCGGCAGCTACCGCAACGCATATAGGACATTTGGCTTCCACTGCATGCGTCAGTGAGGCGATAGAATGGTGATGGGCCTTCGCAAAATCAGGGCGTATGTGAAAAACTGAAGTTAGACTCGAAGGCTCTGTGGAGGAGTCAAAAATCTGAAGGCAAGAAGAGCAGAAGGGGGATTTTCCTATAATAGTCATTTTTCATGACAGAGAATTAATACCTAGGTATGTATGCAGATGTTGAGATGTTAGATGTTCTAGGAATTATAAGAATGCGAACATGATGGTATTTTATATACCTACCCACGGTAAGTAGAAACTACATCCTACACTGACTTCACCTTCAATGTTGTATGTAATCGGGTACCTTTTGATATATCCCCTGGCCTTGTCAGCCTGCAGGCACAGCGGTAGTCTTGCCACCAACAATGATCTGAGCTCACTACTGCAGCAATGCGGCACTAGTCAAGCAACAGCAGGCGAAGGATTCGATTGAAGAACAAGGTTCAATGACCAGGTATAGCCAGCACCATATGTCATGCATTGGCAGCTGCAGGTGTTGCCATCCTACAATTACTTCTAGACCTGTTGAGCTACTGCATATGAAGGAGATGATGAGGGAGATGAGTTGCAGGTAGTAACAAAATGAGATGATCGTCTTCTAATGGGACAAACTATTTCGTGAATCCGAGCCGTAGGAATAACAGTGAGGACAAATGCACTCCTTCGGAGCATTTCAGCTTAAAGACCTCGAGTAAATGTTGATTGATGAAGAAGAAGAAAAGGAAGTGTGTTACTCATCAGGTTTGGATGGCATACTGCTGGTGACGTAATATGCTATTTCTTTTATAGAGAATTATGAACATTTCGAGGCTTATCTAAAAGTAACTATATCGCATTATGTCCGGTTATCTCCGATTGAGTCCGAGTCTCCGAGAAGTCAATTAATTGAAGCTTCAATTATGTAATACTGTTGTACCTCCCAAAAAAAAGAAACGAAAAAAAAAAAAAAAAAAAGCATCGATCAACCGAATTTTTGAGCTTCTACTCTACTTCGTCAAGCTAAGCCCACTCAACTCCACCAAAGGACCTTCGCGACGTGGCCCTCCACCTCTGCCTAGCACCTCTCAGCCTAAGATTAATTCCAACAAAAAAGTAGAAATACTGAGCAACAAGCAAAAAGGCAACAAGAGAAGTGCGGAAAAGTTGCAGAGGCAATAAACCAGCAACAGTCATGTCGTCGCTGGTTAGAGCGGAGAGGGTGCTCTCGTCCACCTTACCAAGAGGACTCAATAACCCGAAAACAACTTCTCGATCTTTACTAGCACCCACACTCGCCTTGGCCTCACTCCGAACCTTCCACGATACTGCGAGAGCCCTCGCCCCGTCGCCGCCCACTATCAGCGGACTCGGCACCGTCCCACCCTCCTACTTCCAGCGCCCCTCCTTGCCCGCCAACACCATCATCCGATTCGTACCACAACAGACAGCATGGATTGTCGAGCGTATGGGCAAGTACCACCGCATCCTCGAGCCGGGCCTAGCTATCCTCATACCTTTCCTCGACCGAATCGCCTACGTCAAGAGCCTCAAGGAAGTAGCGATAGAAATACCTAGCCAGAGCGCCATCACAGCCGACAATGTGACGCTGGAGCTAGACGGCGTCCTATACACCCGAGTCTTTGACGCATACAAGGCCAGGTACTTATAACCCCTCCAAGTTTGCTGTTACTCATGCTAACCAGCATCCCCCCACTTCCAGTTACGGCGTTGAAGATGCCGAGTATGCCATCTCGCAGCTCGCACAAACCACCATGCGCAGCGAGATCGGCCAGCTATCCCTCGACCACGTGCTCAAGGAGCGCGCCGCCCTCAACACCAACATCACCGCCGCCATCAACGAGGCCGCGCAAGCCTGGGGCGTCACCTGCCTGCGCTACGAGATCCGGGACATCCACGCGCCCGCCGCCGTCGTCGAAGCCATGCACCGACAGGTGACAGCCGAGCGGTCCAAGCGCGCCGAGATCCTCGAGTCCGAAGGTCAGCGCCAGAGCGCCATCAACATCGCCGAGGGCAAGAAGCAGTCGGTGATCCTGGCATCCGAGGCGCTGCGCGAGGAGAACATCAACCGCGCGACCGGCGAAGCCGAGGCTATTTTCATGAAGGCCAAGGCCACCGCCTCCGGCATCGACGCCGTCGCGCGCAGCATCAGCGAGGGCGGCGCCTCCGCCCACGGCGCCGTCTCCTTCAGCGTCGCCGAGAAGTACGTCGACGCCTTCGGCAAGCTCGCCCGCGAGAGCACCGCCGTCGTCGTCCCCGGCAACGTCGGCGACATCGGCGGCATGATCGCCACCGGCCTCAGCGTCTTCGGGAAAGTCGGCGAGGCCCAGAACCGCACCATGGCTAAGCAGTTGATTGAGCAGCAGCAGAAGCAGAATGACGAGGCGGAGGAGGTCGGGCCCGATGGGAAGCCGAGCAAGAAGAGCGTGGTTGACTCTATGGTTCGCGAGTTCGACAATACGGCGAGGAGGAAGTGAAGGGAGAGTAAAACCTAACAGAGAGATGACGCAAACAAAAAACGGAGGGAGATAAACCCTCAAGACAAAACGAGCTATAAAGGGGGAGCTTTGTAACACTAAAAAATACCTAGGCAACGTAGGCAGGAGCCGGTTGTTCTCCTGTCTATGAAAAAGGGTGGACGAGAAAATGAATCTATAAGAAGGGGTACGGGGGCAAAGGGGAAAGGGGGGCATGCGGCGGATGGTGGGCGGCAGGCGGCAGGCGGCGGAAGCAAAATACCTCAGGGTAGGGTAGGTAAAGGGGGGCTGACCAAAAAAAAAAAGAAAAAAAGAAAAAAAAACACACAGAATCTCAAAATTGGCTGAGCATGGCGTCGGCGGGCACTGCGATTAAAAACAGAAGAGAGAGAGAGAGCATTGTCGGCATTATCACCACCGTTACCATTACCGTTACCATCACACTCATACTCATACTCATACGCATACCTAGGTATCTATCTAGGTTAGGTACTCACACTCATATTCGTACCTACTCATCATCACATGTAATATTAACGAGGAGTGAGAAACAGGTACTACTCCTACGTACGCTACGCAACTCAAGGTCACACACTCTCCCACATAGGTACATACTCACATACTCACCATACCTAAGTAGATGGATACAGAGCTAGGAGGTATGGAATGTCGAAATGAAGATATTTCGATTGACGTATCAAAATGTACCTACCTAATGGTCTAATGTTCTTAACTCTAGGTATTGAAGATTGAACGGTGAATGCGTGTGTATACGATGTCGTAATCATCTCCTGGATTCAAAGCAACCTAGGCTTCCTACGTCTAAACTATTACTACAAAGTTGGAACCCTCTTAACATTAAATCCCCAATTCCGACCCAACAACGTCCAATGCCTTCGTTAACTGCCTCAACACACCTTCATCACCACTCGTTCCCGCCACCCGCGTGGCACTCACTAATAGTGGATACAGCCTAAGTAGATGCTTACGGCTTTCACTCTCGACGTTGGGCGTGTCGGGAATGGCATCTGGCTCGCTCTTAAGCTCAATAAGACTCTCTAGTATCCGCGCTAGCTCGCGCCGTTGGCTGAGCGGTTGAGGCATATGGCCACGGAGTGGCTGGTCCGCGATATATGCTCTTATTGTCAATGCAGCACGTAGGATGAGGTATGACGCTGCCGTTCGGGCTAGTCGCACATTGAGAGCGTGCGGAGGTTCGAGTGTCATATTAATGGCCCCAGTCGTCCCCATTCTTGGTGGTAGAAAAGCTGGCGTCGGCGGTTGAACTGTGATTTTCGGCGTTGATGCCTCGTTATGGCTGGCTACTAAAGCAAACAGCTCATCTAAGCAGACATAGCACATCTTCTCGCGTTTAGCGGGGGGCGGGTCTATAGTACGGCCTTTTCGCGACTTGTATAGGTTAGACAGCCCAGCCACATCACCCCCATCGTTGCCATAAATGAGCGAGGATTCTGCCGGGGCGGGTATGTGGATAATGGACATCCGAAATAGATTTTCTGCGAATACCTTTCGTGTCCTGTCTGCTACGACTTCCGCGCCTAATGATGGAATGATGAGTTCGCGAAGTCTCAAAAAGGAAGAAATGTCGAAATTTTGGTCGTCTAGAATGTTCACCTGGTCTGGCGGTGCATCACAGTCTGCACTAATGATACCATTGGCGATGGTAACAATCACTTCCCAAATATCCTGGAGACTTGACCGCGAGACTTCGAGCTTATGGAGTTGTGGTAGGGTGGCTTCCAAAATAACCAACGAACATGTCGTTGATTGCTTCCAGGGTTGTTCTGACTTGGTGATAATGGGGAATCGGTACTTGAGCACAATTGGCCTTGATAAAGCCGTGAGAGCAGCCAAGAATGCGCCGTCGCCATAAATTTTGGCATCAGCAGCATGACTGACTATGAGCGACTGTAAAATTGCCATGCTAGATTTAGACATAGCAACATAAGTGCGTTTTTGTGTGTTCCGTTGCTTAGACATGTCGTACTCCTCCAAGAAGGCAAGTGATATGAATTCAGAAACCTGGGATATCAAAGCAGATGGTGCCCCAGGTATGTCTGTTCGAAGCATTTTTATCACTTCAAGTACTTGTCCTTGCAAAGGCGTGAGGTGGTCGATGTCAGCTATATATGACCCAGGGGTTGCCACCTGCATGACTTCTCGTAACAACGTTAGCATTCGGCGAATGCGATCGACAGTGAGATCAACTTGTATAAGACGATATACATCGCGGAGGGCCCCAACATAAGCGAGAAGACAAATTTGATTATCTGTTGTCCTACCGGTGGTAGCATTCTTCGAAAATGGGACGCCGCGAGACCACAAGTCCCAAGCCAGATCGATTGTAATTTTGTTGAAGTTCTGCTTTGTGCCGTTTTGGCTCTGCGAAAGCATCTGCGTCAACCCCTTAAAAGTTGCCGTGCTAATCTCAAGGACTTGGAAGTCCAGTAGATTAGCAAAATGAACCAGGAGTTGTTGCCAGTATGATTTAAAGGTCGGGTGGACGGTAAGCACATCAAGATAATTTGCAAGAAGACTAGATATGCCATTGAGCACCAAGACGGCTGTATCATGCCAGTCTTGTCGAGCTTTATCGTCATGCTCTGGTTTACGGATGTCTTCAAGTTCCTGCTCTAAGGAAGCAAGAAGTTTGAAGATAACCGACTTGATGCAGACAGACCATGCTTCAGAGCCAAGCCTATCTCCATACGCATCAAATATTCGTAATAACGTTTGTATTGCACCTTAAAATTTCGTCAGCGCAAAATCATTATATTGGATTTCAGGGAGGCATACTGTTCCTGAGGTCAAGCCTTTCATCGGTGGTTACGGTGGTCAATCTTAGTAAAAGAAGCATCCACAACGCTGCATCCGAGGACGCATCCTCATCATTAGATGCCTTCTCTACCAATGAAACTCCATTGGGATCGTCAACAAGGCTATCGGTAATCGGCAATAACTTGCTTCTTCCAGATAAGAAATCAGAAAGAACCCAGAAGAACGTGACAGTCTAGCAATTCAATGTTAGCACAGGGGTCAATGGTGTGAGTCTGGTGAGTCTGGTGCTTACCGTTAGTGCAATGTTTAGATCATCGTCTTGTGAGCAGAATTTGTACAGGGTATCAACGAGAATTAAAAAGCATGATTTAGGCAATGACCCGAGGAAGTCAGAGCAGATTAATTGTAAAGAGCTGAAAGCAGACCTGATGAGTTTGCTAGAACGTGTTGTGAGGGCTAGTGATTGTCCAGCAACGTCTCGCACGCCATTGTCATCAAATCGTTGAACGAATATACTACCTATGACCTCAAATGTGATCTCCCATCCATTGAGCAGCGCATCACCACAATCATCAAGTAGACTTTTAAGGCCTTCAAGAATAATTCTATGGATATCAACATCTGTCGAATGAGTGGCTACGGAGGCCGCTCGATTCTCCATCTGCAATGGGAGTAGAGAGTCTCGGAGAGCTTCCAATAGACGAAGTTGAACCTTACTACGGGTCTCATCGTCGAGATTAGCAACCTCTTTGGCAGCATCTAACATGAGATGGACTAGAATATCCGCTGCGCGGGTACGAATTTGCGCTGGTAAGGGGACAGAGCCTAACGTGGTAATTAGTTCAGAAGTGATACGTGTCCAGCCCGAAACATCTGCTGGAAACCCTAGGAGTCTCTCGATATTGATACTCGCGATTTCGCCAATTTTGGCGAGAGCAAACTGATCCTCTTGGCTTGACCCAGTAGCCACGGAAGTAATCACACTGAGGGGTCTCCGAGATTGGCCACTCGGTGACCGAAGACCAATTGTTGGCGATGTCGGAGAAGATGATGATTGAGGTCGGCTTGGTGGCTCGGAGGCAGACTCAGTTTGCTGGTCTAGCAAACCACAGAGTGCATCAACAACCTCCACAAAAGCCTCATTTGGGAAATCAACAGAACTTTCAAAGAGTCTAGATGCAGCAGTTTCAACAGCTCTTACTTCGGTATTGAAGTTGGCCAGGAGCGAAGCGGCTTCGCTCTCTGCTCGTGGATCTGAATCCTTTCCGGCGATTGGTGTTCTCCCGGGGGCCTTTCCAGTCATAAATAGAACAAAGTCTGCTTGCTGAAGCGTTTCGAGAACAATCGACCAAGATGGTCCAAGCGTAGGCCCAAGAGCAATACCTAGATTCAAAAGTGCCCGCAGACATAGAAGGTTTCGAGTATTCAATGTTTGTGGCACGGTGTTTGCTTCCACAGAGGCCTGTCTCTGCCTTTCCCCGGCGGCGCCGACTGGAGTCACGAGATTATCAACACTCAAGAGGCCTCTAGCGTTACTCAGAATACTGTTTGGTGTTTCCATAGCAGGGCTAGCAGCCATTGACTTGGACGGGCCGGTACTGAGACACGCAGAGAATACATTCGGTGGTACAGCTGCTTTTCCAAGGGTGGTGAGGAAAGCATCTCTTGGGGTTTTTAGGCGGAGTAGGCCTGCAACGTGCGTGAATTTTTGAAATGCTCGGACGAGGCCATGGTAGTACTCTGAGTCGAGGGCTGCATATAGGAAGGTAGAGCATGTTGCAAGAATAGCTGGCCAACACTCGTCAATGATACCAGCGCAGAGGTATACCTCGGCATGCAAAGGGTGGTCTTTGATATCCAAGGGGTTGAGAGGTACTGGGTTCTTCTTGAATGATCCAGATCTCTCAATTGAGGTCATTGTGGAGGTCCTCTCTATCGCCAATCTTGGCCCATTGTTTTCCTCCTCTATAGGAGCCGGCGATTGCCTTCCCATTTCCGACTGCTTTGCGGTGCGCTTGCGAGCTCTATTATCAGGAGGAACTGTTAACGGCAAGATAAACTTCGCTAACCCTTCGGACAATGAAGTAATACAGGACAAAGTCAATGCATAAATATACGACTCCGGAATCGGTGGCGGTTCGGTCTTGTCGAGATGGTCTATGCAAGCCACCCTAACCGTGCTCCATTGAGTGCTAATGCCAGTGTTATGGCCCTCGCCAACAGAGCCGCTGATTATTCCGGTGACTCCACTAGCTTCTAGCATTGCGTGATCCGAAGAACCTCCAACATTGGCATATGGATTGGCCACGGGAAGAGTAGACTGGTGGCCTAAACCAATGACCACTGGTTTCTCCGTGCTTACTCTAACAAACGTAGCCATCAAGCTTTTGAGAATGTCCTTCTCTCCCTCTTTAGAATCATAGAGGGCAAAAATGCGTCTTAGAAGAGGCGGTTCGGAAAATATACCACGAAACACTTCCATGCATAATGCTCTCCTCCAGACAGCCGTATCTTGGTCGAGCAACTGCGTTAGGGCATCAAGAGCCTCGCCACCTTCCGAGGGTAGTATATCCAGATGTTTCCTCAGAAGCGTGTAAAGGATACGTACGAGGCGAACAGAGGTCGCAAAATTTGGCCTCCCAGATAATGCTGAGATGATAAAAGGCATCACTCTTGTCCGGAGTATATGAGCTTGCTCCGGATGCTGGGGTTTGGTGAAAACGGAAGCATGTTGGCTCAAGACAGACTCTATCAATTCTAAGCCAAAGGTCTGAGGAAGTCCAGTAAACCGTAAATACTCTGGCCGCTGGTTCTCTGTCAATAGGCAGATGTCTTTGAAGATACGGTAAGCATCCATGGACGCTTCACGAAGCTGAACTTCGTCATCGCTAGTAGGAGCATACCCAACAAAATCTCCGTCAGGTTCCAATTCTAAGTCCAGTTAACTCCCCTATTTTCAAAATTAGTTCAGTTTAGACTCACTATCCTCGGCCACCACTTTTTCGAAAACAGTCATGACCAGCTGCTGAAGAGTGGCAGCAGATGTGTTGTTGACGATCCCATTCTTGGTAGTCTGAAGGATGAAGCAAATATTCAGGGCGGTCACTAAGAGGTCGCCTTGAACTTCCTTAGAATAATTTTGAAGCAAGCTAGGTAAGGCCTGCAAAATCTTAAGCTGAACATCTAGACCAGCCGAGGTTGCCTCGCGCAATGCTTCTAGGACGGGGCTCAACTTGGACCGTGGGAGAGCCCTCACAAGAATGAGGCGTGACAAGCAGACGATGGCTATTCCGGTAAATTTGGTATTCCTGGTTCCGCATGCTATCACAAAAGGGTTGACGAAGTTGACTTTTTGAGAGAGTTCTAAGCTATACTATGAGCACTCCCATATAAATAAATCTAACGAATCTGGGGTTGGATTATCGTACCGGCGGCAAGTTGTGCTTCGTTAGCAGCACGGATACTCCTTAACTCCTCCAAAGACTTCTCGGCTGCCTGTCTAAGATCATTGTGTTTCCGTTTACTCTCCTGTATGAGATTGGCTAATTCTGTAGAAAGAAGCTGGGTGGTCATCTTGGCCAATTAACTCGAACCGAATCCATCTGTGAGAAGCTATTTAAGTTTAGAAAGTGAACAGATTAAACGGATTAAAAGATGTTTATTTTCGCAGGTTATCAAAACAAAGAGATGAATGAATCAAAAAGTTCAAGAAGTTCAGAAAGTTGATTCAAGGTTGAATTTCTTTAATTTGTTAATTTGTTAATTTCACTGGTGAGTTTCAGTGAGTTGTTCAGAGCTTCCAGGTTCTTGCCAGATTCGTCACTCTTTGCTGTTGAGCCACGTGTTTCAGCCACGAACTGTGGGGCCTTAGTTACTTAGACTGCATTACTAGTACCTTCCCGATGGCAAGGAACATTGAAGAAAGCTCCTCAGCAAGGAAGCTCAACTGATGTCAGGCTGCACACAACATTGAATGCCACACATTGGATGTGCATGCCGCTAGGTACTCGAGGAAGGTACCTAAGTACCCTCTATACCACATGGCAGTGGCACTGTACATGTAGCAACGTCCGAGCGCCCAACGGCCTTAAACCCCACCATCCCACTAACTACCAGTCGTTCGCCGTTGCCATCGACATAAGGCATAAGGCTGTTTAATCTCCTTCCCATAAATTCATACGCTCCTACACCTCAAACGACCAGTTTCCTACAACAACAACAAAACACATTCACAAGCCAACTGACTCGCTCGGGGGGCGTTTACTATTTAGCGACAAAATTTCCTCATACCTACGGCAATACTACCGAGACCATGGGAGCCAAAATCCCTCGAAACTTCCGTCTCCTGGAGGAGCTAGAAAAGGGAGAAAAGGGTCTTGGAGCTGGTATATTCTGAGCCAATAAACACTCATATTTTATTGCTGGACCCCTACTGATGATTCATCTTTCATAGAGGCATGCTCTTACGGGTTAGATAACCCAGAAGATCTCTTGATGTCGGACTGGAATGGCACGATCTTGGGACCTCCTCACGTTAGTCGCTATCCCCTTCACTCGCCAGTAGAGTTTTGGTACTAACCTCGCATATTGTAGAGTGTACACGAGAACCGAATTTACTCCGTCAAGATGCACTGCGGTGACCAGTACCCCGATACGCCGCCCACCATCAAATTTGTCAGCCAAGTCAACCTGCCATGTGTCAACCAGAAGAACGGCGTGGTGGACCCAAGCCAATTACCCTGCCTAGCCAGCTGGAAACGAGAGAACACTATGGAAACAATCTTAATCGAGCTCCGAAGGTTAGTACAGTCGAGGTTCTTGAGCACAAATTTGTGGAATCCAACAAATGACTAATGCTCGTTTGACTTCAGATACATGGCATCAGGACAGTGCAAGAAGCTGCCCCAGCCACCTGAGGGCTCGGTATATCCTGGCAATTAAACTAATGGCACAGAAGACAGAACGATCTTGATGCATGAGGAATCAAAGATGGTGGACAACCCGCGATCTGAATGACGACATGCTGGTGTTTGGTAAAAAGGTGAACATGATCATGATAGTATATGGTATATGTTCTCCTTTGGCACACCTATGCTAGGCCAACCCCTCGGCGTTGAAGGCTATCTCTTACATACATACCATAGCACAGCCAAAGTCAACACGCAAGCAGGTAGTGTTTGGGAAGGGACTAAGGGAAGCGGTATCGAACTTTGGCAGCCCATGGCCACTAACCGATAGTCGATAAATGAAACACGACGATTACCCCTCTACATTGTGAAGTGTTGATTTTCTATATTCTGTTCCCTGTCATAGAACTACTGATGGCTTGTAGACCATGAAATTATTGATCCATGATCCATCTCATGCAGTGATCCATCTACTAGGTACCTACGAAGTACCTAGGTATCTATTTAAGCATATTGAAAGATGCACGTGATCGCGCGTGGAGCAAAGCTTAGCGCGGAAACGGTTCCGCCACAATATCGGAACGTCTGTTAGCGTACCTTGGCGGGTTGGCAGATTGGTTTAGTTATCGCCGTTAAAATAAAAATGATGCAACAGCTCTGGAGCTTTAAATACCAACATGCCATTATTCTTGATTCCAGCCCGCAACTCGCGGCATCGGATAGCATGTATGTATGCCCATTCTTAATATCACATATAATGGATCGTTTCTATAACAATATATAAACATGCATCTATCTATATTTTCATTCAAGTGCATTAGATAATTAAACTGACACCATGTTCCCCCACCAGGCTTTGCACTCTATCGCAACCTTCTACAACAAGCCACGCGCATTCATCTCCCCGAAGACCTAGCCACAGCATGGGGACCAAGAAATCCAATCAAGCACCTAGTCCGACGAACCTTCCGCCGTAACAGCTCAGACACCAGCCCACGGCTTGTGTACCCAGCCCTCAAAGCGGGCTACCGCATCCTAGCTCTCCTCCACGCCGCCTCCACCTACACCCCTCCCACCAAACGTCCCAGGGCGAACGCGAAGCCAAAGCCCACCGGCAACCCCGAGTATGACTCCGTGATAGAGTACCTGCGCACGCGCCTCGAGGAGCGCAACCGCTCCCTCGCCGCGAAGGAACTCCACCCCCCCAACTCGCGCAACCCCCCCAAACCCTCCTCCGCCCCGCGCCCCGACACCGTCCCCCTCTTCGTTAACGTCACGCCCGCCCCCACGCCAATGAACCCGCACCCTAAACCCGTGTACGCGACCCCTTCGCGCCCGCGGCCCCTCTCCGAGCTCGGCGGGTCTGGCCGCCGCAAGATCCCACACATCGACATGGCGTCCGACTACCCGTTCTTGCGGATCAAGAAGCCACAGCCCGCGGTGCTGAGCCGGGTGCTGAACCAGAAGATCAAGACGCGCCTCCAGCGCACGGACACGCTGAGGGAGGTCTTCGAGGAGATGATGCCCGAGGCGGAGCAGGAGGACGAGTGGGAGCGGATCGTGCAGGGGATGTATATCGAGCAGGCGCGCGAGAGACGGAATAATGCGCTTGGCGAGTACGACCGCAACAGCGACCCCCCCTTCATCGACGACGCGACGGCGCGCCGCGAGGCGCGGATCATCGAGGAGGACTTCAGGGCGGGCAACACATTCCGGCAGACGGTGTTCGAGCATGGCAACATCTACGTCCAGAACCAGCTCAACGCCGAGCGCGATGACTTGGTCGCGCGCGCGGACGCGATGAGGAGGCTGATCGAGGAGGAGAAGAGGTTGTTGGTTGAGGAGAGGGAGCAGAGGGCGCGGGAGAAGAGGAGGAGGTGGGAGGAGAAGATGAAAGAGGTGGAGGGGGACGAGTGGACGAAGAAGATTTTGGAGAAGGCTAGGTAGATGGGTAGGTAGGTGGTAGGCAGGGAATGATTGGGACTCTGGGCTTGGGCTTGGGCTTGAAAAGGGAATACGTTAAAAACGAATGAACATATGAAGACGGCTGATGATAACTGTTATGTATTATGCCCAGTAGGTTATTATGGCTGGCTATTTGTTGACTAGAGACCTCCAGTTATGATAAGGGTGGTAGGGAGAGATTTGTAAGGAGGTAGGTACTAGGTAGGCGTCAAGAATATATACCCCTCCGTGCTCTTCGTATAGCCATCCATCTATCCATATGATATGCATTTATTTTTATCTAGATCTAGGTAGATATGTCTATCTATATCACGTCCGTCAACCAATTCCCCAGAACCATCCCCAATCTACCGTTGTTCTGCTCTTATTATGTATAGGTACCTAGGTAGGTATGTACGCAGACAGCGATACCACCCCCTAGGTACTGCATGTGATAAGGTGTAAGATAGGTAGAGATGGAAAATCACTGCGAACCCGCCCCGTGTTTCTTTGTTCTATTCCAAGGTTCCTAGTAATATAACGCCGATGAGTAAAGGAGTGTTTTGTCCTGTCTGCCTGCCTGCCTGCCTGCCTGCCTGGCTTGCTATGTATACGTGAACATAGGGAAGTACCTAGGTTAGGTAGGTATGTATATAACCTAGGTATGTATGTCTGTAGTTGACGATGAGTACCCCAACGCGAATAAAAAGCACCAGCTAATGCTATCGCTATGATCCATGGATATTACCTAGTTAATCAATCAATCCGCAATCACGGCCTCCCAAAACGCCTTCACGATATCTCGCGGTCGGAAAGCGGGGGCGCGCCCGAGACAAGTCGCGTGGGATAATAGTTCTATAAGGGAGTACACGGTTAGTCATAGGTTCTTGTACACCTGTTTTGGAGCCTTTCCTTTCCTTTCCTTTCCTTTCCTTTCTTCTCCCCCCTCCCCTTTTGTGTTCTGGGAAGGGTGGATAGGGTTAGGAGAAGCGGATAGGGAAAAGGGGGACTCACTGTCGATAAAAGAATTGACATCCAGCATAACCCTCCGCGGGACCGCGGGCGGCATCGTCGCAGCACCAGATTCGTGGTGTGGGAAGAGATACGACGTGGAGTTCGGGAAGACGTTGGCCGCCATGTTGTCGAGGCCTGTGTACGCCGGCATACCGCCCTGCACGGTCTGGGCTTCCCCGTACAGACTCGAGGTGACGGAGATGGGGTGCCACGAGCCGTCGTGCGTCGTGGGGACGTTATTGTTGTTGATGGCGCTGCTACTACTCATGTCGGATCTAGTTTGGTAGGCCGAGCCGCCCGCTTGCTGTGGCGGCATGTGGGACGACAGTCCGTGGTCGAAGGACGGGGTTCCGTGGTGCGTGGGGACGGCATGCGGCGGGATCGTCTGCATCAGCTGGATCTGCGGCTGGGCGTCCTGGTCGGAAAATGCGCCGGGCTGCACCTCGACAGTTTCGATATCCGCTGCCGAGTGGATCATTATCCCGTTCTGCGCGAGGTACGTCTCGACCTCGCCCGAGTCGTACCACGTCCCTTCCCAGCCCGTCATGTTGATGTACTGGGAGGCGCCTAGCAGCGTATCGCGCACCCTGGTTGTCCGCTCGTTAAAGGGGCCCATGGCGTACCCGGAGCTTTCGTAACTCGATGATCCCGAGAGACTCGACGGCTGGCCGGCGTAGTGCGTGCCGGAGCCGCCGAGTCTGTGGAAAGGGTGTTCCCAGTAGCTCAGGGGCTCGTCGTGGATGCGTCTTATCGTCGCTGCGGTCCGCGTTCGAATCTCCTCGATTGTCTCAAACAACATGACGAAGCCAAACACCCGCGAGAACTTCGCCGGCGGCGGATTGGGCATGTTGATGAGAGCCCCCGCGCGTTCGGATGCGTGGCGGTGCAGCCTCCGGGCAAATGTCCACTCGTTAAAAGACATGGTCCGGGGCCCGGTGAGACGGTTCCACGGGTGCTGCGCCCAGGAGGAATCCGCGGGGTTCATGAAGTTCATGTCAATGGCCAGGTTTGGCGGAAAACTCGCATTTTCAAGGGTCGGGGCGGTGATAACCTCATACTCGTGTGCTTGATGCTGAAAATTCGATGCACTACCTGATGGTCCCTGTTGGATTTGCGGCTCGTGAGATACCATTAGTCCACCCCATAGCTGCTGCTGCTGCTGCGACGTCTGGCTTTCCCCCTGCGAAGAAGATACCGGGTCGTCATTGAACTGGGGTAATTCTTCAACCTCGTCAACTTCCTGCAGGTCATCGTCCGCGTTCTCTTCTGGACTGCCCAGGTCACTGGTCTTGGGACTTTCCTTCTGCGTTCGGTCGACGAGCGTTTGGAGCCTTTGTAGTTGCTGTCCAAATTCAGGCGCCTGAGACAAGAGCCCACTTTGAGATGCGAAGTCAAATAAATTCCGGTATGCGTTATTAATTTCGGAATTCACATCCTTGAGATCGTTGATTTTCGCCTGTAGGTCAGTGATGGCATTTTCCTTCCGATTACGGTACGCCCTCTGCGCAAGTCGAATTTGAGTCCGTCGACGCTAGGTTAGACGTAAGTATAAGGGTATGAATAAGATATACATCATTCAGCATATAACTTTGCGAACCCGTGTGTCTTAGATAGTCCCACAAGAACAAACATAGATGGCAGACATAAATAAAGCGGTCCACTAACCTCGGTTGGCGTCTGGTCTTTGGTTTCAAGTCGTGGGCGACCTCTTGTCCTTTTCGGCTCCTCTGCTGAATCTGTTTGCTCCGCCTCTGTTCGTCGTCTCCCTCGCTTCTTCGAAATGCGAGTAGTGTCACTAGGAATAGCTGTGGTCTTGGTCTTTATATTTGCCTTGGCAGCAGGTCTTTTCGCAGAGCGCCCGCTACCATATTGCTCAACGCCAAGTACAGGTAAATCAGAAGGATGGTGCCGCATTGACGATGCTTTCGGTACTGATGCGGATGTCCCACCAGCAGTTTGTTGAAAATTGGTGCTCCGTGTCTGGGAAACAGATTGTGCTCCGCTATCCCAAGAAGTGTGCTGCACTAACGGTATATCAACGGATGAATCCGAAGTTTCATTCAAGCTGTTGTGAAGTTGTGATGAACCAGAAGAAGGATGAAGATAGGCATTGGACGCCAAAGGCGGTATTGGCGTGGCCCGGAGGGGTTGCGACAGCAAGTCATTATTATATCCGGGGTAGGGCTGATTAGAATATTCCCGATGGCCATGCAGGTCGTGCAGGTTGCCCCCATAATATTGCGTCTGATTGTCGGTGTTTGGCTGGGACATTGAAGAGATGAGGAAGAATTAATAAGTGTCCTGTGTCCATGTCGCGCATAAACGCAGAAAAACTCGAAGACGCCTCCCTTCTTGCTCTCTTCCCCTTCACAACCCCCTAAAAGAGCTGACGTGATTGACTTGGATCAATCAAGCCCTGATATCTAAGCTTGCTTTTTCTTTCCACACTGGATGCCTCCAAAAAATCCCCAAGTATTAGTACCGAGCGGCGAGCGTAGGGACTTGATCTTTTGGGACCAACTAAAACCGGCTTGCTCTGCTTAGCTCTTAGCTCTTACACTGAGTAAATTCCTCCGGTGCTTCTCCGTAAGTATTTTAGTACCAGATTATCGAATTGGATAGGTTTTGGGTAATGTGCAGTGTGCACAGATCAATGGGAACCAAAAAGTCGGGAATTTATTTGATGATTAGTGAACATTTTTGCGGTTCAGACGGTGAGTCTCGCGATCATTCCGCGTTCATGATTCCGTTCCTCTGATTCGACAGTCTCATGGTACACGGCATATTTCACGTGCTGTTACTACTAGTAGTATAAGCTTCTCTTCAGTGTAATGACGGATCGGATCAAACCTCAGGCCGGTGCCCAGTCCCAGACCCAAATGCATAGATATGTATGCCAAGTAGGAATGCCAAGCAGCTCGAGAATAGGAGCTATTCATATACTAGTCTAGAAATAGTTGATCAGCTTGAACTACCCTAGATAGTATTACTTGGCAGCTTCGCAGTTAAGCATCCTAAGTGGCGAGTAGAAGAAGCTCTTCATAAATCTTCATCGCCTATTACCCTATTACCCCTAGGTACTAGTAGTAGGCAATAGACCAAAGCCGAACATCGCAACGCTATTCCTCCATGCAGCTTCGGCAACTTCATCAACAGTTATCCCTTTCAGACCAGCCACCACGTAAGCCACCCTCTCGATGGCACAGCTCTCATTTCTCTCCTTGACCATGCACGTTGCATCCCATTTATCTCGCTTCTTGCTAGCCGGCAACGGTGCGGCGTTGGCAAGGTATAGTTTCGCGACTTCGCTACTACTTTTTATTTCTCCCCACGGAGCATCGGTCTCGATCTGCAATCGCTTCAGCGGGATCGCGGCTACCATCCCTAGACTCTCCCGGTCCTGGAAGCTGAACCCGTTGACGCTAACATCCAAGCCCATCCCAACAAGTGCTTCCATCTGGCCTGTAGAGCCGACAAAGCTATGCACTAGGCCGCTTCTTGGCAGTCGCCCGAGATAAGGTCTAATGATGTCGACGAAGTCGTCAAATGCTGCGCGACAGTGTAGGAACAAGGGTAGGTCCCATTCGTTTGCTACGAACAGATCCAACTGTGCCTTGAATGCGCGAATCTGGACGTCCTTTGATGCATGATTGAGCCGGTCATAATCGAGTCCCAGTTCACCAAAAGCCGCTACAGGGCAAGGTGTCAGAGCGAGAGCTGCTCCCAGGCTATCTGCTAGCTTTTGCAAGTGTGACTGGTCTTCGGCACCGAGCTCTGCAGCGTGATATGGATGAACTCCTATCGTGATAAAGCATTGATTTGGCCGGGATTGCGCTATGGCAAGATTTACAGGCACGTCGGATAGGGACATGCCTGTTAGCATCACCTTCCCTACGCCCGCTGCTAGGGCGCGATCGAGTGTGTTTGAGAAATCAGCTGGGTGATATTTCTTGTTTCGATAGCAGCCGTCAAACTCATTGGCCGTAGCGGTAACAGCAACCTATTCAGATGTTTGAGCGCAGAACCGAGGTAGAGTCAGTATGGTACTGTAAGTACACCTACATCAGCATACTGTAGTGGTTTGGAGGGCTTAGGAGGGGCCTTTTGAGGCAAGCCAGTCATATCTAACTTTCCACACGCCATGTCAACCCAGCGATGATAATGATAATGTACCCAAATGCAGGTAAACAGTAGTATCAGAATTTTTCATATACAAGGTAGGTGTCGTTCAGTTGAGATATGTGTCATTTGAAGTCCAGTTTGATAACAGTATGCAACATCGCTCTTCACTTTTTCCTTGAGCCCTAAAATGGCAACTGAACTGCTCCAGCTCCCCCCGCCTTTCTATAGGTGCTTTAATGCGATAAAGGTCGCCAAGAAAAGTGCGCCAACACCATCAGGGTAGTTTCGTATCATTCTGCTAAATAACGACGGGATAGGTATCAACGATCTTCTTTTGCAGTATATATTAACACTGTCACCACATAGCAACACAAAATCGACAGAATCTTCTCTTCGTGGCTCCTACTCGGTACTAGGTACCTACCAAGGTAGTACATGCGACATAAATCTTCAACCCCTGAACAGGGGACTATGAGAAATATTTCTTCCCAGCAGACATTCAACGGCCCTTGATAGCCTCAGAGATTCCATCATATGTGCAATTTTCATCCATACACCGATATCTCTCCTCTCCTTTAATACCACGGCTCATCGCTCTCGTGTTGTGGAGGACAGCCGTGGCACGGGGCATTCTGACGGCCTCTATCCGCTTGAGGATCGCGGGCACATCATCGCGGGTCACGCCGGGCTCCATCAAGAGCCGAAACGCTTCAGCATCCTCGATCCCCAGATTGGCACCCTGGCCCTGCATCGGCGTCAACGCGTGAGCCGCGTCGCCGATGAGGATGGCGCGCCCGGCTACCCAGGTGTCTAGGGGCTCGAGGTCTTGGAGCTCCCAGAGCTTTACTTCGGTTGCCACGCTTTTTGGGGGCCGTTAGTTGGTATGATCTCGAATCCTCACACACACACACACACACATTTATGAACAAGAAAAAGTACTGCCGCAAAAGACTTACCCAAGGAGCGACACTAAACTAGTGTCGAAGTCCGCAAAGATATCCAACATCTCCTGGCGATCGCCCTCCGCAAACCAGGAGTTCGTCGTGCTCTCCCTCTCCTCCTTCGTGGCAAAGATGCACGACATGTTCATGTAGCTGAGGTCGCGCAGCCCGTACACGACCATGATGCGGTCAGACCCGTCTTGTGCCTCGAACACCAGGATCCGCTGCTCGCCGCTTTGTTTCTGCTCTTCCCACCATGTGGGCAGATGGCCTAGGGCGGAGATGGCTTGCTGGGCGGAGACGGCGACGCGGCAGCATGTCAGACCGCTCTTTTTGGGCGTAGGACAGTCGGGGCCGGCGATGCTGGGGCGCAGGCGCGAGTGGATGCCGTCCGCCACTTGGGCCTCCTGGTTAGCGAACCGAATCTCCTAAGATTCCTTATCCAGGTAGTGTTGAATACGTAGTGCCACATCAAAGGGGGTCACTTACCGATCACCACATCCGCCCTATCCCTCGTCCCATCATCCAGCACGACCTCCCCCGCCTCCGCATCAACATCCCTCCCGCCATTCCTAAAAACCACCCTCGCCGGCTCGCCCCCAATCCCCAGCTCCCCCGACGGCGCCGTCGCCAGCCGCAGCAGCTCCGTCCGAAAGTCCACGCGCATGTGCGACAGCGCCGGGGCACCGAAGCGCTCCTCGAACGGGAACTCGCTGTCGTACACGAGGTTCGCGCGCTTGTCCAGCGTGCGGAACCCCTGGATCGGGACCGACCCCGTTCGTGCGGCGTCGAACCCGAGCTGCCGCATGATCTTGATGGCGTTGGGAAAGTTCGCGATACCTTGCCCGCCGGTCGCGGTCGAGGGCTCGTGACGCTCGTACACGGTCACGCGGTGTTTTTCTCGTAGGACTCGGGCGGCGGCGAGGCCGGCGAGGCCGGAGCCGATTATGATGATGTTGAGGGGTTGGGTTTCGCCGCCCATGGTGAAGAGCTTGTGGGGAGTGATAGTCGAGGCTATCTTAAAGAGTCTTTTAACAAGGGGTAGCAGGTAAATAATTTTACCTTTTCACGGTGGAAAGAAACTTGCTTGGTAGGCAGTAGAGCGATGGCTACCTATCTATCTTTATATACAACAACGCCATTTCTTTCCCGATGTTCATCTCAAATCTTGATATAGTTGCCATGCTGTGACTAGGCGCATCAGGGGGGGGGGTGACGCTACTTGGTTGTTGGTTAGGTGCTGTCAAGAAAGACCGAGCATCTCGAATCTCCGAGCTCACAGTCTGAGCCAAACAAAATGGTAGAGCTATCAGCACTATTCAAGCCTATATGCACGCATGCACGTAGTATACTCAGGTACCTACTACCTTAGCTACACATGATAATATCATAGTAGGCATACTATTATCATTGCTTTTGGCGTCTTGGTAGTGCCATCATTTGAACTAGCCATCTATACAGGCCATGTAATTTGAAACGAAACCCATGCTATGCTCCATCCACGCGAGTAGTTCTCGAGATAGACGAATATCAGCCTCCTTTTCATGGGATCAAATGTTTAGGTAATGTCCAGGTTGTATGGGTGCCTCAGTCCTACGCTACGTCCCGCTTGGTAATTCTCAAATGAGGTTGCCTTGACTATAGGTGTTGATAACACAGAGAGGCGAGTTGAATATACGGAATACCTAGCGGACTACCTAATAGGTACCTGGTAGGTGTATGTATATAGGACAATAATGGCGTTTCGTCGAATCTACCAAGTCTCGGGCAGAAAGCCGGGCCGCACTATGATGCAATGTCCCGTCGCTACACATATTACGAGAGCGGCAATAGCATTCTTACTTATCCTTTGCTAAGCGTTAAAAATGGAGAAAGCAAAGGAGTCCATACTTACAGATCGTCATTCTATAGTTATCATCGGAAACTCAGCAACGTCGGCGATACGAGCTCCGGGCCGAGACCGTCTCCGAGTTCGCATCTCCGATCTACTCACCGTTGGTGCTGAGTTGGGTTGCGAATAATCGATATTTTGATTCGAATGTTACTGTGGTGATAATCGCATTCGCTTATTGTCGAAAAATGAGTTTATACGTTATTTATTACCATATAGTGCTTATGGCGTTTTTTGGGTTTTTGTAGAGGTCAGAAAATCGTGTTGAGCTACCCCTATTAACATTTCAACTTGGGAACCTTAGAACTCAGGGGTTCAGCATAGAAAAAAACCCCCAAAAAATGACAACAATGATTTGATCCAATACTTTCGCAATGTGATACCTGCTTTTATGTTTGATGCCTCAGGTTCTAGGGTGCTATTCATTATATCACATAATCGCTAAATCTAGAAACTAACGCATTTGACAGAACCTAAGGTTAGAAAGGTCTAAAGAATCACCCTTTCAATTTTCGTCTCATTTTTTGTCGCGGTGATTCACTCTTAGAAACAACAACGATTAAATTTCCTACAGATCTGACTGCCTAGCAACGCTAGCTCAAGCCGAATATATATATAAGCTCTGCACCTTCTGACTTGGTCTGTGTAGGCAGCATCTCCACGGCGTTCAACTTCAAACTCTGCAACCCTTCCTCAACGCGTACAACGCAACCAAATACCCATTGCGACAACAAATTCAACCAAAACCAGTTCCCAGCAATCAACTCACAATGAACTGGGCCGATTATATTTCTATGGGCTTTTGCGTCTTCTACGTCCTGGTAGTTGGCGTTGTCTCAGTCAGGATACTCAAGAAGAAGTGGAAGCCCCGGCGACGCTGGAAGACAAATCTAATCTAGAGGGTTTACGAATGCGCTCAATCCACACCTCAGCCAAGGGAAATTTCCGAAAACCGATACACGGCAGGATTTGACTGAGCTTAAATGGGCTCTGTGAATCTATGGAGGAAATCGAGAGCTCCGCCGGCTGGTCTTAGAGGGGTGAGACTGAAGAGCATGCCGTGATCCTCATCGAACCGCGAAAAGGGGGTGAATCTTAAAAACGTCGGGTAAGCTTCTTCGGTTCCGGTCAACTCTCTTCAGTGCGATACTAACAACCCGTCAGATATCGCCCAGCTACCAATTGATCGAATTATTCTTTCTCATGTCCCAAAGAGCCTCGGCGCGCGCTGACCATACGGTTGGTAGGAGTAAAACAAGGCGTGATAGGTACTAGGTAGTAAACACAACAAGGAGCCATTGAAAAGCTCGGTTATTTCTCCCAGGAAAGATAAATAAATCGTAACACCCTTTTCCCATTCATAATACTTACCTTTTTTTTTTTTTTTCATAATGCGACCTTTTCATCATTCAAGTTCCTTAAGCCTCTCAAGAATCCACGCCTGGTATCCCGCAAACAAGTCGGCCTCCGCCCACGCCTCGCAGCAATCCGCGATCGCTCGATACTTCTCCCTCACATACGCCTCCTTGCCCGCCTCATCCCCTTTCTGCACTTTGCAAACAACCAAGTGCGAGACCTTGGCCAAGCAGACGGGACACAGGCACGGCGGGTGCCGAGCGCCTTCCGCCAACCCCGCGGTGCTCTGCATGACGCACGCATAGTAGGTACAACGGCTGAGCCAGAAACAAGTGCCCAGCTTGCGCACCGCCGCCCTTGCTACTCTGGAGAACCACACATCGGACAGGCGTTCCGCGGTATCGGGGGCTTGATGGAGGCTACGTGCCGCTTCCACGGCAGCCCACAACGGCCCGCGAACGACCGCTTCCTCGCTATTCGATGCTACTCCGGGCGGAAGGCCGTCGGCTGCGCAAATACTGTCGACGTAGGATTTACAATGGGACGCAGGCCACGCGTGCGTGCGGTCGGTCGATCTGCGCAGTCTGGTCTAGATAGGGGTGTAATCTATCGGTCGATATATCACTGCGAACACGGCCCCAACTCCCGCTCTCGTGGAAGACTTTTCTCGTCGCCGCGTTGGAACATATCGTGGTGGATAAGCAGCACGAGCGCGTAGGCGCCGGGCGGCATCATATCGTCTCCGGCTCCGATAAGATCCAGGAGGTGGAGCTGCCCGCCGGAAGATGCCATCAGGCGATGGCTGGTCGCAGAGGGGGGTGCAGTACTTCCCCTAGGGGAGAGCGGCTCGAACTTTATCGCTGTCCGAATCCATGTATGGCACGTACTGTAGGGGAGCGGGAAACCGTGAAGCCGTGGTAGAAGACGCTCATGTATTTGATAAGATCGTCTGCCGACGGTGCACGCAGCGGCCCGCAGCTCGGCACCTGGTCAGGAGGAAGATTTGCCTGGGCCCAATTGTCCATGAAGCGCATGGGATGGCGTATCCGGGGCGGGTCGGCAACGTATATGACTTTGCGCTCCTCCGTGGTGTTGCCGTCCATGTTGTCGGCACGCAATGTATCAGTACGCCAATATCGGAAGGATTGCCGCGAATACTCGCACTGGGCCAAGCTGTCATGGGGCAGGACCAACGGGCCTGGAAATGTAATGGATCATCTTGTTGGCGGCATCTCGCGTCAGGCGTTTCCGGACCTTGGCGTCTTGAGCTTCCGCTGCTAGAGGGTTGAGACCGGAGCTCGTGGCTTCGGCCAGCCTCCACTTAGGGTAAGGCTGGACATAGACTTTTTCGGCATGCGCTGATGGTGCTAGCTGTAAGGTTGTGTAAGGACACAGTTGTCCGTTGTGGACATATTTTTGATATTTTGGTAAACGTGGTGTTTAGTTAAGCAAGTATACCTGTGTTCACCGACACCATCTATCCCTCCCCAGATGCCTGCCTAGGTTAGGGTGCCTAATAGTCAAGTGGCAGCAGAGGCAATACACCTGTCTCACAGCTGTCTAATTAGTCATTCCGAGACTTACTTACTAAGTAGTACAACCAAGTCAAATTCAACAACTCTCAACAATTTCTAGTATCGTAGAATGCCGTCCCCGTTGATTTATACCTCATCTCATCTCGTACTTTTCTTCTCTATTTCTTTTTTCATAGTATATATAGACCCATTAGACTGTGTTCATAATACATCTTCTCCTTAAAAACAGAAAAAAAAAAACCTCCACCAAAACACACTACCTTCCAAATTATTACCATTCGTCTACTCGGTAACAATTATGGGGTCCAACGCCGCCGCCCCGCCCCACGAGGACTCGAACTTACTGCTCAAATCGCACATCGAGGACCTCGTCGCCACACAGCTCCCCAACTCGGCCATCTACAACTTCCTGCTCTCTGACGTGCGGATCGTGTCCGCGACCAAGGGCTCCGTGACGGCGCGCCTCGCGCTGACGCGCAACCACATGAACTCGGGCGGCGGCATCCACGGCGCCGTGTCCGCGGCGCTCGTCGACTGGGCCGGCGGCATGGCGATCGCCACCTGGGACCTGCGGCGCCGCACGGGGGTTTCCGCCGACATCCACGTCTCGTATCTGTCGTCGGCGGCGGAGGGCGACGAGATCGAGGTGACGGCTTGCGCGGATAAGGTGGGCGGGTCGCTGGCGTTCACGAGGATCGTCATTGCGAAGGTGGTCGATGGGGTCGCGGGGCCGGTGGTTGCGAATGGCTCGCATACGAAGTTTGTTAGGCAGCGCCAGTGATGGGGGATGGTCTTGCAGTTGTGGAGCTCTGTTTTCAAGCTTCTTCCCCCCCCCCCCCCCCCCCCCCCCCCCCTTTTTTTTTTGTTCAGGGTTGAATCAAGAGGGGGGGGGGGAGAAGGTTGGTATCGTTTCGACGCTAGACCGGGTTTGTTACCCAGAGTATGTGGTTAGACCTTCTAGATAGATGGAGCATGGTAGCATATCGGGAGCCGCGGGAAGAAAAGCGTTTTCACGGAATGCCATGTGTTGTTGTGGGTACTTAGGTCTATAGACGGGTTTGGTCAAGGGGCCAGTCGAGGTTCTAGAAGATAGACGGGAAGTCTTTGTCTGCAGAGTGGGGGCACTAGATATAGATCGATCTGTATCACGGATGTAAAGCCGACGGATACCTACCTACATGTGAGACACCTCTTTGCGAGATCCTAGTGACGGGTACCAGCATCGCCAACGACCTAAGTACTCCCCGGATAACGTTAATTCCTTGGACATGCCAGTGCTCAAACGGCATTCCGTTCCCCTTCCCTTCTTCCTACCTCTTGAAGTCATACCCCACACTCCAAACTCCACACTTCCAAACAGCACCATATTCCACCGATTATTCCACGGCTATGACAGTGTTCCCATTCAGGAGTGATCTAAGAGCGGGAGGGTATACAGCTTGAGGAGTGTTAAATGTGGAGTGTTGAATATAGACGATGTTGCTAAACTACCAAGAATGCCTACCTAACTATCTAGTAGCCTCCGCTGAGGGCGACTTACACCTACCAACCTAGTGAATTCTCAAATACTAAGCTTGCTGGGTATATATTCACTTCTTACCTAGGTAGTTTAAAGTCTTAAGTTCTAGGGGCTACTTTAGGTACCTGGGTAGGTCGGTTTAGAGTCTCCCGAGGTCAGGCACATCCTCTCATGCCACATGTGACTCTGAGATATGATGCTTCCCGTCTAAAGAAGGGACATAGGTTGTTTTCCACCGCGGAGAGAGGGGAAGGGCATGAATATGCCAAGGCGGAGCATCATGGCGTACATATGGCTAACGCGTACCTAGTAGTGAGTGGTTTATAGGAGTGTTGGTACATCTAGTCCAGTACATATAGGTAGTATTTGGTGCCGCCTTCATAACCCATCTAACAGTCCTATAGACCGAGATATAGGCCGGTTATGGCATTCTATGTAGTGGGAAATAGGCCTGGATCAGATGTGAGGTCTCAGTGCTGGATGGCACTATAGGTGTACGTTATAGTCCGCCTCCCGGGGTTGGGTACATCCAACTCCGACATATGTGACCCTGAAAGATGATTTTTCCCGCCGCGGAGGCGGAGGGTGGTGAATATCGAAAGGGGTAGCATCATGTCTTAGACCCATTTTTAGTACTACGTGTGTGTCTAGGCATGTCGGTACCTTAGGTAGTGAATGGTTTATGGAAGCTTCGAGGCACCTTGTATGTTATGCCCTAAATATACCTCATTCTATACTAGGCAGGACTGTTGGATGGGCTCCAAAGATACGAGAGCAACATCGCCTACTAACTAACTGCCTATGTGCATAACCTCAACTGGGTAATGGGTTTTCTGAGGCTCCGTATCCCGAGACGGTATGAAGCACCTCGATCACGAGGAAGACTTCCTCATAGAAGAATGTTCATCGAAATCGTCCTTAGTGGCATGTTCTAGTGCATCAGGCCTTGAACCAAACCGAATCTAAGAGGCCCACCTCTGCTTTCGTGTATCAACGAAGTGGTGTAGGAACCATATAAAGGGGGATCTTGTTTCGAGGCGCATGAAGGCCGGCGGAAGCATCTATATGATCATCTTCTATCAGTATAGCAAGGCGTACGCTAGGTAGGCATCGACAGATCGTTGAAGCTTCTCAGTGGTCTAACCAGTGGATTGTTCTGCTCAGCTCATGACTAGCTTGAGAAGCACTCTAGATCAAGCATGCTGCATCATTCTAAGATGGCCTAGACTTCGAGCCCAAGATAGATCATTTGCCAAGAGCCATGATAAAAGTACATACTTACCTAACCTAGCTCCACCACATCCATATACATCGCAGCTAGCTACATATCTCTGACGAGCCCCGGACAAATATACCACCTCGGTCCCGAAGCCCGGGCGGAGGAAAGCTAGCGAGGCGGAGTTGTGGATAAAGATGGGTGGGGCAAAGGAGCCCGTTAGCAGCGATATCGCCCGGACTTACAAGTAGTGAACTATTCAGCCAACCGCCATAAGCGTATTAGAAGTCACGGAGAGAGTGGGATGTGGGAGGAGGGGGCCTGCCCGTATGGGGTAGCTTTAGCTGCAGAAGGGTATGTAGGAAGTGGGTTCGGGGAGAAGTCTTTCACGTATCGGGAAGGCATTGCAGGAATATGGAGGAGCTTTTTTTTTGTTTGCAGTGTCCTGTCGAGTAAGGAGGTAGGTAAGGAGGCAAGTGATGGCCGTAAAGGATTTTGCCTCCCCCCCCCCCTCCCGCCATGCTTAGGCAGGTTGGTTGTGACGAATCCGAACGCTGGAAGATCTTAAAACTTAGAAAGCCGTCCATACGGGATAGAGATAGAACCAGCTTGGCTACTTTTGTGCGCGTTTTTTCTGGACCCTCACACTACCTTTTTTCACGCCGCGCGATCGTCTAACTGAAGCCATCGATCAGGCCATTTCTGATGTAATGGTGATGTGCATGAGATATCTACCCAGTGCGGGTGCGAGTATTGGTGGTGATGGTGGTGGTGTTAGTTACTAGAAAGACTTTCCAAGGCTTTTACTTCTCGATGCCAATTTCTTGAAAAAAAAAGGCGTTGATACTTAGGTAGGTAGGTATTGTTGACGCCGAGCTACACGCCGATAATGCTTGCAGCATCGAACCTTCGAGCGCATGACGGCATCCACACCCTCACACTCGAAACGACGACAATCCTCTCCAAGCGCGTGAGAATGGAGACGTGGCCGTTGACGAGACGCATTACTTACTACAGGTAGGCTAGGTACTCAGCAATGTTTGGCATCTACCTTACCTGCTACTAAAACTTAGGAACCCGTATAACCGAAAGCAGCACCATCGGATCGGGCTCCGTGGGGCTCGATTACCTTACCTACTTACCCAATACCAGCGCCTTACCTGCTTTGTAGATTTGCTAGATTTGCTCCTCGGCTGTCGGTTTCATCGAACAGAAAAAGACTCTATGCATTGAAGCTTGACCGGAACCACCGGCGCATATGTCCGGGGGAGGAACAACGCATGAGCGGGAACGATGTGATGACCCTGGTGATTAGCGGCATTGCATTTTCCATTCATTTTTTTTTCTCTTTCTGCCCCTTCGCGGATGGCGTGAGAGAGGGTATTTTCCCAAGAGATCCCCGATGGGGGAATCGGTGGTAAGGGGAAAGGCCTTTTTTTTTTCCCCAGACGAGACTTACACGTAGCTAAGCGGGCTTGTTTTCCCAAGATTTGGGCTCTATTGGGAGTACCTAAATGACCAGGTAAGGCCTGGTGCATTGCGAAAAGTCCCACTTCCACGAAGATGCCTCCCCTGACTTGGCTGAACTGCCCTCGTATCTCTGCAGTTAGAAACGCATGCGTGTGCGCGTGTCCTTTTTTTCTTTCTTTTTTTTTTTTTGCTTGTCCTTCTGTCACTCACTCTCCTCTTCTATTCCAGATCTTTAAACCGGTAAGGTAAACACAATCCACACAGTTTTCAATACTGTATAATACAAAAAGCTCTACCTCTAGTGTATTGTGCCATACTTTCACGGAGGACGCTTTCTAGAACGCACGATTTAGGACGGCACAGAGAAAGCATAACAGCGGCAACGGCAATAGAAGATGCACTATCCTGGATCTCCTCGGCGAGGCAAACAATGGAGTTAACGGGATCTTCAAGGATGCGTAGTTGACCAGGGGGGGTAGCCAGGTTTGGATTCAACAGCCAATGAATAGGGAAGTTAGTCTGTCGTGCTCGTTCCATGAATAGACACAGATAAGTTTTTCTTTCTTCTCTATATCTGTATCTCGACAAAAAGACAACCGTGACAGCTATGTCGTAGGAAGTACTTGCCTGTGACATACATATGTAGATAAGCTGGGTTAAGATACCCTGGCTCACGATAGGTGTTTCCAGCGGTGAGGTGGGTTGTTGTGTCTCGCGATGTCGAAAAAAGATAAAAAAGATGTATGATTCTAATCCAATCATAACCTTCGATCCTACCTTGACTACTCATTGATTCTGGCGAATCGTAGGTGTGGAGGGATATCTACAGCTCGGCGACCAAAAGTTGACAATATATCCTTACAAAATTACACATGCCTACGGACTAGGTACCTACCTAGAAAGAGGTTGGTAGATATACCCTACTAGGCAACTCAAAGGCAACAGAAACGTCGCAAGTCTACATCAGTAAAAAGATTATGGCGGTAAGTATGGAAAGAGGATTCAGCAATAGCATGAAATTGTCACACATTTGGTTCCTGATCGGCGAGTCATGTGTATCGTAGCCTGCTTACCTTTTCGACTCGAGCTTGTAAGCTCGAGTCCGTAGGCTGTCCTTAATATGCCTCCTAAACAAGACCAACCGGACGATCTCCCTCAGCTGGGCATGCAAGGCTCAAAATAGAAACATAAAATCAGATGCAAAAAAGAACGGTGTATGTATGTATGTATGAATGTATGTACATTAGGGTAGTAGGTAGGAGAGGAGGAATATGCCACGAGAGCATCAGCAGTCATCAGCCTGAGATCGAAAGAAGTCGCGGATGGTTCCTACAAGAGATAGCATGTGCCGCAAGGTTTGATATTGTACAGCCTAGCCTAGTAGTGCAGCCTGCAGAAGATGTGCTATAGGCAGGCAAGCAGGCAGGCAGGCAGGTAGTATCGACGGACGCAGGTGTGTCAATGAAGGAGCGCGCAGTTCTGTGGCAGGGCAGATATGCTGATTTGTCGAGACGGATCAATCAATCAAATAACCAGCTTTCGCATGCACTTTTAGGATGTGAAACATTTCCTACCTACCTGGCAGGCAAGTATGTATGTATGTATGTGTATGTATGTATGCAGCCGTCACGAGTTCTCCTTA